GTCCTCCAAAGGAAAATTAATGGGCGTCTGGAGAAAGAAGCTGCAGAAAGACTTGGAAGTGAATTTGGGCAGCTGACAGAGTTAAGCATCAAGGAGAACTGCCTCTTTGCAAAAGGAGGACTGCCTCTGATCCCAGAGGAATCTGTATCAGCCTGTTTGGATGCCGGAATGTCCTCAGCACTCTCTGCCCACCTGGGCGATCGGACAGCCGACAAACTAGCATCCTAGTCTCTGAGGAGTTGGCTGGCAACTCAAATGAAAAAGAGAAATGTGTTGCCCCACTAACACCCCCAACCAGTCTTGGCAGTCTTGTGGGTGCCCCCTCCAGATGTTTTGGGCTGCCACTCCCGCCGTGGGGAGCACCAGCTTGGCAAAGGCTGCTCTAGGCTGCTTCTGCAGAGACCCAGCTCAGAAGAAGGCAAGCAAGGCAGAAATACGTTATACTACGTTCCTCTCCAGTCAACAGACATCCTGTATTCCCATTGCCTTGCAGGTGCCGACAATCAGTTGATCGGCCTTGCCAAATCAGCTGATCGGAGGTGCCAGATCAGCTGATCAGTGGCACTTGCTAAACTCCATCATTTCTTTGCAAGTGCTGATGATCAGCTGGTTGGTGGATCCTGCAAGCCCCTGCTTTCAGTAGGGAAGCAGCACCTTTACCTGTTCCACAGCGGACATGATTAATATGATGTAAGGTATAGAACAGGTGAATGTTGCTCATCCAACATGGCTGCATGGGCCAAATGGGGGAGCCTGGAGAGTCTAAGAAGGTCCATGGGGCAGAGGTTTCCCACTGCTGGCCTGCAAAGCTCCCTCCAGCTCTATGATTCCACATCACAATACCTGGGACCGCTTCTGAACTGCACAGTATTTGAAGGGGGAAGGGTGGCCCTAGAATTGTCGAGTAGTAAGGAGACCAAGGGTCCAACCTTCTGCAATGCAGGAATTCTGCCCACAGCCATCCCTGGGTGGGCTTGAACCACCAACCTTCTGGTTAACCACCAGACACACTGACCCATTGCACCACAGCCTCTCCTCACTCTCCAGCCAAGACGTCAAGCAGTTTGGGGACGTGTCGAAGGCAACCATTCCCCATTTTGCACAGAGCTTTCCAACCCCAATCAATCTGACTGAGGTGAGCAGACTTCCCCACCCTGCAAAATAGCAGACGATTGTGATGCAATAATTGGAGGGCCAATCCCTAACAGGGACAAACTCTTGCAGTTCTTGGTCAGTAGGAGATGATTATCCAGGGAGAACACCTTCTTTGGCAAGATTAATTACCACATTGCTAATTAATTATGATTGATGGTTGCTAAGCAGAGGTGTGGAGTGACTGAGAGAAGGGTAGCCCAACGTCCAGCCAAGAAAGGCTCTTCATATCGGACCCAATCTGGGGTCATTAAACCCTACAGCCCAGGCTCCAGGCATGTCCTTGCCTTTCCCTGCATTCATTTATCTGCTCTTTTATTTTGATGGCTGTGTCATTACATGATTGATGAGCACCCTCATAAAAATAACTTGATGCTTCTCCCAGTGCGTCATGCCTAAAAATATCGAAGTAGAGTTTGGGGAGCCCATTCTCAGCTAATACCTGCTCACACAAAAGCATACAGGATGCTTTTCAGAGACTCGGTTTTTAGCATTGTTGAGCCGTCACAGACCCGGAATCAGTGTGTTCAGATTTCTGCATCCTGCCACCGTCGGCTGTCAAACCTCCTTGGTGGATTTTCATAACATTTTTGTGTGTGCTGTGCCCTTGGAAACGCCAAAACAAGCACGTAGAATACATGTCTATCTCAGCTCAAAGAAAATGTGCATAGGTTGGTGCGAAGGTGGTGGAACAAACCTTCTGCTGAAGGCTTGAATGAGTTGGGTATGTTCAGCCTGGAGAAGAGAAGGCTGAGAACTTGCCCACACTTACTTTTCCTCTGTGCTTTCCAGCATTAAAGCTCTGAGTCTAAGCACTCTTGTTTTTGCTATCCCTGTGCAAGCCATCTTTACCGCTGAATTGGAGCAAACAGTGATCTGTGTATCGCCATTTGTTTCAGTTCAGCTTTAAAAATTGGGGTTTGGGGTTTTGTTTTTTTGCAGGGAAAGCTCTGGAGCAACAACAAAAAAGAATACTTGGACATGAAGATTTAAAGCCTGGAAAGCACAGGTCCAAAGTGTGAAGAAGCCCTGAGAGTTGATGTGAGAGCCATCTTCAAATATCTGCGAAGGGCTGTCACACAGAAGATGTAGCAAGCAGGTTTTCTCCTGCTCCAGGGGGCAGGACCCAAACCAATGGACTCAAATGACAAGAAAGAAGATTCCAACTGAATATTAGGAAGAACTTTCATATGCTAAGGGCTGTTGGACAGTGGAACAGACCACCTGGGAAGGTGGTGACCTCTCCTTCATCGGAGGCTTTTAAACAGAGGTTGCATGGCCATCTGTCAGGGATTCTGGGAAGGCAGCTAACAGATTGAGGTTGAATCCTGACAAGACAGAAGTACTGTTTTGGGGGGACAGGGGGCGGGCAGGTGTGGGGCAACTGAATGGGGCAACTGTGCCCCTGAAGGACCAGATGCATAGCCTGGGAGTCATTTTGGACTCACAGCTGTCCATGGAGGCGCAGGTCAATTCTGTGTCCAGGGCAGCTGTTTACCAGCTCCATCTGGTACGCAGACTGAGACCCTACCTGCCCACTAGACTGTCTCGCCAGAGTGGTACATGCTCTGGTTATCTCCCGGTTGCACTACTGCAATGCGCTCTGTGTGGGGCTACCTTTGAAGGTGACCCGGAAACTACAACTAATCCAGAATGCGGCAGTTAGACTGGTGACTGAGAGTGGGGACCACATAACACCGGTCCTGAGAGATCTACATTGGCTCCCAGTACATTTCCGAGCACAATTCAAAGTATTGGTGCTGACCTTTAAAGCCCTAAACAGCCTCGGTCCTGTATACCCAAAGGAGCGTCTCCACCCCCATCGTTCAGCCTGGACACTGATGTCCAGCTCCGAGGGTCTTCTGACAGTTCCCTCCCTGTGAGAAGCGAAGTTACAGGGAACCAGGCAGAGGGCCTTCTTGGTGGTGGCGCCCGCCCTGTGGAACGCCCTCCCATCAGATATCAAGGAAATAAGCAGCTATCCTATTTTTAAAAGACATCTGAAGGCAGCCCTGTTTAGGGAAATTTTTAATATTTAAGGCTGTATTGTTTTTAACACTCGATTGGTAGCCACCCAGAGTGGCTGGGGAAACTCAGCCAGATGGGTGGGGTATAAATAATAAATTATTATTATTGTTGTTGTTATTATTATTATTATTATTATTATTATTATTATTATTATTATTATACTGTGATTCCTACATTGCAGGGGGTTGGACTAGATGACCCTTGGGGGACCTTCCAACTCTGCCATTCTATGATTCTGTGACTGGTGCACTGTAGATTAATGTGGATGCACCATAGCCAATATTTTACATGACAAACTATTATTCTCTCTTTGATACATACGAAACCAGTGACCTATTTAGGCCTTCAGTGAACTGGGGGGGGATAAAGCATGTATGAGACATGGGGGGGCCTAACCCCCAACCTTCCCATGCTGAATGGGGCGCATGAATACAAACTTTTAGTGCATTCGGCTTAGAAACGTCCCCACTATTGGGAACCCAGATCTTTTGCGGGACTCAGGAAGCTATGAGGCTGCAGCCTGTGGGAATGCACAGCCCTGATCTTCTGTTTAAGGCAAACACCTGAATAGGGCTCAGGAGAGACACCTACAGCGAGGAGTCAGGAAAACAGCATAAATAAGCTTGTTCCCTCAGCCTGCCCTGCCCCTACTAAGTATCACACTATGGCTACTGGAATCCACACGCCCCTTTCCGAGACATGCTTTATCCCACCACCACCATGATCTCAGAATGTCTGAACTGGGCTATGGCTCTATACAAACCAGTGGAAAGTTGCAATTGACTAAACCACATCAAGCAGGCTCTGGTCTAGTTAATTTCATCCGGTCGCTGTCATGATAGCGGCAAGTATCCAGAAATCTGCTCCCAACGTTCCACAAAAAACACAATTCTCTCTTTAAACAAAAAAGGAATCACCTGGATCAAACCCCACAGCACACAAGTGTCAGCTCTATATATTTTTTCCCAAGCACCCAGCACAAAAATTTTCAAACTGCCTTGCATAACTTGGTCACAGCTACATTCCTACACGTGGCTATGATGCTCCCTGGCTTCCTGGGCAACATCCTTCTCTTGCCAATTAAACTTCATTGCAGAATTAAACCCTCAAACTACTATTTTTTGCAGCACCCTTTTTCATGTTATATGTATATTTATTGCATTTATATCCCACCTTTTCCACCAAGGAGCTCAAGGTGGCATGGGGGTCAGCAAACTTTTTCAGCAGGGGGACAGTCCACTGTCCCTCAGACCTGGGGTGGGGCAGACTATATTTTTGGGGGGGGGGTGAACTAATTCCTAAAGCAACCCTGTGAGGTAGAGGTTAAGCTGAGATGCCCTGAGTGGCCCAAGGTGAGCTCCATGGCCCAAATGGGGATTTGAACTCTGCTCTCCCAGGTCCTAGTCCAACACACTAACCACTACACCACACTGGCTCTCATGGGCAGACCTATCAGTTAGTGGCTGTGACTTCTCTGTGATGAGCCCCTTCTTCACCTACCCACATCACTTGCAGACATTTAAAAGCCCTCAGATTTGTTACCTCCCCATCCCTTTGTTTCTGCTCTCTTGCTTTTTATTTCCTCTACTCCAGCGGTGGTGATCCTTTTTCAGCTCAAGGACCACATTCAATAATAGGCAACTTTCCAAAGGCTGCATGCCAATGGCGGGCAATGGATACAAATCTCCCCTTTCTACAGCAGGCTATGTTCCAGCCACACACACAACCCTCCATCCAGGTAAGCAACAGGCGTTATCACAGCTCAAGGACGCATACCAGCCAGGCAAAAGCACTCAAGGAGGGAGCAAAAGATCACAGAAGGGTCATAGCTCAGTGGCAGAGCATCTGCCTAGCAGCTAGAAGGTCTCTGGTTCAATCCCTGGCAATCTCCAGGTAGGGCTGGGGGAGACTCCCTGCCTGAAACCCTCAAGACCCACTCCCTTTCATAGAATCATAGAATTGTAATGTTGAAAGGGACCACAAAGGGCAACTAGTCCAACCCCCTGCAATGCAAGAATCTTCTGTGGGGCTCGAGCTCAGAACCCTGAGATTAAGAGTCTCATGTTGTACCAGCTGAGCTCAAGGCATTTTGAGCTAGATGGACTAGTGGGTCTGAATCAACATAAGGCAGCTTCCTATGTTCCTCAAGGAGGGCCAGTGAAGGGATGCTGCCTGGTGAGAAGATGTGTGGCCCCAGGAGAGTCCCGAGGGCCAGATGGGGGAGCTTGGTGGGCCGCATGTGGCCCCTGGCCTGAGCTTCCCCACCCTTGATTCAAGACCTCAGTGAGCCACAGGTCCTAGCTAGAGCAACATCCTGCCTTGCGTGCTCTGTCCAAAACACCCAGTGAGCTGTCCGTGGTGCTGATCTTCTGCCAGGCCTCCTCCCAAGCTTCACCAGTTCTTCCCAAGGGACTCTTTTGAATATAACATGCCCCATACTACCTAGTCTTCTGCAACGGCCCTAACAATGCTTCAAAGAGAGACCCATAGCAGTATCGGAGCACCCAACGGGACCACGTCAAGGTAGGCATCCCTCAAAAAACACACCACCCAGGACCGCAAGTCCCTCGCCCTGTGTTTCGCTGGGGCCCTCGCGCAGGCTTACCCAGATCTCTCGGCTGACCGCCACTAGGTCTTCCGAGGTGAGAAAGCAACCCTCGTTTTTGCTTTCTCCGAGACGGCAACTGCTCCTCAAGTGTGTTCTAGCTTTCCTCCCCCACAAGAAAAAGCAAAAGTTACTACGGCAACCAGGAATTTTAAGCCACGGAAAAGCAGAAAATGTCACGAAGGGCTGCTGCTCATCGCGACGGGCGCACTGCATCCAAACGCAAGTGAAAGGTGCAGAGGAGTCGCAGCTCAGGTGAGTAGAGCATCTGCCTGGCAGGCAGGAAGGCCCCGGATTCAATTCCCAGCACCTCCAAGTGGGCAGGGGACTGTTTCCTAACAGCACCCTGTCAGCACCCTCACCAAACTACAGCTCCCAGAATCCTTTGGGGAAGGGAAAACTGTCTAAAATGGTATGGTGCTCTTTCAATGTGCGGTGTTAATGTGGCATAGATCAGCCTGGGTGGAGAAGGATATGTTTCAAGGCACCATCCACCAGCTTGGCTCACGCTAGTTGCCTGGTCTGAGAATTACCTCCACTCACAGCTGTTCTGTCTGGCCATTAGGAACAAAATGAAGCCTTGGTACCAGCCTGTTTTCATTCTCCCTCCTTCCCATTCCACTTCCGTTTCCATCATGTCTCACTAGACCAGGCATGTCCAAAGTCCATTTTGGGGGCCCTCCAGTCAATGATTTAAAGCTCAACAACTCTGGCCCTTACACACATTCACTTCATCAAAACTGGTCCTCTTTGAAAGACGTTTGGGCACCCCTGCATTAGACTATAAGCCGCTGATTTAAATGGCCAACTGCTTTGAGTGGGGAAGGGCTGAAGCTCAATGAAAGAGCCTCTGTTTCAAATGCAGAAGGTCCCAGGTGCATCTTCAGATCGTCCAGGGAGGGACCCCCTGTCTGAAAATACTAGCTAGAAGAACCAAAGATCTGACTCTCCCTCTCTCCTCTAAAACCCAGAGCCAAACCTGCGGCTCTGAAGGGACCCAGGCTACTGAAAGTTGCCGAACCCTCTTAGAGGGAAAGCATTGGACTGACATTGGACGTAGAGGCTCTGCTTCCTTTTGCTGGCCTACACAGATCCCTTGGACCCTGATTCTTTGACAACGTGCCGCAGTTGTGTTGCAAGAGCACCGATGCAGCCCACTAGCTGAGAGATTGCACTAAGCTCCAGGTTCAAACCACACTGGTGCCATGAGTTCACTAGGTGAGCATTCTGAAGCTGCTGAACTCCATCTCCCATCAGACCCAGTCAGGAGAGCCCGGTGATCAGGGCTGATGAGAGTTGTAGTCCCAATAGCATATGGAGGGCCACAAGTTCCTCACTGCTGCCTCAAAGCAAGCCACTCTCCCAGCCCAGCCTACCTCACAAGGTTGTTGTAAAAGCAGGAAGATGGTGCATCTGGAACGCTTCAATGTATTCAAGCACTGAGCTTTATTGTTGGGTAGAGAAAAAGCATTTTGGAATCTTGTGGGTGCCTGTGCAAGGTGGTGGTCCCAATCTAGACTGCAAAATCAGAGCTAGTGAATATATTCAAAATGGAAGACGGGTGGAGTGCGAATGCCCTGCAGATCAGGATTAGCCTTCAGCCCAGTCTCCATTCTGCAATGCTTTAGGAGGGCAGTCCTATACATCCTAATGAAGAGGCATTAGCCATCACACAAAAATGACAAATGGAAGCCCATCCATCTCCTTCCTCACCCCCACCTCCTTCGTCTGGAGCGATAATGGATCATTCCTCTTCCCACCCCCGTTGCTGGGACTCTGGCAACTGCATTCACGAGCCAGCAGCTGATTAATGGCCGGGTGCGCTTATTGCAATATGGCTCCCCTATGATTAATATTCACCATCGATAACAATGCTTACGAGGCACCTGGTGCCCCCATGGCGATGCAACCCGAAAGGTTACCCTACTTGCAGTGCCACCCCAAACACTCTGTCAGCAGCTCAGCATGCTGCAGGCTTCAGTAGCAACAGCCTCTCGGATCGAAGTGATTGACCGAGTGCAGATAATGGCAGCAGAGCAGGATAAAAACACACACAGACACACGCCAGTGGACCGAGGACAGGACAGAGCCTTTTTTGGCTGCAGAAATCTACACACACCCCTGGCTGGGGGCAGCAGAAGAAGCTAGATGAGACCGTAAGGGAAAGAGGCAGAGGGAAATCAGCTGACAGCCATCCTCTCTCTGAGCCCCCAGACATCCGTCACCAGGGCAGGCGTGGAAAGCACATCCGTCAGACACCCGTTCTGAAGAAGTGACGGCGTGGCGACACGGGTGACCTTTTATCTGCGACACGGAACCGCGGAGGCTCTGGTCGTGATGCAGAGTCAATACAGCCTCCCTCTTCATTTATCTCCCAGCCGGCTGTCCATCTCTTCGTCTCACCTGTCCATCATCGCAGGCGAGGTTTATTTAATTAGCCAAAGAGAAGGCTGAGCAACCCGCCCCCCCTCCCCCTACCCTTTTTTTCTTTTAAAACAAATAAAATACAAATGAATTCCTCTGCATTAATGGCCCTTCTGCACTTCCAAGGACCTTTCCAGAAGATCGGGTTTTCTCTACACAAGAAATGCCAAAGTTACACAGATGCCTGCTAAACTTCCCACTGCAGAAAGGTGCTGGTTTTATCGGCGTTCAAGCTGCAGTTATTTTGTGGCTGGGGAAAATTCAAGAGCCAAACGGGAATTTCTCAATAGGGGTTTTTTGGCTTTCACATCCCTGCCTTCCCTTTAAAAAAGAAGCTTTTGTTTTATTTTTATTTAAAATATTTTATAGTCTGCCTTTAAGGGCAAGAGCTCTCTCTCAGGCCAACGTATGAGATCAAACAAAATGATTACAGTAAACATATTTAATAGAAGCCAGTTAATAAGGGAGAGATTAAAAACACCCAGCCATTCCAAAAGTAGCCGTGCCTGCTGTGCTCTGCCTCAATGGTCGGTCAGAGGCAATAATCCTGAATACCACTTGCTGGAAACCACAGGAGGGGAGAAAGATCTTGTGCTCAAGTCCTGCTTGCAAATTTTCCATGGGCATCTCGTTGGCTTCCATGAGAACAGGATGCTGGACCCGATGGGCCATTGGCCTGATCCTGCAAGGCTGTTCTTATGTCATTATTCTTTTACTGATGGAGAATAAGGCTATCAGCAACCATGTTCTGCCTCCACTGTCAGAGGTAGTATATACACAGACGAACTGGAAGAAGCAAAGATCAGCAGTGTCAAAGCAATGATTCTTCAACATCAACTTCATTGGACTGGTCATGTTGGGCAGATGCCTGATTATCGTCTTCCAAAACAACTGCTCTATTCCAAACTTAAAAATGGAAAGCATAATGCTGGTGGTTAAACCTTTAAAGAGGTTTGAAGACTCTCTCAAGGCAAATCTTTAAAAATGTAGTATAAACACCAAACACTGGGAAACACTGGCTTGCGAGCTGCCAATTGGAGAAGAGCCTTTACCAAAGGCTTTGAAGACACTCGAACTCAGGACGAAAGGGAGAAACGTGCTAAGAGGAAGGCACGCTTGGCAAACCCTCACCATGATCAACTCCTACCCTGAAATCTATGTCCCCACTGTGGAAGGACGTGTGGATCCAGAATTGGCCTCCACAGGCACTTACGCACTCACTGTTAAAACTGTGTTTGTGGAAGGCAATCTTACTCAGCTACGAGGGATTGCCAAAGAAGAAGAAGATGCCCCCAAATTTGCTGGGAATTACAAGTGTGAAGAGTGTTGTTGTAGTCAAGTCCTCCTTGCAGGCTTGCCATAAGAAGCTGCTCAGCCACTGTGAGAACAGGATGTCCGGGCTAGAGGGGCCCATGGTCTGATTCAGCAGGAAGGTTCTTTTGTGTACATTGAAGGGGGGACCTCCCACCTCCAGAGCACGGGCCCTGCAGCCAAGCTCTGTTAGAACTGTCAGGATCTTTTCAACAACCACGTTTCTAGGCCTCAGGGAAGTGGCAGACTGTCACCTGGAAGGCACTGCGCTCCTGGAAGTCAGTGGAAAGTTCTGGGAAGCCTTCTCTGCTCTCCGAGCGCAGTCTAAAGAAACAGCTTCTGTCCCTTTAAAGCACCTTTGAGTCAGCAGCAGACGAGATGGAAGGGTCGAGATTGATATTAATAAATTAGGATAAGGTACAATGTCAATGTCGGTTAATGAGTCATTCATTAGAGCGGTCCAATTTCCTAGGACATATCTCTACAGGAGTAACGTGTGAGCAGAGAGCGGGGGAAGGGGGGACGGAAATATAGGGCATCATGACACTCCATGCAGCGCAAGACGAACTGCTCGCCTATCATTTCTTGGTGCAGAGCACAGCGAAGAGGCCTTAGCCATAAAAAGCATTGTGGTGCAGCAAATGAAAGCGCAGGCGAAGCATTTCCGAGAGTTGGAGCTATTCGACTGCCTCAGAATATGGCAGACTCTGGAGCCTGAGCAGAAAGTTAGTACTGGTTACGTACTTAATTCGTTCCGGAGGTCCGTTCTTAACCTGAAACTGTTCTTAACCTGAAGCACCCCTATAGCTAATGGGGTCTCCTGCTGCTGCCGCGCCACAGGAGCAAAATTTCTGTTCTCATCCTGAAGCAAAATTCTTTACCCGAGGTAATATTTCTGGGTTAGCAGAGTCTGTAACCTGAAGCATATGTAACCTGAAGCGTCTGTAACCTGAAGCGTATGTAACCCAAGATACCACTGTACAGTGGTACCTCGGGTTAAGAACTTAATTTATTCTGGAGGTCCATTCTTAACCTGAAACTGTTCTTAACCTGAGGTACCACTTTAGCTAATGGGGCCTCCCACTGTGGCCACGTGATTTCTGTTCTCATCCTGAAGCAAAGTTCTTAACCTGAGGTACTATTTCTGGGTTAGTAGTCTATAACCTGAAGCGTCTGTAACCTGAGGTACGACTGTACCTTTCTCCCCCAAAAAAGGCACCTGGAGACAAGTTGGATGTAAAAAAAGGCTGAGTCCCCACACACACACACCCATCCCTGATTTCATGGAGCCCAGAGCTGGCCCACCCATGAGGCAAGGTGAGGGGACTGCCTCATGCGGCAGGATCCACAGAGGCAGCAGATCTGGCTTCCAAGGAATGCATTTGGCCCTCAAAAGACTACCCAGAAGGAACTGCGGCCCTCGGACAGGAAAAGGTTCCCCACCTCTGGAATCAATCCCATGACCTGGCAGTAGGTAGATTCCAAGGGAGTGTGTCATTGGCAGAAAGGCATAACAGGATCCAGTGTCGCCTTTATGTGTGTGTGTTAAGAGTGGCAAATTTAATGTCATGCCTGAAGGAAGCCAGGAAGAAAAACCAGTGGAGGGAGAGGCAAATGCATGTGAGGGTGTAATTACATTGGGATGGGGGGTGGGATTTCTCCTCCTCCTCTAACATCAAGACTCCAGAAGCCAGCTTTGTCCCTGGGCGGGGAAGATGGAAAACTGTGATGGACTTTGTCCCAAGACGTAACAACCAGCCACACCTCTGAAGGGTGAAATCAGCGCTTTCCTGTGCAGCCTTCCAGCTCTTCCTCGTTCCCCCATGCCAGATTCCTCTGCCTTAAAGCAAAGGAGGGGAAGGCGTCGGGAGTTGATTTAGGGTCACGCCAAGGTCATAGAATAAGAGAATCATAGTGTTGGAAGGGACCCAAAGGGTCCTCTAGTCTAACCCCCTGCAATGCAGGAATCTCAGCTAAAGCATCCTTGACAGATGACCATCCAGCCTCTGCTTCAAAACCTCCAAGGAAGGAAAGTCCACCACTTCCTGAGGGAGAATGTTCCACATTCAAACAGCTCCTACGGTCTGAAAGTTTTTTCTGTATGTTTAGTCTTAATCTCCTTTCTTGTAACTTGAAGCCATTCGTTCGAGTCCTACCACCCAGAGCAGAACAAAACAAGCTTGTTCCCTCTTCCATGTGGCAGCCTTTGAGATATTTGAAGATGGGTATTGTATCTCCTCTCAGTCTCCTCTTTTCAGGTCTAAACATACCCAGCTCCTTCAACCGTTCCTCATAAGGCTTTGTTTTGAGACACTTGATCATCTTGGTGGCCCTCCTCTCTGCACACGGTCCTTCTCACTGTGCATTCATTATGATTATCACAATGAGCTGGAGGCGGTTGAATGCCACCACCGTTCCAGGTTGGCCCATCAAGTCCAGCATCCTGTTCTCACAGTGGCCAGCCAGAGGTCCGCAAGCAGGTCCTGAGACCACCAGCACTCTGCTCACCTGTCATTCCCAGCAAAGGGCATTCAGAAGCCTGCTGCTCTGACAGCAGAGGTAGAGCACAGCCATGGTGGCCCATAGCCAAGACCTCCTCAACCACAGAGTTACTGATCCCACAGCCAGGTGGTGGGCAGCCAAATCTCAGCATGGGTGCAGGTCCTCCAACTGATGGAAACTTACAGGCAATATCTCAGAAAATGGTGGGTCTCTCCTTCGTGGGAGGTTTTTAAAGAGAGGTAGGCTGGCCACCTGCCAAGGATTCCTTATCTGTCATCCCTGAACTGCAGGGGGTTGGACTAGATGACTCTTGGGGTCCCTTCCATCTCTCCACTTCTATGATGCCATTAATACAGCTGGTTGCCTATAGCCAGAGCAGCGAATTTTGAGACCCGCCACATCCAACTGCCACACTGGTCTCAGTGTGGCTTCTGTTATCCCACAGCACCCTCTGCTGTTTGCAAGAGGCCAAGCATGCAGACTTTATTTAATTTTTTACAGATGATTATGATGGTGATGGCGATGGCGATGACTATTACCCTCCATTCACCCTAAGTCCCAGGGCGGGTTGCAGTAACTGTTAAAAACACATACTCAGGAGGTTGTCTTATCAACTCATGACCATTAATCCATTCAGCTCAGTACAGAGGTACCTCGGGTTAAGAACTTAATTTGTTCTGGAGGTCCATTCTTAACCTGAAACTGTTCTTTACCTGAGGTACCACTTTAGCTAATGGGGCCTCCCGCTGCCGCCGCCGCACAATTTCTGTTCTCATCCTGAAGCAAAGTTCTTAACCCGAGGTGCTATTTCTGGGTTAGCGGAGTCTGCAACCTGAAGCGTTTGTAACCTGAAGCGTCTGTAACCCGAGGTACCCCTGTACTGTCACTACTGACTGGTGGTGGCTCTCTAAGATATCAGACCAGGCTCTCATCCAGCCCAGCCTGGAAACAACAAGAGTTGAACCTGGTACCTTCTGTATGCAAAGGAGTTGCTCAGCTACTGAGCAACAGCCATTCCCTGTGCATTGAGAAGCCATCAAATTAGGTCTCTTCCCCTGCCCCCAACACACACACACACACACTTCCAAAATGACAGAGAGGTTTGCAAGACTTGCAGTTGTGATCAAAGTTTGCTGCACACTCTTTTTACGGCTGTTGAAGAAACTGTTAAGCAGAGAGGCAGATGAGAATTCATAAAGGAATGTCAACAAGCTGCAAGATTTCCAGGCACCCCTAACAGGAGGGTCCTGTCAGCTGTTCTAGGATATAGGTAAAGGTAAAGGGACCCCTCCCAGCAGATGTCAAGGCAATAAACAACTATTTTACTTTTAAAAGACAACTGAAGGCTGTTTAGGGAAGTTTTTAATGTCTGATGCTGTATTGTTTTTAATATTCGGTTGGAAGCCGCCCAGAGTGGCTGGGGAAACCCAGCCAGATGGGCGGGGTATAAATAATAAATTATTATTATTATCATCATCATCATCATCATCATTATATAATAACCTAACTGGGAGGGCCCCAAGGTTCTCCACTGAAAGTTAGACACCCAGTCATCAGCGAGGGAGGGAGGGAGAGGACACCTTCGCACCTGATTTATGGACGCTCCGGAGGCAGGAGAGGGAGGCGTTGAGTCTTGCGCATTCTTCCTGGTTGGCCCCAAACTTCTTCACCGTCATGCAGACCTGCTCATCCGTCATCTCCAGAAGGTCCTCCAGGTTCAACTGGCCGGGAGTTATTTCCTAGAGGGAGGAAGGAGGAAGGCAAGTGTCATAAGAAGAAGGAAGAGAGTCTCATCAGGCCAAGCGAATCTGCCAGAGATCAACAACTCAATCGCATCCTCCTGAAATGTAAAGGGTTGCAGCCAAATAAATCCTACTCAATAAAGACCCGCTGGGATTAATGGTCCTGTTTGAATCAGGTTCCTTCATTCCAATGGGTTTGTTGAGAGGAGGACAAATTTTGGGTGCAATTTCTTATATGAATATTGAGGCAGACAGGTGCTTTGTGTCACCGGCATAAGCAAATGTCTGGCTCTTCTAAGTCTTTATAGAACCTCTGTTATTGATCCTGTGGAACTCACAGGTGGAGAAAACTCTCATTTTTACATACCTTTGTTATTAGTAAAGGGAACCTTTGAATGAGTTAACACTTTATTATCCCTTTAGAACCACACTGTATTTTTGGACTTCTGTCCCTCCAGGCTGTGTTGCTTTATGGTTTACATTTTTTTAATCTTTTGTTTTTGTTTTGTAGGCACAAAACCAGGCAAAAATTAAATGGTAATATTGGATACAACCCAGGGCAAACGGGGCGCTGCCCCAACAAGTTCGGCCTGCCCTTAGCCAGTCCCTACCTACCTGCCTGCCTGACTTCTTATTTACAGAACATCCAGGGCAGGGACCTTGCCTGGCAGCTTCCTCCCCACTCCCCACTCCATCTCAGTGCTACCCCAGCAGGGAGGATGGGATCAAAACTGGAATTAAATTGGCCTTTGTCTTTAGCGCCACCTACTGTTGGTCTAAGGGACGTGGGTGGTGCTGTGGTCTAAACCACAGAGCCTAGTGTTAAGTTGTGGGTGAACATATCAGATGACACAGCAATTCTTCAAACATCTCTTGTTTATTCACAGGCCAGGACAGAACTGAACTGAAGGGTTCAGTCAGCCTGCTTATATAGAGCTCCAGTACAACGTTACTGTAACAACTTTCTAAAACTATCCAATCACTGAACGTCACTTTCAATCCCTTATTTGCATAACTTTCTACAGTATTCCCCTGCTGGCCCAGGGTGAGAACTTCAGTACATAACACCTAGGACTTGCCGATCAGAAGGTCGGTGGTTTGAATCCCCGCGACGGGGTGAGCTCCCGTTGTTCAGTCCCTGCTCCTGCCAACCTAGCAGTTCGAAAGCATGTCAAAGTGCAAGTAGATAAATAGGTACCGCTCCAGCGGGAAGGTAAACGGAGTTTCCGTGCGCTACTCTGGTTCGCCAGAAGCGGCATAGTCATGCTGGCCACATGACCCGGAAGCTGTACGCCAGCTCCCTCGGCCAGTAAAACGAGATGAGCGCCGCAACTCCAGAGTCGGCCACGACTGGACCTAATGGTCAGGGTTCCCTTTACCTTTACCATTGGTCTCCATGCCTTGCACCCTACCAGCTCCAAGAAGCACCTGCTCCCAGTCACTGCTACTACCAACACAAGGCTTTCCTTAAGGGGTGATCCAGTTATATATATTGGTCTATTGATTTGATTTAAGACGTGCTTATGAATGCAATTGTATTATTGATTTTTAAGATGTTCACCACTGTTTTTTCTCTCTCTCTCTCTTAACACTAGCAGTCTAGACATCTTTGCAAATAAATAAATAAACAAATAACTGGGAAGAGCCTTGCTGCTGGTTCTTTCTTTTTTCTTTTCTTTTTTCTTTTTTGAGTTTATGCTTTATTTTACACATCAAGAAAAAACAAACAAAAGAAAATCGTACATTTACATCACCCGCCACCTCAAATACAAAATAAACGAAAAAGTAAATTCTTATGTTTCGTCATTAAATCTTCGTTAGTGAGTATAACAGACCCTCCGAGTGCCCCTGTTTTTCAGGGACAGTCCCAGAATTACAGAAGCCATCCCAGCTTCTGATTTGATCTTGGAATGTCCCGCTTTTCCTTAGAATGTCTCTATTTTCATCAGAGAAATGTTGGAGGGTACGGAGTTGAGACCCGCAAGCTAAGGAGACAACAACCTTTAGAAGACATCTGAAGGCAGCCCTCTACAGGGAAGTTTTTTAATGTTCTATTATGTTTTTATATATGTTGGAAGCCGCCCAGAGTGGCTGGGGCAACCCAGTCAGCTGGGCAGGGTATAAATAATAAAATTATTACTATTATTATTATTACAGTCAAACCTCAGTTGTCAAACATAATCCATTCTGGAAGTCCGTTCAGCTTCTGAAATGTTCAACAACTGAGGCACGGCTTCCGACTGGTTGCAGGAGCTTCCTGCACTCAAGCGGAAGCCGTGTCAGACGTTCAGCTTCCAAAAAACGTTCAGAAACTGGAGCATTTACTTCCAGATTTTTTGGCATTCGGGAGCCGAAACACTCGAAAACAAAGGCGTTTGTGATCCAAGGTTTGACTATATTATTATTATTATTATTATTATTATTATTAAATAGGATGTCACTGTTTTTATTGGAGAAATGTTGGAGAGTATAAACACGCTGCTTTTCTCTATGGATCTTAAAATGTTTTCATCTGTGCTACACATTTAAAGCAGTGTCGTACCATTTTAAATAGTCTTGGCTTCCTCCCAAGGATTCCGGGAACTGTAGTTTGCTAAGGGTGCTGAGAGTTGCTAGGAGATCTCTGTTCCCCTCACAAGAGCTACAATTCCCAGAGCTACCTGGAAGAGGGAGAGATTGTTAAACCCCTCTGGGAACTGTAGCTCTGTGAAGGGAACAGGGTGTGGGGAGTCTCCTAACAACTCTCAGCACCTGTAACAAACTACAGCTCCCGGGATTCTCTGAGGGAACCCAGGGCTGCTTTCAGGGGTACAATGCCGCTTTAAACGTGCGCTGCAGATGGAGCCAAGGTAAGTAACAGATTCAATATTGATGAAGTTTCTATTCCTAGAAATAGCCAAGGGCCAGCAATCCCATGGAAATGGTCGGTGCGCCTTTGCACCTCGGGGCAATTTAAGGCGCTGCGGGGGTGGGCAAGATCGCTCCCAGGTACTGGGCTCTTTAAGAGACTTTTGCAAAAAAGCAAGAAGCCAAGAAGGTATTAACGAGTTGCATTTCTGAATGTGACATCAAGCTGTTCAGTCACTTGCTCGGTTGCCAAGGGCAACTGAGAGTTTTCTCTGGGTAGCAAAGATTACCTGGTGACATCGCGAACAGCTCTCCTGCGAAATAAGCGTAACCTTGCCCTATGGGGCTCCTGTGGGGCTCGGGCAGAATGGTGGTTTCAGATATTTGAACTGCAGTGCAGATATATTGATTGAAAGTTTGTACTGCATTGTAACTTTCGAATAAATGGTTTTTTAAAAAAGAGAAAGAGAGAGAGATTTGAACTGAACAAAAGATCTTTCGTTGAAACCGCAATTATACATAACAATGCAAAGATCCCAACTAAACGCAAAGGAGATTCCGACTAAACATCAGGAAGAACTTTCTGACAATAAGATCTGTTCGACAGTGGAAAGGTCTCCCTTGGGAGGTGGTAGACTCTCCTTCTTTGCGGGGTTTTAAGTAGAGGTCAGATGGCCACCTGTAATGTATGGTGTAGTTGAGATTCCTGAATTATAGGGGGTTGGGCTAGATGACCCTTGGGGTCCCTTCCAACTCTACAATTTTATGATTCTAAGAGGCCCCATTGCAGTTCAAGGACACATTTGAGCCATTAACTGTGCATATTAAATAATATTAACTATATAGTGGTACCTCGGATTAAGTACTTAATTCGTTCCAGAGGTCCGTTCTTAACCTGAAACTGTTCTTAACCTGAAGCACCACTTTCGCTAATGGGGCCTCCTGCTGCTGCCACGCCGCCGGAGCACAATTTCTGTTCTCATCCTGAAGCAAAGTTCTTAACCTGAAGCACTATTTCTGGGTTAGCAGAGTCTGTAACCTGAAGCATATGTAACCCGAGGTACCACTGTATTGCGAGCAGCTTTGATTTACAATACGGAAATAAAAATTCAGTGTGCAGCCCCTGGGGTCTGTCTGTTGTTGTTTTTACTATTAATGATAATATTTTATTAAGAAAATTTCATCTATAAAAAGATAGAGTGTGGGGGGAAAGAAAGAAAGAAAGAAAGAAAGAAAGAAAGAAAGAAAGAAAGAAGTGAGTGAGATTTAAAAAAATAAACAATACTATCTGTGTCGAAGGACTCTTGCTGCCTGCTTGGTCAGAGAGGTTGGGCTGCCCGACCCTGGAAGACAAGACAAAGCAGGGCTAAAGAGGGGCAGGACCTGGGCAGAGTCCCAAGGGCCTGATGAAAATGCGTGGATGGCCACTGTTGGTCCATCGAGCTCAGGACTGTCTGCACAGACTGGCAGTAAAGTTACAGACAAGGGTCTCTCTGTCAGCCCTAGCAGGAGATGCCTTCAGGGTCTGAACTTGGGAACTTCTGCATGCAAACAGATGCTCTTCTGCTGAACTGCGGCTTTTGGTGTTTCCTGGGTATTATCAGAAGCGGTTTATAGTTTCAAGATTTGCTTACCACAGGTAAAAGACTAGGCAGGCCGGGCCATCCTCTTATATACAGTGGTACCTCGGGTTACATGCGCTTCAGGTTACAGACTCCGCTAACCCAGAAATAGTGCTTCAGGTTAAGAACTTTGCTTCAGGATGAGAACAGAAATCATGTTCTGGCGGCGCGGCAGCAGCAGGAGGCCCCATTAGCTAAAGTGGTGCTTCAGGTTAAGAACAGCTTCAGGTTAAGAACGGACCTCCGGAACGAATTAAGTACTTAACCCGAGGTACCACTGTACCTGCTGGGAGTGACCCTCACCTGAATCCCATAGCTCTCCTGTAGCTGCCTCTGATTAGTTATCATTTAATTCTTGGGGGAAATAATTAGCATCACACGTCATGTGCATGGAAGTTGCCGCACCAATTAACCAACTAGAAGGATTACTGTTAATAGCACCAGTTTTCCTATAACTTGATATTGCTGGATACTTTCAAGGGTAGAGCATCTGCCTTGCTCACAGAAGGTCCCGTTCAACTCTCAGCATCTTCCGTTAGGGCTAGGAATGTCCCTTGCCCCAAACCCTGGAGAACCGCTGCTGCCGGTCAGAGTTGTCTGTATTGAGCTAGATGGACCAAGGGCCTGGCTAAGGCAGCTTCCTATGGTCCTACAGTTTATCGCTTTTCAGATTTTCCACTGAGAAAGTGACCCAACATAAAAAGAAAAATCCAATCCTATTTCTCATTTAGCTCCCTTTAATGCTAAAAAAAAGAGGAGGTGTTTTAGTCAGGAGCTGCCAACTATAGCCTACGTATATGACCTAGATCAGGGGCGTCCATCTTCCAAGAGTCTGTATTAAAAAAACTGGCAGTGATCTACCCATTGTCAGAGTTGTTGAGCTCCTTTTAGGAAGCCAAAGTTATTTTTCCTCGTGGAAAAATACTCACAGAGTTAAGCAATGCTGCCCTCTTGTGGACCTGTGGAGACAGTGCACCAAAGAAGTGTGACCGCACTTCAGGGTCTGAAATTGGAAGGAGAGTGTGGCTTATATTCGGGAGTGCTTCCTTTTATTCGTCTCTTACCTTAAAAGAGGGATTTGATCAGAGAATATATAAAAGTAATAAAACCGACAATCATTTTGATAAAGTGGATACAGTACTAGTACACTCAAGCACCAGTAATCAATGGCCGGTTGTCATCTGTCGAGCAAGCTTCAAATCATAAGGGGACAGAGAGAAGAAAGGTGACTGGCTGAGTAGTAGAAAAAGAAGAAGAAGAGTTTGGATTTGATATCCCGCTTTATCACTACCTGAAGGAGTCTCAAAGCGGCTAACATTCTCCTTTCCCTTCCTCCCCCACAACAAACATTCTGTGAGGTGAGTGGGGCTGAGAGACTTCAAAGAAGTGTGACTGGCCCAAGGTCCCCCAGCAGCTGCATGTGGAGGAGCAGAGACACGAACCCAGTTCCCCAGATTACGAGTCTACCGCTCTTAACCACTACACCACACTGGTAGATGCTGCTGCTTCCATAGGTGGGTTCTGCTGAGTCATTGTATATTCATATCTCAAAAACTGCTTCCTGGGAGAGTCAGCAGAAATTGTAGTTTGGAAAAGAGACAGGGTTTGCCAACTGGCCATATATTGGTCTCCTTTCGTACCTTTCAAAAAGGAGCAGCATGTGGAGATCTGCCAGTGAAATATTTGGATGGATTTAAACATGATCATGTACTCATTACTGGAGATCAAACTACTGTTAGAGCAGGCATAGGCAAACTCGGCCCGCCAGATGTTTTTGGACTACAGTTCCCATCATCCCTGACCACTGGTCCTGTTAGCTAGGGATCGTGGAAGTTGTAGTCCCAAAGCATCTGGAGGGCTGAGTTTGCCTATGCCTGGGTTAGAGTAATTCAATATACGGCAATCCTAGCAACAGTTCTTTGTAACCACATACCACATTGTGGATTTTGGCCCTAATGAAGTTTTTATGTTACAAAAAGGAAAAACAAAAAGAAGAAATGAAGTGTAAAAGTGGGTTATATGATAGACCTTTAGCCTGCCAGGCCTTTTTATATGGATGCTTTGGGCTGAATGATGGAATAAGGGTGATGGGATACGGTTGGGGTCCGTGTTCCTACTTCTTCCTTCTATGCTTTGTGGACAGTGTGGACCTGTTTAGCGTTGTGGGAATTTTCCTTAGTTTGTTTTGGAGGAACAGGTAGTGAAGATGTTTCTGATTTTATCTATCTCCATGTGCACCCATTGTTTACCCCCCCCATCTCCCTCTCTTTCCCTTCCAACCACATGACGTCTATTGACAATAGCGTCTCATAAAGCAACTGTGGAAAAGACTCTATGAATCGAAAGGGGAGATGCTAGATGTATTTTTCCTTGTTTATTAGGCTGTTTTGTAACACAATACAATATTTAATACAGTGGTGCCTTGGTTGTCGAACGTAATCCGTTCTGGAAGACCGTTCGACTTCCGAAATGTTCGAAAACTGAGGCGCAAAGGGCAGTCTGCCAAGTCAATGGATAAAGCGGGGGGGCACACACTCAACGAAAGCTGTTCGACTTCTGAGGCGCATTTGAAAACAGAAGCATTTACTTCCGGGTTTTCGGCGTTAGAAAACCAAAAGGTTCGGCTTCCGAGATGTTCAACAACCGAGGTACCACTGTAAAAACTTTTTTAAAAAACAAGAAACATAAGTGAAGTGAAGGTTTGCAGAGAACCTCAGTTTCTCAGTGAGCTTTCAACTGCCTCTACTTTAGGTAAAGGTAAAGGGACCCCTGACCATTGGGTCCAGTCGTGACCGACTCTGGGGTTGCGGCGCTCATCTCGCTTTACTGGCCGAGGGAGCCAGCGTACAGCTTCCAGGTCATGTGGCCAGCATGACTAAGCTGCTTCTGGTGAACCAGAGCAGCGCACGGAAACGCTGTTTACCTTCCCGCCGGAGCGGTACCTATTTATCTACATGCACTTTGAGGTGCTTTTGAACTGCTAGGTTGGCAGGAGCAGGGACTGAGCAACGGGAGCTCACCCTGGCGCGGGGATTTGAACCACCGACCTTCTGATCGGCAAGTCCTAGGCTCTGTGGTTTAACCCACAGTGCCACCCGCGTCCCCCGCCTCTGCTTTACATCACCTAATTAACTAACTAAACTAATTAAAACACCTCAGCACTGTGAGCTCACAGCACATGATTCTTCCACTGTGCTTCTTAGCGACCCCAGTTTGGTCCCTGTCTTATTGCACTTTCTCCAAAAAGGAACGATTCGTAGAGCACCATCAAAAGCACACAGAACAGAGGAAGGGGAGGAGGGGGGCTGGAGGGACAAGAAGCTGGAGGAGGGAGGCCAGGGAAGAGGCAGGGGCCAACCCCTCCAAGACCCCGTGCGCAGCTCACCTCCATGACCTCCTTGCGGACGTTGACGATGCGGAACCAGTGCAGGAGCTGCGGGAAGCCCTCAAGCTTGTCATTGCGTTCCTGAAGGGCCACTTTCCTCTTGCACGAGAGCTGGCGGCTGAAGTACTTCACCAGTTTGCTCTGGAAAACAGAAAGGGTTGGGAAGAGACAGGAGGTAGGCGGAGTCAAGGCAGCTGTCTGTCAGGAGATCCCGCCCATCCCCTAGGCATGTTCCCCCCTCCTCTCCCCACCATGCTCCCTTCTGCACCCTCTAGCAGTTTGCAGCCTGGCCCCCAATGAATCACACCTGCAGGTGTCGCCGCCATTTATTTATTTCTTTCAAATGTTTTCCGTAAATAAATAAAAGTGGTACACAGCGGTATATTGCCACTGACAGTGGGGGCAGAATCTAGCCGCCATGGCTAGTAAGGAGTGGGGGCAGACCCAAAAGTGGTTACGAGGAGAGTCATGGAACTATAGAACTGTAGGGATGGAAGGATCAACAAGTTCAAGTCCCTGCAATTCAGGAATCTTTTGCCCAATGACTCGAACCCGTGACCCTGGAATTAAGAGTCAATCATACACCACACACTTATTTTATTTCCCATGGAAACGGAAGCATATATTTCATTCTTGGTAATTTTGCTCACATTTACCACACCACTTTCTTCATAGGCTCCTTTCTTTCTTTCTTTCTTTCTTTCTTTCTTTCTTTCTTTCCTTTTCTTTTACAAAGATTTTTTTTTTTAATAAAAAAGAACTCAGAAAGCCCAACAGGTAAATGCAAATAAGATCCAGGCACAACAGAGTTACAAACTCTGTGTTCCAGCTATTTCAAATCTCAGAGATCCCCTTTCATAATGCAATAATGTATTATATTATTATTATTATTATTATTATTATTATTATTATTATTATTATTATTGCAAAAGGATTTAAGCAAAAAAAACCCAACAACACTTCCTAGTCACTGTCCTTTTTGAAGCAGACTGAAAAAGGTATTTCGTTTTGTTGTTGTTAAGCCAGCCTATTGCACAAAGGCAAAAATTTGCCCTCATCGCTCTAACTCCTTTTGCCTCTGGCCAAGCCCAACACTGGCACGCAGGCTCACAGAGTTGACCAAAACTTACATAAGTTTGTAAGAGGAGCCTGCTGGATCCAGCCAGTGGCCCATCTAGTCCAGCATCCTGTTCTCTCAGTGGCCAACTAGATGTCCCAATGGGAAGCCCTGCAAACAGGACCCAAACACAAGAACACTCTTCCCTCCTGCGGTTTCCAGCTACGGATATTCAGAGGCACTGTTGCCTCTGACAGTGGAGGTATAGAGCATAGCCTTTTCCTCCAGGCAGACTGGTGACTGGGAGCAGCCACCAAGACCACATAACACCGGTCTTAAAAGACCTACATTGGCTCCCAGTATGTTTCCGAGCACAATTCAAAGTGTTGGTGCTGACCTTTAAAGCCCTAAACTGCCCCCGCCCAGTACACCTGAAGGAGCGTCTCCATCCCCATCGTTCAGCCCGGACACTGAGGTCCACCTCCGAGGGCCTTCTGGCGGTTCCCTCACTGTGAGAAATGAGGTTAAAGGGAAGCAGGCAGAGGGCCTTCTCGGTAGTGGCACCCGCCCTGTGGAACGCCCTTCCATCAGATGCCAAAGAAATAAACAACTATCTGACTTTTAGAAGACATCTGAAGGCATCCCTGTTTAGGGAAGCTTTTAATGTTTGATGCATTACTGTATTTTAATATTGTGTTGGAAGCCGCCCAGAGTGGCTGGGAAAACCCAGCCAGATGGGCGGGGTATAAATAATTTATTATTATTATTATTATTATTATTATTAGTCCAATCCCTCATTTAAAGCCATCCAAATCGATGGCCGTCTGTGTCCTGCGGCAGCGAGTTCCACAGTTTAACAACATGCCACACGCATGGATAAGTCCTTTCTTTTATCCGCCCTTAAACCTCCAGCATTTAGCTTGTCCACAGTCCAAGTGCTATGAGAGGGGGAGAAAAACTTCTCTCCATGCTGGGCATCATGAACCCGTCAACGGCATCCCTGCTAAGTTGCAGCTCACCATTCCTGACACAAGGTGGCACTGCGTTGTATATCCAGGGGTGTCTGCCTCTTCATCCTTTTTCGTAGCCTTGCTGGTTCTTCCCCTGCAGAGACACCAAAGGGTGTCCCATAGCAGCGCCCCAAAAGATAGATAAAACTTTATTTGCATTAGCCAATGGCCATAGCAACAGTAAAACATCACAGTATACGCAGAAAAGTAAATTTGATATAAGAGCACAATTTAAATCAGCCGTCAGTTAGTGGCCCTTATTCTGATTGCTCCTGCTATGAACCTAGCCACCTTTGCTGTTATCTGCTCATTTTGATCTGACAGAAGAAAGGACATTGTGGCAGTGGTTGAGCGCCCTGGGATGGTTAGTACGAGTGGGGTGATGATCTTGTTCCTCGGGTCTTTGTAGAGAGTACAGTGGTACCTCGGGTTAAGTACTTAATTCGTTCCGGAGGTCCATTCTTAACCTGAAACTGTTCTTAACCTGAAGCACCACTTTAGCAAATGGGGCCTCCCGCTGCCGCCGCGCCACTGGCGCATGATTTCTGTTCTCATCCTGAAGCAAAGTTCTCAACCCGAGGTAATATTTCTGGGTTAGCGGAGTCTGTAACCTGAAGCGTATGTAAACTGAAGCGTATGTAACCCGAGGTACCAGTGTACAAGACAGGAGGACGTGTGCTCCCCAAAAGAATAACTGTCAGGTTGTGGGCCGAATACGACTTCACCAGGTGTGTGTTGGCAGATGCTGACACAGGGATGAGGAACTTCAGGTCTGGGGTGGGGTGGGGGGGATGTGAATGTGGCCCTCCAGTACTCTCTGCTCGGACCCTCAGGACTCTTCCCAGGCCACAACTCTCACTGGTGCTGCTCAGAGTCTTTGCCTGGCTGAAATATGACCCATGAACTGTGATAACGCCTCTTGCTTGCTTGCTTGCCTGGATGGAGGAGGGAGAGAGGTTTTCCTTTATGAGGTAATTATCTGTAGAAACCTCTGGTTTCTGTGTGGCTTGAATGTCACCTACCATACGAAAGGTAAAGGGTTGTGTCCGTTGTTCTGCCAGGCAAACGGAGCAATGCTCTGCCAATCTCTTTTTCTTTTTTAATATATTTTTATTGAGTTTTACATTAAAAAATAAAATTCAAACTAAACAACCACCTCATTGTTTAGGATTCCCTGAATCCTTCGACTCCCCTCCACCCTTCCAGGGTTACCATTATCAATATGTTTTTCCCCCCAACTGCTTTTCTTACTTTCTCTTTTTTTTTTTTTTAAGAAAAAATAATTCATTTTTACGATAGTTTTTCGTACATTACAAGCATTACTCAAATCCTGCCAAAGTTTTTAGTTGTTTACAGTGTTCTCTTAAATACATTATAAATTTTTCCCATTCCTTCTCAAAGTTCTTCTCTTCCTGGTTTCTGATTTTCCCAATCAGTTTCGCCATTTTGGCATAGCCCATCATCTTCATCAGCCATTTGTCTCTGGTTGGCACTTTAGCTACAGAGATTCCAAAGGAGCAGAAACGATTATTTATGTATGCGATGACAGCAGCGCAGACACTATTGGCTCAGAGATGGAAAGATGCCCCACCAATCTCAGTGTTGATTCCTCCAAATGTTTCCAGCCAGGGTAATCCTGGCTGTTAGCTTCTCATTAGGTGGGATATAAACCATATATATACATATATATATATATATATATATATATATATATATCTTGCTGTGCTTTCCAGTCCCCCACTCTCTTCATCTTTTGCACCATCTCTTCCCTGTCGTAACGATGCTGTTCCAACCTCACATGCCAACTTGCTGCCATCATGCTTTGCCCATAGCTTGGGGAGCTCCTGCCATTTTCCTTTTCCTGGTTCTGTCATGCAAGCAAGTGAATACGCCAGCATGAAACCACCTCAGTTGGAAATTCGCTGGAAAGTTTGATTCTATTAGCTGAGGCCTCATTTGAGACAATGGTTTCCTTTCCTGTTCCTCCCTTCTTAGAATCATATAATTGTAAAGTTGGAAGGGCCCACAATGGTCATCTGGTCCAACCCCCTGCAATGCAGAAATCTGTTGCCCAACATGGGGCTTGAACCCACAACCCTGAGATTTTCATGCTCCACCGACTGAGCTATCACTCCTGTCTCGCTCCCAGTCAATAATCAAGCCACGACCCTGAGATTGACTCCCCCCATCACCTTGCATGTATATATGTGGACACAGATGAAGGCACAGTCTGAGGCAGGGGTCTGCAACCTTTTTCAGCTGTAGGCCCGTCCACCGTCCCTCAGACCATGTGGGGGGCCGGACTATATTTTGAAGGGGGAAAAAATGAACGAATTCCTATGCCCCACAAATAACCCAGAGATGCATTTGAAATAAAAGGACACATTCTACTCATGTAAAAACACGCTGATTCCTGGACCGTCTGCAGGCTGGATTGAGAAGGTGATTGGGCCACATCCTGCCCCCAGGCCTTAGGTTGCCTACCCCTGGTCTGAGCTGTTTACTTGTGGAAAATTACCCCAGTACTTGGGCCTCATTCCAGTATACCTGAAGGAGCGTCTTCACCCCCATCATTCAGCTCCGAGGGCCTTCTGGCGGTTCCCTCACTGCAAGAAGTGAGCAGGGAACCAGGCAGAGGGCCTTCTTGGTAGTTGCGCCCGCCCTGTGGAATGCCGTCCCATCAGATATAAACCAACTATTTGACTTTTAGAAGACACCTGAAGGCAGGCTTGTTTTGGGAAGTTTTTAATGTTTGATCTTTTATTGTATTTTTAATATCCTGTTGGAGGCCGCCCAGAGTGGGCAGGGTATAAATTATTATTATTATTATTATTATTATTATTATGTACTGCTCCATCAGAGGGCGAATCCTGCCACACCACCATCCTCAGAGGATAAGTCTACTGCAGTATTTTCATTTCCCAAACCTTGCTGAAGCCACAGACTGCAAAATCAGGCGGTGCCTCTGTTGCAATCCAGAGATATGGAGCAGAGAACACTCCTGGCCTTCAGGCTACATGGAGTTTTTGGTTACCCTCAGCTCCTTGCTTAGACAACATCTCTGGCAGTGGGGTTCCAGCCTGCAGAGCTCTCTTGCAGCTGTCCAGGGTCCTGTTCCCTTCTGCCTTCTGTGTAAGGGAGCTAACCCTTTAGGGAGGAAGGGGTGGGACAGACATCCAGTGTGGCACAGAGTGTTGAACCTGGAAGGACCAGGGTTCAAATCCCCACTCAGCCATGAAGCTGATTGAAGTGGCCTTGGGCCAGTCACTGCCTCTCAGCCTACCCTACCTCACAGGGTTGTTGTGAGGATAAAATGAGGAGGAGGGAGGAGAACCACTATGAGCTGCTTGGAGGAAAATTGAGATATAAATTTATTAAATAAATGAATAAATAAAATGAATGAATAGATAGATAAAAAAACACTGTCCTCAGAGATCCATCCCTGCAGTGTTTTATTTCTTCATTGTATTCTGTTCTCCTGGCATTGCAAGTCATTTTGGCTATGAGTTGGGATGGGAGAGAAATTCAACTCAGTTCACATTTTAAGGCAATCATAACCCTTAATTTGCAATTTGTAAAACAATATGCAAACTGAAACCCACAGCCGTCCTCTGAAATTCACTCTCCTCTGAATTTTGCAAGGCAGTTCTCTAACCGAGTAACTTGTGCAAATATACATATACTAAAATCCGCACACAAATGAACTTTAGTAGTAATAATAATAATAATAATAAACATGGAAAGATGCATTGCATTAGGAAAATCGTTTTGCAAAAGTGTGTATATCGGGGGAAATTGAATGCAAACAATGTGTATAGGGAGAAATTCACACTTAAAATGCTTATGAATTTTCATGAGGACTTCGTTTTCAAAAAAATTGCAAACTGGTGTGGAAATGTAGAGAACTTAGGATTGGAAAAATGAGAAACCGAAATAGACAGGTTCTCTGTCCATCCCTTGTTATGGGTTTAAACAGAAAAGGAGGGTATGCAAATATTAAGTATAAGTAAAAGCAGACAAAAGCTCTGCAGCCCTTCATGCAGAATAATAGTGGAGCTCATTTCTCCATCTCTTTTGCCCAGGACAAGCCCAGGCTCTCCTCATTTCAAAAGAGCAACCTGCAAGCTGATACCTGAATAGAGATTGTGGCTACGAGGTGATAAGAGAAAATATTTATCCTCAGCCCCCTCTCTGTGTCCCTCAAACAGCTTATTTTCCATGGAGATGTCAGGCAAGGGGGAGAAGGGGGGAGCGGTGTGATGAGAGGGGACAATCAGTAGCTGCTCAACTGCCTCAGGACTCCACAACAGGTTTCCTTCAAGAAAATGGGTCAACGCACCCAGGGGTAGCTGGTGCCCCCTGGAATGGTAGGGCAGAAGGCAGGGAGCCGAACAGCAGGGGGAGCCAGAGCCAATGGCAGGCAGAGGCAGCTAATTCTATTTTTGCCCCCATTCTCCATTCTGTGAGACTGAGGAAGAAGAAGCTGACAACCAGGACCATCCCCTGAGCTGACAACCAGGACCATCCCCTGGGCTGGTTATGAGGAAACCAGGCAGGCTGGTAGGGGCTGGCTGAGGGCAGCGCCCCATCCACGCTAATGCATCAGACTCCATTGAAAGTTTCTCCCTTCTTCACAAATAGGAAAGGGGGGAGCCTTGCCAACCATTGCTACTGTTGTCATCATCATGATCATCATTTATTATTTATACCCCGCCCATCTAGCTGGGCTTTCCCAGTCACTCTGGGCGGCTCCCAGCAGAATATTAAAACCACGATAGAACATCAAACATTTAAAACTTCCCTAAACAGGGCTGCCTTCAGATGTCTTCTAAAAGTCAGATAGTCTTCTAAAAGTCAGAGGTACAGTAGTACCTCGGGTTACAAACGCTTCAGGTTACAGACGCTTCAGGTTACAGACTCCACTAACCCAAAAATAGTACCTCAGGTTAAGAACTTTGCTTCAGGATGAGAACAGAAATCACACGGCACAGGCGCAGAGGCAGCGGGAGGCCCCATTAGCTAAAGTGGTACCTCAGGTTAAGAACAGTTTCAGGTTAAGAACGGACCTCCAGAACTAATTAAGTTCTTAACCCGAAGTACCACTGTATTTCCTTGACATCTGATGGGAGGGTGTTTCACAGGGCGGGCACCACCACTGAGAAGGCCCTCTGCCTGGTTCCCTGTAACCTCACCTCTTGCAGTGAGGGAACCGCCAGAAGGCCTTCGGAGCTGGACCTCAGTGTCTGGGCTGAACAGTGGTGGTGCAAACGCTCCTTCAGCTATACTGGGCCAAAGCCCTGAATCCCTTGGAGATGTCATGGAGGGAATGGTCCAATCCTTGGCAGCAATGGGGGGAGTTGGCACTTGATGACCCAAGGGAAAGTCCCAGTGGGTTGTGGGAGGTGAAACTGGGGCCCCAGGAAGTATCAGGAAGTGAAGGGGAGACAGAGAGTAAGAAGCTGGATCCAAGTAGGTTGACTGAGAAGAGTTCTGCTCCCATAATATCAGGTACCTCCAATTAGATGGTAAGAACACAAGAAGAGCAATGGCCCATCTGTTACGGCATCCTGTCCTCACAGTGGTAGACCAGATGCCCCAAGGGGAAACGTGTAAGCAGGACCTGGGCATGAGATCACTCTCCCTTCCTGTGGTTTCCAGCAACTGGTATTCAGAAGCATTACTGCCTCCAAGTGTGGAGGGATACCATAATAATCCTGGCTTCAATAGCCCTCTCCTCCATGAATTTGTCTAATCCTCTTTTAAAACCCTCAAAGTTCATGGCCACCACTGCCTCCTGCGGAAGAAAGTGTGTTGAACCGTTCCAGGTGCTCTGCAAACGCCATCTTGGCAGTCAAGATAACTCCACAATTAATTGGTTCGCCATGAGCTCATAGATGTTTCTCTTCGTTTGCTTTGATATAGGCTAATTGGCTCCCTTTGATGCTCTCCTTATCTGTGGGCTCGGGGTTGCTGGGCTCTGAGCCCAGAAGGGGGAACTATCTGTAAGATTTGGGTATCTGCCACCTGTGCCCTCCTCTGGACAGATGGAGTGATTGATGGGTAGTCCAATCAAACTGGAGTTTTCTTCTTTGTGTATAAAGAATGCATGGGCGTTTACTTGGGTGGGGACAAGCTTGCTGCGGTGTCTGACCCATGTCAGTAAAGACTAGGAGATCTGGCAGGCTGGTTTGCTGTAAGTCTACACCTTTCTTTAATCAAGCACTAGAACTGATCCCTCTGACGATTTTGGACATCCTTCTTTGGTATCCCTGTACCCAGCCAATCCCTTGAGCCCTCCTTTGGGCCTGTAGATCAGGACAGCAATTTCTCATAGATTAACTCTCCGCCGTGTGGAGCCCTTTCATTTATCTGCCCCAAATCTTCAGCGGCGCCTCCTCCCTCCCTCCTCCTGGCTTCTCCCCGCCCTGCCTAGAGGAGGAAGGGGGCTGGGCTTTGTTGGTGCCAGTAGCAGCAGCACTCGAGTGGCCGCCATTTTAAACAGCCCCTCTCCCTCACCTTTGCTGTGGTTTAAATGCGATATGGCACTACAAACTCTCCAATGGGGGCTGTGCCTTATATATTTTTAGATAGATGATGATGTTGATGATGATGATGATGATGATGAAGAAGAAGAAGAAGAAGATAGATAGATAGATAGATAGATAGATAGATAGAAAGATAGATAGATAGATAGATAGATAGATAGATAGATAGATAGATAGATACAGTGGTGCCTCGCAAGACGAAATTAATCCGTTCCGCGAGTCTCTTCGTCTTGCGGTTTTTCGTCTTGCGAAGCACGGCTATTAGCGGCTTAGCGGCTATTAACGGCTTAGCGGCTATTAACGGCTTAGCGGCTTTAAGAAAAAGGAAACAAACTCGCAAGAACTCGCAAGACGTTTCGTCTTGCGAAGCAAGCCCATAGGGAAATTCGTCTTGCGGAACGACTAAAAAAACGGAAAACTCTTTTGCCTAGAGAGTTTTTCGTCTTGCGAGGCATTCGTCCTGCGGGGCACCACTGTAGATATGGGGGCACGGGTGGCGCTGTGGTCGAAACCACTGAGCATCTTAGGCTTGCCAATCAGAAGGTCGGCGGTTCGAATCCCCACAATGGGGTGAGCTCCCATTGCTTTGTCCCAGCTCCTGCCAACATAGCAGTTCGCAAAGGATCCTGGGAAGTGCAGTTTGTCATGGATGCTGACAGTTGTTAGGATCAGGGGCAGTCGAAGGGGGGTGGGGGTCGTGCTGAGGGGGGTGACATTCAGTACGCTGCCCGCCAGCAACTCCAATCCTACACCAAGCCGTCAGGGGAAGGGGCAGAGCTGTGCTGCCTTGCTCGCGACCTTCCCCCCTTCCCCGACCCTTTTGACAGCTCAGGGGAGGTTTGAGAGTCACGGGTGGGCAGCACGCCATTGCCCCCCCCCCCGCTCCCGGGCTGCTTCCTGGGGGGGGGGATCCTCCCCCGAGCTGTTAAGAGGAAGGGAGAAGGCTGCTGGCAAAGCGGTGCGGCCCGCCATGGGCTGCTCACTCCACCCCCATGGGCGTCTCGCCCCCTGGGACGCTTGCCTCGCCCCCATGGCCCCACCCTTGGGTGCTGGAGCAGCTAGCTCCGCCTCTGGTTAGGATGCCCCTGTTCTCCCCAGAGAATTACAGTTCCTGGAGTGGTTTAACAGTCAGTGCCTCTTCCCAAGGAACTCTGGAAATTGTAGTTCTGGGAAGGGTATAGGGGCTTTGCCTAACAGCTCTCTGCACCCTGGGCAACTACAGTTCCCAGGAGTCTTTGCGGGAAGTCGTTACTGTTTAAAAGTGGGGTGATACTGCTTGAAAAGTATAGTGCAGATGGGGCCTTACCATAGGAAAGGAGGATAAAGCAGTTGCACCTTCGCCTTCATGGGAAAGGTGGGCTGGAGATGTGTAAATCAATGCATTTTGGTTTCTCTCAGTTTCTCCAGTCTTAAGTTCAGTTCTCCACATCCATTTGCATTATTATTATTATTTAAACAACAAAAAAATTCCTCATGAAAATTCATCAGCATTTTAGTGGGAAAACTGCTCTTCAAAAAAAAAAAAAGAGTGCATATTAGGCAAAGTGTCATAGAAACATTTTCACCAAAACGCTGAGGAATTTTCATGAGGAACTTTTAAAATAAATATACCGCAAGCTGCTGTGGGAATATGGGGAATTGAACTCCAGCTTAGGCTGGGGAGATGAAAAACTGAGGCTCCATACACATACCGTACATTTCAAGTGCATGGCTTCCCCCCACAAAGACTCTGGGAACTGTGGTTTACCTCTCACAGAGCTACAATTCCCAGCACCCAACAAACTACCATTCCCTGGATTCTATGAGGAAAAGTAACATGCTTTTAAATGTACGGTATGTGTGTAAACTCAGAGAAAATGAAATCAGTGGATTTGTCCAACCCTAAACTTAAATTAAGACACATTTTCTATTGCATTGTTATCTTCTTTCTAGCCCTCTGTCATCCTTCACTGCTTTTATTGTACAGCAGTAGCCACGGAGTGTAAGGTTCATCTTCCTAAACATAAGAACCTAAAAGCCCCGTTAGATCAAACCAAAACCCTACTTAGGAAGTCTTTCAGGTATTTGGGGTCTGAGTTACTTAGGTCTTTAAACACCAACGTCGTAGCCTCCAATATTTCTCTGATGAAAAAAGGGATGTCCTATTCAATAATAATAATAATGCTATTTATACACTGCCCACCTGACTGGGTTGCCCCAGTCACTCTGGGAGGCTTCCAACATGGATAAAAACATAACAAACCATTTTTGAAAACTTGCCTATATAGGGCTCCCTTCAGATGACTTCTAAAGATTGTATAGTTACATATCTCCTTGGCTCGGGGGCCACATAACTCCATACCCTCCAATATTTATCGGATGAAAATAGGGATGTCCTATGCGGGTGGCGCTGTGGGTTAAACCACAGAGCCTAGGACTTGGTGATCAGAAGATCGGCGGTTCAACTCCCTGCGACGGGGTGAGCTCCCGTTGCTCGGTCCCTGCTCCTGCCAACCTAGCAGTTCAAAAGCACGTCAAAGTGCAAGTAGATAAATAGGTACTGTTCCAGCGGGAAGGTAAACGGCGTTTCCGTGCGCTGCTCTGGTTTGCCAGAAGCGGCTTAGTCATGCTGGCCACATGACCCGGAAGCTGTACGCCGGCTCCCTCGGCCAATAAAGCAAGATGAGCGCCACAACCCCAGAGTTGGCCACAACTGGACCTAATGGTCAGGGGTCCCTTTACTTTTACCTTTACTAGACCCTCCAACATTTCTCTGATGAAAATAGGGATGCGCTAAGGAAACACAGGACGTTCTGGGATCAGATCATGAGACTGGGACAGCTTCTGTAAAACCAAGATTGCCTCCGGAAAATAGGGGCAATGTGAACACCTTGAATTGTGCCCAGAAACAAACCGGCAACCGGCACAGCTGTTAGGAAGCAGGGGCTACATGAGATCTAAATGGATTACCATCCAGTAATCCAAATGCTGCGTTTTGGACCAGCTGAAGTTTCCAAGAGCAGCTCCATGTAGAGCACATACACTCATCCAAACTTAGCATGGAGCACGGAGGACAGTGGCCAAGTCACCTCTGTCCAAGAGGGGTCATAGCTGGTGAACCCGCCGGAAAAGTAAACAATGATTGGGTCACTGCCCCTTTACCTCCATTGCCTACAACTGCTGGAAAAACTAACATGTACTCAGGAGGCAAGCACCACCCCTGTCTCCGTGCTAGCCTGTGTGGACAGCAAGCCCCAGGCATAGGAGAGCCAGTGCGGTATAGTGGTAACAGTGACAGACTAAGACCCGGGAGGCCAGGGTTCAAATCCCCACTCGGTCATAAATCTCACTGGATGACCGTGGGGGCCAGCTGCTGCCTCTCAGCTGCTGCCAGTGTGGTGTAGTGGTTCAGAGAGGTAGACTCGTAATCTGGTGAACCAGGTTCGCTTCCCTGTTCCTCCACCTGCAGCTGCTGGGTGACCTTGGGCTAGTCACACTTCTTTGAAGTCTCTCAGCCCCACTCACCTCACAGAGTGTTTGTTGTGGGGGAGGAAGGGAAAGGAGAATGTTAGCTGCTTTGAGACTCCTTCGGGTAGTGATAAAGCGGGATATCAAATCCAAACCCTTCTTCTTCTCTTCTTCTCAGCCTAACCTCCCTCACAGGGTTGTTGTGCAAAGCGGGCAGAGCTACTTGGCAACGAAATAAATGAGTAAACATGCCCTGCTGAGCTTCAGAGGACCACACTGTGTCAACTCGCTGAAGCAAGAGGTGGTGAGGATGGCATTAAACCTGGTCGCCAGGGAGAGGGACGACAGCTGCACCTCTCTCCCAGTGCCTAGCGCCAGCTAATCGACGGAGCTGCAACTGACGTCAGCCGAGGCTGGAAACTGCTCCCTCGGCCTGCCCTGCTGGGAGATTAAGATCTCGGTAAAACAAAGGAGAAACGCAGGTGGAGAGAAAAATAATAATAATAGTGATAAATTAAAGGCACGGAGCCAGCCGCTCGAGGTGGAGTACAATTGCCCGCCCGTCCCCCACCAGCAGGTCAACCAGCGATTCCGTCAGAGGAGGAGCAGAAATCCAACCCACCTTGGAGAGCTCCCTTGGCAAAGGGAGGCTGCGCTTGAAAGTTTAATGAACGCATATTTCCAACATTAGGTGAGAGCCCGACTATAGTGACAGATGATCCCCAGGACTGTGCCAGGCTCCCAAAAGGACAGCTGGTTGTGTGTCGGAGGGCAGACAAAAGGGAGATGCCGTTTTAACAGGAGTAAGGTCTCTCTTTTGGAGGGGAGGAAGGCAGTCAAACTTGTTTCACCCAAGTACAGTGGTACCTCGGGTTACATACACTTCAGGTTACAGACTCCGCTAACCCAGAAATAGTACCTCAGGTTAAGAACTTTGCTTCAGGATGAGAACAGATATCGTGTTCCGGCAGCGCGGCAGCAGCCGGAGGCCCCATTAGCTAAAGTGGTGCTTCAGGTTAAGAACAGTTTCAGGTTAAGAACAGACCTCCGTAATGAATTAAGTACTTAACCCGAGGTACCACTGTAGTCAGAACCCTTCTTCTGGATCATAGGAAGCTGTCGAGTCAGAGCACAGGCCTATCTAAGCTAGTGCTGTCTACATTGACTGGCAGCAGCTCTCCAGGGTTTCAGAGAGGGTTGTCTGCCAATGCTAGCTGGAAATGCTAGAGATCAAACCTGGGGCTTTCACATCATAGAAGGGACTCTGAGGATCATCTAGTCCAACCGCCTGCAATGTAGGAATAGGCAGCTGTCCCACACGGGGATCGAACCTGCAAGCTTGGCATTATCAGCACCACGCTCTAACCAACTGAGTGAGATGCTCTAACCACTGCACTGCAGTCGTTCCCTTACAGCACACAAACAGAGAAAGCTGCCTTGTATCGAGTCAGGCCCTAGGTCCATCTGGCTTAGTACTGTCTACACTGACTGGCAGCAGCTCTAGAGCGTTTCAGGCAGTCCCAGATGGAGTGGTTGAATCTGGGGACTTCTGCATGCAAAGCAAGCGCTGAGCATCTCGAATGAAAGCAAGAGGTGTGCCCACCAGACACATTCATCGGTGTGCCTCCATCAAAGGAAGATTCCTATGTTCCGATGAACATAGCAACCTCCCCATTAATGCTGAGCTGGACAAACGTATTGGCAAGGCAGCTATGGCATTGGCTCACCTCTCCAAAAAGATATGGGGCAATGTGGTGCTAACAGCCTACACTGGCTCCCAGTACGTTTCCGAGCACAATTCAAAGTGTTGCTGCTGACCTTTAAAACCCTAAACAGCCTCAGTCCAGTACACCTGAAGGAGCGTCTCCACCTCCATCGTTCTGCCTGGACACTGAGGTCCAGCGCCGAGGGCCTTCTGGCGGTTCCCTCGCTGCAAGAAGCCAAGTTCCAGGGAACCAGGCAGAGGGCCTTCTCGGTAGTGGCACCCGCCCTGTGGAACACCCTCCCACCAGATGTCAAAGAGAAAAATAACTACCAAACTTTTAGAAGACATCTGAAGGCAGCCCTGTTTAGGGACGCTTTTAATGTTTAATAGGTTATTGTATTTTAGTGTTTTGTTGAAGCCACCCAGAGTGGCTGGGGAAACCCAGCCAGATCTGCGGGGTATAAATAATAAATTATTATTATTATTATTATTATTATTATTATTATACCAAGATGAAGGTCTACCAGGCTTGTGTGTTGAGCACCCTGCTATATGGAAATGAGTCATGGGCAACTTACACCCACCAGGAGCAACACCTTAACGCCTTCCACGAGCCTGCGTCATGGAGATTTTGGGCATCCAATGGCGCGACAGAATCTCAAACAAAGATGTGCTCTCCCAAGCCCAAATCCCAAGCCTGTTTGCACTCCTGTCTCAGCGACGTCTACACTGGCCTGGTCATGCTCAAAGGATGGAAAATGGCAGGATCCCCAAGGATGTGCTCTGTAGGGAGCTGGCTTCAGGCACTAGGCCTGTTGGCAGACCAGCTCTGTGTTACAAAGATGTCTGACAGCGTGACATGAAGGCAGGAGACATTAACTCTTCTGTATGGGAATCCCTTGCAGATAATCTGGAGGCAGTCGGGTTTTGTATCCACAGTGATGACCAGAGGAGGAATGACTACTGGGAGGACCGCAGAGAGAAGAAATGCCATGGTGTACCTGCAGCAGCAAAACTGGATGCCTTCATCTGCCCCAGCTGCTACAAAACATGTCTCTCCCATACCGGTCTCTACAGCCATAGCAGGGGCAGTAACTCTCTAACGGTTTGACTTTACCCCCAAAGGCACACTCTTCCATTGTCTCCCGAGACAGACGGATGCCAGCAACGTGTATATTTTAGGGCAGGCATCCCCAAACTCAGCCCTCCAAATGTTTTTGGGACTACATTTCCCACCATCCCTGACCACCGGTCCTGTTAGCTAGGGATGATGGGAGTTATAGTCCCAAAACAGCTGGAGGGCCGAGTTTGCGGGTGCCTGTTTTAGGGAGTGGTTGGTCTGCTTCCCTGTCTGTCCATTCTCTGTAGACTCTGTAAACTGTCCAGATATCATTGCTAATCTCAGCACGAGGGTTCCTGAAGTGGGGGTGGCAGTCTTCATCAATATTTGGGCACCGGGCACCATTTTGAATCAAGATGGTGGACCAAAACATGACTTTGGTGTAACTTCACTTATCGGAGGGAGCAAACTATGGGGTCCAAACTACGCTAATTTACGCACCTCCAACTATATTGCCACCCCCTTTGGTGGGTGGGTCTCTGCCAAATCTGTTGTGACGGGTCCAACCTGCATAATTTGGAGGGCTCTGAAAAATCACCACCAACATTTGGCAGGATGGTTCCATCCTACACCAACTTGGCAACCTCTTGTGATATCGTAGCCAGACACGGGATGAAGATTCTCATAGTGGAGGCAGTAAAGATAAGGGACCCCTGACCATTAGGTCCAGTCGCGGACGACTCTGGGGTTGGTGCTCTCATCTTGCTTTATTGGCCGAGGGAGCCGGCGTACAGCTTCTGGGTCATGTGGCCAGCATGACTAAGCTACTTCTGGTGAACCAGAGCAGCGCACGGAAACACCGTTTACCTTCCCGCCAGAGTGGTACCTATTTATCTACTTGCACTTTGTACGTTCTTTCAAACTGCTAGGTTGGCAGGAGCAGGGACTGAGCAACGGGAGCTCACCCCGTCACGGGGATTCGAACCGCCGACCTTCTGATCGGCAAGCCCTAGGCTCTGTGGTTTAACTCACAGCACCACCCGCGTCCCAGTGGAGGCAGTAGCTTCTGTCTATGTTTGGACACTGGGTGCCATTTTTGATTCAACCCTAATTAAACTTTAGCTCACCTAAGCACAAAAATAAAAATGGATTCAGGACTGGAGCAGGAGCTGCCCAGGTCAGTTCAGAGTGCAGGATTGGTGGGGTTGGGGGTGCATGCAGCCCTAAAACTCATAAATTACCCTTTCCATATAAAATTCACAATGTATTTTAGTTTCTTCGAATTTACAAGCAGCACCAGGCACTTCCTGCTAGTGTTGTATACTTGTATTTATATTTTCAGACAAAACCCCCTATGTGATTTTTGGCCTGATCTGCATCTCTAGCTTTCACAAGGTGCTGTCCCAGGTTCTGACATTACAACAAAGAACACAGGGGAGAAGTCAATGCACACAGTACAGGCTTGAAATGCAGCAATCCCACCTCAAAGAGAAATCTGGGATCGTTTAAATCAACAGGAAGCTAAAAGGAAATTAAAGCACCTATCAACACTCTACCTCAGGCATCCCCAACCTGCGGCCCTCCAGATGTTTTGGGACTACAACTCCCATGACACCTAGCCAACAGGACCAGTGGTCAGGAATGATGGGAATTGTAGTCCAAAACATCTGGAGGGCCGAAGGTTGGGGATGCCTGCTCTACATGTCTGGAGAAGCTCGTCTAACCAAAAATGTTTTTTATTAGGTGGGTTTTTTTAAGGATATAGCAAAGGAGCCTGCCTTGTGTCAATAAGAAAGGAGTTCCAAAGTAGATTTGTCGTGATGGGGGGACACAAGCACCTTAATTCTACAAATCTAAACTTTTGCTAGGCGCTCATATCCCTGCCCCAAAACGCTGGGAGACTGGAGGCTCTCTACAGCTAACCCACAGTTTTTCCACTGTTATCACTGAGGTCCGACTCTCAGTACCGGATTCCCCTGTGGGCTTCAGTCATTACTAAAGAAAGTAATCTCTATTGCCCTACCTAACAGCTCTTTGCTGATTACGTTTGATAGTTATTTATTATAAAAGATAGGTATAGGTAAAGGTAAAGGTAAAGGGACCCCTAACCGTTAGGTTCAGTTGCGGACAACTCTGGGGTTGCGGCGCTCATCTCGCTTTATTGGCCGAGGGAGCCGGCATACAGCTTCCATTCATGTGGCCAGCATGACTAAGCTGCTTCTGGCAAAACCAGAGCAGCGTATGGAAATGCCATTTACCTTCCCACTGGAGCAGTACCTATTTATCTACTTGCACTTTGACGTGCTTTCGAACTGCAAGGTTGGCAGAAGCAGGGACCAAGCAACCGGAGCTCACCCCATCACAGGGATTCAAACCGCCGACCTTCTGATTGGCAAGCCCAAGATGCTCAGTGCTTTACACCACAGCACCACCCGCACTGTTATATACCATTAATTCATTTTTTTTAAAAATCTGAGCAGTTTACAGTAAGAATAAATGAAACTATGACAACATAAGAACTGAGCCTTTGCTGTCATCCTGTGGAACTCTCTGTCACTAGAGATTCATAAGGCGCATTTTGTGCCAACTTTTAAACTCCTCACTCCTGCCTAAGCAGGAACTTTTTTCTCGGTCCTATTTAGGCAACTGGATATTGTTTAACCTGAGACTTCCTGCATGAGGAGCTCTACCAGGGAAGCTATATATCCCCACACTAAATGAGCTGTGGGCCAAAGAGCATTTATCATCCATTTGCAAAGCAGATGACATTCATTACGTTTGTGAGCTTTGCAATATTTGCATTTCTCACCATAAATTGGAGAGGCACAGCCTCGTCTGTGTGCTGCTTTTGCTGGGCAGGTGGCACTAAGATCTGCATCCCTGTAGTTAGAATCTGGATCAGTGCAATATGCTGGGGACTTTCAGAGTTATCTAGGGCCTCGGACCTCAACTCCATGCATGCAATCCCCCTCCTCTGCTATTAGAAAAGGTCCTGTTCAATAGGGATGGGGAGAGATTTGATTCAGCTCCCAGCTAGAGGTGAAATCTACCTCATTTGCACATTCTGAAACAATCCACGAACCGAAACCTGGCCCTCCTTTGAACCTCGCCACTCCTCTGAATTTTGCAATGCAGTTTCCTAGCCAAGTAAGTTGTGCAAAAAAAAGGTATATACTTCATAGAAAGTGTGCCTGAAAAATGCATATGCTAGCAGAAATAACATACCAAAATGAATTATATTAGGGAAGACTGCTTTGCAAAAATGTGTATCTTAAGCAAAAATGCACACATACATATGTACATGAGTTGACATCTGTACTAAAATGTGGATTGATTTTCATGAAGACTTTTAAAAATAAATATAGCACAAAGTGATGTGGAAATGTGAAGAGCTGAGCTTAAGATTGGGGGGAACGAGACACAGAGGCTGCATTTAAAGCAAATATAAGGTACATGGTTTCACCCAAAGAGTCCTTAGGAACTGTAGTTTACCCCCACACAGAGAGAGCTATACTTTGAAGCACCAAACTACAGTTCCCATGATTCTTTGAGGGAAGTTGGTGTGCTTTAAATGTCTGGCGTGTATGAAACCTCAGAAAAACCAAAACAGACCAATTCATTGATCCCTAACCCAACTGAAGACAAATCTGTTGCAAGATGGTGTGCAAATGTGGGGAGCTGAATTTAAGTTTAGAAAAATGAGAAACTGAAATCAACAATTTGCCCATCCCTGCTGCTCAGCAATATATCCATTTCACATGCCCTCTCCCCCTTGTCTTAGGTCAGTGCCAGTGACCTCCTTCACCATGCTGCTGTCTCAGACAGGTATGGGACGGGAGGACGTCTAAAAAAAAAATTGCCTCCGGCAGATTCCAAAAAATAATAATAAACTGGAGCCATCTCTGGAAACGGGGATATGTTCAAACACCCACAGCACACAGGCAGCCAGCAGAGAAAATGAAAACAAAATGTCATCACCTCCAGTCGCTCAGTGTGGTGTGAACAAAATGCTATCACCCCCCCCAAAAAAAAAAAACAATTCCGCCATGTGTCATCACCATATAAACCACAGGTGTGGCTATGGATTCAGTTAGCAGGCCGGATCCAGTACTCGGCCACATTGCCAGGTGGGCAGGGTCACCCAGCTGTCAATCTCCTGGGATGATGCCAGGTGATACTTCAAAGAAAGAATTGGGAGACGGCTTAAGAGTGTCTCTTCCCCCACCCCCCAGTTCCTCCTAAACAGACCCAGCTGGCATGCTAAGTCACAGCTGCAAATAAAAGAGTCGGAAGCACACTCTAAGGCAGGTACATGGAACCTTATGCCCTGCAGAGGTTGCTGAACTACAGCTCCCATCAGCCCCAGCAAGCATGGCCAATAGCCCAGGAGGTGGGAGTTGTAGTTCAGGAACATACAACAGGGCCAAAGATTCCCCACACCAGATGTCCTTTTTTATTGTGCACTCATGTTGATTTCAGCTCGCGGTGGAATCAGGGCAGTTTTATGAAATCCTACTTTCAACAGGTTATTTTTTTGTGTGGGACACACTGCTTCATTTACAATCTGTGCATGTCCTGTTACTTAAAGTCAGTGGTGGTGGGAGACCAAGGTCCGAATCCCCACTTGGCCATGAAGCTCACTGGGTGATGTTGCAGCCTATCCTATTTGCAGCCTATCCTACTTCACAGGGTTGTTGTGAGGACCACACGTCACCTTGAGCTTGTAGAGTGCCTTCTTGGTGGCTGCTCCCAGACTTTGGAACTCCCTCCCTAGAAGAGCTGGACTAGCACCCACCTTGTTGTCTTTCCCCCGCCAGGTGAATGCCTTCTTATTCCAACTGGTTTTTGGAAACTGGCTGCTTTTAATGAAAGGGTTTGTGTTGTGCTGTTTTTATGGTAATCATTGGTATGTTTTTAGTAGATTTATATATGTTTGTTTGTGTTTTAATTATATTAATGTTTAGTTGTTTTTAAAACTATTTTTTCTCCATGTTTTTAAGTATTATTATTTTATCTGTAAGTCACCTTGAGTCCCTGTCAGGGAAAAAGGTGGGGTAGGATAATAATAATAATAATAATAATAATAATAATAATAGTCTCTTCAGCATGGCAATAATGTGCTGGCATTGCTGAACAACTGGGAATGCAGAATGGCGTGTGGACGGTCCAGTATAACTCCACTATGATTGCACTATTGACATGTTGCAGAATACACACTCCAAAACAAAGAGACAAGCAGAAAACTCCCATTCCAAAGCAATCCTGGGGGCAGCCTCCCTCCCCCATGCCTACCTAAGCATCATCACTCAGTGCTTCAACATTGGAAATGGAAGGAATGGGAACTCATTCTATAGCATCATTTGTATTAGGCGTCTAATTAAGAGACTCCTGTCGGTCCTTCTTATTAATTAGACAGCCCCATCAATCTGTGTGAAGCTTATAGCTTAAAGAACAGAAGTCTCAGCCCAGAGGATCTTGCAGCTTCAAAACTGACACAGAAGGGGTGAGGAAAGAGGGGAACGGAGGCAGTGGAGAACATGGCAAGCAGCAGCGGAGGCTGGCCCATTTGGGGAAATGGGGCAATGCCCCACCCAGCTCAGCCTGCCCTCAGCCAGCCCCCTTACTAATGACCAGTCCAGAGGGTGGCCTGCCAGTTACCCTCCTCCTCCTCCACCTTCGCCGTCACCTCAGTGTTGCCCTCGTGGAACTCAAAGGAGGGTGGTGACAAGACTAGAATTCATTGACTCAACCTGTCGTTGGCTCTGGCGCCACCTACTGTTGGGCTTCCTGCCTTCTGCCCTACCAGTTCCAGTGAGCAGCTGCCACATTGCTCGATACTGTGGAGAGCCACAGCCAATCAGTATTGGGCTACATGGGTTGAGGCAGGCTCCTATGTAGCCGCTGAAGAAGAGAGACCATAATTGCAACAAGAATAGAGAGAGCCTGGGTCCTTCAGTGAGCTATTGGCTTCCTGCCTTCTTACTTACAAGCAGTCCAATGGGTAGCCTTGCCTGTCACCTTCCTCCTCAGTGCCACCCTTATAATACTCAGCACGGGGGAGGATGGGGACCAAACTAGCATCAGCTGGCTTCGCCTGTCATTGGCGCCACCTGCTGTCAGGCTCCCTGCCTTGTGGCCCGTCAGCTACTAGGATAGCTGATCTGAGAACAAACTTGAGGGGACCTGGAGAGGCCAAAGGTTGAATCTGGGAACTTCTTCATGCAAAGCAGTTGCTCTGCCACTGAGCTGCCATATAAACTGCCCCTTGCCCAGTTTTGAGGGTTTGTTTGTTTGTTTGTTTGTTTGTTTGAAACCATCACGACCCATTAACATCCCAGAAGGGAACTTTTACAAAATGTGGTTGTGTTTTTTGTTTGTTTTCCCCCCTTTCAGACACAAAAGACTAGTGCAGGTTCTGTGTCAGCAATTTCTGTGTGCCAGTAACTAAACAAGCGGCAAGGGGAAGCTTTTTGCAAGGCTGGGTTGATGCTTTTCCTTGATAAGGCCAATGACATAACCTTATAATATCTTTTTTTTTTTCACTTCCAAAAAGTCAAGGCTGCTTAGCCCATCTGTTAAACCCAAACCTTAAGGTGGCCTTGGTAGATTTTTATTTTTAAAAAATGGAATGGAGGAAGCTTTCAGAACAACTAGCCTACAGCACTTTGGTAGTCCCTCCTGAGCATGTCTTGCTTATGGTGCTCTAAACACTGAGACGTAATCTTCAACTGAGTCCTCGTGCCTTTTGGCAGAGGCTGGTTGAAGTCTAAAAGGTCCTTTCTAGTAAGAAAGGATTCAGTTATACTAGATCTAGGTTTCAAACGGAAGTGATCGAAGGGAAAGGGAAATTACTGAAGGCCGCATACAGCATATTATTAGAATGGGAGACGAAAGATGAAGAGGTAAAATCAGTTATGATTAAATGGGCACAAGATGTAGGTCACAACATTATGATGGAACATTGGGGAAAATTATGGAAAACTGATTTAAAATTTACAGATTGTTCCCTATTGAAGGAGAATTACATGGAGATGATGTATAGATGGTACACAACACCAGTGCAGTTAGGGAAAATGTACAAAACTAATTCAAATATATGTTGGAAGTGTAAGGAAAAGGAAGGGACATTTTATCATATGTGGTGGGATTGTAATGTAATTTTAAAAAATTGGGAAATGGTATACAATGAGTTGAAGTTCCATTTAACATTTGTTTAAAAACCTGAGACATTTTTGTTGGGGATTGTAGGGAAAGACCTGCCAAAAAAGCTGAAAAACTTCATGTATGTGACAACGGCGAAGAGAGTTCTGGTAGCACAAGGATGGAAGACTGAAGAAACCCCAACTAAAGAATCATGGCAAGAAAAATTGGCGTACTATGCAGAACTGGCAAAACTGAGGGAGGAAAAATAGGGGGGAAACAAGGATGATATGTTTTTTGGATAATATGTCTTGTTTTAATTTTGAATAAAAAAAATTTTTTTAAGGAACTCTAAAAGGTCCTCTGGTGGGATCCCTCCTCTGCCAATGTGCATTTCTTTCTAGATCACCGAAATGTGGAAATGGCACTTTTACAAATGAGATTCATTCTGCACTTGCAAGAAATCGGCGCTTTATTATGACAGCGTGTGCACTTTGGAACTCCCTGCTCATTGATTTCAGGCTCTTTCACTGTATTGCGTTTGGCACCTGCTGCAAAACTCATTTGTTCCAATAAGCCTGCCAAGCCATGTGATGTTTGCATGGGGAAGTCCGTTGCTCTCTGGTAGAGCCTTGCATGCAGAAGGTCCCGTGTTCAATCCCAGACATCTCCAAAGAAGGCTAGGAAAGACTTCCTCCCTGAATTACTCCCCAGACTGTTTACTTCAGAACAATCACATCTATTCGCTAGAGCAAGTGGACCGATGGTTGTGTGACCACTCTCGTAAAGAACATAAAAAGAGCCTTCTGGACCAGGACAATGGCCCTTCTAGTCCAGCATCCTGTTCTCACAGCAGCCAACCAGATGCCTGTGGGAAACCAGCAAGCAGGATTTGAACACAAGAGCCCTCTCCTCTCCTGTGGTTTCCAGCAAATGGATTCACAAGATTGACGGCTTGCAACCATGGAGGCAGAGCATAGCTGTCATAGCTAGTAGCTACCAGTAGCCTTGTCCAATCCTATTTTAACTCCATTCAACTTGGTGGACATCACTGCCTCCTGTGGGAGTGAGTTATTATTATTATTATTATTATTATTATTATTATTATTATTATTAAATTTTATTTATACCCCGCCCTCCCCAGCCAAGACCGGGCTAAGGGTGGCCAACACCGGCACAAAAACAATTGATTGAAACACAACTCAAAAACAAGACTAAAATACAACATTAAAATGCAGCCTCATTTCAGCAGGAACTCAAATCAAAAACTTTTGGGGGGATGAAAACGTCAAGTCTTCACCAAGGCCAACTATCCAGACTGGTCCTACGTGGGCCAGAAAAAAGCGAGGGAAGTCCCCAAATAGGAGTTCCATCACAGAAGGAGAAAGGAAAAAGGAAAGAGGGGGAGGGGGAGGGGATCAATTTGATTCCAAGCCAAAGGCCAGGTGGAACAACTCTGTCTTACAGGCCCTGCGGAAAGAAATCAGATATTGCAGGGCCCTGGTCTCATGAGGCAGAGCATTCCACCAGGCCGGAGCTAGTGTTGAAAAGGCCCTGGCTCTGGTTGAGGCTAATCTGACTTCCTTAGGGCCTGGGACCACTAGAGTGTTACTATTTATGGACCTTAAGGTCCTCCGTGGGGCATACCGGGAGAGGCGGTCCCGTAGGTATGAGGGTTCTAGGCCGTGAGTTCCACAGTTTAATTAGGCACTGCATGAAGAAGGTCTTGGATGGCCTTCAAAGATGAGATGGGCCAATTGCCTGACCCAACAGGACTCTTGTTTTGTTAGTGATGTACAGTGAACCTGATAATTATATGATCACATTTTTAACTATCATTCATGTTCATCTAAAACTTTCAGCTCTGCTGTTACTTTGGGTGCTTCCTCAGCCATTTGTTTGGATCAGTGAGATGTGGACACATCCACATGTGGCCCCTCAACAGGACAAGACTTGGGTCAACCTTCAGCAGGAAGCTTCCGACCTAAGCGTCCTTCTCTTCATCCAGACCGAATGGTCAGTCCAATAACCTTAACCATCAGCACTTCTCCCAGGTTTAAGGACTATGTCAAACATGACATTTTTCAGGCATACGCAAATGTACGTGTGTTGATGTAATGTGTGAATGCAACAGAGAAGTGTCTGCAAAGTTTTCTGTCTGGCAGCAAAGTCAATTCGGGAATCGCCTGCAGTTTTCCAGGCATCTACCAAAGAGGTTTAAGCGTACATGTGAAAATGTAATGTGTGAACACAACAAAGAAGTCATCGCAAACGCAGGTCAGACAGAAAAGTTGGCGAGGAGGACGGAATCACCTGCAGTTCTCCGCAAGCACGGAATTTGCTGCCGTGCAAAGTGTAAAGCCAGCCCCAGGCAGAAGAGTTTTTCCAGTTCCCAGCACCCGTGATCCTTTTTTCCTGGGGATGCCAGACATCAAACTAGCTAAGCACATGTTCTACTGCTGAGCAACAGATCTGCAGACAAATGCCTGATCTAAAGCAAATAACTTTGCTAAACTTTAGCAAGCCAGGATCTGAGCAATGCCTGGGAAATGCCTTGGACCTCCTACATATGTGTTTCTCAGTTCCACAGTAGACTGCGTCTGAACCTGGAGGTACTACTAAGCTGCCATAACCAAGAGCTGCTTGAGAAAAGAAAAGAATAAAAGCTATCAAGGCTATCATCAAACACCCAGATTTACCGTATTTTTTGCTCTATTAGACTCACTTTTTTCCTCCTAAAAAGTAAGGGGAAATGTGTGTGCGTCTTATGGAGGGAATGCAGGCTGCACAGCTATCCCAGAAGCCAGAACTCAAAAGGGTTAGGGTGTTCTGGCTTCGGAGATTCAGAATATTTTTTTTCTTGTTTTCCTCCTCCAAAAACTAGGTGCGTCTTGTGGTCTGGTACATCTTACAGAGCGAAAAATACGGTACATGGCAGCCAGTCCTGACATGAACTTTCTGCTACAACAGGGATGTTTAAAGTCAGGCCCTAATCCGGCCCATCTGTTGGTTTAATGTGGCCCCGGGGCAGTTTATTCCTAAATCCTAAAAAATCCTTAAAAAAAGCTTAACAATTTTGGTCGGCCCTCACGCGTGTTCACTTCATCAAATCTGGCCCTTCTTGGAAAAAGTTTGGACACCGCTGTGCCACAAGAAACCTATAGCAGGGAGGTAAGATACAAGCCACTAAATGAGCATTTGCCACAGGAGAACCCACAACTGGACAAGTGTTCAGGGATGCAAGTTTTACTAATTTCTGGCAAACCGAACCACGATTTTACCCTTGTAGCTTTAAGGAAGGCCCACAGGTCAGGGGAGGGGAGCCTTTTTCAGTCTGAGGGCCACATTCCTTCCTGCGCAACATTCCGGGGGCCACATGCTAATGATGGGCGGATCCAGAGGCAGAAGTAGGTGGAGCAACAGAAGTCGATTCTACTTCTGTGCAATAAGCTGATTTCTACAGGACACATTTCTCTCTCTCTCTCTCTCTCTCTCTCACACACACACACACACACACACGTCCCCTCCATTCCCATCCAGGCAATTAAGAGGCCTGATCAGGGTTCAAGGACACAGTCCAGCCGGCCCAAAACTCTTGTGGTGTGAAGCACGGGTTGCGAATGGTGTGTCCTGGAAATAAGGGTGGAACTGGAGAAGGTTTCAGGGGCCAGACAGAAAGTCCTGGAGGAGCCCATTTGGCCTGTGGGCTGGAGGTTTCCCACTTTTGCCACAGCTGATAAAATGCCCATTCTGCACAGCTCTTCAAGATGCAGAGTCCAGGAACTGCAAAGGGGACTTACAGGAACAGGTCAAACCAAGGCAGCAGGGCAGGTATCAGGGGTCAGGAACTACGTTTGAGGGGTGCAGTGCTTACATGGCTCCACTTCTGACCCACAGAGGTCTGGGGGCCTGATTCCACCCCTCTTGCTTGCTCCTACAAGCTCTCCTCCACCAGCCCTCTTTAAGGACCCAATCAACAGCATGGTTTGCATGGATTGGGCCTAGAGGGGAATTATAGAATCATCCTAGTCCAACCCTCTCCCATGCAGAAATCTCAACATACAGTCTCCCATCCAGTTTGAAACCATACCAGATCCTGCTTAGCTTTGCAAATGTGCCAGCTGCACCACCATAAGGTTTGCATGGATCGGGCCTAGAGGGGAGAGAAAAGCAAGGGGACATCAGCGGAAAGGGGACAAGTCCACTTGGGGAGGGGGCCCACCAATGACAGTATCCACCTGTCCAGCTGCTTACCACTACATCAGAGCTGCCACCAGTCTGAAAGAGCCTGCAGAATAGTGTGGTGCAGTGGATAGAGAGCGGGACTAAGACCTGGGTGACCAAGGTTCAAATCTCTGCTCATTGGCCATGAAGTTCACAGGGTGACCTTGGAGGCCAGTCTCTATGTCTCAGACTCGCCTACCTCACAGGGCTGTTGTGGGGATTAAATAAGGAGGGGAAGAAACATGCACGCCCTTGAAGGGAAAGGTGGGGTATGAATGCAACAAGGAAGATAGTAGTAATAATAATAATAACAAACCCTCTGAGCATCTAGGCCTGGGACAGGTGGCAGAGATGCTGCCAGGAGAAACTGCAAAAGGCTGGGGTCCTGGGTCAAGGTGCACTAGTGCTTATGCAAACTTTGCAAAGCTGCTCAGAGAACAGGGATGCAAAGCCAGGCACAGTTGCAAATGAATAAATTGGGGGGGGGGTGGCAGGAAGAAACACAGGCCTTTGACAATTTGGGTGACAATTCAGATGATGAACTAACGGGAAATGAGGCTACTCTCAGCAACTCTAAGTGGCTACTACCAGCCACAGTGGCCCTGACCTCCCTCTGCTGTCCAGGCATATCTGCCTCTGCCTACTGGCTACTGGGAACGGCAAGCAGGGAGAGTTGTGGACTTGCAGACTTCCCACAATAAGGCATCTCCGGCCAGCCACTGTGAGGACAGGGTGCTGGCCGAGATGGGCCCCCTTCGGCCTGACCCAAGTCAGCTGATGCTCCCAAGTCAAAGCGCCGCATGGCGCCTGTCTCATGCGTGCCGAACACGTGGATCTGGTTCTCTCTCCCTCCCCCCCCCCGCACCCCATATTTCAACCACGCGTGGCAAAAAGGCCCACCCCCCCACAAAAGCCTCGCCTTCTGGGCTCCCAACAGGACTGGACTGGACTGGACTGGGGTGGGGGGGGGCCCTTCCAATCAGATGCTCCAGGAGGCACCTTCGGGGTCTCTCTCTCTGGTGCCTCTCCCCACCTTCCCAAGAGTCCACAGAGACGGTTTTATTTTTAACTATCCCTGCAAAGGCAGCCACGACAAGAAGGAGGCTGTATCCACGGACGGCCTCCTTCTGGTGGGCGGGGGGGAGAGAGAGAGGCAGAGGGATCTATCGTTCTGTGGATGAGCAAGGAGAAAACCAGGAAGGAAAATTGCCCTAATGAGGGCAAGGATGGGGGAGATCCCCTTCTCTTCCCTCCCCCCTACTAAAAAAGAAAGAAAGCCAGCGACACCTTTAGGCACCTGCAGGACGCGCAGCCTCCGTGGCGCGCGCTTTTTCTCTCTCTCTCGTACACACAAACACACTCACAGCTACGACCAGGAACCCCCCCCCCCTTCAGCGTCTCCCCGCGCGCCCCTCGGTGCCATAGCCTTCGAGGGCCCGGACTGGGGATGGACGGGGCGGGGGGGGGGGACGAGAGAAGCGTCCCCTTCCCTCCTGAGCTCCAGAGTCCCCCATCCCCGCGTCCGTCCGTCCATCCCTGGACGACCCCTCACTCTCAGCCCCCCACCCTCTTGCCAGCCTGCCTGCCTGCCTCTCCGGGCCGCGCCTCACCTCCAAGGTGCGGATCTCCTTCTGCGTGAGGTCGTTGGACGTGGCGCATTTGGTGCGCAGCCCCTCCAGGTTGGAGATGCTGATGTCGATCATGTTCTGGACGAGCTCGCACTGCTGCAGCGCTTTCTGCAGGCTCAGCGGCGGCGGAGGGGGCGGCGGGGGCGGCGGCGGAGGGGGGGGGGGCCCCAGAAGCGGCGGCGGCGGGGGGTGGCCGGGGGCCGGCACGGCGGCCTCCTCCATGGCTTGCCCCTCGGCCGCCTCTTCCTCCTCCTCCTCCTCCTCCTCCTCCTCCTGGATCAGGGGGATGCGGCCGCCGGCCCGATCCCCCCAAGCGGCGGCAGCGGCGGCGGCGGCGGCGCCGCGGCCGCCCCCTCCTCGCCGCCCCCACCGCGCCAGACCTTCCCCGGTGCCGCCTCGCCCGCGCGCTCGCTGCCTCGCTCGCTCGCGATCGCCCGCCCGGCTGTCAAGCCTCCTCCATGCGAGCCTCGGCGATCTCTCCGGCAGCGGCGGCGGCGCCTCCTCCCGGGGAGGGGTCGGGGCGGGGCGCGCCGGAGCCCCGGGGGAGCCCCTCGGGGCGTTCACACGGCAGCTCCACGGGCGACGCGCGGTTTCCTTCGCCCAGCGCTCGCTGGCAGCCTGGATCGGGGCTGGGGGCTGCTCTTCGCCCGGCCCGCAGCGTTCGCTCCGCCCGGCTCCCGCATCCACACACGCGCGCACACACGCAGGCGTCCTGCCTTGTCAATCCGCGCGGCCGCGACACGCGAGGAACGGTTGCGGCGCACGCCTCGCCTGGACGAACACCCCCCCCCCAGCCCAGGAGACGCGTGTCCCCGAGACGGCTGGACTCCCGCGAGCAGGTAGAGGAGAGGAGGGGAGTTTAAAAACATATAAACCCTCCATACTCATTTTCCTACATCAGCGTGCTTAGTCCTGACTGGAGTCATCAAGGGGGGAGGGAGAGTTTCTCTGAACATGTGCAGAGGGCCGCAGTGTTTCAGTTCCTTAGGTGTGTGGGGTTTTTTCCTGCATCTATAGCTCATCTTTTATCTCCATGGAGCTCAAGGCGGCGCGTGTGATTCTTCCCTCTCCCCCCCCCCCCACACTTTCATCCGCCCAACAACCCTGCGAGGCAGGTTAGGCTGAGAGAGGCCGTGACTGGCTCAAGGGCAGCCCGCGAGCTTCATGGTCGCGTGGGGATTTGAACCCTGGTCTCCCAGTCTGGCGCTCTAACCACTACACCACACTGTCACCTTGGTTATTGTTTTGTAGGCGGGAGGGCGGTTTCTAAGGAGACTTGGACCAAAGGTCTGCCTTTGTGAAAGGAAGTTTTATCCGTTGATATGGATGGAAAAGCCAGGGTATCTCTGTATCTCTTAAAAAAAAAACAAAAAAAACCCCAGGTGTTGGGGATTGAACCTGCAATTGGGGTTGTTTGCCTTCCCTTGTCCCACTTTTCCACCTGGCCAGTCCAGCTAGTTGGCACATCTGGGAAGAAATACAAAAGTGGAACCAACCACAGCTCAGGGGTAGAGCAGAAACTTCATCTGTAGGAGGTCCCAGATCCAATTCCCCAGCATCTCCAGCAAAAGTTGGGAAAGACCATTATCTGAAACTCTGGGGAGCCGCTTCCCAATGGTGTAGACCTGGTGTGTAGAACCTTCGTGCCCTCCCCCCATTTCTCTGTTCTTATATTGGGTTGGCGAAGGTCTGTGGGATGGTGGAACACCTGCTTTGCACATAGAATGTCCCAAGTCCAATCCCCAGGTTGTGCTGGGAGAGACACCTGACTTCAATCCTGAAAGCTGCTGCCATTCTATGCCTCCACAGCCAGAAGCATTCTGCCTTTGAATACCAATCGTTGGGGATCGCAGGTGAGGGAAACAATTTTGCAAAAATGGGTAACCAGAAATCAGGTCTTATCTTATAGATCTCCATTGGGATCATGTCTTCTCCTGGAGCTTTATTAGCTGGTTGGCTTGCGATTAGCCTCTTAATCTGATTGGGCGTGACATCTGGCCATTCTGGTAGTTCTAATAACTGAGTAAACTTGTGGGGGTGAGTCAGGACAGGGGCCATATATTCCTGTAAAATATGTCACCCTAACCTTTCCTTGGACAGATGCTTCTAACGAGTAGCCCAGCCCATTTGTACCTTGGGCAACCAGATGCCAAAATTTCCATGAGTCCTTTTGAAGTGCTGTGTCTCCCAATGCTTTCCACTGTTGTTCATAATATATTTGTTTCTTGCTTTTAAGTACTAATTTATAATTGTATCGTAATTGGGCTACCTCAGCTTGTAGAGCAAGATTGTGCTTATCCTGTTTTAACTTCAGTTTTCTAAGTTCCCTAGCTAGGCATTTTTTGCTATTCTGACATTCCTTATCAAACCAAGTCTGTCTTTTAAACTTTTTGTTTTTACAGGTGAGGGAATATGTGGTCAGCATCTGCTGAAAACAGAAGCAGCTGTGACTGGTACCCATTAGGACTTTACAGAAGAAAGCAGGCAAGTCCACAGCAGGCAGATCCAGTGACAGGTGGAGCCAACTGATGCTGGTTTTGTCCCCTTCTTCCTCACTGCTGAGTTCTACAAGGGCAACACGGAGACTGAGGAGGAGGAGGAGAAGGAAACTGACAGGCAGGGCTGCCCACCTGGACTGGTTGTAAGCAAGAAGGCAGACAGGTGAGAGCTGGCTGAGGGCAGGCCAGGGTGGTGTCCCATGTGCCCAAATGGACCTGCCTCTACTGCATTAGGGGTTTTCAGCTGTAATGCATGGTAGTTCTCTCTGGACAGACATCCCATTAGGGACAGACATCCACATGTGAAAAAATTCTGGGACACGATTTATAACAAAATGAAAAAAACTTTTTAAATACACTTTCCCAAAGAAACCAGAGGCTTTTTTTGCTAGGGATAATAGGGGATGAATTAATAAAAGAGGACCATAAATTACCGTATTTATGTACGCCACGACTGCCGCTAAGATTCTAGTGGCTCAAAAATGGAAAACCCAGGAAATCCCAACTTTAATGGAGTGGCAGACGAAAATGTTTGAATACACAGAATTGGTGAAAATGACCTATAAGATTCGAAACCAAAAAGTAACAAAGTTCGAAGAGGAGTGGAGTGGAGTAAATTTGTTGACTACATACGGAATAATTGTAGAAGCTTAAAGACTGTAGCAGGGTTAATATAAATCTTGCAACGTGGATAGAGTGTAAATAAGAATCAGTAAGAGAGGATGTTAATCGTGAAAGCCGATGTAGGGAGGGAAGTCCGGGCACGATAATGTGCATGGTAAATACCGTAAGTAGACACAAAAATGTTGAATGTAAGAGTATATGCTTTATTTATTTTTGTTTTGGACAATCAATAAAAAGCATTTTTTAAAAGGGGGGGGGAGCATTTCCATGCAGAAAAGTGTTTCTAAATCCTGCCTTGCTGATGCATGTGGGCATACTGGAAATCGCAGGTGGGCAGTGCTGTTGTGCTCAGGTTCTGCTTGTGGGATTCCCCAGTGGGACATCTGGTTGGCTACTGTGAGAACAGGATGCTGGACTAGATGGGCTATTGGCTTGATCCAGCAGGGTTCTTCTTATGTTCTTACTTGGTACAAGGCATCTCTCTATGTTCTCTGTCTCAACATCACTTGCTTTAAAAGGGCAATGCTACTTTGGGGAAGGGCCATAGCTCAGCGGGAGAGCATCTGCTTTGCATGTGCAAGTTCCCAGGTCCAATCCTCAAGAAGCATCTCTGGATGGGCCTAGGAAAGAACTCTCCCTGACAGCTTGGAAAGCCACTGCCAGCCAGCGCAGGCAATATTGTGGTAGATGGACCGATGGTCTGACTCAGTAGAATGCAGCTTGCAATGAAAGCCCTACCTGGGGATGCCAGGGATCAAAACTGGACATTCTGCATTGCATTCAAAGCAGGTGATCTCTGGCTGAGCTTTGCCAGTCCTTGGCATTTGGATGTCTTAGGCAAAACAACAAAGTGCCAAGGTCCACAGTGCCAAGGACAGCCAGCTTGTTCTGGCACCGAAGGCAGAAGATCCCACACACGCATCTGTTCCTGGAAGCGAAAAAGCCACCAACAATAAATGAAATAACTAATAATTTGCTGCCTCCGCGTGACATCCAACATCAGCTGCCTGAGTGGATTGCCTCACTCTGCTTGATGGTAGGATGTCATAAGCTGCATGTGATTTATGGGAGAGGCTGTAGCTCAGGTGGTTAAGCACCTGCTTTGCATGCAGAATGTCTCAGGCGTTCTGCCATCTCCAGGTACTGAAAAGAGAGAAAGTCCATCTGAAACCCAGAAAACGTAGTGACCTAGTGACCCAGTGGAGGTGGTTTCCATTGCGCCAAATGGAGCACCATTCCACCAACTTCATCCTGCCCTCACCCAGCCCTCATATGCCTGCCTTCCTGCTTACAACCTGTCAAGGAGGTGTGTCTGCATCTCCTTAGTCTCAGCATTGCCCTATGCTACGGTGGAATCTACACACACATGAAAAAAGACTGTGAAAATGCTCTTTTTATATATATATATATTTTAAAAAGCTTTGAAAAATACGTCAAATTTGGCATAGCTCACTGTCACCATTTAAACACATTTAAAACGTTTTATTTGCAGCTGTATAGCTGAGTCCTAGAACACAGCAGTGAGCGGGAGGGCGGGAACAAACCCAGATCGAGTTGGCTCTGCCTCCTTCTTGAGCGAGTTCCATCCTTTAACTCTGCACAGCAGGAAGAAGTGCTTCCTGTTTTCTGACCCAGTCTTCCAACATTCAGTTTAATTGGGATGCCCACGAGTTCTAGTGTTATGAGTGATGGAGGAAAAGTTTTCTCTATCCACTTTATGCCATGCATAATTGTATAATTGTATGTCACCTCTTAGTCGCCCTTTTTCTAAACTAAAAAGTCCCAAATGCTGCAACCTTTCCTGGAGTTGCTCCATCCCCTTGATCCTTTTGATTGCTCTTTCCCAAACCTTTTCCAGCTCTAAAAAAATGTTTTTGAGGTACGGAAACATTCCCCACTCCTGCTACAGACAATACTGAGCTAGATGGACCGATGGCCTGATCCTATAGAAACCAGCTTTGCAGAATGTATGCTTTCAGATGCACAGATCTTCAGACTATTTGGCAAAGGTCTTCCTGGCCAAACAATATAGTGTCCAGGAAGGTTTTAAGCCCCAACACTTCTGGTAGAAGTTAGCTGCAAATTATTGCCTAGACTATCAGAGTGTGGAGTCTGCCCTCCTCGGTTCCTTCCTCCCCCCACTCCCAATTAACCTCCGTCTCCAGGACTCAGTAGTGGGAGGGAGCACAAAGGGAGAATCACCAGGGCCCGCCACTGTGACATCACTAGGGACTACCCCTAGCTCTCAGCTTTGGGCTCTGTACTTGCCAGGCCTGGGATGCTCCTGACCTGGCGTCCTTAGATATAACTGAATGCGGGATCAAACTGTCCAGGTACAATACACACTTTTTTTTTTCTTGGAAGCTTAACCCCAATGAACCCATTGATCTGATTGTGATTATATGTGCATGAGAAAGCTGCACAATAATACTGGGGGTGGGGGGAATCTGATGCAGACCAATAAAAGCAGTCCGCTTTGCTTCTGCACTTTGGAGATCATTTTGATCTGCAAAAATCAGCATTTTGATCTGCAGAAAATCATGCACAGATATAAGTGTTATCACTTGCTGAGCAAAGCACTTCCCAAGCGGGCTTCACTTAAAGACACCAAACCTGTGTGGGACTGCAGACTTCTGCCTCCAAAGTCCTGTATCACTGCATATCAAAGAAGGTTTTGTCGTCGTCCCCCCTCCCCCGCCCTCAAATTAGGTAGCAAGCAAAACAGGCCACTTGCGGCCAAGAAAGGTGATACTCTTGCCCTCACCCTGACACATCTCTTATCTATGGCAGGGCTGGGGAGCCCTGAAACCACCTGGTACATTTAAGAGAGCTGCTAGCATTTCTTGTTCCTTCGTGGCACATTTCTCATCAGCAGAGAAACTTTGGTCATAAGGAAAGAATCATAATATGCCGGAGTCAAACTGTCAAGCTATGTTTGCGGAAAGCCCTAAAGAAATTACTGTGTTATATGACAAACCTAGACAGCATCTTAAAAAGCAGAGACATCACCCTGCCAACAAAGGTCCATATACTTAAAGCCATGGTTTTCCCAGTAGTGATGTATGGAAGTGAGAGCTGGACCATAAAGAAGGCTGATGGCCAAAGAATTGATGCTTTTGAATTATGGTGCTGGAAGAGACTCTTGAGAGTCCCATGGACTGCAAGAAGATAAACCTATCAATTCTTAAGGAAATCAGCCCTGAGTGCTCACTGGAAGGACAGATCCTGAAGCTGAGGCTCCAATACTTTGGCCACCTCATGAGAAGAGAAGACTCCCTGGAAAAGATCCTGATGTTGGGAAAGATGGAGGGCACAAGGAGAAGGGGATGACAGAGGACGAGATGGTTGGACAGTGTTCTCGAAGCTACCAGCATGAGTTTGACCAAACTGTGGGAGGCAGTGGAAGACAAGAATGCCTGGCATGCTCTGGTCCATGGGGTCACAAAGAGTCGGACATGACTAAACAACAAACAATGCCACATAAAGGTAAAAAAAGGAGGAGGAGGTAATGGACCCTGGACAGTTAAGTCCAGTCAAAGGTGACTATGGGGTGTGGTGCTCAGGCCAAGGAAGCTGGTGTTCATCCACAGACAGCTTTTCCGGTCATGTGGTCAGCATGACAAAACTGCTTCTGGCGCAATGGAATACCGTGATAGAAACCAGAGCAGACGGAAACACCATTTACCTTCCCACCACAGCAGTACCTATTTCTCTACGGTACTTGCATTGGCGTGCTTTTGAACTGCTAGGTTGTCAGGAGCTGGGACAGAGCAACGGGAGCTGAACCCATCGCAGGAATTCGAACCGCCAACCTTCTGATCAGCAAGCCCAAGAGGCTCAGTGATTTAGACCACAGCGCCACCCGCATTAAAGAATCCTGGGAACTGTAGTTTACCCCTCACAGAGCTGTGCCCCTCCTGTGGTTTCCAGCAACTGTTATTCGGAAACATACTGCTACAGTAGCCATTGATAACCCTCTCAATGAATTTGTCTGATTCTCTTTTAAAGCCATGTAGGCTGTTGGCCTTCCTTGCCTCCTGTGGGAACAATTTCCATAGTTTAACTATGTGCTGCATGAAGAAGTACTTTCTTGTATCTTCCAACATTCAGTTTCTTTGGAATGCCTGTCAGTTCTAGTGTTATGAAAGAGAGAAAGTTTTCACTATCCACTTTCTCCATAGATAAACTTCCATCATGTCACCTGCTACTCGTTATTTCTCTCTAAACTAGCAAGTGCCAAACACTGCAACCTTTCCTCATAAGGGAGTTGCTCCATCCCTTTGATCATCTTGGTTGCCCTTTTCTGAACCTATTTTTGGATGGGATTCAATCACATTCTGTACAAGTAAATTCCAGTTCTGCAATTATAATTGTTTGGGAGTTCTTGGGCAACAAATCCTCTCCCCTAAAGATAAAACTTTTTGCGATAAGGGAAACGTCACATAACCTCCCACCAAACAAATCAGAATGAAGGCTCACTAATTAGCCAGTGTCATCTAATCTAACTTCAAAAAAATCACGAAGAATACTTAGTAACCAAGCCACCAGGAAGCCCCCTTACATCCTGAAATAAAAGTAACTTTTCTATATTGTAAAAAATAATTGGGGTATGTATATGCCTTACAATTTAATCTTGAGTATTAGGGAGAAGGCAAAAATTAAAGCATTCTGCCAAAACCCAGACCTAAGAGATATGTTTACCATTAAGTTGTGTGACAGAAAAATAGAAAACAGCAGATCATTTTAATAGTACCTTTAAACAATAAAAAAGGATGAATGAGATAAAATAGGTAAAAGAATGAAAATTCAGATAAAAAGGTTGCCTGGAAACACTGTTGTATTCTAAATTGAAAGTAACATTCATATATTTAAAAAATAATGAGAGGGTATGTGTTTTATTATTCTTGAGTAATTGGGGGAGGGGGAATTAAAGCATTGTTCCAAAGCCCAGATCTTAAGAGATATATTTATCATCATATTGTCAAAATGCAAAATCAAAACAAATCGGGTAATGTTAACAGCATTTGTAGTGGCTTCTTTACATGGTGGGGGGGAGGGAGAGAGAGAAATGGGGTGAAAATAGGTAAAACAGGATGATTAAAAGATAGTACCTTTTTTGTTATTAAATAAAGGTGATGTTCCTATATTAAAGGGGGGAAATCATTGGTGAGTGTGTGTTTTATCAATGTTGAGTAACTGGGGGCAGGGGGTAGAATTAAAATATTATCCAGGTCTTAAGAGTTATAACAACAATCAAGCACCAAACAAAACATATTCCTGAATAAAATTATGGTCCCTATATGTTAAAACAAACAAACATTGGCGTGTGGCTGGGTGTTATTAATCTTCAGTAATAGGAAAAGGGAGGGGAAAATTAAAGCACGATTCCCAAAGACCCAGCTCTCGAGATAAATTATTTACCATTAAATTCGCCGCGAAGCACAAAACCAGAACAAAGCAGATGACTTTTCACAGCATTTGTGGTAGCTACTCCCCACCCCCACCATTTTTTTAAAAAAATAAGTAATTACCAATAAAATGTCCTTAACTATACTTATTGTGCCAAACACACAAAAACAAAACGAAGCAAGAGATGATGTTTAGAAGAGTGGGTTGTCGTTTTTTTGCTAGCTTGCCAGGTTTTTCAAAATAAATATAGCTGCATCCACTCTTAATGGTGCCAAACACACAAAAACCGAACAAAAAGCAGATGTATTAACCAGGAATTATAAATGCTGGGGGGGGGGATGACACGTGCGCGTGTGAATCGCGGGGAGGGGGTGGAGATGGGCAAGGTGCCCATCCGTGAAGCAGCCTCAGAAGAGCCACAGAGATGGGAGAGGAGTTTTTGCTGGGAGGCGCCTGCTCGCTCTCTCCCCGCGAGGTTGCAGCAAGGCCCCGCCCCTTAGTTACCAGAAGCAGCAGAGGCGCCTTAGCAACACGGAGGGAGGGAGGCGGCCCGGCAGCCGTAGCCGCAGATGCCTCGGCGCGGAAGTCTCGCGTGCTGCTGCTGCTGCTGCTACTGCTGTTTGTTTTAAATTACACATCTCGCGAGAGGCGAGGTTGGGCCGCTTTGGCGCCGGCGAAGTGAAGCGGCGCGAAGGTTCGGCATGGAGCGCGCGGCGGCGGCGGCGCCTGCGGGGAGGACGGTGGCCGGGAGGAACGCGAACTTGCCCTGGTATAGCGCTATCAATCGATGAAGGGCGGGCGGGGAGTGTGCTGTTGTTGCTAGGAGGCTGCGTGATGGGGGCCATTAGTTCCTCCCCCCCCCACTCCCATAGTTTCTTTTCCGGAGGGCAGAGGGCTTATATTCTGCGCCAGGACTCCGCTCCGGAACCTGTTTCCCAAGCTAGGATTTTTCCCTTGGGGGTGTTCTGTGTAAATCATGCCGAGAGTGTCCCAGAGCATGTGCAGAGTGTTCTCCTCGCTCACCTTGCTGTTCTCTTTATTCGTTCCGCTGCATCTTCATCCACGGAGCTCAGGGAAGCAATGAGCACGGTGCCATAGCTGTCAATGTTTCTCTTTTTTTTAAGGGAAATTCCCTTATTCCGAATAGGATTCCTCGCAAGAAAAGGGAAAAGTTGACAGTAATGCAGGGTGCTCTCTTTCCACCACCCCCTCTTCCTGGTGATAGTGGTGGTCATAATAACAACAAGAATAAAAAAGTGTATTCCCGTGTTGTGTGAATACATAATAACTGCAGCCATATATTGTAGGATTCGTTTCGGTCCCACACTTGGGATCTTCTGTCGAAAGGTAGTAAAGGCATATGCGCAGTGCCAAAGAATGAGGGGATAAGTGCCAGCCTCAAGGGATAAAATGACCCATTTTGATATGGCGGTAAGCGTCTGGGGTGGGGATTCTTGTTTGGGAGGGCCATTCTCTGCTGGGGTGAGTAGAAAGTGGTAAGCAAGCAAGGCAGCCTTTGAGCTCTTAGGCAATTCTCGTCGTCAGGTATGGGGTACCTTTGGCCCTCTGGATGTGATTGGATTAGAACTCCCATCATTCCTGACGATTGTCCATGCAGCCTGGGACTGATGAGAGTCCAGCCACACCTGGAAGCCCACAGGTTTCCCATGTCTGTTTTGTGTGTGTGCGTCTTATAAGATTTCTATCCCCACCCACCCAGTGTAGACAACCCTCACCTCCAAACTTAACTTGAAATCCGAAGTTGAGCAGTCCTGGATTCTATCAGTCTGTGGCCCCTTCATTCTGGCAAGGCCACTGTTAGAGGCAGTAAGCCCCTGAATTCCATTTGCTGGGAATCACTAGTTGTAGGGAGAGTTGTTGCCCTTGGGGGCTTCCCATGGGCACCTCTATCTGGCCACTGTGAGAACAGGATGCTGAACTAGATAAGCCTTTGGTCTGACCCAGCAAATCCCTTCTCATGTTCTCCTGTATGTGTAGATCAAGCCTACACCACATGTAGACAGGATTTCATCTGCATTCTGTCTTTTACTGACAGGGTAGAAAAATACCGACCTCAGACGCTGAGTGATCTGATTTCTCATCAGGACATTCTGAGTACCAGTAAGTATCACATACTTCCAGTACTTTTATTTATCACCTCAAAGCCTTTGGGAAACACATAGTTTCTTCTTAAAGCAGGTTTTCCTGATAGTGAGCCTCCCCAAGTCAAGCTGTCTCGAAAAGTACCAAAGTAAGGAAGGGCTGTTTAGCTTGTGATACACCTTGTGATAACAACAAGTGTGATGACAAGAAAGGAAGAGGACTAATATGGCATAGATGAAGGGTCATGAGCTGTGAAAAAGCATGTAATATCTGTATTCCTTATTTGCAGTGCGTTGACAAATGCAGCTGTTGCCTTTGGACATCACAACAAACCACAGTTTATTGTGACAGGAATGAGCCTTTGCAAGCGTCTCATCCTTTGGCATGGCCACCAAGAGATCAGACTTACCCATTTCAGATTAATCATATTTGATTAATCTCAGAGATTAATCGTTTGAACAAGTCAGCTTGATAACACATGGTTTGAACTTTGTTTATTTCAAACAAGCTGCAGTTAAAGTACAACCACAGTTTAGATTGCAACAAGCTTCATTAATAAAATAAAACAAGCAGAAGCTTTTGCTCTCACAGCCAAAAGGAGGGAGAGTGGAGTGACTTGGACCAACAGCTGTTTGGCCTGTCACCACCTGGTCGTTTGGTAATTTTAACTTGGTTTAAAGGTTGGAACCTGCTTATTTCTTCCCTCCATCCCTTTTGCCTTTTGTGTCATGCCTATCAACTTGTAAAAATTAAATTCTTAAATTGTTACCTTGAGCATCAGAAATGTCCTTTCACCTCTCCTACCAGTTCAGAAGTTCATCAGTGAAGATCGACTGCCTCATCTCCTTCTCTATGGACCTCCAGGGACTGGCAAGACTTCCACCATTTTGGCCTGTGCTAAACAGCTTTACAAAGACAAAGCATTTAGCTCAATGGTCCTCGAGGTAAGGTAACCGAAAGAGCTCATCATCTTCTCTAGGCTCTTGTGCCCATTCTCTGTGCAGAGGAAGTGAAGAAATCACGCTGCACGATTTATATTTTGTTAGCCTGCCCTATCCCACTACTCAGGAGTGACAATACTTTTCTTTGTTGCTCATCTTCCAACAAACCTGTAAGGCAGTGCTTTTTTCTTTTAAAAAAATGTTTAGGGGTACTCTCATTTTCCTACTCATATTGAAATACTGCCCCTCAATGAAGCCAAACCTAGATTCACAAAATGTTTAGGGGTATGCGTACACCTGCATCCCCCCCAGGAAAAAAGCACTGCTGTAAGGTATGCTGCTGACATTCCTGTCATAGAAAATGGGATGGAAAGTCAGAGTTTATAATGAGAAACCTACACGGGAGAGGTGGTGGAATAACTTAAGCTCTTGGACCAGCTTCACTAGGTGCCTGTTTGTCTCTGAGCTCTATGCATAGTGCTGGTTTTGACTTAAAGCTCTGTGTGACCTGGGAGCAAGAGTCTTCTTTTCTTTAAAAAAGAGTGTTGGCTTTTCCAGAGTTTTATTTTAGCAAGCTTCTGCAGATATGTGATCATAGGATAAGCCCTGCTGGATCAGTTCATCAAATCCAATATCGTACATCCCACAGTGGCCAAGCAGATGCCTCTCAGAAATTCATAAGTAGCTTGTGCAATATTTTATAGGCAGGGAGAATATACAGTGGTACCTTGGTTGTCAAACTTAATCCATTCTGAGAATCCGTTCAGTTCCTGGAACCATTCGAAAACCAAGGCACAGCTTCCGATTGGCTGCAGGAGCTTTCTGCATTCAGTTAGAAGCCGCGTCGGATATTCTGCTTCCGAAAAACATTCGTAAACCAGAACATTCACTTCCAGGTTTGCGGCGTTCGGGAGCCGATTTGTTCTGGAATCAAACCATTCGACAACCAAGGTACCACTGTACATTTTGGTAAAAAGGAAATAGGAGTGCTGACAACATACTGTGTTAAGTGGTATATACATTGTTGAAGCAAATTTTAAAAATACTTGTATCTGAACTACAGGATAGGAGAGTGTAAGAGAAGAAACAGGTCAAATCTCTCCATCTTTTCTGGCAAGAGGAAGTCCTTTATAGCAGAGCTGCACTAATTAACTGATTTTAAAATAGCACTTTCCTTAACTGAAACGGGATTTCCCAAACTTCTGAGTTCATTGACCCTTTGATGAGTTTATAAAGTTGTCATTGACCCCAGCCAAAATTCTTAGGAATGTAAATGCAATAAAGTCAAGAAATATATATCTATATATATTAAAAACATTTATTAATCATCAGTCATCATTACTAAGAATCACAAAATGTGAAAAAGAAGGAGGAAAAACAATAAAACAGCATGTTCTGAGAATACTATTGAATTGTGGAATTATTAGATATGGAAGTTTCTTGGTGGCAAGGGAGGGACATGCCCTTTATTTCTGAGACTCATAGCTCCTAATTATATTTCTCACACTGTACCTTACAAACTCCTCTCTGTCCCCAGGCCCTTTTTGACACGCCATCGCCCCCGGTCTTTATTCACCCACCTACACCTTCCCATTAATCCTGGGTTGGGGGGTGAGGCGGTCAATACAGACCACATTGGGATACCCTGAACTAAAATGCAAAAACAGAAATGTCACCCACCCTCCATGAAAGAATTGCTGCATACCTGCATCATCTGAAAACAAATGATGGGTTGTTGTTTTTTGCTTTAGAACCACTGTTGTTTTTTTCTTGCCTACAAACCAGTTGACTAACGCTCATATGATTTTAAATCCACAAAGATTTCGTTAATTGGATGAGAGCCCTGCTGTTTAGCAGTTGGTTTCAATGGCGTCTATATGGTGCTCACATCTATTTAATTGTTTTGATATGATAATAAAACAGCCTCCTCCTGCCTGCCTCCTCCCTGTATCCTTACTTCTAGTTTGTTAAATCCCACTTTCCTTGCTTTTCAGCTCAATGCTTCAGACGACAGGGGCATTGACATTGTCCGAGGGCCTATCCTGAACTTTGCCAGCACGAGGAGCATCTTTAAGTAAGTGCCCAGGACCCTCCGAGCCCTTCCTGAAAGTTCTCTCCCCCCCCCCCAAAAAAAACCCCTTTTGAAATAGTGTGGTCGATCCACCCACAGCCTTAACAGCCAGCACATAGGGCTCCTTGCCACCATGCGCCTCAATTGAACATAGAATAGGTGCCCCTGGGAGTGATGTGGGTTGGCGTTCTGTTGCTTCCTGGTGGGACTGAACAGAAAAACATACTCAGACCACTTTGTAAGTAATGCTTTTAACTGGATGCTTCCAGACTGGTTTTTAAGGATTTTCCATTCAAAAGCTTAGACCTGTCCCATCTTAAAACTGGGACAGACCAGGCTTCATAATAAGCCCCTCCCTCCCTAATACCGCGTAAAATTACTTGCACAGTTGATAGAAATAACATTAATGTGAACTTTTACAAAGAAGACCGTTGAAGCATGGTTGTATAACCCAATACAGAGAATACTTCTTAAAAGGGCTCTAGTTCATCTTTCAATTATAACAGCAAAGTAGAAAAACCCATTCCATGCCCTGAAAAGACTCGAATAAGCTAATCCAGTGGTCGCCAACGTGGTGCCCTCCAGATGTTTCCAGTCTGGTCATCCTTGAGCATTAGCTATGCTGACTGGGGCTGATGGGAACTGGAGTTAAGCAGCATCTGGAGGGAACTAGATTGGCTACTCCTGGGCTAATCTTCAAGGCCAGGGCAACCAATGTGATGCTCTGCATTGCTTGCTGGACTACAACACCCACCAGTCTTAGTCGTCTTGGTCCGTGGCCAGGGATGATGGGATTTGTAGTCCACGAAGATCTGTGAAACACCATGTTGGCCCCTCCTGTCTTACACCCCAACCTGAGTCTTTGGTCTCCAGGTCTGTCACAGAAAGATTCTGAAAGGTGACATTTTGCATACCCTGTGCCGTGTTTTTTAACTTAACCTTGCCACATTGTCACCTAAGCTCGTCACTTTCAACCGTAGCCCGGAGTCATTGTCCCAGTCGCCTGCTGAAGGTTTAGCCAGGGCTGTTCAAAAGATGTTGCTTGAAAGCTGAGGTGTATCCATAGAAAAACCTCTTTGCCAGGCTCGACTCCGCCTTTGTTTCTTGAAGATGGGTTGCATCTGTGTCTTTGTGGTTTGCTTGAAGTTCTGTGTCCAACGTCAGTCATCTTCTCCTTCCCTCCTGCTAGGAAAGGCTTTAAGCTGGTTATTCTGGATGAAGCAGATGCCATGACACAGGATGCCCAGAATGCCCTCAGGCGTGGTAAGTTTACCTTGTGCTGGGGGGAGTAATAGTGTTGCAGGTACAGCGAGCTCACGAGGGTAGCAGTTCCTAAGGCTGTTCCTGCAGCATCTCGAGGTTGCACTGAGAGAGGCTCCTGCTTGGCCCCCTGAAGAGCCTCTGCCAGTAGTGTAGGGTTCTCCTCAACGTGGAGCACCTGTGTTCAGTGTAACATGCACACAAGCCGGTTGGAGGGAAAGGGATGAGGAACCTGTGACCCTCCAGAAGTTGTATGCCAACTCCTGTCTGCCCCAGTTGCCACGACCAGCAGTCAAGAATGATGGGAATCGCGTCTAAGCAGCAAAGGGGAAGGGCAGCAGTGCAGGGGTAGAGCATCTTTTGCATGCAGAAGGTCCCAGATTCAGTCCCCAATGGTGTCTCCAGGTAGGGCTGGAAACATCCCATCTTGAACCCTGGAGAGCCACTGCCAGTCCGTGTAGACAGTACTGAGCTAGATGGACCAGTGGTCTGACTTTGGTGTAAGGCAGCTTCCTATGTTCTCAGCCTTAACTGCATTCAGTAGGCCTCTGTCCCTGCTTCAGCCTCACATGAGCTCATCTCTCTTCCCAATCCTTTGCACCACCTCTCCAGTGATAGAGAAGTTCACCGAGAACACCAGGTTTTGCCTAATCTGCAACTACCTCTCCAAGATCATCCCAGCCCTGCAGTCCAGGTGCACCAGATTCCGCTTTGGGCCCCTGACTCCTGAGCTCATGGTTCCTCGGCTGCAGCACGTCATCGAGGAGGAGGGGTAAGTAAAAAAGCGCAGCTGGGGGGCATCGTGGCTCTTCCCCTTTGACTGCGCCTGGCAACCGTCTTCCTCCGATTTGTGCAAATGTTGGAACTGTCGATCTAGCGTTGGGAACATCAGCCCTAGAGTACTTGATTACAGCTCCCATATCTCCTGTGTATTGATTGAGTTTTGAGGAACTGCAAGGTTGGAGGGGACCAGAAAGTCCTTTTCTTCTCTGACCCTTGAGACTCCACACACACACACACACACACACACACACACACACCCTGCCGACCATACCTGCCTCTGCAGCCATGCCCCTTCCCAGCCCTGCTCCACACCCTCCTTGAGAGTTTTTGCCTGTCTGGAATGTGTCCTTGAACTCTTGATAACGCCTCTCGCTTGCCCAGCTGGTGTGTTTGTAGAAATTAGCCTTCTGTACAAAGGTAGACTACACATTAGTGGGCTGGGGGAAAAGTACATCTGGCAACCAATGTGCCACTTTGGTTTCAGATAGTACATGGGTAGGTGAGTCTAAAAAGCCTGGGACACAAATTTTCATGACCCTCTGGCCACCATGGTGGGTCATTTACCAGAAGTAATGTATTTAGCATTAACTCTGGAGATGTATAGTCGATTGTGACCAAACTAAGCCTCTTAGCTAAGCCTCCTAGGAGTTAACGCTAAATACATTACTTATGGTAAATGAGTAATAGCCACTAGAGGGCAGTGAAAATTTCTGTTCCATGCTTTTTAGACTCATCTACTATCTGAAACCGAAGGGGTTCCTTGGTTGCCAGAAGTGAAATACCTTGGCATTTTTTTCAGCTCTCCCACTACATTGCTTGCTCCTTCTGCATTTGGCCCTGCCCACCACCAGCATGTGGCCCTCAGAAGGTTGCCCAGAAAGCATTGTTGCCCTCAGGCTGGAAAAGGTTCCTTTCCCCCTGATTTATTCTGTCCTTTTTTTGTCTTTCAGAGTTGATGTAAGCGATGATGGGATGAAAGCCCTGGTGACGCTTTCCAATGGCGATATGCGCAGGTCTCTGAACATCTTACAGGTATGTATGGCTTCGGCTTTCTGTAAAGAGCCAGCCATCAGATCAGTTCCCTGCTCTCAGAAGAACGAGTCCTGCTGGATCAAGCCAAAGGTTTGCCAACTCCTGGTGTGTTTTCACCCTGTGGCCAGACAGTTGGGTGTGAAGACAACAGCTGTGCTGTGCGTCCCCCTCCTATTGTTTGTCCCCAGCAATGGAATTTGGAGGTGGCGGACCTTTGCTTATTGGTAGAGCACCTGCTTTCCATGCAAAAGGTCCCAGGTTCAGTGTGTGGCCTCCAGGTTTAGACTGGGAAAGACTCCATGTCTGAAAACCCTGCAAAGCGACTGACAGTCAATGGAAATGATACTGAGCTTGATGAAGCAATGTTATGGCTGGTTATAAGAGTTTTCTATGTTCCTACTTAATTCAACCCTTTATTTGGAACCATGGGGACTAGAAACTTTGGTTTATTTGTATTCTTTTATGGGAACGGCCACAGCTCGGTAGCAGTCATCTGCTTTAAGCATCTCCAGCTTGGGCTGGGAGAAGGTCCTTTCTGAAACCATGGAGAACCACTGCCAGTCAGTGTAGACAAAAGTGAACTAGATAGACCAGTGATTTTTCTCAGTATACGGTAGCTTCTGAAACCGGCACGTGTGTGTGTGTGTGTGTGTGTGTGTGTGTGTCCATGCACAACAGCAAATGCATTGTACTCTCTCTGGAAATAGCATATGGCTCTCTGAATTCAAAATACACACTGCACTGTGACAGTATGTGAAGAGGAGTCAGTGAAAGGTGAAAATGGGCCTGAGGGTTTGCAGCTCAGTGCCTGCCCTGCAACCCCCCTGCATCTTTGCAGCAGCCTCTTCTGTTTTGTAGCAGCCTGTAGTAGAGGCTCGTTGTTTCTTTTTAGAGCCATGACTTCATCTGCAGCCACCTGCTTCCTCCTTCACCCCTTGGATGCAGCACCCAGTTGGTGCCTCTCCCCACCCTCCCAAGTAGCATCTTGCTCCCTCCTTCCCTCCCTCTCAACTGGAGTTGCCAGATTCCTCCTAGTTCTTAACAGCATTTTGTATTGACACAGATTCACTAGCCCACCTAACTAACACACCTCCATAGTTGGAGGCAGTAAATGATTCTGAAGCCCCAGGTGGGGAGCGGCCTCTTGTGTTCAAATCCTGCTTGAGGATTCCCCCCAGGCATCTGGTTGGCCACCATGAGAAGAGGATGCTGGACTAGATGGGTCATTGGCCTGATCCAGCAGTTTCTCCTTAGCCGTCTGTTCAGGGATGGCGGGAACTGGAGTGCAGAAGCTTCTGGAGGGCCACAGCTTCCCCTGCCCTGGTCTTAAAGTGGAGGCTGAATCAGCTTTGGTTGTTGGTGTCAATGCCTTTGTTCCTTTGCTGCACAGTGGTTTCTCTTCTCTTTCCCTGCCAGAGCACATCCATGGCCTTTGGAAAGGTGACCGAGGAGACAGTCTACACCTGCACAGGGCAGCCGCTCAAGTCTGACATTGCCAACATCCTCGATTGGATGCTGAACCAAGATTTCACCACTGCCTATCGCAGTATCCTTTGAACCCCATGCCAAGCGGAAATCCACCTGCAAAGCATTGGGCATAAACGGTGCCCTATATTCCTGATGTCGGCTGTTGCGTTTGTCTGCCCTTTCCTTCTTCAGCTGCACTGGTCCCCCCTTGGGGGCTTTCAGATCTGGGTTTTCCGTGGGCACTCCAGTTCAGTAAGCAGGGATTCAGGTAGGGAATTGCATCCGTTCTATAGAATGTACCTGTCGTGGACTTGCAGGATGCAGAGGAGTGGTGAGAGACAGCAGCCGGGGAACCCCTAGGGAAGAAGGCTGAGGGCCAGGGGATTGGGACGATGAGAGATCAGAGGGAGAAGCAGCAGCAGACTGGGAGGAGGAGATGTTAGAAGCTGAAGAGGCAACAGGGTTTAGTGAACTGGGAGAAGCTGAGGCAGAGAACAGTTCAGACTCTGAGGTATAGGGTGGCGTGGAGGCAGGTTGCTGAAGAAGCCATGGGGCCTCCCTCTCCTGCTGCAAGCAGCTCGTCTCCCCTCTGGTCTCAAAGAACTCTGAGAAATGAAACTGGCAGAGCAGAAGTTAGTTGTGCGCAGACGCTGCCCGAAACTGTGGGCAAGACCCTGGAGAGGAGGAGTCTTAGTGGACACTGGGAAAGCAAGGACCTTCAATCCTCAAAAATGCTTCTTTGGTGGAAGATCTAGAAAGAGTTGCTGAGACCTCTAGACCTGATCTGTGTTGTTTCCTTGAATAAAGGGTAAACTTCACCTGCTTCAGGTGAGCTACTGCTTTGTTGATGACTCCTACCCTTACAGTACCTCACCTTGACACTCTGCCCAGATATCATGGAGCTGAAAACGTTGAAGGGTTTAGCTCTTCAGGACATCCTGACAGAAATCCACTTGTTTGTCCACCGAGGTAAAAAAAACCGCTTGGGGGTTGGAGGCTTTCTCTGTGTTCTGAGACAGATCAGAGAGGCTGATCCAAGAAAGCCGAGTGGTTCAGAGTTCTGAAACCATGACGGCTGAGCATGCCCAGTAGCTGTTGTGGTATTGCCACTGTAGAGCATGATAAAAGGGGGACATCTCTGCCTGTGACTGTGTGTCTGCATGTGTGTGCAGGTCCTGCATTTGGCAGAGAGGGACCTTAAGAAGGTAGCACCTTTTCCCAGCAAAGTGGTCCTAAATGAGAACTTGGAACCCTTGTGGTGCAAAGCTCACAGAGTTTTCCAAACTGTCACAACACATTAGTGCGTCAGTTGCAGTGTGTTGTGTGAACGCTCCCTGCACTTCTCCCAGGGCTGGAAAGGGGTTGGTTTAACCTCTGGTTTACTAGTAAAACTGAATTACTGCGTCATGAAATGATACATGTCTAAAAAGCGTGTCACCAACATGAAAAGTTGGGAAAGCTCTGGGATAGTGTGTTTGACTAGGAGCTGGGAGACCCGGGTTTGAATCCCCACTGAGGCATTGAAGCTCATTGAGTTACCTTGGGCCAGTCACTGCCTCTCAGCCTAGCCTAACTCCCAGGGCTGTTGTGAGGGTAAAATACAAAGTGGGGAAGAAGCATGTACATCCACCTTGAGCTCCTTGGAGAAAAAAGCGGTATATAAAAAGTGAGAAAGAAATCAAACAAAAGCCATATTCATAGGCCTGCATTCTCCTGTGCGAGATTTAAATTATGATCCTCAATAAATCAGCCTTGTGTTTAACCACTATCCTAGTAGCTATAGGTGACAAAGAATAGCTTGCAGGCAAGTGAATGGGGTGGTGGATGAGGACCTGAACACCCAGCATAGAAAAGAAGAGGCCACCTAGAGGGGGGAGCCCCCCGCCACCATTCTTCCAAGTCCAGCACAGAAATACGGCCATCTTCTGCCGGCTCTCAGCAGGCTAGAGAACAACTTTGCAGGCTAGTGACTTTTGCAAGCTTCTTTGCAAGGTTGTAATCGACAAGCATGTCTTCCGTGACCGTTGTGGTGGAATAAAAGGGATTGTTGCCTTTTGGAAAATGTCAGTGATGGCCTTTTCTTTTGCTCTACAGTTGACTTCCCATCATCTGTACGAATCCAGTTGCTGATCAAGATGGCGGATGTTGAGTGAGTGTCACTGTACCATAAAACCGTCGTCTCTGGCAGGCAGGGGTGGGGATAGCTGCTCTTGAGCAGTGACCCAGAATATTGGATACATTCCCCTTAGTGTTCAAAGCCCTAAACTCATTTTCCCCAAGCCCAGAACTCTGTTCCTTTCTTTCTTTTTAATAAAGTGTTTTAGGGTAAAATAGGCATAGCTCACTTAAACTTAAAGCACCAATTAACTGTTTTCCAGTTGTAAACTTAAGGGGTATATATAAACATGCAACATTAGCTGTGGGCAGTTTCTGGAAGACAGGGATAAAGTTGCATTTCTTAAATATTTTCTCTGCCCCATGAGGGCTAGAACCCTGCATGCTCTCTTCCTCACTGTAATGAAAGCCAAGATTGCCTGGTATGCTGGGTGGAAGGCTGATATGGGGTCCGAATGGGCAAGGTCTTGGGTGAGCTGCTATTAACAGGCTTGTCCTTAAACAGTTCCCCCTCCAACCAAAAGCTGCTTTAGCATCTTGCTATTGTCTTGTACATCTGTCTGCCGCTTTAAAAATACAACTGACCGGTAGGAAGACTCATCCTCCATCCTCTCCTTTTCAGGCACCGCCTGGCTGCAGGGACAAGCGAGAAGATTCAGCTGGGGGCCCTTGTTGGTGCCTTCCAGGTCACCAGAGACCTGATCACAGCAGAGGCTTAGAAAAGCCCCTTTCTCTCCAGCTTCTCGTCTGCTGTCCGGTCTACAGCTTCCGCTTCTGCAGCTCCAAAAGACAGAACTCCTGTTTGGCTGTGCATCGGCGTTTATGGTAGCTCTTTACTGAGCTCCCTCAGAATTTAGGGTCACCTTAAGGCAGGGGTGGGGAACCCCTACCCTGCAGGCCAGATTCGGCCTTGCAATACCATTCCTTGAAGCCATGCCCACCTGCCCCTCACCTGCCATCAGATGTGAGACAGGCTCCCAAGTGGCTACAAAGGAGCAATCAGGAGCTTGAAGTGAGCTTCAGTTTCTTCTTCCCTGGAGCAAGGCTGACTCCCACCTTCTCCCACCCCCCTTTTTAGCAGCTGGTTTCCAGTGAAAACTTTCGCCAAGTAGGCAGGACCACCCCACCAGTCAATCATATGATGTCACAACGACATCACGCGATTTACAGGTGGGTAGCCTCACCCACCTGCCACGGTTCATAAAACAGAAATGTGCTTTGGGGCAGAGGAGGGCAATTATTCAACATGGTCTCCAGGTCTAGATGGGTGCAGCAAGGTGCCATGCAGGAACAGAGGGTGAGCACCCTTGGCTTCCAGAGTGCGGGAAAAAGGAAAACAGCTGCCTGTGTCAGGAGCGAGTAGCTCCCTGGATGCTTCCAGACCGCCTAACTGCCGTCAGCCCCAACAAACAATCAGAAATCAGGGAAGTCGGGGTCCAGTACCATATAGAGGGCCACAGGTTCCCCTAAGTTGCTTGAAAGCATCTCTTGAAAGGAGATTCTTGAAGTATTGCCTTCCTCCTATTGAAATGCAATAGTGGTTTTTGTGTGTGTGTGTGTGTGTGTGTGTGTGTGTGTGTGTGTGTATTGTAATAAAGCCCGATTTTATTAGCACCTAGCCAAAGTGTCTTGGTTCAATACAGTTCTACATCCAGGGTGATAAGTAACCTCACCTAGTTTTTCTGCCTGGTGATGCAAGGCCAAACATGCTGCTAGTTGTGTGAATTGCAGATAGCAGGCATGCTTTAACATACATCAATAGAAGCTGCAGAGAGGCTTGAGTAGCAGGAGAGATGCAATCCAGGTGCTGGGAGCCAAAGTCACCTTGCCACCCACTGGCTTCTTGTGTGTTCCAGGAGCAGGATCCACTCCACCATGTCAGCCCTCCAGATATTTAATGCTGTCATCTTCTCCGTGCTAAACATGCTGCACTCTTCCAACCACTTCCTTATAGGACTTGATTTCTAGACTGGTCATCAGCCTCTAGCCACACTTTCTGTAGTTAGGCGTGGAAACCAATTGGCTTCATTTATTCTCCCCATGACAATACGTTCACTAGAAATCTTGATAAATGAACTCATGTTCAGTCCAACATTTATGTAGTGTACAGGAGTGGGGAGAGACATTTCTATGAGACTAGCCTTGGAAGGTGGCTGCATTAAAGGGTGCGGCTTCCAGATGAAAGAGATCCGCTTTCGCCTGCAGCTCCTAAGCCAGCCACATACTTCCAACCAGTGTCCAGAACTCTGATCTCTTTGACAAAGACTCTGCCTAACACATCACACGCATAAAGAGGCTAGAGAGGACAAAGCCCATATCAATGCCTTAAAACGTCTTGCACCATCATAGTGTCTCAAACTGAAACTTTTAACACCTGCATCTTTAGGGGGACCTGCCACCCTGTTGGGCCTCTTGCCCTTTCAAAATATTATCCAGGGCTAGGAGCAGCTGGCGCAAATTGTATAGCAGCGACAATAAACCTGTGGCCCTCAGAGGCTCCATCTCTCCCATCAGCCCTAAGTCCCACCGTTCCTCCAAGGAGCTCAAGCTAGTATAAACAGTTCTGCCTCTCCCTTTTATCCTCACAGCCGCCTTGTGAGGTACCCTGGGCTGAGAGATGGGTGATTAGAGCAGGGTCAGCCAGTAAGCTTGAGAACACAGGAAAAGACGGCTGGATCAGGCCATTGGCCCTTCTCGTCCAGCGCCCTGTTCTCACAATGGCTAAGCAGATGCTTGTGGAGGCCATCATGGCTAGAAGCCATTGATAAGCCTTTGTGAATTTGTCTAATCCTCTTTCAAAGCCATCTGAGTTGCTGGCCATCACTGCCTCCATGGTTCAAGTACGTTTCACGACTGAGCGGAGATTTGAATCCTATCCCTTCTTCCAAACACAGGTTGAAATAATTTGTTCTGTAGTTCAGAGTCTTCTCACAGAACAGCCAGGGAATGATGGGAGTTGTAGGTCAAGCTGCCTCCGAAGGGCCACAGTTTCCCCTGACCTGATTTATGCAAAATCTCTTCAACTGGATAGGTTGAACCTGGGATTTCTGCATGCAAAGTCTGTGCCCTAAGCCTTGATCTCCCATAAACTTTGACCATTATCCATGCTGACTGGAGCTCACAAGACCTGAAGTCAACAACAGCTGCTGAGTTAGATGTTCCTCACCCCTTTGCTATTTCTCCCTCTTCCACACACTGAATTCACTCGAATTACTTCAACTTCCTGCATGATTCTGTTGAAACTAACATAAGGGAACCTCCTGCCACATCTCAACCTCAATTCTTTTGGGAGGGGGGGCGGAATCTGCTCCAAAATGAACTATTAACTTTGAAATACAGTGGTACCTCTCGTTAAGAACTTAATTCGTTCCGGAGGTCCATTCTTAACCTGAAACTGTTCTTAACCTGAGGTACCACTTTGGCTAATGGCGCCTCCCGCTGCCGCCGCGTGATTTCTGTTCTCATCCTGAGGTAAAGTTCTTAACCTGAGGTACTACTTCTGGGTTAGCTGAGTCTGTAACCTGAAGCGTTTGTAACCCGAGGTACCACTGTAGTCCTCTACAGCCATAGCACCTGCGTTGAGGACATTCTTCCAAACCTCTTCCTCTCCATCCTAAACCAAGAGATGTTCAAAGCATCACTTTTAGTCCCTAACAGGACAAAAAGGTTAATCTTCTCCCTCCAGGGTATAGCAAGACCCCCTGCCTCCTGGCTTCACCATTAATGTTGAAGGCTGTGGTCCAGATCCAAAGAACAGCAGCCAGATCCAGGCCTGAGATACCTTAGTTGGTAGCGCATGAGACTCTTAGTCTTAAGGGTCATGGGTTCAAGCACCATGTTGGGCAAAAGATCCTTGCATTGCAGGGGGTTGAACTAGATGACCCCCCTGTGGTCCCTTACAATTCCATGATTTGCAGACTAACACCTGCAGGCAACAGTTCTTCCCCGGTGGCTCCCATGTAAGGTTTCGGCTCCCGATGTCCAAAAGGGAGTAGCTGCATTTAAATACAAAAGTCCTAGAGAAATGTACATCCTACAGGACTGCAGCAGTCAAATCTCTGTAGGGCTGACACACAAAAGAGATTCTTCCTATAGCCCATCTGTGCTTGTCCAGATATAAAAAGTCACTTTAACCAAGTAAACCCACACAAAAGGAGCAGGGGTGAAACCAGACCGTTTGGGCCTCCCTGCGCCGCAAAACACCAAAGCATATTGCACGAGCGATCGGCAAGGCCAGCCGCCCCCTCCGTCCAGCGGACCGCAGGCACTGCTCCGTCAAGCCACATCACAGCCTTACAAAGTCCTGTAGGTGAGGAAGTCCTTCATCTTCTTTGGGATGGGTAGCTTCAGCACCTGGTACGTCGTGAAGCAGCTGCGGAGGACCTTGCGGCACAAGTGCTTGAGGGAGGAGAGGGCCTGGGGAACCGTCCAAAACTGAGCATGGCCATCTCTTGTTCTACGACGAGAGGAAGGGATTGGGGAGGTGAAAGGAGGCTGCAGAAACTGTTCACTGTTCACTGTGCAAACATCAGGCCAGGTGATAGCAGGTTGCTGCTATCACGATCACCCATTTTTCATAATCAATCAATTCATTGTCTAACCTGCCCTTCCTCCCAAAGGAGCCCAGGGTGGCAAACATCAACAAGCTAACACCGTGCAATGTAAATCGATCTGTAGAGCTAGGAAACATGAACAAAACGATGGATGGGATCTGGGGAAAGCCCCCTTTCCCATGGCTACCAAAAGCCAGTCTTCCGCTGTTTGTTTTTGGAATGTAAGAAGTGGCTATATATGGGGGAATTTGCATCCATCTAGTTCAGTAACATCTGCATCTGTGGGTTCTCAAAATTTGGAGGGCCGCCACCTTCTCCTTGGCTGCATAAACTCATCCCCAGTGCGGCCCCCTACCCTATAAAAAGTATTATTTGGAATAGCAGTTTGCGAGACCCACTGACACAAGAATATTCACGTCATTCACAATGAATTGCACATTTGTTAAAAATCCAATTAAAACTATTTCGTTTAATTAATTCAACAAAACAGATTATCTTGATCCAGTGACACCAGCTCTTCAATGTCTGCCTGCCACTTGCATCCCCCTGCCGCCCCCTTACCTCTTAGCACCCCCACTAGGCAACCCCACCTCTCCCCAGGAGGTGCAGCACCAATTTGGAGACCACTGGTTTACACTAGCTGGCAGCTGCTTTCTGAAGTTTCAGGGAAGGTTCTCTCCTAGCAGTACCTGGAAATGCCAGGGATTGAACCTAAATCTTCCTCCATGCAAAGGTGATGTTCTGCCACTGGGCAAAGGCCATCCTGCCCTTCACTCTCCAAGCGTGAGGGCCAAGTCACATCTATGCCACACATTTAGAACACATGGCTCCCTCTCAATGCATCCTGGGAACTGTAGTTTGTTCTGGGAGTGGAAGTCCTGTGCGGTGAGGGGTGAACTACAGTTCCCAGGATTCTTTTAGGGACACAATGGCTGTTGAAGTGGTACAATAATGCAGAGGTGACTCGAGAAGTCTGGAACACAGGAAGGTGCCTTCTACTGAGTCAGACCATTGGCCCATCTCGCTCAGTACTGCCAACACTGACTGGCAGCAACTCTGCAGAGTTTCAAGCAGCGGACATTTCCAGTCCTGTCTGGAGATGCCGGGGATTTCGCCTGGGACAGAGATAGACAGATGCTATACTACTGTGCTATGGCCCTCCTCAACAATGCTTTAACGGGCAACTGCCACTCACTTTGCTCCAACCATGAGAGCTAGAAGCATGACTTCTTTCAAAGTGGAAGCTCTGTCTTCGCAGGTCAGTCGATGCCAGTTTCTTGGATTCATGCCCCAGTTGGCTAGAGTGTGGTGCTGATTAATGCCAATGTTGTGGGTTTGATCCCCCCACCTGTGTATTTCTGCATTGCAGGGGGGTGGCCTACATGACCCTCAAGGTCCCTTCCAACTCTATAATTCCATGATTTGGAAAAAGGAAGTTGCCCTTTGGCTTCCTGCCGAAGAACTTACCCTGTAGCAATGATCCCCCCGTGGGGGAAATAGGTGCAGCAAAGCCCATTCTTCACTGGGGCAAAGGCAACTGGGCTCCCCAGCTCCAAGGCCCAGATCCTCAGGAGCCTAGAGGAGAATAGAGAGGTACCCTTATCTGGAAAACCAGTCCAAAGAACATCAGAAGAGGCCCGCTGGATAAGGCTGGCCTTTGATACCATCAGCCATGACATCCTTCTGGGCTGTCTAGAGGAGCTGGGAGCACTGTTACACAGTGGTTCCGGCTCCTTCCTCCTGGGCCATGTCCAAAATGTGGTGTTGGGTGATGAGTGTTCAGACCCCTGGGCTCTCACTTGTGGGGTGCCTCAGGGTTCCATCTTCTCCCCCATGCTTTTTAACACCTACATGAAGCCGCTGGGAGAGATCATCAGGGGGTTGGGCTGGGTATTCATCAATATGCGGATGATACCCAGCTCTACCTCTCTTATCAGAACCAGTGAGGGCAGTGAAGGTCCTGTGTGAGTGTCCGGAGTCGGTTGGAGGATGGATAGCAGCTAACAGATTGAGGATGAAGCCTGACAAGACAGATGTACTATTCTTGGGGGACGGGGGCGGGCTGGTGTGGAGGACTCCCAGGTCCTGAATGGGGTAACTGTGCCCCTGAAGGACCAGGTGCACAGCTTGGAAGTCATTTTGGACTCACAGCTGTCCATGGAGGCACAGGTCAATTCTGTGTCCAGGGGAGCTGTCTACCAGCTCCATCTGGTATGCTGGCTGAGACCCTACCTGCCTGTAGACTGTCTCACCAGAGTGGTGCATGCTCTAGTAATTTCCCGCTTGGACTACTACAATGTGCTCTACGTAGGGCTACCTTTGAAGGTGACTCGGAAACGGCAATAAATCCAGAATGTGGCAGCTAGACTGGTGACTGAGAGTGGCTGAGACCATATAACACCGGTCCTGAAAGGCCTACATTGGCTCCCAGTACATTTCCGAACACAATTAAAAGTGTTGGTGCTGACCTTCAAAGACCTAAACAGCCTCAGCCCTGTACCTGAAGGAGAGTCTCCACCCCCACTGTTCAGCCCGGACACTGAGGTCCAGCTCCGAGGACCTTCTGGTGGTTCCCGTACTGCGAGAAGTGAGGTTACAGGGAACCAGACAGAGGACCTTCTCAGTAGTGGCGCCCTGTGGAACGCCCTCCCATCAGATGTCAAGGAAATAAGCAACTATCTTACTTTTAGAAAACATCTGAAGGCAGCCCTGTTTAGGGAAGTTTTTAATGTTTAATCCTGTTTAATGTTTTTAATATTTGGTTGGGAGCTGCCCAGAGTGGCTAGGGAAACCCAGCCAGATGGGTGGGGTATAAATAATCAGTTGTTGTTGTTGTTGTCGTCTGTGTCAGGGGTGGGATAACTGGGGGCAGGCAAAGGGAAGACTATGGCTTTCATGGCATCCTCCTGGGCTTCCCAGAGGCAACTTGCTAGCTGTTGAGAGCGTCAGAAAATCCTGGCTGTTTGGATCAGGCCAAAGGCCAAGCAAGCCCAAGCAAGCATCCTCCTCTTACAGTAGCCAGCTAGATGCCAGTGGGAAGCCCCCAAGCAGGACCCAAGTGCCACATCTCTCCCCACTTGCAGTTTCCAGCAACTGTTATTCAGAGGAATGCACTGCCTTCAACAATGGAAGGTAAAAGTTGGCCCCTGTGGGCTGTAGCCATTCTAGCACTGTGACCACTGACCACTTTATCCTCCACGCAAGCCATTTCCACTCAGCATTAGAAACTCAGGTATATAAACTAGGCACGAAATGGCTCCTTAAACCAAGGTTACAATCACCAAAAAGGAATGTCTAGTTGCCATTTTGGGGCAAGACAGCCTGAAAGTCTTATTTTTCAAAGGATGGACTGGCGGCAATTGATTCTCAGTTAAACATCTGGCTAGTTCAGATGACCACCTTGAGCCAAGTTAAGAACTTTGGGAACTGAAAGAAGAAAAGTCACTTGATCCAGGGACAGTCCACATATCTATCAGCCTATTCCTACCTCTCCCTTTTTTAATGGCAACATGGACCATTCATAACGTAAGAATGTTCTTCACAACTGTGAGCAGGGCAGTGGGGTGGGGTAACTGAAGGCAACCTGCAACAGTCAACAGGTTGTTCACTGCTGATGCTCAGGCTGCACAGAAATAGCATTTTGGTTCCTGAAATTCATCCTGATTGTGCAGGTAAAATATAACGGATAGAATTCTACAGGATGGGGTATTAGTGTGTAAAAACAGGCAAAATCCGATGATCCCCAGGCATGCACCTCCAGATGGTGATGTCAGAAGCCATCCTGGAGCCCAGGTGTCTTCACTTGGTTACAAATGGCCAATAGCAAAGTGCAAAATACGCCTGGATAATTTCAAACACTGTGTGCACTACCGCCAAGACACATTTGAACAAGGTATAGTGCCTCTCCCTTCTCTCAACCCTAACCCAAGCATCTTGGTCCTGACTTGAAGGCCCCCCATGCCAGGCAAAAGTACCTGGCCATCACCAATGGCCATCATTTTGCATGAAGAGCGCACCATGAACAGGAAGGCAATAGAAACTCACCTGTCATCTGCCACCGTCGCCAGGTAGAGGCCTTCAGGTGAGAAGCAGGCCGATCGCAGGGAGCTGGCATGGAAGTCAGCGCCATGGTCCAGGGCCGGCTGCAGCGGAACGTGGCTGCAGAAGAAAGGAAAGGTTGGCCTGTTTCCCTCCAGAAGTCAGGAGAGATACCTTCAACCTAAAGGGGTCATTCTGTTACCCATCTTTGAAGATGGCTATCCCAGAAGAAACTTAGAAGGGAAGATCCAGTATGAAACAGCTGAACTGCAGCTTATCAAAAAGGTCTGTTCAAGTCTGAATAGAAACCATGGTTTCCTGTGCTGCTACGGTTTACTCAGCAATACCAAGGTGGCTGTGTTATCACCAGTTAGTGCTGCTGGGAAGGCTCATTTTGCACACATTAAAGCTTTCAGATACAAAGAATCGCCCAAGGCAAAAGGTTTCTGCGTTGCAGGGAGCTGGACTAGAAGACCCTTGTGGTCCTTTGCAAGTCTACAATTCCTAAGATCCTAAGATTTCTTCTCAGTGGCTAAAAAGCTCCTCTTTCATTCTGGCTGGGCAGCTCAAGGGCTTAGGGCACAGAGACTCTGTTGCAGAAACAGTCGAGGGTGTTTTGACACACCCACCACAACTGCAGACCACCTCACTTCTCCCTGTACACCAAACATCCGCCTTAGCATTACCCTTCAGTCAGTCAAAACCAGCATTCCCCTGGAGCACAGTAGTGTTTTCGTCTCAAAACAGGGGTGGGACAGGCAAGAAGTGCCAACCAAAAACACTGCTTCCTTGGCAAAGCCAGAGGCCTGCACCCCTTCCGATAGCTGACTCCCTTACCAGAGGGATTTCAGCTGCTCCCCTGTGCAAGGATCCCAGAGGATCACATAGGTGTCGTACGAGGCAGTCGCGAGAAGTGCAGAGTCCGGGGAGAAGGCACAGGACACGACACAGCCCTGGTGCCCCTCCAGTTTCCTGAGGAGGCTGTAGGAATCCATACTCCATAGCAGGGCCTGCAAGGGAGGCAAAAATCACTTTAAAAACAAACAAACCAGACTGTTCTCAAAGGCCTGCCGGGATAAAACAGCCTTCACTTACTTCCCAATGCGGCCCCCAGAATGTGCTCTAGAAGGGAATGTGGCCCTCAGGCCGGAAAAGGACCCTCACCCCTGACCTTGAACTTAGATATTTTGCTGTTTGCTTAGTTTGCTGTTTGATGGGGAATTTATTGGAAAGCCTGTTTCTTTTCAAAATGGCCTGGTAAGAACACACCCTAAATAGAGCTTGACAGCTGCTGCTATGGGGTCAGAGGGGCCACTCACAGTCTTCACCACCACTCAGGCAAGACCCACCGATTTCTCTCCAGCTGCAGAGCACAGCATGCGACCATCAGGGGAGGTGCAGCAGCAGTAGACCCACCGCATGTGTCCAGAGAGCACCTTCAATTGTTTCCCTGGGAAAATTGAGAAAAGCATTAGCAAGTTAGAGTCATAAATCGTAGAGTTGGAAGGGAGCCCAAAGGGCACCTATTGCATCTATATACAGAAGACAAATCACATTGACTCCCACAAGCCAACGTAGAAAAAACATATATGATCCAGAGTGGTCTGGAGACAGGGGGCATGGCCTAGGGAGAGTTCCAGGGACCAGACAGAGGGGCCTCGAGGGCCACGTTTGGCTCTCCTAGCGTAATCTGCTTTTCCCATTTTTTCCCAGCCAGCCTGAAGAGAAGCAGGAAAATGCAAAGGCGTTTAGCTTATAGGCCTGTAACAAAAAAATTAATAACCCAGAAGTCACCTCTGAAAATGTGATCTATATGCCCAATTGCTATGCCACTAAGTTTCCTGCCAAACTGCCCTGGGCTGCGTACACAGCATACAATGAAAGCACATTCCGCTGCCCTGCCCAGAGAATTGTGGGAATTGTAGTTTAAGGGGGCTGAGAAGGGTGAACCACAGTTCCCAGGATTCTTCAGGGCAAACCAATGTGGTTTAAATGCGCTTTATGCTGTATGCCCATTTCCCAGACCCAGACAAAGGACCACATCGCTCACTCTTACCGTTTTGACTCAGGTCCCAGACGCGCAGGGTTTTGTCACGCGAGGCGGAGATGAGGATTGAACGGCTGTCACCAGGTGCAAAGCTCAAATCTCTCACCACGTCCTGATGTCCCGAGAGGTTGAACAGCAAGCGCCCTGGAAGGAGCAGCAGACGGCAAGGCGTGATTACCACCACCCCAGAACCAGAACCATATTGTTCTAAAGGTAAGTTAAAGGGACCCCTGCCCGTTAGGTCCAGTCATGACCGGGGTTGCGGCGCTCATCTCGCTTTATTGGTGCACGGAAACGCTGTTTACCTTCCCGCCGGAGCGGTACCTATTTATCTACTTGCACTTTGATGTGCTTTCAAACTGCTAGGTTGGCAGGAGCAGGGACCGAGCAATGGGAGCTCACCCTGTCGCGGGAATTCGAATCGCCGACCTTCTGATCAGCAAGCCCTAAGCTCTGTGGTTTAACCCACAGCGTCACCCGTGTCCCATTGTTCTAAAGAAGATGGGTCAATTGCTCTTGATGGGCCTAAAGAGGATGTAATTCAGGGGTGGGGAACCTGCAGCTCTCCAGATGCTGCTGGAATACAACTCCCATCATTCCCACCCTTGGCCACGCTGGCAGGGACTGATGGGAACTGGAGTCTAGAAATACAAGGAGGGACATAGGTTCCAAGACCCCTGATGCGCTCATTTATTTATCAAAGCGGTTTACAACATACGATTTATCCAGAGCTGATTCAGCTTCTCCTGCTTCAGAAGTTACGGAGAAAGAGAGCTCTCCATCATCAGCATACTGGTGTACACCTTGCTCCAAAACTCCTAATGACCATTCCCAGCGCTTTCAGGTATGTTAAATAACACTGGGGAGAGGAGAGGAGCCTGCGCCAGGGGGAGAGACATACATGGACCAATTTCCTTCATTCCCTCACATTCACATTCAGACCTCACGCTGGTAAGAATGGGTGGCAGCTTCAGCAGACATTATTGGCTAAAGGGGAGTGATCGTAGACTCCTACAATTGCAGACTTGGAAGGGACACCAAGGGTCATCTAGTCCAACCCCCTGCGATGCAAAGACCACCTTCGTTTTTTCCAGCAGAGAAGAACAGAACCAGGTTACCTGTCTGCACCTCCCAGACTTTGATTTGCCCATCATTCAGGCCAGTGGCGAGGACCAAACACGCAGGACTCGGCGCCCACAGGATGTGTTTCCTTGAACGGGAAGGCAGCCAGGAGCTGAAGGCCAAGCCCCAGACGATCTGCCCACACTCCAGCGTCTTCTCCTTGACCCTGCCACGGCCCCTGGCCTCGGCTTTCATGCACTCCGAAGCTTTGCAGTTCCTGTGGGGTGCAGGCAGGCAGGTCACCTAAGGCAGTATTGGTCTCTGTTCCCAAGGAGCTTACAAGTCCAGCATAGGGCCCGTCTGAACAATGCAGTTAGAGCTGCACTTTAAACAGTCATGGCTTCCCCCAAAGAATCCTGGGAAGTGTAGGCCATTAAGAGGGGATGAGAGTTCTTAGGAGACCTGCATTCACCTCCCAGAGCTACAATTTCCAAAGTGGTTTAATGGGTGATCCCTCTTCCCAGGGAATTCTGGGAACAGTGCCAGATTTAGGGTGGTAAAGGGACCCCTGACCATTAGGTCCAGTCCTGGACGACTCTGGGGTTGCGGCGCTCATCTCGCTTTATTGGCCGAGGGAGCCGGCATACAGCTTCCGGGTCATGTGGCCAGCATAACTAAGCCACTTCTGGCAAACCAGAGCAGCACACGGAAACGCCATTTACTCTGAGGTGCTTTCGAACTGCTAGGTTGGCAGGAGCAGGGACCGAGCAACGGGAGCTCACCCAGTCACTGGGATTCGAACCGCCAACCTTCTGATCGACAAGTCCTAGGCTCTGTGGTTTAATGGGCGGTACAGGGAAATTGCCCAGGGCACCAAACTGAGGGGGCACAAAATAAATAATAATAATAATAATAATAATAATAATAATAATATCACCTATATTTATATAGGTACCTACTGAGAAGATCCATAAAAGAGCAACTGTACCAAAAGGGATTATTGTGAAAATAATATAAAAATTGGAGGAAGGGCGGTGATGCCAAATTTTGTCCTCGCTCAGGGCACCATATTACGAATTCCAGCCGTGATGGGAACTGTAGCTGTGTGAGGAGAATACGGTCTCCTAACAACTCTCAGTAACATAACCCACCCGAAGGTCCCAGGGCAGGTTACAACAATTAAAGCACAATATTAAGAACAGTTTAAAAAACAACCGACACCCACAGAAATCAAGTGGGTCCTAAAAATAAAAGAAGCCAGCACAGAGACATGCCTCCAGCATTCACCAAAGACTATACAGTTATTCCTTGGGTTACAGACGCTTCAGGTTGCACTTTTTCCGGATACGGACGCACCGAAACCCAGAAGTACCGGAACGGATTACTTCCAGATTTCAGCGCTTGCGCATGTGCAGAAGCACTAAATTGCACTTTGCACATGCGCAGAAGCGCCAAATCACAACCCACACATGTGCAGACATGGCGCCGCGGGTTGCGGATGCTGCGGGTTGCGAACGTGCCTCCCGCATGGATCACATTCGCAACCTGAGCGTCCACTGTATAATGAAGGGTACCAGACGCACCTCTGTGAGGAAAGAGTTTCACAACTTAGGGGCTGCCACAGAGAAGGCCCTTTCTCGGGGTTGCCAGCCCCATGAGCTTCTGAGGGTGGTGGAGCAACCTAAAATCCCTCTCTGCCTTTCTTAATGATGAGTCGTTTATGGCTTTAAGCACCTGAAACTGGGCCCTGACATGAATAGGCAACCTTAACAGACTATACTTCCAGGATCTGGGGGGGAGCCATGATTGTTTAAAGTGAAACAACGCTGCTTTAAATGTATAATGTAAATAGGGACTTCACCTAGCAAAGAAACAACAGCTAGAGAGCCAAAAGTAGCTCCAGACACACACACCCCCCGCCCCGTCAAGATGGCTACTCACTGCTGGGTTCCCTCCAAAGGCCATGGGAGCAGCTTGACAATGCAGTGGCCCTGAGACCAGGCAAACCACGTGCCGTCCGGGGAAAAGGCCACGCTCCACGTCTCGCAGCTGGATTTCCAGTCATATTGCTGAGGCTGCCCTGGCTTTAGCTCGGCCAAGAGGATGGGCTCTCCTAAGGCATAAGACATAAGGGAGGGGGAGAGAGAGAGAGCGCTTCCATCATTACCTGCTGGACCCCTGGAGGACCCTGAACACTGCTTGTGCGCTGGATGGTAAGGAAAAGAGAGACTCGGGGGGGGGGGGGGAGGCCAGCAAATCCATGTCAACGTCTCCAACTGGCAGCTCTTGAGGCCTCAGGACTGGGAAGGGGAGAGAAATGCCACCTGCGGATTATTGCCTCCCACCCACTCTTTTTTGGGGGAGGTATGGTTTTTGCTCTGTTGCTGCTGTCGGAAAGGGATGGAGGGTCCTTGCTGTGGATGCTTGTGGGCAACAACTCATACCACCACCCCAGGTGAGAGCTGGATGGAATGGAGAGGGAGGGGAGAAAGATGCTGAGTTACTCGGGGGCCGCAAAGTAAGTTGCCACAGAGTGGGGCCCTCTTTGTGTGAGAGACAGAAAGGAAGTGGGCTACCAAAATAAAATAAACACATGAATGAATGAATGAATGAATGAATGTGAAACATGGGGTGAGAATTGTCATTAAAACCACTGGTTGCTTCATATGTTTGAATGCACTGCTTGTTTTTCACCTAGGGATTTGGCTAAATTGGAAATATAAATTTTTGCTTCCCTGATGACAGAATTGTTACGTCATTTATTGGACGTGTTTATGCGATTTTTGCATATTTTTATATTTATCGCATTTCTATCTCAACTTTTTCTTTAAGTTTTTATTTATACTTTTCAAGTTTATACATTTCATTAGTTTTACAATCAAATTAACATTTCAAATTCTGACTTCCTTTCTCCTCTTTCTGCATATCCAAATTTATTTAATTTGCTCATTTCACTGGGCAACAATTTTTTACTTTTTGAATGTTGTCTAGATTTCTACAACTGATTTAGGGTATTTTTGCACTGCTGAATCAGGAAATGGCATCCGTTTCTCTCCATCAGGTCAGGTTTACTGTAAACTGAATGGTGGGCATTGATAAAGGTAAGTACACGTAAATTGCATGTTGCTTCACCATTTTTCAAACTTCAGGGCTTGAACTTCCGTTTCTTGGAACTCCTGGAATGCTCAGCAGCAGGGAGGTCTCTCTTCAGAGTCCAACAGTAGTCAGCCATCATGACTGCGTCCCAGCGACCCTGATACCTGGTCTCCATCTCTTTCATGTCCTGATGGAATCTCCCCCTGCTCGTCACTCTTTGAACCCAGGTTCTCAGGAAACCGGTCCATATGTGAAAATAGGTAGTGCATCTTGACGCTCATGTTGCAGCCCAGGTTTCTGAAAGCAGTCAGCATGTTGTTGACAAGTTCTGCGTAGTTTCTGGCCTTATTGTTGCCAAGAAAGTTCTTCACTACCAGAACAAATGCCTTCCACGCTTCCAGTTCCACTTCGTTCATTGAGTTTCCAAACTCTGGATCTCTGATGAGCTGATGGATCTGAGGACCGTCAAAGATGCCAGCTTTCAACTTCTCCATGGTCAATCCTGGAAAAGCCTGGCACAAGTAAGTGAAGCAGTCACCATCCTTGTCCAGAGCCTTGGTGAACTGCTTGATTAAGCCAAGCTTGATGTGCAGCGGTGGGAAGAGTATTCTGTCTCTGTCCACCAGAGGGTCGTTGATGACGTTCCATTTTCTGCAAGGCACCAATTCCTCCCGCACAGGCCAGTCCTTCTTCGTGTAATGCTGAGCACGGTCCCTACTATCCCACATGCACAGAAAACATGGGTACTTGGTGAAGCCAGACTGTTGTCCCAACAAAAAGTTCACCATCTTCAGGTCAACACAAATAAACCACTTATGCTGATCATAACCAATTTTCTCCAGCACATACTTCACCGCTTCATAGTTCTCCTTCAGTGTACTCGAGTGAGCCAGGGGTATAGAGGCAAACTGGTTGCCGTTGTGTAGCAGAACACATTTCAGTGATCGCTTGCTGCTGTCAATGAACAGTCTCCAATCTTTGGGTTCGTACTGTGGCACTCCAAGCTTGAGCAGAAGCTGCGCAATATCTGCACAGTACACCAAGTCCTTCTCTTCCGAGAAAAACGGAGGTACTCTTGATGCCTGTTGTGGAAGAAGCTGATGCGAGCACTGTCAGAGAGGAGGTTTTTTCCTTCAATCTGGATGCCAACAGTTCGGCAGAGTCCTTTGACAAGCTGAGGTCGCGAACTAGATCATTCAACTCCTTTTGGGAAAATGGATGTGGAGCATCATCTTCAAGAACCACTTCTTCTTCTTCATGTCCTTCAACACTGGAGGCATCTTCATCACTAATGTCAGGAAGTTCTCCGAAGATAGGCACTGGAATTTCATCACAATGAGCTACAAAACAACATGCTGATTGAAGATCAGGATACTTCGAGGGGCGGCTGCCCCATTAACTTAGTTTTGATCCCCCAACTTTATGCTTTGCCACACCAATTTATGGAAGATTTCGAGGTTTTATGACTTCAAACTGATCCCTTTTTGACATAATCACCCAGAACTATCGGACCTGAATACTTCTTGTCATTAAAATAATCATTTCCAATCAAAACAATTATTCGACATGGCATTTTACCCCCACCAACTTCTTCTAAAATGCTCCACACAAGCGTACATGTGAACAAAAACGTAAAAAAGACATGTGGCCATAGCTCAAAAACTTGACCTGATTGAGCAAAACCAATGTGATTTTTGGATTCAGCGCATCAGATTCGTCCTAAATCAACTGAAAAAACGCAGACAACAAATTTGTTGTTGACCAGTGATCTACTTTAAATATAGACTCTTATGAAACTGCTAAGGTTTTCATCTGTTTGCAATTTATCTGTAAATATTCAATAAACCATTTCCAATCTTTTATAAAAAGTTTGTTATCTTGATTTCTTATTCTTCTGGTAAGTTTTGCCATTGCTGCATATTCCATAAGTTTTTGTATCCATTCTTCCTTTGTTGGGCTACCTCAACTTTTTCTTCAAGGATCCAGTGGTTCTCCCCCTCCTCATTTAATCCTCACATCAACCCTGTGAAGTAGATTAAGCCAAGAGGGGATTTGAACCCACTTCTTCCAGGTCCTAGTCTAACCACTACACCACACTGGGTGCTTTTCCTCTGTTTATTTTTACCTGCTCTGGGATTGAAAGCATACAGTGAAGAGCAGTTTATAAATTCTGCTGTTAATAATCATAAATGTTGGCTGTTCGCTGTCCATTTCAACACCTCCCAAATCCTGGAGAGGCTGAGGTGTTGCCAGTCGGTGTAGACAGCACTGAGCTTGATGGGGGCACTGGTCTCACTCAGGCAGGTTCCTATGGAGCAACTGTCCTTTCAGAAGTTCAAAATGCACCTTTCGCAGCTGAAGCGTTTAACTCAATAAACAATTCACTTTAATTACCTTTATATCCTCCCCTTCCTCCCAGTTGCTCAAGGTAGTGTTCAGAGTTCTCCCCTACCCATCCCATCCTCCCAGCAGCCCTGTGAGGTGCGTCAAGCTGAGAAACGAGTGGCAAGCTCAAGATCACCCAGGGCGCTTCCTGGATCTATGGGGATTTGAACCCTGGCCTCCCAAGTCCCAGGTCCGGCGCTCCATTGCACTATACCAGTTTGCGTTAGTTGCGCAGGTCTGAACGCTGCCCAGCTGATCTGACTTTGGACGGCTCCTCTTGAGACGCGCTCATTGGGTGCTTTTTGTACAGCGCGAATCTGGACATGCCTACTCAGAAGTAAGCCCCACTGAGAACAGGACTGACTCCCGGGTTATACACCGGCGGCAGCGGGGAGTTATCCCTGGGCGTGAGAACGGAGATGCCACCAGGTCCCCATTTTTCGGCGGCGAAATGTTGGACGGGGCGGGGAGGGAACCGCGGCTGCTTTTTCCTCTCACTTTCTCTCTCTCCCTTTCCCACCCCCACCCACCCACCAAAGCCAACCCCCCCGGGGGTTGGGGCTTTCACAAAGGCGGCATAACACGCGTGCGATCGCCCGTCGAGCCCGCTCACCCTCCGCCGCTTCTCTCTCCGCAGCCGCCGGTTCCCGCAGCGGCCGCTGCTGTCCAGGCTCCCCCGGAGGCGCCTCCATCCGCACCGCATCGGAAGCGGCCGATCCCGGCGACAAGGTGGAGATTTCCTCTTCCAGTTCCGACGGCCGTCACCAGTCACGTGACAACACGGCTCTGTGGGGAGGGGGAGGGGCGCGCGGGGGAGACATTCCTATCCAAGCGCGTGGGAGGGGTCGACCTTTAGGTCCTCGATTGCCCCCAGCCGCCGACGCCGCGCCTTTCTTCTTTGCGCCCTGGGCGCACCACCCACTGAAAGGCGAGGCGCGCCTGGACGGTCGGTGACTCTTTTATTATTGTGTTTTAATTGCTGTAACCCGCCCTGGGACACGTATAGAGAAAGAGAGCGCAATTAAGACGTTTTGAGATAGATGCGTTTCAGCTGATGGGCGGGCTCTCCTTGGGAAATTTACTCAGAATAAAAATGCTTTGCGTTGACGCGGCTTGCAGCCTCTAGCCTTCTCTCTGTGGCTTTAGCGCACGGATCAGACTCGAGCTTAATGTGGCCGACTTCCAAGTCAATGAATGAGTAGCGCTGCAGGTTTCGATCTGCTTAAATCTGTGGGTATATTGGCCCCTCCAGAGGGCTGGTGCTTCCTGCAACATGTCATCACTGTAAAAACCTTGGACCAGTCATTGTCTCTTAGCCCAACCTACCTCACAGGGTTGTTGTGGGGATCAACAAGAAGTGGGGGGGGGGCACTTGGGACTTCTTGGAGGAAAAGATGGCACATAAATGCAATGAACAATTGGGGAGACACCCGGAGAAAACATGCTGCTTTTGTCATCAGTGACCAGGAAAAAACCCCAAATATTTATAAAAACAACTAGACGGATACAATTGCCAGAGTAAATTAAGAATTAGACGCTTCAAAACGCAAAAGGGCATCACTGAGGCCCTTATCACTAGAAATTTTGTGGGGTTTTGCCGTCACCTTATGCAGATCCAGAAGAAAAGTCACATGACAACTGGCTGAGGGCTTAATGACGGAGCTCAAGGTGGTGCAGGTGTCCCTCCTCCCTGCTCCTTCAAATCCCCCCCCCCCAACCCTGTGAGGCATGTTAGGCTGAGAGGCAGTGACTGACCCAAGATCACCCAGGGAGTCCTAGTCTGATATTCTAACCGCTACACCACAGAATGATATGACATTCAATCAGGCACTCAAGAAAGCCATTTTGGGGTCCCTACACACTGGTTTTGTGTATGGTGTTCAACATATCATTGAGGCAGTAATGGTGCATTAAAGGTTGATTGAGCCGGGATATTGTTGGAGGGGGGTGTAGTTGGAGGAGGGTTGTGGCTGTTGGTTTTTTCTATCTTCCTTTTAGATTTTGCTGCGATTTATGTGGAAATTACCGGTAATCAGTTTGGTTTTGGATTTTTTAAATGTTTAATTTATTGTTTATGACTACTTTTGTCCTGAAGTAGTTATGTATTATTCCCGTGTTGTAAGCTGCCTTGAGCATGGTTTGAACTGTGCAAAGCAGCATACAAATTAAATTATGCATGTATGGTACAGGACTGTCCACATATCATTCAGCTTCATTAGTTCTTCTGCTATGCTTCCTCACATGTTCCCAAATTCTTGCTGCCTGGAGGGGCACTTTTACACTATAGTGCCACAAAATGGGGACACAGAAAAACCCAGAATGCTTGCAGTGGGAAAAGTTACAGCTGGAAGTTGCAGAGTCTGCATTGATTGCAAAGCAAATATGACTATCCCAGAACTTTTGCAGGGGCAGATAACACCAATGTTTACGTTCTTACGTCATTAGATAGCAAACCAGGAATAAACTGCCCTGGCTATCCAAAATCTGGGAACAGATATCCAGACCTCCCTTACTTAAGTTAAAAAATATACAAACACATTGGATGCAAAATACACATTTTTATTCCATAAGCAAAAGATCACCTCCACAGTTAGGTTCTCCAGAAGAAAAATCTGTGTTTCTACAACTCTTTGGAACTGAGTTTGAGACCAGCTGTTGCCTCCAGGTAACAATTCTTTCTTAAGCGAGCAGCTTACCAAACCCCACAGCCCAAGCCAGCCTGTGGCACACAGAAACACACAAGTAACTGGATGGGCTAGAAAATTGATTTTGGAAGGGGGCACAGTCTACTCAAACAGGCCCCACCGAAATGAGTGTGAGCTGATCTGTACTCCTAGATGGCTCCCATTTGCTTCAGTTGTGCTCACTCAGGAAACCATCCTGGAGGTCTGCAGCTACCATGAACTGGTGACATCATTGGGGGTTTTTAACCCATCTGCAGAATGGGCTTATGCAGCAATAGGGCACAATATTTATTTCATATTAACTACATTCAGTGTTTTATCGGGTAAGGCCTCCACTGGCATAACCCAGATTCACGACATCCCCAAATTTTGTCTGAAAGACATAAATAAGATTCCCATCTAGTGTTTTTAGACCAGGGCATCTAATGCTTTATGATCGTAGGATTCTACAAAGGAGATCTGAGAAGCCTACAGACTTCATTCTTTCTCCATAGGCCTTGCTTTATTGCACCACTCCGCAGCTCACAGCAGCCTGGTACCTTTTCAGGTTTACATTGCCCCTAAACTTGAAATTCATTTACTGCTGAAAACCCCACACAGGAGGCAGCCTTATGCAGAATCATGCCTAAACAGACCAGCAGTGGCTCTCCAGGATTTAGTCTCTCTTAGCTACATGGAGATGCCATTTGCGATTGAGCCAGGGGCCTGCTGCATGCTCTTCCACTGAGCTACAGCTCTTTCTCTAAAAGACACAGGAAAACAGTCACTTGTCCATCAAGCTCAGTATTGCCTACAGTGACTGGCAGCTCTCCAGACAGGGAGTCTTATTCCAGTCCCAACTGGAGATGCCAGGGACTGAACCAGGGACCTCCTGCATGCAAGGCAGATCCTCTAGTCCCTGAGCTACAAGCCCTTCCCAAAAGAGAATCCCAGAACAGAAGGAGTTAAGAGGGGTACATTCAGCTTGCTTAAGGCCACAGAGGAAGCATCGTTGTGCCAGCTGCCTCCACTTTGCTGTAAATACGCAAGCCAATGAATCACAGAATTGTAGAGCTCAAAGGGACCTCAAGGCTCATCTATTCCAACCCCCTGCAATCCTGCCCATAGGCATGGACAAGGATCAGAAGAACCCAATTCATTTTCATGCCAAGCTGGGCAAACGGAACTGGGTTCAAGACAACCCCCTCCTTCCAGCCCTTCAAGCTGCCCTGGAGGATCTCTTGCCCAGCGAAGCTCCTTCCTAACACAGCCTGGATCTTTCCATCTTGCTCCTAAGGAAGGAAACTGGCCTGCTCCTGCCCCCTCCCTGCACATTTCCTGTATCGCTGCCATGAAGTTTCAAGCTCAGTCTTTTTTTTCTTTAAAGGACGAGAGGAAGGAAGAAAGAGCAGGCGGGAGAATTATGAAAAATGTGGAAGGGCATGATCAAGACGGGATGAAGAAGGCCTCTGAGAATGATCTGGCTGCCAAGTGAACTCCTTCCTTCTCCCCGGGCCAGGATCAGAGCAGAGTTACATTGCGGTGAAGCTTTGGTTCCTAGCACACACGGAAAGGCAACGATGAAGAGAGCTCCCTCTACATTTTGGACCTGGTTTCTCTGTTGGTGTCCTCAAGAGAACTTTCACTAGGCACGTCTGCCTGGGGGCCTGAAACAAAGAACAAGGGAGTGAAACTTACACCAGCACATCTCCTTCAGCTCCTGCCCCAAGCTTCCTGTTTTAATGGCTGGGTTCTTTTCATAGGATCAGTTTGCTGCATGCTGGCTTTTTAAAAAAAATAAGTAAATTTAATTTAGATTCCATAAAGTAAACCAAAACACCATGAAAGAAATAATCACCCCATTACAACAAGTTGAAAGCAGCACAAACATTATCGTTAGGCTTACTGTACTACAAAAATTACAAAAAATGCCCATTTCCCCCAAAAAACCTATTAGGTTATATCAGTGGTTTTCAACCAGTGTGCCGTGGCACCCTGGGGTGCCTTGAATGATTGTCATGGGTGCCATGGGCAACACTGGTCTCTGGCCCTCTTTCCTTCCCTCCCTCCTCTGATGCCCTCTCACATCTCTGCCTCCCAAAGGCTTGCACAGCTGTTTGTTGCAGCAGCCCTGGCTACAAGCTCCATAGGTGAATGGTGCCTCTGGGGCTGGCCAGGGGGTGATGGTTGCCAGGAGCTGAGGCAGCATCAGAGTAAGCAAACAAGCGGGTGAGGGAGCCCAGCCAGCCAGTCCACCAGCCCTTATTGTTGGGAACGGACAGACAAGTGGGAGGCCAGGCAGGAACTGTTCTGGACTTCCTTGTGATTGCTGTGTGCAAGGCTTGCCTGGGAGCTGAGTACCTGGTGCTGAAAGAGCCTTTCCACCATGTTGGCCTGGCAGCACCTACTGTTGCCACTGCTGCCTCCCAAGGTAAGGTGCTGGCCTCATGTTCACCTTTGGCCAATCTCCATTGGACCATTAAGGCTGGGGGCATCCTCTTCCCAGACCCCTGTGGGGCAGTGTGAGGAGGCACCTCTCTTTGGGGCAGGGGGAGGAAGCTCGGAGACCAGGGGTGGCTGCAAGAGCCGCCCGGAGGACTCCCAAGGAGAGGGGAGGGGAGAGAAGGCTCAGGAAACACTCCACAAGGGAAGGTGTTCGGAAAAGGGTGAGAGGCTGTCAGCTCTGCAGGCAAGGGGTGACATAACAGGGTTGTCACAGAAAGAATGCAGTTTGTCAAGGGAGCCGTGGGCTCAAAAAGGTTGAATATCTCTGGGTTATATGTATTCTTTTATAATTAAGTTAACTTTATTATTATTATTATTTTAATTATTAATTTTATTAGTATTCTCCACACAACAACAACGAAAAATAACAATACACAAAACACAAAAACAAGCATACAAAAAAAATACAAATATTACAAATTAATAATATAAACACTAAAAAGAAAAACAAACATTGACTTCCACCAATCCCACAGCACCTCCTTTACCTCTCATTGTGTCTTCCAGTTTTCCTTATCATCTCTATCTCTATCCTTAACTTAATCTTTGTTACTATAGACTTCCCCCCCAAAAAAACCATTTACGTACAGTAGGAGATAAACTTTTCTCCCTCCAATTTTTAGCTATCATGCTCTTTGCAACCGCAATAAGGTTGATTGCTATTTCTCAATCCTTTTCCAGAGTCACGCCATCGCTGTAAGTTTTACTGCATGTTTTAATTATGATCCGGAATACTACTAGAGGCAGCGATGGCAAAAACAGCACATAGCGGCCCACTAAAGGCATGACTCAGGCTGTGAAGGTTCACAGTTACCTCAGCAGGTCTACCACCCTCGTAACTGTGAACCATGGATCTGAAGAGATTGTTAATAAACAGAGGCTTTTGGTTACAGATTTCTGAGAGCTTCAAGGAACTGCACTGGAATTCTCAACCCATCATGCACTGGGGTGACCATTCCTCCCTTGTAATGCTATTCTGGGGGTGGTTAACTATTCCTAAATATATAGGAAGACTTTCTCTCATACCCTCCAACATCTCTCCAGTGAAAATAGGGACGTCCCATCCCATAATGATAAATTTACTATTTATACCCCACACATTTTTACTGGGTTGCCCTAGCCACTCTGGGCAGCTTCCAACATATATATATAAGGTAAAGGGACCCCTGACCATTAGGTCCAGTCGTGGCCAACTCTGCGGTTGCGGCGCTCATCTCGCTTTACTGGCCGAGGGAGCCGGCGTACAGCTTCCGGGTCATGTGGACAGCATGACTAAGCTGCTTCTGGCGAAACCAGAGCAGCACACAGAAATGCCGTTTACCTTCCCGCCAGAGCAGTACCTATTTATCTACTTGCACTTGGACGTGCTTTCGAACTGCTAGGTTGGCAGGAGCAGGGACCAAGCAATGGGAGCTCACCCCGTCACGGGGAGTCGAACCACAACCTTCTGATCGGCAAGCCCTAGGCTCTGTGGTTTAACCCACAGCGCCACCTGCGTCCCCAACATATATATATTTTAAAAATTAAACATTTTTAGAAAAAAAACCCTCACTATACAGGATTGCCTTCAGATGGCTCAGGGATAGGATAACTCTCCACCCTCCAACATTTCTCCAATGAAAATAGGGGTGTCCTGAGGAAAATTGGGACATTCTGGGATCAAATCAGAAGCCGGGACGGCTTCTCTAAATCAGGGACGTCCCTGGAAAATAGGACACTTGGAGAATCTGCTCTCTCTAGCAAGTTTTTTATGTTCTCCCCTCTGATATGTCAGGTAGCAGATACAATAGGTGCTGCCCTGTAACAAGGCTGAGGAGTTGTCTGTCTTGCATGCCCTTTTCTCCTGTAGCTTCAGATGAGGGGCTAGGAAAGAGCCAGTAATGGTTGTCAATCGCTATAAAATTCTGTAATGGTCTGCTAATAAAGAAATTAAGAAAAGGTTCACAGCTTACTTTGGTGAGGCGTGGCAGACCCTCCATTAGCCAGGGCAACCCCCTGATCTGAAGCGGGCTCCCCGGCTGCTTCCGCCAGCGGATCCTCTTCTTCCGAATCCATCAGCACAAGGATATCGCTTGCATCTCGATTCCTACGGCGGTCAGAAGGATGGAAAGTTAAGAGAACGGTCAGCGGGACCTTTCCCTGCCGCCTCCTCCTCTTCATCAGGCAAGGAATTTTATGCCGTCTGCCCTCTCAACTGCATCTGCGAACAGCTCCCAGGGTTTATCCCTCGCAGCAGAAGGAAATGGACTGGGGTCGGTGGCAGACTTTGGGGTTTCAGATTTCAACGGTTCCCTGTGCAATGCCAAAATTCGGCACCCCTGCCTCTCACCCTCCATTCTGTGTTGTAGCTGCGGTGGCCCCTATGCTACCCAGAGGCTCTGCACCCAGTGCGACCAAACCAGTTGCACTCCCCTAAATCCGCTTCTGCTGGGGTTGTTGTGCAGCTATAATGCAACTTGGGGGTGGGGTTCTTGGTAGAGGTCCCCCCCCATCAGCACAGATGCCTCTGTTGAATAGAGTGGTACCTCGGGTTACATACGCTTCAGGTAACATACGCTTCAGGTTACAGACTCCGCTAATCCAGAAATAGTACCTCGGGTTAAGAACTTTGCTTCAGGAATAGAACAGAAATCGTGCTCCAGCGGCGCGGCAGCAGAGGGAGGCCCCATTAGCTAAAGTGGTGCTTCAGGTTAAGAACAGTTTCAGGTTAAGAACAGACCTCCGGAACAAATTACTTAATCCGAGGTACCACTGTAATGAATTTCACCAGGTAGACCGGACCACTGAAAAAAGTCCATGTGTTAGTGGAAGCCATTGCAAGGACTCTGGCTAGCACAATGGAAATTTCTCCACTTCACCAAGTCTCGTCTGAATCTGTTCTGGGAGAGAGTTGGGAGAACCCCCACACGATTCAATGGGTAGACCTGGCCACCAAAAAACACCCCAGGCAAGTCAGCTGCCCATTTGTCCATCCAGCTCCACATTTGTGACTCCAACTAGCAGCAGCTCAAGCAGTGAAAGGTCCTTGCCATAGCCTGCTACCCAACTCTTTTAACTCAGCACTGGTGAACCTCAGACCCTGGGGCTGAATGCAGCCCCCCAGGCCTCTCAATGTGGCCCTTGGGACTTTCCCCAGACACATCCCTGGCTCACAGCTTCAAGGGCTTCTGCCTGGCTTGAACGTGGGCTTCATCTCCCATAATGCCTCTTGCTTGCTGGATGGAGGATAGAGAGGTAGTTTGGGATACAGATACAGCGGTACCTCAGAAGTCAAACCGAATCCGTTCTGGAAGTCCATTTGACTTCCAAAACATTGGGAAACCAAAGCGCGGCTTCTGATTGGCTGCAGGAAACTCCTGCAGCCAATCAGAAGCCCGGTCAGACATTCGGGTTCCAAAGAACATTCACAAACTGGAACACTCACTTCAGGATTTGCAGCGTTCAGGAGCCAAAACGTACGAGTACCAAGGCGTTCAGGATCCAAGGTACGACTGTACTAGCTTACTATACAGAGGCAAAATGTATGTTTCCTGTTCCGTCCACTTTTGTCCCTTGCCCCTCCCAAAAGGGGTTTGTGGCCCCTGGAAAGTTGCCCAACGAGGTTCCCCATCCCTGGTGCAGACAGTGCAGGGCCGGATGTGCCAACCGACTGGGCAGCTTCACATAAGGTAAAGGGTAAGGGGACCCCTGACCATTAGGTCCAGTCGTGACCGACTCTGGGGTTGCGGTGCTCATTTCGCTTTACTGGCCGAGGGAGCCAGCGTATAGCTTCCGGGTCATGTGGCCAGCATGACTAAGCCGCTTCTGGCGAACCAGAGCAGCGCACGGAAAAGCCGTTTACCTTCCCGCCGGAGCGGTACCTATTTATCTACTTGCACTTGGACGTGCTTTCAAACTGCTAGGTTGGCAGGAGCAGGGACCAAACCACAGGAGCTCACCCCGTCGCGGGGATTCGAACCGCCGACCTTCTGATCGGCAAGTCCTAGGCTCTGTGGTTTAACCCACAGCGCCACCCGTGCCCCGCAGCTTCACATACTCTGCCCAATTTGCCTCTGACCGTGCCCACTGCTGGTATGCAGCCCCTAGGTGATTGCCAAGAAGGGAGTGTGGCCCTCTGGCTGTGAAAAAATAGTTCCCCACCACTGTTCTAATTAAGAGAAGCCAGGGATTGAATTTGGGATTTTCTGCATACAAAACAAGTGACGCTGCTTAAGGACTTGCCCACTTAAGGAGACACTCACCTGAGCATGTTGGCTGGAAGAGAGAGAGAGAGAGAGAGAGAGAGAGAGAGGAGGAGACAGTTTGAGATCAATGGGTAAACATGCACTTGCTCAGAATGTACAACATGCATCTGATGTGATGTCAAAGGGCATAGAGCTTGTGTTTCGCTACATTAAACTTGTGGTGTTTCTACAATTCTGGCCCAATCCGAGAGAACCCAAATCACAGGAGATACGGTGGCTTTTGTTAAATCCTTTTCTTGTATGTGCACATGTGTGCTGAAAGCCACCGACTGGGTATCATATAAAATTAAATAGAGAGCCCAGATTTTGGTACTGTAATGAAGAGATTCATTGCACAGATTTCAATCCTGCCTTAAGTGGAGTTTCATAAACTGGGGTGTCTTTGACTGCTCTCTACTTCACCACTAAAAGCCTGCATACCGTTCAAATAACCTTGTAGCAAGTTTTAGACCAGGAGGGGGGGCATCTGTGACCCTCCAGATGTTGTTGAGCTACAATTTCCATCAGCCCCTGCCAGCATGGCCAATGGTCAGAGATGATGGGAGTTGTAATTTTCATAGTTTTTATTTTTATGTCGCCTGGAAGGGTTATTAGAGCTAGCGGTTTCTTACCTTTTGGGCACCAACGGGGTCCAGCGTATAAGAGGACTCCAGAGAGGACTAGAACGGCCAGCAGCAAAAGGACCACAATTGCACCCACTATGCCTGCGATGTTCACTGGCTCTGTGGCGGGAGGAGTGGTTTGGCGGGGTGGGAAGAAAAGCAGTGAAATAGCAGTTCTGGCCTATTTAACGTCTTCATTTAAAATAAATAACTCACTGTCAATTAAATGTCTCAGGGCATAGCAACCCAATTTTTTAAAAAAATTATAAAACTCTGGAGAAATAAACAGGCAGTAATTATTATTATTTTATTTTAATCTTGTTTTTAAGTTGTATTCATTCAACTTGTTTTTATTATTGCTTGTTAGCCACCCTGAACCCGGCCTTGGCTGAGGAGGGCGGGGTATAAATAAAATTTATTATTATTATTAATACCAATATAATCAATCAATCCTTGTCAAGAATAATAATTGAAAAGGAGCAGCACAAAGCAGCTTCCAAAATGCTGCTCCTTTCAGCCTCTTATTTCAACCTCATGGACCAATGAGGCAGAGTTTATTTACCCAAATGGGGCAGAGTTTATTTTCCCCTGATGTATGTTTTTTTTCTCTCCTGGGGCAACTGAGCCAAATGGACAGGGTATAAATAATAAAATTATTATTATTTATGATTAATGTCTCCCTTTATCTTATCCCTTTCCAACAGTCAGTAGTACCACATTGCCTTTCCCCAGAACTCATATTACTTCTCAGGTTCTACACTCTTTTAAGAAACAAAAACCGCCAAGAAGACTTCTTAAGAAGTGACCTGCTGGATTAGGCCCAAGGCCCACCTAGTGCACCACCCTGTTCTCACAATGGCCACCCCACAAACAGGACCTGAGAGAAATAACATTCTTCCCCACTTGTGTCTCCCGGCAGCTGGTATCCAGGGGCAGTTTGCCTGCTTCCGACTGTGGAGGCAGAACATGGCCATTGGCAGCCTTCTCCATCATCAATGTGCCTAATAATCTTTTAAAAACCATCCAAGTTGGAGGCCATCATTCTACATTGCAGGAGCAAACACCCCGTTTAACTATGTGCTGTGTTTCTTTCGTCTGCCCTGGAAGTTGAGCTTCCCTGGACAGCCCACAGTTCTAGTATTATGGGTTGTTGTGGAGGCACTGCCTTGTTTTCAGTTCAGGGTTTCCCAAACTTGGGTCTCCAGCTGCTTTTGGACTACAGCTCCCATCATCCCTGGCCACTGGTCTTGCTAGCTAGGGATGATGGGAGTTGTAGTCCAAAAACACCTGGAGATCCAGGTTTGGGAAACACTGTTTCAGTTGATTCTTCTTAAGACACTCTGTGCTCCTTCTGGGCCGAAGCGCAGGGTACAAATACTCTAAAAGAAAGAATGAATGAATGAATAAAGCATTTCCCACCCACTCATTTACTGGCGCGACCTTCACCCCGCCTCGTTCCTTAGCATACCAGCCGACTGCCATTTTAAAGGTTATCTGCTTACCGATCACGGTGAGGTAAACATACGCCTCCTTCAGCCCCAGGGGGTTCTCAACCTTGCAAATGTACAAACCGCTGTCCGTGCCGTGAGAACAGTTCTGGATGACCAGAGTGGAGACGTTGCCCTTTTGGCTGACCAGAAACCTCCCGCCGGAACGGATCTCCGTCTGGGTCCGGGAGATGTTGCGCAGCCAGGAAATATTGGCAGGGGGGTTTCCGGCGCTGGCCTGACACGTCATCCTGGTGGCTCCCCCTACGAAGCAGCTCCTCATGGGGTCGGACACAAGCGAAGGGGCCTCTAAACCAGAGGAAACAGAAGGCGGGGGGTGGGGAGAGTGATTGAAACAGGCGTATCGAGAAAGCAAGGAAGACAAACACAGGAGGCAGTGAAGGTCAACTTGGGATGGCTTTAAAATAGGGTTTTATCAGTCTGTTGACTCACCCAGCTTCACGGTGCAGGCCTGGCTAGTCTGCTGCAATAGGTGGATCCCGCGGCACACAAACTCCTTCCCAGAGAGCAGAGGCGAGCCGTTCAAAGCGGCCACATTGGTGTCCGCAATGCCCGTCACGTTACTGTCCCGGCTCAGGTTCCCCAGATTGGTCCACTGAAGTGTGGGGTGCGGGTAACCCCCGGTCCAGCTGCAAAGGAGCTGCACCCCTCCAGAGCCTTCCGCGGAGGTTTGAGCCCAGCACCGAGGCAGTGATGGCGGAGGATCTGAGGAAGGCATAGAAATTCACAAGATTAACAGGTGGAGGTGTTCTGCAATCTTTAAAACCTTACAGGCCGCAGCTCAGCGGTACAGCATCTGCTTTGCAGGGCAGCTTTAATCCCCGGTGGCATCTCCAGGTAGGGCTGGGGGGGGGGGGGAGACTCCCTGCCTGAAACCCTGGAGAGCTGCTGCCAGTCAGTGTAGGCAATATTGAGCCGGATGGGTCATTGGAAGGCAGCTAAACAGAACATGTGAATATGTGTCAGATCCATAGCACACTGTGTGGATTTTTAATTTTTTAAAAAACACACGATGCAATGGTTTAATATATTTTTTACAATTGGTGTCCCCGCCCCCTTCCATTTTTTCTGCACTGCTGTTTCTGCAACCTGCCTCAGAATTCTGACATGAAATCAGAACATGCACCCAGCTGAAATCCCAAGATATGCAGTGGAAATCCAGCATGAAAACACAGCTGTCCGAAGCATAGGATGTGATTTAACCTCGAGCCACCCAAAAGGTCTGGATGTCTGCAAAAGTTCAGGATTGTTTTTCTAAATTCTTGCGACCCATTAAAAAAATGTTATTATCCCAGAATGACTTTCAGAGGCTTTGGACAGGTCATTTGAGAAATAAGGCAGACGGTAGAATGAAAGAGCTGAACTGAGCTGCCTCCTCCCTGGGCTTAGCCCCAGAACCTGTTTTTCAACACGAAAGCTCCACAGGCAAAACAAATAAGATTCCTGTGTGCATTATTGTAATAAGGGATGGGCAGGGCGGGCTCTCTAGGTGAAGCTGGGTAAAGGGCAGAGCCAAGGAGACCAAACATTCACCTTCTCTTCCGCAAAAATACAGTCGTACCTTGGTTCTCGAACAGAGTCTGTCCGACTCCCAGAACTGTTCAAAAACCAAGACGTGGAGCATCCTGCAGCTAATCGGAAGCCGTGGAAGCTGTGCCAGATGTTCGGCTTCCAGAAATCGTTCAAAAACCGGAACACTCACTTCCGGTTTTTGATCATCCAGGAGCCGAAACGTACGAGTTGCAAGATACAGCTATATATAAGCCTGAGAGGATTTTTTATTTTGGGGCCATTCTGCATGTACAAAACAATCTAGTGTTCACATACGAAGGTCTCCTGCCCATATCATTCCCCGTTCTCCCATGCCTAATTTTCATCAGTGTGTCCCTTGAAGCAGAGGTTAGGAACCTACAGCCCACAGGCTTGATTAGGCCCGCTAGGCCTTCCCATTTGGCCCAGCAGGATGTTTGGGCCAAGCCATGTCCAACTGCCCTACAGGTTATATATGTTTTTTGGAGCAGGGCAGGTAAAGACATGGCTGGCCATGGGGAACTGGGGTGTTCAGGCCTGAAGCAGGCATGAGTAATCCACACCCCACCAATTTCATGTGGCCCTCAGCAAGCGAAAAGTTCAGACTGTTGTAATTGAAGCAAGACCACCTCCATCTTTGTTGTAGCTGAAGCAAGACTAACGCATCTTGTTGCAGGCTGGCACCATCATCATGTACAGTGGTACCTCGGGTTACAGACGCTTCAGGTTACAGACTCCGCTAACCCAGAAACAGTACCTCGGGTTAAGAACTTTGCTTCAGAATGAGAACAGAAATCATGCAGCAGCGGAATGGCAGCAGCGGAAGGCCCCATTAGCTAAAGTGGTACCTCAGGTTAAGAACAGTTTCAGGTTAAGAACAGACCTCCAGAATGAATTAAGTTCTTAACCCGAGGTACTACTGTATTCTCCTTGTATTCATGCTAAATTCATGCAAGCTTGAGGGACAGAGAAAGTGCAAACCACAAGGGGAGTGTGTAAAGGAAAATTTTAAGGCCATGACCTTTAAAACAGGGGTATAAACAGGAAAAATGCCTAGCTAGCTGAAGTGTGGAAACATCAGCCTTTGCGGTTAAGACTCTTATCACTGGGTGTCTTGCAGGTCTAATCTATACGACTATCAAAACTGTGTGTAAACAGAGATCTGGGTTCTGTCTCCGGTCGCTTCGCTGATACCTGCAGTAACCTTTCGTACAAGAAATAAAATTTTGCTTTTAGAGAATCCTCAAGCGTCACTCACCATTGTTGGTGACTAAGGCACTCGGTTGCAACAGACTTTAGGTGGGGTTTTTCCCACATCAAGACCTCCAGCAAGAGCAATCTGTCCCTTTCCTGGCACTGGGTGGGGAGCAAAGGTGAGAGAGAAAAGGGGGTGTTGGGAAGAGAGAGAATGAGAGAGGAGGGGTGTCAAGAAGATAGAGAGAGAGGGAGAGAGAAGGGGGTGTTGGGGAGAGAGACGGAAAGAGAGAGAAGCAGAAGGCCACCCTCTTTTCACTCTGCTTTCATCTACCCTATGCTTTTGTTTCATAACAGACTTCCTTCAAGGGCTGCATTCCCTCAGGAGTCTCAAAATACCCTTTCAAGGCCTAAGCAGTTTAGGATCAGGATATATGAGAAAACGCCATCTTTGACGCTGAACGACAGCCCACGGAGATCATCACTGGGGGGCCCACGGCAGCCTCCCTGCCTTTAGAGGGTGGTGTTGTGGTTAAACTGAAGGCCTGGGGGGTGCATAGGAAGCTGCCCTCAGCTTACTTGGCGAACTCAGTGGTCCAGTATCTGCTTTCCTTCCTGGCACAGAGGAAGCTGCCTTATGCCGAGACCGTTGCTTCATCTAAGCTCAGTACCATCAACACCGGCATACAACAAAAACCATAATAACAGTAATAACACAATTTGACAATTCAGATTTGGATACACTGATATACCTATGACTACACCTTTTAAAACAATATTTTCCCACCTCTCTCTCCTCCCTCTACTTCCTACTACTATCCGCCTTATTGCTTAAATATTCATTCCAGATTTCTTCATACAGTGGTACCTCAGGTTAAGTACTTAATTCGTTCCGGAGGTCCGTTCTTAACCTGAAACTATTCTTAACCTGAAGCACCATTTTAGCTAATGGGGCCTCCCGCTGTCGCTGCACCGCCGGAGCACGATTTCTGTTCTCATCCTGAAGCAAAGTTCTTAACCTGAAGCACTATTTCTGGGTTTGCGGAGTCTGTAACCTGAAGCGTATGTAACCTGAAGCGTATGTAACCTGAGGTACCACTGTATTTATCCATTCTTATTTTGCGTCGACATGCAATTCGTTCGTATGCTCGCCTCTCTCCGAGCCCTACCTGGAAAGGAACGCAAGACCTTCTGCATGCAAAGCAGATGTTCTGCCATTGAATCACTTCTCCTGTCCTAGGAGACTTTCCTATTGTCCGTACAGACTGGCAGCAACCCTCCAGGGTTCCAAGAAAGGACAATTTCCTGCTAGGGCTGGGTGATATATCAATATACCCTCCAAAACTGGTTTGAAGTCCATACCATAATATCGGTTTCACAGTTTTTGACCTGGCAATGTATCGCAAATGGGGGTTTTTTGAGCAGGAACTCAGGGGAAACCGAGTTCCCTAACCTTTTAAAAATCAAATAATTATTTTTTGTCCGGGGGGTGGGGTGGAAGCTGGAAGGGATATACACCCAATGCCTGAGCCAAAAATCCACCCTATATCTGTAATCAATAAAGTTGTAGCCATTTCGAACCCAGATCATTTTCTGCTTCAATTTATTCATCACATATTACATTTAGCCACTGCCGGCGGGGCAGGGAGCACTGTGACTGGGCCTGCAACAAACAAGCTTACTTTGTTGTGATTTTCCCCACCTTTTTTCCAGAAAAAAAAGCATTGATCACAAATCATGGTGTGGGTGGGTATGCGCTGTGCAAAAAATCACAGTGGGGAAAACCATCAAGCCAGCCCATGCCTCTACATAGCTCCATCTTTATTTCAGACATTGTGATATATCAGAATATCACAACGTTTAGCTGGTGATATATCACGATGCTGAAAACCAGATATTGCCTGGCCCTACTGTTTGCCTCTACATAGTTCCATCCTTATTTCAGACATCATGATATATTGATGTATCACAATGTTTAGCTGGGCCATCATGTTCTATGGGATGCAGGGCACTGTACTGAGTGCTTTTAAGGCCAAACTCTGCAATGACCCTATGCAAACGTTTCCTATTAGTATACGTACAGTAGATCAGGAGTTCACGGGTGACGGTCTGCTGCCGGTGGCTGAGCAGGTTAGTTGCCGAGCACGAGTAATTTCCTTGCAAGCTGGGCGACAAATTGTAGAGGGTAAAGTAGCTCAGGGAGCTGTTGACTTCCGTGAAGGGCTCCTGCCCGGAGCCAGACTGGGAGAAATCCCATTTGGTCGCAGAGGTTGGGCGGGAGTCGCTGGTGCAGGAGAAGTTGAGGGTCCCGTGTCTCTGGGCGTAGAGGGTGCCATTTGGTAGCGCTGTGGCAGGACCAATGTTGACATTCACCTTGGTGGGGCCACCTGGAAAGCAGGTGAAAGAGACAGGTACTTAAAAAAAAGAAAAAGGATATACAGTGGTACATCAGAAGTCAAATGGAATCTGTTCCGGAAGTCTGTTTGACTTCCAAAATGTTCAGAAACCAAGGCACAGCTTCCAATTGGCTGCAGGAAGCTCGTGCAGCCAATCAGAAGCCACGCTGGACATTCAGGTTCCAAAGAACGTTCACAAACCAGAACACTGACTTCCAGATTTGCAGCGTTCAGGAGCCAAAACATTTGACTTACAAGGCGTTTGGGATCCAAGGTATGACTATACTTTTAAAAGCTGTTTAACTATCTCATATTGCTTCCAACAAATTGTTGGAGAGGTTGTGGGAACAAAGGGGGCAGCTTCCTATTTCTTGTGGGAATGCAGGGTACTTTATTCTGGAATGAAATTTATCAAGGGATAGCTACAGCTGCCAATAAGTATCCTATCAGGGGATTATCTCTCAAGTTCATATTACCATTTGCAAATAAATTTTGTAAAACTCAGCCAGATGCTCCAGGACTTTTCTGAGAAACCTTGGATGTTTGACCTTGGCTGTAAAGGGCACTGTCCGTGGTCCTGAACCCAGACCTTGCTCTCCCTCCACTGGGCTATGAAGGCAAACAACTGAATTAATCATAGAATCATAGAATTGGAAGGGACCCCGCGTGTCATCTTGTCCAACCCCCTGCAATGCGGGAATATTTTGCCCAATGCGGGACTCGAACCCACAACTCAGGCAGTAGAGGTAGAGCATAACCACTGTGGCCAGCAGCCATTGATAGCCTTCCCATCCATGATTTAATCCTTTAAAGCTTAGTATTGGCTGCACCGCCTGGGAGCAGCTGTCAGAAGTCTTTCCCCAGCCCTACCTGCAGATGCCAGTGACCAAGCAGATACTCTTGCACTCTGCTTTCCCCAGAAATAAAGCAGGATTCTAGTCCTCATGGCTCCAATTAAGGATTAAACAGGAGCATAGGGTGCTGACTTAGACCGAGTCAACCCACTGGTCCGTCAACCTCAGAACTGGCTGTGCTGGCATCCCAAGCAGCTGTTCCACCACTGATCTCCCCCTGTGAGTTTTGCTGCTGAGAGGCGGGGAGGAGGGGTTTGCCCCACATGCGGGCTAGAGACAAAGGAATATAGGAAGCAGCTGTCTCCCAACTCCTGCTCCTTTTAGCTGGAAATATGTGGGGGGGAGCTAGCCGACCAAACTGGAAGAGTCCGCGACTAGAAGGAGGAGGAGTATCAGGAAGAGTGGAATAAATTTAATGATTACGTATCTAGTTAAATTTGTTAAGTTAAATTAACTGAAAATAGCTTGCAGATACTTAATTGGCTTAGGATTTTATGTTAAGTGATGAATTAATATGTTTAATTCCATAAGGTGAAGATTTAAGGATGTTAATGTTTAAGTTAAATTTCATAATAATTGGGATTTGGAAAACCATTAAAAGGGCATGCCTTGAAATTCAACCAAGGGGAAGCGAGGAAGTCACTTAACAAAGTTAATAAGTGTAATTTTCAATAAGGCTATGATTTATGTTTGTTTGTCTTGTGTGTTTGTTTGTTTGTTTGTTTGTTTATAATATTGTGAAAACTAATTTTAAAAAATTGGGGGGGAGGAAATATGTGGGGTGGGGAGAGGGTCAACACACACAAACACCCCACATGCAAAACAGCCACTCTGCCTTAAAAGGGGATGCCAGCGTCCATCTGCAAAGATTCCTGAAGGTTCAGCAATTTCCAGTTTTGCTGCAGTGGTTCATCAGGGCCTTTGGAAACAAGGCAAGCAGCCCTCTCCCTGTCCCTCCCTGCATGGCAGATATCTGGACTTCGGTCCAGCCTGCACTGACGCGCTTCCCCTTGCTGGCCCCCAGCCTCAAGGTCGCAGCCTTTCGGAGCTGTAACGTCCTGCAACGAAAAAGGTGCCGCCTTCTGTTCAGCTCGCTCATGCTTCACGATGACCAACAAAGCACACCTCAAAAGCAAACAGGGTGCTGTGCAAGGAACGAAGCCAGGAAGTAAGGAGGCGGTGAACCAGTTAGTAAGACAATAACAGGGCTCCCATTAGGGGGGTGGCAGTTAGGAGGACTTTGCTGAGGAAGGATGAGGAGGAGAGGTCATTGTGCAGTTGTAATGGGTATCTGTTCTGCAAGGGCTGGGTACCAGACCTTCCTGGAGCAATCTAGTCATCTCCTGGGCAAAAGAGGCTGCTGGCCATTGGAATCATAATAGTACTACAGTGGTACTTCGGGTTAAGTACTGAATTCGTTCCGGAGGTCCGTTCTTAACCTGAAACTGTTCTTAACCTGAAGCACCACTTTAGCTAATGGGGCCTCCTGCTGCTGCCATGCCACCAGAGCACGATTTCTGTTCTCATCCTGAAGCAAAGTATTTCTGGGTTAGTGGAGTCTGTAACCTGAAGCGTATGTAACCTGAAGCATATGTAACCCAAGGTACCACTGTAGTAATAATTATTATTAAAGTTGTTGTTGTTGTTGTTGTTGTTTGCATCCTGCACATCTGACTAGGTTGCCCCCACCATTCTGGGTGGTTTCCAATGTGTATACAGTCATACCTCGTGTTGCGTTTACTTCAGGTTGAGCGTTTTCAGGTTGTGTCCTGCGGTGACCCGGAAGTACTGGAAAGGGTTACTTCCGGGTTTCGCCACTCACACATGTGCAGATGCTCAAAATGACATCACACGCATGCGCAGAAGCAGCGAATCGCGGCACGCGCAGACGTGGGTTGCGTTTTGCTCAGGTTGCGAACAGGGCTCCAGAACAGATCCCCTTTGCAACCAGAGGTACAACTGTACAAACATAATCTGATAAAAACAAATCAACTGACCTATCTTCCTATATTACTACAAAGACCATTTGGTCAACCAAGAAAGCTGCTTGAAGTATGCAAGAAGAGCCTGTGGGACCAGACCAATGGTCCATCTAGCAACCTCTTTTCATGGTCGTCCCCCCCCCCCGAATGCCCGTAGGAAACCCTCAAGCAGGACCCAAGCTCAAGAGCCCTCTCCCCTTCCTAGGGGTGAGAAACTGTGTTGGCCAGCAGGTAATGGCTTTCCCCGCCTGCCTTGCCCTACCCTTCAACCCCAGGAGCCTTCAAAAAGGAGCTGTTTCCAGAGGGAGAACCCTGAGGGAAGAGAGACTCATGTTTGCCATCAGGGGGTGGTTGGTTTCATTTGGGCTGCCCCACCTCCAGCCTGAGGAGCATTCAGAAGGGAGTTGCTGCCACAGGCATCATATGTATTTTAATGAATGGAGTGAAAGTTTATGAGTCATTAGTGTGTGGCGAGTGTGTGTATGAACTTAACAGTGCTTAGTTCATTCTTTAGTTGCTAATTTATTAATGTTGTTAATATCATTTTATAGATTATAAATGCTGTATTGATTTGTTAATCATATACAGTGGTACCTCAAGTTACAAACTCCTCAGGTTACAAACGCTTCAGGTTACAAACTCCGCTAGCCTGGAAGAGTTACCTCAAGTTGAGAAATTTGCCCCAGGATGAGAATGGAAATCATGTGCCCCATTAGCAAAAGTACGCCTTTAGTTAAGAACAGTTTCAGGTTAAGAATGGACCTCCGGAACAAATTAAGTTCGTAATTAGAGGTACCACTGTAATATGACTTTAATTGTGATGTTTAGCTTAGTTTTTTTAGCCACTTTGTTAACTGTTTTGCTGATGATTTGTTAATTATTCTATTCAATTTATGCTGTCGTTGTTATGTCCTGTTATGTTCCATCTTGTTATTGTTATTTATTGTTTGTAAGCCACTTTCATTCATTTGAATGAAAAGAGGCATAGAAATGTAATCAATCAATCAGCGCTGCCTGAAGAAATGTAGCCTCAGTAAGTCAACACAGCGGCCTCCTGATTTTGTTGTACTACAACACCCCGATCTAACACAACCAAGTTGGGAATTATGGGACTTGTAATCCAAAAACAAATGGAGAATACCATGCTACCCCTGAGCTGGCTGAAGAGCAAGAAACGCCAAGCAAATTGGAAAACAGATTTGAAATTCACAGCATGTTGTACGCTGAAAGAAAATTATATGAAAATGATGTACAGGTGGTATTTGACTCATACGGGTGGCACTGTGGGTTAAACCACAGAACCTAGGGCTTGCCAATCAGAAGGTCGGCAGTTCAAATCCCCATGACGGGGTGAGCTCCCGTTGTTTGGTCCCAGCTCCTGCCCACCTAGCAGTTCGAAAGCACGTCAGAGTGCAAGTAGATAAATAGGTACCACTCCAGTGGGAAGGTAAACGGTGTTTCCGTGCACTGCTCTGGTTCGCCAGAAGCAGCTCAGTCATGCTGGCCACATGACCCGGAAGCTGTCTGCGGACAAACGCCAGCTCCCTCGGCCTATAGAGGAAGATGAGCACTGCAACCCCAGAGTTGTCTGTGACTGAACCTAACAGTCAGGGGTACCTTTACCTTTAAGTTAGCAAAAACATATAGAACAAACACAAATATCTGCTGGAAATGTAAAGAAAAGAAGGTACCTTTTACAATATGTGGTGGTCGTGCGAGGTAATAAAAACTTTCTGGGAGATGATATATCATGAAATGAAAAAAATGTTTAAAATAATGTTTGTTAAAAAACCTGAAGCCTTTTATCAGGAATTATAGGTACTGAGATACCAAAGGATCAGAAAAGTACATTTATGTATGCAACAACAGCCGCACGTATGCTATTAGCCCAGAGACTGAAAGAAGAAACAGTCCTGACCAGGGAAGAATGGCAAACCAAGTTGATGGACTATGCCAAAACGGCAAAACTAACTGGCAAGCTCAGGAACCAAGAAGACAAGAACTTTTAAAAAGAATGGGGAAATTTATAATTTATTTAGGAGACCATTGTAAGCAGATGAAAACATTAGCAGGGTTTTAATCTCACTTGTAAGGTAACAAAAACTATGGATAACTCAGATGGATAAAAAAAAGTGGATAACGGATTGATATGCAGTTGTAAATGTTGATATTAGGACTCATGGAAGGAATGAGGGGAGGTCTTGAGATTCAGAGCAATCTCTTTACAGTATATGGATTTGCAATTGATTTTGTTGTACATTTACTTTTTACTTTTTTTAATCAAATAAAAATTATTATAAAATAATAAAGAGAAAAGGCCATGCAAAGAAGGAAGACAGCAACTTACTGGCAACGAGCAACTGAATCCTGTGTCTGTGATCTGTCTCATTCAGGACCTCTCTGCAGGTATAGTTGCCTTCGTCCTGCAGCCGCAAGCCTGAGATGTGGAAGGAGCTGTTCCTCACCAGGGAGAAGCGAGCGTCGGAAGGGAGGCTGCCGTCCGACGAGAAGAGGATGGGGATCTTTCCCGGGTCCCCGTGAAACCATTCCACCTTGACCGCTCGCGGAGACACGTTCCGGCACACGAGGGTGACGTTTCCTTCCACCTCCCCAATCACCACCTCCTCCGTCCCTGTGGGTGGCCAAAGGGGAAAGAAAAATCACTGCATTCATTCATGCAAAGCAGTGGCGTATTTATTTCCAACATTTGTATGCCACTGTTTCCTCTGAGGAGCTCAAGCAGCAGGAAAAGGTAGAAACCAGCTCTACCATCTTGTAAGACAGGGTTAGCTGCGATGCCAGAGAGGAGGGGAGACTGTGGCCCTCTCCAGAGATTTGTAGGGCTCCAGCTCACATCATCCCTGACCACTGGCCATGCTGGCTGAGGCTGAGGAGGGATGGAGTCCAGTGGTGTCTTTATACCTGTCAGTATACCTGGAGGAGCGTCTCCACCCTCATCATTCTGCCCGGACACTGAGGTCCAGCTCTGAGGGCCTTCTGGTGGTTCCCTCACTGCGAGAAGTGAAGTTACAGGGAACCAGGCAGAGGGCCTTCTCGGTAGTGGCACCTGCCCTGTGGAACGCCCTCCCATCAGACGTCAAGGAAATAAACAACTGTCTGACTTTGAGAAGACATCTGAAGGCAGCACTCTTTAGGGAAGTTTTTAATGTTTGATGTTTTATTGTATTTTTAATATTTTGTTGGAAGTCACCCAGAGTGGCGGGGTATGTATAAATAAACAAACAAATAAATAAATAATAATTAAAGAATTATAACTTGAAGAACTTGTGCTTGAGCTGGCTTTATCCTCCTCCCTCCCCTTCCTTTCTTCCCTTGTGCGCCATGTGTCTATTTTATTTTCTTGAAGATCCTGAGTTTGAAGACAAGGACCGTCTTGGAACTGTTTTTTGTAAGCCACACTGGGAGTCGTTTCATGTACTCTAAAGGGTGGGATGTAAATGCTCTAAATAAACAAACAAGCAAAGGTGTTGAGGGCAAACAACAAAGGAGACACAGATTGTAGACTTCTTGGCCAGTGTGAGGAACAGGATACAGGCCAAAATGGTTTCTGGGTCTTCTCCATCAAGACACTTCTTATGGGTTTCCACTGAAACGTGACTTTGCATCCACCCATTCTCTTCCTCAGCACAATCATCTCAGGGCACTCATTTATCGTGCTGTTCGATTTCTGTCTGGCACCGTCTTTCAACACAGCAGACCCATTACTGTTCCTTGGACTGCTGCCCTACGACTGCCAAACCATCATTTCACATTTATAAAGCGTCCACCCTGCTGCGTACGTGGATTCAAAGTCTGCAGCGGACCAGGCGGACGATGACTCATCTCCAAAGTAATGCTAAGCAGGTCCAAAACACAGCAGCCAGATTGCTGGCTGGGGTTCCTTCGAGATCTCACATAACCCGTTTTAAAGCAGGTTGCCTGTTCATTCCCAGGCCTAATTCAAGGTGCACATGTTAGTGCCTAAAGCCCTACACAACTCAGACCCCAAATACCTGAAAGACCACCCCCTTCCCTACAAAACCCTCTCGGTGCTAAGATCAGCAGAGGGGGGCGCTTGGTAGTTCGACCGCCCTCAAAATATTGGAGTGGGTTGGTGCCTAAATGAGGGCCTTCTTGGTGGCGTCCCCCGAGTTGTGGAACTCCTTCCCCACAGAGATGCATCTGGAACCTTCATTATGCAGCTGTCAGAAGATGATGGAGATGCAACCTTTTACCCCTGGCCTTTGACACTAGAGAAGTACATTTGGGGAACCCACCGTATTTCTGTGATTGTAAAGGTGCTTTTTAACTGTTGTTCATATTGTGTTTTAATGCACAATAGCGCTTCACCCCCTATCCTACCCCGTGCCCCCCCTAAATCTGATCTGGCTTTCTCTCCAACCACTGCTGTTTATTAATATTTTATTTTTAAAAAACAGCAGCAGCCCCAAAGTTAAAAACAACAGACCAATAACAATTCCAACAGATTCCAATTAACAGGAGCCAGTTATTGCCAGTGTTTTGACGGTCAATCAATGTGGGGTGCCGTGGGCAGAAATTTGGCCCTACTGCAGAGATCTGGGTCAGTTTGTTGGTTATAACTTTGGTTTTTAATTTTAATTTTTACCTACCGCATTTTCCTTTTTACTGTAAACTACCTTGATCATTATTTGGCAGAAATGGAGAATATAGATATTAAACTCTCTCCCCCCCCCTCTCTCTCACACACACACAGAGGCTACTGGAGATATGATAAAATTTGTTCAGTTATTTATCTTCATTTTTGGCAGGCAGTGTGGTTAGGAAAAAACAGCACAATCCCAAGTCTACTCAGAGGCAGAAGTCCTGCTGGATCCAATGGCAAGTACTTTTAAGTACAGGACTGTATATGTTCTTACATACTTGGTGGTTGCAATGAACTAAAGAAGATGGAATCTAGGTGAGGGGAGCATGACTGAGATAGATTATTAATTATTATTATTATTATTATTAAAAAGCAATTACTTTGTTTATGGATAGTTCCTGTAGTCCAGCGTTGAGCATTAGGTGAATTTGTACCACTGTTTGTTTGTTTTATTTACAAATCATTGTTTTTAACTGACTGCATGCCACCTGGGCAATCTAGATGACAAATCATCAGTATACACAACAATATCAAATTATGTATCGTATGATTACATATCACGCTTGGAACGCTTCAGAAGGAAGCAGGGTTTATTATATAGTTATAAGTAACTATAAAGTCGTTCCAGATCGTTGGCAGGGCCAGAACAGAGCTTGTGCCCTATTGCCAGAAAGACTGCCATAATAAATGTTGTTGTTTCTTTTTCCTCTTTGCTTCTGTTACAATTGCAAATTGGGGGGAAATGAGGGAAGTTTTCTTTCTTTTTAAAAAATAAAGGGCCACTGCCCTTAAATCTGCTACCAGCTGAAGTGGGAAGGGGGGCGATGTCAATTGTTTTAACAACTGTATTTAACATTTTTGCAACCAGCACCCTGGGACATTAGGCTATTAATAGGGGGGAACCTACTTATCCCCCTCACCCCACGAGTAACTTCGGAAGTAGGGAAGGTGTCTCGGGCTGTTTGTTTCAGGCACTCTCCCATTCCCCGGGCGCGCCCAACAAACGCGCAAAACAAGCCCCGCGGCGGGACACGGATCGCCCCGTCCCCACGTGCGCCCAAGCCCGGACCTCGCATACCGACCTGCGGCGATGCCTCGACCCAAGCAGAGGAGCAAGGAGAAGGAGGAGAGGAGCCTGGCGGCCAATCCACACGCCATGGCAGCCTCGGCTGCAGCAGCCGAAGCGACCCGGCGGTGCCCCGGAGGCTGCGATGGGGAGGGACGGAGAAGGGAGGCGGGGGAGACCTTCGGCGGCTTCCCCGCCCCGTCGTGGGCGGATCCGGGCCTTGACCCCCTTTGCTAGAGGCTGCGATGCTCGGCTCCATTTCTCCGCCTAGCGTCGGCTCTGGAGAAGGACGGAGCTACTGGGGAACTCCGATGCGAGCTTCACCTGACGCTTTTATGTCGTGAACCCCCTTCGATCTTCGGGTGAAGGGCGACATACAAATTTATTAGATCCCAGCATCGTAGAGCTGGAAGGGACCCAAGGGTCTAGTCCAACCCCGTGCAATTTATTAGATGAAAAAATAAATCATAAATACACCCACGCAGGGGGCGGGGGCAACTCGAATCAGTGCCGGATTAAACCCCGTGGAGGCCCCTAGGCAGACGAAATCGGGGGGGGGGGGTAGCAAATGATCTCCTAATACGTTTTTGGTTTTACCAACCAACAATTTTAATAAACCAATTTCAAGATCAAATCAATATTATTTTGATCCGTTGTCACGGGCCCCCCAAAAGTCATGGGGCCCATAGGCCAGTGTTTATTCTATTTGGTAATCTGGCACGGACTTGAATAAAATATTGGGGTGCCCGGGTAAGCCCCGCCGTGCATAATATGGGGAAAACGCACACCACTTGAATAACAATTCCCATCAACTGGTGGGGGGACCCCTCAAATATTTTATTGGAAGGGACGAAGGAGCTGGTGGCTCCTATGCACATACTGCTACGCTTTTGTTTTTATTTATATTTCATAAAATTTATGCACCGCTTAATTGGAAAAAAACAACAACCTCAAAACGATTTACAAAAGATAAAACAGTACAATCAAGAAACACAAGCCTACTTTTAAAACATACAAAAGTGAAAATAGTAAAAGGGATTAAAATTACCTCAACTCTGTAAGCATCTGGGTAGGCTTGTCTAAACAGGAATGTTTTTTAGCAGGCATCAAAAAGAGCTGCAGCGAAGGCGCCTGCTTGATCTCAATAGGCAGGGAGTTCCAAAGTGTAGGGGCTGCCACACCAAATGATTGAGTTCTTACAAATACGGAAGGGGTACTCCCGTATGTGGCACCTGTAGCAAGGCCACTTCTGCAGATCAAAGTGGTCAAGTGGGCATATGTAGATTAAGGTGATCTCGTAGGTACACTGGTCCCAAGTTTTGAAGGGCTTTTTACGCTAAGAGTAACAAGCTGAACTTGGCTCGGTAGCAGATTGTGAACCGGCACAGACCTCTGATCTCACTCCTGGCAGCTCTCATGCTGCAGCCATCTGCACTAACGCTTATTCTGGTAATCATTACAACAGCAAATAGGTTTCAAGTAAATAAGTAAATTTTAAGTAAATAAAATACCTTGATAATTTTTTACAAAAGGTAGGTCCAAAATTCAAGTGCCTATAAGAGAGAAAGAGAAGTGGAGGGGTGATGGTTCATCTAAGAATGATTCTGCCAAGAGAGTTTGTGGCTGCCTTGTAAGAGGGGTGAATCTGTCGATTTCAGTTTCTTTCAGCATTGCAGGGGGTTGGACTAGATGACCCTTGGTGTCCCTTCCAACTCCACAATTCCTAGGATTCACATTTTTCCAGTCTTCAGTTCTCTTCATTCCAACATCATTTTGTGACTTTTTTTAAAAAAAGATGTCCCTATGAAAATTCATCAGCGTGTGAATGCAAATTTCCCCTAAATTGCACAGTTTTGTTTGCAGTTTTGCCTAATAGCCACATGATTGCAAAGCAACTTCCCCAAGTATAATGCAGTTGTGTGTGTTTTCACTAATAGTGTGTTGTTTTCACTAATAGATGCAGTTCTATGGAAACCTTACATTAGCATATGCATTTTTGTATATGTTACTTGGCTGAAGATCTGCCTTGCAAAATCCGGTGCAAATTTTGAAAAATGGCTGAGTCTTTATCGTGTTTTGGAAAATGTGGATCAGATAGGTTTTGACTTTAAATCTCGTTTCTCCTCCATCCCTGTAGGACTTTGTTTCCACACCTGGCAGCGCCACCTGTCACAGCTGCTCCTCCCCACGTACCAAGCAACCAACCTTTTGTTGCACAAGTTAATTATAATCCACTGAACATATAGCATTTCCCCACTTTCTATGGGAGTGCATTTGGAAAGGCTTCCTAAAGGGAGTTTCCTCCCCATCACAGAGGAAGGATTATGCTACCCAGAAACTGAAAACAGAACAGATGCCATTAAGCAAAGATATCAGCAACAACTGTATACACCCATAACACACCCACAGAGAGGGAAAGTTGTAATAGCACCATTCTCTGCAAACATCCTCGCCCACAGGTCCACTGGGAAGACAGGCCAACCCAGAGGTGTCAGAGGAGGAGCTTGGCAACCTATGAGATGCAAGATAACCAGAAGAAACCTACCATTTTGAGCAGCAATAAACAAAGAGCGGTGCAGGGTGTTTACAACTAAGAGGAGTTGGACGAATAAGGAATGCAGCCGATTGTGTGCAATTCTCCATGCTTGAAACTTCCAGGAGCTTCTCGTTGCAGCACAGTTGGCAGAAAGGTAACAGACAACCGGAAAAGGAAGGAGAGGAAAATGAGAGAAAAGCCAAAGAAGGGAAGGAAGAAATGCAGGACAAAAAGCCAGCACCTAGACGATGCCACGGAGATCAACATCTTGAGGATGGTCGATGTATCAAGCAAGGAAAATCAGAAGAAAGTGAGGGGTCGGCAGGGGGAGATGACTCAAGAAAGACTAGGAAGGAGGAAAAGGCCGCCAGATGAAATCCAGACCAAGGAAGACGACATCCAGGAAACATTCCAAGCTCAAAAGGTATAAAGACTTGATACCTGTTTTGGAGATCCTGTGTTTAATAGGGGTTTTGTTTTTTTGCCATCTTCAAGGTTGAGAAAATAGCTGCTGTGTTTAAAGCTAAGTTGGGGTAATGGAGAACAAGGGGCTCCTGCTCACCCACATCCCAGTTGTGCAAACACTCTGGGGCAAAAGACTCGTTTTTGGAACCATTTTTCAACATGTGTGAGGATGGAGCAATATAGGATTGTGTGTGCGCATGAGTGTGCAGATACGCTCAGTTTCCAGGATCTCCCTTTGCCCGTCTATTTTTGAGGGTGTGAGGGAACATACAAATTGGCACCACTTGCTTCCTAAAAGCAGCATGTATGTGGAGGCCTGCAGGCACCTCCCATTTACTGTGCTTACTTATTCTTCTTCTTATTATTATTAATTGCCACCTTTCACCATAAAGTCCCAGGGCAGAAAAATCCAATATGAAAACCTGCCTAAGCCATCTGGAATCAGAAGCATAAGGTGGGTCCTAATACATATGCATATTATAAGGGCCACCACTCCTGCCCGCTCTGCTCACCATCTGCCAAACCGCCTTCCCCTACACCTGGCCAAACCCCCTCCTTTTACACCGCACCCACTCCATCGTCTATCCCCTCAAAGTTTGCCCCAAGCCCCGCATCTGTACCAACCCCCATAATTCCTTAATATTAGTCATGCTGGCTGGGGCTGATGAGAATTGGAGTCCATTAAATACCTGGTAGGCCCTTGGCTCTCCATCCTTGGATTAAGGTATCCCAGACAAATTATTAGGCATGGTCTCTCCTCTTCAGAGGCCACATAGGTAAAGGTAAAGGACCTGGATGTTTAAGTCCAGTCAAAGGTGACTATGGGGTGCAGCGCTCATCTCACTTTTCAAGCCAAGAGAGCCAGCGTTTGTCCACAGACAGCTTTTCCAAGTCACGTGGCCAGCAGGACTAAACCACTTTTGGCGCAATGGGACACCAGGACAAGGTCCAGAGTACACGGAAACGCCATTTACCTTCCCGCCACAGCCGTACCTATTTAGCTACTTGTGCTGGTATGCTTTCGAACTGCTAGGTTGGCAGGAGCTGGAACAGAGCAACGGAAGCTCACCCCATCATGCGGATTTGAACTACCAAACTTCCAACTGGCAAGCCCAGGAGGCTCAGTGGTTTAGACCACAGCACCACCCTCATAGGAGTCCACCCCAAGCCACGTAGTCCAGTGGTACTCCACATTCTTAGGCAGAGTTGTTGTGGCTGGTGCCCTTTGGGACTCGTAGGGTGGAAGGCAGGGAGTCCCACAGTAGGTGGTGCCAGATCAAATGATTGGTGGAGCCAACATGTTCTAGTTTTGTCCCCATCCTACTTCCTGTTGAGTTCTGCAGGGGCAGCACTAAGACTGAGGAGGAGGAAGCTGACAGGCAGGGCCACCCACTGGGATAGTTGTCAGTAAAGAAGGCAGGCAGGTGAAAGCCAGCAGGAGGCAGCTGCAGGTTGGTAGGGCAGGGCCTCATTTGCCCTAATGGACCAGCCTCCACTGGATACACAAGGAAACAGGATATAGAAACAGTGAGGCCAAGCTCCTTCCAGGAGGAAAGTGTAGTAGGTGTGTGTGTGTGTGTGTGTGGAATAGGAACAGGGAGGGAAGGGGTGAGAACAACCGGCAGGCTCAGAAGTGAGCTAACAGCAGCAAAATGTTCTCTCTTTTTCTTATTTAAGTGTATATGCCACAAAACAAGCTCAAAGTGTCTGACAACAGAACCACGAAAATGCAAATCAATGCATCATTACAATATCACATTAGATACTAAATTACTTTGAAACGTAATGTGGTGGTCCAGAAAATAACTCAGTCTGGCAGTCCAAGTTGAAAATTATTTATCTGATTTTATTACAGTGGTACCTCGGGTTACATACGCTTCAGGTTACATACACTTCAAGTTACAGACTCTGCTAACCCAGAAATAGTACCTCGGGTTAAGAACTTTGCTTCAGGATGAGAATAGAAATCGTGCTCCGGCAGCACAGCGGCAGCAGGAGGCCCCATTAGCTAAAGTGGTGCTTCAGGTTAAGAACAGTTTCAGGTTAAGAACGGACCTCCGGAACGAATTAAGTACTTAACCCGAGGTACCACTGTACTGTGCTTTAGAATTCCCATGACCTATCCTGCCACTTTGTGGTGAAGGGAGAATAACAAAACGAGGTGCACCGGGTTCTATCAAACATCAGGGAGGCCTGTCACCCGTCCAACAGGGCCCATCACACCCTCTGAAAAGCCCAACAGGGCCCACCCAGCTGCAGAATATGGAGGGGGCCTGCCCCCTCATTGAAAATTGGGGTGCTCTCCCCGCCAGGCTCCCCCATAGATGGAGTGCCTGAAGAAACGTATATAATAACCCTACTTACCTGGGAATAAGCTTAACTGAATTCAGTAGGACTTCCTTCTGAACAGACATGATTAGGATTGCACTGTAGATATTTAAGGTTTTGCTTTATTTTTTGTTTTGCAAAAGACTGAAGGTGCTTGGAACTATGAGGGCAACTGCATCAGACTAGGGCTGCAGAAATCTTGATTCTAATCCCTGCTCAACCCAGAAGCTCACTGGGTATCTATGGGCTAATCAACTCTTGTCCTAGCCCACCTCACAAGGTTGTTGTGAGGATAACATAAAGTGGGAAGGAAGAGGACAATGTAAGCTCTTTTGTGGAAATGCAGGACATCAATGCAACGGGTACATCAATAATGTTGATATTCTCTTTTCTTGGTAGGAATCCCAGACTTCACTGAGTGGCCAAATTATCCTCTGCATCGTCTGCTCAGAAGTAGAAACGGCAAAGAGACTTGTGACGCCTTAAAGATTACTGTAGCTCAGAAGTTAGCCTCATTGTGTTCAGTGGGACCTGCTCCCAGGTAAGTGGGTTCTGGATTGAAGCCAGGGTGAGCAAATGAAAAATAGTTTGGGGCTCCTGCACCTTTAATTGCTGCGCAGAAAACCGGAATCCCTCTTCTAACCAACCATTAAAGGTGCAGAAGCCGCACCCTCTTTTTCACCTGACCCCTCTAATTGCAGACCTTAGAGCACAAGGATGGAAGAGTGAGGAAATCCCAACGGAAGAACAGTGGCAAGAAAAACTGATGAGCTATGCGGAATTGGCTAAACTGACATAGAAACTGCGTGACAAGGACAACCCGACTTCAAGGAAGAATGGGAACTTTTCACCAACTGTCTAAAAAGACAACAAAATGAATTGGACTCCTTGGCAGGTTTTGAATAAACATCCACAAATTTATTAGTTGAACACATGACAGATAAGGCAAGGATTTGTACAATTTTATAACATGCAAACAACAGTATGTGCAAAGAAATCAGAGAGGGGAGCTGAGGGAAGTCCTTGGTGGGGGGGAAGAGGGAGGGAGGGGAGGGGGAAATAATGTAATTGATTATTTGGCCTGATAATTTGGTATGTTGAAAGTGTTTAATAAAAATATTTTTTATAAAAAAAAATTGCAGTCCTTAGAAAGCAATCCTATTTCTATTTACTCAGAAGTAAGCCCCCTTGAGCCATTAACTGCACCCCTTAACACATGGGAAGTCACTTCTGAGCAAACAGGGTGTCTTAGGTGATTATAATATTTTGATTGATTAGAAAAGGTGGCTGCTTTTCAATTTTAATATCTATTTTTAATGCAGGCACTTTCAAGTCCATAGGCGGCACAGGTCTCGAGGGCCGGATGGGGAGCTTGGGGGGACCACATTAGGCTGGGGATGCCAGGACCCCCCCCCATCTCTGCTTCGACCCCTCCTCTCCAAAGAACCCCCTCCCACCGGCACACCCCTCCCTCTACCAGGAGCCAATGGGCATGAGACAGATAGGTCCCGCCTCCTCTAGGATTACAGGAGGTTGCTGTCACTCATCTAGCACCAGATTCTCTTGCTCGGACGGGGTGGTAGGGGGCTTCCACGCGCGATCTTTGCCCGGGAGAGATCCAGCGGCTTTCTGGGTATTTTCTTTTTGCGAAGATGGCGGTAGATCTCTCTGACTGGGAGGTATCTCTAGAACTCTTGGAGGTGGATGAGAAGCCGGCGGTTCCTCTTTCGGTCAACTACGGGTCGGTGGAGATCGACGAGCTGGGCAAAGTCCTCACTCCCACCCAGGTAATCCACTCCCGCCACAATCCCTTCGCGTGCAAAGAAATTGCAGCCCCCCCCCCCAAGATGCAAGACGCTTCCCCAACCTTTTGCACAATGGCTACAATTGGCCGGCCTTCCCCCTTCAACGCGAAAAGCGGCGCCTGCTTTGTTTTTTGCATGCGTTCGTCTCTCCTTGGGTCGAGATCACCAAAGAAAACGTCTGCTAGGTGCGCAGTAGGACCTTTCCCCTTTTGCAGAAAATAAAATATATCCTGCGTTTGCAACCACGAGAGGAAGCAAGGCCCGCGCGTGGTTCATGGCCTCCCTCGTCTAGCGCTGGTGATCCGCTGCAAGCAGATAAAAATTAAGAATTAAAAGCGCCATGCTTTCGAAAAGGCGCAGGGCGCTTTTTGCCTCCACGCAGGAATATGTGCACTTGAGGATGAGGGCAAAGGAATCCCAATTGGAAGGGTCTGTGTGCGTCAGTTCTGGAATTTATTTTAAGACAGTGAGATTTTTTTAATTTGCCATCCATCTGTTCGCTGCTTCAGAGAGAGATTCCTTTAGAATAGACAGGACGATAAGATTTGGGGGTGTTTTTTTTCCCAGAGGGGCGGAGGGTTTGTGTCAAAAATGCAACCGTTGAGAATATGGCATCTGCCTGAAATAGGACGAGGCGGGAGGCTGGGACTTGCAAGCGGCCTGCCCAGGTCTGGCCTGCCCCGCCTCCTCCGATGCCAGGCTGCTGCCGGAGCCCCTGGAGCGCGTGCCGGGACTGGCGTGCAGCAAAGGGGGAGGAGCGCGCGGGCGCCCGGAGCAGAGCAATGCCTGCCCGCCGCCCTTTGTACCCTCCGGGAGAGGCGTCACCGGCAACGTGAGCGGTGCGGAGCTGCTGCTGCTTGCGGCTAAGTTCAAATCCCTCCTATCTTCTGGTGGGGCTGGGACAGCACCCTGCCTGCAACCCTAGAGAACAGCTGCCGGTCAGTGCAGGCAAGCTTGAGAAAGATGGGCTCATGGCCAGACTCTGTATAAGGCAGCTTCTGATGTTGTTGTTTAAAAAAATAATTAATGCTTTGTTAATTTTACAAAGAAAAACAACTGACAAAAACAATCCGAAATCGATACATATTCCCAAGAAAAAAAATTAGATTCACACGTAACAGATTCCATTATGACTTCTGATCACCCCAATGTGGTTCCTAAGTTACATTTTCAACTACGCACTTTCCATTTTATCCCCCAAATTGTCTCAACTGTATTGGTTTTGTAAAATTTCCTACTGTCATGCAGGGGTCAGTCCAAACCTGCCAAAGAATTTAAATTTTTACAGTGTATACTCTGTAAGTATCCCACCAGGACTGGTATTTTCTGACAGCAAACATAGGAAGCTGAAGAAGAAGGAGGAAGGCAGCTTCCTATGTTTGCTGTCAAAAAACACCAGTCCCAGTGGTGCACTTGTGAATGAACACATATTCAGTGACAGGTGGGCTGTCTCTGAGTTCCCCTAGATAAAATCCAGCCTTAACTCTTCCTCTTTCCCTGTGGGAACACGTGATCTTCTGAATCCTATCAACCCCAGCTGACTCCTGTCAGTCCAATGACAGGATTGCAGCTCTTAACAACTTCTGGAGGGCTGCAGGATCTGCATCCCTAAAGTAAGTGAATCGCAACTGCAGGCCTGTGCTTGGTGCCCCTGCAGGGAAATGGGTGTGCTATTTTTGTCAATCCCCCCCATAAAAGCTGAACAATTCTGGGCTATCCCCCCCAACAAAAGCTCAGCAACTCTGGGCAGTCCTCCCCAAGAAAAGCTTAACAACTGTGGGCAACCCCACCCCAAAAAAACAGCTTAACAACCCTGGGCAGTCTCTCCCCATTTTCTTAATTTGGAATCCCCAAAAATAGGGGTCGTCCGCTGTGCGTGTTATACACTGGAAAATACAGTAACTGTCCCGTGTGGAATTCTGGGAGTTGTAGTTTGTTAAAGGTGCTGAGAGTTGTTAGGAGGCCCCTCCCAGTTCTCAGAGTTCCCTGTGAAGAGCATTTGATGGTTAAATCACTGGGAACTGTAGCTCTGGGAGCAGAATAGGGGCCTCCTAAAAATTCTCAGCATCCCTACCAGTACAGTTCCCTGAATTTAGGTGGGGGGGAGCCATTGCTTTTGGAGTCACAACGCTTTAAAGGTATTGTGTGACTTTGGTTAAGGCATGGTTTCATTGGCTGGATGATGGTGAATGTGTTGTCTTTGTTTTTATATTTTTGAATAGCTTCTAAAGGTCTTGCCGTTTTGTTTCTGGCAGGTCAAGAATCGCCCGACGAAGATTGACTGGGAGAACTGCAGTGCAGAAAAGCTCTACACTTTGGTCCTTACTGACCCTGATGCACCGAGCAGGAAAAACCCAAAGTTCAGGTGAGAGGGGCAGGCTGTGAGATCCAGAATGTCCATGCTGGATTTGATCCAGAAGGCAAGCCAGGATTTGCAGAAAAGAAGTGTGGTGTTTTTTTAATAATATATAAAGATTTCTTACCTTTCAAGGTCAAATGAGGCAATTGATAGGTGATCTGGAAGTTGCAGGGGGCCTTCCCTTGGAGGTAAGGGAAAAGCAGACCTCACCTCTATAGTAGACAAATCCCAGCACTTGTTCCTGAATGCAGAAATGTCTGTGGCTGCGCTGCAAAATTTGAACCATCCGTTTCAATGCCTGACAAAGGCCTTTTATTTATATTTTGTATATAAAAACAATGCCACTATTCATAAAAATGAGTGGTTTACATCCATTATACATAAAAACAAAGCAATAAAGACTATTTTTAAAAACTAAAATTGGAAATGGGTTAACTATTAGATGTCTGCTTGATGGCCTGCATAAGCCTGACGTAATAGAAAAGTTTCTAGCGGGCATCTAAAAGTGGAAACAGAAGGTTCCTGCTGTATCTCTTGGCAGAGAGTTCCACAGGCCTGGGCTGATGGCAGTAAAGGCTTGATTGCTTGCCGTCAGAAAGAGCCTCATCAGCATCTGGCAGCACCTATATAAGACTAGGTCTAAGAATAGGAACTCCCTGCCTATTGACATCAAGCAGGCAACCTTCACTGCCCTCTTTTTGGCTCCTGCTAAAAACGTTCTTGTTGAGACAACTCCACTCAGATGCTTCGAAAGTTGAGCTAATTTTAATCTCTTTAGTATTTTTACTTTTGTATGTTTTAAAGTATGTTTGTGATTTTTTCCCCTCTCGGTTTTATTTTAGGTTTTTACTAAACTGCTTTGAGGATCTTAATTTTTTAGTGTTCCTGCAAGATTTACTTTGGGGAAACTGGGGCAGGTGCTCTCTCTCTCTCTCTCTCTCTCTCTCTAGGGAGTGGCACCACTTCCTAGTGGTCAATATGAAAGGCAATGACATCAGCAGCGGCACCGTCTTGTCAGACTACGTGGGATCTGGACCACCTAAAGGAACAGGTAAGCAAGCAGTAATACTGGCCCTATTGCTTTAAGGCAAGGTCTGTTGCGTGTCTTGACTCAGCTTGCACTTTGGGGGGGGCTAGCAGACCCGTTGGATCAGGGCAGGTTGGAAACGGCAGAAGAAAAGCTGCAAAGCTAAACAGTTCTGCTTCAGGAATTTGCATGGCTGAAATAAGAGCAAAAGGACACAAGCTGCTAGTACTTTTCCGTAAAGTGTTGGTGCTGACCTTTAAAGCCCTAAACGGCCTCTGCCCTGTCACCCCCATCAATCAGCCTGAGACACTGAGGTCCAGCTCTGAAGGCCTTCTTGCTGTTCCCTCACTGCAAGAAGCAAAGATACAGGGAACCAGGCAGAGGGCCTTCAGTAGCGGTGCCTGCCTTGTGGAATGGACTCCCAGAATGCATTCTGTTCAAGAACCAAGGTACGACTGTATTTTGTTACAATAAAGCAACAAAAATTATTTGCAAAATAATAAAATTAAATCAGAATCCTGTGCATATGTTACTGCCATGTTCCCCCCCCCCCCCCCGAAAGGTTGGGCCACCACGCCCCTTGGTTTGATACACTCATCCACAGTGCCCCTTACCCTATTAAAAAGCATTATTCAGAATAGCGGTTTGCATCACCCACTAAGGAAGATAATAAAATTCAAAACAGTAACAATGAGTTGCACTTTTCATCAAAATCCAAACGATTTAGTTTTATTCTGCAAAATTAATGGCCTTGATCCAGTGATACCAGCTTTTCAAAATTTGATAAACTATTACACCTCCCAGCACCCTCCTGCCTCTCCTTGCCTCTAAGCACCCCGCCAGGTAATCCCTCGGCCCCCTCAAGGATGGCACCACCCACTTTGGGATCCACTGTGTTACTGGATGGTTGTGACTTGAGTGTGATGGAGGGGAGGTTCGCGATCGCTTCCTCCTGACGCAGGTGCGCAACCCTTGTTTTCTCTCTCGCACGCTGCAGGGCTCCATCGCTACGTGTGGCTGGTCTACGAGCAAGCCCAGGAGCTGGAATGCAACGAGCCCATCCTCAGCAACCGGTCCGGGGATAAACGGGGCAATTTCAAAGTGGAAAGTTTCCGCAAGAAGTATAAACTGGGGCCCCCCGTGGCAGGAACATGCTACCAGGCCGAGTGGGACAACTATGTGCCGTTGCTCTACAATCAGCTGTCTGGGAAATAAAACCCCTCCTCTTCCAGCCCCCCACCCTCCCCCTGCTCGGATCTCTTCTCCTAGAATGGAGATCTTCAGCCCTCTACAACTCCCATCATCCCTGACCATAGGCTAACCTGGCTGGGGCTGATACGAGTTGTATTCCAAGAGGGGCACAAGATGGAAGGAGGCTGTCTTTAGAACTTCCATTTCCTGTAGTGTTAAGTAAATTGGATTGAAGACTAGTAAGTGATACCCCCGCTCCAAGCTGCTCCTGAAACTCAAGCAGGGATAGATAGATTCTGCAAGATGATTGGCCATACTAGACAGTTTCTTGTGGGGGACAGTCGGAAGTGCAGTAAATGAATTTGTTACAACAACAAAGGAACTGTGGCAAAACATCTCTCGTTTGTCGTCCTCCGCAAAAGTTTGTTTGTGTGTGTGGCATTTTGGCTATTTTTGGAGCGGCGTGGTGACATTTTTTGGGGTGGAGGGATGCACAGATCTCACACTCCTCTAGAATCCGCTTTGCTGCCAACCTATATAGATTCTCACGTCCCTCAAAACAGCTCCCATCACCTTATAGCATAAAGTCTGGGGGTTTAAACACTGTGGTCAGCAGCATGGAGCTGCTGATGAGTTTTCCACCCTGCTGTTGAAATTTCCCTACACCGCCTTGAAATGCATAGGGGCAGTGTCTCCCCCCCCCCAAAAAAAACCGCTCTAGGCTTTCAAATATTCATAAGCTCAGCCCAGCCCTGCTCCAAGGAGGTCTTTCCTGGGACTGTTGAGTTACTTAGCCCTGAATTCCTTGCAAGCTATGAAACTGGGATTTCAAAGGGAGTGGGATAACATTAAGCAGGAATTGCTGGCTGTCCAGTTTTTCTCGGGAAACAAAACCATAAACGCCACTTTTCTGCTTAAAACCAAAAATTGTTGCACTAAACCACAAATGGGAGCCTTTTTTATTTGCTTGTTGGAAGTGTTCTTTTTGATTCTGTTGCTGCTCTCTTGCTCAGGACAAGTGCTGACAGCGAGGAGAAAGACCAGCAGCAGAGTCGGGGACTGAAATGTGGGCCTTGGCCATTGCCTGGCAGTGCCAACCCTGCGGCAGCTCCATCATTTGTGCTTAAGATGCTGGAAGGTGCCTCTCCCTGGGCTTTGGTCCTCTGCTTATATCCTGGCTATCTTTAGTTTCTCTTGGTTATCTCCACAGGATCCCAATGTCCTCGTCAGCAGTCGATTTTAGAAATTTCTGCTTTCTTTTGTCCATGATGTGTTTTTGATGAGGTTCACCCCACTGCCTTCGGTCTCATTTTGCCAATATACCGGTATCTAATGTTGGAAATGTTTCTCCTCTGCCCCCCCCCGCACCCCCCCCCAAAATGTGTCACTTAAACCAATGTGTAACAAGGCCTTTTGATGTTCTTGGGAGATCTTTGAATGCTGCACACATACATTGTCACTTGCGTTTATAGCCCTCTGTTGACAAGGGGCTGTGGTTTATGCTTTGTTCTCGTTCTTTGAATTAAAAGCTTAGAATTGAAGGTGGTCCTTTGCTTTTTATAGCTGTAAAAATGCATTATAAAAATGTGACACTAGAGGGCACTGTAGAGCAGTGGCACGTCAATGGGAAATTGCATTTATAATAATAATAATTTTTTATTTATACCCCGCCCTCCCCAGCCAAGGCCGGGCTCAGAACGGCTTACAAGCAATAATAAAAACAAGAATGATTACAACTTAAAAACAAAAATAAAATACAACATTAAAATAATGGAACATTAAAATATTAAAATGTAGCCTCATTGCAGGAGGAGAAGGAAAAGAAAAAAGAAAGAGAGGGAGGGAGGGAATCAAATTGGCTCCAAGCCAAAGGCCAGGCGGAACAACTCTGTCTTACAGGCCCTGCGGAAAGAAATCAGATCCTGCAGGGCCCTGGTCTCATGAGGCAGAGCGCTCCACCAGGCCGGAGCCAGAGTTGAAAAGGCCCTGGCTCTGGTTGAAGCCAATCTAACTTCCTTAGGGCCTGGGACCACTAGGGTGTTGTTATTTATGGACCTTGAGGCTCTCCGTGGGGCATACCGGGAGAGGCGGTCCCGTAGGTACGAGGGTCCTAGGCCGTGAAGGGCTTTAAAGGTAAAAAGCAGCACCTTAAATCTGACCCTGTACTCCACTGGGAGCCAGTGCAGCTTGAAAAGCACTGGGTAAATATGCTCCCATGGCAAAGACCCCGTGAGGAGCCTCACTGCAGCATTCTGTACCCGCTGGAGTTTCTGGGACAGCTTCAAGGGCAGCCCCGCGTAGAGCAAATTACAGTAGTCAAGCCTGGAGATGACCGTCGCATGGATCACTGTGGCCAGGTCGGGGCGGGAAAGGTAAGGGACCAACTGCTATGTAAGAGCTATGTAACTTTTTTTAAAAAAAACCGCGTTTTACAGATCAGTGTAGATCCAGCCTTAGGCCCTGCTAGTTTAATGGAGCCTCCATTTGCAGTAGCAGCTTGCCTCAGTACAACCAAATGTGGAGAAGAGGCTGCAGACATCTTCTCTTCCCAGCATCATAGGCATATTTCCAACCACTGTTGGAGAATGTATTTAGATTGATATAGATATATCCATCCAAGCATCACTGGCAGTCATTAGGGACAATAGCACACAAAAATGGCTTATATTGGGGAAAATAAATGAGTAAATTAGGCGATACTTACAGTAAAATGCTGATCAATTTTCATGAGAGATTTTTAAAAAATCACAAACTGACATGGAAAGCTGAACTTAAAATTATAAAAATTAGAAACACGGGAACAAAAGTTTAGTTATTTGCTCATCCTTAGCCCTGGGAATGGAGCTACAACATTTTGGAAACAGATATGGCCAGAAGGCTGAAACACCCAATAGCATTCTATGCTGCAACATCATGTTGCAGGTCTCACTGTGTGTGTTAAGATTCAGCTGTGCAAGGGGAAGCTGGATGCAAAGGAAAACTCAGGAAAGATGTTCCAAGGCAGGTGGACTTCAGTGTTACTATTTTTCACTGAAATACACACCCACGCAAGCCCTGTGGAGGGAAAGGAAGGCTACCTTCTCTGAGTCACTTGCCACTTGCATAATGGTTACCAGCAACCTTGGTACCGTACAAACACACAGAGCGAGGAGTGCCATCTGTTTGTTTTGTTTTTGCTATTATTCAGTACCTCCATTGTTCAGCTAGAGTAGTCAGGACAAGGTGACAATCACCTGAACACAAGTCGCTCTGTCTTTTGTGTCTTCCCACCCTGCTCCCAGTAACGGGGGAAACCACTGTGCTCCATTGTATGGTTTTCTTAAGTCAAAGACACTCGAATTATGCATGATACAGAGAAAACAAGCGGATATTTCACCCCCTCCCTCTAATCATTGGAAGACAATTAAACTGCGCAGCTATTAGGGTGAGGTGATCCAGATAATGCACGCATGGAGAGGCTATTAGACTCCAACACCCATCAAGCCTCGCCAGCATAGCTAATGGCCAGGAATTATGGGAGTTGTAGTCCAACAAACAACTGGGTTTCTTTATCTTTTGACTGTGCATTGTGGGCTTCGTTGCCTTGGCTTGGATGGCTTTTAAAAGTGAGCTAGAGACACTGACAGAGCGTCGCCAGTAGTTGTTAGATATGATAGATAAAGAGAACCTCCGGGTTCAAAACAATTTTACAATATATCTACCTAATCGTCAAAAGGAACCAGGAAGCTGCGTCAACAGACGGTGTTGCTGCGCCTCTACAATTTATAGCTCTATGAGGAGGGGGAGGAAAGGCGTCTGTGAATGGGCGGGGAGAAGTGTCTCCAAAGTAGCGTCGGCCAGAAGAGGGCAGAGACTCCATTGGCTGCGCGGCTTTGCGCCTGCTCAGAGTGAACGTTCTAATTCTAATGATTGATGCTGAACCACGTGGGTTCCATTCTTGAAACTAGCTGCGCAACGATCGAGTTCAAGGAGACTCGGAGTGTCTTGCAGCCGCAGCAGTGGGAGGAGGAGGCGGCCGGCCGGCAGTCCGGAGCAGCGCTGGTGCAAATAGACCCAGGATCAACATGCCCAGGGGCAGCAGGAGCGTGGGATCCCGGTCGACTGTGGCCAGGTACGAGGGCAGTGTCTGAGCAGCGAGGTTGGCAAAGTCACCTTTAAATAAGAAAGGGCTTCGTTTTCAAAGGAGCAGTTGCAAGGACCCGAGGTTTATTGAGGTTACGCCCTCCCTCCGTCCTGGAAAAAACCCTATCAACCCCTGCCTCATACCAGGAGGAAAGAAAAACCTATCTGTACACGCACATTTCTTTATGTATTTAGGTTATTGCGTTTATATCCTGTCGCTTCTCAAAGGACCTCAAGGTGACCTCTCTTCAGTCTCTTCAGTTTTTGTCTCACAACAACCCTGTTAGGTAGGCAAGGTTAAGAGAGAACAGCTCTTGGTCCTGCAATGAGCTTCGTGTCTCTTTTCCCTAGCCTCAGACTGACTCTCTAACCACTACACCAGACTGTGTTTTGTTGGTCAGAAACACAGAGTTCTGACACTGGAAATAGGTGGGGAAGTTTGGGGTGGCTCCCGATTCACTTTTAAAAAAAAATTCATTGGGGAGGAGGTTGTTGATTTTAATTTCTCTTCTGCCCTTCCTCCCTGAGATGCCCAAGGCAGCAGACACTAAAGGGTAGCAGTGAAAACTAAAATAGAAACATAAAACTGTCACACTTACCACTAAGCAGGACCCCCACCTTATAAAAGGACGCACTTTATTCCCGTGATTGTAAGTTCACAGAATCGTAGAGTTAGAAGGGACCATGAGGGTCATCTAGTCCAACCCTCTTTTGTCCTATGTGGGTCTTGAACCCAGGACCCTGAGATTAAGAGTCTCATGCTCTACTGATTTTTTAGCTGGGTTGTAACCTGTCCCGGGACCTTAGGGTGAAGGGTTGGTAAAAAAATAGTAATAATTTCAAGGTCACTTAGGAACAGTATCTTTCAGCCATCAAATGCCTAGGAAAACAGGAATGTTTTCCTGAGAGATAACAAGGAGGGTAACAGATGCATCTCAGCAGGGAGGGCAATCCACAAATTAGGAACCAACACCTAGAAGGTTCTGTGGTGCGTCACTGATTTAGAGTGTGGGTAGCTGAAGGTTGTTGGTTTGCTCGTAGATTTGAAGACTACCAATGAGATCAGGCCTGGTTAAAATAATGAGATTCTACTTTTTAGAATGAGAAAAGGCTGTATGGAAGTCTTAAACTGCAAAATCATATTGGTAGTAAGGGTGCTATATTTCTTCCTTTCTAAAAAATGTGGCTGTTTCAGTTTTATGGTGTGTGTTTTTGTAAGGTGCTCTTTTCTGGAACATTCTAAGGCTGTGTTTCTATAATCTCTCCCTTCCCTGGTAAAGTCAGCAGCAATCAGTTCAATGGTTTCCTGGGAAACACCCCCCCCCCCCCGGTTTTAGATTTCCCCCATCAATTTCCAGCATTGAACTTGTTGCCTCGTGGTGGTGTTAAGATAGCTTGAGGTCAGGATATTGGAAGACAGGAAGCTGACTAATACAGAGTCAGACAATTGGTCCATCTTGCTCAGTACAGTGGTACCTCGAGTTATATATGCTTCAGGATACATATGCTTCAGGTTACAGACTCCACTAACCCAGAAATAGTACCTTGGGTTAAGAACTTTGCTTCAGGATGAGAACAGAAATTGTGCTCCGGCGGCGCAGCAGCAGCAGGAGGCCCCATTAGCTAAAGTGGTACCTCAGGTTAAGAACAGTTTCAGGTTAAGAACGGACCTCCAGAACGAATTAAGTACTTAACCTGAGGTACCACTGCATTGCCTACACTGGCTGGCAGCAGCTCTCCAGGTTTGCAGACTAAAAATATTCACTAGAGAGCGGGCCAGAGATACTGTCAATACATAAACACCATACAAGGATTTGGAATGAGGAAGAGGGAGGACTAGAAAGTTCTGGATACAAATCTATGAGTTGTATTTACTTGCTGTTTCACTTGATGGCAAAGATCGCCAAGCATCCCAAGGTGACCTTTTGGAATTGCTGGTTGTGTTAACGTCAGTCTCGTGTTTAGATTGTTTTGAAAGAAAGTGAACTCTGCTCCCTGGTAGGTCAGAAGTAAACCAAAAGTTGTGCCAGATTCAGCTAGCCAGTTGTGACAGCAGGAACCCACAAGGATTTGAACACAAGGGCTTTTGCCAGCACAATGGGGCTTCCCCCTGTCTGCCCCACAAAATTGACTCAGGGGGCAGTTGAGAGCAGTGTTAGAAACTCAGATATATAAGCTAGGTGCCAAATGGCCTCTTTGACCAGAGTTACAGTCGCCAAAACGGAATGCCTAGTTGCCATTTTTCAATACGACTTTTTGGTGGTTCCTGAAATTCATTCTGATTGTGCAGATAAAATGTGATGGGTCAAATTCCACAGGATGTGTCACTAGCGTGTGAACACAATCCAGATCCAAGGATCTCCAGGCATGCACCTCCAGATGGTGGAGACGCCAGATGTTAGTCATCCTGGTGCCCGGGCATGTTGACTTGGTCACAAGTGGCCGGCAGACAGGTGCAAAATGCACCTGGCAAATTTTGAACTCTGGTTGAGAGAACCCACAGAATGGCATGGGGGGGGCGAGAGATGGTTGTGTCATGTTTGCGTTGATGGTGCAATCTCCTTAGTGTGACATCAAATTCCTCCCATTGCGTTGTAACGCACTGGAGAGCCAGTGTGGTGTAGTGGTTAAGAGCGGTGGACTCGTAATCTGGTGAACCGGGTTCGCTTCCTCGCTCCTCCACATGCAGCTGCTGGGTGACCTTGAGCTAGTCACACTTCTCTGAAGTCTCTCAGCCTCACTCACCTCACAGAGTGTTTGTTGTGGGGGAAGAAGGGAAAGGAGATTGTTAGCCGCTTTGAGACTCCTTAGGGTAGTGATAAAGCGGGATATCAAATCCAAGCTGCTGCTGCTGCTGCTGCTGCTCTTCTTCTTCTTCTTCTTCTTCTTCTTCTTCTTCTTCTTCTTCTTCTTGATAGACCTGATAGAAATTTATAACATGATGCACTGCATGGGTTTGGTGGGGGTCGTAGTCCGTCAGGTTGGAGAAGACCGCTCTGTTTGCAAACCCTGAACCAAGTTTCCATTGATTCTTTTCTTTCCTCCTCTGTTTCTCTCAGCAGCCCAGCACCATCTCATGCCCACCCCCCAGCTCACCCTCCTCCTTCGGCAATGGCTGCTCCAGCTCAGCCCCAACAGCCTGGCTTAATGGCCCAGATGGCTACGACCGCGGCAGGTGTGGCTGTCGGCTCTGCGGTGGGTCATGTGGTTGGCGGCGCACTCACCGGGGCCTTCAGCGGAGGGAGCAGCTCTGAGCCGGCCAAGCCAGCCAGCGGTGCTGTCCAGGTGAGGCTATAATTGCCAAGTTGCTCCGTGTGTGTGTGTGTGTGTGTGTGTGTGTGTCTGTGTCGCCAAGGGTGCAGGAATGACTGCTAGCCTTCTAAATGCACAACAGTGCAATTTTCTGTGGGTTCGTTCTTCTTCATCTACATCTGTGGTTCTCAAACTTTCCTCTGCACCCATACTTTCAAGATAATTTATTTTTTATCTGCACCAAATTTTTTACCTACAAGAAATATATCAAACACAATCACTTTATGATATGATCATGGGGCATCTGGAAAGTATAAAAAAATGCAGCTACATAAGAACATGTATCATTCCCAGAATATAATTATAAACAAGCTTCTTACATATGTACCTTGAGTATGTGTACAAACTCGATGAGAGGCGTGAGCTTGCTTTTTCTCATTTATATTGGGTCTAATTTGAGATGAACAAACTCGCCTCCTCCTCAACACAGAGAAGCCTTTCTCTCTTCTGATCTTTCATATTTGACAGAATTGAAAATCCTTGTTCACAACAACATGCTGTGGAGAACTGTAGAAGAATAGCCAATGCTCTTGAAGAGAGTTGTGGATGCTGTTACTGGTTGTATATCCCCCCAAAATAGTCTTGATCCTATCCTATTCTATCCTGAAATGTTTACATTTTCTTTTATTGTTCTTGAATCTTCCTGCCACACTTCACATCCTCTCCTGCCATACCAGTGTAGTGCACCACACCCTTTGAGAACTGCTGATATGCCTTATGGTTATGCACTGTAATGCAGCATACAAGAAGATAAATCTCTGCCCTGAGGAGATTACAATCTAAAATCTGACTCAGGAGAGTGTTCCTAGAATCTAAGAGTTAGATGGTACCCCAAGGGTCATTTCATTTTGTGAAATGCCCTGAGATCTTTTGATGAAGGGTGGTAAATTATAATAATTACAGCAGCAGCAGCAGCAACAATAACAACCCCCTGCCATGCAAGAATCCTGCTCACAGACATCTCTGGGTGGGTTCGAACCACCAGCCATGGGCCTAATTCTGTCTGCTAGGTAAAGTTAAAGGGACCCCTGACCATTAGGTCGTGGCCGACTCTGGGGTTGGTGCTCTCATCTCGCTTTATTGGCCGAGGGAGCCAGCGTACAGCTTCCAAGTCATGTGGCCAGCATGACTAAGCCGCTTCAGGCGAACCAGAGCAGCACACGGAAATGCCGTTTACCTTCCCACCGGAGCGGTACCTATTTATCTACTTTCACTTTGACATGCTTTCGAACTGCTAGGTTGGCAGGAGCAGGGACCAAGCAACCGGAGCTCACCCCGTCGCGGGGATTCGAACCGCTGACCTTCTGATCAGCAAGTCCTAGGCTCTGTGGTTTAACCCACAGCGCCACCCGCATCCCTTCTGTCTGCTAGGCCTCTCCATTTGGCCCAGGAGACCATTCCAGCCAAGCCACACCCACCCGCCCTCCCAGCATTGTTGCATTCCACACACTCGGCAGAAAGACTTCTCTAGCAGCCATGGGGGAGAAATGTCTGTGCATGCATATAAACCTATTTTATGCAAGGTGGGACTGGGGTGTTGGCCATCATTGGAGATGGAGAGAGTCTGGCATCCTCTTGACCTCCGTGGGATGACTCTTGCCAGCTAAAAGTAGACACTTTGACGCTAAGCCGTTTGGCTATGGGTTTAATTAAAGGCAAAGCCTGCCTGGAAGATTAGCTTGGTAGAGCTGTCCTTGGTTAATCGGGAGACGTTACGTCTGCAAAACCATTTCCCCCTGGGTGAAGTCCCTTCTCGGAAAGGTTCACCTGCGGTTATTTACTCCTCTCTTTTCCTTGTCTACAGGAGTCCAGGCCGCAGCCAGCCTATCAGGGATCCCAGTTCGGCCCCTGCCACTACGAGATAAAGCAGTTCCTCGACTGTGCTACCAACCAGAGCGACCTAACGTTGTGCGAGGGCTTCAACGAGGCCCTGAAGCAGTGCAAGTACAACAGCGGTGAGTGTTTTGGCACAGAGGTGGGAGGAAGTGCCTCGCCACCTGGTTCTCTGTTGGGGTTTGAGAGACGGCTGTGAGTTTCCTAACCCTGAGAGGGTCCCTGCTACTGCTCTGAAGCCAGTGCACTGGGAGCATATCCAGCCCTGTCAAAATGGAACAAAACTGTGCAAGAGCATAGGGTCCTAGAGGGGATGACTTACAACCAGTCCAGGGGTTGGCACTGCCTATCAGCTTCTTCTTCCTCCTCCTCCTCCTCCAATTAGCTGGCTCTGCTTGGCATTCGCTGTGGCGCCACCTACTGTTGGCCTCCGTGCCTTCTACCTTACCAGTGCTAGTGGGCTTGTTTGTTTGTTAAGGGTGCTGGGAATTGGAGTTCTGTGCAAGGGGAGGGAAACTACAGTTCCTGAGATTCTTTGCAGACAAGCAGTATGAGCTAAATGTGCTTTAAATGTTTGGCATCACCTTCAGACACCAGCTGTCTATTCTGTGCTGAAACTGAACCTGTTATTCTTCCTTTCTGCAGGGGTTACTTCCCTCCCATGAGGACATTTTAGCACTAATGCCGCAAAATGAGAAGAACCTGGAAAGAGCAACAGACCAAAGGAGCCTGGAAGGGCTAGGGACTGGAAGACAGAGACAGATGAGGGATCTGACCAGATTGGCACACAAAAAAAGCTCTCTAGTGTTGTTCTCAGTTGTAGGCTGGCAAACAAGGAGAATTCTAGTTGAAATTCTTATAGCAGAGTTTTAAGGATCTGGGTCCCACTTGAATTCTTGTAGAGAAATGTAAAATAAAAGGAGATGGTTTTATTTTAATCTACAACTTGTCTATATGTTTCTGTTGATTAAAACACACATGTGCACTCAAGAAGAAGAAGAAGAAGAGTTTGGATTTGATATCCCGCCTTTCACTCCCTTTAAGGAGTCTCAAAGCGGCTAACATTCTCCTTTCCCTTCCTTCTCCACAACAAACACTCTGTGGGGTGAGTGGGGCTGAGAGACTTCAGAGAAGTGTGACTAGCCCAAGGTCACCCAGCAGCTGCATGTGGAGGAGCGGAGACGCGAACCCAGTTCACCAGATTACGAGACTACCGCTCTTAACCACTACAACACACTGGCTCTCATAAACGTTTTTGTTAACCACTCTGAGGTGTGTTGTAGTGGTCAGAGTGGCAGACTAGGACCTGGGAGAGACCTCTCTGAAGCTCACAGAGCGACCTTGGGCAAGTCACTTACTCTCAGCCGAACCTACCTCGCAGGGTTGTTGTGGTGGATTAAATGAGGGAGAGCCATGTATTCCACTTTGGGCTCCTTGGAGAAAAAGGTGGGATATAAATACAATCTATAAAATTGGCCAGCTGGATGAGGCTAATGGCCCATCTAGTCCAGCATCCTGTGGAAAGCCCGCAAACAGGGCCTGAGTTTTCCTGCAGTTTCCAGCAACTGGTATTCAGAAACATTACTGCCTCTAACCGTGGAGGTAAAAGTTAGACTTTGTGGTTAACTCATGACACACAGCACAGTGCTATTTGGAGGTGCATGCAACCCCAGCCTTAACCCTAAACCCCAAATCAACAATGGCACGGTCACCACCCACAACACCAATATTAATGTTAACCCTAATGTGAACCTGAACCCAAACCCCAAATTTATCTCTAATGCTAACCATAACCCCACCCCTAATCTTAACTCCCAACATTAACCCTAACCCCAGCTGTAACCTCAAACCTAGCTGTAACCCTAACCTTAACCCCAGAACTAATCCTGACACATTTATTCATTTATAATTAATTGCACTGCCCTTCATCAGAAGATCGTACGGCGGTTCACAAGATACAAGCACAAGATAAAAGTGCAAAAACAGAAAACACAAAACAATAATCACCCCTGCTCCCTCACAGAAGCACACTTAAAAGGCTGTAGAATATTAATCGGGTTGAAGAGGAACGATTTTGCCTGATGCCTAAAGATATATAATGAAGGCACCAGGCGAATCTCTTTGGGGAGAGCATTCCAGAAACAGGGAGCCACTACAGAGAAGGGCCGTTCTCGAGTTGCCACCCTCTGGACCTCGCGTGGAAGAGGCACACGAAGAAAGGCCTCGGATGCTGAATGCAGAGTCTGGGTGGGTTTATATGGGGAGAGGCGGTCCTTGAGGTATTGTGGTCCAGAGCTGTAAGCTGAATCCTAACCCTAAACCTACTGATGTCAGCTGATGGGCAGGAGAACAGGGTTTAATCCTGCACGGTTTGTGCAGCCCCTAGTCTCAGCAGAGAAGCAGAGATTAAAGTGGGAGAGATCCTTGCAAAGACTGGCAAAAGCGTTGGCGAGTGTCCCTGAGCTAGAGAGATCAGGCGCAAAAGGCTCAGGATTGCAATACCTCAAGAACCGCCTCTTTCCATATGAACCTACCCGGACCCTGATCATCTTCTGAGGCCCTCCTTCGTGTGCCGCCTCCTTGAGATGTCTGGAGGGTGGCGACACGAGAACGGGGCCTTCTCTGCAGTGGCTCCATGTCTGTGGAATGCTGTTCCCTGGGAAGTTCGCCTGGTGCCTTCATTATACACCTTTAGGCACCAGGCAAAAACGTTCCTTTTTAACCAGGCCTTTGGTTGACTTGATCGACATCCTACACCCTTTTAAAATGCGGCTTTTTGGGGGAGGGGTGTTATTGGGTTATTGTTATTGTTTTGATTTTATATATTGTGATATTTTTGGTGAACCGCCCTGAGACCTCCGGGTATAGGGTGGTATATACATTCAATTAGTAAAATTAAAATAAGAATAAACCTCAGGGCTGTGATGTCAAAGGCTGTTCACTGTAGCAACACATTCTGGCTTCCTTCCTTCACTGCCTGGGGTGGGGGAAGGACAAAGTGAAGGAGAGAAAGGAGCTTTATTCCACCCCACCGCAAGAGCCCCCTGCTGTCCAAAGAGCTGTAAAGAAGCTCTTTCTGATGCTTCTTGCAGCTTCAGCAGGAATGCTGCAAGGGATATTGGCATCAGATGCCACAATGACCTCAAGCCGCAGACTGCCCAACTCTCAAATCTGGCCCAGGAGGCTGATCCCTATGATCCCTGATCGAAAAACGGATGTGATGGAGTCAACATAGGAAGGGAAACTGAGGCCAGGGTCAGCCAACAGTTCCTGCAATTGGGGCTGCCTTCTGGAGGTGGCTGGGGGGAACGAGAGCAGCAAGTGACCCCCATTGCAAGGCCAGACTAGCAACAGAAAGGCTTTCTAACATAGGGATGCAGCCCGGCGTGATGCTCAGCTCCTGGTCTTCAAAAAGGATTGTCTGGACTGCTGCTAGATATTTCCACTTCTTTCTTTCCTAACTAGAAGTAAAAGATTACCAATCCAACATTCCAACCTGCCCCAGCCCTGCCCCGCTTTTCCCAACCCAAAGGCATCGTTCAAATGTAAACTATAATAGTAAAGTTCATGCGAACACAAAACTGGAGGGAGATGGAAAGTTGCTGCTATCAATATGAAGGAAAATGTACTGTATTCTGGAATGCAGAAGGTAAAATTAGTCTTTGTTCGTGTGCTGACCACTAATCTGCCATTAAGGTCTCTTATTTTTTTGTACTATGGAAACAAAGTTTTTGCATCAGTTTTTCAGAAAATGCTACTTCCCAAATTATATTATACAATATTTGTATGTTTAAACCATTTGCTTCTTTCCAATTTCTAGCAAGAATATTATTGCCACCAATAAGTAAGCAAATAAATAAATGTTTATGCAATTAGCCTTTGTTGTCTCCACTGGATATACTGAATTTTTTTTAACAGGTTTTCCCCAGTACTTTTGTTATTTCTAAAAAAAACTCATCCCAGAACTGGGTGGATATTTCCGGTTCTGATATTATTTTCTTCCTTCCCTGCTCCCCCTTTCCTTCCTATTCCTCTCCCACTTCTTATTCTTCTTTCTTTCGTTTTTCTTCTTCTCTGGCTGCTCTCAAAAGGATAGACTAGAAGCAATTCACTCGATTCCTTCCCTCCCTCACTTAAAAACCACACAAACGGTCATGGCTGCTCTTTGCCACAAGAGGGTTCTCTGGTCTCCTCCCTGATTAGCGTAGAACCACTCTAAATGCGCTATAAACTCATTTGGCCCCTAAGGAAAATGCCTGAGCCCATTCTGAACAGCTGAGAGCCAAGTGCATGCTGGGAAATGTAGTTCCAAGAGAGAGAAATGCACCTGCCAGTCCAACTTCCCAGGAAACAGAAGTAAGTAACTTGTTTAAAACCTCTACTTTATTTACTCAAGTCTAATGTGTACCTTTTTTGCCAAATTACATTGCAAAAATTAGCATGCATATTAGAATCGATGGTGCGTTAGACTCGAGTAAATATGGTAATTCTCATCAAGAGCCTTCTGGGCACCATGAGAGTTGCATGTGAGCATTCCTGCGCCCACAGGCATCAAGTTGGGAACCCCAGGGTTAGAGTCTTGTTGCATGAGAATGAAATCTTACCATAGCCAGCCACTCTGTCTCAGCCCAACTAATTTGCAGGGGTTTTTTAGAGCAGTGTTTCACAAACGTGGGTCTTCAGCTGTTTTTGGACTACAACTCCCACCATCCCTATCTAGCAAATCCAGTGGTCTGGGATGATGGGAGTTGTAGTCCAAAAACTGCTGGAAACCCACCTTTGGAAAACCCTGTTTTAGAGGAGCTCAAATCCCCACTTAGTCCTGTAGCTCAGTTAGTTGAGTGACAGCTGTCATGAAGACTAAAAGTTGGGTCCTCAGCCTAACCTACCTTGCAGGGTCGTAGTGAGGATAACATGGGAGTTGGAGCATTCTGTATGGCACTCTGATGAGCGCCTTGGAAGGAAAGGTGGTAAAGAAATGAAATTTCCTGGGACGGTATATGGGTTTTCAAGGCACAGGTCGAAGTCACTTTGCTTTCAGGCACCCAAACCTGAGATGTTCTCTGGGCCTCTTGTCCTTCTCTCAAGCGCTTTCCCACTGCTCCTAAGAATAGCCGCAGTGTAACAGGAGGAGCAAGCCCCCTGCTGAAGCACAGAGGCTTCACCAGGTTATGCAAATGCTAGCAGAGTATAAAGAGGTTAAACCTCTTTGGAATCTGTCCCAAATGTGGGTTCATCGCCTATCCCAGACAGGAGAGGACAAATGAGACTTTTGCAGGACCGTTTTCCTGCCCCCTAGAAATGTCACCCAGGCTGGTTCTCCCATTGCCCTGTGCTATTAGGGCTGGTTTTTAGCTCGGTGAGAGACACAGAATCATTTCGCCCACGCTAATGCTCTTGGAGCTTATTGCTTGCAGATGAACGTGGAGAGGTGACGCTTTTACATTTTGAGGGAGGGAGGGGCTTATTCGTTCTGGTTTCAGCACGATGGAAAGGATTATCGCCCTTCTGTCAGAAGGAGATTGCTTATACGCTACTGGAGGTGTCAACATTAACTTGCAAGGCCCTAAATGATGTAGGACCCAAATACTGGAAGAAGGGCCTCTACTTATCCCAGCTTGTTGAGCTTGGCAGAGGAGGAGCTTGTTGGGTGAAGCCTGCTAGAGCCTTCTCTGTGGTGGCACCTTGCCTATGAAACTCCCTTTCCTTGGTAGTACAACTGGCTTCTTCATTATGCTATGAGTTTGGGGGAGAAGAAGTAGGCTGTATGCAAGACCTTTCTACCCCTGGACCCAGCAAGGGTTGAAATATAAGCCAGGTTAGCTTCCTGTGTTGAGGTGATAGCCTGGGAGATGGGCCATTAAGGGAAGCAAAGGAAAAGGTGAGACTAGCTTGCAGTTGGTCAGAAGACAAGGCCAGAGTTTGGAGCAGAGTTTGCACTGGTGAATTAAAGCAGCAAGCTGGAGAGAGAGTCAGGGTAAAGTTTGAGAACAATGTTAAAATTTCTGTTTGAATCCAAGGCTGCGGCTATGGGAGAAATAAGACGCTTTTGTGGTGTTAATGCTGTGAACCACTCCATCAGGTTGCATATATGTGTGTAAATAAATCATGTATCATAAAGACGCCACAGCCTCTGCTGTGTCTCATTCCAAAAGGAAACATGAAATCTGGGTAAGCACCTGGAACCCCGGGGATCTTGCACCACTCAGAGATTGGGGTGGCACACAACAATTGTTTGGTTGCTGCACTTTTTTAAAACCAGGCTTTTGGAGGGGATTTGTTTTATTTATTTATTGAGAGATTTCTCGACCAGAAATGGTCACAAAATAAGGTAAAATAAATACACGGAATCATAGAGCTGGAAGGGACCCCGAGGGTCATCTAGTCCAACCCCCTGCAATGCAGGAATCTTCTTGCCCAACGTGGGTCTCGAACCCACAACCCTGAGATTAAGAATCTCATGCTCTTACTGACTGAGCTACATTAAAGTCACAAGGTTTATTAATGTAGAAAAAACCAAATGTGAAATAATGCCCACGACTGTGTTGTTAATTTTGCTTGTATTTTAATATAAGTTTTAAATTGTTAACAATTGCTATTACTGGAATGGTATTGCTTTAATGTATTGATTTCGGAGCATAAACTGCACTCGGATTGCAACTGATGAAGGGTGGTTTAGAAACAACGAATTACTGAATAGTTATATAAATAAGAAGGGTGATGCAATGGCCTTTCAGGACCATTTTTCATATCCCAAACATTCAGCATAACTTCTTTTCAGTACCAGGACTCCGGTCCCGGAACATGCAAAGCAGCAGTGAAAAGGATATTGCATCTGGACATTTCTGCCTGGGTAGCACCGTTGGTTACAGCATAGCGCTGATAGCGCCATGGTTGCAGGTTTGATCCTCATATGGGACAGTTGCATATTCCTGCATTGCAGGGTCCCTTCCAACTCTACAATTCTATTATTCTATGCACAGAGTGCCTTTCTTCCACTACTGAAAAACTCAAAGGCTCCAGCCTTGAGCCCATTGCCTTTTCTTCTGGAAAACGACTTTACTGTGCAGTTTTCAGTGTGTGCTTGGGAAACCAAGGAACAACCCAAGGTCACAGGAGTCCATCTAGGAACACTTTGCTCATTTTTCTTTTACACCAGTAACAACTCTGTGAAGCAGCCTAGGCTGAGAGAGAGAGAGAGAGAGAGAGAGAGAGAGACTGACCCAAGGTCACCCAGGAAGCTTCACGGCTTAGTGGGGATTCGAACCCTGGTCTCCCAGGTCCTAGTCCAAACACGACCCCAAGCGTTTTGACCTTGCTTCCTTCCCAAAACGGAGTCTCACAAAACCTTTTCTTCATAGGCCATATATTTATTCTTGAAGCAGATGGCATCCAAGGAATCTTTCCTGGTATCTCAGTAGGAACGGATCGAAATAACCCCACCCCACCCCCATGAACCTCGGACACATTTGGCCCAAATAGGAACCGTTTCCCCCTTTCCCTCAATCCTTCCTCTGCGTCCAGCGAGGCTGGTGTCGGACGTGGGGTCCCCCACACCACGGTGGGGCGATTTCTCCTTTAAGAGCCCACCGGCTGTGCTTTAAAGGGGGGTCCTTGGCTTGCCAGCAGCTGTCTTCACCCCCATCTGGTTGGTAGGGACATGTGTGCTGTCCCCTCCCCTTGGCCTTTTTAAGATGGAACCTGATCCCCCTTCCCAGGGCTGATAATACTTATTGAGGACTGGTCACGTGGGCTGGTTTTGACAGGTGCAGCTGCAAAGCAGGCAGACAACCACCGCACAGCCTGAACAGTCTTGGGGGGAACCTTGTCCTCCGACAGGAGCTGAGGGGAGCAAAAGGGAAGGAAGGGGGCTGCTGCAGAGCGCGAGGGAGAGCAAGGGAGGAGAGAGGAAAGGGGGAAAAGGGGGCGCAAGAAGGAAGAAGGCAACATGTCAACCACACACATAGAGACCCACGTCCAGTACAACCACTCGTACATGATGACGGAGGACTACATGGCACAGGAAGAAGACTGGGACCGCGACCTGCTGCTCGACCCAGCCTGGGAGAAGCAACAGCGAAAGGTAGGGGGACAAGGGACAAGGGACAGGGTGGGCAGGCTTGGACCAAGCACCAGGCCGTAGCGGACTTTCTGTCACCGGGAGAGGCGTCAAGGATGGTCACGCAACCAACTTTTTACCAAGGCATGTTTTGCTTTGCTGGTTCTTCGTTTCTGTTTGGTTCCCATGCTGGTGGTTTAAAAAAAAAGGTGGCAATGTTGCATTCACATATATTTAAATAAGTTATTGTGTGGCTAGAGAGTGTTTTTTTAAAAAATAATCCCATAAAGCTGCTAAAAACATAGAGGGCAGCTCTCCACAGATGTCATTCTGAATAGGACAACCCTGCATGGTTGTTTTATTTCTGGAGACACCAGTAAAGGATTGCAAGGGGTTCCAGGGCGCCATTTTCCCTTGTGGGGCAGCGAAAGGCCTTGGATGGACCTCAATGGAAATGATGGAAGATGGGCATCGATGCTTCCCAAATTTAAGAGGTTTCTGTGGTGATGGAAGCACTATGACCCCCTCAAGCAGGCTGGAGCTGATGGAAGTGGTAGCCCTAAACAGCTGGAAGGCTGCAGTGGCGAAATTTACTCCAAGTGTCTGAGGAGGTCTTTGCTTCTCCGGAATGAATCGTTGCCCCCAAATACTGTGTTTTCTTTCATGTTCGCCGCCCGATTCTGCACCATGTTGAGGTTCTCGAGAACCCTGCGGGCCTTTAAACTAACAAGCAGGCAGTGCATTGCAGGCAGGGGAGGGGGCAGCCCCTTGGAGCCAGCTGCCACCCCGGAGCATCAGATGCTGTTGGCTGCAGCTGTCCCTTGCCATCACCCAGATCCTTATCCTATATGGAACCACAAGTGACATTTTGGGCAGAGTACGTCAGAAGAGACTCACACCAGGGCCAGGGGTGGGTCCAGAAAGAAAGGGGGAAGGAGAGCATATGTCAGTGCAGTGGCATCTATCGAGGGCCCGGGCTGCGTCTGAGCTATGCCTGGAATGATGGAGACCCAAGGGAGAGGGGAAGGAATCGGCTAAATATATCCGTGCGTGGCAGTGGGGAACATGTCCTAAGCTAAGCTTTGAAATAATACCACAGATGGGGGATGTCCTAATCGCAAATGTTCAGGAGCAGAACAGTCCCAGGCCCTTTCTCCACCTTCGCAACATAACTCAGGGCTGCATAACCTCTTGGCGCCTTGAATTTGGAGTGTGGAAAAAGCGCCAGGTCTGCAGGTGCAAAGAGAGATCAGACTCGTTCACCACATTGTCAAATGAAAAGTATCTGTGTAAGTCCTTCAGGGCCCCACCCAGAGAAAACTGCTCTAAGACTTGCATCAAAGGCCGACGTTTCGCTGGGGCTTATCTCTTCCCATACCGACGCTACCGCAACTGAAAAATCCACATGTGACGATGCTGCTCAGGGCTGGGAAGGAGGAAATTCGCAAGCCCCGTCTTCTAATAACAGTAGCTAAAGGGCCAGACCTCCACCCTTTGGTTCTGCCTTCTCTGCAACTCTTAAACATACAAGAACCGCTCTGCAAGCCCATGTGAGCTACCAGGGAGGCCATCACCTGCCCAGGTCCTGGGACCACCATGCTCAAAGCTGTCACAATTTTGCGGGAGGGATTCAAGCGCGTTCTGCAATTAAAACACCGCAGGTCAACAAATCCATGTTTCTAAAATCCAGCTGAACTGCTTGCAGTTAGGAAAGTGACAGGGAAATCATAGATTGTAGAATTGTAGAGTTGGAAGGGACCCTCAGGGCCATCTGGCCCAATCCCCTGCAATGCAGGAATCCTGCCTACAGTCATCCCTGAATGGGCTCGAACCACCAACCTTCTGGTTGACAGCCACACGCACTGACTCACTGCACCACTGGTCCACTTTAAAATAGTGCGATAATCATCGACAATCAGGAAGAAGTATAATCTTAAGGCAAACAATTCAGAACAAATGCTCAATAAAAAGCAGGCATTGCATAACCTCCATGTAAGCTTGCGGCAAGGAAATGAGGATGACTGTTCAATAAGTGGGTCATCTGGAAGTGCCCATAGATTTTCCCCCTTAACCTCCTCCCCCTTGACACAAAAAGGCTAATCACAAGTATCAATCCACTGCTTTAGTCATGGGCCAAGTGACCGCCCCCCCCCAAGTCTGTCTCATCCAGAAAAAACATTAACACCAAACAATCTCTTCGCAGGCTCCCTCACTGTCCTCCAGGTGTGCTCACTTAAATTCTCACAGGTTTCCACATAACGTATTCTTACTGTGTTTTGCACCCTAAACAGACACGAAGAAGGCACTCGCTGTCATTGATTGGTAGGCCCAAAGCACACGAGTCTAATCCAGAGAATAAAGTGCTAGATTTGAGCTCTGGGTTAAATTCTTGCTTTGTTTCCTCGTGGACTGAGGTGGCATCGGCCATCAGACATCTCGTTCTGGCTCTCAGCCTCAATTCCCCAATTGTTAAAATAGAGGAAAGAGCAGCCTGCCTCATAGAACTGTTGTTGCGCAAGTGAACCAAGCCTTGCTGCATGTTAAATGCATAATGCAGAAATGGCTATGTGGAGAGAAAAATGGCACGCAATTGTCAAAGATTATAACATTTCCCCCTATTATCTATCTATCTATCTATCTACTATGAAGAAAACCCTTGGTGGGGGAATAATGTGTTGTGATTTCTGCACCTAGGCAGGATTTAGAGAGTGAACAATGAGAGGGGGGTTGTCCCTGTCTTAAGAAAGTAGTAACTTACTTCAATATGCAATAATCCAGCTCTGCTGTGTTCATCCTGTACATTTTTCTGGGCCAGCAGTGGGTGGGTGGGTACTCCAAAGTCTTTCCGTCATTGGCACCACTGCCTGAGCACTTAGCAAGTAAATTAGGGCTGTGGTACCCCAAGGATATCCCTGCCCCTCAGGTCATGTTCTGTGCCAAATAACTTTAGCAACATCAACAAGCGAAAGGGTAATGGTCTAGTTTGGTTCAAATTTATGGGGAAGGCTGTAGTTCAGGGGTCAGCAAACTTTTTCAGCCGGGTGCCGGTCCACTGTCCCTCAGACCTTGTGGGGGGGGCTGGACCATATATTGGGAGGGGGGAATGAACGAATTCCTATGTCCTACAAACCCAGAGATGCATTTTAAATAAAAGGACACATTCTACTCATGTAGAACACGCTGATTCCTGGACTGTCCGTGGGCCGGATTTAGAAGGCTATTGGGCCGGCTACTAGTTTGCCTACCTGTGCTGTAGTAGTTCATTGGTATAGCATCTGCTGTGGATGCAAACAGCCCCTGGTTTCATCCTTGGTGTGTCCAGGTGAAAACTCTTGTTAATACTGAGCAAGATGGACCAAAGGTCTGATTTTCTATATCCCTGTAATGACAAAGACAATGAGGATTTTTTACGCAGTATTTGATTGGCATTTTCATGTTAAGAGTTAAGGACAGAGCCTCTCCCGCTATGTTGGGGGACTTAAACCTAAGTGGCTTGAGATCTCCTGATCACACTAGATTTATGACCATGTTGCTCATTGCTAAGGCTGAATTAGCCTTAGGAACGAGTCAAGTTTCACATTATGGTTCCTCCAGGCTGAGAGGTCCTTTTCCATTGCTTCTGGCTTTTAGGGGGGAACTATCAGATCCAATTCATCCCCAAGGCCCCATTAAGTCTGCGAGGGTCTGTTTAACCTACCAGCAGGCAAATGCCAACTGAACATCTCCCTTGCTTAAAACGTGAGCTATGGCCTCCCTAAATGACTCAGACTGGCCTTTCCCAGGGGTTTCTGCTGGGCTGCCTAACCCTGCACTTTTGAGGCCTGGGCACCGTTCCGACTTATCTCATTGCTGACAGTATTTCCACACCTGTTCCTTTGGGCCTGCGACATGGCTGATCCTGCAGCCACTGCAGTGTCGGGGAGAGACAGAAGAGAGAGGAAGACCTCATGGCAAAGTTGCACACCGTCCTTGAACACCGGCTGCTACTTAGAGCGGAACAGGATCCCCAATGGGTTTTGAGCATCGCATGAGATAAGAGGGACCACACGTTTCTGGGGATGGGCTGCTTGGTCCATGTCCATCTCCACCATTGGAGGCAGCCTGCCTCTGAATACCATTCACTGGGAATCACAAGTGGGAAGATTAGCTGTTGCACTCAGTTCCTCGCATTGGCATCTGATTGGTCAGTGTGAGCGTTGGGCATTGAGGCTGATCCAGCAGCCAGACTCTTCCCGGTGTTCTCACTGGTTTCAGCAGGTTCATGTGAAGTTCCTACAGGCTGGTCTCCTTCCCCAAACTGGAAAATTTTGCATCTTCAGCTTTGCCCCTCTTCCACAAAGCCATGTGTATGCTAGGTAAACACATGCAGTTAATGAGATTGTGGCAAACCTTGCAACGGGGCGGGGTGGGGGCGAATCACTGAGGTTTCCAGATAGATCAAGGTTTTGGGCCAAGACTAAGCTGCTGTCCTATTCTTGGGTGGGTGAGAACCCTGTTCTATTTTTTGCAGCATTTCCTGCAGCGCTTGTTCCCAATGGATGGCTGACGCTTTTGGGAAAGGCATTATTGTAGCCCACTAGTGTAAGAGCCCCTGCGCTGCGTGCAGAAGGCCTCAGGTTCAATCCTTGACATTTCCAAGTAGAGCTGGAAGAGCAGTCTGCCTGAAACCTTGGAGAGCTCCTGCCAGTCTCTGTGGACAATACTGAGAGAATGGCAGCTTCCTGTGTTCCTGTGCTGAACCAACCAACCTATCTCACATCATTAAATGCTCCCACTCTCTCGCACATACCCGTTTCAAGCAGCTTTTCACTTCAGATCGGGATCTATTGGTAGATATCCAAATCAATTGCAGGCGATTGGAAAACTCAGTGGTTTAACTCAGGGACAGGCAACATGGTGCCCCCCAGATTTCCCGGACAACAACTCCTATTATGCTGGTTGAGGGTGATGTTGTTGTCCACAACATGTGGTGGGCATCATGTTGGCTACACTTGCTTTAAGAGTAGCACCAGCAAAAAGCCTTTTCTTCACTCCTGTTGAAATCAAGAAAGCTTATGGAAAAACAGCTCCGGAAGGAAATCCTTGGGCTGAGCACATGCGCTCGGAAGCACCTTCCTTCCACCTTGCTGAGCCACAAGGTGAAAAACAAAATAGACCCCGCCAGCCTATATTTTCCCCACCCCATGGTGTGGTGTCGTCCACTTTTATACCCCAGTTGCATGAACAACCATCCAACAATGAGTCATAGTAAGGCAGAGAGAAAAGGACTGAACGCAGCGCCATGTCCAAACAGAGATTTGGGGAATATGGATCTCCTGCAACAATGTCCCTCCCTGGCCATGCTGAATGTGGTTTAATACGGGCGAATGAGACATAGCTGCCACTTGCCAATTAAGGAAGGCAGTAACTCCACACCTGTTGAGTTGTTCAGATTCGAAGTGGCAAGGAGGACCTGGTGTGAACAAGAACACAGAGAGGCCATTTTCCCCCCTTGCAAACGATCACCCTTGAGAAAATCAACTTTCTCCTCCTCCTTCTGTCCCTGGGAGCTTGTTCCTCTCTGTACAGCTTTACTGATATGGGATTGTTCCTCTGCTCCTGCAGGGAGCCAGGGACACCCTTTCCTGCTGATGCGAGAGATCTGTGGGGGTGGTTTCGCAGAAAGGGGTATCGGGTAGCTGCTGCTGTTCCAGATGCCTTGCCCTTATAAGGCTGTTTCTAAAAACTGCCCTGTGCCTGTGCTCCCTGCAAGGAGGCAAGGGGATGAGCTAATGGCAGTATTTTGGAAGAGGGCAGAACTTATTTAGGGTACGAGAAGGGTCTTCCTCTGCCCCCACCCTCCATGAGAGATGGATGGGCAGGCGGATGGCAAGGCCAGGCCTCCTCAAGAACAAAGTAGCTATTTAAAGAGGCTTCCGTGGCTTGGGGCTATGATTCATTGGCTGGATGGAGTGGTTCAATTTGTTGGGAGGTTGACTAGTCCCAGTGGCATAGCGTGGTGTCAGGGGGCCAGGGCCCCGGGAGCAAATATCTGAGAGGGTGCAACCAGGTGTCACATGACAGGCTCCCTCATCGAGGCTGAAGCTGCAGGGAGACAAGCTGCATCTGGGGTGGGCCTTTGGGGCTGGGGTGGCAGTGGCAGGTGCCTCATTTTCCTTGCGGCCTGCGGAAGGGTGCGCCCCACACCTGGGCTGGCCAAGAGGAAAAGCGGGGGAGGGCAGTGGAGGAACCCACCGGGGGGGGGAGGAAGGTGGGAAAGCACTGTGAGGGCCTGCCCTCTCCCCCAGAATTACTTTGGGGGAGTATGCCATGACTTTTCAGCTCTCGTTTCAAAAAAGAAACAGGAAAACATGTGGGCTTCTTCTGTGGAACATCTACATACATGTGACATCCATTGGGATGCTTGAGGGATCCGATCTTTCCAAGTCCTGATGCAAACGGAACCTTCTGGATCAGTGTGCAGATCAGAACTTAACTGAATTTCAGCTCAGAAACATGCAAACATGCATTTTTAAATGTTTATTTTATTATAAAACACATCTGTAATTCTTCACAACAGCTTAGTATTGATCCACACATTAGTCCTGAGAGGTGTGGATGAGGAAACTTTGTATAGGAATCCTCAAGCATCTCTAAGTGGTGGTGCGCTCGCAATGTACAAAACTGCCTAGTGAATCCGTTCCACACGGACACTTTTGAGCACTGAAGGGAAGCAGAGTCCGCCTCTGCCCCTCTCCTCAGGGCCCCGAACCCTCTGCTTTCAATTTCATCATCTCTTGGCTTCCGCAAGCAGTGAGCACTGAATGGGTTTGTCATGTGGGCTCCTGCCAGCTCTGTTAATCCTAGTAAACAGGGGTGGTGAATCTAGCAGGGCCATTCCGGACCTATGTTGACAAAAGCACCTGTGAGGAGATGCCCTCTCGTGAGGCTGCAAATAGCTTCCCATTGTGAGTGCCAGACACACATCATACTGGGTGGAGTACCATTTGGCAAGCCTACAAGCTGGGCCAACGCCAGAACAATAGTCAGACAAAGGATGTGATAAACACTAAGCATCCCAACCACTTTACCGAACTTTTTGAGAGCAGAAAGACAAACCACATGGCGTCTTGCTGAGTAACAACAACAACACGCTTAATAGCTTAATATGTGAACTTCCTAAGGGGTTTACATAAAACACAGTAAAATCATTTTTGAAAAATCTCTGTATGTGTGTGTGTGTGTGTATCCAAGAAAAAAGAGAACATCCCTCAATGCCAGTTGCATACCCTCTAACATTCCTCTGATGAAAATAGGGATGTCCCATTCCATTATTATTATTATTATTATTATTATTATTATTATTATATTTACACCCCACCCATCTGACTGTTGCCCCAGCCACTCTGGGCAGCTTCCAAACATAGACAAAAACATAATAAACATTAAACACCTTCCCTATACTGTACAGGGCTGCCTTTAGACGGCTCAGTATCACAAAACTCCGGAATTTCTCTGATGAAAATAGGGATGTCCTAAGGAAAAGTGGGACATTCCAGGATCAAATCAGAAACCGGGATGGCTACTATAAATCCAGAACTGTCCGTGGCAAATAGGGACACTTGCAGGGTCTGCAGTTGCTGGCAATCACTGATGCACTCAGATCACACCATATGTTTAAAGAACATGGCTTCCCCCAAAGAATCCTGAGACCTGAAGTTCACCCCTCACAGAGCAACCATTCCCCATCCCCTTAACAAACTACAATACCCAGGATTCTTTGGGGGAAGCCATGTGCTTTAAATGTACGTGACCTAAATCGGTTTTGTGACTGGCCTGAAGAAAGCGAATGAGCTTCAGAGTCAAGGGGGGATTTGAATCTGGGTTTTCTCAGATGTAGTCCAGAACTCTAACAAACCACACCGAACTAGTGTTGGAAACGAGAAAGCAGGTGCTCTTTGTGATATCTCTGCATAGGCTTCCAGGGGGTGCCTGTCCCATGTGTTTCCATACTATCTTCATGTTTCGATATTTTTCTGTGTCAGGGGTGGGAAAGCTTTTTTTAGCTCAAGGGCCACATTTGCTTCTAGGTAATGTTCTGGGGGCCACAGACCAACGGTGGGCGGGGCCAGAGGCAAAAGCAACCAGAGCAATGAATGAGGATTTAAATTTTGCACAGCAAGGGGTGGATCTACTATGAAACTAACAAAGCTTCAGCTTCAGGGCCCCCTAATCCTTGAAGGGCCCCACAAGTGACTTTAGTTCACATTGCTTTAAAAAAATTGGGTCTAGTATATATTTCCACAATCCCAAAGTTTGAGAGTCAGTACCACAGATGCTGTAAAGGTGACTTTGACATGAAAGATAATCCAGGACAGCAATTTTAAGTAAAATCAGAGTTGTTGTTGTTGTTGTTGTTGTTATTTTTTAATGTGGTGTTGTTTTGTGGAACAACCCCATTGAAGAAGATAAGAGTGGTTACCCAGACCTTTTTGCTAGTTGCAAAGGGGCACCCATAACATTTCAAGTTCCAGAGCCCTAAAAATGTAGGCCCACTGCTGAGGCTAGCTTCTACACATTCCTTAGCCACCATTCTGGCAACCATTGTTGGAGTTAAAGGATATCTTCCAGCCAATAATTTCAAGGAGATTATAAAGCAGGGCCCAGAGCGCCAGGTTGCCTCCCAGATTGGGGGTGTTATGTACTGAAGTTCTCACCCTGGGCCAGCAGGGGGATACTGTAGATAGTTCAGGTCCACATATGCAAATAAGGGATCAAAAGTGACGTTCAGTGATTGGATAGTAACAGAAAATGGTTACTGTTGCGTTCTAGTTGAGCTCTATATAAGCAGGCTGGCTGAACCCTTCAGTTCAGTTCTGTTCTGGCCTGTGAATAAGCAAGAGCTGTTTGAAGAATCGCTGTGTCATCTGATATGTTCACCCACAACTTAACAGGGGGCACCTGGCATTCAAGTGTGTATGTGTGACATCGTGCAAATGGTGAGCATGCACATCATCTGCAGAAGGCCGGGCGCTTTGGAGGAGCTGGACAGAGGTGCGACGTGTGATGCCATGATCTTGCGCATGCGCAACACACACCGGGCCCCCTCAACATTGAGGGGGCCTGGTCGCTTTCCAACAAAAATTGAGGGGGTTGGAGACACACCAGCCCCCTAGAGTTGGCACACCTGGCAGGGCCAGTGAATGGTGTAGCCTGGGAAAGGCCAGAGGACCAGAGAGAGAGGCCTAGTAGGCCGCATTTGGGCCTGGAATTCTGCACCACTGTCTCTGCTTGGGAAATGGGGACTGGTGGGATCCAGCAAGTGATAGCCTTCAGCCTGACCCTGCAAGCCCAAGTCTCATTGAGGCAATCATTACCTGTTGTGCATGGCTGGGTCCGTATCCATGCCAGTTCAGAAATCCCTAAGTGTGAATGAAAACTTCTTCTTGTCTTGTGGCACCGTCAGAAACATCTAATGCCTGTTTGCTCTGTGAAATATACTTGGAGTCCTGTAGTGATTTCATGCTCTTTATTGCAGCTTATAAAACAGTGATTGAATTGTCCCCCAAACCTCAGGCTTTTACATGCATTATTTACACAATGAGTCCCGTCTGATTGGCTGATTCTGCTTCCCTCCCAGTGGCGTAGCGTGGTGGGTGCAGGGGGGCCGGGCGCAACATCGGGGGGGGGGCGCGCTCGCACTCGCAGCTCTCTGCCCCTACCTGGCTCACTCACTCTCTCTCACTGCAGTGCTGGCTGTGCGAATCCAATCCGAGCCGCTGGGTCGCCGCCCACTGTGGAGGGTGTGGGTGCCAGGCGTGCGGTGCGGAGAGAGAGCGAGGGACTATCTGGGGAGGGACAGTGCAGCGGCCGCCCAGCGCAGCGCTGAGCGCAGGAGAGAACCACACCAGACCAGACCAGGCAGCAGCAAGAAGAAGCTGGCAGCGGCGGCAGGTTAGGGGTTAGGGGGCGCAAATTACTTGCCGTGCTGACAACCCACGCTACGCCGCTGTTCCCTCCTGGAGCCTGATTGGTCTTTTCCTGCAGGCCAATCAGTTGTTGCATTCTACCAGCCTTCTAGATGTGCCCTGGCATTTGAAACATCTTTCAAGCCCTATCTGCTGGAACCTTCACAAACACTGTCTTTTGCGGATTGCTCAGTCTCCTGTGTATGTACATGCACAGCCATTTTAGAGCAACAACTCCAAGCTGGGAGTGCTCAAGTCCTATGCACTCTTCCTCTCCTGGGTCGAGCTCTAAAACCCCACATTACTCTACGGGGTTGAACATAAGACTATAAGATGAGCCTGTTGGATCAGGCCAATCCAGCAGTATACCTGTCAACTGTCCTGGAAGAAAAACAGGACACCCCATTTTTTTCATGCAAGATCCCGGCAGCCATTCAGGTGCCACATTCTTGCGTTGCAATCACCCCCCAAAAAAGCGCTTTTGGGGGGCAAGATCACTGTGTGGGTCATGTGATTTGCCCAGGAGCGCATCCCTGCTGTTTGGTCTGGAGGGCATGCAGCTGTGTGTTCTCTCACAGTAGCCACCGGTCAACTAGATGCCTGTGGGAAACTCACAAGCAGGACCTGAGCACAGGAGCCCTCCCCTCTCCTGGCATTTCCAGCAACTGGTATTCAGAAGCATGGCTGCCTCTGAACATGGAGGTGGAGCATAGCCATTGTGGCTATGAATTTTAAAGCCATTCAAGTTGGTGGCCATCCCCTGCCTCCTGTGGGAAGGAGTTCCATAGCTGAACTATGTGCTGTGTGAAGAAGGATTTTTATTTGTCCTGAATCTTCCAAATAACTGCAGGAAAATCAGACTGGGGACCCCCTCCAGACAAGTCTTTTATTGCGGGTTTATTCCGCAACATGTTCTTGGCACAATAATTAGTGGTGGATTGAGTCTGCTTTAGTTTGTTCTGTGACGCTTCCCTGATGCTGCCACATTATTGCCATCCTGGGGGGCTATAGGGCATGGGTAGGCAAACTAAGGCCCGGGGACCAGATCCAGCCCAATCACCTTCTCAGCCTGCAGACAGTCAGGGAATCAGCATGTTTTTACATGAGTAGAATATGTGCTTTTATTTAAAATGCATCTCTGAGTTATTTGTGGGGCATAGGAATTCGTTCATTCCCCCCCCCCCTTCAAAATACAGTCTGGCCCACCACAAGGTCTGAGGGACAGTGGACCGGCCCCCTGCTGAAAAGGTTTGCTGACCCCTGCTATAGGGTAACAAAAGTGGGGGGGAAATTAACCAGAACATTTGTGGTATTAGAAAGTTACAAGATTTCACTAGGAAGTTATGCAATATACGCCGATAAGAAATTAAGCAAGATGTCTGCCCCAAAACATTTGCAGGCAAAGAGTATCGAAAATGGGATCATGTGTAACTGCCCTGATAGTATAATGAGCAGAAATCGACCCACAATAAAAATGATCAGGAGTACAGCATGGACTGGCTAATATCCATGTTCTCACCAAAAACCCACCCCCTGCATCCTGCCACAGTTCTGTACCTGAAAAAAAAGTTATATATGTATTAAGGCAATGAATAAATGGATTGTGGATGTAAATAAACCAGGAAAAACAAAAACAAAACATAGGGCAGTAGCTGAACCAGTATTTGATTTGCTGGTGTGTACTATGGTCCATACAACTAAGAAGATATGGGCAGAGCCCATGACTGAGGGACAGAGTGTGAGCTTTTTTTGTATCTGATGTCTGCCCTCCCCCTAATAGTGCAAACCTTTACCCGCTTATCTGTGAGTATGTGCCATTGAATTAAATGGGATTTACTTATGAGTAGGCATGCAAAAAGGATTGTACTGTGCACTGTCTTAGGCCAGCAGAACGAGGAACCCTTTTCCAGTTTGAGGGCCAGATTCCCTCATGGCCAAGATTTTGGGAGCCACGTGGCAGGGCTAGAACAACAGGTGCAAATCTGATCTTTGCCACATTCCAGCCAGACAAAAGTCAGAGGTTTCTACACACATACACATGACACCACACACCTCTTTGCGCCCTCCTTCAAGGCATTCTCGCAGGCCAAAGCATTCAAGGAGGGCATGGAACAGGGCAGGGGGTGTGTGGCCTGGAGAGACTCCTGAGAGTCAGAGAGTGCTGGAGGGCTGCATTTGGCCACTGGGCCCAAGGTTCCCCACCCCTGATGCGGTCTGTTGATGGCATAAGCTGATACCACATCAAATTTCTCAGCAAAACTTTGCAGAACTTCCTAAGTGCCAGAATCAATGTTTTACATGCCACAGTCCTTGTGTGCAGCAGTGTAGGTGCAGGAGAATTGTGGCACATTTATGTGCCAGCTTCAGATTTCTAGGTGCCAGGGTAACCAAGTGCCTGGGATTTTCCCAAACTTTTAAGATGGTTATACCCACCTCTTTTTCAGCCTCTCCCACTGATCTATCACACTCCCACGGTTCAGATGTACTGGACTTTTCAGGCAAGGGTGGCACTTTGCCTAGGCTCATCCTCAGAACTTTGCTGAAGAAAAATCAGGCTTGGCCAGGTGGGAATCAGCTGTGCAGCAAAAGCTGTTATGCATACCTAATTCCCCCCCTGCCTGCCCATGTTGTCTGGCAGACACATCATATTAAAAATATGGCAAACCAAATCACTATTCATCAATCGTTCAGTCTGACCTCCCCTCTATGATTGCACTGACATATCCATCAGCATAAAACAACAAATCATAGAATCATTTAAAAGCTAAATAGATGCATGGATGTATACCGTATATATAGAAAATTACAACTTACTGAATATTGCTCAGGCAGAGTGGCAAGACGTCTTCAGCAGTCTGCACTGGAGAAACCATGAAGAAATGGATGCTGTAGTTGAGATTCCTGCATTACAGGGAATGCTCTACAATTCTATGAAAAGAAAAACAATGTGAAGATCTAACATTTCAAGAGATTTCAAAGTTCCAAGTACAGTACAGTGGTACCTCGGGTTACAGACGCTTCAGGTTACAGACTCCTCTAACCCAGAAATCGTACCTCAGGTTAAGAACTTTGCTTCAGGATGAGAACAGAAATTGCATGGCGGCAGCGGGAGGCCCCTATTGGCTAAAGTGGTACCTCAGCTTAAGAACAGTTTCAGGTTAAGAACGGACCTCCAGAACGAATTAAGTTCTTAACCCGCGGTACCACTGTACATGTTCTGATCAAGATAACGTTCGCAGTTCCTCTCGGGCATTCTCTGTTGCATCCTACAATATCTAGTACAGTGGTACCTCAGGTTACATACGCTTCAGGTTACAGACTCCACTAACCCAGAAATAGTGCTTCAGGTTAAGAACTTTGCTTCAGGATGAGAACAGAAATCGTGCTCCGGCGGCGCGGCAGAAGCCGGAGGCCCCATTAGCTAAAGTGGTGCTTCAGGTTAAGAACAGTTTCAGGTTAAGAACGGACCTCTGGAATGAATTAAGTACTTAACCTAAGGTACCACTGTAGTAGATCTGGAACCTGGATGAATCTGTAACTCTTGAAAGCAGGCTTAAAGCAAGCATGTAGGCCTCCTCTGAACTTCTGTGAAGCAGCCCCTCCACCTTCTTTTCCAAACAAACTTCCAGAACTGTCCTATAAGAGCAGGTTGCTGAGCACACTCTATGATAGAGACAAGGGGACAAGGGATCAGTTGAGAGGCCGGGGCTGGTTTTGCAATGTATCCTCCTGCTCTTCATTACAACAGCATGGCTGTTACACATGCATGGCTCTCTGGATTGTGGCCAGGATCAAGCATGTGGCGTTCCCCACAATTGTGGGCGGGCGGGAAGGAACTGGCAGTCCTGTTCCGCACCCACAGCGATTCAGTCTAGTGAAGAACTGAGAAAATAGGAAGCAGGGCTGTGCAGGGCTGCTAGACCTAAGCATGTCTACTCAGAAGCAACTCCTGTTGAATTCAGTGGGGATTACTCCCAGGTAAGTCAGGTTAGGACTGCAGCTTAAATTGTCGTGGGACTTTTTTGTATTCCCTTGGGAACCACTCAGGGACTATGGCAGGGATGGGAGAACCAGCAGCCCATGAGATGTTGGACTCCAACCCATGAACATTGGCCATGCCGGTTGGCGCTGATGGGAGTTGGAGTCCGACCTTTGAAGGGCCACACAAGTCTTCCATTCTTGGGCTACGGAAAGCAGGCAGGCATTTAGATTTATATCCTCCAAGAAGCTGGAAGGGGGTGAAAAGGATTCCTCGCTACTTTATCCTCACAACAACCCTGCAGAGTAGCTTAGACAGAGAGAGAGAGAACAACTGGCCTAAGGTCACCCTGTAACCTTGTTAGCCTGGTGAGAATTTTAAGCTGTCTCTCCTCCCTCCCAATGATCCTGTTGTGCCAAAGTTCTGCAGTCATTTTGCAGTGAAAACCCTGCGTTTTTGCAGCAGCCCTCAAAACAAGTAATTGAGAAATCAACCTGGGGTTCGTAGTTAACACCCCCAAATCCAACAGTGTCTGAATCACTTTAAACTGGCCCCACATCCCAGCCCCTCATAAACCAGAGGTGCCTCCTCTACACATCTGCACATCCATCCAGGCTAGCAAGGCTGGGTTGTCATCCTAGCTCAAGGGCGCTTCCAGGTATGCAAAGGCACCCCAGGAGTACCCCAAGCAGGACCACGGAGGAATGAGAGCCTGAGAGCCAAACAGAGAGGCCTGGGGGTCCGTATCTGGCCCCCAATCCAAGGCCTGTGGTTTCTCCACCCCCCTGTGTTGGACAGAGAGAGAGGCTCCCTGCAAGGAGGTACGAGAGATCCCAGCCTGTTGGGATTAAATCTGTTGAAGCCTGAATATGCAGCCGTAAATATGATTCTTGTGTTATTATTTGTAATAATACCTTTCTTCCAAGGAGCTCAAAGCAGTGTACATGGTTCTCTTCCTGCCCTCATTTTATCCTCACGATAACCCTGTGACCTAGGTCTCTGATCCCAAGGAGCGAGTGAGCTTCTTGGCTGAGTGGGGATTTGAACCCGTCTCTCTCCAGTCTAAGGCTAGCCACTGGGCCATACTGCCCCCACATAGAGCAGAATCCTAGCCAAAGTGAAATATTTTAAATTCCGATTGGTTTCACTGGGAAGAGGGTGTTAAGTATGTATGTATTTATCTCTCTCTCCTGCTGGAGTTATTGAGATATAAGGGATTACACCATACATTTAAAACACATTTAAAGCACATGGTGCCCCCCAAAATGAATCCTGGGAACTGTAGTTTAGCCTCAACAGAACTACCATTCTCAACACCCTTAACAAGCCACAGTTCCCACGATTCTTTGGGGGAGGCTGTGTGCCACAGATGTCCCAAAGCACAATTACAAATATTTAGGGCAGTCATTACACACGATTCCACAGAAGGCTGACAGTTTAACACTTTTTTTAAAAAAGGCTTAGACTTGGGTTTAAAAATAAAACAGGATTAAATTCATTATTGGTTCAACTGGAAGCTCAGCAGAAGTGCTCGCCTTGGAGCTTAATTTATTTTGGGTTCAAAAGCCAGCTAATTCAAGTTACACAGTGGTTGCTGGGAAGCTTCCTGCAACATTCCTGTCTCGAAATTCTTGCCTCCGAGGAGTCTCTAGAAATAGACTAAAGCGCAGACGCAGCTCAACTGTATTTTTATTTTTTTAAATAGACGAACCCATGCCTCTGTAAAACTGCCTATTTTTAGGAGCGCCTTCTATTCTGTTTGACGCTTAAAATGCATGTCTGCACTTTTTTTGGGAAAATGATAATAATGTTGTCACTCCCTTTAGCCAGGTACGACTCAAAAGGAAAGGGGACTGGGAGGGAGAAGGAATCAGAGGATTCAGGAAAGATCTGAGGAGAGGACAAAATGCAATGGTGTTGTTGTTTTGAGGCAGGGATGGGTGGGTGGGTGTATGTGTATGTGGAGTGAATGTTGCTCTTCCCCACCAGAACTTCAGGGAGCAGATTAGGCTAATACATCTAGAAAAGCAGGAGTGAGCTCTTGGACATGCTGTGAGACTACTTTATAGAGGCCAATTGCCCCTTTCCCTGCTCAGCTTACTCCATCCCATTCCCACAAATCTTAACAGAGGAAGGACTGTAGCTCAGAGCACCTGCCTTGCATGCAAAATGTCGCTGGTTTAATTCCTGGTGTTTTGAGTTGGCAGCAGAGGGTGCTGGGTGCTGTAAGTCTCCCTTTCCAAATGTGCAATCCTGTATCTATGGGGGTAGAAGAAAGTGCAAGAGAAAGATTGCCAAACCAGTTCCTTCCTCGAGGTAATGACTTTGGCTCCTTGTTAAGCATAGCGATTTAACATATCCAAAGAAGTTGCTCTGTGCCATAGAGCAAATCATTATCATTATTAAGGTTTATATACCACCCTTCATCAAAAGATCTCAGGGCAGTTCACAGAATAAAATACAAGATAAATCACAAGTAGCCACCTCTCACCTGGCTGGTAGATGCAACCCAGAGTTCTGCGTGAGAGAGCTGGAAGCTGGAAGAGACATGCCTTGCTCTGTGGACTTGGAGCTCCCCCTGGAAACCTAAAGAGGAGAGCAAGATGGGAGTGTTGATGTGAGACCCTCCATCCTATGCTCAGTTTGTAAAGGTAAAAGTAAAGGGACCCCTGACCATTAGGTCCAGTCGCGGATAACTCTGGGGTTGCGGCGCTCATCTTGCTTTACTGGCCGAGGGAGCCGGCGTTGTCCACAGACAGCTTCCAGGTCATGTGGCCAGCATGACTAAGCCTCTTCTGGCGAACCAGAGCAGTGCATGGAAACGCCGCTTACCTTCCCGCCGGAGCAGTACCTATTTATCTACTTGCACTGTGTGCTTCTGAACTGCTAGGTTGGCAGGAGCAGGGACCGAGCAACGGGAGCTCACCCTGTCGCGGGGATTCGAACCACTGACCTTCCCATCAGCAAGCCCTAGGCTCTGTGGTTTAACCCACAGCACCACCCATGCCCCATGCTCAGTTTGTATATAAGTATAAATAAAACCATGTCTCCTAAAGACACCACAGTCTCCACTGATCCTCATTCCAAGGAAACTGAACCCTGGGTAAGTGCAGGCACCCCAGAATGTCTTGTTGTTGCTTGGATATTGTGGTGGCATGTAACAGCTGGCATCTCCAAACAGGGCTGTGACCCTTGGAGAGTCACTGCCAAGTCACTGTAGGCACTGCCAACCTAAACAGACCAATGATCTGATGGGATAAGGCAGCTTCCTGGTTTAACATGAGGGTTCTAGCCCTCATGTTGCTGTTTCCAATAAATAAATGGCCCCCAACCCATTTTTACTATCTAGCGCTTCATAGCCATTTTCTGGTGTTTAGCTGCTCGTTTTTAAAGAAAAACACAACAGCAGGTTGTAAGGACCATTCTAATGTGGTTTCCACACATTTGCCCATTCCTCCGGAACTGCCGTCCTTTGTTCATGTGCATTTTTTGGAGAATCCAGACAATATCCTGATTCTGGTGCTTTATGAGTTGTCCTCCCATATTTTTCCCCCTAGACCTGGTTTTGGAAATTGCATGTTATGATAGAACACAACAAAAGCCGACTCATTAAAGGGCATTTTATACCTAATCAAAAAAACGCAGTACCGAGTAGAGCAAAAAACCAAACCAATTCAACAAACAATGAATGCAATTCAAGACCAATTCATAGCGATTCAAATATCAGAAACAGGTGCTGAGCACCAGCTGTGTGCCAGCAGAACCCCCAGACTCTAAAGCTGTTGGAAATGTTGTGCTGACTCCCAGTTCCTAGAACAGATGGAGAAATATATATTTTTCCAGAGGGGCCATTTATCAGTGGTGCATAGGGTCATAAGCAAAAATGGGTGGAGCAAGTGTACATTTCACATGTGTACAGCAGGGTAGCTTCTATCAACACACTTCCCCCTCTCTCTCCCTCATCTAGGCAAACAAGGAGCGTTGTCAGAGCTCAAGGACACATTCCAGCCAGGCATAAACACTCACCGAGGGTGCAAAGCAGAGCTAGTGGGGTGCATGGGTTGGGGGAGAAGGGGCGCGGTCTGAGGAAAGTCTCTTGGGTTACTGCCTTACAGGGTTGTTGTGGAGATTAATTGTGGAGGGATAAAACCACGTGCACCACTCCGAGCTCCTCGGAGGAAATGCTGGAATGTAAACGCAATTAATAAAATAACAATAAATAGGGGAGAAGTTGGGAGGGCTGCATTTGGCCCCTGACCCCAAGAGTTCCCATCTCAAACCGCTGCTCAGTTCAGATTTTCCAGATTCTGTTTTGTCTGGTCATTGGACGTGTAATTCTAGAGGCCTGCCTGAGTTACATGCACACACAAATGTTTATACAGTATCAGCTATATGCCAAGTTAATCGCCATGGCTTCTCCCAAAGGATTCTGGGAATTGTTGAATTGGAGGGGAAGTTTCCCCTAACCCCATTACTACCACTGTGGGCCCCACAATATCCTTGGACTGAGGAGACCTCTGTTAAATCCTTGAAGTGTAGTCAGTCCCTAGGTAAGAGTTTCAAGGGAGCGCGCACAAGGTAATGCGGAGAAAGGGCGGGGTTCAGAGTCCTCACCCGAACACCCATTTTAATCTGAAACTGAACCCAGAACCAGGCAGTCACACAATGCAACAAATGTGGCTGCCCTCTCGCTTCCAGCTGTGTGTTTGTTCAGATTGTTCAGCGTACAGTGCTACCTCGGGTTACATACGCTTCAGGTTACATACGCTTCAGGTTACAGACTCTGCTAACCCAGAAATAGTACCTCAGGTTAAGAACTTTGCTTCAGGATGAGAACAGAAATCGTGCTCCAGCAGCGCGGCAGCAGCAGGAGGCCCCATTAGCTAAAGTGGTGCTTCAGGTTAAGAACAGTTTCAGGTTAAGAACAGACCTCTGGAACGAATTAAGTACTTAACACGAGTTACCACTGTATTCACCTTTTTAGGCAAAAGGCCCACACAAGGTGGCTTACGATACAGTAATGTAAAATGATACAACAAAACAAAATGCAGCAACAATTGATCCAGTTGCCAGCTGCAGCTGCTTGTTGTGACAGCCCGCCATGTGCCTGCCATCGCCACGTCCTGCACTGTACGCTCTCTGCTGTACACAAGCTCAGTGCCCTGGGATGGTCAGGAAACACTGCTCTTCCCCCATCCTTCCCATTCTGTTGGCGCCAGGTGGCTGGCCATAAATATATTCTGCACACTCAGGGCATTGCATGAAACTTGCTTCATTGCAGGCACCTTGAGGGCCAGGTCTAAATTTGGCCAGGCACCGGGGTGGGAGGCAGGGGAGCTGAGATCAGGATGCTGTGGAATGAACTGAAGGCAATGTGTGATCCCATATGCTCCAATTGGACCTGTTTAGTCATATTTCACACACAGAGAGGAACATACCCACTTCTTCTCCAAAAACAAGGAACTCTCAGCCAGTCACCTGCTTCCCCGAATAGCTGGATGTATTTATTTTTTACCATGATTTAGAAACCAATCACCCAGGATGTGCAAGTCTCATAGCGGTGTCGGTTTAACACCCACCTGCCAAGTATAAATGCCGTGTACAGTATCTTTATTTGAATGATCGCATGCCCTCCAACATTTCTATGATGAAAATAGAGATGTCCTATTCCATCATCATCATCATTACCATCATTTTATGATTTATACCCTGCCCATGTGACTGGGTTGCCCCAGCCACTCTGAAGCACTATTTCTGGGTTAGCAGAGTCTGTAACCTGAAGCATATTTAACCTGAAGCATATGTAACCCGAGGTACCACTGTACAGGGCTTCCTTCAGATGTCTTCTAATGTTTGTATAGTTACTCATTTCGCTGGCTCATACCTTCCAACATTTATCTGAAGAAAATAGGAACATCCTAAGGAAAAGTGGGGCATGCCAGGATCAACTGGGATGGCTTCTGTAAATCCAGCACTGTCCCTAGAAAATAGGGACACTTGGAGGGTCTGATATCTAGATGTATTTATTTTTTTACCTAGGGCTGCCATATGTCCAGGTTTTCCCAGACATGTGCAGAAATTGTGCAGGAAAATGGCGTCCGGGTGGATTTTCAGCAAATTGGCAAAATGTCTGAAAAACCCAGACACATGAAAGGGGGGTGTTTATATATATATATATATATATATATATATATAATCATTTGAAAAATAAAAAAGGCCAAAAATAAAAAAGCTCAACAACTTTGTCCAGATTTTCACTTTGAGGAATATGGCAACCCTTTAGAAACAAAGCACTCCAACACCCAAGCTGTGCTGGTCTCATGGCAGTGTCGGTTTAGTGCCCACCTGCAAAGTCTAAATGGAGTGTTTCAGTATCTTCACCAGGAAATAGCTAGATACTCCTTCTAGAAGGGGGAGATATTCTGGATAAGGGGCATTCCTTCCTGCATCTCCACCCCATGCTAAGTAAGCAAGGAGTCTGTATGTAAAGGACAATAGATTGGCAGCTTTAGCGAAGCTGGAAAAGGACATCATTAAGAAGACCCATTTGGTCCAGCATCTCATCCTCACAATGGCCAACCAGATTCCCCCAGGGAAGTCCACAAGAATGGCCTGTGTGCAACAGTGTTCTTCTTGCATTGGAGATCCCCAGAAACTGATAGGCAGAGGCTGAGTCGCTCTTTAGTTGAATATAACCCTCAGTAATTACGGTGTGCGTGTTTTATTTATTTGTTTAAGGCATGGGTAGACAAACTAAGGCCCAGGGGCTGGATCCGGCCCAGTCAGATGGTCCGGGAATCAGCATATTTTTACATGAGTAGAATGTGTCCTTTAATTTAAAATGCATCTCTGGGTTATTTGTGGGGCATAGGAATTTGTTCATTTCCCCCCCAAAAAATATAGTCTGGCCCCCCACAAGGTCTGAGGGACAGTGGACCAGCCCTCTGCTGAAAAAGTTTGCTGACCCCTGGTTTAAGGCATCTTTATGCTGCTTAATCATTAGCATTTCAATGCAATCATCATAAAAACAGAGATGAGATGTGTATGGGTTTTCGGTGACTCAGTTGACCATTGCCATTGTGTTTCCTGCAGACATTCACAGCCTGGTGTAACTCTCACTTGAGGAAGGCAGGAACGCAGATCGAGAACATTGAGGAAGATTTCCGGAATGGCCTGAAGCTCATGCTTCTGCTGGAGGTGATTTCAGGTATTAAAAAAAAAAAAGCTTGGCAAGGGTGATGATCTGTGGAGCTGCCCAGGGGCAAGAAATGTGGAGCAGGGAGGTTGAGGCAAAATTTGCAAGTCACTGACACAATAAAACTTTTACAATATGTTCAGCTTCTGCCCTAAGACTCCAAATCACCAAGAGGCAGGATCTGCTACATTTAATTGGAGTTAGCAGTTGGTCTGTTGCAACCTCCCTTGTGATGTTTCATTTTGAAATCTTTAAGATAATATATTAGTTTCCTGTTGATGGTGTTGCTTTGAACAAATACTTTATATTTGACTCTCCCTCATCCTCCATCTTCCCTCCTCTTCCTCTTCTCCCCAAAGGTGAAAGGTTGCCAAAGCCAGATAAAGGGAAGATGCGCTTCCACAAGATCGCCAATGTCAACAAGGCACTAGACTTCATTGCCAGCAAGGGGGTCAAGCTGGTATCTATTGGTGCTGAGGGTGAGTGTTTTGTTTGGGAACTCATTCCAGAGGGCTGGAGATGTAACACTAAAAGCCTGGTTTGTAGTGCATGCTAAGCACATCTCTGGGGCATGTGGTGCTCTCAGAGCCAGGAGTAGCCAGCATGGTGCTATCCAGATGTTGTTTTCCAACTCCCATCATCCCCAGCCAGCACGGCCAATGATCATGGATGCTGAAGAACAGGTGTACATGGGGATGAGGTCGTTTCTTAGGTTAAGCTGTTGAGGGCTTTAAATGCTAAAAGCAAAAGCTTAAACTGCATATTGGCAACCAGTACAGCCCTCTGAGCAGATGGATGTCCCACTCAACAGCACTACCTTTATAGGTAAATTGCAAGGTCCCCTTCAAAGATCTGTACTGGAACTGGTACGATTTAGCTTATTCATAAACAATCTGGAGTCAGGGTGAGCAGCGAAATGGGTAAAAGAGTGGATAGTACCAAATTATTCAGCCTGGCAAAACTCAAAAAGTGGTACATAAATAAGCCCAATAATGACTGAATCCAGACTTGCTTGCCAGATGTTTTGGACAGACATCCTTCCCCAGGTTCTGTCTCCCACAGAAGGAGATTTTATCTCCAAACATGTTTGGAATCCCTTTGGTGAAAATCCATGTCTCATTTGTGTGGTTTTGTTGAGACAACTGAAACGATGCAGGTCTGACCCCAAACACTGTGGTTCTCTAAGCTCCCTCCATCCCCTCCTGCTTTTCCAGAAATCGTGGATGGGAACCTGAAGATGACTCTGGGCATGATCTGGACAATCATCCTTCGATTTGCCATCCAGGACATCTCGGTGGAAGGTGAACACAAGGGCACACAAGCCCCTCGCAGCATCCTGGTCTGATTTTTTAAGGGAAGAGCTGTTGGCTCGCTTGCTTTGCATACAGAACATCCTGGGTTCAGTCCCCAGTGGCATCTGCCAGTCAGTGTAGGCAATACTAAGCCAGACAGACCAAGGGTCTAACTCAGTACAATGCAGCTTCTCCTAGGACCCAAGTGGAAAAGGGAACAGGACCAGCTTAAAGTCCCAAAGATAAGATGCCCTCGTCCTTTTTGCCATGGTCCTCACTGCCCTTTCCCTTGTCCTCTTCTTTCTGACCGCAATATGCACTGCTGCAAAGGAGCAGGCAGGGAAGGTAGAGGCAGCGGCTGCTTCATCTCTCACTCTGGCCTCTGCTCAGAAAAGGGAGCAACGCCCAGGCAGATCAGCAACCAGGCCAGAATGGGGAGCCTCCTGTTCTGGTGTGCCGACCCCCAGACAGCTGATCAACAATGACAGTCTCTGGGGCTGGTCTCCCTGCCCCCCTCAATTGCAGAAGGCCCCAAGCTCCCAGCACCACCAGTTAAATCCGCCATGTGTCAGGTGATGGGAAAGGGTGTTCTTTGCTGGGAATCCTGAAAAGCCACTGGCAATGGGAATGGGCCGTCCTGCAATAGGTGGGCAGGCTGGCATGGCTTAGTGGTGCTGGAGCAAGTGCATTGCAGGAAGGTGTAATGATGGGAAAGTAGAAGAAGAGTTTGGATTTGATATCCCGCTTTATCACTACCCTAAGGAGTCTCAAAGCGGCTAACAATCTCCTTTCCCTTCCTCCCCCACAACAAACACTCTGTGAGGTGAGTGGGGCTGAGAGACTTCAGAGAAGTGTGACTGGCCCAAGGTCACGCAGCAGCTCCATGGGGAGGAGCGGGGAAGCGAACTCGGTTCACCAGATTATGAGTCCACCACTCTTAACCACTATACCACGCTGGCTGAGACTTTGGAGAGCTGCTGTCAGTCGAGAATAGAAAATGCCATTTACTCTGAGCGGACAAGAGTAGGCAAGAGCCAGTGTCCCTGCCAGGCATCAAAGGAACTCCTGGGTCTTAGCCAGCATAGAGGGTCCACTGCCTGAGCCTTCCTTCCTTTCTTTCTTTCCAGAAACCTCAGCCAAGGAGGGGCTGCTGCTGTGGTGCCAGAGGAAGACTGCTCCCTACCGGAATGTCAACGTGCAAAACTTCCACATCAGGTATGAGGAAGGGGAGGGGGATCACACACAATTTGGGGTCAGCTGCATTCATTGTTTGCTACACGCTTACAAGTGCACAGGCTGTGTATAGCGAAAGAAGGTTTGGAACGACAAGATTTCTACGCAGCCAGGAGACAAGAAGAGGAGGAGGAATAAGAAGAATAGAATCATAGGATTGTAGAGTTGGAAGGTACACCAGGGGTCATCTAGTCCAACCCCCTGCGATGCGAGGATCTCAGCCAAAGCATCAGTGGCAGATGCTTTTATTTGACAAATAAAATGATGACAAATGATTTTTGTTAGTTTGTTGAATTGGATTTATTGCCCACCCTTCCCAGGGTGGCTTACAGCAATAAAAAGCATAACTATGAAACAAATACAATAGTTACAATGGCAGAACAAGAAAAAGTGTAAAATAGTTCAAATGAAAAGCAATTCTGTATATAAACAAATCCCAATATTTTAAAAATCCTTCCATATATAAAAACAGAGCTAAGGCAGCAGAGCCATGGGACTCTTAATCTCAGGGCTGAGGGTTCAAACCCCACGTTGGGCAAAAAGATTCCTGCATTGCAGGGGTTGGACTAGATGACCCTTATGGTCCCTTCCAGCTCTACAATTCTATGATTCTATGGCACTTGCCTGATAGGTTAATGGGAGGGGGTGTTGCAGGGATTAAATGAGGAGGCGGACCATCTGCACTACCCTGAGCTCCTCAGATGAAAAAGGCAGGATAAAAATGCAATAAAATTAATAAATAAACTTTCTGTTTGCCAAAGACAGAATTCCCTAAAGGAAAACGGGGTGGATTGGGGTGGGGGGCAGTCAGGGCTTTGTCCCTGGTTCCGTTCAGTGTGAGGAGCCTCCCCCAGTTCCCAGTTCTGCCTGCTTTGAGGCAAAAGAGCTTTTGCAGAACCCCAACTCTGCAATAGGGACATTTAAACATAAATAAATACCACACCTACCAGCTGGATTCAGCATTTGTTTGCCTGACTGTTGGCTTGAAACTGATGCAGCGCAGCTCCCTGGCATGGAGGAACAACACCAGAGCTGGGTGCCAAAAGGGACTTGGCTCCTAGGCTAATTTCCTGCAACCAGCCTCCTCTGCCCAGAGGGCAACAGGGCCAATGTTCCTGCAGGAAGAAGGAAGCCAGTTCTGGCCAGGGGACACCCTTGCTCAGCCCGAGGGCCACATTCCTTTCAGGGCAACCTTCTGAGGGCGATGTAGGGCAGACCCAGAGGCAAATGTGGCTGGAGCATTGGATGAATATTATTATTATTATTATTAAAATTTCTATGCCGCCTTTCATCTGAGGGCGGTTTACAATATATATTTTAAAAAATGCATAACATAATGACAAAGAAAAACAGTGTCCTCTTCCTACAGCTTAAAAAAGACCATTGATTGTTTAATTAGCCAAAGGCATAGGAGAAGAAGAAAGTTTTTGCCTGGTGCCTAAAGATATGTAGGGACACATTTCAGCCAGGCAAAAGCATCCCAGGAAGGCACAAAGCAGGCCTGTTGAGGGACGTGGTTTGGGGAGAGTTCCCAGGGCCGTATAGAGAGGCCTGGAGGGCCGCATCCATTCCCTGAGTCTGAGGTTCCACTCCTCTCTATGGACTAGATTTGCTCCTTCCGCAATGTCTGCTTCTGTTCCTCCCTTTTCCTCTTCATTTGCACCCTGTGCCTTTCCATGCCTGGATGGGGCAGCCGCCATTTCTCTGACAAAGGATGTTGGACCAAAGCTGGAGGCCACCCAGACCCAGCTGAAGAGACCCAGGACTCACTCATTCACTCTTTCCCTCTTCTCTCTCCATGCCCATGTGCTGCCCACCAGCTGGAAGGATGGCCTGGCACTCTGCGCCCTGATCCACAGGCACCGTCCTGACCTCATTGACTACGCCAAGCTCAGAAAGGTGCTGTCTTCCTCTTGCGTCTTCCTGGCCACGCCCATTCCTTTCAGGCTCTCTGCTTGCAATCTCTGCGGTGTCTGCTGGCATCTTTGTCCTTGAGTCAACCTGTGATTTCCAGTACCCGCCCCCCTGCCCCGCCAATCACCCAGCTAGAGCAAATAGGGCTCTCCTTGTGGCGCTCATTGCCAGCAATCCGACCCCTGTGTGTCTGGGCCCAAAGACCCACTGCTTCGTCCCTGTCCACCATTATGATGGGCATTTTGCTAAGGGTGTAGCTCAGTGGCTGAGAGTCTGCTTTGCATGCAGAAGATTGTAGGTTCAGTTCTTGGTGTCACCAGTTTAACAGATGAGGTAGAAACGGGGAAGACCCTTCTCTGCTCAAGACCCTGGAGAGCTATCAGAGGAGATGGAGACTGGTCTTGATAGATAGAGTCTCAGCAGCACAAAGCAGCTTTTCATACCTGTAGCAAGTTCAGCATGAGCAGCAATAAGTAGTGTCTCAGTTAGGAGCTGTCCATCTTCTGACTCATCCTCACCTGTAACCCTGCCAGCTACTCCCTGCCATGGTGTAGCGATTCGTTCTGAGCAACTGTGTCTGTCTGTCCACAGGATGACCCCATTGGGAATCTCAACACAGCCTTTGAGGTGGCTGAGAAGTATCTGGATATCCCTAAGATGCTGGATGCAGAAGGTGAGGAGCCAGGCACCGTGCGTGTGTTTGTGTTTGAGTGAGAGAGTTGGAAGGGACCCTGAGGATCCTCTAGTCCACAGTTTCAAAACCCTGGGTCGGCAGCTGTTTTTGGACTACAACTCCCATCATCCTTAGCTAGCAGGACCAATGGTCGGAGATTATGGGAACTGTGGTCCAAAAGCAGCTGGGTACCCAAGTCTGGGAAACCCTGCTCTAATCCAACCCCCTGCAATGCAGGAATATGCAGGAATATGTCCCATATGGGAATCAAACCTGAAACCTTGGTGTTATCAGCAGCATGCTCTAACCAACAGAGAGAGAGAGGTTTAGGGATGAAGGGTGATGAAATGGGTCTGAAGTGGGATAAGCACCTGTCTTTTGTAAGGGAGGCAAATGAGCCTCCCAAAGGGCCCAAGAGCAAATTAAGACATCTTCCCCAGACCCATCTGCTATGCCAAACCCACCGCTGGTTTCTGCTGGACCTGCTTGCAAGCCACAGGCCAGGTAGCCTTCTTCTGAAGTGCCTGCTCTATTTTTAAAAATTTTTGGTAAAGTTTTTTTTATTTTATCATATATATAAAACAGAGAGAGTAGTTATAGCAGCAGATGAAAATTATAAGTTGAGAAACAAGACCATAAAATAAGCACATAAAATAAGTGCTGTTACACATGGGTTAAGTAACCAAGCCCGAGTCGTGATAGAAAAAAGTGAAAATTAAAGTTGTATTCTTGTAAAGTGCTGTTTTATATTAGTGCCATTTGATTGCCAAGTATTGTCCCAGATTTGTCAGGCTTTTGATAAGGGTTGTCATTAAAATGATGCCAAATCATATAAAAAGCATCTGACACTGAGCATAGAATCACAGAATTGTAGAGTTGGAAGGGACCACAAGAGTCATCTAGTCCAACCCTCTGCAATGCAGGGATCTTTCTCCCAGCTTGGGGCTCGAACCTACAACCCTGAGCTTAAGTCTCAGCTCTACCAACTGAGCTCTCTTGCCCTTGTCGAAATATCAAATTAAGAGTGATTTTTCTCCATTGTAGCTGTATTCCAGAGCGAGTAGTATCTAGCGTTCAGTGTAAGATTTTGGGCTGTTTTCCTTTGAATTGTAATTACCATTTTGAACTGCCAGGGTTGTATTTAAGACCAATTCTCTTGGCAATGTTTCCCCATTTGCGCCATCAATATAATTCAGCAGCATTAGCGAGTAGCCCTCTCTACTGAGCGCCTCGCTGCTCTCCTCCTTCAGCTTTTGTCTTCTTCCCACAGATATTGTCAACACCCCCAAACCGGACGAGAAAGCCATCATGACCTACGTCTCCTGCTTCTACCACGCCTTTGCAGGGGCAGAGCAGGTAAGCAAAAAGAAGCGGTAGCAGCATTTCCCCTGGGTCTACATATCTGCAGCAGAGAACTATGCTAGCCCAGTTCCTTCTTCCTTTTAGAATCATTGAATTGGGGGTCTTCTATGACAACCCATTGCTCAGTGCAGAATGCATCTAAAGCATCCCTAACAGGCCGCCATCAAGACACAGCATAACTGCCTCCAGCAAAGGAGAGCTCACCCTCTCTCAAGGCAGCCTGCATTAGTGGTTGGACAGCTATTACTCTTAGGAAATTTATATCGAAGTTTGCTTGAAATCTACTTCGCTGAATTTTTTACCCATTGGTTCCAGTCTTGCCTTCTGGAGCCAAAGATGATGGTATTGATGGATTTAATGGTGGTGGTAGCAGTTTGAGCTACAGACCACAAACATGAGACAAAATATTTGATTATCAAGACAGCTTGGGGAAAGGTTAGGGCTCTATGAAAGAGCATCTGCTTGGCATGCAGAAGGTCCTGAGTTTAATCCCCGGCATCTCCATGTGTGGCTGGGAGAGTCTCCTGCCTGAAAACTTAGAGAGCTGCTGCCAGTCAGTGTAGGTAATACTGAGCTAGGTGAACACAGTATAAGGCATCTTCCTGTGTTCTAGCCACAACATATTTATATACATGCACAACAGACCGTGCCTTTTAAAATAAGACTATAGCAAAATCCACAATCAAAAATAGTTTTAAAATAGCAGATAAAAACAATACAGCCAATTATAGAGTCCGAATTAAATAATTTCAATGGGACGTCCCATGTCCTGGATTTCAAGAGCTAATGTCCATCATTTATTTTCTGCTTTCTTCTTTATTACTTCCAAGTTTTCCAATCCTGTTATTGACCATCCTCCCCTCTCAGTCAGTCAGTCGCTGGTATAACTCTCTATCTTCTTTTGTTTAACAATTCTATATTTCTATAATCACATAGGAGGCAAATTTTCACACCATGGGAAGTTTTTAAAGCTCTGAATGCCCTGGCATGTCTTTCACTTGATGCCCACCAACTCCCAGTCTAATCTAGATGATCTCTTTATGCTTCCTCCCTGCCCACAGCTCTTTGGTGTTGTTATTTACTATTCCCATTTCTAACCAGCAAGTGCATTTCTCTTCCAGGCTGAGACGGCAGCCAACAGGATCTGCAAGGTGCTTGCTGTCAATCAAGAGAATGAAAAACTGATGCAGGAGTATGAAAAGCTGGCCAGTGAGGTATCTTGAAACTACCCGTGCGGAAGTCCCCAAAAGCAATGCCCCTTTGACATCTCCAGGCCAATACCTTCCTACCAAGAAACAGAGCACTGAACTCAGAAGCAGAATTCCTGGGTTCGGCTCACAGGGTCCAACCTGTCCCAGCATTTAATGCTTGTTTGCTTACTTCCCTTGAAGCTTTCGTGGGTCGGTGGGAGGGGAATCACAGATCCACACTTGCAGTGCTGTTGCATCCAAGTTGGGTCATGGCAGCAGCCCAAAGGTATGATAAAAGATTAAGACATGGGCCCCCAAAATGGTTGTTTGGGCTAAAGGTGGGCTTCTAGGTCTCAAGAGATTGGCAGCATACAGGACAGCATGTCTCGATTCCGCAGCCCCAAACAGCCAACTAAAGCCACCTTCTGTTTCTTCCCGGTCAGCTCCTGGAATGGATCCGGCGCACCATCCCATGGCTGGAGAACCGTGTGCCAGAGAAGAGCATGAGCGCCATGCAGCGCAAGCTGGAGGACTTCCGGGACTACCGGCGCGTGCACAAGCCCCCCCGCGTGCAGGAGAAATGCCAGCTGGAGATCAACTTCAACACTTTGCAGACAAAACTGCGCCTCAGCAACCGCCCGGCCTTCATGCCCTCCGAGGGGAAGATGGTCTCTGTAAGTCACAGGGCCGCAGGTGGGCATAGGGCAGGTGGGGTGTGAGAAACAAAGCTCCACAGAAGATGGCTGAAATAAAACCATCCTTGCTTGCCAGTCTAAAAAAGCAAAAGCAGTGACAGGGCCAGTCTTCCCTTGGGAGGCTGTTCCAAGTGATAGCTAGTCAGTTGGATCTTAATTAAGCTTTGGGGTCCCAATGGAGACAGTAAACTGTGTCCAAGGGAGTGGAAAGTGGTATGAGGTGAGGGGGTCATTCCACTGATTCCCAACAAAGCAGGCAAAAACTTGGCTCACGAGGGAAGGGGAAGTTAAGAATCAGGCCCATGGGCCAGATCCGCTTCCCTACCCCGCTCAGCACAAACAGGTATTGTAAGGTTTTGAAACGTTTCTGTTTAACAGAGGCTAAAAATTGGGGTGAGTGCACAAGCTCCTGGTCCCCAACCAGGTGTATACAATGCCGTCCATTGAGCCAGGGGGTGTCAAGAGTGGGCACAGATGTGCCTGTAGGCTATGAGCCCAAGTGGCAGGAAGGATCTCTTTCCCAGGTTTCTGCCTGGGCACCAGCTCCTGGTGGGCACAGCTGCAGGCCCTGCCACTTTGAGGGGAGATTCGAATAACTGTAGAGTTGGAAGGGACCGTGAGGGTTCATCCAGCCCAACCTCCTGCAATGTGGGGCTCAAACCCACGATCCTGAGATTTAAGGAGCCTCATGCTCTACCGACTGAGCTAGGCTGAAGCTGCCCTGTGTTTGCCTGCAGGATATTGCAAATGCCTGGAAGGGGCTGGAGCAGGTTGAGAAAGGCTATGAGGAATGGCTGCTGACCGAGATCAGGCGCCTGGAGCGCCTGGACCACCTGGCTGAGAAATTTAAGCAGAAAGCCACCCTGCACGAGACCTGGACCAGAGGTAACCTGCCCGCAATTGAGCCCCTCCCTCTATTCCAGGGGCAGGAAACTGCTTTTATATCAAGGGTTCCGTTCCCTTGGGGAAAACTACATGCCAGGGGTGGGTGGGGCCAAAAGTAGGCGGGGCCAGAGCTAGCAGTGGGCCCCCCATTTTCTTTCTGCCTCCCAATTCACTATCCTCCCCCCCTTACATTCTCTTTCACATGTTTTTTAAGCCTAATTATGGGTAGATTTTCAGGACAGTAGTGTTGAAGTAAGGGTAGCGAAAACACAGCTAAGAAACTTGAATCGTATATATGACTGACAGCCTTCTTTGGAAATTAAACCAATGTCCAGACTTTAACATTCAAAAGCTTCCATTGCAGAAAACTATACAGATAAATTAAAACATAATGTTTTCAGTTAGGCCACACCTTGCCGCTCCTATGAGAGATTTCAACTTTTTGCCTTCTCCTGCAGCTTTGCTCCCTTTTCTTTCAAGCAGAGAAGAAGCGCTCCAACCCTCTATTCAACTTAGCAGTGTTCACAGTGAATTCTAAAACACAGTCATCTCGCTTCACGTAAAACAGAGCCTCTCCTTCACTAAATACCTCCCATGTGATCAGTGTTAGCCAAACACATGAGAAATACTAGAGCGCTCTAGAATCCAGTTACCAACCAATCAAATTTAAACACATGGTAATGCATAAAAGTATTTACAATTCCATTGAATTAAATTGCGGTACTTAATAAGTAGTGGCAGGATTCACCTACCTCTTCCCAAAAGTTAGTGAAAGGTTCTCTTTCACTTCTTTTGGGGGGGACAGGGGGTCTGTGGGGGAGGGTTGGGGCCTAAGAGGAGAGGTCACAGGACAGATCCAAAGACGGAGATCCCCTCTCCTCCTGTGTCCATCCCACTCTTCATATTCCACTCTTCATTGCTCTGCTCCCAGCCCAGCTTCTCACCCCAGCTCTGCTTCCTCCCACCGCAGGGAAGGAGGAGATGCTCTCACAGAAGGACTACGAATCGGCATCTCTGTATGAGATCAGAGCCCTGATGCGCAAGCACGAGGCCTTTGAAAGCGACTTGGCCGCCCACCAGGACCGTGTGGAGCAGATCGCAGCCATCGCGCAGGAACTCAAGTGGGTGCCGAGGAGAGAGAACATTGCCCTTTCTCCCTTGAGATGAAAGTTGGGTGCTAGTTGAGGGGTCCTGGCTGCTCCCACTTCAACCCTTGGCCACCACTCCCAACCTCTCACTTCCTGAAGGCTGGAGGTTCATGGCTCAGTTCTTATGTGGGACTGGGGTAGCAATACATCTATTGCATGTCTGTCAGAATCCCAGGGGTGTCTGATTTCATTGGGGTGGAAGGGAAAGGAGAGGAAAACTCCAAATCTTGACTCACCTAAGAAAAGCCCATCTGTCCCAGCATCTGGTTCTCACAGAGGCCAATCAGATGTCTCTTTGAGGAAGCCTGCATGAGCACAGCAGAAGCTCTCTCCACTTCTTGTACCCAGGACTATTTTTCTAGAAAAAGAGGTGCTGGAACTCAACATGAACACCTCCCTTGTTCTCTTATAATGGCAATGTTGTCCACCTTAGAGGTACCAGAACTGAGTTCTGGAGAATTGCAGCTGACAAAAAGTCCTGGTTATACCCAGCAACCAAATGCACTGGGTTCCACCCAACTTTGGGGGACCCTGGCAAGCATGTGTGACGTCATACAGTGGGAGGAGACCTATTGCAGCTGCAGGTAAACCTGGTAGGGCCTGTCGTAGCTGTGGGAAGGCCCAGCGGAGCACACTGCAAATCACAGAATATTGTGGGAGCCCAGCCCCCTCCTTGAAAATGGGGGGGGGCCCCTCAGCCCCCTGACCCAGATGACACCCCTGCCAGCAACTAGTATTTGAAAGGCCATCAACAAAAACTCCTGTGATTGTGAGGATCTGTTAAGAAAGGTTGACTCTTTGTGGAGTTTTAACTTCAGCAGGGGTCTCCTCTTTTCAACTTCTCATACCAATCCTTTTTTGGTGAATTTTGGGAAGAGCTGCAAGAATTTAAAAAGAGAGTCTTTGGAGGGCCTCCACAAGTCCCTCATCCTTCTCTTAAAGGACTGCTGAGATTCTCAGATTGCAAAATGCTTGTCTTGCCAGCCCAACAAATGTGTATGCCTTCTTGACCTTTTTAAATTTCACTATTGTGCTCCATTGAAAGACAACCTTGGAGTTAGCAATAATGGGTTCTGCGCTTAAAGTGGTCACATAGTTTTCCTGTTGCATGGCCTTTGGGTGGCTGATTTCCCATTTGTCACGGTCCCTTGGCTGGGGTGAAGTCAGTCTCCTCTTGCGGGTGGGTGATGGGAAAGGAAAGGTGTCCATTCTGATACTCTCCTGCGGGTGGGGAAGCCCGTAGCCTCAGCTATGCACCCCTAATCCTTGTGGCCCATCACTACAGTGAGCTGGACTACCACGACGCAGCCTCTGTGAACTCCCGCTGCCAGGCCATCTGTGACCAGTGGGACACCCTGGGGACACTCACTCAGAAGAGGAGAGATGCCCTGGAGGTGAGGAAAGGGGCACTGGCAGGATTTGGTCCCTTCTTCTTCGGTATGAGGGAGGTGACTTTATTCTCTGATCCTCACCTTCTTTCCTCTCCTTGCCACCCAGCGTGTGGAGAAGCTGCTGGAGACCATTGACCAGCTGTACCTGGAGTTCGCCAAGAGAGCTGCCCCCTTCAACAACTGGATGGATGGGGCCATCGAGGACCTTCAGGACATGTTCATTGTGCACAGCATTGAAGAGATCCAGGTGAGGCGCATCAGCAGGGCCAAATGCTTCTTGAGAACTCCAAGCAATTACATTGGGCCTGAAATTAGAGCTGGAGAAGGTACAGTACAGGTCAACAAGGGGTGTTGGAAGCAACTTCATGTTGGTAAAAAAAAGGCTTCTTAGCTATGATAGAGGAGGAACATGATACAGGTTTATAACAGTATCATGCAGAGAGTGAGAGCTATCCAACATGGATGACTTTAAAAGAGGATTAGACAAATTAATGGAGGAGAAAGTTATTGATGGATGGCTGTGTTCTACCGGCACCGAATACTTGTTGTTGGGAATCACAGTTGAGCAGGGTGCCAATGCACGTGTGTCCAGATCACAAGTTTTCTGGAGGCACCTGGTTGGCCACTGGGGCAACAGGATGCTGGACCAGGTGGGCTGTGAGCCTGATCCAGGAAGCTTGCCTCATGTTCTTACGAAGAGCAATAGATTTAGGCAAAGCAAAAGGAAGTAGAGAGCTCATTTCCTTCTGCCTGCCGTACTCACCTGGACAGCAGCTAACTTTCACCCCTTCCTCCTGGGGCAGAGCCTGATTACAGCCCACGAGCAGTTCAAAGCCACCCTGCCTGAGGCTGACAAGGAGCGCATGGCCATCCTGGGCATCCAGAACGAGATCCAGAAGATTGCGCAGACCTACGGCATCAAGCTGTCAGGCTTGAACCCTTACACCAACCTCTCGCATCTTGACATCGCCAACAAGTGGGACAGGGTGAGAGCATCCTTTTAACAAACCAGCCCCACGGTGTGTCTGCGGGAGCTGTATGAGAGTCTTGGGCAAAGGTATTTGCTGGTTCGGGTCACCCCCAAGGTGCTGTGCTCCTCCAGACTCCTGGGGATGCTGTCTTTGCTCCCTTGCTTGTGCTCCCCCTCTCAAAAGACACAGGAGATATCCAGATGGGGTGTGTGGCTATGGGGCACGAAAAATATATACCTCCTCCAGGATCAAAAGTAATGCAACTCTGAATACCAGTTGCTGGGGAATGGTGGCAGGAGAGGGCTATTCATCTATTCATCCATCCATTTGTATGCCGTCCATCTGACTAGGTTGCCCCAGCCACTCTGGGCGGCTCCCAACAAAGAATACAACATCAAACACTAAATACTTCCTGCTTGCCTGCTTCCCATGGGGGCATCTAGGATGCTGGACTAGATGGGGCCTTTTTAGTTTGCGGGTCTTACCTGGTGTTCTTATGGGGGACCTGAGCAGACACCCTCCCCTCTGCCAGCACCAGATTGTTTTCTAGAGAGGAATGGAAAGTCCATGCCAAAGCACAGACCCATCCCCCGTTTGTTTATAAAATGATTTACAAAATGCCAACTCATTAAAAAGATATGTTAAAATAATTAAAGAAAAATAAAATGAAGAACAAGTGCCCAACAGTGCAGAAAATTAATTCTCCAACAAAGCTTAGCAAGCAATCCATGTTTTCAGCAAGGGATGACATATCAGAACTGTAGCTGCCTGTCTAGTTTCAGGAGGGTGTTTTCCAAATCTCTGGGGCCTTGGCTGATGCAGAAGCTAAACAATGCTGCGGTCCTTCATCCCTGATTCAATAAGTGACAATAAGTCAAGAGCTCCTCTTTCCAGGAGTAGCTGATTTATTCATTGAGCCTCTAAACCAGATGTGGGGAACCTGTCAGGCCCTCCAGCTGTCATTGGACTCCAACTCCTATCAGCCATAGTCAGCATGGCCAGTGATGATGGGAACTGTAGTGCAACCACATCTGGAGGGCTTTCAGGTCCCCTACCCTAAACAAATGCCAAGAGGAACATCTGGAGGTGTAAAAGACCTTGAGGTTCTCCAGCTGCCTTGATGCATGTGCTTTGGAAGTCCTGCTTTCATCCTAGGCAGGAAAGGCTCCAAGTGAGGGGGCAAAGTACCTCCTATCCTCCCAGGACTACACCCAACACCACACCAACCCACATCTCCCTCCAGTAGGGTCTCTAAACCCCAATTCTTATGTGCAGAGTCTCTTTTATCTTGCTCCTCCAGGTGAAGCAGCTAGTCCCGCACCGTGATCAAACCCTGCAAGAAGAGCTGGCAAGGCAGCAAGCCAATGAACGCCTCCGACGCCAGTTTGCCGCCCAGGCTAACATCATTGGACCCTGGATCCAGACAAAGATGGAGGTAAGGTCCTCTCCTGCCCCATCTGCCAGGGCAAAATGCCCTCAAGGACCTCAGCTGAGTGGTAGAGCTTTGCATGAAGAAGCTTCTAAGTTCAGTCCCCAATGGCATCTACTGATAGGACTGGGTGACACTCTGGCCCAAAATCCTGGAGAACTGCTACTGATCAGCATACAATGCACCAAATATTTGACTCCATATATGGCAACTCCTTACCTACGCTCCTATCTACCTATATCCCCTGGGAGAGATTACTAGCTCTGTCTGGTGAGGGGGCTATCTAGTGGGTTAGAAGCAGGATGGGCATTGGAGCATCAGAGCAGGCTTGAGACTCCAGGATGTTTGGACTGCTTCCCCAAGTCAGAATCTTACTGCTATTTCTTGACCCTTCCACCTTCCAACCCTCTGGACGCCACCCATAGGAGGGATCCAACAAATGGCTTTGGACAGGGTGAAATGGCCCTCTAGGCAACAGTTATGGTTCCTCTCGTTACCCAAGAAGTGCTGACCAAATGCAGCAGCTCTGTAAAGCTAATGTATAGTGAATCTGTCTTTGCCAGTGACAAACGATCACTTGTAGGGCAGAGATAGCGAACCTGTGCTCCCCCCAGGTGCTTTTGTACAGCAACTTCCACCAGCCTGACTACTGGCCGTCTTCTCTGAGGCCACTAAGAATTGGTACCCAGCCACACCTGGGGGGGGGCTACAGGTTCTCCCAGTACTGCTGTAGAGGAAGGGTGCCCCATGAGATCAGAGCTATGCTCTGGGGTCTTTAGCTAACAGGAGGCTTCCCTTCTGCCCTCCCCTGGCAGGAGATTGGCCACATCTCTGTGGACATCAGCGGGTCTCTTGAGGACCAGATGAACCACCTGAAGCAGCATGAGCAGAACATCATCAACTACAAGGCCAACATCGACAAGCTGGAGGGAGACCACCAACTCATCCAAGAGGCCCTCATCTTTGACAACAAGCACACCAGCTACACTATGGAGGTGGGGGTCTGCGTGTGCGTTACAGGGGTGGGGGCATTTTCAGAAATAATTCCTGGGTGGGCTGTTAAGATACATAAAAGTCAAACTCCACGATGCATGGGTGTAAAAATAATAACTTTCATATGTTTGTGAAGACCAGCCAACTTAAGACTAGTTGCTTAGTCTTCCAAGTAGCAGCTTGCCTTCCTGCACATAAATATAAGCATTTTGAAGCATGCAAGATTAAAGAACTATATGAGTATTATTATTATTTACTGTGGTTTTATATTTGTTGGAAACCACTCAGAGTGGTTGGGGCAACCCAGTCAAATGGGCAGCATATAAATAATACATATAGTAGTAGTTGTAATCTACAAGGAATACCATGAGGAAAATTGGAAATTGAGGCAGATATTTATTCCATGACAATTTGAAATTCAAACTGGAACCTGTTTAGTGTGTTGGTAGTCTTATTTGTTGGGGTTGTTTCCTTTCCTTTAATTGTTTTATCTTTCTTTTAGCTCTTAAAAGGCAAAACTGTACAAAGTGTGGGATTGTACCAGGCTGAATTTATTGATAGCATTTTTGCTGATTTGTTCATACTATTTTGATTTTCAATAAGTGAATATTAAAGGGGGGGGATAATTCCTGGCTGAACCCTCCCCCCCGAATGGATCTCCAGCAAGTAGGTGAAGGATTGGGTGGGTGCGATTGCCCCCCACCTCCTTCCCCATTGCTTCTGGATCTAATTCTGCAAACCCCACTGTCTTTGACTGCATGCAGCACATCCGGGTGGGCTGGGAACAGCTGCTGACCACCATTGCCCGCACTATCAACGAAGTCGAGAACCAGATTCTAACCCGTGATGCCAAGGGAATCAGCCAGGAACAGATGAACGAGTTCCGGGCCTCCTTCAACCATTTCGACCGGGTAAGGTGGCCTCTTGCAAACCCAGCCCTGACCACTCGCACACTCACCGCCGCTTCTTGCTTGCACACTTCTCCTGAGCTTAATCCAACTGCAAGCCTCCTGCCAAATTCTTGCCTGCACCTCCAGCTCACGCAGCCCTCACACCTGATCCCTGCTGTTGTTCCAGCCATGGAGGCCAATCTAGAGCTGATCAAAGGATGGAGTCTCTGGTCTCTTGTCCTAGACCAAGGGTGAGGGACTCTTTTTCAGCCCAAGGGCCACATTCCCTCATGGGCAACCCAGTGGCAGGTAGCATGAGAGGCAAAAAAGTGGGAGAGGCAATGGGTGCAACCTTTGTACAAGAGGTCACACTCCAGCTGGGCAAAAGCCCACGCAGGCAAGCAAGAAGCATGATCATAGGTCAGGGCACTTGAGGGGGGCATGCAGCAGGGCCAGCGAAGAAAGGGAAGGGTCATGCCTCAGGGAGAGTCCCGAGGGCCAGGTAGAGAGGCCTTGAGGTTCCTTGCCTTAGCCTAGCTAGATTTTCCTCACCTTGGCCTAGCTAGATTTTCCTCACCTTGGCCTAGCTGGAGGTTCCTCACCTTGGCCTAGCTAGAGGTTCCTCACCTTGGCCTAGCTAGATTTTCCTCACCTTGGCCTAACTAGATTTTCCTCACCTTGGCCTAGCTGGAGGTTCTTCACCTCGGCCTAGCTAGATTTTCCTCACCTCGGCCTAGCTAGATTTTCCTCACCTTGGCCTAGCTAGAGGTTCCTCACCTTGGCCTAGCTAGATTTTCCTCACCTTGGCCTAGCTAGATTTTCCTCACCTTGGCCTAGCTGGAGGTTCTTCACCTCGGCCTAGCTAGATTTTCCTCACCTTGGCCTAGCTGGAGGTTCCTCACCTTGGCCTAGCTATATTTTCCTCACCTCGGCCTAGCTAGATTTTCCTCACCTTGGCCTAGCTAGAGGTTCCTCGCCTTGGCCTAGCTAGATTTTCCTCCCCTTGACCTGACTAGATTTTCCTCACCTTGGTCAAGCTGGAGGTTCCTCACCTTGGCCTAGCTCAAGGCTCGCTTGCCACCATCGCCAGCCCATGTCTGCTCTTGATACCAGCAACAAAGAGGGTGTGGCCGGCTAATCCCAGCCTGGCCAACAGAAAAACTCTGAAGGAGTTGCGAGAGGCACAGTGGCCATCTGTGAGGCGGCTGGGACTCCCAAGCCGCCCAATGGCTACACATGGCTTTGGTCTCTCTCTCTCTCAGCAACCGTTCAGAGAGGAGGCCAGCTCCAAACGAGCCACAAGAAAGGAGGACTTGGCTGTGCGCGGGGCTTGTTCACAGACTGTGGAAGGGCTATAGTTCACATGCAGAGCATCTGATTTGCTTGCAAAAGGTTAGGGTTAGGGTTCAATCTCCAGTTAGTGCTGGGAGAGTCTCCTGCCCAAAACATGGGTAAACTGTTACCAGTCAGTGTAGACAAAGCGGGTGAGGTGGACCGGATGGTCTGTCTCGGTGTAAGGCCACTTCCTGTGTTCCTATGAGGGGCGCCCAGTGCCACCAGTTTAAGGAGCGTTTCCCTTCAGGAGTGTGGAATTTGGGGCTGGGGGTGTCTCCTTCCAAATCAACAGCTTCTTTCCCCCTCTTTGCTCTTTGCAGAAGAGAAACGGAATGATGGATCCTGACGACTTCCGGGCCTGCTTGATCTCCATGGGATATGACTTGGTAGGAAGCTGCCCCCTTTTGGGGTCCAGAAGGATAGCTTTCCTTACAACATCCGTTGGAGGGCAAATTCTGTGTAGTTTAATATCACAAGGATCTCCTGGTTTGCTTGAAAATGGTGACTGAACCAAATCCTTGGCCATCCCTAGATAGCAAAACCTGAGTGGAAATGGGTAGGGTCTGCCCTGAGGCAGTTTTCAACCCCATTCCATGATCCAAGGGTGGCTCTGGGTGGGAAAACTGGTCAGGGATGCTGAATGTCCCTTGGCAAGGAGCATCCCTCCCTATGTGACCCACATCCCCATTGCTCTTCTCTCCTGACAGGGCGAGGTGGAGTTTGCACGCATCATGACCCTGGTGGATCCAAACAACACAGGCGTGGTGACCTTCCAGGCCTTCATTGACTTCATGACTCGTGAGACGGCTGAGACAGACACTGCCGAGCAAGTCGTGGCTTCCTTCAAGATCCTGGCTTCAGACAAGGTAAGCGTTGCACCAAAAGAACAGGAGAAGTGGTGGAGCTATCTCTTGTCCACAGAAGCAAAATTAGTGTCTCTTGCTTATTCATAGGACCCAGCAACATTATGCTGAGGTTGAGTGATATTCTGCAGTTAAAATTAAGATCTAGGCATTGCAGCAGAATTCAAAGCCTTCCAATAATCTGTTTCCTCTCTTCTTTATGTCTCCTCTCCTGCCACCGGGCACATTTCAAGCCTTTCCTGGCAGGTCTAGAAAGTGTTTTTGCAGGGGGAAGTGGGGGGGTGGCTTCTTTCCATTCAGGTAGCAGAGAAGAAAAGGCTATCCTACCCATTTTAGGCTCAGGCCTTGTTTGCCCCTGGCATGCAGCCCTTGACAAACTGCCCCTAAGTGTGGGGAACCTTTGGTGCTCCAGGTGTTGCTAGGACCACAACCCACCAACAGCCAGGAATGATGGGAGGTGTAGTTTGACAACAGCTGGAGAACCCAAGGTTCCATCACAGCTGCCCTAACAGAAAAAGGGTTCCTGGACTCTGTTAGTGGAATATTGCAACCTAGAACAGGCCTGCACGGTGTGCAATGCGTCAACCACATTCCATTCTGAGCAATCTTCTGTGTTGGGTAGCACCAGAGGCAAAAGTGGACAGAGCAACCAAAGTAAAAAAAATAAATTACCATGCTACAGAAGGCTAGTTTCTATTAGCTCATCTCTACCCTCCATCCAGCCTCAGAAGAGACATTATCTGAGTTTGAGGGCATGTTCCTGGCAGGCAAAAATGCTGGTGGAGGGTGCAAAGTATGCCACCACAGCATGCAGTCAAGGGAAATAAAATATGGGTAAGGATGTGTAATCTGGGGGGGACAGATAGGGAACCTCGGAGGGCCACATCTGGCCCCCAAGCCTGAGATGCCTCACCCTTGGTCTTTTGAGTAACATGCTGTTCCTCCTTGTTTGATCCTCCTCCCTGCTGCAGAACTACATCACGATAGAAGAGCTACGTCGGGAGCTGCCACCAGAGCAGGCCGAATACTGCATCAGCAGGATGACGAAGTACACAGGAGCTGACGCTGTGTCCGGCGCTTTGGACTATGTCTCCTTTTCCAGCGCCCTGTACGGAGAGAGCGACCTGTGATCTCTCTGCTCCCTGTCCCACCCTGCCCACCTACCCCCATCTCACCAGAAACAAAAAAAAAGCACGTGGGAGCAGAGTGACTCCCCACACACTCGCTTGTGGGGAACTGGTACCATCGAGAGCCTTGTGCCCACCATGGAAGAGGGGAGGGCACTACCGCTACCAACCCCACCACCACCACCAAATATCTTCCCCCGCTGCTGGGCAAGAGGCTGAGATTCCCCCCACTTCCACCCACATGCTGCAGCTGGTGGATCCAGGGTGGTTTTGGTGAGGAAACAGTCTCTCAAGGTTCCCCCCCCCCTTTGTAGAAGCTGTCGTGTCTGTTCTTTGCTGCTGAGCTAGTTGCACACATTCCCCCTCTGTCCCACGCATTCCTTTCCCTCTTCCCCAGAACCCCCCTCTTTCCCTTGGCCCACCCCCACAGGAGAGGCAAGTGTTGTTGCTGACCTAGAGGGAGGGGCCACCGTTTGACCAGACGGGCCACCGCCAAGTGCATCTCCTGGGATTTATGCTGGGACTGGGAAGGAGGCGGGTACCAGAGGAGGCAGGGGAGGGCTGGCTTGGAAGGAATGCTGTACCAATAAACTGCGCCCACTGGAGGCCCACCCAGCATGGAAGTCCTTTTTTTCCCCCACCCTGTTGCACTTGGACAAGTATATGGAATGGCATGTACAGGAGAGGGGAACGCTAGACCTTTGTGTAGGAATAGATGGGGAGCCAAGGATGGGGAATCTGTAGCCCTGCAGATGTTGTTGGGCAGCAGCTTCCATCAGCCCCAGCCACATGGCCAGCGATGATGGAAGCTGTTAAGTAAAAACAAATTCAAATAAGCATCTGGAGGACAATTGGTCTATTGTCTCAAGGGATAACGGAGTGGGCCTCCATGGATGAAGTCAAATGGCTGCGTTAGCAGCACCAAAGTGACCTCCCTGGAGCGCAAGCCTGGACAGTGCATATGGAGGTCCTGGCTGCCCATACAAGACGCCCCCCTTGGCCTTGCTGATGTGGTCCAAAGGAAGGCAGAGCAATACATTTGGCTCCAACTTGGCTGCAGGAATTGCAGGAAGGAGGCATACAAGGTGCCATCAAACTGTCTTTGGGACTCCACTCTGGATTTGTATGGGGTTTACTCTTTAGCCTTTTCTTCTCCCAAAGCTGTCCCACAAGACAGTGGAGGTTTAGGATCAGATCTCCTAGATGGGCTACCTTCCCAGGTAGACGAGCTCAATCTGCCCCTCACTTCCCTCTACAGCACATGCAGAAAACACCTTCTTGACTGTTGGATCCACCATTGGTCTTGTCTGCTCAATCCACCAGAGCCTGTCTTTGCATGCAGGAGAAGTCCCTAACTCATTGAGGGTATGAGACCCATTGGCTATCTTTACCAGGTATAGCCGGCCGGCCAGAGCAGCTTCCCAGGGTGATGCGGCTACTGCATGCTGACAGCTTCTAGGAGCCACAGAGTGTGAAGTTCAAGGTGTCCCATTACTGCTTTATATACAGTTCATTCTCTAGCTATCCCCCACCCGCAACACACCGTGGATCGTGTTTAGCCACATCCAGAGACAGAAAAAGTATACACACAGTTCTGTAAAATCGACCCTGGTTCTTATAGGAGCTTGGGGAGGGGTGGGTGGGTGGAAGCTCAGCACCTTTGGAATGTTTTTTTCATCCTCAGGTGCAAATGGCAGCTTTGGGCTTATAGTCCCACAAACACCTGGAGGCCACAGCCCCCCCCCCCGCCTTAGCAGCAACATGAAGCTTCCTCGCTCTGAACTTGGGCCAGATGAGATTGTAATAGCGTACAATAGGATACTGTCACGTGCAAGGCCACCGGTGGAGGCATGTGAGGTCACTGCCATGATCATATTGCATGTCCAAAGGTTCCTGGAAGAAACATTTTCTTGTACTGTGCTCCTGCCGAGTTGTGTGGCGGAGCAGGGCTCCATCAGTCCAGCAGAGACTGTGATGCTAAAAACTTGCGTCTCATCTGCTCCAGCTACCTTCTGGGCAGACTGGGGCAAAAGCCCCTACTTTCCGGAAGCAAAACACTCCTCCCTTTGTTTTCAGCAAAGAACTGCATCTGGGATAGAGCTTGATGGGAGAACAGCTGTTGTCAAACTCCTAGTCCCAGTCAATGTGGCCAAGGCTTAGGGATGATGGGAGATGGAATTTCCCAACACCTGGAAGGTCAGCCTCCCCATCCCCTTGACATCCAATGAAGTTGTTGCCTGGTCGCAAGTACTTGTGGCCCACCCTCTGCTGGAACCAACAGAGACTCAGCAAGCTCTGCCCCTTCACCAAGCACCCACCACTCCCAGCCCTAAATAAAACGCAAGCTCCAAGTCTATAACCAAGCGGCACAGCGGAAGGACAGGCCACCTTCAAACCCCAGCCACAATTAAAACACCAACAGGGCCTCGTTAAAGTCCTTTAATAATAAAAAATAGAGCTCTTTGGGGCCCGGAGGAAAAGAAGGCCCCCCCCCCAGGGGTCTATAAAAAGGGCTGGCTGGCTCAGGCGGAGATGTGTGCAAGAACGCAGGCACAGCTACGTTTCCACCGCAAACGGGTTTCAGAAAATGGCTTTTCCCACTCTCCCCATGACAACTGCAGAAGAGGATGAGGAGGGTAGGGGTGGGGGCCATGAGGAGAAAGCCACCTCGAAACCGGCGCAAGTGTACAGCGTCAGCGCTGTGTGCCACTGTAGACGCAAGGGTGCATGGGGTGTGGGGAGATTGGGAGAACGTCCCAGGCAGGTGTCAAGAGCAGAGGGAGAAGCTGCCAAGGCTGCTGGTGTGCGAAGTCAGTCTGGAGAGGGAGCAGATGGGCAGGTGGCCAAAGAAAGCGGGATCCGTCATGGGGTGCAGGAGGAGGAGGAAGAGGATCACTCCCAGCAGGTAGAAGAAGACAACCAGGCAGCGCTGCGGGTGGTCCAGGGCTGCGCCGACAGCAGGGAACCCGACGTAGTTGCAGAAGGAGTGGCAGAGAACAGGCCCAATGAGGTGCCCTGTGGGGAGAGGGAGGAGGAGGGGATGAGCAGAATGCCTCCAGCAGATGCCATTTAAAATCCTAAGTCCCTAGTCCTTATGGGCTGAAGAGAAAACTCATGTGGAGTTGCAACAGAAATGGCTTAGGCTAAGAGTTCTCTCTGAAGACATCCCAATTCCTTTCACCACACACACGGACTGAATATTCAATTAACCTATATGGTATCTTAATGCTATTGCCCTAAGAAATCTGGATTGCTTGCAATATCTGCTTAAATCTGCCTATCAGGGGAAATACAGTGTTCTAAAGTAAAAAGCAGCAGCAGCACACACTGATTTTAGGCTATTTATTAATCCTGCCCTCTGCTTCCACACCACCTCTCCTTAGGACAACCTGGTAAAGGCAGGTTAGGGTGAAAGACAACAGTCACTGAAAGATTCGTGGCCAAGGGGAGTGCCTCTCTGACATGCATTCCTGCACCACACCAGGGGCACCACACCTAAGGGAAGGGCCTGCATCACAACAGGCATCATTTCACATTCTCTCGTGCCTCCACCTCTTTCGGCTTTTCTCCTCTGGCTGACACTCAGCATTGTGCAGCCCCTGTAAACTGCGCTGAAAAATTTCTGTCCCCGTTGGGATGTTTTTTAAGCCTTCTCTCTTTCAGTACTGCTGCACCCACCAGAACTCACCCAATGCATGCCAATACCTCCCAACCCTTGATTCTCCATGGCCCAGTTTTGGTGTCAAACGTTGTCAGCCATTAACCATTTGGTTTTGGTATCCAAGGGAACTGAAATACTCAAAACTCTCTCACACGCATAATGTGATTGCCAGCTGCTACCTTGGGGAGCAACTGAGCAGGAGAGGGACAGGGGGGTCCCCATTAACATAGGCAGCACCTTCTCATTCCTAAACCCCACCCCAACTGGTGCAATTCCCTTATTCATTTTCCCCACCTACCAGTCCGGATGAAGATGAAGGCAGTGTATGTTCCGAAAACAGCTGTGTATGAAAACTGGAACACTGCAAAGGGAGGAAGCAGTCCATCAGAAGCTAGCAGAGGGGTGAGAAGAGGGTGGTAGGGGGCTGGGGAAAGCATCCTTTTTTCAGGCAGCATCCTCTGGATGAGCAAGTCGCCCACACAGTGATACACCACATAATGAAATTGGCTTACAAACCACTTTGCTTGGCCAACGCCATCTACACCTTTCAGTCTGAGCTAAACGCCAATCTATACATTTGTGCAGAACAAACAATCAAATTCCTTAGCCCAGGACAGACCCTTTTGTCCATCTAGCCCTGTAGAGTCGTACCTTGGTTTTCAAACAGCTTAGTTGTCGAACGTTTTGTCTCCTGAATGCCACAAACCCAGAAATGAGTGTTCCAGTTTGCGAACTATTTTGGAAGCTGAACGTCTGATGGTCCGTGGCTTCTGATTGGATGCAGGAGCTTCGAATCACTTTGGTTTTCAAACGTTTTGGAAGTTGAATGGACTTCTGGAATGGATTCCATTCGACTTCCAAGGTACGACTGTACTCTGAGAGGCAGCAGCTCCCCTGGCCCTCCAGCAGAGACGGGACCACCTGATTCCTCCAAAGGAACGTGCCAGGAATCGAAGCTGCGGATTGAACCTCTGGGTGCAAAGTGTGCGCTCTGCCACTCAGCTGACATCTCCTCCCGAAATGGTAATACTGCCGTATATGTGTGTGTGTGTGTGTATCTCAAAAGGACCCTGTGGCCAATGTCCTGCCACCCTCTTGGCTTCTGATGGTGAGGAAAATAAGGGACCACCCAAGCCATACCTGCTGAGAGGAAGATGCTGGCTGTGCTTCCTTGGCGAAACCGTAGCTGCTCAATGACATGGTGAAAGTGAGCTAGAAAACAAAGACGCATCTCAGCACATGTGGCAGAACAGCCTTCTCTCCCCCCCCATCATCTCCTTGCAAAACGCCAAGGTTCTTCCTGCGACGTTAGAAGAGCCCGTTACATCAGTCCAGCATCCTGTTCTCACAGTGGCCGACCAGATGCCTGTGCAAATCCCCAAAGCAAGACCTGAGCACAAGAGCGCTCCCCGTCCTGTGATTCCCAGTGGAGGCAGAGTACAGCCGTTGTGGCTAAGTTTTAGCCATTGATAGCTACTTCTCCTCTGTGAATTCATCTAATCCTCTTTTAAAGCCATCCAACTTGGTGGCCACCACTGCCTCCTGTGGAAGTGAGTTCCATAGTTTAAATCTGAGCTGCATGAAATACTTTCTTTTGTCTGTCCTGAATCTCCCAACATTCAGATACAGAGGGTGCCCACGAGTTCTAGTGTCATGAAAGTGGGATGTTTTTCTCTGTCTGCTCTCAATATGCCATACATAATTTTATAAATTCCTATCATGTTGCCTCTTACTCGCCTTTTCTCTAAACTAAAAAGGCACAAACGCTGCAATCTTTCTTCAGAGGGGAGTTGTAAACAGATAAGGACATTGGCAGGATTGTTGTAATAACCTGCAGTTTCATAAGAGTAAATAATTAAAGTAGCTGAATAAAAGAATAAGTGAAGTTAATTTAGAATATGCAGGGAATGATAAAAAAATACATTTAAGAAACCAGAGAAAGAGTAGGAAGTGCCCCAAAACTTTCTGTAGTACAAACAAACGCTCCAGTTTTGGCCCTGAGAAATCTGTGGCTTTGTAGGCCTCACTGGACTACAACTCCCATCAGCCCCAGCCAGCAAGTGATGATGGGAGATTGAGTCTGGTAACCTCCAAACAGCTTGAAAAGCTCACCATCCTTGGTTTCAGGCCCACAAAAATGTGTCAGCCTTGTGCTAAGAAGGAACTAGAAAGTCCAAGCAATTAGGTGAAGGTTGGGACCGCCTCAAGAAACAGTCTCCTCTTGCTGGAGAGAAATATGGCACTCACCGACTCCGAAGAACAGCGGGCAGGTGAAGACAGCAGGCCCCAATCCCGTGCAAGGGACGAGCATGGGCAGCATGCAGGCCCGGAAGACCAGCTCCTCCGTGAAGGGCGCAATGACCTGGTTGCGGAGCCAGCGCATGTCAGTCAGACAGAGAACCCAAAAGCTGGGGTCTGGGGGGCGAGGAGGAGGAGTAGTGTTACTTACACCCCACCCCTCCTCTTGAGAAGGCACAGCAGTAGCAAAAAAAAAGGGGTGTTTTGTCAATGGGTGTCCAAGAAGGAGGGCAATTATAACCACTTCGCCAGGGGCTTAAAGCACACATTCCACAGAGGCATGGAAAAGCAGGCACTGGGATGACATCCCATCAACCAGCCTTTGCCAACCTGTGAGCCTTCCAGCTGCTTTGGACTACAACTCCCATCGCTCCAGCCAGCATGAAAAGCTTGCTTCCTGAAATGAGCGCACTGCATACTGGGAGTAGAGTGTCATGAGGGAAAACAAGGAGACACTCGCTTTTTGCCCTACAGCAAGGCCCAAATGCAGCCTTCCAGGCCTTTACTGTCTATCTGATCCTCAGGCTGCAACCCTTACCAAACCTGCTTCATGTCCCCCACCCATTCAGTGTTTTTGCCTGGCTGGAATATGTCTATGAACTCTGATAATGCTTCTTGTTTGCGAGGACGGAAGACAGAGGCAGGTGGGTGGGTAAGTTCGTGTAAAAACTAGCCTCCTGTACAAGGGTAACGCTCACATTCGTTACTCCAACCCCCTTTTTGCCTCTGGCTCCGCCCACCCTGGCATGTGGCCCCTGGAAGCTTCTCCAGAAGGGAATGTGGCCCCTGGCCTGTAAAAGTTCCCCAGCCCCACTCCTAGAGTCTCTTGCAGTTGCTCTCCAAGCCCTGCCATCACATGCCAATCTACGTAGTCTTACCAAACGCAACTTTCAAACCTTCTACCAGGTCCCAAGGACAGTCCATCGAGAGCTGGATAAGAGGACCAAGGAATAGGACCTGTGGGGCGAGGGAGAAGGAGCAAAGAACATGTTCACAAGCACATGTAAAAATCAGCCCTTGCATTTTCTGCACCTGGTGTGTAAATATGGAAGAGCCACATCGGTCAGCGTGGCATTGAGGGTTGTCTTTTCCACCTCTTCCTTTTTAAAAAGCTTTTTATTGAAAAGTTTTAAACTAGTATAAATTGCCACAAATCAACATCATTATTCAAAATTTTGCATAATAAAAAGGGTATAAACTAAAAGTATAAAAGATCAGAACCATTTTCCTGGCAAAACATTTTGATTAGTACACCTGTTCCAGAATAAACAAGAATCTATTCCACCCCAGTCTCCGTAACTATTCTTCAGCCTTTCCACTTCATCTTTCTTGAAATGAAGTGCACTGAGTGGAGATTGCCCTCCATCAAAAAAGTTCTCTGTCCTATTTTTGTAGAGTTGGAAGGGACCATGAGGGTCATCCAGTCCAACCCCCTGAAGCACAGGAAACTTTTGACCAACACGGGGCTCAAAACCACGACCCTGAGAATAAGAGTCTCATGCTCTACCGACAGAGCTATCCTTTAAACCTCTTTACTCTGGCTTTTGAAACTTGAGGTGTATATCTTTAGGACCCACCTTATTTGGGGGGTTGTAAGTTGCTTTAAACTGCTTTTAATATTGCGTCCTAATGTTGTAACCTGCGGTGGGACCTTAGGGTGAAGTGTAAGGCTGTACAAAGGTAAAATGTATATTAATTGCGCCCTACACTGGTCTCACCCAGCACTTGTATATGGTCCCCAGAAGGGAGAACGGCTTAAATATGTGGGAGTAAATGAGCCCTGCTGAATCCTAGCAGAGCGCTGGCTGATCAAGAGCTGCACTTACCATGGTTAACAGCAAAGGCAGCACGGTTGCTGGTATAATGCCCTCAAGCCGGAAGCCCATCAGGGCAAGAAGGGATGCATCTGGCTGAGCAGAAGAGGAAACGCCTTCATTAGCCCTGGGGAAGCACAAATCCCGCCCCCCTGGCAATAATCTGCCATAGCTTGCAATGGTGCAATGCATATAAGTTACAAAGCACAACCGGACATCAATTCTCGCCACAGGTCTACCCAGCTGAGGACTGTCTTCCCTGACTGCCCTGGGCTACTGGAGCTCCTTTAACTGGAGATACTAAAAACTGAACCTAGGATCCTTTATACACACTAATAAATATGGGCTCCCCACTGGGGCACTGTCCTGGTGCTTACATAACAAATAGCTCATGACAGCTTTTTGGCGCCACCTAAAAACATGATTGTTCAGGCAAACCTACCCGGGCTCTTAGAAATGCCGGTGTGAATTTTAACTCGGTTTAGTATTTTAACTTCGTGTACGTTTTAACGTATTGTATTTTTTCCTTGATTCTATTATCTTTTTGTAAACAGCTTTGAGGTTTGCTTGTTTGTATAATGGCTTGCACAAGCAAGCCAAGCCACAACTGGAGGCATAGGAATACAGGAAGCCACTGGGTATCAAGTCAGACCACTGGCTCATTCAGATCACTGCCACCTGCAGTGACTGGCAGCAGCTCCTCAGGGTTTCAGAACGGGTCTTTCTGCATGGAAATATCAGGGGATTGAACTCGTGGCTTTCTGCATGCAAAGCAGGTGCTCTACCAGAGAGCTATGGTTCTTCCCTTAAAAATAAATTAAGGTTCCAGCCCTCATGGTTCTGAATAAAGGGTGATTTAAATAGCATGGTGCCTTCCTGAATGCAAAGTTCTAACATTGTGCTAAAATCAGACACCGCACACATCCAGACACTCTTACATAACTGACAATCTGTCCCCCAGGACAATTTTCTTTTCCGTTAGGGCGACGGTAGATGGTTTCCATCATACAAGCGGTATAAAAAGCCTTACTGTAAACAATGTCACACCGTTCCAATACCATCCTACGTAGTCTTCACAGGCTCAGATGCCTGAGAAGTGGTGGTGATGGAGGCACCCCCATAATACTATACAAACGATCATTCCAAAATGTACAGGGGCACAGCAGAGGCATCGGAACAGGAACGAGGGGAGAAGGCAGCAGCCAGAGTTTTGGATGGCACTGATCATGCCGATCACCAAAACAGTTTCGAAAGAATGTCACTGGCTGCCTATTTGTTTCCAGGCCCAATTCAAAAGGCTGGTGCTCACCCACTGAAGTCCTAAACAGCTTAGGACCCAAGGAGGACCCAACAGCCTCCTCCTGTACCAACCTGAGTGCACATAAATGGTACCAGCCCACATCCAGCTCAGTAACTGGAGTTACCAGGGATTGAACCTAAACCTTTTGCATGCAAAGTAGATGCTCTACTTTGCATCTACTGTGCTGCAACCCACACCCAAGTTGTTTAGGAACCAGGTAAGTTTTGGTTTTTCAAAAAATACCCAGATATTTAAAAACATTTTAGTGCCTTCAGCGTCTTAAACTCTCTGGCTTTTAAATGCTGACCGTTTTGTATGTTTCATTGTTTTGATTTTAAGATTTTAAAAGGTGGCATATAAATGACCTTATTAATTAAAGAAGCTTGAAGTGACAGAAATCACCTGCTTATTTTGGCCAGGCATTTTCCAGACCTGGCCATGATCTCACCTTAATGCCTGTCACCTCTTTCCAGGCCCAGATGAAGATGGGTGAGAGGCTGGAGACAATGAGGACGCTGGTGAACCTCCGTTTGATGACAGCTGGGTGGTCCCTGGAAGGAGAAAGGCCCAGCAGGAGAAGCTGCAAGAGCTGGACCTCTAGGCCCTGGCTGAGGCTGCCCACCCGGCAAAGATGCAAATCCCCACAAGGCAAGACTGCAGCAGGAGCACAGCTACAGTATTCACAGGGTTTATTTCCTACATAATTTTTTTACCCTGGGATAGGAACCCCCAACAGCTTCCCCCATTCAACGCGAAGCTTCCTGCCCGTTGAAGAGTTTGCAAAGAAACCCACAGACTCTTGCCTGACCCATGTCTCAATCCAGGAAGAAAGCGATTATATAAGCAAAGTTATATAGTGCAGGAGGGGGGCCCGGCTACGCCAGCAAAGGCTCCTGGATATTACTGACTCCCAGAAGTTCTTGCTACCCATTGCAGACGGGCGTTCATAGCTGAGCGCGGACTTCAAAGAAGCCCGGCTACCTTAAGCGCCCACGTTTGGAGTGCAGCGTCGGATCGGGGGGGGGGACGACGACGACACTCATTTTACAATCTTTCCCAGTGCATTAAATGTTGCAGCTGACTCTCAGAGCAACTTCTGCCTCACCTGGAGCACTCGCCTCCCGTTTGCTCGGGCCGTGGCGTTTTCGTGCAACCCCCTCCCCGTCCAGCCCCCAAAGAGCGGGAAAGGTTCCCCCCTCCTCCAGGGAGCCTAGACGCTTCAAGGGAACCTGCGAGCAAAGACTTCGCGGGTGGGTGATGGGGTCGGAGCGAGCGAAAGACGCAGCGCGCCTGGTCCGGCGGGGAGCCGAGCGGGGCTTTTTTCCCCCCACGGGGGCGCATCTCGGCTCTCCTCCACTCACCTGGGCAAGTGGCTCTTCCACACGTAGAGGCTGCCCACATAGCAGCAGGCCAGGCTGAGGCAGGAGAAGAGCGAGGCCCAGCAGAGCCCCGAGCCGGAGCCCCCCGGCCCCGCGCCCGCTGCCGTCTCCTCCGACATAGGAGATCAGAACAGCCCGGCTGCCCAGGCAAGGCAGGCTGGGCCGCGTGGAGGAGCCTCCGCCTCCAGGCCGCGGAAGAGGAAGCCAGCTGAGCGGGCGGCGCAGCCAAGGGCAGGGGAGCGGGCCCAGCCCGCCAAGCAAGTGCGACGGTAAGACCCCCAGCCGGGGCAAGGCGGGGGCGCCGGGGCGGGGGCTCCACCCACCGCCCACTTCGCGGCTTGCAAGCGTTTCCCACGGCAAGCTCCACCCCCTCCCCACATTGCAGCGGTTGCACGGCGCGCTCTCTCTCCCCCTTCACCCCCCTCAGTTCCCCGCTGCGAACAGACTGGTACTCTTCCCCCACCCCCCACTTCATGCCCCAAGTCGATAAGCGGAATGGTTTCGTTTTCCAGTACTGTATTCATTCGCCCAACTTCTCTTCCTAGGAAGAGGGGAGCCACCATTTCTTTTTACTAATCGGAAGACAGTCAGCAGATACACAATTGTGAGTAGAGCTTCACCTACTGAATTTCTGTCTGCCATTCAGCTAGGAAAGGCAGGAGCTCCCCTCACTTTTTGAACAACAAAAAAGGCTCCCCATAATTTTCTGTGTATTTCTTTTGAAACTTTTTCCTCCTAAACTCATGCCTCTTTGGTAAGGACAAAAGTCCCCAAACTGTTTTGCTCTGCGCCTCCCCCTGTCTCTCTGAGCTTTCCTGCCCAGAATATCATTGCAAATTTCTCCACCTCACCCCTTTTCCTCTGGCAAATATGGAACCTGCCTTTACAAACTACATTCCTGCCCTGCACGTCTGGTGGTTGTATGCTCTTGTGTGCATGCTCTTTGACAATGCTTTTCCTCAGGACATGCCTGCCAATAATTTTTCAGCATTCTGCACTCCAGTGAATTGGTGTCTCTCTCCAAAATTAGGCAGGTGGGAGATTTCACTTTCTTGGGTCCAGCAGTAGTGGTGGATATTTATTTGCCAAGGTTACATATTTGCTCTCCAATTCATCTTTGTAATAGAAGGGAAGTGAGACCATCAATGATTTTCCCCCCTTTTATTGGCCTGCACAGAAATTCCAGAATGCAGAAATATAATGTCCTGAGGCTGCAACCATTTCAGGATGTCCACTTGGCCAAGTTTGAGACCTCTTGTTTCCAAAAGTAATCATCCTGTAATACAAAAGTGAAATCAAATAAGGACATCAGAGAGAAGACTATTTTCAGATTTACACAGAAGCCTGTCCTAATATTATGTTCCTATTCAGAGTCCCTCTGAGTTCCCACACTCTGAAGTTAGGTGGGTGGTGGTCAGGGAGCTAGTATTGTTAAATGCAGGACCAGAGAGCCTTGCTTGGTGCTAGATATCATGCCCTTTGATTCCCCACTGAAATCGTTCTTATTTTCCCAGCCTTTCCAGAATATTTTGTACATTTTTTACATTACATGTTAAAAACAGGTTTTGACAACTAAGAGTTGTTGAAACTGATTCCATTGAAGATCTGTATTTACCCAGTTTTGAAAAGTGGAAAGGGCCTCTCAAAATGCCTTGCAAACCAGCTGTGAATACTGCTTCTCCACTCTTGGCCTTGTTTTGCAGATGGGTTGATAGAACTCACTGGTGCTCCTCTGACAACTTATTGGGGATCTTTGGCAATTAACCATATGACTAGTGGCACCTACTCCCTACACTGCTTTCTTTTGGTTATTAACTGGAACTGGGATGGGCCTTTTCATTCTACTTTGGTTTCATGGTGCAATATTTCTTGACAAACCTGCCATAGATTTTCATTGCTTCGGATTTTCTTCACTGAAGGACCTACAGACAGCACCTGGCTTTTATCTTGGAGAGCACCACACCCAATTTTAGTTGGATATGAGAAGAAAGAGCTTGAAGAGGTGCCTGATTCTGCTAACAGACTCTTGTTCTTTTCCTTGCTTTTAGCCACCCCAGTGATATGTGGGTCTCCTGAATCCTCCACATGGATCTCCCTGCTTCCTTTTTGGCTCATTCCACCACAATCTGAATTGACAAACAGAAATCCTGCAGAACATAAAACCAGGGCAGGACACCCTTGGTGTTCATGAAGCCACACACTCAAGTACAATTTGTGAACCACAAATATGTACAGGTGCAATTAACAATGCTGAAACAACACAAAAGCTCAGATCAACCAAACAGAACTACCATTATGCTTCTCTCATTCTTTAATTAATCTCAGGTCACACACATGCAAAATTCACTTAGAGCATCTGGTGAGGGTCTGTTCTGGATTTCTTTGCCTTCTAAACCCAGATTTGCCTTCGCAGCCTTCACAGTCCCTTTGCCTTAGATGGAATTGTTCTCTGTTGATTTTTCTACAGACTTGCTAGTGTTACTTTAAATATTCTTACTATTTCTATGCTGCTTTTGAATTATCTTGTGATGGCTATATTACTGCTTTGAACGTTCCTGGCAAGTCAAAAGTTGACTTAAAATTTTATTAATAAACGGGGGCCACCCACCAATGCCCTTTCTTCAACTGGATAATTTCTTATTTACATTGTAACCCAATAGCTTCATCTACTGAAAGGTGAAGAAATGACTGTACAATCCACCTCAGCCCACTCCAAGTACACCCAAATTATAAATACACCCTGGTCTCCACCAAGCATAGTCTGTTCCTAAGATAATCAGCTTCAACCCTGGCTTTCAGTTGTCTCATCTGGATGCCTTGGGAGCCAAAGTAAGGCAGGTGACTAGCTGATGGGATATTTCTCATAGGTTTAATCAGGAGTCCAGATACCACGTATAACAGAGCTCCATATAATTCAGACAGACAAGGAGACTAAAGGTTAATATTCCAGACCTTTGAACCCTTCAAAATCCTACTTCAAAAGGACCTGAAGACATTTCATTCTCAACATCACAAGAACCAGCTGGTGCTAGGACTGTGTTTTGAGCATTATATAATGTAATTACTGCTGAAAATAACTCACTAAATGAGCTGCAGATTGTTAAGGAGCCACTACTGATTTTTTGTGTGTGTCCAAGGCCTATAGGGAAACCTGCAGCAGCATCGGGAGGGGCAGTGTCTCTCATCATCTAAACTCCAGGATCTCTGCCCTGCCTTTCTTTCTCTCTCTTAATTACATTAAGTACATCTGATAAAACAAGCGTTCCAACAATGTACAACAAACTGGATCTCTGTCTTGACTTCATGCACACACTTTTCTGATGTACCTTTTCCTCCTTGCTCCAGCTGTGCAGAACTGAAGTTCGAGCCCAATAACTTCTGGTGAATGGTGGGTAAAGGAAGGTCTGCACTAAGCAGCCCTACTCCTGCCTCATTGTTTTTAGGCAATGGCTGCAAAAGAAGAAAGGGACACACAATAGATCATAGAGTCTTAAGAGTTGGAAGGGATCCAAGGGTCATCTAGTCCAACCCCCTGCAATGCAGGAATCTCAGCTAAAGTATACATGACAGGTGGCCATTCAACCTCTGGTTAAAAACCTCGAAGGAAGGAGAGTCAATAATGTAAGGGAGGTGTTAGATCAACAGTACTAGAACTCTCTCAGCAAATTCACTCTGCAGGCCTGACCTGATAAGACATTTCATCTAGTCACGCGTATCTTCATGAAATCAGTCACTATTATTATACCCGTTCTATAGGAAGGACAAATGAAGCTCAGTTTATTGATTTGCCAAGCCCACTGTGAGTCCAGGGCTGAACTGAGAGCCCAAGCCCATCAGCAGACATAGGCGCCATCTATGCAGGGCCATGGGGGCCTAGGCACTCACAAATTTTCCATAAACACACCCCAGGCACCCTCTTGTTGGGAGCAAGGTGGTGTCAGCAGTCATGGTTAAAATATATTTCTCCACAAAATGGGCTAGACTGAGGTCTGAGCTCGATTCTAGAATACAGTATATATTTTGGTGGAAGATTATCTCTGTGATGCTAATAGTTGCAACTAGGACTGTTCTGAAAAGAAGATGGATGGAGATAGCAGAAGGATCTAAGGATGGACAGCAAACACACTTAAGCAGAGAAACTTGCCCTTCTGGCGTCACATGCACTGCTACATTTCCACTGTTTAAGAATGACTTTGTTGAAGGTATCTTTGATGGTCACTTGGAACTTCTTGGTATCTGTAACCTACAGATAAATAAATATAAACACAGGGAAAGAGAGAAACAGTTGTAGCTTTTACTCTCCACAAGGGAGGAAGTGAGCATGTCACTTTATTATTATTCATTAGATTTATATACTGCCCTTTATCAAAAGATCTCAGGGTGGTTCACAAGGTAAAATGGACTCACTTAAATGAAGTAATCTGGAAGCATGCTTAATTTAACTTCATTCATTTATTCATTACATTTGTTTCCTACCTTTCCTCCCAGGAGCTCAAGGCAGTACAGTATACATGATTTCCTCTACAACACGCCCCTCCCCCACTGCACCATCTTATATTAACAACCCTGGGAAGGAGGTGAGGCTGATAGAGAGAGTGACTAGGCACAATGGGGATTTGTATCCAGGTCTCCCCTTCAATGAACAACACTGTAACCACTACACCAACCAACGTTGCCTTTGACATGCTAACCACTTCTTCCTCTCCTCTCAAGATTGTATTTTAACTCTGAGCAGTATAGCTTGAACATGTGTTTGTTCAATTCATCAGTTCACTTCCCTCTTCTTCCACATATGCCTTTCTAAAGTAAGTTCAAGGCATAAACCTTGAAAATCTCACTTCCTTCTTCTATGCTTATTTGCACAGTTGTTACACCACCAATTCCAACGGCTCAGTGACATTTATTTTATTATGAATATACCGGCCTTCACCTTAGTTATAGGACAGTGTATGGAAACAAAACAAGGACAAACTTAATAAGCTATATATTACAGACGATACAAAAACATAATTAAACAAAGGTTCCACAAGGGGAAACTCATAAAATTCATCCAGACCACTCCCTCCCCCCAAAAAAAGCTTGGTGGAAGAGGCGCATTGTAACGGTACCTGTAACATAAGTCACTGGCCATACCTGCAAAGACTGGAGGCATTTCCTTCTGAACTCACTGTCAGTGCTGCTTGAAACTATACTTGAAATGGCATCTGCCATGATGGGCAAAGACTGTGCCAGTTTCTGTTGTTCCTGTGAAGACCCAAGAGCATTGCATGGCATTTGGATGTCTTACAGCCTATAAAAACCAGAGCAAGATTTCCCTGTCCTCAGTCCCGACTCACTGTCAGCGCTGGAAATCATACCACTTCTCCAGAGACAGATCTATGACAAAAATTTGAAGATCCCCTACTCTCTGCCCCATGCCCTTCACCACAACTCTTAGCCTCAATGGTCCTTGTCTTCTGCAGTGAACTCTCACCTGGGACACTTTGTAATGCTGCTCCAGGATCCTACTGACCACTCCTTGGATGCAGCCTTTCACAGCTTGTTTGCTGCACAACAGGATAGGAGAGAGATGTGATAGGATCACTTGCCGGTCCCCTGCATCACACAAAGAGTGAAAATGACTAAGGATTAAATTAAGGATTAAATCTAGGTAAAGGGCAGTGGACGCCAAGTGGTCAAGCTGCAAATATTATATGCAAAAATCAGTACAAGAGGAATGTACCAAAACCTCAGAGATCACAGTAAGGTATGTTTTAAAGAAACAAATACACTTTTTGATATTATAGAGACAAATCAACCTGACTGGCCCTCTAGAGAAGAACCAGGAAACAGGATGTCAGATAGGGACCAACCTTTTACTCATGAGCTTTATACTGTTTGAATGTAGGAATACTTAGGAAATGAAAAGGTTGGACTTCCAAAATACCTATAAGGGCAATGTCTTTGTTAGGCCAACTAAAATGTCACAAAATAGTGTGCAAGCTTCTGAGTTTTCCAAAACTCTTCATCAGAGTGCTGGGGGAGAGGGGTCGGCCATGAGTCTGCATCTTTTAAGAGCCTTAGGTTGCAATGGAGGAGGAGGCAGCAAACAAAGTTATGCAGGTTTCAGGTTGCACCAAGGCACCTTTGAGGAGAAACAAAAACTGATTCCCCATCTCTGGGTGGGCAGCTGTTACTCAGATCCAGTGCTATTTTTATGGGGGGATGCAGGGGTGTGCATACACCTAAACATTTTGTGAATCTAAGTTTGGCCTCATTGAGGGGCAGTACTTCAGTATGAGTAGGAAAATTAGAATACCCCTAAGCATTTTTTAGGGGGGGAAAGCACTGCTCAGATCTGTCTCCATCCTCAGGGGAAGCATGCAGGTTCCTTGTGTTTATAACTGTTAAGTGCTGTGCTTGATAAAAATAAGTCAGAAGAAGCTAAACTAGGCAGCTTTACCTAGCTGGAGCTGTTCCTCTCAGCAAATCCCCCAAAGCAGAAACTTTCATGGCAAAGACAGTATCCTCCTCTTCAAATATGAAAGACTGCTTTTTTAAACCATGAAAAAACAAGTAGGGGATTACATGTTGAGAATTGTATAATGATGTATAGTAGGGAATCCAGAACAATTGACGAGTATCTGTTCTAGGATCCGAGCATGTTAAGGGCCAAAAGCAGTGAAAAGCTAAAAGAGTGCACACACTTGTTTTGGCTCTGCTTCTCCAACACCCTGGATTCTGAATCTGTATGCATGCCCTTCTGCTCACAGCCAGTGTTGCAAATTGTTCTTTAACTGGGCAGTTATTTGAGGGAAATGGTCTCTAAACCACTTTCCCCCGCCCTGGCAATTTGCATTTTGTCTGCCGCCCTGGGCTCTTCAGAAAGAAAGGCAGTGTATAAATAATAATAATAATAATAATAATAATAATAATAATAATAATAATAATTGCTTTGTTCTAGAGACAACAGCTTTGAGGCCCCACTAAATGTTCTAAAAACCACATCCGCACAGAATTTGTATTTTTAGTGTGGGGTAAACATGACCCTAAATCTCAGTTTAAATAATTCATCATCTCTGGCCAGTCTTCAGATGGCAGATCATTCCAAAACTCATATGGTACATTATTCTATTACACTCCCCAGAATAATGTAGAAATATAAATAAATAGCAGTGTGTACAGAAATTATAGACTGTCTTGTCATTAAACTGATCTGAGTAGCTGAGAAAAAGGAAGAGCAGCAGCGTTTGTTCCTGAGCATCTGAGTCCTGTTGGTGGCTGGCATGAAGCTTGTATCTGATATCAGGTTTTGCAGTATCTAAGAGACAGAACACATCACATGGCATATATAGATAGCACCAAGGATGAATGACTGTATCAAAGCAATTGGATGGTGTCAGGTAAACGAATTCCCCAGTATGTGCTTCACCCCCAGTTTTTAAAATACATTATCTTTTTGTTTTGAAACTCTTTAACACCCCTGCTGTGCAAGATGGCAGATTTGAAGGCACTTTGAGGGCATCTGAAGACATTCCATCTTTGTACTTATGTCCACCTGCATATAATGATTGTGCAAGATTTTTTAAAAAAATTATGTAGATTTGTATTGCAAAGCTATAAAAAAAATCAAGTAGGGCCAGCATCTCTTTTTAAAAGGAGGCTGGAGCTCAGGGCCATTTGACAAGCCCTCAAGTCCCACCTCATCCTGGAATAGTCACATGTGCTGGTGAGGATGGATGTCATACTGTATAGCCAAAGCCCAAGTGAATCATCAAGGCAGGTTTTTTTATGCTATCTGCAGGAGGGAGACCACCCTCCTGTCCCTCTATTTCTCTAACCTGTTCTGTTATATGTTTCAAGTTGTTTACAGTTTAAAGAAAGTGGCTGGCCTCTTATAGTCAAACCAGAAGTCAGTGGAAAGTTACTTCCTGCTCCAGCTGGCCACTGACTTTTTTTTACTCTGCCTCCAGGAGGACTTAACCCTTGCCTCTGTGCTCCACTGACCAAGAAGCAGTGTGTTCAGTCTGAATGCAGAAGACACAGATTCCAACCTCAAGCTGTGAAGCTCAGTGAATGGCCTTAGGTGAGCCACTCATTTCTCTCACCTATACCTAGAGACCTAACTACATCTTATATTGATCGCATGCTTCCTTGCATGGTCCCTAGTTTCCCCACCACCAAATGTGTTGTTGCATGAGTTTTCACCAAGCATGAATGCTTGTTCAGTCATGTGTGATTATCCCTCAGGGTCCATTCCAGCTCTACAATTCTATTATTCCCAAATACTGTCCAATCACGCTTTTCCGTGCAAATATCCTTATGTTCTTCCTAAACCAGTGATGATATCCCATCAACCTTCTGCTTAATTTCTTTCATTCTAGCCAAATAATCCCTCCTTCTCTCTTGCATTTCATTAAAAACAACAACTTGCATTGGCTATTTCTGTTCACCAGATACCACCAGAACATTTTTCTTTTCTTACTTGTTACTTCTATACATGAGTTGCTGGCAACCCTAAGTTACAGAGTTCTTGAGAGGGTAATTAGGAAAGTTATTATTTGCACTGAAAATACAAAATATTTCTGCTTTCAGTCCCAGGGGTTCATGAGACTCCCCCAAGAATTTACATGGATAGCATATAATTTTCATGTTCACACTGGGCACAAGTAGTTGTGCAAGTGACAAATATATCACCTTTACCTTCTTCCCAATGGGGATCTGAATTCAGTGTTGCCTGATAGCCATATTTCTCCCATGCTATTAGACATGAAGGATCTTTAAAAAAAGAACATGATGCTTCCTTTGTGGAGAACAATACAGGCAGACCTGCTGGGTCATAAAGAAAGATATATTACTAGCTAAGGAAAAAAATCAGCAAATGAATGGTGGTATTGATATCACAGTACATGGGCGTAACCGGGATTTTTGTTGGGGGAGGCAGGACTTGGTTAGGGCGGGCAGGACTTTTGTTGCAGAGGGGGCGGGGAGGGCAGAACCAACATGATTGGTCAGTTAGTTAAGTATTTCTATTGTTTTACTTGATGGGGGGGGCAGCTACACCTATGTTACAGTAGACCTGCAAACAGTGAACCTTACTCCATATAGATTCACTTTGACCTTCCACTCACTGATCACAGCAAAGGATACAGAGACAGCAGCTATTTGTGTTGGCTTGTTAGGGTATGGTTTCTGGCAGGGACACAGGGAGACAACAGGCATGAGCCTTAGCTCTCCACTGAAGCCTCTTTCAGCTACCTCATCTGGAATTAAAAGGCAAATTGGCTCACCAGTCATGGGGTGGATTTTGTCACAAGATGAAGGCACATCCCTGGCTGCTGACCTGGTCATACACACAAAAGAAAGGCATAAAGGGGTTTAGGAAGAAAACAAGGAAATAGCAGGAGGAAGGCAAGACTGGCCATGGGCTAAACCAGCTTTCTCCAACCTAGTGTCCCTCAGGTGTTTTGGACCTAAACTCCCATCAGCCCCAGCCAGCATGGAGGGCACTAGCTTGAAGAAGGCAGGGCTAAACCATCGTGTTTTCAGGCCATATCTGACATCCACCTGCAGCTAACAGACCTGTACTGCATTGACAGTTCAGATACTTTTGTATCAATCAGCACTCTATTAGGTTTGTCACATCTGTGAGCTAAACAAATTCAAATTATGCAACCAGGGGAAAAAACCCCACATTTTGTGACTGGTTATAATTTGCTCAAGTTACACAGACTCACATAAATTTCATTAGAACACTATAATTTATTTTTGAGCAAACATACACGGGATTGCATAGCACCTTCTTTTTGCCACAGGCTAACTTGTACACAAACACCACTTTGTGTAGCAAAGCATGGTGAAAATCTCTTACAGTCAATAAAACAAATGTAGCCTGCAACAAAATGTTGCAGTATATCCTTGTTTTCTAATGGGAATCCTTCTGTTTAGGGTTTCAAGCCATCCAGCCTGCCTTGGTGCCCTTCCCCACAATTATCCACTCAAAGTCCCTTAATTTTCCATGGCCACCTGGAGGGCATCTGAAGACATTCCATCTTCATACTTATTTAGGGGGTTGTGGGTATGTGGCACTGTCTCATAGGTGCCTATGACAGGTCCCACTTGGCGGCTAGCTTTGGTTTTTCTAAGGTGCTTGTTTGACAAAAGCCAGGGATCCTTACTACACATCCAGCTCTCCACTCCCATGTCCACCAGATGGCAACACAGACTGCTTATGAGATAAGGTGTTCTCTTCTACTTCTTTTTTTAAAAAAACATCTCAGCCAGTATTTTTGCAAGCAAATAACTGAGGTGCCTAAAGCAGGGCTTTGTGACCAGAAGATTAAGGAGATGAAGGAAATATTCTGGCGCCCAGACTCCTTCACCCTGCAGCAGCATTGCTTAACCCTCTCAATGTCTGGCATTCATCCTAAATTCAAATTTGGCCAGCAATGGAAACTTACTAAGGTCACCTACAACAGTGCTCTAGTAGAGTTCCCGTAAACTGACACACGGCTTGTACAAAAGAACTTCCAGTCCATTGTGCCCAAAATCTTTTGGCTCCAGTTGTGTAAAACAGGAAGAATAACAGTTCTGCCCCCTTTTAATCTTTTCATCATGCCTCGTACAATCCCAAACATTCCACTAGTGCCCCTGAATCCCATCTTCATTATTAGTGCTCAACAGTAACTGCTAACTTAGTGCCTGCAGTACAGACCCTTTCCTCCAAGTCCTCACCTCACAAAATGATTCCCTTCACTCAGTAGTCTTGTCCCACCTGGCAAACATGTGGCAGCTCCCCTCTCTGTGCTAGACAGCAGAAGGAATATATATTTTGAACAATCACAGCATTTGTTTTGTTTTATCATGAAACAGAACACCAAAAAAATAAATAAACAAGACCCCTTCTACACCCTTTCCTTAGCAAGCAATGCCCACAATTTTCAATTAGCACTGCACACATTCTAAAAAGAGCAACACAGAATATGCTGCCGCATGACCAAGTTATATGACTGGGCCAGTCAATTTTCAAGAACTTTAAGGCACTTGAACTTTAGGGATAATAGCTTGGACCTGGACACCATATCTATCTTTTGAAGGGGAAAGAGAGAGACAAATGGAGATAAATAATATAAATAGGTGGGACCTACAACAACATGTCACAGAATAGAGTGCTACTATTTAGGGCACTGAAGAGAAATGAAACAGCAGCAGCGGGTTTGCTTTAGGTTTTGCTTTGCTTTTCATATTCTCCCCCGATTGGGAAGTTCATTAGCTTTCAGTTATAGAGAGCGCAAGATAATTTACTAATGCTGTTTAGACTCCTCTGACAGTTTCAGGACCTTTAACATACAAATTACACTGGGGTGTATATGCTTACAACTTCACTGCTGATAGCCACTTGCCAAAAGTGAATGACAACTCCTCCCTGAAAAGGAGCTTACTAAATGCACTACTGAAAACACTCTGACCTGCAGGCAAGACATAGAAAAATCCAGAAGTATCTGTAAAATGTGGATTCTGTAGTTTTTTCTTATGGACCTTTTCTTCTTAAGCTAAAATAGAGAATCAAAGCTGCTCTTCCTTTGTCCTTTCTATTCAACAAAACGGTGTATGAGATTTTAAAGGTATTGATAAAAGGGAGATGAAGATTATGTTTTGAGATTAGGAATAAAAACGCTAACACAAACAATTTAAGATAAATGAAGTCTGGGCAGTACCATCCATCTTCCCCCCTGCCCCACTTTTTACCCGTAAAATGAGATTGGGCTTGTACTGGCTATGTACATATTGTTGCCTTAGAATGTTGCTAGGTCATTCTTTTTCTCAATTCAGATCAAAGCTGGTGTGGAGCAAAACACATAAAAATGCAGTATTCTTAAGAAATTGACAGGATATTTACGGATTGTGGCTAACATTGTGTGCACACTTCACAAACCAGCAGCAGGTGCACATTGGATGCAGAGTAAACAGGAGTGCACACACAGCCTTAATGTTAAATAAGAGCCTGTTCAGCCTAACACAGGCCACACTGCCAAGTGCCAAATCATTGGCAACTTATTCAGGGCAGTTAAATTTCAGACTCTTCTGAAGCCATTGAAAGGAGAACAGGACATCCTTTGTTCTTGGCACACACTGAGTAGGAACTGACAGCAAAGCCACCAGGACTGACCTGCCTGCAGAATTCAACACGGGCAATTCTGCAGACCAAATGAGATTGATAGAGACTCTCACAATCTTTCCTGTTCTCAAGGAAAACCTGTAAGTACGTTGGCCCTAAAATGTTTAGTTTAGAAATCGTATATACATTTGAGATTGAAGTGTGCCTGTAGGCTTTTGAAGTGACAACAAAAGACAATAAAGACATCTAGGTTTAGCAGTTTGGACTTATGCAGATGAAAGAAAGCCCCAAGTACCTCAGGATACATGTTTGGGTTGCAACCCTGAGCAGGAGCTGCCCTGCTAGCAGGTAAAGGATGCACGGCAATATTGTTTTTATTTTGGGGGAGGTGGAAGTTCAGGTCCCTTGTAGTATCATACAATGATTATGCTATACTGGGCCATGGTTAACTCAGTCATGGATAGCAGGTGTTTCTGGTATCTGCCACACCTATAGAGAAAAGGCATGCCTCATCTCTCTTGTTGCCAGGCCAGGGGTTGGGTTCTTTTCCCCCCTTCTCAGCAGGCGTGATAACTATTGTTTCATGTCAACTGGCAGAACAATTGAACCTTATAAACCTTTTACAGCCATCAATATTACTTTGTGGTGGAAATATTTACTCACTTATAGGTCTCAGCAGAGATTGAGCCGTTCACTTTTACACAATAATGAAATTTTACCTACAGAGTAGAGCAATAGAGAATTCAACTTAGACTCAAAACAGCAAGGTTTGGGCTGGGTGTTCATCAGTATGCGGATGATACCCAGCTCTACCTCTCTTTTAAATCAGAACCAGTGAAGGCGGTGAAGGTCCTGTGTGAGTGTCTGGAGGCGGTTGGAGGATGGATGGCAGCTAACAGATTGAGGTTGAATCCTGACAAGACAGAAGTACTGTTTTTGGGGGACAGGAGGCGGGCAGGTGTGGAGGATTCCCTGGTCCTGAATGGGGTAACTGTGCCCCTGAAGGACCAGGTGCGCAGCCTGGGAGTCATTTTGGACTCACAGCTCACCATGGAGGCACAGGTCAAATCTGTGTCCAGGGCATCTGTTTACCAGCTCCATCTGGTACGTAGGCTGAGACCCTATCTGCCTGCAGACTGTCTCGCCAGAGTGGTGCATGCTCTGGTTATCTCCCACTTGGACTACTGCAATGCACTCTACATGGGGCTACCTTTGAAGGTGACTCGGAAACTACAACTAATCCAGAATGCGGCAGCTAGACTGGTGACTGGGGGCGGCCGCCGAGACCATATAACACCGGTCTTGAAAGACCTACATTGGCTCCCAGTACGTTTCCGAGCACAATTGAAAGTGTTGGTGCTGACCTTTAAAGCTCTAAACGGCCTCGGCCCAGTATACCTGAAGGAGCGTCTCCACCCCCATCGTTCTGCCCGGACGCTGAGGTCCAGCGCCGAGGGCCTTCTGGCGGTTCCCTCATTGCGAGAAGCAAAGCTACAGGGAACCAGGCAGAGGGCCTTCTCGGTAGTGGCGCCCGCCCTGTGGAACGCCCTTCCAGCAGATGTCAAAGCGATAAACAACTACCTGACGTTCAGAAGACATCTTAAGGCAGCCCTGTTCAGGGAAGTTTTTAATGTGTGATATTTTAGTGTATTTTTGGTTTCTGTGGAAGCCGCCCAGAGTGGCTGGGGAGGCCCAGCCAGATGGGCGGGGTATAAATAATAAATTATTATTATTATTATTATTATTATTATTATAGCAAAGAAACATAGGAAGTGGCTTTCTATCAAGACAGACAATGGGTCCATCTAAGTTCAGTTTTGCCTCTTGTGTCATCTGGTGGGCGGGATGGGCAGGGAGGATCTGCATCCCAATCTGTGCTAGGATGGAGAAGTGCTGAGAGACTGCAGGGCCCATGGTAAGCTAGGCAAAAAGCACAATGTTTTAGTAAAGAAGGACTGAAAATTAATAAGGAATATGGGGGCTGTGATGGAAGTTCATAAGAAACAGGGGGAAATGAATAAGTGGTGAAAAATAATAAAAATTATTTGTAACGGCCAGAAATACTGGCTTCTACCATGCCCAAACTTTGCACTTCACCCACCCACCTTTGCACTTCAGCCATGGACACTTCGACATGTGGCCCCAGAGGGTTTGCCACCTGTCAATCCCTGGAAAATGTTAACCATCCCTCGTCTATACTGTCTGGCAGTAGCTCTCCAAAGTCTCAGACAGGAGCCTTTCCCAGCCCCACCAGAAGATGGCAGGGACTGAACCTGGGAACTTTTGCATGCATAGTATACTGAGCTACAGCCTTTGCCTGTAAGACTGGGTAAGAAGAGATGCAATCCCCACAGTAATCAATATATTTGTAGCTATGACTAAGTACAGGTGAGCCATATGAAACACAAAGCAATTTTACATCCTGCAGTATGACCTACATCCAAGAGTTTAATCAGAAAATGTTGGCAAGTATTCCCCCCCCCACCCTGCCTTTCCTGCAGCATAGTGGGTGGGCTGAAGGAAGAATACCTCTCAGAAAGTGCTATGTTAGTTCTCAATCCTGACATTGGGAGGCATGGCTTCTGAGTTGGACATATGGCTTCCATGAGGTTCTTATCCCCAACAATCTCTACTTTTACAAAACACACTTTGGCTGGTGCACATTTGTTTTCAGTGTCTAGGTGGTGTGTTGACTGGGGGCTGGGAGTAATACTGAAGTACTAGCTATGGCTCTCCCCTTTCTGCCTGTTCTTTTGTCAATCAACCTACGGCCCTCATATATTTCAATTAACTTTGCACCTGTGCTTATTGGCATGCTATCATTAAGCAATCACTCCTCAAGAACTGCAGAGTAAACTTTGCATGAAACCCAGAGTAAACAATAGGTTTACATGCAGACAATGGCTGTGTGCATGCCTAGTTCTGTCCACTTCACACCCTAGCTCTGCCAGCAACCAATGAAGCATGGCAGATGTGGCAGGCACTAAACCCATTTAATCTCATTCCCTTTTAAATACCTTTAGACACAATGTGTGTATACACCAAGCCCCATGTTGGCATTCTTCATATTGTGTAAGAACTGCAAAATATCCATTTCCTCCCTTGTATGAAAATAAAATGAATAAAATCCAGTCAAACGACATCGGGGGGGGGCGTCTAGCACACGGGTGGGGAAACTAAGACCCGGGGGCCAGATCCGGCCCAATTGCCTTCTAAATCCGGCCCGCGGACGGTCTGGAAATCAGTGTGTTTTCACATGAATAGAATGTGCTCTTTTATTTAAAATGCATCTCTGGGTTATTTGTGGGGCATAGGAATTCGTTCATTTCCCCCCAAAAAATATAGTCCGGCCCCCACAAGGTCTGAGGGACAGTGGACCGGCTCCCTGCTAAAAAAGTTTGCTGACCCCTGGTCTAGCACCTGGACTGCTTCAAAGGTCAAGAATGAGAACTATCCTCTTATTCAGCTCCTTGAACATCTTCCTAATCCCCCAACTTAGCACCCCTGTTTTCAACAAACTAGTCCTGAGGAGACTTCAGATGGAATGATATTCTACAAAACCAAACACAGAAGTGGAATCTTACTGTTGTGTGAGTAAGGCTGATCCGGTGGATGAATTGCTTCAATGCCAAACAGTCCTCCTCGATAGCTCCAGATTTCTCATCAAGCTGAAAAGCCACAAGATGCACCATGTTAAGAGACCCTTTCCAAAAACTTTGCCTTAAAGCTGTATTTTATTCCGTAAGCTACCAAAGATCTCAATTTATTTCATGTCACCGCTTTGTGTGGCCATCAAATCCTCAGTTTCAATTTAGAGACTGGAAACACTGATGAGGGAAAGGAGAGGGCATGCAATTCTTTCTTTGTTACTGTAAAGCACTTTAAGCCAACCAGGACCTGTGAAGTGCAGCACTTTATATTTCAAACAAACAAGACTCCCGTTTCCTTCTTACTGTCTGTTTTGTGAAATGTGGGAACCAATAAATTTTTAATACATCTGCTTGCACATGGCACAACCCACTCCCTTACATAAGAGAGACCGTGCAAGGGGATTTTCTTCACTCACCAGTTCAAATTGGAATCTAGGTCCTTGAACCTGTCATTATGCTGTAAAGAAGAATCAGGCCACTGACTTTAACTTTGGGGATAGTTGTACCAGAAGAACTAATATGCTTTACTTTTATGGTGGTGGTGCAGGAATAACTCCCTGCTTCCCAGCAGTTTTCTGTGGATTTTAGGCATCTATATAGCCCATTTTACTGTACACATGTTCTAGAAAACACTGTGACAGCAAAGGCAGTTTTGGAGCAGGTTTCAGTTTTGTAGGGCAGATAAGTAGGGCTGGTCTAAAAAGCTGTCCCACCTAAACATTTCTCTGAAGAGAAGGCAAGAGGCCAAGATACAGTACATGAAAAAGGGACAGCTGCAGATTGCCATCCTCTCACAGTTGTGAAGACTGGCACCATAAAAGCCAGAGGCTTTTGGAGATGTGAGTTCAGAGGCCTGAGACTCTTAGAAATGAAAACATGGAATTAGACTATGGTTGTTCAAAAACAAACAAACAAACAAAAACCCCAAACAGTTAACATCACCTCTAGTTTGGCCCTCAGTCCTCTGCAGGAACAGAGGTAACATTTTTATTTGCAAGCAACTATTAGTAAAAAAGCTAGAGACAACTTTCAAGGTCAGGCAGTTGCAAAAGAAAAAAGAAGACCCCCCCCCCCAGAAAAGAACTAGCAAACCCTCCTGGGGCAAAGCGCTATGAAGCTTTCATTGTTACATGGAAAGATATAACACCTTGCTGTTAGATGCAGTTGCAGTATATTTCTAACTAGAGACCTCACAGGAAATCTAATTGAAATTTTGCAGGCCAGAGCTTATAGGGCATCAGTGTTTGAGGAAAAGCAGCAGCAGGGATTTTCGAGAGATTTATAGCTAGCAAAACTGCAGACAGGCCAATATGTCCTCATAATTGTTCACAGGGCTGGCATCGATATGTCCAATGCCATCACATGGGTTGTCGTCATTGTGTACACATTCCCATTTACACTGCATCTAGTGTGCTCCAACTGCTAGTTTGGGAAGAAGTGAACACAAGTCATTAGCCACAATCCATATCTTTCCTGTAGTTTCTAATGAAATACTGCATTTTGATGTGTTTTTCCCCATCCTGTTTTGATCCAAATTGAGAAAAAGAACAACCTAGCTGTGTTTTAAGGTGGTAATATGTGCACAACCTAAGGTATCATCCAGGCTTTGCAGGATAATTTGCACCAGGTTTGAGAATTAAGGGCCAAGTCCACACAAGAGTCTAACCTCAAAGGAGAGTTGAAAAGGCATGATGTCTATACATTCATGGGGACACCCCCTTCCACTCAAGGCTTTGCTCTGGCATAAAGGCAGCAAATCTTTCATTTCTGCAGGAAGGAAAATTACTAATGTAAGACAAACATTGTTAAGGCCAGCAAATACGTAAATCCTGTTCTCTGGATGAAACTATGGTTAGAAGGCATGGAACGGAGGTTTGTATGTAGCTGTCCACAATACATCTTCCTTACAATGACTCGGGGATGGTGCTTTTAATGTTGGTTCCAGGTGCTGGCTAACAGGAACCCAGCATTAACAGTGAATAAGACTGGTACTGGCTTTTCCCTTAATGGTGCTTAAGGCATAGGGAGATGACCACTACAGTATATTTGGGAAGATTTAGTGACCAGTGGTCAGTCTGCTGTCTAGGAGCTAACTGGTGGTGGGTAATTTCAAAGCCCCCCTCTCTTTTTTTCACTCTTTATCTTTAAACAGGACTTTGACCAGGTAATCTTTCAAACCGAGGTCTGCCCTTTACAGAAGACTACAGTATCAGGCTTACAAAGTAGAACACATAGCCACTCAAAAAAGATGGAGCACACATTCACACAGTTGGCTTCTTAATTATGCTTAAAAGGAAACCAGTATTATGTCTGGACCAGTAAGCGCTGAGTGAATTTGAAATATTAGGACTCAGGAGGGAATCCCTATGTCTGACTGATCACTTATAGCAATCTGTGGCTTTGCTCACTTGCCTGAAGCATCCCAAGTTACTGTTCTGTGGGTGGTGGTCAGGATTGTATGGGTCAAGAGAGGGGAGGTGGGTGGTCCTGTCTTTGGGCATATGAGGACTGAACTAAGTGGCCTTTTTAGACTCTTCCAACTCTGGCTCTAAAATGAAACTAGCAAGGTTTATATTTAGGACAGCTTTACCATGTTTTATTAGTCTGAAGGAGGAGACACAGATAAATCTCAGGGGAACACTGCTGCTCTTGCTGCGCAGAAACTGTGAAATTACCTGGCACCAACTAACTTCATTATGGGAAGAAAAGCAACTAGGCATTAAAACTCTCCCACACTGATGTTAGCATAGCATGTGAACAATTTCCTACCTAAGGCCATGGTTATATTATGTGGAGTAAGGTAGGACAGGCCTGAACTGATTTCACAAGGCTCAACTCGTGATTCCCCTCACCCCGTTTCAGACAAATCATGCCCCACTGTAGTCTTCTAAAAACAGTAGATGTCAAAAAAGGTAAGAGATTGCCCCTGCCTCCCCCTGCCATAAATTCAAGCACTGCCTGGGCCTTCTAAAGCTACCTGTAACTTAGGACATTATTATGGGATGCAAGCCTTAAGCCTGAGCTGTCTCCAAGATCAGGAAATCTACAGCCACAATCTGGAACCTTCAGACATTGGTAACTGAAAGGCTATTTACCTCTACACATCTGATCACTGAGAAGTTTGTAGCAGAAGTCACCTTTTGCTGAAACTGCAAGGAACAAACAATGGACAACTTTTATTTACTGTATTTTCTTTCAGATTTCTGTTAAGTTCTATGAATAATGACATATCAAAATACAGCTTCCAGACGTGCAGTCTATTGCACCAAAACCACCAAATAGTCTTGTGGCACCTTAAAGGCTAACTCGTTTTTATTATGCCATATAACCTTTTGTGGATGAGAGCTCTCTTCATCTGATGCATGGAATGTGATCAGGTGTCAAGGGGAAAAGGCAAAAGTCAGAGTTAAATGGCAGCGGAATGCAAAAAGTAAGGTCTGTGACAACTCAATTACAGCAGAAATGTATGTAAAATCTGCTTCACGACAGCAGTAGTAGGAGATTCAAGACTGGTTGTAGCATGAGGGAGAGTGAGTACCTCAAGTGGTAAGTGCTAGGAGGACAGGACTATGTGTGCCAAGTGGCCTGCCTTGCACCTCTTAAGCTAGCTTCCTGCCTACATGTACAGTGGTACCTCAGGTTAAGAACTTAATTCGTTCTGGAGGTCTGTTCTTAACCTGAAACTGTTCTTAACCTGAGGTACCACATTAGCTAATGGGGCCTCCCGCTGCCATCACCGCACAATTTCTGTTCTTATCCTGAAGCAAAGTTCTTCATCCGAGGTACTATTTCTGGGTTAGTGGAGTCTGTAACCTGACGCGTCTGTAACCTGAAGCATCTGTAACCAGAGGTACCACTGTACAGTGAACAATGCAGACCTGTAGCCAGTGTTCTAGTAAGATTTAGCTGCCAATCAAGTCAGTTTTTTGGTATGAAATAGGAGGGAGTGACTTTTTGTCCTTTGCTCCAAGCAGCAAAATGTATTGGGCTGGCACTGTGATGAAAACACAAATCAGTTTAACCTTGCTGAGTAAAATGACAGTACAATGGGAAAGCTGGAAACAGTCATCCAAACTATTGGTAGTCATGCAGAGGGCAAGAGGGCCTGAAAATGGTTGCCCGGGTGGGTGGATTATTCCTAGTTAGTAAATATGAGGGCATTATCAAGTTCCACCTGCCTTCTTTTTTTACCCCTCTGTAAAATATAGACATTGTAAGAGTCCTTCTGAAGGCACCCTTTAAACTATACTCACTAGTAGTAGTACAGTGGGAATGATGCACACGCTGGAAAGAATCTTCAATGTCCACCGAAACTACAAGTATCCGTTCTAATGTGGAAAATCCTTTTGACTGTTCTTCCTTTGCATACTGAAGGCGAACAAATAGATATTCTAGAATCTGAAATTGTAAAGAGCCTTGTGAAACATGCAATGAAACACGTAATCATATACACAAATTCTGTCCTGAAAGAAGAGTGTGGACACACACTATCCTGTTCTACTAATTTGAGCACTGGCAGGATTGAAACCACCACCTGGCCTTGGAAATGGGATGGTCTGGTGTCATGCCCTAAAAGCTTCAATGGGATTACAGGCAATTCTGGGTCCAAGGCAGCATTCAGTTTCTCTTACTGCTACCACACAATTCTAGAATACCAATGTTACTCAAAGCTTTTCTTTCGTCCCAAGGATTGTGGTATGATTTTTTACTGTGTCTATTTTGAATTTCCAAGCAGGGTTCTTTCTCTAAAAGGTTTGAATATCAGAAATAACTATAAGGAGGTTTTATTTTAGGATAGAGGTCTCATCCAGACGAGTTCTATATAAAGGTTATCAGTCTTAGAAATAAATATCTGCTACTGGGTTTTTTTTCTACTTTTGCTTCCTGAAGCTGAATGGATCAGGCGCTCTTAATCCAGGAGTAAATTCTGAAATCTTGGCTGGGGAATCACAGGAAACCTGGAGGGAGAAAGTCCTTTGGAAGAAAACAGCTTGCAACAACAAATGTTGTCTGTCCTAGGGGAAGAAAATGTTTGGGGAAAACACTGGCAAAGTATACTGAATAGCAAAGCCTTTCTCCTCCAGCAGCCCTAGATTCTGTAATCCCTGGCAGCAAAGTAAAAAGTGGATTAGAATGTATCAGGCAGCACCACTGCCAGCATCATTATATCTTCACAGAGTTTTTCCCTCAGGTGGGAGGTTTCCAAAATGCCCCACATCAACTGAATGCCATTGTTTTAGCCCCTAATGTTTCTCTACATGATATACAAAAATCCTAGCTTTAATTTGACCATTGAAGATTTTGCTCAATAGAAGGTTCCCTCAAACTGAAAGCAACAAGGCCCTGAGCAATATACAGCAGGTGTTCTCAGTGGCCACTAGAGGGTAGAATAAGAGCATGTGCATCAATTAAGCATAGAGGCTATAATATACAGCAATGCTGACTCTGGGCCATGTTGCTTCACAGGTCAGATAAAAAGAAATTGTATTCAAATGCAATTATTGTAGTCTCCCCCACTAAAAGATGCTGTTCAGTTTATCTGTTTTGGTCTTCAACACTAGAACACTTTGGCCATGTAGGTTATACTACCCAGACTTTACAGAAAGGGAAATTGAGACATGAAATGAAGTTATCCAAGCCCTTCTTTGGAGGAAGTCATGTGCTTTAAATGTGCACCAAATAAGCTTTAAATGTTTGATGTGGATTTCAGCCAGAAATTTAGGGAACTGGATTGTTTCCATTGTTATTTAGTCCTGGTGCCTATCCATGCAGTATATCCCTGAAACGATGTGATGTTCGCTTTTCTTTTTCTACCTCACAGATCTGTGGGGGGAAGCCTGTTATGTACATTTCAACAAACAAGGGAAACCCCTGACCCCAAACTTCTGCCCCCTTCTTCCACAGTTCTTTCCTCTACCTTCCCTCCCACAAGCTGCCACAAGTTGACCTTAAAAATTAAGTCAACTTGTTGCTCCCAATGCCACCTTTTCTTCGCACCTCAGGCCAGGCCTCCCATTCCCCACCGCACCCCCCATCCCAACACCACCTCACAGCTACAAGCCCACCTGCTCCTCCTTGGTTCCCAGCACCCTCAACAACCTCCCCATCCTCACACATATTGAGGCGGTGTTCGTGATACTTATTATAGTTGTGATCTATGAGGGGGTTAATTAGCAAGGCAGAGAGAGTATATGTGTGTGTTAAAATTAGCCCCCTCATACCTCAGTACTATTAACCCCCCTTTCCTTTTTCACTTGAATCCATCACACATTTCAACCACACGAAACGCCTTCCCGCCCCATCCCAGGGGGCGCGCGCTCACCGTGCGAGTTGCCAGCGCCACGTCCCCCATGGCTAGGCGCGCGGCCGTCCTTTTTCCCGCGCAAAATTGGACGCCGTCCCTTCCCCCCGCCCCCCACTCGGGGACAGGAAAGCGCGCCCTCGCCAAGCGCGTCCCCGGCTCCTCCCTCTTTCAGTCAAGAGCCAAACCCGTTCCTTTCCCCTCTTCAAACCCCCTTTCTCCCTCACCCCCCCATCCGCCTCCTCCAGGTACAATAACGATGATGATAGTAATGATGATTAGTCTTTACTGACCCTTCACGTCCACTCCCTTTCAACCCTCACTATGTCTGTAACTATATCGATCAGTCCTTCGATATTGCTAAGTTTAGATGACGCTCCCCGGTTATAATTGCAGTATCTCCATTTTATGTCTCTCTCAGGAACATTTCCCCCCGCCCCCCACTCCAGCAAAACACTTTTTATTCCACCTCTAGCCTTATATTATTATTTATTGAATTTATATACTGCCCTATACTCAGAGGTCTCAGGGCAGTTCACAGAACAAAATCAAAATGTTGTTGTTGTTGTTTAGTTTTTTAGTCGTGTCCGACTCTTCGTGACCCCATGGACCAGAGCACGCCAGGCACTCCTGTCTTCCACTGCCTCTCACAGTTTGGTCAAACTCATGCTGGTAAAAACCTTAAAATATATAATCAAAATAAAAACAACAACCCAATAACACACCACCACCACCAAAAAAACACCCCACATTTTAAAAGGACGTAGGATGTCAATCCAATCAACCAAAAGCCTGGTTAAAAGGGACTTCAACAGATATCCCCCCCACCCCTCTTATTTTTAAAGATGCTTTGTCCTCAAAAGAATTGACTGACACCCCCACCCAGGAGCTCATCAGATCCAGCAATCTCAGTAACACCCACTCTAGATTGATTGTTTGATTGCATTTATATCCCACCTTTCTCTCCAAGGAGCCTGAGGCATCCTACCTTGTTCCCCTCATAATCCCCACAACAGCCCTTTGAGGTAGCTTAGACTGAGACCAAGCAACTGGCCCAAGGTCACCCTGTGAGCTTCATGGCCAAGTGGGGATTTGAACTGCAGTCTCTCTCGGGTCCAAGTCCAGCATTCAAACCTAGCCCAACATTTTAACCTCTGTACCCGCGAGCTGTCTTCCTATATACAATTTCCAGATTGCTGGGTCTGTGCTCCCCTACTACACAGGCACTTTTAACCCCATCTCCAAACTCACATTTCAGTTTCCCCCTGTAAGAAAAGCTCAACAACTTTGGTTGGCCCTCATGCATGTTCACTTCATCAAATCTGGCCCTCTTTGAAAAAAGTTTGGGCACCCCTGCTAAGCACACCTACCCACTCCTACCACATTCCCATTATTCAAAATACTGGGTGTACAGACATTGGTTTCCTTGCCAAGCTTGTTTGATCTCCTATTTTCCACCCCTAAAGCAAGCACATTATGGTGCTCACCCACGCCCCTTCAAATGGCAAGGTAAGGAGTTTGAGGTCAAACTTGTGTGGGTTGAAACATAGGGTTCCTGGCATTGAAGGGAAAAGTGGGTATTTTTTTCCAAACCTTGTGGAGGAAACAAAATGAGGCAGTGAGGGTCATTGATAGTGGTGTGCTAGAAGGAAGGGTGGCAGAACTCCAGGACTTTTTTTTCCAGGTCAGAAGTAATGGAGCCGTATGCTGAAGCACCTGGAAAGTGAGTGCATCTTTCAAGTTTGTTTGAAACTAAGGAAGTCAGAGAATGAGGGAAATGATCAAGCAGAGGTTGGATACGTCTTTCCTTTTCTTATATGGGGTTCCTAATTCATACTAGTAGTTTAAATGGCAGCAATTCTTTGCAAGGTTGTTTGCATTCCTAAGTAAAAGCTAAAGGCTGCAATCCAGCTGGCTGAAGATCTCTGTGTGCTTTACAAGCTGAGCCTATGCAGTCTGAAGTAAGCACCACTGAGGTCAGTGATATTTACTTCCAATAAACTATGGATAGGATTGCAGTCATGCTGATCTTCATGCATTAGATATTCATTGAGCTTGTACTTCTGCTCCTTGATGTCTGTGTATGCATGCATTTGGGATCAACACAGCTGTCTGCATTTTGGAGCACTCCTTGGAGGTTTGGTTATGGGGCCTGTCATGATGAGCTCCTGCACTTCAAGATTAACCACTGCATCACAGAGAGGGAATTTCAAATGCATTAGTTTAGGGCAGGCAGATGGCTTCTGTCTGTAACTATGGCATTTGGGATTCCTAATTTTAAAAAGAACAAGAAAAAAGGGTAATATCTGACTTCCAAGGCTGACACGAGCACACAAATCACCCATGAAGCTGTTAGTGTCATCTGTACCACATGATCACACATGCCAACCAGGTGCTGCGCCCATTGTTCCCTGTAACAATGCAAGGAATCTGGGAAGAAGGCGTTTGGATTGTGCAGGTGCAGGTGCCTGAGAGAGACGATTAAAATGTATTGGGTTGACCCTGTTAATTGCAGCATTCTTCCAGAGGGCTAGAAACAGGAATAAAAAGGAATAAACAATGGGCTGGATCATACATAATGCCAAAACACTACAGAAAATAAGCCCTGAACACATAATATGTGCTCTGTGAATCCTAAATAGGAATATAATAAAATGTCTTCTACCAGGTCAGGTTAATTGTCTGTTGAGAGCAGTAATGTTTACTTTGACAGCAGCCCTCCAAGGTCTCTGAGTTTCAGAAGCAGTGTTGCCCCCTGGGGTTTTGCTGTGTCTCATCATTACATCTTATGGTATACAGTAAACTATAAAGCACCTCAAATTGGTTATTTACCCTTCCTGCTATGTCAAAGCAGCAGGAAAAGAAGACGGTGCAAATGTGGCCTAAAGAAGCCTGGCATTTTTCCCCTTTTAAAACTATTTCCTTTCTTGCAGACTGTCACTACTTCATAAAGCAGAAGGGACACTGCTTCTTTCATAATGCATAGAAATAGATCCTGAGTCTCACTTCTATTTTGCATTTTGATGTGGCAACCCTTTGTGAAAGAGCCATACATTTCCATGGGGGATCAGTTTGGCATGGCATGTTCTGTTTTTCTGTGTGTTCTGTTTTTTTGTTAATATACCATGGGCTAGACTTATGGATGGATACTAATCTGGTTCAGTTTTATTTTATTGCAAACCTACCTAATTTGCACTTTCCAAAACAATATGCAAACCAAAACACAGCTATCCTTCAAAATCCAAATCTTGTGATGCAGTTCTACAGTAAAATAATACGTGTCAAATGCATACTTCAGGGGGAAATGTGTACAAAAATGTATATAGTAGTGAAAATAGTATATAAAATGCATTGTGTTAGGGAGAATTGCTTGAAAAATGTGTAAATCAGACAAAATTTCATATAAAAATATGTAAGGAGAAATTTGCTTATGAATTTTCATTAGCATTTAAAAAAAAATGCATCTACTGCAGAATACTACAATACTAGTCGGAAGCAGGCTAGATTGTTGTCCTTCTGCTTCCCTAATTTTGTTATTTTTGTCCTATGGATTACCGGTATGCACTGGAGCAAGGCAACCTTTTGAAAAAATGTCAAAATCCTAGGTGTTTGAATAAAATGTTAGGCACCGGAGGTATTCCTAACTCTGCTTGCACAGTAAATGTCACCTGTAGGTACAGCATCCAATTGTAACACGAGATCAGGTTCCTTCACATTAGATCACACCTAGGAGAGGAGAGTTGAGGACCTGATTTATGCTTCAGCTTTTAACCCTCTCTCCCCCCCCCAACCCTTTTGCTATGGGCTTGAGGATTCTATGTACCTGTCTGGCTGAAAGATGAGAGAGACTCTCTTCCTGTTTCTTTTTTCCAGGTAGGCCATATCCCCTGGTTCTCTGCGGCTGAATTTAGTAACACAGGCTGGCCAAACTGACTGCAGTGTGAAGCAGATCGAATAGCACACCCCTCTCCGTCTCTGTGGAAGCTCCTAACAACTGCCCGTGGCCTGCACTGAACCATGGCTTCTTCTGTTCTCTGGGCAATCGACTATGAGGTTTATGGGGAAGTCCAGGGTGAGTCCATTTAGTTTCCCCCACCCCTTGTACTGCTATTGTGCTGTTCTGGGTGGGATTTTTGTGCATGGGCTATGGAGATGGTTGCTCAGTTCCCCTGCGGCTCATGCTGCAAATAGTATAGCCCTTGAAATAAGATGCTAGCAGCAGAGCCCTCTCCTCCAACTGCAGAATCTTTATTCGGCTCTAACTGCAGCTAGGTTGGCTGGAGCTGCTGTGCAGCTAGAATGACAGTCCGCAAGGACTCCAGAAGAACTTAATTGAAGCTAATACACACGGGGTGTATATGGAGGAGACTAATTGGGAACATTAATGCAATTGGGTGTTGGATCTGCATATCCTAGAGCACAGTAGGAAGGTGCTGTATCTTTGCGGTGTGGAGATCTGGGCCATTACAGGGAGGGAGGCTGAGCATCCTTGATTCAACCTCATTTACTTGATTTAATCCACCACCCCACCCCACTCTATTTAAAAAATAGCAATTTTGTAACGTGATCTGTAACATTCAGGATGCAGCATAGCCTAAGCCACCATAGTACAGAAATGAGAACTCGAAAGAGCTGTTTCTGTGGCAAAAAGGAATAAATTTGTGTTCTTGTGCTGCATCCTTTGTCACTTACGGTAGGTATTAGTGACAGGATGTGGTAGGTTTGCCTTTTAGACTGTCAGCCCTTTGAAGTGCAGGCTAGAGCTACTTTCACATTATTGGTCATACAATGGGCAAAAAAATCATGTTACCTCTAGGCCCTAGCTATTAGCTGAGTTACTGTGATTTAATGGAATGTTCAACAATATCCTTGCAGGATCTGACTGCTCAAATTGAACATGTACAGTATGCTAAAAAAGAATGCAGCTTCAATAAGGGAAGATGATTTTGAATGGAATTAACTTCACGTGGGACACACCAAAAAGAGATGTGTGCTGTTGAGAGAAAGGACGTAGGCAAACAAAGGTGCTGGGGGGTGGGTCAGGGAACTAAGGGGGAACTAAGGCTACAGAGGTGATATGAGCAAAGTTTCAGATTGAAGGCACTCAATTAACTGCCAAGTGGGTTGTGATTTCATGGGTAAATGATAGGACAGGGAGATTCAGGTGGCCGGTACAACAGTTAGGAACAAGAAAGTGCAGATTAGGATGTGTGGGATTAACACAACACGGTATCCCTTTCAGTAATAAAAAATGACAACTTACCACTAAAACAAATAAAACATATACGTTTTGAGAGCTAGAGTTAGCACGTTGGGGAAGAATCAGGGAGGCCCATGTTCAAACCCTACTCAGCCATGAAGCTCATTGAATGACCTTGGGCCAGGCACTCTCTTGACCTTTCCAGGGTGTGAGGGCAAATAGGTGTGCTGCCTTGAGCATCCTGGAAGAAAAGTGGGATAGAAGTGTAATAGGGAATAAACTAATACATAAATATCAGGAGGAAAAGCTGGGGAAATCAGGCATAAAGATTGGAACACAGCTTGCTGAAGGCAAAAGCATAATCACCACTAATGAGAAAGTATTAAATCCAGAATGAAAGTCAGTCAAATAAAATTGTGGGCAACCAACCATTCAAATGTTATCAAATAATCAAGCATTAATAAAAAACCCAAAACACCAATTTATTAGAACGGGATGGGGGGCAGTGAAGAAGAAGAGAAGAATTCCAAAATCTATATTAAGGCAATATATATGAAGATTATGCTAATTACAAAATCTGCTTTCCTTCAGATGTGTCACTAGATCACATGGAAGCATAGGCCAGTTAGCAATTGTGTACTTGCAGGTGTGATAAATACTTGTGTGTGTCCTAGGAGTTCCCTTTCCAAAATCCCTAAAATTTCAACACATTGTTGGTAGTTGAAGCCACATGGCTTGATTGGAAAGAGAGAGACAGTGTAACACAGCCTGTTCATTAAGGAGGTGTGCCATGAGGAGTGCTGCTGTCCTACTAGATATCTGGCTGCCCACTGTGAGAACAGGATGCTGGAGTAGATGGGACACAATCACTACTGGAGGGAACAGAAGACTGGACTATAGAAACACTAAATATGTAGCTATAGGACTTTGATTGTTGATACTTGTTATGAATGTGATCGCTGACTGACTTCTCTTTCTTTCATCTTCTAGGTGTCTTCTTTAGAAAGGTAGGATATATCTGCATGTGAGATGTGGTGAGGCATTCTACAGCACATAGCCAAACTGTAGCACTTAGCAAACTAAGACTGCAAAGGCTGATGTTTCTACTTGGACGGTACATTACTGGAATAGCTGGAGAGAGCACTTCTCAAGCCAGCTTCCGAAGCTTGTACCCCTCCTGTATATAGGTCCAAGTCTAGTGTAGGGTAATGGATACCCAGAGAAGCTGCCCATAGGAGCAGAGAGGAGAGTATGGCATCTTCAAATCAGAACCAGTGAAGGCGGTGAAGGTCTTGTGTGAGTGCCTGGAGGCGGTTGGAGGATGGATGGCGGCTAATGGATTGAAGTTGAATCCTGACAAGACAGAAGTACTGTTTTTGGGGGACAGGGGGCGGGCTGGTATGGAGGACTCCCTGGTCCTGAATGGGGTAACTGTGCCCCTGAAGGACCAGGTGCGCAGCCTGGGAGTCATTTTGGACTCACAGCTGACCATGGAGGTGCAGGTCAATTCTGTATCCAGGGCAGCTGTCTACCAACTCCACCTGAGACCCTACCTGCCCACGGACTGTCTCGCCAGAGTGGTGCATGCTCTAGTTATCTCCCGCTTGGACTACTGCAATGCGCTCTACGTGGGGCTACCTTTGAAGGTGACCCGGAAACTACAACTAATCCAGAATGCGGAAGCTAGACTGGTGACTGGGGGCGGCCGCCGAGACCACATAACACTGGTCTTGAAAGACCTACATTGGCTCCCAGTACATTTCCGAGCACAATTCAAAGTGCTGGTGTTGACCTTCAAAGCCCTAAACGGCCTCAGCCCAGTATACCTGAAGGAGCGTCTCCACCCCCATCGTTCTGCCCGGACGCTGAGGCCTAGCGCTGAAGGCCTTCTGGCGGTTCCCTCATTGCGAGAAGCAAAGCTACAGGGAACCAGGCAGAGGGCCTTCTCGGTAGTGGCGCCCGCCCTGTGGAACGCCCTCCCATCAGATGTCAAAGCGATAAACAACTACCTGACATTCAGAAGACATCTTAAGGCAGCCCTGTTCAGGGAAGTTTTTAATGTGTGATATTTTAGTGTATTTTTGGTTTCTGTGGAAGCCGCCCAGAGTGGCTGGGGAAACCCAGCCAGATGGGCGGGGTACAAATAATAAATTATTATTATTATTATTATTATTATTATTATTATTATTTGGAAGCAAACTCAAGCAAACTAAACTGTAAAGAACAAAGCAGTCTGACTCCTGACTTGCTAGTACCAAACATCAATGTCAGTGTGAACCTAGGAGGTTTATATACCTCTTCCAGCCAATGAAATGTCAAGACTGGGAGGCAATCAGGGCCTTAGAAATCTCTGTAGGAAGAGAGAAAGATTTCATTGCTGTTGATGTTGCGGGCTGCTTTGTTTTGCCATAGTAGTACTGTTGGTTTTGTTCCCACCAGGGTACAAGCAGGCAGAGATATTATTTCATTTCATTTTTTTCATTTCACTTTTAATTTGTATACCGTCTTTCTATTTAACAATACCCAAGGCGGTTTACGAGCTGAAGAAACAAAGAATGTACACCTTATAACAATCTAATCCAATATGAAAATGTGATAATAAAACATAACTTTAAAATAAGCAACTTATATCAAATAAAGTAATATTCAACAATCCATTAGCATAGTATAGAATAATATTAGCTATCAGCATATAAAAATTAAACAGAAATCCACTCTTAACAATTATAATTAATTTCTAAACTATAATCAATAAAACAACGGCAAGCCACAGTGCATAAAATAATAATAATAATTCCACAGGAACTATGCACATATGCTATGGGGAAATGAAGCAGAACCCACCCTAATTATGCTTCTTTGTTCACTTTGCTCTATCAACATTTCCAGGAATGAAAACATTTGCCCGTCTGAAAAGAGACCTCACAGAGCATATACCACTGACTGAGCTTCCATGTCACCTGGCATAATCACAAAGCTCAATGAAGGCTGCTCACTCATTCAGCCACCAGTCATCAAATGAAGAGACTGAGCAATGTATGTGCCATTGAGAATCAGCCTTGCAAGCTTCCCTGACCACTATCTTTCTGGCTTTTTTCACCAGTACACAGAAGAGCAGGGGAGGAAGTTGGGAGTGGTTGGCTGGGTGAAGAACACTGCCCAGGGGACAGTGACCGGACAAGTGCAAGGGCCCAAGGAGAAAGTGGAGATCATGTAAGTATGTGAACTGGGCTCCTTCAGCAGTGGCTGAGGGAAGGGCTGACCTTACAATTAGGCAGCTAATTCGGTTTGTTATGAAAGGGCTGCAAATTATTAGTTATTTAATATATTGTTGCTATATATTTTTTTACTGCCTGGGAGAGGTGCCTGTGGGATTTTCTGAATTGGGTGCTAAAATAACTTGGCCAGCCTTGGTTACTATGCACTTTGACTTGCAGCTTCAGGGCCTGTATTTTGGGGATTGAGTGAGGGGTGGTGCCAGCTAAGCAGAGTATAAAGGGTTAAAGGGGAACCACTTAATTTGCTTAACTGACTAGAAAAGGTCAGGGTGAAGGAGAGAGGGAGAGGGGCACAACTTCATGCATCATGCGGAATCTGCTTTGTTCATGGCATTAACAAGATTGAAATTGGAGACAAACCTTGGAACACGAGCTCCCCATAATATCCAAGAAGTCCAACATGGCTGTTGTTGGACTTGATCATAGACACAGTACCCTGAATCCACCACAACTGGCCCCATACATCTATGTTTCAACACTGACACTTGATGTTACTCAGCAGAGTGAGGCACAAGGCATTGGGCATGTAGTATAAAGATGTCAGGCAAACTCCTCCCTTAACCAGAGTCTCTCCTTAGCCATCTCTTTTGTTGTTGTTAAATATCTAGTGCCCTGCCTGAATACAGAACTAATGTACCACTTCAGGTGAATAACCCTCCCCACTGAAAGAGACAGGGCAAGATTTATAGCAAAGTTCAAAAGTCTGGTCTTTGTTATGTTCAAAATTAAATTGCAAAGGAAGAAACGAGGGGGGAGCATTTCATCTTAAAAGTGATTGTCATGGTTACTTGTATATTCTTTCTAATATCCAGAGATGTTGGTGCTGCTGTGATCTGAAACATGGGAGGGGGGTGACTGCCCCCTTGGCCTTCCAAAATGGCACCCCTGGTTCTTATCTGGAGGAAAACTGGTGGGATGAAGAGGGATAAATGGCCTGTAATAATGGTTTCCATTATCCTTATCTGAAGAAAGCCTGGCATTGGCAATCTGTACAGCCTTCAATCCCACTCCACCCCTCCCTCCCCTCTCCATCTGAAGTGTCTAAATAGGGCACCTCCCCAGACTCTCCCTCAACAGTGAATTGACACCCTGTAAATTTGGGACTTGGGTCAGCTTGCAATTAGGAAGTTGGTCCAGGAGGAGATGGAGAAAATTGCTTTATGAATTTGTGAGCAGCAGCAGCGGGTGGAGGTGGGGGTGGAGCAAGGGAGTGGAGAAGGGGGTGGGGAGAGGGATGGTGCGCTCCCAGGGCGACCCTGGGGGTTTGTGGTGATGGTGAGACAGCTTCTCTAACAACGGGCTCTGTCACCTTCAGAGAGATGACAACCAGAGGCAGTTTCTATAGCGACAAGTCTTCCCCCCATCACCTTGAAGTTACATAGAGAGAGGGAACATGCAAGGAAACTGGGACAGTTTCCATAGCAACCAGCTTCTCCATTTCTTCCACCTTCATGTCTTTGAGGGGGGAGGGGGAAATTGGGGCCGCTTCCATAGCAACCATACTACTCCATCCCTTGCAGGAGATAAGCAGGAGTGAGATAATCCATAGCAACATGTATTCCACCACCCCACCCCACCCCGCATTTACTCTCTCCTCCTCCTGCTCTCTCTTTTTCAGATCCTGGCAGGGAATAACAAAGCAAAAGTGTACAGCCATCTATTGAGCCCCCACCCCTTTTCAATTAGGGTTCAGGTGGGAATCTGTAGCGCCCACACACACGTGTACCCCCCCATATGCACTCACTTCAATTTTTGAAATGGAAGAACAGCTGAGTAAGTTTATCGTGCGTGGGCAGTGTTTGAACAGCTTTCTTTTTTTGTTAACTGGAGAGCTTCATTCATGGGTTCTTTGGACTTTTTGAAGATGAAAAAGCTTTCCTCCAGGTTCCTCAGATGCTTCCTTCCTGACTAAACAAACAAACAAACAAACATGTTTATTATTTTTTTGCTAAATGTGGGCAACTATTTCCCATTAGAGGCTGGGTAAATTGGCAATTGGCAGCTTACATTTTAAACCGAAACAAATAGATTCTTGTTGCGCCTTAAAAACTAGCAGTTTTATTTTGGCATTAACCTTCGTGGATTAGAGTCTGCTTTGTCAGATGACCATAGGCCTGGAAAGTTTATCCCATAATAAAACTGTTAAAATTCCCAGCAGATTTTTTGAGTGTTTCTAGAAAGGTGTTTATTGTGGAATAGCTATTTAAAGGCATGCAATGGTGGGGTGTTTTTTGTTTGTTTGTTTGTTTGTTTGTTTGTTTGTAGAGTCCACATGATGTTGTTGGCATGAAAATGCCCCCACCCCCATTAATCTGGATTTACCCTTTCCTGGAAAAACCTGATACTTAAAAAAAAAAAAAAGCTGTTACCAGTCACCTGTTTGTGATATCCAAACAACCTAGTTGCAATAATTGTCTGAATTAGTCCTCAGTCTGCAAGCATTTGTGTGTTCTTCATACTGCAACAGACTAAGGCAGCTACCTCTCTGGAAGCAGTTACTTTAAACTGAATGCTCACTGGATCAGGGGCCTATCTTGTTAGTTTAATCAGCAAAGCACCACATACCTCATAGACATTGTCCAGCATATCATTATTCATCTATGACATTGGTATACATTATGCTTTTCAACCATAATGGTTTTTGAAGTATTTCAAATTAACAATGCAGCAGTAATAAAAATAACGTAAAATACTAATTAAAGTAATTTAGAACTATCACCAGCTAAAGGAAGCAAAAGAACAAACAGAAGAGGAAAACAGTTATGGAATATGCTCCAAACTAGAAAGGCACAGCAAAGCAGAAAGGTCTTTATTCCCCTTGGAAAGAGAGATAACATACTAGCCTAATCTCAAGGAGGAAAGGATTCCACTGTTTTGGGGCAACTATCAAAAAGTCCCTGCTCTAACTGTTCAGCATATGAGCCTGATTGAGCCCTAAAATTGGAGCAGGAAATGAATTTATTTTGCCCAGATTGGCTAGTCACTATGTCATGAATCTACCCCTCATCTGCCCTGGCATGGCTTAGTTTCTTGTGTCAGCTGGAGCCATTTTCTCTGCCTGAATCTTTATTTAGTGTACCTAATGCAAGAACATAAGTAAAGTCCTGCAGGATCAAACCAAAGGCCTTCAGTTTTCATAGCAGTCAACCAAATGCTTATGGGAAAGTCCCATTGTTTCTAGCAGAGAGAGAGTGAGAGAAAGAGAGACACTGTGTGTGTGTGTGTGTGTGTGTGTGTGTGTGTGTGTGTGTACACACTAGATTTGATTACCCTTTGGTTCCGTCAACAGCCATGTTCCTTTTATGACCATGCAGAGAGCACAGGTGGGACTAAAAGAGAGAGGAGGGTAGCATGGGTGGGTTGCTAACTTGTGTTCCTTTCCTCCGTAGGAAGAACTGGCTACGCAGCGTAGGAAGTCCCATGTCTCGTATTGACCAGGCTGTGTTCTCCAATGAGAGGGAGATCAGCACCCTTGAGTTCCAGTCCTTCACCACCAAATACTAGAGCCTGCTGGCTGTCAGGATGGGATGTCCACCTCCAAGAACAAGGAGGGATACTCCGCTCAGAAGGAAGCACCACTCTCCCTTTCTGTGACAGGCTGTGCTGCTGATGACCGAATTTGACTGTGTTCTAGGCCCATGGCACTTCAAGTACCCTTTTGGATCCTTCCAGCTGCTAGCTATCTGGAAAGTACCAGTTGCCCACTGGTGTCTATAAAGAGGTTGTAAGCTCTTTTTGTTGCTTTCCATCACTTATGAGGGGGGCAGAGGCAGAAAAGAGAAAAATAAATTGGAGGGGCCTTGCCTACATCTGTCTCTCCAGGAGACCTTCCACATTGTTACTTTCACAATGTGTTCACGAGCACTATTGGCCAGTCTTCGAACTCTCTTTTAGACAACCATAGGGATAAAAGGCTTGTGAATAACAGGTAGCTCCTCAGTTACACACTTGCTCACTAGAGCCAGGCTGTTCTCCCCTTCACACCAGTGCCCCACTCAGAAGAATATTGGCTCATTAAATATTATCTTAAGAAAGATAACGAATGGCCTCTTCTTTTTGGGAGTTGGGTAAGGTCAGGTGTGTGCAGGACATTATTGGATAAGGAAGATAATTTATGTTTCTGGAAAATCGTATTGACAGACCTGAAGATAGAGTTAGGAGGCAGAAGGTGACTGGGGGAATGCAATGGTCTAGTGTTGGCAACATGCAGGCCTTCCCCCGTCAAGGCATGGCCTGCTTTTCGACACATTAAGGCTCAGCTGTGTTATATATTTTTCTGAATAAGTAATGTACTTTCCCCTTTCTTCTGTGCTGCAGCTAAAATGCAGAACCTGCATGCTTTTGTGAAAGAGTTATCCCCATTCTGATAATCCTATCCATGCCTCTGTGATATAAAAGAGGTTTTTCCTTGGAATATCTGTATGCTAGGACACAAGCGTCTTTGTGTATCCCTGCTTGCACCAGTAAAACATACTTGGGTAATTGTGCATAGTTTTCTGCAACTACTTGATTGCTGGTGCTTTTGAATTATGGAGAACTTAAAACTATTCACTGCAATGTGAAAAGGAAAGAAATATCAAAATGCCGCAGTGCACCTGTGCCAACTGGTAAGTGATGGTGGTGAGCAGTGGTGGCCCAAGCATGCCACCAAATGGTGCCCCTCCCTGCTGGAAAGAAGAAGGAACAAGGGAACAATAAAGATCTACATCGGGATCTGCTGCCCCTGTGAATCCTGCTGCTTGAGGTGATTGCCTCACTTTGTCTTCTTGGTGGGCTGTCCCTGGGGATGAGCGTAGGGCAAGAAATTCTGCCCACAACAAGTGGATGTAGTAACAGAAAAGCCCAACTAGCAAACTGTTTCCCATTCTTGGCAGTTGCTTATATTCCGTTTTCTCTTATACTAGACATAGCATTATGAAGATTTGCAAAATGGGCACACCCATCACAGAAGTTATGTATGAACTCCCTGCAACAGCAGGACAATTTTTGCCGCAATGATTGCAGATGCTCTCTTTTTAAAGTCTTGTGCTTTTAGGGTCTTTCTTCATTAAGCCTGAAATAACAAATTGAGTATATTAGACTTGCTGCTTGGGAAGTTGCCAAGGCGGTAAAGGTAAAATGAATGCCAAACATTCTTTGGAATCTCTTGACATGGGCTGTGGGTGTAGTGCTTGCTTAGGCTAGTTGAGCAGGTAGAGGTTGATGCTTTTGAATTAACTCTCAATTACATATATGGGCAGGGAGGGTTTTTAATTGGCATAACATGTTTCATTAAAGATCCACACTTTCATCACAGGGTGACAGCCTAGCAAAGATGTCCAATGGGGAGTAGGACCTTACTTGCTCTATAGGATTGTTTATGTTGAAATAGGTCTTCATCAGATTTTTGCTGAAATTGCTTCTTTGTGGAATAGATAGTTATAGAATGGGGGGAAAGCCTGATTTTGTATATACTTTGAGCACTTCGTTTTATTAGTCAGGGTTTGCTTTTGGCTTTTTGAAGTAGTAAATTTGCCCAGCCATAAATAAAACAAAGACGTGGTACAAAATTGCAATACTGTATAGGAAAGGGACAAAAACTGATAATCTAGTCCCTTTCTGAAGCTTTAAAGGGGAGGGAGGGTTAAACTCGTCCCAGTATGGATGGGTAACAACAAACTAGCATGGGATTAAGACATGCATTTAAAGTAACATGTTAAGGTAGAAGCTTAACATATCATGAAACCTTGAAAGATGGATTCCCAACAAAACCAAGAAAGGAAGTTTAATCCTCCCGCTGGGTAAAATGAATGGGTCAGCCCCACCCCCCACCTGGCTCAGCGGCTTGTCTTCCCGAGCAGCTAGCTCCAGGGATGCTCATTAACAAGACACCAACTTAAGGCAATAGACATCCCTTGCTGTTAGTCCCCAGTGTCTAGAAATCAGTAATCCTGTGTCTAGGAACATGGATATTGCACTATTGTGGCTAGTACTCATCCATCAATTCAGCAAAGATAGTTTTTTCACACCTCACACTAAAAAGCAGGCTTGTGCTTTTCTCCTCCTTTTGTCCCGAGTGTGAATGTTGCAGATGAAGAAGAGAAAGATTAAAGCCAAAACCAACAGAGTCCTGCAGCACCTTAAGAACCATTTATAATGGCACAAGCTTCTGTGGATTTTATCACATTTGAAGCAGTGGAGAGCATTCTGGCAGCAGAGGGTGACTGAAATGTACAGAAACGTAAATTCCACTTTAATTCTTTGTAAAGTTGTTTCTGCTAGCTGCCTTCTCAGCATCACTGGACAGGAGTTCCAAAGATCCATTATGTGTTGCTTTCTGTAAACTGCTGCCTTTCTATTTATTCCAGGGAATTACACAGAGAGCTTGTCAACACTTCCACTTGTCCCATGCCTAGACAAGTCAGAGGGGTTTTGCTTTTGCTCCACTGCTTTCCCTTGGAAAAACTGCTCTTTAGTGCTAAATCGGCACAAACATCAATTCACGGAAAACCCAGTTGCTGTTTGTTCTTATTCAGCACTAAACTGCAGGTTTTCACAGGCAAAATGGCAGGGCAAATGGAAGTGTGGATGTGCCCTAAGTTTTTACACTATGAAAAGTGCCACCTTTTAAAAGATTTCTTTTGCTGCTGGTGAGAAAGTAAAACCTTCCATACTTCCACATCCATCATGGTTTGATGTGGAGCCAGCTATCTAGAGCAAGGACAGGATGTTGCCCTGGCCCTTTGGATGTTGTGGGGTACAGGCAAAGAGAGGTGGTGGGTTGCAGGATCAATATTTAACTTATAAGCATTGAGAACATAAATGTACACTTGCGGCTGTGTACATACGATCCATTTAAAACACATGACTCCCCCCAAAGAATCCTGGGAAGTGTAGTCTGTTCAGGGTATGGGAATTGTAGCCCTGGGGGTAAACTAAAATTCCCATGATTATTTGGGGGGTGGGGAAGCTACATGTTTTAAATGTCTGACATGTTTGCAGAAACAAGAGTCACGTGTGATGTTCTGCAGAACAGTTAGGGGCTGAAATAGAAAGACTACTTCCTTCGGGTCTTAATCCACTTTGGTTTCCCTTTATAAGAGCATAAAAAGCTGGTCAATGTCAGAAGCAGATTTAGGGGAGCAAGACTGGTTTGATCGTACGCGGAACCTTGGGAGCCACCATAGACGCTGCAACTATTTTGTGGAATAGAGCACAAGAGGGGGCAAATTTTAATGCTTCACAGGGCACTGCTGAAATATCAGACAGCAAGGTCCACCACTGCCAATGTCTTATAGAGTCAGGTCACTGGCAAATCTAGCTCAGTATTGGCTACTCTGGGGGTGATTGGCAGTGGCTCCACAGCAGGGATGGGGAACCTGCTGCATTCCAGATGTTGTCCTATAAATAGGAATGTGATTTCCAGCAAGTCTTCAGAAGCCAAGGCTTATGAGGAACGGTTGAAGGAAGTGGGTACGTTTAGCCTGGAAAAGAGAGTGAGAGGAGATTAGCCATCTTGAAGTATCTCAAGGGCCGTCACATGTAAGATGGAGCAAGCTTGCTTTCTCCTGTTCTGGAGGTTTAGCTGGACATTCCAACTAAACATCAAGAAGAACTTTCTTACAGTAAGAGCTGTTTGGCAGTGGAACAGCCTCTAGCAGAAGGTGGTGGACTCTCTTTGGAGGTTTTTAAGCAGAGGCTGGATGGCCACCTGTCATGGATGCTTTAGCTGAGATTCCTGCCTTGCAGGGGGTTGGACTAGATGAACCTTGGGGTCCCTTCCAACTCTACAGTTCTATGAGTCTATGAAGCATTCCTGCCTCCAACACTGGAAGCAAAGCAGAATTCGCATTGCAGCCCCCTATCCAAGGGGGGTGGGGTGGGGAGACCTCTCTTTTGACCATACTTTAGCATGTCCGATGTCACATGCGCAGAATCTTTCACATCTTCATCCACTAGACGACCCTCACAGTTAGGCGCAAAGCGCGCGCCTTGAGAAGGCCCTGGTCGGTCTTGCGCGACTTCAGGACTGCCCCCGACAAGGAAAATGCGTCTTCCTTTGGGACAAGACCCACCCCTTCCCTGGCTGAGCTCAGAGCCGGCCCCGCTCCCTGGAAGCGTCGCGTCCCCTTCCTCACCACCCACCCCCGACAGCAGGGACCTCGTGCGCATCGGGCTCCCCCAGCGGCTGCGCGTGAATGGCGGGGAAGGCGCCCAATGACTGATCCAGCATCGGGGCTGAAGGCGGGGGCTTTTCGGCAAGCCAAGCCGGGGCTGGGCAGCCGATTCCGCAGCCGGGGCTGCCGCTGCTGCTGCTACTGCTTCTCCATCGACGGGTGGAGGCGGCGGTGGCGGCGAGGAGGAAGAGGCTGCCCACTGCTCGCCCGCCTGGGTTCGCCCCGGCGCCACCTGTGATGCTGACGCTGGAGAAGCGGACGGGAGACGGCGATGCGCGCACCGGGCGCGCCTTGAGCCGACGGAGACGCCGGGCGCCTGCCGGAGGAGGTAGAGGAGGTCGGTGAGCCGCGATCGCGAGGAGGAGGAGGAGGAGGGGCTGTTTATTGTCTCCGCATCGAGGGCAGTGGGATCCTGCCGGGCAACCAACCGGGGGCCTGGCGGCAAAGGAGGCGCGATCCAGGGGCGCAGCTCTCCAGTGCGGCACCTGGCTGGCGAGAAGCGCCGCGCTTGGCGAGCCCAAGGCCCGCTCTCCTTGGAGACCTGTGGCGAGGCCGGCGGCCGCTTTGGGGCCGCTGAGCCCGGGGAGGGAAGGCGATGCTGGAGGTAGCGCAGCGTACGGGCGCCGCCGTCCAAGCCCTGGGGCGGAGGGCGTGCGCGCTCCGGGATGGACGGACAGCCGGCCTGGCTCAGCCCCATCCCCCGCTCGCCTGGCCAGATGGCCCTTGTTTTAGGCAGAGAAAGGGAAGCGGGCGGCAGCGAGACCCCTCCTCTCGTAGCGATGTCTCTCCCGCTTCCCGCAGCAGCATGGAACAGATCCTGGGCTGTGATTCGCCGTTTCAAACGAAAAAAGGGATCTCCCTGGGAATGGAGGCTTCTGCTGCTGGAAGCCTCCCATCCCTGGCATATAACCGCACCACCTAATGCGCTGCAGTTGAAAGTCAGTGGTGGGGGCACTTTGCACTTGCTCAGAGAACTAGCTGCTTCGAATCGCGTGGCAGATTGATTAAACCACCCCAAGGCATGGCGTTCGAAAGAGTGGTTTTGTGTGTGTATGGAGGGCGCGGAGGCCTGGCTGACGTCGAGGCTCGGTGGGCAAGCGCTTAGTGGCTCCCTGCTCCCATTGGCAGGAGTGGCGGGGGATCTCTTCATCCTTATGCTCGGCCTGTGCCTACCATTTCTCGATTCCAACCTCTGGGCTGATTCCTGATCCTACCTGTGTGTTCCCCATATGTAGTAATTTGTTGGTTTTTGTTTTGCCAAGAAATGCCTTCTTCACAACGTGGTGGGGCTGCTGCTGCGTTTTCAGGAGGATCAAAGAGAAGAAGCCACTTTGGCCTACAAAGGTGTTTAAAAAAACCTCTTTCCCTCACCCCACCCCAGGGCCACGTGGGCAGGGGATTATTGTGGGGTTAGATATAAGGTAAAGCTTTGACCTTAGAGGCCAGGTAGTTGTTTGTTTTAGAACGGAGGCAATTGTTCTGTCAGTTACAGTAGGGAGAGGCTGTAGAAATACAGTGGTACCTCGGGTTACATACGCTTCAGTTTACTGTACATATGCTTCAGGTTACAGACTCCGCTAACCCAGAAATAGTGCTTCAGGTTAAGAACTTTGCTTCAGGATGAGAACAGAAATTGTGCTTTGGCGGCACAGCAGCAGCAGGAGGCCCCATTAGCTAAAGTGGTGCTTCAGGTTAAGAACAGTTTCAGGTTAAGAACGGACCTCCAGAACAAATTAAGTACTTAACCCGAGGTACCACTGTACAGAATTTGGGTTTGGTGCCTGAGGCAGAAAATCCAAATTATCTCCACCACCCTTGCCATTGTTCAGGTTTGGTGCCTTCCCGTTATGATGCCATTTGCTGGTACCCCAAATTTGTTGCTTAAGGTGATCTGATCTAGCCCCAACTCATAAGAAGGCTACACTGCAATGATATCAACAGTGTTCTTACTGTAAGGCTTATTTCCTTCTCTTTGAAGTTCCACCCCCTCCCCCAAGATGCCTTACATTCTTTGGAAGGATAAATTCATGCCACTGCAAAAAATAAAAACATTATTGGAAGGGAGGGTGGGCTTTCCCCTAGTACCAGACAGACTGATGCCAGCAATAACAAGAAGTCAGCTTTTGGGTGATATAACTTAAAATGCAACCACTATTCAAAATTTGATGCTGCAATTTATGTAATTCACCCTTCTCTCCCCCCCCAAAAAAAACCCCTTTCTCTTGCTTCTTACAAAACCAATCTTTATGTATGTTTACTTGGAAGTAAGGCTAATTGTGTTCATTGAGGTTTATGTCTTGGTAAATACGTTTAGGATTACACCTGGAAACATGGAAAAATCAGTGAAAATTCATTGAGAGATGGGGGAATGCCAAATATGTGTTGGGGGGGCTTAATATAGCTGAATCAGAATTTTAAACCTGGGGCTTTTGTGTTTATCCCTTCATGGCAATCTTTCATAGTCCTTCTTGGCTTGTTTTTTTTTTTTTTTTTTAAAAAGGATGAGGATTTTGGACTATGTTGTTGCATACAGGAAAGAATCAGCTGTTTATTTAGCACTATTAGATAACAAGTGGGACTTTCAGCAAAATTTAACAGTCCCTAAGAATCTTGTTCATGTTGAGAGCTTCAACCAGCCAGAAACATGAGCCTTGTAGGCCTTTTCTGGCCTTGCAGGCCAGTCAGTGGTGGTGATTATTCCCTCCTTCCCTTAAGTGCTATCTCAGCATCTTCTTCTACTATATATTTTGAAATACATTTTGAGTTGCCTGTCTGCCTGCTTTCTATGCATTTGGATGCCTCTTGAGATATTGTTGCCAAACTTGGCATGATGTTTCCTGAGGTGGAGCAGCCATTTTTTGGTCTTATGTTTGGATACCATGGGACGCCATTTTGAACTGATATGTTCCAAACTGTTCCAATTTGGAAACCTCTGAATACATCATTCTCCCCTTTGACATGAAGGTTCCTGAGATGGAGGAGCAGGCTTTGTTTAGAACCCCCAGACACCATTTTTTGAATCAAGGATGGCACACCAGAACCTTCCAAACTACACTGATTCGGACACCTAGGAAGATATCATCATCCAGTTGGGTACTGTTAGACGCCATTTTGAATCTGAAGCCCAACCAAACTGATCCAAACTGCACTGCTTCAGACACCTAGGAAGGTATCACCAAATTTGGTGTGATAGTTTCTGAGATTAAGGATGCATAATCTCTATGTTTGGATACTGTTAGATGCCATTTTGAATCAAGATGGAGGACTGAACCGTTCCAAGCTGATTTTAACCAAATTTGGCAGGAAGCTAGTATGGCAAAGTTGAACCGGATCAGGCCAATTTGCGCAGATCCAGGTTGGGAGCAGTCAAGGGCTCTCAGCAGGTGGGGAACTGGGTGGGAAGAAGGGGAGGCAGTTTCTGCAAAGAGCAGGATGGGACATACTTGTCCCCAGCAGGGGAACACACATGTGCTGTCAAACTGAGCAGGGCTGAGCTCTTTGCTCAGCCACTGGTGCAATCCTGCTGGTTGCAGGGTTAAGCTTTGCTAGTACGTTAGCCTCAGGGAATGTGCCGGCAAAGCAGATCCCATCGGAACTGAAAAAAAGGAAGGTTGAGACCGCAGAGGTCAAACAGTGGGCAGAGGAGACCTAACCCCAGGACCAGGGGGCTGGGGGAAGAGGAGAACCGTCTACCACCCCTGTGTTGGCTCAGTGCCTGGGGTCTGTTGGTTATAGCCCCCGTGGTGATGGCTGGAGCAGAATATGATTTTTTGCAGGGGGCGATGATGAGTGAGGTGGGTCTGGCACAGGTGGGTATTTCCTACAGTGCTGTGGCAGCCATGAGCTGGGAGGTGGTGGCAGTGCCAGCAATGGCTGCTGGGGCATGAGTGGCACAGAGCTGTAGCATGTACCCAGCAAGGATGCGGGCCTGCTGCTCCCCTGCATGCTCCCAGCAGGACTGAACAACCGTCCCTCTCTCATCAACATCATCAAGGCGATGGTAGGAAGAAACAGCATCATTTCCCCCCTTCTGACCACAGGGTTTTAAAAACTCTTCAAGTAAACATGAGCCTTGCTCCCAGATTGATTCGGGGCAGGATGTGTCTGCTGGGGCAGGTGAAGGTGGCAGTGCACAGCCCTAGAAACTAACACATTACATTATTATCTATGAATATAATATCAGCATTTTTTTCATTTCCCAAGCAACACCAGGCACTTTCTACTAGTTCTTTCTTTTTTGGCTTGGAAGCTCCTTGTCAGACTGGTATTTGAAAGCTTTTTAAAATTCTTGCAATTTTTGCATTTACCATATTGGCCTGAATATAAGCCACACTCCCACCCCCCCAAATTCCGACCTTGAAATGTTAAAGTGCGGCTTATACTCGTGACCTTACGCCACAGGCAAAGCAATGTGGCTCCCCCCCCCCCCCGCAGGAAGCAGCCAGGGTATTGTTTTTCTTTACTCCCCCCATCAATTTTAAAGGTGTGGCTTATTTGCGGGTGCGGCTTATATTCAGGCCAGTACAGTAAATAGTTTGAAATACTAGGAAGGCCCCCCAAGTATGCAGAAACCACTGCCCTGTTTTTGAGTGGTCCCATTTCACTTCCATACTGAGGTCCTCTACCACTTGATTTTGCTCTTAGAGGGAATGAACGTATAATTAGTTCCTTCCATCAGTCTTCTGTTAATAATCATATTCTCTATATAACCTTTCGGTACTGAGCCCTTTAGAATTTTTATTTAGGGCACGATCCGGCCCTAATGTTAAAGATTTTAAAGGGTGCTTGCATGCCTATGCATATGTGCTTAAGAGTAAATCCCATTGAACCACGTGGCTTACTTTTAGTCAACTTAAATAGGATCGTGCTGGAATCCTTTAAAAAGCTATTAGCATGCAGGCTGCAACGAAACATTGCAGTGTTGAGTGCTCTATGCCAGTCACCCATGCTCCTTTCCAGGATATTCCATTCCCCTTTGAAAACTATCAATATTCTGTGTCTACAGTATACTGTAATGATTTCTTTTGGTACTTAATGCAAACCTTGGAGTCCCCTCCTTTGGCCTCTTCATATTCCCCTCTTGTGTGTGAATATTGCTCTTGGTTGCGTAAGCAGCAACATTTGCTTCTAAACGTCAGAAATGGGGAGCAACTATGCTTTCACTCTTTGAAGGGGGTGATTAGATTGCCACCTGCTTAGCTGCTGCATTGGACCTTACTTTCATAGTGTATTCACTGGAATCCAGCGCTGCCCTGCTAAACACACTTTTCTGTCTATAAGATGCCCCCACAGATAAGACATCCCCTATTTTGGGGGTCTCAAATTTCAGAAAATGGGGGGAGATGGCACAGAGTTGTTGAGCTTTTATGGAGGGGTTACCCAGGGTTGCTGAGCTTTTTTTAGGGGGGATTGCCAAAAATTGCAATTGCTGCCGATCGCCCACCCAATTGCCGCAGCGTCAGCCAATCAACACCAGCCATTGACGCAGCAACCAATAACACACACAATAGCTGCAAACAGCCGCAGCAGCAACCAATCAAACGTCCAGCCTATTCACTACCCATGTATAAAGGTAAAGGTAAAGGGACCCCTGACCATTAGGTCCAGTCGTGGCCGACTCTGGGGTTGCGGCGCTCATCTCGCTTTATTGGCCGAGGGAGCCGGCGTACAGCCTCCGGGTCATGTGGCCAGCATGACTAAGCCGCTTCTGGTAAACCAGAGCAGCGCACGGAAATGCCGTTTACCTTCTCGCCGGAGCGGTACCTATTTATCTACTTGCACTTTGACGTGCTTTCAAACTGCTAGGTTGGCAGGAGCAGGGACCGAGCAACGGGAGCTCACCCCGTCACAGGGATTCGAACCGCCGACCTTCTGATCGGCAAGTCCTAGGCTCTGTGGTTTAACCCACAGCGCCACCCGCGTCCCTACCCATGTATAAGACAACCCAATTTTTTCGCATAATTTTTCAATAAAATAATACAGTCTTATACACGGAAAAGTACTGTAAATTGCTAGTAAATAACATTTTATTTGGAACACAATTAGGATTGTTGTGTACATGTTCCCTTGCCTCTGCTTAAATGTCCCCCTTAGTGGGATTTTGGTGCTTAAGTTTAGGCTGGAAATTGATTGGGGTAAAATATGATAGTTTGTTCAGAGCCGTCCTGAAAGTGTCAGGGAGGGATGGGGACCTGAGCCAATTGTAGCCGCTGTCCCACCGAGTTGGATTGCCTGAGGCCTGCTGGCATGGCCTTAGCAGAGCCCCCGTTTCCCATAGGATGCCACCAGCATTTGAGGGAACAATCCTGAGCACAGGTACCTGGTGCAAGTTATGCCGGCATAAATCAAGCTGGCATAAATATGGCACATGGAGAAGCTGCCCAGGAGGCCGAGGGGGGAGGGAAATGCTGGCTGCCCAGCAGAATCGGGAGACATCCCACCAAAACACAGAGCCGCCTTGGCTGGTGTCTCCATGGGGACCGGGGCCACCTGTGGACACGCAGGGGAGCGTTCCTGAGCCAACTGGTCGGATGTGTACAAACCGCGATGCCACATGGACCTCGCAGTCACCAGGCCCAGAATGCCAATGGGTGACGTAGTGCACACAGTGTCCCTGGCAACGGCCAGACAGCCAGTGCTAGAAATCCCCCAGGTGTGTTTTGGGTCCAGTTGTAGCCATATGGAGATCTCTGGATGCCAGGCTGGTGACTGACATCTCCATCTGACTGGCACCTCTAGCTTTCTAAAGCAGGTAAGCAGATGAGCTTATGCATTGTGTTTATATTCCACATTTTCCTCCAAGGAGTCCATGGTTTGCTGCTGCCACTGCCGCCCTCTGTTAATCCCTACAACAGCTCTGTGAGGTAGGTTAAGAGGCTGTGAGTGGCCCAAGATCACCCAGTGAGCTTCATGGCCGAGTGGGGATTTGAACCCTGGTCTTCCTTTTGTTGCCTCCAGTTGCAATGCAGCCATTTGCCTGGTCTTTGCCTCCCTGTCCCTATGGGTCAATTACATCTCCTTCCCCTGGTCTCAGACGTATTATAGCATTGGGGCTCCATCAGGGTGTGCTTCCTGCTTCCACTCCTAGGGCAAACAACCACCCATGTTCCTGGGGGAACAAGAAGCAGCAGCCCAGAGAATGAAGGCAGAGCCCTAAAACTACATGAGAGCCAGTGTGGTGTAGTGGTTAAGAGCGGTAGACTCGTAATCTGGTGAACCGGGTTCGCTTCCCCACTCCTCCACATGCAGCTGCTGGGTGACCTTGGGCCAGTCACACTTCTCTCTCAGCCTCACTCACCTCACAGAGTGTTTGTTGTGGGGGAGGAAGGGAAAGGAGATTGTTAGCCACTTTGAGACTCCTTCAGGTAGTGATAAAGCGGGATATCAAATCCAAACTCCTACATGTCCTGGATGGCTGCTCCCTTGCCCCTGCTACTGATTCTCCAATCTGCTGGGCTTCTGGGAGTTGTGGTCTGGAGGCAGAGTCCAAAGCTGCTTCACAGCAGGTCCCAGTGGTGGTTTTATGCCTTTATTGCTGTAAACTGCTTTGATTTTTTTTTTTATGATATAGCAGCATACCAATATATTTATATACAAATAAAATTAAAAGGGAATGGAGCTCCTGGATATTTAATAGGTTAGTAGTACAATAGTAAATTGTAATCTTATGTTGTGGACCACCCTGAGATCTATGGGTGTAGGACTATTAATAATGATGATGATGATGTGGAAGAGGACATTTCAGCAGGGTATAGCACAGCTATTAAAACTGGAGCCCACGGTCTTTTCCACCTGGTTGGCCCACTCACCAAACTCTCATTTCCAGGATTCTCTGTGTCAGTTAAACTAGTAAAAATCTGAAGAAAGGATCTTGTGTCTGTCAGTCTGTTTGCTCCCCTCCCCTCTCTGCACGGCTGTTTTAGCACATCACAAGCCATGACTTTCTAGCTTATTCTGGTTTGCTGTGGAATGGTAACTTGCTTGTGAGGCATGCCACCTGATTGCTGCTGCTTTGCTGGCTCAGACATGGTAAATAAACCAGGAAGCCTCCATTTCCTCTTGCACCTGATCCAACGATCGTGGTTTGTTGTTGCTGCCCAACCTGAACTCACGGTTTGTTGGCTTGCTGATCATGGCTTGTTAGGGAGCAACCAACCACAACCCCCAGTTTGAATGTAAGAGGAAACCAATCCTTCCTGGTTGGTTCTCCTGCTTGCGCCGGGGAAGGAGCAATTGGGCAGCAAGCAAGAGAATGCTGTTCACTTATGGCTAACCACAATAAGCCAGGAACGTGGATTACTGAGATGTACAAATATAGTCTGTGTGTATATTATATATGCACATTCATACATAATCTTCTGTGAGTGTGTAAGCATATACATGGTACATAGATGCTTTCCCCCCCTCCCCAATGAATTGACTCCAACACAGAACAATTTTCTCATTTTTTAATAAAATGATTTCCTCATTTTTGCTTTCTTCTTCTGAAAGTAGTATTGATTGGGAACCTCTTTAGAACATGTTTTTCTCACGCCAGCATTCTTGCAATGGATTTTAAAGCTGATTCACAGTTGCGCATAGACTGTTGAGTGTCTCCTCCCTTTGTGACCGAGAACTAGCCTTGTGTGTTGAGGTGATACAGAAGCTTACTCTGCGGTGTTTGACCTGCGATGGCTCTTTGAGGCATGCAGATGGCACTTGGTGTTACAATTGCTGTGTGTGAACTTGCTCCGAAGGGGGAAGTGAGAAGGGAAGGCATTCCAGGATCTTGTAAAAGGCTGAAGGGTGGCAAAAGCAGCAAGAGAGACGATGGGGTTCAACATTTTTATTCTGGTGGTGGCAGACTCTAATTGCTAGGATTGGGCTATTCCACTGCAAAATGTGAATTCTTCAACGTTTGTTTGAGAAATGGGTGCGTAAACAAGCGAGGAGGGGCTAATGCCACAGTGGTGGGCGAATCCTAGGGAGAGCTGCTACTGCTTTCTTCAGGTCTTGCTAAGGGGCTTCTCATCGAAGCATCTGGTTGGGCACTGTGAGAACAGGATGTTGGACTAGGTGGGCCCCCTGTGGCCTAATTCAGCGGGGCTCGTCTTATGTTCACCAGTACATAACTGAGAAAAAGAGAAGATGCCACAAAATGCATTTTGCACATATTCCGAAGCACTTTTCTTTCTCATATGCCTTGGAGCTCAGCTCTGGTACGTCCTGGCTAAAAAAACTAAACCCACGGCCAAGCCAAAGGAATGAGTCGGCATCGGTGACATCAGCAGCCCATAGATCAACCTTTGCCAGCCAAGTTCCTTTTGGCTTACAGCTTCCCATGAGCCCCAGCCAGCACGGTGACAATTTGCAGCCGTTTGATAAATGTGACCTTTGCATATGGGTCCAATTGCATGGCATATGCTAGCACAGATTAGGAGATCCATTGCATTAGGTAAACAGACAAATTGGGGCAGCCACGGGCATCAAGGTTCCACTATGAGGTCCAGCTCATCCGTTCACAAAGTTGCTTGTTCACATTTATTTGTGTTAAACCACAGAGCCTACGGCTTGCTGATCAGAAGATCGGCGGTTTGAATCCCTGCGACAGGGTGAGCTCCTGTTGCTCGGTCCCAGCTCCTGCCCACCTGTCAGTTCGAAAGCACGCCAGTGCAAGTAGATAAATAGGTACCGCTCCGGCGGGAAGGTAAACAGCGTTTCCGTGTGCTGCTCTGGTTTGCCAGAAGCGGCTTAGTCATGCTGGCCACATGACTCGGAAGCTGTACCCGGCTCCCTCGGCCAATAAAGTGAGATGAGCGCCGCAACCCCAGAGTCGTCTGCGACTGGACTTAATGGTCAGGGGTCCCTTTACCTTTACCTGTCCTGCTTGCTGGGTAAAGCTTTGGAGGTTGGAGGGTTTGTGTATGTGTCGCTGAGTGAGATTGTTAATGTAGACGTGCCTTGTCCTGAGCCTTCCATTGTGGCTGTGGCAGGGATCTTGGTAGTTGCCGACAGCTTGGCTTGTGTTATTACAGTGCATCTCCAAAAGCCCTATCCATGACTGGATGCCCCCCAGCAATGAAATTGAGGTGAGGGGGCTGAGAGGAGAGAAATCCTGTCCTGCTGGCTCCTTTCCTCTTTGTGTGTCTTCGGAGGGCTTTCTGCCATCCCAGCTTTGTCTCGCTCCAGCTGGCTCTCTGTGGTGAACACCCCTTGGGGGTACCTTGGGACGCTTGCTATTGTCTTAGTCCCTTGCCCTTTGCAAAACACCCAACTCTTTGCTTGCCTGCTCTGTTTAAATCAGCCCACTCGGCACCTGCCCCCCTTCCCCACTGCTTGTAGCCAGCTGGCCTGGCCTGGCAGGGGGAGGGGAGAAAGGGTGGCTTGTAATACAGGCATAAGGAAGCTTTCTCCTCCACCCCCCCCTTGAATGTAGGGGAAGGGAAAGGATTCGTTCCCATTGGCAAATGGATCAGGGTTGCAGTGGCAAAACCACTTAGCCACCTGTAGGAGCTGATACCTCTGCGAATAGGGCTTTTAGCTCTTTCTCCTCATCTCCGAGAGGGTGAGGATTTTTATGTGCCTTCTTGGAAGTCTGGATTTTTACCTGTGGCTCTTTTAGATCTGTACCTCTACAGTTACTGGTCTCTCTGTGTGTAGATGTGGATTGGTGCCCCATATGTAAGTCTGAGGACATGCACTCTTATATACCCTCTGTCCAGGATGCTACGGGTTGTGTTCAGCAGAGCCCTGCCCATTGAAATGAGTCCTGTCCAATAACTTCAGTGGGTCTACTCTGAGGAGGACTGGCGTGGAATGCCATCCTCTGTGTGTTTGAGTATACAAACGCGGGTGGCGCTGTGGTCGAAACCACTGAGCCTTTGGGGCTTGCCGATCGGAAGGTCAGTGGTTTGACTCCCCACGGCAGAGCGAGCTCCCGTTGCTCTGTCCCAGCCAGGGGTGTAGGAAGAGGGGGGCAGACCGCCCCGGGTGCCCTCACTGAGGGGGGTGACATTCGGTGCGCCATCCGCTTGTGACTCCTAAGCCTATCCCAAACCGTTGGGGTATGGGGGGAGCTGCGCTGCTTTGCCGGCAGCATTTTCCCCCTTTCCCCCTTTGTTTTGACAGCTTGGGGGGAGGGTTGGGAATCGTGGGTGGGCAGCACATTGAATGTCCGCCATGGGCGGCTCGCTCCGCCCCTGTGAGTGGCTCGCTCTGCCCCCGGCTGCAGGGCGCATTCGTTGCTCCGGGCACCCGAGCAGCTATCCTGCACCTGGTCCCAGCTCCTGACAACCTAGCAGTTCAAAAGCACGCCAGTGCAAGTACATAAATAGGTACCGCTGTGGTGGGAAGGTAATTGCGTTTCTGTGCACTCTGGTTTCCATCATGGTGTTCCATTGTGCCAGAAGCAGTTTAGTCCTGCTGGCCACATGACCCAGAAAGTGGAAAAATGCCGGCTCCCTCGGCTTGAAAGTGAGATGAGTGCCGCAACCCCATACTTGCCTTTGACTGGACGTAACTGTCCAGGGGTCCTTTACCTTTCAAATCTGTGCCTGCCCTAGATCTTAGGGGTCTCCTGGGGAACAGGAAGATGCCTTACCTGAGTCCGATCATTGGTCCATCTAGCTTAGGAGAGTCGTGCCTCAGGGGTTGAGCACATGCATTGAATGCAGAAGGTCCCTGGCAGTGCTTTTTTCCAAGAAAAATAGAGGCCGGAATCCACCATTAAATTCTTACAGTGACTTGCTGGGCAATTCGGAGCAGCCCCAAACAGATGCCAGTTTGACAACAGCTGCATTCACTGCCCGTAGAGGTGCTAAAATCTACAGCAAGCTGCCTCACTAGCTGTTTGGGGGTGGTGGTCATCCCTGGTTCTGGTGCAGGTAAAATAAATGCGCCCATGCCTCCCTCATTCTCTTAGATTCAGGCGGGCAGCTCAGAAGGGCCCTCGCACAAACACGCACACGTGCAACAGGAAAGGCCTGGCTGCAAAGTTTGAAGCTGGCCACTGCTACACGGGAGACTGATTGAAGAAAAGGAAATACAAATTGGACCTGCCCTGTAGCTTCAGCAGTTGTACCTAGGAGTAGCTAGGAGCTGGGTGGAGCCATTGATGATGATGATGATTTTATTTATTTATTTATTTATTTATTTATTTATACCCTGCCCATCTGGCTGAGTTTCCCCAGCCACTCTGGGCAGCTTCCAATTGAGTGTTAAAAACAATACAGCATTAAATATTAAAAACTTCCCTAAACAGGGCTGCCTTCAGATGTCTTTTAAAGAGAAGATAGCTGCTTATTTCCTTCACATCTGAAGGGAGGGCGTTCCACAGGGCGGGCGCCACTACCGAGAAGGCCCTCTGTCTGCTTCTCTGTAACCTCACTTCTTGCAATGAGGGAACTGCCAGAAGGCCCTCGGTGCTGGACCTCAGTGTCCGGGCAGAACGATGGGGGTGGAGACGCTCCTTCAAGTATACTGGACCGAGGCCGTTTAGGGCTTTAACAGTCAGCACCAACACTTTGAATTGTGGTCAGAAACATATTGGGAGCCAATGTAGATCTAATAAAAAATACAGATTTGCACATGCTGGCCAACTTCTGTTTTGGCTTGAAATGTTTGTTTTGGGCTTCTCAGAAGTAGGTTAAGGCAAGCATGTAAAGGAAGTGCTGGCTGGCAATGGCACCCACCTGAGAGGCGCCGGAACTGCGCTCTGGTGTGCTCTGGCTGGAAAAAAAAAAAGCACTGGTCCCTGGTTCAATCCTTGGTATCTGCAAGGAGGACAGGGAAAGCCTTCCTGTCTAAAACTTTGAAGAAGATTGAAACCAGCTCGTTTAGACAATATAGATGGGTCAACAGTCTGAATTGGTATAAAGCAGCTTCCTGTTTTCTTATAACACCGGCAGCATCTCTCCAGGGTTTCACGCAGGATATGCCGAGGACTGGGTCTGGGACAGTTTGTATGCAGGGCAAGTGCTCAGCTGCCAAAAGGAAAGTTTCCAGTCCTCATGATTCTAAATAAAGGGCTGATTTAAACTGGGACATAGGAAGATGCTTCCTACCAGGTTAGACAACTTGATCCTTCTAGTTCAGCATTGTTCTCATTGATTGGCAGTGGTTCTCCATGGTGTTGTGAGGAGGAGGAGCAGCAGCAGCAGCAAAAGTCAACAGCGAGACCCTTGCTGGGCTGTGGACCTCAGCAGATGCCAGCGATGCTGAGCTGATTGTGAATCTAGTGATCTCTTGGTGACTTTGCATTTCCAGGATCTCAAGTGTGTGTGTGTGTGTGAGAGAGAGAGAGAGACAAACAGACAGACAGACAGACAGACAGACAGACAGACAGAGTGATGGAGAAAGAAGCACTTGTTATGTGCATGCAGATCTTAGTATGTGCAGCTGCACGCGTCACCCTTCCTCAGTGCATGGACTTGCTCTGTGCATTGTGGGTCATGTGAATGAGAATTGCTTGAGAGAACCTCTTCCCCACAAAGTGCACCCAACTTCAGAACTTCATTGCTTGATTTAATATGTGAATACTCAAGGCAGCAATAGACCAATTCCTCCAACCCAATACAAGTCTACTTGGCTCTTTTAGGTATATTGCATTAGGTTTCTTTCCTGAGTCTGTGCTGCAACCAAGTATTGTGAATCTGCTTAGAATGTGCTGATGGCATTAAACTCTCTGGGGAAGTGAGAGGAGGGAGAGAGAAAGGATGCTGGGAAGGAAGGGGGACAGATGTTTTTGAGTTCTGAATGCGGTACGGTTTTATTCTGTATATATTCTGTGCGTGTGCTGAAACTCAGTAAAAATTATATTTTTTAAAAAAACAGATCTGCTTGTCTCCCATTGCGACACTCTTTGCGGCCACCACCCTCAAGCACACCATCTGAGGTGGCCACCTCAGTTAGCCCCATGGTTAGGGGGTATCTCTGTCTGTGGGGCGCTCCATATAACAGCCTTCGCTGCTGGTACCCTCCTGATGTTTTCGACTACAGCTGCCATCAATCCCAGCCAGCACAGCTATTGGCAAAGGCTGCATTTTGGGCAGAAGAAAAGCACACACACCCCATCACTGATGCCCGTTCTGGGCCTAGAAAACACTCTGGCGCTGAGTGGCTTTAGAAAGCCATCTTCATCCTCACCCTCTTATGACCAAGAGTTGAAGTGTTCCATGGCATTGTAGGTAGAGAGAGAAAAGGAAACAGAGTATGTCCCAGAGTCCCTACAAACCTCAGGAACAGGGGGACACCTTTGTGGCAGGGGGTCTAACACAAGCGTCCTGTCTCTCTCCCCCCCCCCACCGCAACTCCTAAAAAATCCTGGAGTTGGTCCTGGCATCACCTTTGAAGGAAGAAAATGGTTGGGAGATGCACAGCTGTTGAGCTTGAGAATAAGCAAGACCATGTCTGTATCAGCAACCACCCTCTCTACACTGCACTAGCAGTATTTGAGCATGGGAACACTTTTTTGTAGTCTTCATTTTTGCCGTTTTCATAATAGTTACAAAAGTACAAATGAACACAAGGTCACTTCTCCAGTTCCCCCTTTCCCTCCTAGTGATTCCATGTTATACGAGATCCATATAAGTGTGTATTGGATCATGACCAGTTGTAATCGTTGAATATCGTCGTTCTCATTTTAGCATCTTGCTCCAGAGAGTACTGTGAGTTGCTGGTGGTTTTGTCGTTGTGTCAACTTTCCTAATGTATGAAATAAACATATACCACGTTTCCTCAAAACAACCTTTTGACATTTGCATATTTTTTTTAGAGTGTTAAGCTGCTTTGGCACTTTTTCCACGAGAGCAGTGTTCATACCTTTTTCCAGCCAAACCTCCAGTGTTAAATTTGCTGTTTCCTAAAACTGAGCTAGAACTTGCTTAGCTGCTGTCACAAAGAGGAGTAATAAGTCTTTAAACATGAGTTCTTTTAAATAATCAAGAAACAAGTTTAACAATGCAGTTTTGGGGTCACAAGATACTTCCTGGCCTGTAATGAGACTTGCTCATAATTAGCTTCCTAAAAAATTGAACCTTTCTTGTGACTCCATTAACTAGGATTGTAAGACCCCATTTGTAGACAGCCTCTAAAAGAGGCTTGATTGAGGACTTGTTCTCACATTTTATGAGTCCATAATGCTACCTGTGTTAAAAAATTAATACTATTTTCTCCTGTGTTTGCTGACACTGAGTTGAATAGCCATTTCCTCTGATTATTTTTTTTTGCCAGTCCTACATTTCTGTGTTGCAATCCAGGTCTCTTTGCCATATTGATTTTAAGGAGCTAAGGCCACTTGTCATTGAATCACATAGGAGCTTATGTATGTTTGATAGCAGTTCCTGAGAACAGTATTTAGGATTTGCTTCGGTTCACCCTGGTGGCTTCAGATAAAATTGTAGAATTGGGCATAAAATTGTAGTCTGCGTTTCCTAACTTTCCTTTTAGTTGCATACTTGTGAGAGAGGTGCCATATCTTTATATAAATTCCTGACTGTTCCTAGACCTTTCTGTTTCCAGCCTTTAAACGGCTATTCCCTAGTTTAAGTTACAAATATTTTTTTCTAAAACAAATGGGACAGTGACAAAAGGGAATAAGAATTGGTGAAATGGCTGGTGCGAGATTTTTGGTTCAGATTTGTAAATTAGCAAGTGTTCAGTATGTTTGGGGGAACAATTAGGTGGTGTGTCAGGAATAGAAGTGCTGCTGCACGTTTTTTAAATTAAAAGCGTCTCGTTCCAAGGAAATCCAAGTGGGTTGTAACAAGTGTTAACATTATTTATAGTGGGCCGAAGTTATTGTGCTGCATCATGGCACCATGTTAAATTCGATACTCTCAAGTGTTCCTGAGGTACTCTATTTATTTAGGACAAAGTGTGACTTTAGATTGATGCTATAAAATGTAATTGTTATGAGGGGGGAGAGACTGATGTACATCATTTCCCTTAAAAAATAATAATAATTGATTTCCATTCCCAACACTCTGTAATTTCCTCAACAGCAGTTGGTAAAGAGGTTTTAGGATTCCATACCCTTAACGTTTATCTGATGAAAATAGGGACGTCCTAGGGAAAAGCGGGACGTTCCAGGATCAAATCAGAAACCAGGACGGCTTCTGTAAATCTGGGACTGTCCCTGGAAAATAGGATTGACCAGGAATTGACCAGAAAGGCTACATTGTCTACAAAGAGGTTTGTTTTATGTGCCGGTGTAGCAGACTTTATTTCCTGTACTGAGCCATTTTACCATTTTTTAATTAGCTATTGGTACCATGGCGCTGTGGTCTAAACCACTGAGCCTCTTGGGCTTCCTAATCAGAAGGTTGGCGGTTCGAATCCCCGTGACAGGGTGAGCTCCCGTTGCTCGGTCCCAGCTCCTGCCAACCTAGCAGTTTGAAAGCACGCCAAAAAAGTGCAAGTAGATAAATAGGTACCGCTCCGGCGGGAAGGTGAACGGCGTTTCCGTGAGCTGCTCTGGTTTCGCCAGAAGCAGCTTAGTCATGCTGGCCACATGACCCAGAAGCTGTATGCCGGCTCCCTTGGCCAGTAAAGCGAGATGAGCGCCACAACCCCAGAGTCGGTCATGACTGGACTTAACTGTCAGGGGTCCTGTACCTTTACCTTTTTACCATGGCGAGAAAGAAAAGCAGTGGTGAAAAGGGGGCAGCCCTGTTTCATGCCCCCCCCCCGGAACCAAGGTGTGTCCCATCCATTTAACCTAACCTTAGCTTGGCCTAGCCGTGTTTTCAGACCATTAATGCATTTTCCCCAGCAAGGTGTACAAGAAATCCCAGCTCAACTTGTCAAACACCTTGGTGGAATCCGATGAAGCAATAGAGATTGGTTCTTCATTCTTTTGGTGTTATGAACTATATCAGCCATATAATTGGGTCAGCTATGTATTTGTGTCTAATAAGGCATATTCGGTCTTTATCTATTATCAAAGGTGTTAATAATGCTAATCTACCTGCTAAAATATTGCTAAAGATTTTAGCATCTTGGTTTATGAGAGCTATGAGCCTGCATTAGTCTTCTTGGATAGGAAATTTCCCAAGGTTTCTTCCATGCAGTAAGGATTGGGTCTCCTTGCAGTATAGAACTGAATAATTTTAGTCTAGGGCTCAGTTACTCTTTAAATGTTTTATAGAACTGGATTATAAAACCTGGATTTATAGAACTGGATTATAAAGCTTTAATTTTGTTGAGGCTTTCGTAGTATCTCCATTCAATATTGGTTCTGTTAAATACTTTCGTTGATTCCTTTCTAGAGCATTTAGTTTCGCTTCATTTAAATACTTGTTCGTTTGCATAATATCTGCTGTTCTGATCTGAATATCTGATTGAACATCTAATCTGAAAGGAATGCTTGTAATTTTTCTCCCACTGTCTCTGTTCAGTATTGTTGCTCTCCATCGTGTCCTTGTGAACTTGTTGAAAAGCTAGAATTTTTATCAGTGTCCTCATAGAATTTTTGGTTAGTATATTGCCTTGCATATGCTATCTTCCTAATTTCTAAACTTGGCAATTCTGTTCTTTTGTAATAATGTCCTGCATATTTTTTATTGTTGTTGCCTGATTGTTTGTGGGTGTCTTCAGGTTTCTTTATTTCTGTTTGGAGACTAAATTTTGATGCCTCTCTTGACCTTTTAAGATGTGCATATTTAATTCTAATATGGCCTCTCTTACCACATTCACTTAGTCCTCCATTAAGACTTCATTCAGAAATTAAATTCTAATATGGCCTCTCTTACTACATTCACTGAGTCCTCCACTAAGACTTCATTCAGAAATTAAATTCAAATACTGTATGGCCTCTTACCGCACTCACTGAGGGGAGGCCCTAAGACTTCATTCAGAAAGGTCTCCAGTGTCATTGATTAAGAAAGAATAAAATCTTTAAGTTCTTCCTTCAATTTATCGACTATGTGTTAAGTAGTGGATTCAGGTTTAGCTTCTGTGTTCTGATTTTTGGAGGATAGTCCATTATATGTACGGTAGTGAAAACAGAAGCATGGTCCAAAGGACCTGGAGAGTTTACTGGTTTATAACAGTTGCATCAGCTAGACTTTCTGAGTTTAAACTATAAACTGTATGAGTAGCATGTTATTATAATGTGTGTATGGGGGGGGGATAGTAATCTCGATTACTATTTTGTTTTCCCCCCATGGACTGCTTCAAAATCACTGAGAGTCTTGTGGGACCCCTAAATATATTTTCCTGCCTTTTGTAGCAATTGCAGTGCACCGTTGCTAGATGAGGGTATGGATTTTTCCTCAGGGTTTACTCCCGAAGCTTTTCTCACAAGGCAGTGGAGGTTGGATCAGAGTTTTCCTTCTCCTGGATGGGCTGCCTTCTTAGGTTGACGAGAACCCCATGAAAGCAAGTATGACACAGATGTACTTTTAACCAAAATTTAGCAAGGTTCTGCTGCATGCACACTACTGCAATGAAGAACATAAGGGCAATGGCAGCAGCAACGACAGAACAGAAGTACCCACAATTCTTATGTCCCTTGTAAACATACAAGGACGCTTTACCATTATTTCAACAGAATTTAATAATTTTTGCATTACATCTTACTGACCAAGAGAAAATACTTTAACTCTCCAGTTCAGAGGACGACATAAAAACGCTTCCTTTCAGCTTGGGTTTCAAACAAAATGGCTTCCTCGGGTTGCCATTGTTTTTGCCGTTTCTCCGTTTTTCTTTCTTGTTTTTCTTTGGTTTCTTCTGCCAGCTGTATAGATGGTTCTGTGCTTTCTCTGGATCATTCTGGTCATTATTTCCAGTTCTGCCTCTTCATCCTGGCCCTAGGCTGTAAGCATTTTCTTAGCTCCCTCATCATGAGTAGTAGCAGTTGGCATGGTTCCTTCTTTGATTACTGCCGGTTTAAAAAGGAAAAACAAATGGTATTGAATATCCACGTTTCATAGTTTTTCAGTACAGTATATATTTTTTGAACTCGAGCCTTTTTTGTAGGGTTTCATTACTCAAGTCCTGAAAGAGACTTTTTTATTTTTCATTTGGTTTTCCCATGTAAGGTGAAGAACTGTGTTAAATCTTCTTTTACTTGGAAGTAATGAAATGGAATTATAATGGCCTTTGCCTGAGGAATGCGATCAATATCCTTGCTTTCCAGCTGAAGCTCAGTGAAAGTCTCATTAGCCCAGGTTATAAAAATGGAGGGGGAGGTCCTGGCTTCCTGCAGATTTGGGCAACCCTCTCGCCCTCGGATTATTTCACCCGCTGCGATTCTCCCAGTTGTCCATTGTCTGGTTTTGGATTTCTGGGCTTACTTTTTCCAGTCCTGCAATGGCAGTTTTTGCTTTAGGCCAAGATTAAGGGTCACTCCTGCAGTTTAAATACCCCCCCCAACTCGATCTTGACCTTCAGGAAGTTACGAGGGTCGCTCATTAAAGATTTCTCCTGACCTACTTCCTGTTATCGTAGGGGGATGAAATTGCACATGTATAATGATACATCTCTCCATAGGTAACGTGGTAATTTGTAGCTCTGAACTCCTAACAGTTTCTCTGTTACTGGTGCTAACGTGGAGTAATGTCTGATAATGGAACCAGTTGAAGCAGAGTGGTCATCAGGTTCCTGTACTTGAAAGGGCACACACCACGGGAGACGTTCAGTGAGATGAAAGGGACTTATCGGGAAGATGCCCCATTGTATGACGTAGTCAAGCACTGGCATCGTCAGTTCAAGTGTGGTCAGACTTCGGTGGAACGGCTCCCATTCCTGGGCAACCACAGTTGGTCATTGATGAATGACACCATCTGGCAAGTTGAGGCCGCCATTTTGGAGGATCGCCATGTAACCATTCGCCAACTAGCTGCAGATGTCAAGATCAGTGTGGGCACTGTAGTAAAAATCACCCATGACCATTCACACATGGGAAAGGTGTCTGCACGGTGGGTTCCTCGATGCTGATGCCTTTCCAGAAGCAGGAACAAGTCACATGCCCACAGGCTCTTTTGGTCATGCGTCACGAAAACCATGATGACTTCTTCGCCAGACTAATTACTCAGGACGAAACATGGGTCCATCATTATGACCCAGAGACTAAATCCCAGTCCAAACAATGGAAGCACTCTGCCTCACCACTTCCAAAGAAGGCATGTGTCCAACCGTTAGCGGGCAAGGTCATGCTCACGGTCTTTTGGGACCAGCGTGGAGTAGTGGTGATGGATTTCCTGGCAAAGGGTACCACAATTACTGGGCCGTACTACGCTTCACTGCTCTAGAAATTGCAGAAGGCCATCAAAATCGAGAGGTGTGGTATGCTGACCAAAGGTGTCTGCCTCCTGCAGGATAATGCCTTGATTCACAACTCACACGTTGCTCCAATGGAAGCACGGTCCTGTGACTATGAAATCCTTCCTCATCCTCCTTATTCTCCTGACCTCACACCACTGGACTTCCACCTCTTTCCAACCAAGAAGTTTTATTGAAGTGCAAGCTTTTTCCAGACAATGAAATGCTGATTTCTGAGGTCAAGTTGTGGCTTCTTAGGCAACCTGCCGACTTCTACAGATGAGGTCTCCACAGCTGCATAAAGCGATGGGAGAAGTGTGTGACTCTTGCTGGTAGCTATGTAAAGGTAAAGGTAAAAGGACCCTTGACCATTAGGTCCAGTCGTGACCAGCTCTGGGGTTGCTCATCTCGCTTTATTGGCCGAGGGAGCCGGCGTACAGCTTCCAGGTCATGTGGCCAGCATGACTAAGTCGCTTCTGGCGAACAAGAGCAGCGGACAGAAACGCTGTTTACCTTCCCGCTGGAGCGGTACCTATTTATCTACTTGCACTTTGATGTGCTTTCAAACTGCTAGGTTGGCAGGAGCTGGGACCAAGCAATGGGAGCTCACCCCGTTGCGGGGATTTGAACTGCCGACCTTCTGATCAGCAAGTCTTGGCTCTGTGGTATAACCCACAGCGCCACCTGCGTCCCTATGGACGCAGAGATGTAAAAATGGACTAGTAACTGCCCAGTTTCGTTTGTCTCAGTCCATGGGGAAGTATGTCAGGGGGAATCTTTCATCAATGCTCCTCGTATCTATAGCTAGCCATTCTTCCCTAAAGTCTTTTCTGAACTGCCACAGTCGTTCAAACATTTGCGCCATGTCTTCCTTGGGAATATGGGCTGACACGTGCCACGACGAGCCCATCTTAGTATTCCTTCAGGCCTAGATTTGTGGTGTTGTGTCCCTATGGCACAAAATAGGCTGTTAACCATTTCCCCTTACCTCAAGTGAGGTTTTGAATCTTTGCCTTTCCAGGTGTTCTGAGGTTGAGTGCTATTTCCCCTCTTTTGGGAGGTGATATTCAGGAATTTTTTGGCAATGGAGAGCTGGACACTCCTGACAAGGGTTTACACTTTGATTTGGTGTTCTCTTTTGCATTAAAAGTTGTATATATGACGTTGTGGGGAAGGATTTCATTTTATGTACGCCAGCAGCACCGTTCAAATTGGGTTTGTTTTTGGAGGTTGCTGGAGTGGGGAGCGCAAACGATTGCAGAGTTCACACTTGCGGTGCGAACATGTCCTGCTTTCTTGGCTCATGTGCCTGTTGAGGCCCCTTCTGCTGTTGGCTCTCAATCCAATCAGTGTCTGGATTAAGTCTTCATGGTATTAGCAGTGCAAGGAGAAGGGTTTTTCAGGGTGATGGGGGGGGCAGCAATGAAGAATATTGGCAGAAATCCCCGTATTTGTTTGGACACAGCTAATAAATCCCGCTCTGCTGGGGTGGCGACATATGTGCTGCTTGTAGCTTTTATGCAAAATATCAAATGAGGCTTCAATTAGTGCACAGTTTCTGCAAAAAGGAGTGCTGGAACTTAAGCCTTCCTTTGAAAGCCGTACGCTTTGGCCTGGTAACTTTGCTCCCCCTAAAGTGCTCACTAAGTGTTGATGGTGGACACTCTGCACATGTTCAGGAGACTCTCTCCCCTGCTGTGTTCCAGACCTTGAAAAAGAAGCTCTGGGCTGGCACTCAGGAGCCTGCCCCCAGAAAAAAAACTAAAAAAGCCTACTTTGGAGGGGGGCAGGTGTTGCTGTGAGAGGAACCCCCCACATTTTAAAAGCAAGGTGTGCATTGCGAGCCCTAAGTTAAATAAAGGTTTTCCATTCTATATAGAATCTGACTGCCTGTGAAATCAAAATCCCTATTTTTTATTATTTGTTTTAACAAACGAAAGAATTCTAGTCCTCATTGTTGTTGGGTGGGGAGGAGTCCTTTTTATTGTTGTTGAAAAAACACAGGCAGTGTACAGGTCCATAGCTGGAGTCCTTAAGAGTATAAGCTCCCTTTGGCAGTCCAAAGCTAAGAATAAACTAGTCAATTGGCCCACGTAATCTGCGGATTAGCCACTCTGATGCTCCTAGGTTTGGTGTTGGGATGGTTCTGATAGCCAGGGCACAATAGCAGCTGGTATCGGGAAATCTCATTTCTTATTGCCAGAGGTGTGGAAGGTTACATTAATGTTTTCCTCCCCCCTCCCCCCTCCCAATAAGGCAGCTAGCTAAACCTGAAATCCAGGGAAGGCATCACAAGCCAATTGCTTTGTGGTAATTCTGGAAAGAGTAATTGTTGATCAGGTAATATAAGCAAAGAAATTGGTATTTAAACTTTTGAACACATTTGCTGATTTCCTGTCTCCGCTTCTCCCACTCTGAATTTTCCTCCCCAAATCCTCAGTGTAAAATGCAAAATTGGATGCTTTGACTGTTGGCTAGCTTTCTCTCTTGCCCTCTGAAGGTTTCTTTTTTTTTGCGGGGTGGATGGGGAGCAGTCAAACTGGACCTGCAGTCGGAGTCTAGAGGGCGGGAACAGTTTGGAAAAGGGAAGTCCTTGCCTCCTTTTTTAAAGCCCTTAGCGATAAAATCTCATTGTGAACATGCTAAAAATGTACCGGAACACTTTTTTAAAAAATAAATAAAAAGCATTTATTTATTTATTTAAAAAATCTACTTTGTGAATTAGCTGGAACATGTGAAGTGGGAAGGAGGAAATCAGATTTGTGCATGTGTGTTTAGGTAATGGATCATGGACTTAATCCTTAAACTGAAAAGCCTGCCTAAGCGTGTTGTCAGAAGCAGGCTGCTCCTGAACTAAAAAATGTGTGCTGAGGGAAGGGACTGCTTGGGGTTGAGGGGGGTGGAGGAAAGGAATTCTGCACATGCTCAGAGGTAGCTTTCTTATTTATTTATTTTTTTTAAAAAAATATTTTTAAACTGCCCTTCATCAATACAGTTCCTAAGATGTTATTCACACTCCAGGATTTAGCCTAGCTACTGATAACAAGACTCCAGGGACTTGGACCCTGGTTGAGGCCTTGGAACAAATGGATTTTTAAAATGTGGCGTATTTGAGTCTGGGTTATCAGCTGCACTGTTTTAAGATTTCTAATAAGTCAGCTCATTGGTCTTTCTTGCTCAGCATCTCCCTAGAGCTTGAGGCGAAGGGCTGTAGCCAATGATAATTCTATTTGACTAATTTAGGCCTATTGATTTCAGTGGGTCTGCTCTGAGTAGAACTTAGTTGGCCACAACCCCAGGTGGTTTCTTCCTCTGCCCTACCTGGAGATACCAGGGATAGAACCTGGGGTCATCTTTCAGGCAAAGAGCTTACTTTTAGGCACCCTTGAACCCTAAACATCATCCTGTTTTTGCAGGATAGTTTTGACCGTCACTGTGTCTTAGGGGAGGGAATGTTGCAGTTTAAACTCTGTGTGTGAAGAACTACCGTATTTTTCACTCTATAAGACGCACCAGACCATAAGGCGCACCTAGTTCTTGGAGGAGGAAAACAAGAAAAAAAATATTCTGAATCTCAGAAGCCAGAACAACAAGAGGGATCGCTGCGCAGCGAAAGCAGCGATCCCTCTTGCTGTTCTGGCTTCTGGGATAGCTGCGCAGCCTGCATTCACTCCATAAGATGCATACACATTTCCCCTTACTTTTTAGGAGGGAAAAAGTGAGTCTTATAGACCAAAAACACGGTACCTTCTGTTGTCCCGAATCTTTCGCTATTTAGCTTCATGGGATGTCGCCAAATTCTAGTATTGCAATAAATTCAGTAAATGTTCTCTGCAACAGGGCAGGGTTCTGTCTACATGCAAAATGGGAAGATAGCAAATGGTTTTGTAAATACTTGTGGGCATGTCTGCGTTTTCGTACCAGGTCTTTGTGCAAAGGCTGCATTTTCATCGCAGCTTAAAACTTTCCTCCGGACTCCCTGGCGGCAGTTTCGGGCCTCAGCTGTACATTTGCCGCCTGTCACTTTTCCAAAAGGCTGCATCTGCCGTCTGTTCTGTGTCTGTTCTGTTTCTTTCTTGCCTGGAGCAGAGGTGGCGGGCACATGAGCCCCCAGAAGATAAGAAGGCAGGGCAAGCCAAGTGACCTGGTTTGGCTGCTTGACCCGGATTTGGCACCACAACTGCCACAGGGAGTCTGAGTCATCAGGGCTGTGACCCAGATCTCCATTTTCCGGAGGGGTGGACACTGCTTGTTGGTTTGCTGACTGGCAGCCCCAGTGTATCCTTTGCAGCCAAACCTTCCAATTGTCAGCTATTTCTGGGGAAGGAAGGTGCTGGCTCTGTTGGTGTGGCAATGGGTGTTTTGTTTTTTAGGCAACATGGTTATTTCATTAGGCAGTTGCAAAGGATGTATGCAAGGTTTTGATTAATTGGAACTCATCTTCAAGTTGGTTGGTTGGTTGAGCAATGAAACCAAACCTGGAAGAGGCAGCAGGAGAATGAAAAAATTATGGGGCTGATGGAAACCCTGGTCTGCAGTTTGTAGTAGCTATAAGAAGGAAGGAAGAGTGGTTGGTAGATCTTGGGACTCAAATAAAAAGATCTGATAAATCCATGCCCTCTACCCTGCCCTGCCCTCTGGGTATTTTATTCCTATCTACATTTTATTGTTTTTTGGGAGATTAAGATTGAGATTAAGAGTCTCGTGCTTTACCAACCGAGTTATCCCAGGTCTATTGCTGAGCTTTGCCAAAGCAGATTTGAGTCAGGGTTTGGGGTAAGGGTAAAGATCTGTTGGCATTTTAAATGCAGAAGATACCAAACAGAATCAAATTTATCGTGGCAGAGCCAGCCGTGTACAACCGTACTGTGCCGTGTTGGTTTCTCTGATATCAAGCCATGTCCTGCCACCTCTCTGTGGAGAGACCACCTGCAATTTCCTATTGGGATGCTCTCTCCCTCCGAGCAGCAGCAACAACAGCATCAGTTATTAGCACTGCCGGATTATCTGTGATACTTCAAATAGCGAAAGCAGAATCAGGGGAATCTATTTGTCTTGTGATTGCTTCCCAGAAGCAGCTTCCCAGAACAGCTGAACCCAGATCAGACTCTGGGCTCACTCAAACTTCCATTTGCCCAGCCACTTTCTCCTGGGGAAACCTGCAGTTTAATGCTGGGTTTTCCATGGACTGCTGTTTGTTCCAATTTATCACGAAAGAGCGGGTTTTCTGGGGGGGAAACAGCAGGTCAAAGGGAAGAACTGCTCAGACCCTTGCCTAGAAAGCAGAAAATCGTTCTGACTGTGCTTTCTAGGCATGGGACAACTGGAAGTGTACCTGAGCCCTCCTCCCATCATTTATGTAAAAAGGCACCCTGCCCTGTTAAGTCTTGCTTGCAGCCTTGCTTACCATCGCCTGTGGGCCCTGCCCAGCTGCAGGGAGGAAGCTACTCCTCATACAATGCAAGATATGATGCTGCTTAATCTACTTGTAATATTTTAATGGCTCTCTTCCTCTTACATGCCTCTTGTGTACCGGTATATAACGGCTGCCTTCCTGGTATGTGTGCACAGACTCTTTGTTTTCTCTGCTCCCAGTGTGCTTCCACTGCTGGTTTGGGAAGCAGCGGACCCAGGGTGTTAGCGACAATCCATATTTATCCTGCTGTTTTTTAATGGAATACTTGCAGTTTGATGCATTTCCACCCCAAATGAGATTAGATCCAAACTGAGAAAAGGAACCTAGCTGCGTTTAAGCTCACAGTGTCTACACAGCCTATTTGTCTCTGTTTATAATCAATATATTCTGCAAATCTGCAGCTAAATATTTGGTTGGATCAGTTCAGGACGGGTGAATTTTAGAGCAGGAAGGGCCCTGTTTGCTCCACCATTTGTGTGACAGCCCTTCAGATATTTGATGACATCTATCGCCTACCCCTAGGCCTAATCTTCTCTTCCCCAGGCTAAACGTACCAATACATTTTAACTATTAGGGCCATATTTTCAGACTACTTGCCATACATGTCATCATCCTCTGGACACACTCTTGTTTGTGGTGGTCCTCCTTCAGATGTGCTAACAAGAACTGGACACAGTACTCCAATATGAAATTTACTTTCTTACACAGCAACGTTATCTCCTTGGTTTCCTGACCTCCATTCTCTTAAGCTCTAAGGCTGCAGTCCTATACACACTTACATGGGAGTAAGTTCTATTGAACTCAGTAGGACTTACTTCTGAGTAGACAGACCTGACTTCTCTTTTCCTGCCCCCAAAACAAATCCTTTCACTTGGCCACACAGAAGCAATGCTGTTTGTTAACATTCTTTTGCTGACATCTTCCCCATGAAGACTTACAATGTTTGTGGATGTTCTGTGACATCCACCATTCAGCGAGTGAAGGAAGGGGCTTGCAGACAACAACTGTTGTGAAGCAAACGATTTTGGGCATTGTACATAATGTGTTTAAAGTGCGTTGTTGCCTACTTCCGGGCCTTGAGAATGGTGCGGGTTAATAATCAAGTAAAGAGGCTACACATTTCTCCTCTCGTGTGTTTGTGTGTTACAGGTCCTTGTCTAAAGAACAAGCTCTTGAGCAGACACGCAGCCGTGGGGAGCTGAATACTCGGACAGCGTGGCATTCAGATTGGCAGAACCAGGCTGACTTTCTGTGTAAGTGGGGTCTGGCAGCTGTGCCTTAGACTTGGATGAGGTGGATACGAAACAATGCTTTCCTTTTATTAAAGAATTATTACAACAGCCCTGCAGGGTGGGGCAGGCCAGGAGCGAAAATGGCTCACTCATCATTGCTGCGTGTGTGGCTGGGCAGGGTCATAGCACAATGCTAGAGTACAGTGGTACAAACTTAATTCATTCCAGAGATCCGTTCTTAACCTGAAACCGTTCTTTTCCTGAGGCGCGCTTTCACTACTGGGACCTCCCGCTGCCGCTGCGCAATTTCTGTTCTCATCCTGGGGCAAAGTTTGCAACCCGGAGCAACTACTTCCGGGTTGGCAGAGTTTGTAACCTGAAGTGTTTGTAACCCGAGGTACCACTGTACATGTTATGCATGGATTTGTCCTGTTAGTTCAAGATTCCCCCCCTTCTGTCCTGAAACTCATGGGAGGAGCTGCTTTGCATTCAGAGGGGTTCAATCCCTACCAGTCAGTGTAGAGTCAAATGAACAGTGCTGGCTCCAGGTGGTGGGGGGGTTTGTTGGCGGGGGAGAGGGTTTTTGCAAGAAGTGGAAGGGCCAAAGCATGGTGGTAGACGCCTTGCTTGTCATGCAGAAGTTCCCTGGTTCAATTCCTGCCATCTCTTGGCAGGAGTGGGAAGTAGTCCATTCTAAATCTGCATTGCCAGGCAGTGTAGACTACATTCCCTTCTGGACAACTTTCTGGGGCTCACATGCCAGTGGTGGGAGGGGATAGAGGCAGTGTTATTTTTTTCTTGGTTCCATTGGCTAGTTTCTACACACTCTTCTTCTTCTTCTTCTTTCTACACACTCTTCTTCTTCTTCTTCTTCTTCTTCTTCTTCTTCTTCTTTGAAATTATATACCCACCTATAAATCAAGATATAAAACCACAAAATCAAGTTATAAGACCACAAAATACCTAACAAAAATAAAAACAACAACCCAATAGCCCCTCCCCCCCAAAAAAACACATTTCAAAAGGGCATAGGAGGTAATTCGGATCAACCAAAGGCCTGATGACAGAGGAACTTTTTGCCTGGCGCCTAAAGGTGTATAAGGGAGGCGCCAGGTGAACTTCCCTGAGGAGGAGCCACTGCAGAGAAGGCCCGTTCTCGTGTTGCCACGCTCTGAACCTCTTGAGGAGGGGGCACACAAAGAAGGGCCTCAGAAGATGATCCCAGGATCCGGGTAGGTTCATATGGAAAGTGGCGGTCCTTGAGGTATTGCGGTTCTGAGCCATTTAAGGCTTTATAGGTCAAAACCAGCACTTTGAATTGTATGCCCCTCTGTCCTCCATTCAGACAAGCAAGAAGCCTTATCAGAGTCCCAGGGTGCATCCCAGCCAGGTCAAAACACTAAAGGAAGATGCAAAACAGGACCACTTGAGAGTTTAACCTGTAGAGCCTTGGAATGCTTGTAGATATTCTGTGGGTGAAAGAAGTATGACTGAGGAGGGAGCATCCCGGGGGCCAGATAGAAAGGCTTTGAGGTCCGGGACGTCCGGGGTGGCGCCATCGGCAGTGGCGGATTCCCTCTGAACTGGAGGGACCAGCTCCACGGGAATCGGGTCTTTTCCGCTACGGCGAAGCGGGGACCCATTCAAAAATCACAGGCGGATGAAGCCTGTGACCATGGGACTCAGCGGGCACCTTTAGCGCCCCCCCAACCCACAAAGGAACCCACTAACGGGCTCCGGAGTGAAGAGGGGGAAGTGGCACGGTGCTGAGAGTCAACTGCTTCTTCCGTGGAGCGAAGCCGCACAGCCGTTGCTGGAGAGCGCTGCCTTTTTCCTGGGACAATTTGGCTTTTAAAACAACCACCCGTGAGTACTTAAGTTTCGGACAATTGGACTCTAAACAAGGATTTGCGAGCAGAAAGGAAAACTGGACTTAAAAGTTTAATTTAATTTGGCACTGAAACGGGAAGGTCTAAACAGGAAGTCAGCCTTCCGTTTCTTTGTAGATAGATTAAAGCAAAGACACAGCAAACTAAAGTTCTGAAAATCGCTTCTAAAGGATTAACTTTCATCATTTAAAATTGTGGAACCCCCTCGGAAGCAGGAGAAGAGGGGGGATTTTTTCTGGACTGTTTAAACCTGCAGAAGTGAGTGTAAAGTAAAGTAACTTTCCACCGTCTTGATCCTGGAGCGGGGTGTCAGGACTGACGTTCTTTGAAGCTCATTGACCAGAGACAAACGTTTTTGACAGATAGCTAAAGGAAGAGATACATAGTGATTCCATTGTTCCCCTTCGCATTTTAAAGGAACAAATATTGACAAAATATCTGAAAAAGGAAACTTTGTTGTTAGATTTGTTTTTAAAAGAAAAGAACAAGCAGAAGTTTTTCCCCTAGAGGGAGCCTGTGAAACTGTAACCAATTTTGAATCGGGAAGCTCGCAGCTGTCACAGATTACGATCGTGGGAATAGACTTCTGACCTTGCAGGACAATGTATTCAGAAGCTCTGTTGAGTGCTTTCTGTAAAACAAGTGCCCTACTGGAACAGCTACATGAGAAGACGGATTTTATGACTGATGCGATTAGAAATTTTGGACAGGCAGTGGGATATTATACAGAGCCCACCCAGGAATTAGACCAGGAGTGTGCCCTGACAGAACAGATGAGGGAAGAGGATGTTGCTGAATTTTGGGTGCCAGGGATGGAGGGAGCTGCGGCCCAGCAGGAACATGAATTCTTGGATTTGACAAATGAACTTGGAAAAAGCCAGATTTGGAAAGATAAAGTTTGGTTTGGTTTGGAAATGGGGGGTTGGATAGACCCCCATATGCAGGGAGGTTTGGACTTTTTGAGTCTGGCAATGGGCCGTGAGATGTTTGGGGTTGTGGGGGCTCTCAATTTTGGAGGGTCTTTGAAACATGTTCTTAAATACCACATGGATCTTAGTGGGGACTATGGAAAAGGGGCTGATTTGTCGAGAAGGGTCAAAAGCATTGTCAAGCTGGAGTTCCCAAGAGTGAAAGAAGTAGGAGATAAAGGAAAATATAGCTATAAATATGAAGAAGAGCTGCGGAAGGGACATGGAAGAGACTTAAGGGCCTCGGACATAAGGTTACCAGGTTAATGCGCTAGATTGATGGGATAGAAAGGACTGACAAAACCCGGGTCCAGGAGGAAGAGACGCTGGATGAAGATTGGATTGTTATTTCTTTTATTATGATAGTTTTATAAAATTGATGAATGTTAGAAAAATGTTGGAACGAAATTATTTGGCTTTAGCAAAAATGTTTAAAGAATTATGTAAGAATATTATGGTTATGAGAAATTGGTAAAAATAAGATTTAAGTTTTAGGTTTTAAGGTTTTCATAGTAAGATAAGATTAAAATAGATTAAGGTAAAGTAATGACAGAATATTATGAAATATGGAAAGGATTTGCTGTGACAATTAATAATCAGGATACAAAAAAAGGGAGGAGGAGGAGGTCAAAGAAAGAAGGTAATGACAGTTAAAGATATGAGAATATTGGATTTGTTTTTAAATATTTGGGGTATATTTTTGTTTTTTAATTGTGTCGTGTTATTTTTTTATTTTGATTTTTATTAATCTGTATTGTTTGACTGTGGTTTGTCTTTCTTTGTTTTTTCTTTCTTTGTTTGTTTTTTTTTGTTCTCTTTTGTAATTTTAAAATTTTCAATAAATTTTTAATAAAAAAAAAGAAAAAAGAAAGGCTTTGAGGTCCGTATTTGCCTCCCAGCCCCAAGGTTTCCCTCCCTCCCCATGGTGTAGACAGTGCTGAGCTTGGTGGACCAGTCATCTGGCTCTGGGCAAGGCAGCTTCTATTATTCCTAAGGTGTCAGAAAATGTGGTGTAGTGGTTAGAGTATCTAACCACCACAGTGTTCTGCAGCAGCTTTCAAAATTCGCCAGGCGCATTTTGCACCTGGATATTGGCCTCTTGCAACCAAGTGAAGATGCCCAGGCACCAGGATGGCATCTAACGTCTCCACCATCTGGAGGTACATGCCTGGGGTCTTTGGGTCTTGCCTGTTTTCACACACTAACAACACATCCTTTGGAATTCTATCCGTGATATTTTATCTGCACAATCGGAATGAATTTCAGGAATCAAAAAGTTGTACTGTACTGGAAAACTTGGTCCTTTGCTTGCAAATAAAACTGCAAGATTGTGGTCACACCTTGGATTAAAAAATACACTAGTCCCTTTAATATCTGCTTTGTGGACAAGAATTGGCCGGTGAGGGGATACTGGTTGCCTGTCCCTGAGCTGGAGAGCAAATGCCACAGCTTTAGAGGTGCTGTTAAAGAAAAGAAAACTTCAGTTGTTTGGTTCATTCTTTTTTGGGAGGTAAGGAATGCAGTCTGCATGAACGTGTGCGATGCTTTCTTGATGGTCCTTTGGGAAACTGATGGACTGCTTTTAGATTTTTCTCTCCTTGGAAAACCACTTAGCACAGAGAAGAGAAGTAATTTTCTCCCAGGGTGAGCGGTGTTTGGTGCTGAAGGCCACCTGCCAACTCACACACCACAACCTGAGATCCGCTCACTTGCTCCTGGTGCCAGCCTTAATGGGTTCTACCTGTCCTAGGGGAAACAGCTGCCGTTGATGGATACATCTCCTTAGTGCAGGGCTGCAGACTTGTGGGCACCATCCCAGGGCTCCGTCTTGGCAAGCAGAACAATAGCCCAAAGACTTGATGCCAGGTATATTTTGTTAAATTCACACCTTGTCTTTCCATAAATGAAAAAACAAACAAACCGGTAACTATAAGGCAGGAGTGGGGAATTTCAAGCCCAGGTGGCCTAATGCTACCCTACAGGTCTCTCAAGAGTCTCCCAGGCCACATCTTCCGCTAGTGCTTTTGTGACAATGTCTCTTGCTTCTCTGGAAGGAAGATGGTTTGTGTTTGTCTAAGTGTGTGTAGATACCTCTGACTTTCCATGGTTGGAATGTAGCCTACTATTCAAAGGTAAGAGTTCCACCTGTGGCTCCACCCACTTTGGCATCTGGCCACGCCCTCTGCTGGTATGCACTCCCCCCCCCCCCAGTTTGTGATTTATTTTATTTACTGGGGAATGCAACCCCCAGTAAATAAAAGATTCCCCACCCCTGATTTAGTGGGAATGGTCCCTGGGAACAAATTATGTCAGCTGCTCAGGTACATAAGTGGCTCCTGACCATTTTACCTTAAGAGTGGGGCACATTTGACTCTCCAGACGTTGCCATATTACAGTTCCCAACAGCCCCAGCAAGCATTCCCAATGGCCAGGGATCATGGGAGTTGTAGTTCAGCCACATCAGGAAGACCAAAGGCTCCCCCATTTGCTGTGCACATGGTGCTGGCCTCTGCCGTTGCTGTTCCTCCACTTTGCTTGAGTTACTATGACAGAGGATCGTAGAAGGGACCACAAAGGTCATATAGTCCAATCCCCTGCAATGCAGGGATATTTTGCCCAATGTGGGGCTCGAACCCACAACCCTGAGATTACAAGTCTCATGCTGTCCTGACGGAGCTATTCAGAGAATTTATAAGAGTTGCAGAGAAATTCGGCTGTTGAAGCTTCTCTTCCCCACCCTCCCCGCAGCCCCTACACCTCCATAGAAGGGTTATCTATCTGTAAAAAAACCTGGCGGAAGAATCCTAAGAGTTGAAAGGGACCTGGGAGGTCACCAAGCCCAATACCCTGCTCAGTGCAGGATTCAACTGCAGCCAGTGCCAGTGCTATCCTTAGGTCAGCTAAGCAGCCATCTCAGAGGGGAACAGTTTTATGCAGATTGGTATAAAATTATTCTTCACTATTAGCAATACGGAACAAATGACTTTGATTGTACGTTATATGGATGTAATCAAACCATCAGATACTGAGATATCCGAGCTAGAGGTTATCATAAGAGAACCTTTCTTGGGATTTGTTCCACTAAAGGAAAAGGTGTATATTTGAAACCCCCTTAGAAGAGCTTTGCAAACACTCTGTTCTGCCCCCTACCCCACCCCCTTCCACTCCTTCTTGTGACATTTTTGGGTCACTTCCTGGTTCGGCGCAATGCGTGTGTTCACAATTGCGCACATATTGAACATGCGTAAACGGGTGTGCGGTGGGGGTTGCCTGTACAAGATTTGTAATGAAGCCCTTCCATTTCATGGTAACAATCTGCAAGACGAGAGTGACCGAATTCAACTTCTGTGAACTGATAATATTCATTTAACAAAGAGTGCTGAAATGGCCCCCCGGATAAATCTTAAATTCCCTGCCAAAATCTGAGCAGGTTAGTGAGCTTGAATAGAAGCAAAGCAAAAGTCATTCTGCTGGAGAATTTCTGGGTGGACTTGGGATGCAGCGTCACAATCCATCATTTTGAAGAAGACCAGACAGACAGGAGGCCAGATGGCCACGGTGTCCTGTCCCCCCACCCCCCGCCACCCTGTGAAAGTGTAAATAGAAAAGCTGTCTGTTTCAGCAGAGGAGTCGTGACAAACGAGGCCTGTCTGAAGGGAGCGGATGAGAGCCACAGATGCAAAGCAGAGCTGGGGAAGGTGGTGAGGTTTAGGAGAGGTTCCTCCAAGGCAGAGGTGAGGAGCCATTTTCAGCCTGAGCTCTGCATTCCCTTAAGGCTGGGCAACCTTCCGGAGTCCGTGAGCCCATGGTGAGTGGGGGCAGGGTGACAAATGTAGATTATTACATCTGTACAGTAGGCTAGCTCTGAACGAGCAAGGGGTGTTAATAGAGTTCAAGGGCAGGGTTGGGCAATACCTGCTTTTCAGCATCGTAATGCATTGCCAGCGAAACTTCGCAATATGGTGGTATATTATGATGTCGGGAAGGAAGAAGGCAGTTGCTGGCCACGGAGACAATTAGTGTCACTGTGTGCGGCTTCTGCCTCTTCTTGTTAAGACTGGGCGGGTTGCGCTGCCCAGGCAGAGCACATCAGCTGATGTGCCACATGGCGCGACACCACAGAGCTGCCATCCTCCCCAGAACCGCCAGCAGCAGCTCGCCCCGATGATCTGTGGCTGCGCAAGTGGCGGCTACCTGGAGCCATTGTTCTACTCAGTGTGAGGAAGAATGGAGGAAGGAAGCAGCCTGCTAACGCTTGTGCGGCCAGAGAAGGAAACTAAGGCTCTGGCTGGCAGGCAGGCAGGCAGGCAAGCCCCACTTCCGAGGCTGGCAGCTGGGCCACAGAGGGAGTGGGCAAGCATTGGGCAGCCTTATTGAACTGTGCAATGCTGGCAGCAAGTGAGCCCGGGGATTCACAATACATTGCCTGATTTTCTGAAATTAGTCCCGTGATTTTAACTCTAATCTGGTTTCAGGCAATGTATCGATACATTGCCCATGGCTATTCAGGGACATATTCCAGCCAGGCAAAAACACTTGAAGATGGTGCAGGGGAAGACTGGTTGGGTGTATGGCCTGGGGACAGACAGACAGGACTGCACAGAAGGACTCGCTCCAGCCACATGGAGTCCAGGTTGCTGCTTGGTTTTCTGAGGAACTCCAGTCAATGAATTGGACTGGGCGTTGGCTAGAGCGCAGTCAGTGTGACCGAACAGGTATGAACACACAGCCGGTCCTGCTACATGGCGTCCACTGCATTCTTGGGGAATTGCCCAGCAAAGCTGTAGTAAACTAGCTGGTTTGGACAAGGAAAGCAGTCTTGTGTGTGAGATTTGCTTGCCATTTTGAAGGCGACATCACTTTTATTCATTCTGAATTGGATGCCACAATTGGCCCTGGTCCATTGGAGGTCGCTGGTGCACCATCAAAGAATTTATTATGGGATCAGTTTCAGTTGCTGCAGCTGGAGGATGTGAGCAGAATGTTTTTGGCAGTGAGGCTGACATCATGCCCTCTTGATTCCTGCACATCATGGCTGATGAAATTAGTAGGAGCACACTGGTTGGATTGGTCCAGGGGGTGGTTAATAGCTGATTAAGGGAGCAGCCTGGAGAGAGAGGGATGTGGCCCGGGGAGGGCCACAGTGGGCTAAGTAGAGTGGCCTGGAGGGAGACATTTGGCCCCCAGACCAGAGATTCTCCACCCTGGCTTAAAGAATTACTGGCAATGCACTGAGGCCTATGGAAAGCGTTTTGTAAAGTAATAAGTGCAGATAAAATTGAAGCACATTTGGATTTGTGAACGCACACACAGAGATTATGTTGCATTTTGAGAATTTCCCTTTAAAAGTTTCACTGAGTATTCTGTGTTTGTGTGTGTCCGTCTGAGAATATTCTAACTTTGGGGGCTTGTGGCAGCGCCACAAAAATCCCTTTGCATGCTGGCTGTGGCTGCTGTGAGCAGGATTTAAACATTTTCCGCATCACTGCAAGCTCTATTTTCTCTTTCTCACTCACTCACTCACTCACTCTGTTCACCAAAAGCTGATTTTACAACTTTTTTAAAAAAATGTGCACATTTCTCTGCTGCAGCAAAAGCAACTGAGAACCCCTAGTACCTTGAAGACGAGCAAACATTTAAATGGCAGAATAAGCTTTTGTGGGATAGAATTCATTTCATCTGATGCTTCTGATGAATGGCGGTGCATGACGTGATGAATCTGTTCATCTGGAAGGTGTTTCAGGAAACCTTAGTCATTTTTCCTAAATGTGGGAGGGTGCGGGAGAGAGAGAGAGAGATTGGAAACAGTAAGATCCACCTGGCACCTTCACTGACGCTATCCCAAGTAGAACCACCGAACATATTTATGCTTATGTTTTCAAATGTAAGTTGCTTGGAGACCTTTGAGCAACAAGCAATTAACAAATCCAATTACTATTAATAATAAAACTGCACAAAGGGCCTTTGGAGAGAGCAACTGCAGCTCATTAGCAGAGCACCTGTTTTGCATGTTGAAGGTTCTCCATTCCGTTAGTGAATCTGGTGGTGGGAAAGATCTTTGCTGGGACTCTGGAGAGCCGGTGCCAGAATTGAGCTAGGCGGATGAATAGTCTTGACGTGGTGTAAGGCAGGCTTCCTCTGCCCTTTTCCTCCCTACAGTTGGTCACAGATAAGATTCCTATGGATCTTAACACCTATGTGCTGTGATGCCTATAGGGACCCTTTCAAGGATCTGGGCCATAGAAGTAAGGCCCCCCCCCACCAATAATGGGCATTGCCATTTATATGGTGTGTATGCACCACATCATGTAACTGATTATATGGAGCGGGGCTTACTGGACTCCACCTAATATTTTATTCAAGTTCGCACCCTGGACTCTAGGAATTCTTGTTCTGTGGGGGGAATGGGGGTCTCCTAACAATTCTCAGCACCCTTCATGAACTACACTTCCCAGGATTCTTTGGGCGAGGCTATGACTGTTACTCTCCTGCCCGCCTCCCCCCAAAATCTTAGCAGGCAGCTTTTCAGGCTCGCTTTCCTGTTTCTCTCCTGAAGAATCATAGGATTGTAGAGTTGGAAGGGACCACGGGGGGTCATCTAGTCCAACCCCCCACAGTGCAGGAATCCTTTGTCCAATGTGGGGCTCAAACCCATGACCCTGAGATTTGACAGTCTCTACCAACCGAGCTGTCCTCAGGATAGAGTCGGTGTAGAAAATACTACGCCAGGGGAATAAGGGCTGTAGCTTGGTGGTAGAGCATCTGTGCGGGTGTGGGTGTAATTGAGCTACAGGAACCAGGTATAAGGTGACTCCCTATAAGGCTACGTCCACTCCATACCTTTAAAGCACATTCAAAGTACTCCCCACCCCCTGCAAGAGTTCTGAGTTTTGTGATTTAGTATATTTTATTTTTCATGAGTAACCAAAGTACATTCAGTGTCTGTGTTTTCAAATCTCAGAGTCCTCCTTACAGGTCAATGGCATTCAGTTTGTTGAGGGGGAAAGAGAAAGTGGGGAGAAAGAGGGGAGGAAATGGAAAGAAGGGAGGGGGAAACAGTGAACTTTCATTCTTTTACATAGTATGTGAACAGAGCTTTTGTGTCAGTGACCTGTGGATAGGTATCTTATTGGGCGCTTGGTTGATCAGGGTTGCTGGGAATTTTAAATCTGTGAGGGGTAAACTAAAATGCCCAGAATTCTTTGGGAGAAGGAACGTGGTGTACGTCACCTAAGAAAGGTGAGGATCTGTGGCTCCTAAATGGTTAGAGAACAACGTACTGTGGTACCTTAGTTTCTGAACGCCTCCTTGTCGAACATTTCAGTTCTCGAACGCTGAAAACCTGGAAGTAAATGCTTCTGTTTTCGAATGTTCCTCAGAACTCAAATGTCTGATGCAGCCTCCTCTGAGTGCAAAAAGCTCTTGCAACCAATCGGAAACTGCGCCTCGGTTGTTGAATGTTTTGGAAGCCGAACGGTCTTCGAGAATGGATTACGTTCGACAACCGAGGTACCACTGTATATACATTTTTTAGAATGGATGTAAAAGAATACTTGGTTAATTATGAGTTGGCCTTGTGCCTGAAGGCTCTCACTGTTCCCTCTTTTGCTTCAAGGCGGACGTTGGCCTTGTTGCCGAAATCGCCATGAGCAGCACCCTCTCCCCTACCGACTATGACAGCCTGGAGATCCAGCAGCAGTACAACGACATCAACAACCGCTGGGAAGTGGCCGATGAAGACTGGGACAATGAGAACAGCTCGGCCCGGCTTTTCGAGCGCTCTCGCATCAAGGCGCTGGCAGGTAAAGGGGTGCCAGGGGGCTTGTTGTTTTGCCAAGGCTGAGCTTCCCTGGCACTGTTTGCATTGCGACAGTTTGGCCTTGTGACAAGGGAAGCAATGAGCATGTGCGGAGTGTAACTATTTCTTGCCTAATCTACATCACAGGGTGGCTGTGAAAATAAAATGGAGGCAAGTGGGTGGGCTTATTTATTTTTATTTTATTTATTAAATTTGTACATGGTACTTCCCCAAAATACATGGGGGACGGGGCTGCTAGTCATACTGGCTGTGTATTACTTCTAGGATTGGAGGCACCATGACTCTGAATACCAGTCGCTGGAGTACCCGATCAGGAGAGTGCTCTTGCAGCAATTAAGGGAAAATAAGGGAATTTTTTGTAAATACCGTATTTTTCGCTCTATAACACGCACCCGACCATAACACGCACGTAGTTTTTAGAGGAGGAAAACAAGAAAAAAAATATTCTAAACGAAACAGTGGATGTATGATTTTTGTGGTTCATGCTGTGGCCACAGACATGTGATCTGACAGTGAGTTTGGAGTAGCCCAATGCAAATATCCTGAGGATCCATGTGGATCCATGCTTTGTAACCACGTTTTTGCACCACTGCGGCCCCAGGCAACAGTGGGTGCGTGAATATAGTGGTGCAAGATGTAGCCATGGACATGCTATGTGATCTGATGGTGAATTTGGGGTGACCCAGTGCAAAAATCCTGAGGATCCATGTGGATCCGTGCTTTGTAACCACATTTTAAGTGGGGAGGGAAGGAAAAGCACTCAAGGGACAAGGAGCACGCGTGGGGTGTGTGGAGAAGGATGCTGCTAATAATGCAGAAGAGGGGTCTAAGGGCAGAAGGAGCACGCGTGGGGTAGGTGGAGAAGGATGCTGCTAATAATGCAGGAGAGGGGTTTAAGGGGAGAAGGAACACGCGTGGGGTGGGTGGAGCAGGATGCTGCTAATAATGAAGAAGAGGGGTATAAGGGGAGAAGGCTCCTCTCCTCTCCCACTTTGCTCCTTTAAAGCAAGCAGGCTCTGCTTTTCTCCCTCCTCCCCGCTCATCCCAGGCTTAGCGAGCTGAAAAACTTTGCTGCTATGTAGCGAGCTGAGTGGGGAGGAGAGAGTGACAGAGAGCATGCTTGCTTTAAAGGAGCCAACCGGACAGGAGCCGCTTACACTCGTGTAAGCGGCTCCTCTCCTCTCCCGCTTTGCTGTTTCAAAGCGAGCCATGGAGGAGGGAAGGAAGGGGAACCATGGATCCTCTGCTCACGACTGCAGCAGATCCCCACCACCACCCGTAGGCATTCCCTCCGTAACACGCACAGACATTTCCCCTTACTTTCTAGGAGGAAAAAAGTGAGTGTTATGGTGCAAAAAATACGGTACATTTGAATTGGAGATGCAGTAAGAAAAATGCATTTTTTAAAAATGGCAGAAAGGAAGGGAGGGAAGTTGAGGGGAAGGTAAAGTAGATTTGTAAAGATTAGGTTTTTCTTGTCAAAATATTTGTAAAAGCTGAAAATGAAAAATAAAATTATATATAAAAATGAGAGTCCTCTTGCTCTTAGGTCCTGCTTGCAGGCTTCCTGCAGGCACCTATTTGGCCACTGTGAGAAACAGGATGCTGGACTAGATGAACCCCCTTTGGTCTGACTGATCCAGCTTCAGGGGTACTCTTAGGTTCTTATGGAGGGGAAATCAAGCAAAGTCAGAAACCATTTTTTAAAGTTGCTTGAGAGTCTCCCCTCAATACTTTGCAAGTGCAAGCCAGGCTAACAACTCAACTGTGTTCACTCATTTGAAGGCTGAAATGTTGATTGGGGTAGGAGCAGGGTAAGAATGGATGAGGATGATTTTATTTACTGAATTGATATCCATCCTTCCTCCTCAGGTTGCCCAGGGTGGCAAACAGATACACAATATAAAATCCTGCAACTGAGTTGAGACTTCATGCTAACCAGGAAAAATAGGGAATACTTGCAGGACAACTTTAGAAAAGTAGGTCGAAAAATCCTAGCATCTCTGATAGTCAGGGACACTGAAAAGGGGAGAGGAGGGGGAGATATTTCTGTCCAGCTTTTACTGGAAAGTATCCAAGGAGTAAAATAAATTTCGATCCATGTGCTCTTGAACTTTCATGCCACTCTGTCCTCTTCTCTCCAAAACACACAAATAAAGTTATTGAGTCATAGTGGTTGCAGCACAGGAACAGAATAGTCTTGACAGCTGCTGCAAGGGGAAGCCTTGTAACAAGCACACAGTGCCCCAAAGTATGATGGGAGTTGTAGGCAGCCTTTGGAACGGTGATTTGAATGTTAAGTCTGCCACGTGTTCCTAGGAAGGAACTCCTTAGACAGAGCTATGGGTATATTCTCCACCTTTGCAGGGGCTTGCAAACTGGTGTTTAGGTAGAGAGTCTTCCTAGGCTTATACAGTGGTACTTTGGGTTACGAACTTAATTCGTTCCGGAGGTCCGTTCTTAACCCAAAACTGTTCTTATCTGAGGAGCGCTTTCGCTAATGGGGCCTCCCACTGCTGTCGCGCCGCCACCGCGCGATTTCCGTTCTCATCCTGGGGCAAAGTTTGCAACCTGGAGCAACTACTTTTGGGTTAGCGGAGTTTGTAACCCGAAGCATTTGTAACCTGAGGTACCACTGTATTGTGGAGAAGCACTCAGCTCATGTTCCAGTGCACCATTCAGTGGATCGTGGCTCTCATATTTCACATAGCTTCTTTGGCACTGCTAAAATGTTTTTGATCACTTATATCAGTGGTGCTTTCCCTTCCTTTTAATTGAAAAAGTTTTCTAGCACACTTGGCTCTGTTCTTTCACATAGCACCAGAAAGTCAGGTTTCTCTTCCTCCCATTTGTCCAATAGGGAAAGTGAGGCTGGCTTGCCCAAATTTTATACCAAGAGTCCGTGGCAGAGACTTTGGAGACGTGGAAGGGAGGTTCTCCAGATCCAATCCCAGTGCTCTCTCTGCAGGATTGTACTGTTCTGTCTTGGGGGAAACTGAAACATGCAGCAGTTGAATCCAGATGGTTTCTGGCTCCAAGAGCTCAAAAGCAGCGTTCCTTCTCTCCCTTCTCTTGTCTGTCACTCTTGGTTGCCTGTTGCACTTTGCTCCCAGTGCAAACGGCCTTGCTTTTCTGTTTACCTGGCTGGGTGGGTGGGTGGCTGCTGTGCTTAGACCAGCTCCAAAGAATGAGGTGCCTCCTACATGCATGAATCCAGTCAAAAGTTTCAGCTTGGGGATACTTTCTTCAAGGAAGACAGGGACATTGGCCCACAGGAATATCAGCAGGGCATTCCATTTATTGGTGATGTTCAGGGAGGAGTGCCACTACATAGTCAAAACCACGCCACCCACACTGGCAGAAATGCTAAACAGGAGCATTCCCCACTGTAGCATTTTGTTACAGCTTTCCTTAGTTAACTCCTAATTGCAGTGTGTTTACCCCAGTTCTTCACCTGCTCTTGCTATTTGGGTGTGGGTGTTCAACCACTAACTTGGGGTGGAACCATTTCATACATCATGTTTTTGCCATTATTGCACTAGCTGCTTATAATTATTTATCTGTGGTTCCCAGTTATTAATCAGTGGTTCCCAAACTCCCCCCCCCCCATGGACTACTTGCTGAGGGTCTTAGAGGACACTTAATGTTTTTCTGCCTGTTGTAGTGATTATAATGTGCTGTGCTAGGTGCTGGATGATTTTTAATTGTGTTATTTATTATATCTTGGATTATAGTTTGAATTCCATATAATGCAAATTGTAATACAATATTCAAATTGTATACAATATTCAAAAGCCATATGAATACAGTTAAAAAACAATATGAACATTTAATGTGATGGATGTGCCAACTCTTTAATCACGAATCCACAGACACACCGTGGACCTCCTAAATGGCCTGTGGACCACAGTTTGGAAACCCCTGATTTAAATGATTGATTGTAATTGTTGGTAGTGGTTTTGTCTAATTAATTCTGATACTTTGCTTGCTGATCTGCGTACAGTGGTACCTTGGGATGCGAACGGGATCGGTTCTGGAGCCCCGTTCACATCCAGAAGCAAACGTAACTAGCGACGGCATATCTGTGCACGAGTGTGTCGCTTTTCGCCACTTCTGCACGTGACGTCATTTTGAGCATCTGCGCATGCGCGAGCGGCAAAACCTGGAAGTAACCCGCTCCGTTACTTCTAGGTTGCCGCTGAGCACAACTCGAACACGCTCAACATGAAGCATATTCAACCCAAGGCATGACTGTATATTGTTTTGTCCTTTCTATGAATTGGTGTACAGTACAACCTCGACTTACCACCACCCCTACTCACGAACAATCCGACTCGCAACCGCGGCAAACCCGGAAGTAAATATTGGGTTTGCTGTGATTCGTGCACGCACAGAAGCGGCTTCTGCTGACTGAACATGCACAGAAGCGGCTGCTGCCGTCTGCACATGCGCAAAACTGGGCTGCCGCTGAATGCGCATGTGCAAAACGGTGCTTCTCCCAGTAACCTGGATCGACTCATGAACTGGCCTCCGGAACGGATTCTGTACGTGAGTAAAGGTTCCGCTATATGCTCTACCACTGAGCTAAAGCCCTTCCCTAAGGGCAGTATGCCCCAGGTGGTCCTTTACCTCTTCTCACAAGCCCTACTGAAGTGAACAGAAACTATGTAAGACCGGCCTGCCTGCCTTTTCATTTGTATACTACTTTTCTAGGGCACATAAACAACAACATTATACAATGGAAAATCACATAAAATAGGGGTTACCAAATCTTGGGCCCACGGGGACATTTGCAAACTATAAATTGTTGCCATTCACACAGTGTATCCTGTTCTGTTGGTTGCAATGGAATACTTGTTTCAAGCCAGGTTTTTTTGGGGGGGGGCGTTGTGCCCCGTGGGTACCAGAGAAGGCCTCTATGGGAGCCACATTTGTGACCCTGTGGTATAACAGTTGGATTCAGTGGGGAAAATTCATGATGAAAAGTACAATTGCAGAACAGTTAAAATCAATTACCATAAAATATAACAATGCATTTTTATCCAGTATTACAAGAGAAGTTCAACTAGCAAAACATAGGAAAACAATGGAACAAAACTGCTCCCAATGCTTACAATAAATTGTTTATAATCATTATGTGCACCCAAAATAATAACAGCAAAGATGCAATATGTAAAATGTTCCCTGTTGGGGGGGGACTATGGAGAGGAAACAGGGCATTTTGGGGCAGAGGTGTCCCCAAATTTCTGAATGGGAAGTAATGGAAGATTTAAAATGAATGCTCCCATCCTAAATTGATTTTCTCTGGATTAAATCTCAACCTAATTCGCTGTCAAGTAAGCATGCTTAGCATTACAGCCTGATTTTGATGAAAATCGTATTTCTGCCTTAGCTTTTAAAAGCAACCCGAATACTTTGCTGGGGTAGGGGTACTTGCCCCCCCACCCTTTGGTGCTGCCCCTTTCTTAGACCTCCAACTTGTAGTCTTTTGCCCATGATGCTGCCTTGTGTATTTGTATTTAGACTCTGGGATTCCCCCACCCCGCCACCCTTTTTTGCGAAGGGTAGATTGGCTTTATGAGGGACTGGGATCATTATTTGTCACAACCCGCAAGGGGAAAGTGCCAGCAAACACGAGATAGCCAAACGGAGGCAGAAGCCAAGGACGCAGCAGGCTGGCCTTGGGCCTGGGCTCCGATAGCGCGAGCAAGTGTGGCCTTGAGTAATCCCAAAATGAGCATCAGGGGGGAAGGGCCATAGTTAAGGAATGGAGCATCTGCAGAAGATCCTAGGTTCAATTCCCAACGGCATGGCATCTCCAGGTGGGGCTGTCTCTCCATCTGAAACACCCCCCCAACCCGAGAGCCTCTGCCAGCCCACATCTTGAGCTGCTGGGTGATGGACCAAGAGCCTGATTTCGTATCCAGCAGCTTCCTGCAGTTGCTAAACTCTGCCACTACCTCAGCGTCTCCAGCCCTGTTAACGGCTGGGGGAGGATTGCGAGGGAAAGGCGGCCTGGGAGAGTCAGTAAACAGTCACTTAATGACAGCCTGGGATGATACCAAGCAGGGTGGGGCGGCCAGGCAGGCAGGAAATACTGGAAGCCAGTGGTGGCGGCGGCGGGTGGGGGGCACCCTGGGTGTGTGTTTTATGCGTGTGGGGAGTTCCAGTCATTGCTGAAGATCAAGGGCAAGGCAGTTGTTTCTCTGTCAAATTGCTTTGGGTTGCCGGAGGAGGAATTTATTGTTGTTTTTGTTCTTAATCGTTTAACTACATCCGTATCTCACTTTCCCCTCCAAAGAGCTCAAGGTGGTTTACATGGCTGCCGCCCCTCCCCCATTTTCCCTCAGAACCACCCGGTGAGGTAGGTTAGGCTGAGAGGCAGTGACCGGCTCAAGATCACCTGGTGGCTGAGCAGAGATTGAAACCCTGGACCACATGCACACTGTACACTTAAAGCACTATGATTCCCTTTCATAAACTGTTATGGCTTTTGGAGGGCCCCACAAAGGATTCTGGGAAATGTCGCTTGTTAAGGGTGCTGAGAGTTGTGAGGTGATCTCTATTCCCCTCACAGAGCTACAATGTTCTGCGTGGTTTCACCAACAATGGCTCTTCACAGGGGATTCTGGGAATTGTGGCTCATAGCACTTAAAATGTACAGTGTGAATGTGGCCTGCCGTTCTAACTGCTTTGAGTTCCACAGAGCTCTTTTGCAAGCAGAGATGTTCAAAGTAGTGGTGGGGAACTACCATGCAAGAAAACATAAAACAGATGAACCAGGGTTGTTGTGGAGAGTTTGGAGAACATAATCAAGGGTGGGGGGACTGGCAGGCTTCAACCACTCATTGCTCTCAGTAGCCTGGTCTGGAATGTCTGTCCTCCTAAGTCCCTGTAAAAGCTTCCTGTGCTTGCTGGGTGTGGAGAGTAGACAGTCTGCATTTGTTCAGAGATGTTCTCTTCTTGCTGATTATGTGAAGGGCTCAAAAGCTGGGTCTTGCATTTGAAAAGCCCATTCTGGAGTGCAGGGTTGGTTCAGATGAATAAGGCCCCAACTAATGACAGGTGAAGCTCAGCGGATGGCCATGCTTTCTAACTGTCGAATTTCCACATCTGACCTGAAGAAGAGTCCTGTGTAACTCCAGAAGCTTACACAACAAAACTGTGAATCCACGTTAGACCTTTTCAGCTTGTCCCTGTTTGGATGACTGGGAGAAACAGCTTTCTGAGGGGGAAACAGGGAGGCAGGTATAGGGCCAAAGAGTCACTTTGCTGACCCCACAAGGGTACTGGCAGGCCTGGAGGATTCACGGCCCAGCCTGACAGCCACACAAAACAGACAATGGGATGCAAATCCTTCATTGTTTGACCCTGGCGGCTGGCTGAGCTCATCTGTCCCTGTCCAGCACCCCGCCCCCCTTTTTGGAATAGCTAGGAAACCAGCTGTCCTGTTCCTTCCCTACCCTGCTTGCTATCTTCCCCCACTTGTGTGCCCACAAGATCACCTGCTTCTTGCTATGAAGGCCAGAAACCCACAGTCCCAGATCCACAAATCCTACCTCACGTCTTAGAAGAAAGTAGTTTGCACATGCTCAAAAGGTTTTGCATTATTGTTGTTTCACCTGTGGGTTCTGCAGATAAAACAGTTCTAGGGACTAAACTATGGTGGCCAGCTAACCATCCCCATTTTACAGATTGGGGAAGAGGAACAGGCAAAGAGGGAGAGAGGGGCTTCTCTAAGGCCATGGGATAGCTCTAGGCGTCTTTAAACCCAGCTCTCCCAAATATAGGAGAATACAGGAGACAAAGACAGGACTAGAGATTATTACCTGCTCTTTTACAAAGTACTGCATGAGAGCCGGTGTGATATAGTGGTTAGAGATGTCAGACTAGGACCTGGGGGGCCCAGGGTTCAAATCCCCCCCACTCAGCCAACATACTCACAGGGTAACTTTGCGTCACTACTCCCTGTCTGTCAGCCTAGCCTACCTCACAGGATTGTTGTGAGGATCAAATGTTTGGGGTAGGGTGAGCTCCTTGGAGGAAAAGAGGGATGTAAATGTCGTAGTGATATCTTAAAAAGAAAAAGAAAATGCACACCTGAGGCTGGAGGTCAAGGATAAGTCAAGCAAGAGAAGAAAAGACCTCAGCCCCCCACTATGGGCTGTTTCCAATGTTATTCATACTCTTAGTAGACCCATTGACATGAATGGGCATGGCTAAATTTGGTTTAGTTGGATACAACCCTGTCTTATCTTTTTTATAAAGTTACCTCGGCAAGCTCCAGAATCATTAGTCCCCCCTTTGAAGGGTGAGGAGGGGGGAAGAGAGAAAGGATCCAGTAGTCCTGAGCCCCAGTCCCCTTTTACCCATCCTGGTCTGGAGCTGAGGGTAGAGCCCTGAGCCCTATTCAATAAGAGCTTTGGCTAACCCCCAATGCTGAGATTTGCTAGTTTTTCAGACTATCGAATTGTATGTGTGTGGGCAGACTGCCCAACCCGTTCCCCTCCCCTTTCCATGTCTGCCTGGGCTCAGTGAGTGTACTCTACACACACACACACACACACACACACACCCCATTCAGAGCAACCCAACCTGTTTTTATGTAAATTTCCCAGGGTTGCCGCCCTCGCCTGGAAGGGGGCAGCAAAACTCTCTTGAAACGCTCAACTCACACCAAGGTGCTGGAGCTTCCCTTCCTGCTACCTGGGCCCAACTGCGGTTGGTTTTTTTCCGGGGTGGGTGGGTGGGCAGGGGGCTGCCGTGGTGGTCCAAGTGGAGGTACCCCAGCCGCAAGGATGTATGAACCTGATCCAGAACTGCTGGAGGTGATCCAGGGTCCTTCTCCCCCTCCTGAGCTCTCCCCGGCCGCATTTATCAACGCAGTCCAGTATGCCAACGTGTTGGAGGGCAGGTTCAAGCAGCTTCAAGGTAGGCACTCTGGAGAATTGCGGGGAGGGGGGTGATCAGTAGAGATTTGGGGGGGCAAGCTCTCAGCCAGGAGTCTTCCCCCCACCACCCCAACCTGCAAGATCTCTCTGGCCTGACTTAAGCGGTGGCGGCAGGGACCCTAATCCGCACAGTGATGCCAGGAATTAGCTGAACGCACGCTGGATTTGCATGGGGCAAACACAGCGACGTGGTTGAGATTCTTTGGGGCTGTGCCCAGCTGCCCCCTGCCAAAGCTACCCTTCTTCCCCATTTTCCTGGAAGCTGAGGGCAGGAGACCTTGTCAAGAGAGAGAGGAGCCTTGACAGGCACTGACAGATACAGCCTCTGTGACTTCAAGGACTTCTCTGGTTTACACCCTGCCCCTCTTTGGTGGGAAGTACTGTTCTAGGAATGCTCACCTTGACCCCAACTCTCCCTCCCCCTCAACACAGACAGTCACAATTTCTTTCATTTACTTATTTTTAAAAGCTTTGCACCCTGCCTTTCAGTCAAAGGTTCCAAGTCGGCTACCCATAATAAAAAAAACAGAATAATTCAAAAACTTACGTTGCATTAAATTGTAATTTAAAAAAATCTCCTAATAATGAAACTGCAGTAAAAACAGCAATAAATCCTCCTTGGGGGAGCCATAAAATGACCTCCTTTTGACACCAAAAAAGCAAGCAAAGTAAGTGCCAGCTGTGTGTCTCCGGGGAGAGTAGTCCACATAACTGAAAAAGTTATAGCCCACCGAATAGGGCTGTTGTCCCACATTGTGCAGTCCCCCCCCGTCACCCCCAGCCTATTTACCTTGCCAAGGTTTCACCCCCAAATTTCTGGGGCAGCATCCACTACCACCGTATGATCTGGGCCCAAACTCTTTTTGGTGTTGGATTCCCCTGAAATGTTATCCACCCTCCTTCATTCTATGTGAGCAAAACAGGTCAGTGTTATTTTCACTCGCTGCTTCGTTATCGCAGAGTACAAAGATGTGCTCTTGTGAACTTTGTCGCAAAATTAGACAAACTTAAGGGTCCTTTTTGCAGCAGCGGTTACTGACAGTAATACCACGTTACCAGCTATATACTGTGCTAATTCAATACCTGCGGTAGGAAAGAAAACCGGAGTTCTGATTAAGCCCAAATTGAATAGAATCAGATTTGCTGATCAATTCTCATTCAGCACTTTCCCCTGGCAGCCTCCCTTTGGAAGTCTTTTATGCTGAAGCCTGGTGGCTGACTGAGGTCATCAGCAGAGTATCCTGGGAGAGGGAAGTTGTCTTCCACTGGTTTCTGAATGTTGCCGTTTTCAGTGTCTAATATGGGCCCATATGAAAGTGGTGGCTTATATCATGTTGGAGGATGACCTGGTGTACAAGTCCCTGACGGTATATGGCTAGTTTTATTAGAGCCTGCAATAGTGTTGCCTGATTGGAAATGGGGGACAGAACTGGTGTCAAGGATTGCTGTAGCATCTAGTGACTGAATTGCTGGTGGGAAGATGTTTTAGATTAAGGGGCTGCCGAAGGTCTCTGGTTCAGTCCCCAGCATCTTCAAGTAGAGCTGGGAGAGGCTCCCTGCCTGCGATCCTGGGGAGTTGCTGTCAAATACAAAACTAGATGAACTACTGGTCTGACTCATTAAAAGGCAGCTTCTAATGTTCCTGTTTAAATTGGCCATTTTCCTGAACTTTGACGACTGGAGTCTTGCATTTGTTTCGTTTTGGGGAAAGGTCATAGCTTTGCCTGCTCAATGTCCCAGGTGCAGTCCCCAGCATCTGCAGGTTAGGCTGAGGGAGATCACAGCCTGGAATTTATTTATTTGTTGCACTTACATCCCTCCTTTTTGTCCAAGGAGCTCAAGGTGGCATGTGTGGTTTTCTCCTCTCCTCAGTCAATCCCTACAACAACCCTGTGCAGTAGGCTGGGAGCAAGTGACTGGCCCAAGGTCACCCAGTGAGCTTCCTGGCCGAGTGGGAATGTGACCCTGGTCTCCCAGTGCTCTAACCCACACATCTCACTGGCTCTCATTCTTGACTGCTACTCCTAGTCAGTGTAGAAATCACAGAGCCAGATGGACCAGTGATCTGACTTCTGTAAGGAATGTTCCTACGTCCGCTCCCCACCTTTTGCACTGGGGAGAGACAAGGATCGTTGTCCAGGATGCTTAGATCACAGAATATACTTCTGTCTTAGCAGCTGGAGGGGGTCCTTTATCAGTCTCTAGGGTGAGGGGGGTGATTGGGAGAGTGTGCAGCAGCTTGCAGACAGCTGAGGCTTCTTGAAATGCTGTTCGGCTCAGGGTTAGCAAACAAGCCCTGCTCTGACACGTCCCGGTGACTCAGGCAGAAGGGCAGGCTGAGCCCTCCGTTGCCTCTGCATGCACCGTGCATGCATGCATAATGTCTGTTGGGTCGAAGCACAGGAGCAGCACCTGCCTGGGCTGCAGGGCAAATGCCAGCTGCAGAGAAGATCGTTAAAAACAACAACCCAACAGCACATGCCCACAACAGCAACAAACCCCAAATGCAGGACGACTGTGCAGGCCATGGGACTACAGCTCCCATCATCCTGTGCTGAATGGGATTGATAGGACTTTTTGGCCTAGATGCATCTTGGCCAAAAGTGCACCTGGTTGGCAAAGGCTGGTGTGGCCCTAATCTGAGCCAGGAGTCAGGGTACTTCCTTCTGCAGTGGCCAGGAGGTTTTGGCCCTTGAGGATGTGAGAGAAGAGCGCTGGAGAGAATGTATCAGTGGCAGTGTGGTATAGTGGTTAGAGTGTAGGACTGAGACCCTCAGCCATGAAGCTCACTATCACTCAGTCTAACCTACCTCACAGAGTTGTTGTGAGTATACAGTGGGGAGAAGGAGAGCCGTGTGTGCCACCCTGAGCTCTTTGGAGCAAAGGAGAGATGTAAATGTAATAAATAAATTACCCTCTAAAATAAAGGATAGGCCAAGGAGGGGTGGAGTGACTGAGGCCTGCCAGTGTCCTTTCCTTTCGGCTTCGCTTTTCTTACCCTGGAGCCAAACACTTGCTGGGGTTGCTTTGCATTGCATGCAAACAAGGTGGACGGGCAAGAGGAGCTGGAGGCAGCACTGCTGGCGTCTCTCAGCCCAAGGCTTAGGGTCCAGAAAGGTGATGTGCAGGCAGAAGCAAAAGCTCTTTCTCCTTTTTATAGGGTTAAAAATGCACCTCCTTTTCTAGTTGCTACAGCCCTCTTGCACTTGAGCTTTACAGGTCTGCATCAGCTGCTACTTCAAGGTGCTCACATTAGTGTTTAAAGCCCTAAATGACTTAGGCCCCAAATACCTGAAAGAGCACCTCTCCTTACGCACCCTCCCAGGTGTCAAGATCAACAGAGGGGGCCCTCTTGGTAGTTCCTTTTCCCACATAAGTTTAGGGCAGGCATCCCCAAACTCGGCCCCCCAGCTGTTTGGGGACTACAACTCCCATCATCCCTAGCTAACGGGATCAGTAGTCAGGGATGATGGGAACTGTAGTCCCAAAACAGCTGGAGGGCCGAGTTTGGGGGTGCCTGGATTAGGGCATGGCCCGGGACAGGGCCTTCTCTGTGGTAGCCCCTAAGTTTTGGAACTCTCTCCCTGCAGAGGTATCTCTGGCTTATCCCCTATGCAGCTTTCAACAAATGCAGAAGACATCTCTTTACCCTGCCATTTGACACCCAAGATGTGTGTTTTTCAGAGGCCCTTCCTCTCCCATTCACGTGAATGCTATTTGCTTTAACTGTTTTTATTCTTAAACTTTAAATCACTGTAACCTGCCATGGGACCTTCTGACAAAACACTGGCAGTACATTTAGTTGGTATTATTATTGTGAAAAATCAGAATACTATAGAGGACCCAGGTGTCCGGGCTACCACTTAATTTCTCTTCCTAACTATCTCTCTCCTGTGTACTAGTATAATTGCTTGTGAACTTCTACAAATCTTTTCTGTGTGTATGTGTGTGTGTGCGCGCGCACACACACACACACTCACTGGGTGGAGTAGAAACAGGCAGGAGCTGCTTGTGTTTTTTGGTAGCAGGGCAAACATGATGGGAGGTTTAGCCCAAAATATCTGTAGGGATTCAGCAAAGTAAATTGATATTATTGAGGGTTGGGGAGAGAAGAGGCTGAGAAAGAGTGTATTACCTAAGGTTCCCTTCTTAGCTTAAGGCAAGGAGAAAGATTTGAACCAGTTCTGAACAGCAAAACAAAGTAGAACAGCAGAACGAGGCCTAGCTTGCTCAAAAGAAGTAGGAGGTGGGGAGTAAGAGGATTGGGGAGGGGGGTTGTCTGGTGTATAAAGACTTGCAGAATATATCCTTTAGTGGCTCCTAAAAGTTAGCACCAAAGCCCTTCCAGATAAGTTAGTTAACGATTACTGGGAACGCTAAGATTGCAGGCCAAGAGATGTTAGCAACGTGGGCTGCCAACCAATTAACTTGTTTTTCTAGTTGATCTGATAATCAATGAATTGCTTAAAAGGCAGATAAAGTAAACCTGTGTATTACAAAATCATCAACAGATTCCTTATGGAGATATTGAAGGAACTGTGCAAGAAGTTACTTGGTTTATCAAACTAAATGGCCACCCTATGAATATGTTCACATTACTCATTACTGCCATAGAGCACAGTGAAGAAGTTGTGTGTGAGAGACACCCCCACCCCCCCGCATTTCATACTTCTTCCTTCCCCAGCTGTTCACATCAGCGCAGACTGGCCTCAATTCCTTTTCTGTTTGTGTACACATCAGCGAGTGAGGATGTATTTACCTTATGCAAAGGTGTTCACACCTTGGCTAGAGACAGAACAGTTTACAGACTGTGTGTGAAGCTGGTTTTAGAAACATCTCCTCAAACAGTAATATCTTATAGTACTGTACAAGATACATATGCATTTTGGATAACATCATGTGAACCCAGATTAAAAACCCAGCACTGGAAATGCTGTGACTTCACAATCAACAGAAATGTGTACATGGCCTCTGCTAGAAGGAAATAACCACAATTAACTCCCCCCCCCTTTTTTCTTTGGCTTGTGATGTACCAGAACCAAAATAGCTTCAAAAAGTGTACCCTTCTCCAGACACACAGATTAAAATTCATGTAGCAATTAAACTGCCCCCTCCATTAATCAAGAAAAGCTTTTATAGCTAACCTGCTGGTTTAACCAATGGAAAAGCCTGCGGTTCTACTTTGTTTTTCATAGTGCAATCTTATAAATGCCTACTCAGATGTAAGCTCTATTTCCAGCACAACTTGCATCCAGATAATGTGCATAGAATTGCAGTTCAAAACCTTTTCTTAAATTCTCATTGTGTGCATGTTTGTGTGTCATTCCTTTTCTTTATAAAATATGTCTTCAATACCATGCCTCCCCAAAAAAGTGATTATTTTTTATTCAGAGAATGAAATTAAGCTTTTAAATCCATGTAAGAGCTGGTTCTTACGAGTTGTGCGTTATTGATAGCTTGGCTCTTGTATTTTGTTATCACCTGCTTTCTACAACGTTGGGGCTTTCCTCCAGAGCTGGGATGGATAACCTCGTGTCCCCCAAGATGTTGCTGGACTACAGCTCCCATCATCCCTGTCTGTTGACCATGCTGGATGAGGCTGATGGGAATTATAGCCCAGCAATGGTCGAGAAGGTACCAGGTTCCCCATCCCTGCTCTGGAGAAGGCAGCTTCTCTCCTTGATGAGACAGGCCACCCCCCCCACCCCATTTTCTTTCTACAGAAAACTTTCCATAATGTAGGTTCATTCTGTGCTATCGTGAAGATCCAGGGTATTTTTAAAATATACACAGCGATGGTCACATGTGGTTGGTTCAGCAGAATAAATCCTTGCAGGACTTTTATCTCTTGTTCTGGGTCACACTAAGTCCTTGTTCAGATAGTCTGCAAACAGTATGGAAATTACCAGTGCCAGCTCCAGGTTTATTGGGGGGTGGGGTGGCTTGAAGGGCTCCTTTAGTGGGCCCTCTCCTCCTTCCCGCCACCACTGCTTTCCATTTGTATACCCCCCCCTCCTGGGCCCAGTCATTAGCCACAGGTTGAATTCAAAGCAGATATTCTGTCACTGCTGTAAGTATCCAAATACAGGGACCAAGTGAGTGGACTCAAGTGTGTGGTTCTTTCTGAAATGCCCATTTCCCCAGGGATGTCAATAAGTGGGAGGGAAGGGAAGGGAACATTTGATTGGCCCCTGCCCACTTTTATTTAAATGTGAACCACACTGTGTGGCCTGGGAGCTTGCTCTAGAGAAACTGCTATGACACCACGAGCAGTTCAGTGCAAACAGGGCCCAAGGGAGGTCAACAGTGATCATGGAATCTCCTTTTTAAAAATGGAGGACACAGCTTGATGTGCATGCTACTAGGATTTGACCATCAAAGGCAGCCTATACACAAACAGAAATAAATACAAGTTGAGGGATTGCTCTTCTTCTTCCTTGCATAGGGCAAAATGATGTCAAAGGCTTCAATCAGGTAAACTTAACCCAAGGGTGGGGAACCTGCAGTCCTCCAAATGTTGCTGTACTATCACTCCCATTACCCTGTGTTGGTGGGGGCTGATTGGAGTTGTAGTTCAACATCTGGAGGGCTACAGGTTCCCCATTGCTGTCATACTTCTTTTTTTTATTCTAGCAGGCTTACCCAGGCATATAGTTTCATTATCTATATTTGTTCTTAAAAGCTTTACTGATTTTATCCGTGTTTTTATTGATACTCATTTCATGTGTACTTGTTTTTTTTAAACTGTTTTGCACATTTCAGCTTTGTTTTGATCAATAGTTACGTGCACCACTTACAGAGCTTGGGGATTAAGGGATTTATTGGTCTTTCTGATTACACATTATCTGAGTCTAAGATGCATTGAACTCCATGGTTTACTTCATCTGAAGGGCCACAAGGTCTGCATCCCTGATATTAGCCAACAGAGCACACAGGAAACTGCCACTTGCCAGATCTGACTTTTTTTTACCAGTATTGTCCACTCTGACCAGCAGTATCTGTCCAAGGTCTCAGGCTGAGAAAGGTATTTCACCTCCAACCCAACTGTTTTAACTGGAGGTGTCAGGGATTGAAACGCTGACCTTAAGCATATGAAGACTACAGTCCCCTCCTGCAGACAGAATTAGGTACATCTGTGGGGAGTTTCAGCCCAACATTGTTATTTAAAATAGCAACATGCATTCCACTGATCCTCCACCATGTATCCCAGATTGTTGGTTCTTCCATTTAAGATGCTCTCTTGGTTCCATTTTTCAATATTCTGCTGCTGAGAGTTTCCTCTTGGGCCGATGGAATGTTTTGCAGACGTTCTGTGACATCAGAAGCATCTCAGCCAATGGCTGCTGGGGGCTTGCAGGCAAAAGGCAGATTTTGAGAGGGCCACAGAAGTTATGAGCTTCCTTACTGGGAAGGGGTTTGTATTGTAGAGAAGGAAGACTCTGGAAGCAGCCTGTTGTGAGGAGCCCTGAGACAGCTGGTTCTCATGAAGGCTGCAGAGAAGTCTCTCCTACTCTGAGCATCACATGCTTTGTCTTGCAGATGAGCGAGAGGCCGTGCAGAAGAAAACCTTCACCAAATGGGTCAACTCTCACCTGGCTCGGGTCACGTGCCGGATCAGTGATTTGTACAGCGACTTGCGAGATGGGCGGATGTTGCTGCGCCTGCTGGAGGTGCTCTCAGGGGAGCAATTGGTGAGTGGGCAGAGCAGTTCCATCACAGGCCTGGGGCTGGGGGCCAGCTTCCTAGAACTGGAGCAACACAGTGCACCAAAACCTCAAATTTGCAGTAAGAAAAATTAAGTGTCAATGTATTCATTAAATATATATATATATATTTGGCAGGGTTCTTTTTAAAGATGGTGCCTCTCAAGGGCTTATTAATATATTTTCAAAGAACAAAAATTAAGCAGTAGTGCAAAGTAGTAACATGCCAAATCCAATACTTTACATCTGTTCCTCCCCTTCGTTTCCTAAACTTTCTATCCACTCATCTGTTTGCTGGCTTCCTCCTAGGAAAGCTGATGGGCAATAAATTCAGTATTGGTTAAAAAATAGAATTAGGGTTGGTTTTTTATTTTATTTTAAGGAAAGGCTTCTTCATGAAACATTCATGAAATTTAATGACTTAACCAGGAGAATATCAACACTTTTGCAAGCACATTTTAAGTTAGAACAATAGGCTTGAAAATGTGTCATCTCCCCAGGGGATTGCTTGTCTTTCACTGACATTGATTTTTTATGTGAGTTGGCAGTAAGAATGCAAAGTGTTGATGCTCCTCATTCTCATAGCAGCCATTTTGCTGGTATTATCATGTTGTTTGGATGCCTGATTTTCATCTTCCAAAGCAACAACTCTATTTCGAACTTAAAAATGGAAAGTAATGCTTGGTGGTCAACAAAAGAGGTTTAAAGACTCCCTCAAGGCAAATCTGAAAAAAAATGTAGTATAAACATTGACAATTGGGAAACACAGGCCTGCGAGCGCTCCAGTTGGAGAATAGCCTTTACCAAAGGTTCCATGGGCTTTGAAGATCCTCAAAATGAAAGGGAGAAATATGCTAAGAAGAAGGCACATTTGGCAAACTCTCACCATGAGCAAATCCTGTCCGGAAACTTATGTCCCCACTGTGGAAGGATGGGAGGGGATGGAATAGGGTTTTTCTTAACAACTCTCAGCACCCAGAAGCCATGGCTGTTTAAAGTGGTATCACAGTGCTTTAAAGGTATAGTGTGAATGTGGCCTAACTAAAATGTTTATCTTGCAAGAAGGCTAGTGTGGTCTGTACTTTTCCTAAAATACACCTCACTTGCTACTGATGATGTCTGACATCTTATGGGCACCCAGCTTAATGAAATTTTGATATAAATGAGTTATTTCTGCACCGATTCATCAACACAATATGAAAAATCATTGTCACCATTATTATTCCTACCAGTATGAGAACGTCTGTTTTTGAGTCTGTTTTCCCCATTATTTTTTTAATTGTGTAAAACTTGACATGGGGTCATCATTTTGTACTTAGAGGCTCCTCCTATTCTGAGGCCTCAACTGTAATTTTGTGTTTGTGTGTACAAATCTAGCTGAGAGAAGATTTATCCTTTAATAGAAATGAATATAGCAGCCTCCAGCTGTGCTGGTATGCATCAAACAAACTGGATAAATAATTTTGCAGAATGCCTTGGCGTTTTCTCAAATACAGTTAATTATTGGAAAACCCAGTTCAGGTGTATTATACAGATTCATAGCCCCCAAAAACTTTCATTTCCTAAATGCCGAATCATGGAAATGCTTTGCTCAAGACACCCATTACTGATGAGGACCTTAAACCATGTGTCTACAATGCACACACACAAAGTGGTGAACTACAATGACATCACCCAGTGGTTGTGACTGTGCATGCCCACAGGTGTGGCAAATTATTTGTGCTGCACCGTCTCAGAGAAATGTATTATTTGGTTGAATTAATAGGGGATCCTTTGAAAGGCTTGCTGTATGGGAACAAATCTCGCCAGACTGTTGGGATAAAGCCTAGTGATGACTGGTTCCCATGTCTCTGCCACGTCTCCTTAAACCTTTCCAGGCTAGGCCAACCTCAGCCCCCACCCACCCCTGAATAGAGAGCCAAGCACCTGTTCCCAGAATTCCACGCTTCGCCTCCCTTGCAGCCAAAAGGAAAACAGCCTGTTCGCAGCCTAAGTGAGGCAGTTTTTCCGGTTTCCAAGCAGCCTGGCAGCTAGACTGTCTCTGCTTGGCAGCTTGGCAGGTGCTTCTGTTATGGCTGCTGAATTCCCTGGGTAGTATTATCAGAGAGACACTGAAGCATGCTAGAAGATGCTGGAGATCTGAGGAATTATGGGAACTGAGCAGGTTTAACCAAGGTTTTGAAGGGCCACAGCTCAGTGGTAGAGCACCTGCTTTCCAAGCAAATAGGCCCTGGTTCAGTTCCCTGGATCTCCAGGTATGGCTAGAAAGGACTTGGGGAGTCTGCTGCCAGCACTGGGCCCTCCAAGGAGCTCAAGGTGGTGTTCATGGTTCTCTTCTTCCCCATTTTATCCTCACAACAACCCTGTGAGGTGGGTTAGGCTAAGCCAGTGAGCTTCATGACAGAGTGGGGATTTGAACCTTGGTCTCTCCCAGGTCCTAGTCCGGCGCTCTAACCACTACACCACTCTGAAAGGATAGTGGTGGCACTGAGTATCCTGAAAGTGAAATGCTTAGTTTGCTGCAGCGGGCGAGAGGATGGTGACCTAACGATACCTGAGAGGCTACAGGAGAGATGGGAAGGTGTTGGGACTCCCAATTCCCATCAGCCCCAGCTGTCGGCACTTTGGCCAGTGGTCAGGGAGTTGTAGTCCAGTAAGTAACCTCCGTAGGGCCCAGTGGGTTCCCCATCCCTTGGCACCAATCGTGTTTGGAAAGATTTCAACATCAGTAGAAGACCAATGAATGCATTTTAGTCCATGAAAGGCACAATCCTGATCTAATCAGAAAGAAATCAGCAGTGCATTGCATCCACAAATGACCCTTGGGGATGGGAGAAATAGAAGGGGCGCGAGATGAAAAGCAAAGTTCTTAAATGGCATCAGTGGATGACTTAAGAGCCTCCCTTTCATGTCCCAACCTCCGCTCCTCTTCCCATCCTCAAGGTCTGCGCTGTCATTTTCTCCCCTCAAACTCCACCCGCCCAAGCAACAGCCTGTTTAAGGGCAGGAGGTTTGCTTTGCAAAAGGAGAGGACATTCTTCTCATAGGTAGGGCACTTTCTCTGCCGCTCCTTCAGGGGTTTTGAACCTCAGCGACTCCTCGGGCAACTCTTGTCTGGGAATGTCGTGTAGGAAGGCAGCTCCGATGCCAGTCCAACCGGCTCCCTGGCAGGTGCAACCCTGGTGTCTTCGCGCCAGGTATACTCAGAAGCAGGCGGCAGAGCATGCTGGGAGGGGTGGTGGTGGAAGCACCTGACTGGGTTGCAAGGAACAATTAGGACTTTCCAAGAGGAGGCGGCGGCGGTGGGTTGGTACATGCCAGCAGCATCCTGGCTAAGGGAGGTGCACCTTCTCTTGCACACACAGTCACTAGCTAACTATTTTAAAGTATCCTTTTTGCCCCACCTTCCATTACAGGTTTGCAAAATATGTGCTAAAAAGTAAACTAGAATGAAAACAATCAAATAGATAATAGTGGCAGATCAAATAATAAGTGAGCTACTAAAAGCTGGTTGGTTTTTACTTGTTTTTTAATAAAGCAATAAGTTAAAAAAACAAACAAACTGGCATCTGAAACATCTCACATGTGATGCCGAATGAATCATAGGCTGGAAGGGACCCTACGGATCATCTAGTCCAGGGGTTGGCAACCTTTTTCAACCGTGGGCCGATCCACCGTCCCTCAGACCATATGGTGGGCCGTTCTATATTTTTTTTTTGGGGGGGAGGGAAATGAACAAATTCCTATGCCCCACAAATAACTCAGAGAGGCATTTTAAATAAAAGCACACATTCTACTCATGTAAAAACACCAGGCAGGCCCCACAAATAACCCAGAGATGCATTTTAAATAAAAGGACACATTCTACTCATGTAAAAACACGCCGATTCCCGGATCGTCCTTGGGCTGGATTGAGAAGGCGATTGGGCTGCATCTGGCCCCCAGGCCTTTGGTTGCCTACCCCTGATCTAGTCCAACCCCCTGCAATGTAGGAATATGAACCTGTCCTATACAGGGATCGAACCTGCAACCTTGACACGAGCTATCCCAGCTGGTATGAACATGAAAGAAAGACAGGTCTCTGTGACTGACTGGGTGGCCCTGGCCTTATTTATTTGATCCGTTGCATTTATATTCCGCCTTTTGCTCCAGGGAGCTCAAGGCAATGTGTGTGGCTCTCCTCATTTCATCCCCACACCAACCCTGAAAGGTAGTTGAGGATGAGAGGCAATGGTTGTCACAAGGTCACCAAATGAGCTCCATGGCTGAGCATGGATTTGTTCCCTACTCTCCTAAACCATAGCTCAACACTCTAACCTCCGACACCACCACTGGCTGAGCACCTGCTCTGCATGCAAAAGCTCCTTGGCTCCATCCCTGGCATCTCCAGGTAGGGCTGGGAAAGACCTTAGGAACATAGGAAGCTGCCTTATACTGAGTCTGACTGGTGATCTTTCTAGCTCAGCATTGTCCACACTGACTGGCAGCAGCTCTCCTGGGTTCTCTGGCAGCCCTTCCTCACAGACCTACAATTGCCAGAGTGGTTTAACAATCAATCCCTCGTTCCAGGGAACTTGGGGAATTGTAGCTCTGTGCAGGGAATAGGGGCCTCCTGGCAACTCTCTGTACCTTTAACAAACTACAGCTCCCAGAATCCTGTGGGGGAAGCCACAACTCTTTAAAGTGATGGTGTGCTGCTTTAAATGCTTGGTGTGAGTGTGGTCTTGCATCCTTGGGATTAGAAACGGTAGGTGTGCTTGGTGGCAGAGGAAAAGCACTCGGCACCAGCTCATGGGTACTACACTCATCCCCTGGCAGAGTTACTGGTTAAAATTAAGGCCTATCTCTCTCTCTCTCTTTCTCCTCTCACCCTGCTTTTGTTAGCCGAAGCCGACCAAGGGCCGGATGCGCATACACTGCCTGGAGAACGTGGACAAGGCCCTCCAGTTCTTAAAGGAGCAGCGCGTCCACCTGGAGAACATGGGCTCACACGATATTGTTGACGGCAACCACCGATTGACCCTGGGCCTCATATGGACCATCATTCTCCGCTTCCAGGTACAACCTGAGCCATGCCTTTTCCCCTTTCCCTCCCCCTTAAGGAACTTGCCTTGATTTCCCCTTGACTGAGGTGTTTGTAACCCAAGATAGCACTGTATACGCATTCTCCCTCCAATAGTGAAAGGAGAACTGAGATATTGTTATTCTGGCTTCTTTTGCAGATTCAGGATATCAGTGTGGAGACAGAAGATAACAAGGAGAAGAAATCCGCCAAGGATGCCTTGCTGCTTTGGTGTCAGATGAAAACAGCTGGGTAAGAGAATAAGTGGGGGACTGTGAGTCAGGGGTTTCCCCTTCCCTGTTTGGGCTTGAGGTTAGGAGCTGGCTGCCTCTGAGGCTAAATCCAACTCAGCTAGATGTGACACAGCCAAGGTTTAATATTACTACACTTGGATGTTTCAAGAAGCCAGAAGGGGAAATATGCATTTCAGTTGTAGTGACCTGTCTCAAACGTTCAAGGGAGGGCTGGGTTCAAGAACGTGAAACAAAGCAAAATAAATAAGCCTATCCCCTGCCCCCCACTGTGTGTTTACAGGTATCCAAATGTGAATGTCCACAACTTCACCACCAGCTGGAGGGACGGCCTGGCTTTCAACGCAATTGTCCACAAACACAGGTCAGTGAAGGTTGGTTGGGGCCTGTCATGGCTTCGTAGCAGCTCGCTCCATCTTGTATGCTTTGGGGGAGGGTAAGGCTATCAGTGGCTACCAGCCACAATGGGCATGTTCCAGCTCCATTGTTGGAGGCAATACGCCTCTGAATACTAGTCCCTGGGAATCACAAGTGAGGAGAGTGCTGTTGCGCTCAGGTCTTGCTTGTGGGCCACTGTGAGAACAGGGTCCTGCACTAGATGGGCCACTGGCCTTGTCATGAAGTAGTGATTCTGCGAGCAAATATCGCTGATCTAGCAGGCTGTTCTTATGCTTACTTTGGTGTCCTCATCAGGCCAGACCTGATAGACATTGACACCCTGAAGAAATGCAACGCACACTACAACCTCCAGAATGCCTTCAACATTGCCGAAAAGGAACTGGGCCTCACCAAGCTTTTAGACCCTGAAGGTGAGCTCAGCAGGGAGGGCACCTGGATCTCTGTTCCTGTTTTTCTCTGTTGGCTTGGCCACATGTTTGTTTGTTTGTTTGTTTGTTTGTTTGTTTTAAAAAATCACACAAAAAAATCAAACCTCCTAAGTGGTTTGCAATAATAATAATAATAAAAGAATTTACCTTAAAGTTATCAGTAAAAGTGAAAATTAAAAGCAGATTTTAAAACAGTCAAAATGGAATTTAAACCAGCAGTTTAAATAGCTTAAAACACATATCAGCTTGTACATGTCAATGGGCAGGGAGTTCCAGAGTGTAGGAACTGCCACAGTCTAAAATTGGTTCCTTACTAGTGCAAAATGAACTTGTAAAAGTGCTAGCTTTGCAGAGGAAAGTGGATGAGTGGGTGCGTATGAGGTAAACTGGTCTGAAGGGCTTTATATACTAACAGTTGCACCTTGAACTTGGACCAGCAAAACATCAGCAGTGAGTACAGATTTCTGAGCTGGGGTGTTATATGCTGACTGGATATCATGCCTGTCAACACTGTAGCATTCTGCGCTAACTGCAGTTTTCGGCCAAAGCGCAGAGGAGGCCCCACAGAGAAAACATTGCAGTAATCCAGTATCGAAGTTATCAGTGGCTGCACTACTGCGATCAAGCTTTCCTGGTCCAGGAATTAGTCGCAGCTGCCATGCCAGCCAAGCATTGTAAAAGGCACTTCTAGCCTCCGAGGCTCCCTGGGCCTCCAGTGACACTGAACAAACTAAAATGATGGTGGTGACCATCTGGAAAAAGAGCCATTCTTTGTCCTGTTTCTCTTGCTCCTCTTTATTCTTCCACTTCTCCCTAGATGTGAACGTGGACCAGCCTGATGAGAAGTCCATCATCACCTATGTGGCCACTTACTACCACTACTTCTCCAAAATGAAAGCCTTAGCTGTGGAAGGGAAACGGATTGGGAAGGTACCATGAAGAGGGCTGTGGTGGGAGCTGGGGAGCGCTGGGAGCCGAAATGCACTTGGATTCCAATGCCACCGGGGTTGCAGGAAGAAGGGCAGGCATTTGAGGAGATGGGTGATATATTTTGCTGGGACAACCTGTGTGCAGGAGGTAGCTCAGTTGGTTAGGGCGTGGTGCTGATAACCCCAAGGTTGCAGGTTTGACACCTATATGGTACAGCTTCATATTCCTGCATTGCAGGGGGTTGAATTTGATGGTCCTCAGGTTCCCTTCCAACTCTAAAATTCTATTATTCTTCCAATTCTAAGATTCTTAGGTGCAGAAAAAGCTTTCAGTCTTCACCAAACTTGTCCTCAGGGTGGGGTGAGTGGGTGGCAAACAATGCAGAATATTAAAAGGATATTTTAGGTGCTTTTAAAAGCACAACTCCAGATCTTGCACCAGGAATGTCTATTCTGTGTCCCTCTAGATGTTGTTGGACCTGCAGCCAATGGTCAGGGATGGTGGAAGTGTAGTCTAGCAACATCTAGAGGGACACACAGTCCCACATCTCTGGTCCCCTTCCCTACCCTGCCATGTGGTTTGCTCTGTCTCAAAACTCAGCTCTGCCATCTATCCAGGGCAGGACTGGACCACAGCTGAGCTATAAGGAGCCGAGTTATAGACAAGATTAGATTGTTTTATCCATTTTGGGACTGTTTGGATCAGCTGGTCTGCAAGAGAGCCTGGTTTAGATCAGATTGGATTATTTAATCCCACTTATCTGGCCCGAAGACTCCCAAAGTGGATTATAAAATTTAAAAAGAATGAAACAAATCGGAAAGCCAAACAGCACCAGGTCTGGGCATGCTCAAACATTCACCCTTGCCCATATTCTCCCTCAAGAAAGGCTGGGTAAGAGAAGGCAGCATTACTCACTGTTTCCTAAAGGTGCTTGTAGCACCCAGAGGTGACGTAACCAAAAACTGCCGGCACTTCAGATTGGGCCAGGATGCAAATTAGGCAGCCGTTGCAGGTGAGGCAAGTCTAGACCAACATGCTTCTAGGAAGGGGTGCGGGTCTTTTGTTCACCAGCCCCTTCCCAGGGTGTCTGAGTGATGCAGGTTCCCGCAACAGGTCCTGGACCATGCCATTGAGGCCGACAAGCTGATAGAGAAGTACGAGACGCTGGCCTCTGACCTTCTGCAATGGATTGAGCAGACCATCTTGACACTGAATGACCGGAAGCTGGCCAACTGTCTGAGCGGAGTGCAGAATCAGCTGCAGGCCTTCAACACCTACCGCACTGTGGAGAAACCCCCCAAGTAAGTTCTGGCCTTTGTGGACCTGGCGGTGAGCGAGGAGGAAGATATTCAGTGGGGTCATGGTAAATCACAGGTAGGGAGCCTCAGGCACAGAGGGACAGATGTGGTCCTCCAGGCTCTCAGAACTCTTCCCAGGTCACACCCCAGTAGGGGGAAGATATAAAAAAATAAAAAAATTGCCCAGTAGCACCTTAGAGACCAACTAAGTTTGTTCTTTGTATAAGCTTATTAGCTTGGTATAAGTGTGCATGCACACAACAGCTTATACCAAGAACAAACTTAGTTGGTCTCTAAGGTGCTACTGGACAATTTTTTTATATATTTTGACTGTGTTAGACCAACACGTTTACCTACCCGAATCTAGAACCCCAGTAGGGGGAGTTGTTGGATGCTGAAGAGGCAATGGGATTTAGTGAGCAAGGAGAGCCTGTGACAAGGTGTAGTTCAGACTCAGAGGCTGAAGTAGAGGAGGGGCGTGAAACAAGGGGCTGCAGAAGAATCCCAGGAGTCTGTCTCTCTGACTGCAACAATCTCCCCTCCCTCCCCCCCCCCATCTCCAAGGACATGCAGGATGATGCATACAGCAGAACAGAGATTACAGGTTCCCAGATGCAGTTTGAGACTGCTTGGGAAACATCCAGCAGAGGAGGATTCTTAGAGGGGGTTGAAGGCAGGGGCTGTCAGTCCTGGCAACTACTGTATAGGGGCAAGATTTGCTGGGTAGTGTTGCTGAGTTGAATGCTGTTTCTTTGGATAAAGAGTTAACTTCTCTGACAAATTGCTTCTTGCTTGCTGACCTCAAGAGCATTTTGCCTGGATATGTGCTTGAGTTGGGGTAATATTACTCGCTTGTCTTAATGGGGGAAGGAAAAGTGTGTGTGTGTAGAAACCTGTGACTTGTCTGTGGCTTTGCAAACTCTACAAAGGCAGGAGTCGCACCTGCTGCTCCACCCATGGCCCCACCTTCCACTGGCATGTGGGCCCTGGAAGCCTGCCAAGGAGGGAAGGTGGCCCTTGGGGCTGCAAAAGGCTCCTGTGGCTAATGATTGAAGTGCAAGAGCTCATCATGGCAGCCATGCTAGCCACACCCACAAGAAGAGCCCAAAGTGCAGGCAGACACACACACACACACACACACACACACACACACAAGCACACAAGCTTCCATCCCGCAAGAGCTGCAATTTACAGCACAGTGCCCAATTTGTTAGGATTAGCTGGCAGTCATAGAACAGAATAAGTAAAAATCATTAAACATTAACAAAAGATTTTTAGCCAGGTGAAATACTACCTTTAGCTTCTAATTAGGAAAGCAAACAATCTTTCAAAAAAGCGTTACCGCCTTTTCAACTGCTAGCCTGAAATAGCAACCCCATCAAAGGAGGGGGGGATAAAATATCCTGCCTCTGCTTGATTATATTTCCTCATTCTCTACCTTTATCTCTGCCAGGGGTGGGGGACCAGTGGGCCACATCAGAAGCCAGCCAATCCTTTGCATTTCACAGGAGATAATTGATCTCACCCCAAAGCTGCGGGCCTTACATTTGGTGCCAAATTTAAATTAAATGCAAAGGAACAGGGCACACTCTTAAACCATGAACTCCCAGTTGCTCCTGGGCAATCCCAGCTTTACCTGTCTTATATCAAGTGCCCTATGGCATCAGGTGAGTGACAAGTGGTGTGTGGCTGGCCAAGAATGGCCTCATGGGCCACATGGGGTGATCTGGTGGGCCTAAATTGGACCATGGGTTGGAGGTTCCCTGTTGCTGCTCTGTGCTATCACAAACAATCTTGAAAGACCCATGCACTTGCCTGAAGAAGGAAGTTCCATCAATTACTGTGGTGCTCCAGCAGATGGTGGCATCACTCCAGCTCTAAATAAAGTCCCAGAGCTGCTTGCCCTGCATAGCCCCTCCACTACAGTGCTGGAAAAGCATGCGCTATTGTTGTGGGTGCTGGAAGAATGTGTGTCTGTCTTCTGTAGGATGTCGGGAGGCAGTGATTTCCATCACGTGTTCACCGCAGTCAGTGCTGTTGCTGTTCTGTTGCAGTTCGGCTTCTGTTAAAACCTACACTGTTCATCTAACTATTTGCTAAGGCTGAAGCTAACATAATTGATTGCGTGATTAATTTCGGGGGAAGGGAAACGTCAAAAACAATGCAGAAAATAGTGTAATGTAACATTTGAAGGCTAAGAAAACAATCATAGCAAATGCCATTTGTGTGTGATTTCCATATAAATTGTTGAAATTTCTGCTCCAATTTCCAGTGGAATTCTCTGACTTACAAAGTCTCCTGAAAGTTCCTGCATGCTCGTTAACAGTGAGAAAGGGGCCTCATGCAAAGTAGTTTTGAAATGTGCATTCTTGCTCCTAAACCTGGCTTGCTGTTCCCCTTTCTCCCTCTGCCCACCTCCTCTGCATGCATTATCCTACTCCCAGGTTCACAGAGAAAGGGAATCTTGAAGTTCTGCTTTTCACCATCCAGAGCAAGATGAGAGCCAATAACCAAAAGGTTTACACGCCACGAGAGGGGAGGCTCATCTCTGACATCAACAAGGTGAGTGCCATGGACTGGCTGGACGAAGAGGTGGGAGGCTCCAGCCAGGGAACCCCCAAGGGAAACCCTAGAGGAGGAAGGCTCAGAGCCAATGGATTGGTGGTGGAACACTGGGGGTCAGAGAGCCACTGATACTACTGAACTTGATGGCCCAACTGGGCTGTTAGGGTACAAGGCAACTTTCTGGGTCCCTGTGCTGACTGGTCGGGGGTTGGGCCTGGGACATTCTGCATGCACAGCATGTGCTCTAAGTTGTGCTCCCACCACTGGAACTTAGGACACTGCCTTAGACTGAGGCCGGCAACTTGTTCATATTGCCAGGATTATTGACACTGGGCTCCACCGCTGCACTTCCTCTGTAGAACTGTGGGTTGGGAGGGCGGTGTTACTTAGGACCTGTCCATTTGCCCAAGGAAGCACACTTGAGAGTATATTTTGTTGGTGTTCCTGGGTAGCTGAGGCCTAGTGCTTACCAATCTGCAGGTGTTAAATATGTGTGCTGTATTTGGTGCATCTGTGTCTGAATCTACTAGAACCACCTTGATTTTAAAGAAATGCAGGCGGGAAACACATTATACGATGAAGCAAACAAATAGTTATGCCCAGGTTCAGCTGATATTTGTCGATTCCAAATAGAAGCCATCAGCTAACAATGATTAATGATTAATAGGCAAGTCCATTCATTTGGGCAATTTCCTGGAATCTGGATTTAATTTTAATCAAGGATCAGCTCATGAACTCATTTCCAGTTGAGCACTGCAATAATAATTAGAATAATAATGGGGAGCATTGCCTCTGAGCATGTGCAGAATACATTGAAAATTCTGCAGCCAAAGCTTCAAAGCAAACTGAATCCCTTCTCCTTTGAAAGAAATTAAAACACTTGTTTTGGAAATGTTTGTCTCCATGATTTCCTTCCTCCTCCACAGGGCTGGGAGCGGCTGGAGAAAGCAGAGCATGAGAGAGAGCTGGCGCTGCGCAATGAGCTGATTCGGCAGGAGAAGCTGGAGCAACTGGCAGCACGCTTTGACCGCAAGGCAGCCATGCGCGAGACCTGGCTGAGTGAGAACCAGCGCCTCGTCTCCCAGGTCAGTGAAAGGAGGAGGAGGAGGAGCATTTAGGTTGTGTCTAGGGGCAGATCCACACCATACATTTAAAGCACATCCAGTGCACATTTAAAGCATATGACATCCCCCAAAGAATCTTGGGAACTGCATTCAGCTTCATTGGGACCTTTGAAGGTGGCTTGGAAACTACAGTTAGTCCGGAATACGGCTGCCAGACTGGTGACTGGGAGCGGCTTCCCAGACCCAGCTAAAGGATCTTACATTGGCTCCCAGTAGATTCCGAGCACAATTCAAAGTGTTGGTGTTGACCTTTAAAGCCCTTTGGTTCTGCATACCTGAAGGAGCGTCTCCACCCCCATTGTTCAGCCCGGCCTCCAAGGGCCTTCTGGCAGTTCCCTCACTGTGAGAAGTGAAGCTACAGGGAACCAGGCAGAGGTCCTTCTTGGTAGTTGCACCTGCCCTGTAGAATGCCCTCCCATCAGATGTTCAGGAGATAAACAACTATCTTCTGACTTTTGGAAGACATCTGAAGGCAGCCCTGTATAGGGAAGTTTAAAATGTCTGATGTTTTAGTGTGATATTATTATATTATATTATATTATATTATATTATATTATATTATATTATTATAATGTTTACTACTAATAATAATAATTAGAGGAAAAACTTACTCTATTCACTTTCTCCATGCCATGCATTGAGGAGAATCGCTCCATTCCTTTGATCATTTTGGTGGCACTTTTCTGAACCTGGAGTATCTTTCTCTCTGTCTGATCTGGGAGAGCGGGAGGGACGGACAACCTTACCCCAGCATCCTGAAGAATGAGATTCTTTCTCTCCTGCTCTGCAACCTGCAGGATAACTTTGGCTTGGACATTTCGGCGGTAGAGGCCGCAGTGCGGAAACATGAAGCCATCGAGACGGACATCGTGGCATATAGTGAGCGTGTGGCAGCAGTGAATGCGGTGGCAGCTGAGCTGGAGGCGGAGGGGTACCATGACATCAAGCGGGTGTTGGCGCGCAAGAACAACGTGGCGAGGCTCTGGGACTACTTGCGCGAGCTGGTGGCTGCCCGCCGGGAGCGCCTGATGCTCCATTTTGAGCTGCAGAAGATGTTCCAGGACTTGGCCTACCTCATGGATTGGCTGGAAGAGATGAAGGTAGCTGGCGAGGCTGTGGTGTGCAAGAGGGGTGATGCTTGAGAGTGCATTTCCTGCATTGGAGGGGTGTATGTGTTGGACTATGCCACCTTTGAGGTCATGTCCAGTGCTATGGATTGCATCAGAATAGGGGAAGAGGCCATAGCTTCATGGGAGACCACCTGCCCTGTACACAGAGGATCCCAGCTTCAACCCCCAGCATGTCCAGGTAGGGCTAGGAGAGAAGCCTGCCTGAAACCCTGGAGAGTTGCTGCCAGTCAGTGTATATAACATATAGCTAGATGGACCAATGGGTCTGATTTGGTGTGAAGCAGCTTCCAGGGTTCCTATCGCTACCAGATGCAGAAACCTCTGAAGCCAACAGGAGTGTTGCCTTTGGGCCCTGTCCGGGGCAGCGTAGTAAATTGTCCTGGAGTCAATGACTGCTGAGGTCCTTTCCAATTCTGATATTATGAATTCGCAGATTATTATTTATTTCTATTGGCCGAGAAAGAGAAGTGAGGGAGCTTCATGTTTAGAGACTCACCTGCCCTGGAAGACCCTAGTGGGGAGAGGGAAGGGCAGCTTTGCCTAGGAACCCCCTTCGTCTTTTCTATTGTATCCCCGAGCAGGGTGGTTGAGATGAGGCCAGGCGTCAGGTCTCCCTCATCCTGTGCTGCCTTTCCTCACAGGGCCGCCTTCAGTCTCAGGACTTCGGGAAACACCTGCATGGCGTGGAGGACCTGCTGCAGATCCACTCTCTGGTGGAGGCCGACATCTCCGTCCAGGCCGAACGGGTGAAAGCCATCAGTGCCGCTGCCCAGCGCTTTGCCACCCCTGGGGAAGGTGAGAGCCTCAGGAGCTTGAAAAGGAAGTATGGATGGAGGGAGGGGGAACAGAGTGGGAGTGCCCTTGGCTCCCCATTTCAAAACCTTATCTCCCAACTTTCCCCTCTTTCCTATCTGTCTTGCTGTTCCAGAGCAGTTGTAGGATTCTCTGTGCAACATGGGATTTGCTAAAATGATCAGTGTGACTCCACTGCAAATTATCATTCCTTTATTGTGGGTAAAGTGGTAGGTGTAGGGAGCAGGTTGAAGCCCAAGTAGGGAGCGTCAATCTCTGCTGCTGATTTTGCGAAAGTTGACAGGAATGCGGCTCCTCACTTCGGTTTTCCTGCCTGCAGCTTACAAGCCCTGTGACCCCCACCTTGTCCAAGAGCGCGTGGCAACACTGGACCGCTGCTATCGGGAGCTGGTGGCGTTGGCAGCGCAACGGCGTGACAAACTGGAAGAGTCGCGCCGCCTTTGGAAGTTCTTCTGGGACATGGGCGAGGAGGAGGCCTGGATCCGGGAGCAGAGCCAGATCCTGTCGTCGGGCGACTTTGGCAAGGACCTGACGAGTGTGTTGCGCCTGACCAGCAAGCATAACGCCTTCCGCGATGAGATGAGTGGCCGTGCTGGCCCGCTGCAGCAGAGCATAGCCGAAGGCCGCCAGCTGGTTGCCGAGGGCCACTTTGGGGCTGCCGAGGTGGCTGAACGGATCCGGGAAATCGAGGAGCAGTGGGATCAGCTGGAGGCGCTGTCCCGAGAACGGGAGCAGCGCCTTCTCCAGGCCTCCAATCTCTACCAGTTCCAGGCGGACGCCAACGACATGGAGGCCTGGTTGCTGGATGCGCTGCGCTTGGTGTCCAGCTCTGAGGTGGGCCATGATGAGTACTCCACCCAGAGCCTGGTGAAGAAGCACAAGGATGTGGAGGAGGAGATCCACAACCACCGCCCTGCCCTCGACGCCCTCCACGAGCAGGCCCGGAGCCTGCCCCCTGCCTTTGCCCATGCCCCTGAGGTGGACGGGCGGCTCCCTGCACTGGAGCAGCGCTACGAGGAACTGGTTGCGCTCGCCGAGCATCGCAAGCAAGCCCTGCAGGACGCTCTCAACCTTTACAAGATGTTCAGCGAGGCAGATGCGTGTGGGCTCTGGATTGGGGAGAGGGAGTACTGGATCGAAACGATGGATGTCCCTGAGAAGTTGGAAGACCTTGAAGTGGTTCAGCAAAGGTGAGTAGGTTCAACCAGCAGCTACCTTGTTCCCCCTTCTAGCCCAGGAGTGGAGGGTCGGTGGGTTCTTCAAAGTAAATACTTCATACTGTTTGCAGTTAAACTCTGGCAGGCCTAGGGAACATCCAGCCCGTGGATTTAAGTAGACCCAGCACGAGTCCTCGTTTGGCCCATGAGGCCCATTCCACAAATCACAGCCATCTGTGTGACACCTGACATCATACATGACATCACAGTACTATATGACACCACAGCATTACGTACCGTGTCATATGTGACTCCATTCGTTTTAAGCACTGTTACACCATTTTAGCAGACACTGAGAATCCTGAGGACCGTAGTTTGTTAAGGGTGCCGACCTCACAGAGTTCCCAGCATCCTTAACTGACTACGGTTCCCAGGATTCCCCCATGATGGTTAAAATGCTAAAAGTAGTGCTTTAAACGTATTGTGTGGTCGTGAGAGAGTGGAGACCCATGTTCAGAGCCCTCCTTGTCCCTGAATCTTTTTGGGTGACCTTGCGCCAGGTTGCTCTTGTCTCTTGGGCTAACCTACCTCAAAGGGTTGTTGTGAGGATAAAATGGGTGTGGTCGCCATGTACTCTGCCTTGACCTTCCTTAGGTGGAACTGGGAGGGGGGAGAAGATGAAATGTAAATGCAGTTAATTAATAAATTAATTCAATCTCTCGCCCACTTCTCGTTCGGTCCTTGTTGTCTCAGGTTTGAGACTCTGGAGCCAGAGATGAATAACCTGGCCTCCCGCATTGCAGCAGTGAATGAGATTGCGAGCCGGCTTCTGGGAACTGACCACAGGAACAAGGACAGCATCCAGGCCACTCAGGAACAGCTCAATGCCAGGTGGGGAATCTACAAGTGTGTGTGTGTGTGTGTGTGTGCGCGCGCACGCGTGACCAGGAAGATGGTGCAGTGGTTTGAGTGATTGACAAGCCTGACCCAAGAAATCTGAAAGATCACCTCCTTCCATACAGACCTTCTCAGGTGTTAAGATTGGCAGAGAGGGCCCTCAGAAGTGTGGTTTGTGTATGTGACGGCCCCCAAACTAGAATTCTTTTACTGCAGAGCTGTATCTGGCACCTTCATTGTATAGTTCTTGTCATATGCTCCTTACCTGAGATTTTATAGGGACGTGGGTTGCACTGTGGTCTAAACCACTGAGCCTCCTGCACTTGCTGATTGGAAGGTTGGCAGTTCAAATCCACCTGACGAGGTGAGATCCTGTTGCTCTGTCCCAGCTTCTGCCAACCTAGCAGTTGGAAGGCACGCCAGTGCAAGTACTTAAATAGGTACCAGTGTGGCAGGAAGGTAAATGACATTTCCTTGTGCTCTGGTTTCTGTCATTGTGTTCTGTTGCGCCAGAAGCGGTTTAGTCATGATGGCCACATGACCCGGAAAGCTGTGGACAAATGCTGGCTCCCTCAGCCTGAAGAGAGATGAGTGCCCCACCCCATAATCGCCTTTGACTGCACCTTTTTACCCCCCCCTTTTTTTTTAAATCTGAGATATGTTTTTAGGACCACCTTATTCTTTCATTTGTAAAAAGTTGTAACCTGCCTATTGAAAGGTGGGTAAGAGATCTGAAGAACAACATTGTTGTGTAGAAAGTAGCTGACATTCGATTATTTCATTTTATTTTTTTAAAACAATAAGTAATTGTCAATATATCAATAATTTTAAGTATTAGATGCATAAAGTTCCTATTGGGAATATAAATTAACAATTTATCATGCATGAGAAAATCGGATAATAATAATAATAATAATAATAAAATAATAATAATAATAATATAAGAAAGAAATAATATAAGAAAGAAATAACAGTGACTATGAAATATACCTAATGACATGTGGTTTTTTTTATTATCTTGTACTTTCTGGTGGGTTGGGTGGACACCTGAACAATGTGGTTGGGGCGGCTGCTGGCGGGAAAGGGGAATCGCCCAACCTCAGCCTTAGATCCTAAAGTTTAAGGAAGTTTGTCGAAGGAAAGCTTATCCTCCTCCACCTGCGCCCTATCATCTCACATTGTTCTGGAGGGTCCCTGACCAACCCCCCTCCCGAAAGGCTTTTTGGGGTTGAAGTGGCTGCAGGGGGTAAGAGAGAACGAGAAGCTTTCCTTCCATTGACTTCTGTAAGCTAACTTAGGTTCCAAACCAGTAGCTATCCATTTTCTGCCTTTTCATGACATTGTATTTAGCTCCCTAAGGCCACTGCTCTCTCACTTTGACTAAGGCTGGGGGTGAGGACTAGATCTGTGGGCCAGATCCTTACTTTGACCTGCCCACCTGACAAAAGAGGAGGCTGGATTCCTCACATGAGCCAGAGGTTCCCCACCACTAGGCCCTGGACCTGAGTGGGAAATGAAGACGAAAATGTTATCTTTCAATATATGAGTTTCACATTAAAAATGGAGGTGGTGGCCACGGCAGCGTTGAACTGGATCTTCCCTCCTTCCCCCTTCTCTCAGGTGGCAGCAGTTCCAAGCCTTGGCCAGCCGCAAGAAGGACGCGTTGACCTCAGCGCTCAGCATCCAGAATTACTACTTGGAGTGCAATGAGACCAAGGCTTGGATGCGGGAGAAAACCAAAGTGATCGAGTCCACCCAAGGCTTGGGCAACGACCTGGCAGGGGTCATGGCCCTGCAGCGCAAGCTGGCGGGCATGGAGCGGGACCTGGAGGCCATCCAGGGCAAAGTGCGGGACTTGCGGGAGGAGGCCACCCGCCTGGCGGACCAGCACCCAGAGCAGGCTCCTGCCATTTTGGACCGCTTGTCCGAAGTCAACGGGACCTGGGATGAGCTACGGGGGACCATGCGCCGACGCGAGGAGTCCCTGGGAGAAGCCAGCAAGCTTCAGGGCTTCTTGCGGGACTTGGACGACTTCCAGGCGTGGCTTCTGCGCACCCAGACGGCTATCGCTTCGGAAGACGTGCCGGCCACCCTGCCGGAGGCGGAGCGCTTGCTGAACCAGCATGAGACCATCCGGAACGAGGTGGAGCACTACAGGGGCGACTACCGGCGCTTGCGGGCCATGGGGGAGGAGGTGACGCAAGGCCACACCGATGCCCAGCACATGTTCCTGCAGCAGCGCCTCCAGGCCCTCGACACCGGCTGGAATGAGCTGGACCAGATGTGGGAGAACCGGCACCAGCTGCTCTCCCAAGCCTACAGCTTCCAGATCTTCCTGAGGGACACCAAGCAGGTGGAAGGGGTGCTCAGCAACCAGGTAAGGCACAGTTGGGGCCCACAGCCTCGGGCGCCAGATGCGGCCCTCCAGAATCTATCTAAGCCACCTCCTCTCTCCCCAGGTCACACCCCTCAGTGGCCAGTTTTGTACCCTTTGTGGCTTTTTTGGGTTGACTGGAAACCACTTTGATTGGCAGAACCAGTGCTATTCCAGGTGCCGTGTAATACTTGCTCTGCATTTGTAAGAAATTGATCTTTTAGTGTGGCAGCAGCCACACTTTGCAACTCCCTGCCTATTGGCATCAGGCAGGCTCCTTCAGTGTATCGTTTTTTTATTTCTGTTGAAGACCTTTTTTATTTAGACATGTAGAATATTGACACATGTTTAAATGATCTCTGATTGTTGATTTTCATTATTTTTTGAACGTTTTAAACAACTGTTTTTTACTGATATTTTTAAAATTCTTTTTGTAAACCACTTTGAGGTTTCCCCTTTCCTATAGTCAAGCAGTATATAAATTTTATGAAATAATGAAATAAACAATTAGGCTCACAGCCTAGAAGTTCCCCACTTCGGCTCCAGGGCTTATGCAGTCTCCATTTTTCGCCTCTCCTTGTCCAGGGTGTTCTCTGATGATGCTTTATGGGATGATCAACACCCCCCTTTCTTTTTCTTTTTTGGACAGGAATATGTGCTGACTCACACAAGCATGCCCAGCTCCCTCCAAGCTGCTGAGGCTGCCATTAAAAAACATGAGGATTTCATGACCACCATGGAGGCCAACGGGGAGAAGATCAAGGGGCTGGTGGACTCTGGCCGGAAGCTTATCATGGAGGATGGGCTCCACTCTGACAAGATCCAGGAGAAGGTCAATTCCATTGACAGCAGGTGAGGGGGATTACTCTGTGCAGAAATGCTGGTGACGGTAATCTGGTTTGGAAAAGGGAGCACGATCTAGCAACTTGGAGCAGGTAATGGGCAGAAGGTCGACGAGGAAGATCTTGGAGTTTCCGATTCCTGACAGACTGCAGTCCTATCCATAAGCTAAGGCTTGAGCCTCAGTGATCACCAGCTGTAAAATGGGACTTGGAAGAGTGCTGGCACCGCTTTCTGTTCCTCAAAGTTGCAAGTAAAACAGCATGTGAGAGAGACCTACAGCAAAATATTGCAGTGTTCAGGGTTCCAGCCTGCCAGCCACCCCATTTTCCAGGATTCCCCCTTCCATTTGCTCATCACCCTTTCTGTCCCTGTCCCCCGTTGATCATTTACTTTCTGCTCATTTTTTTAAATTCTGTAATCCTCCATTTTATTCTGCATTGTTCCATTTGGTTATAGCTGTTGTTTTGTGGGCCTTTCTAGTAACACTAGTGTTGAAGGGTGGGCTATATAAATCTGTAAAATAAATGTGGCACTCTCCTTGCTTCCTCTCCCAGGAAAACGGCTGTGGGCAGTATTGCCAAGCAGCTCCTTCTGGTTACTTTACGCCTTGTCTTCCCTCTCTCTTCCAGGCATAGGAAAAACCAGCAGGCAGCTCAGGACCTTCTGGCCCGCCTCCGTGACAATCGGGAACTGCAGCATTTTCTGCAAGACTGCCAAGAGGTGAGCAGGATCGCCTTTTGACAGATTATGGATGCCCAGCCAATGTGAATTTGACACAAGTTACATTTATTTCTGTGTTGATTTATAAACATAATATATGACAGCCATGGCAGTTTAAAATGGTATCACCGTGCTTCAAATGTATGGTGCGTGATTGTGGCCATAGTGAGCTTGGGGTCAGCATGGGTCCCCCAGCCAGAGAGTCATATTCCGCCCCCTGCCCCATTTTAAAAAGGCAGAGCTCAGACAGCCGTGTCCTTTCTCTGGGATCAGAGGCAGCAAGTCCCTGAATGCCAGTTGCTGGGGAACATGAGTGGGAGGGGGCTAATGGCCTTCATTTCCTTCTTGTTGACCTCCCAGGGACACCTAGTGGGCCAGTGGTGGGAAACAGGATGCCATGCTAGGCACATCTTCAATTGCATCATCTTATAGCTGGCTCTCCTGCCCACCTACACTGAGAACTGAGATCTATTTAGGGGAAAGTTCTTTAGCATTAGGTGTTCTTAGGGTTGCTGGTTCTCCTTAGGGGACTTTCACCCGATGATGCTCTCTTCCTGTCTTTCCTCCAGCTCACCCTGTGGATCAATGAGAAGATGCTGTCAGCTCAGGACATGTCATATGATGAAGCCCGGAACCTCCACACCAAGTGGCAGAAGCACCAGGCCTTCATGGCCGAGCTGGCCTCCAACAAGGGCTGGCTGGAGAAGATCCAGAAGGTGGGTCTTCTTACAAAGCCCTGAGCTGGTGCTGAAACCTCCTTGCAGTGACGTTATCAGTCCTGGAAGCCCACTAATTAATAACAGGTGTGGCTGTGTAGAAATTCATGTTTTGCACATGCTCAGGGGAGCCCTTTGTTTTCATGCCCCGGCTTCTTTATTGGAGAGGTGCTGGGGCCTTGAGCCTGCCTTAAAGCTTGGAAGCAATCTCTATTATTCCCGTGGGTGCCTGTGGTTTCTTTGGTGGTAAGTTAAAGGAGCACTCCCTTCTTCACTTAACCAGGCTGAATCATAGCAGATGATTGCAGGGTGGAGTGTTCCTGCTGCTCAAGGGTCCAGTTAATCAGCTATGACCTGTTCCAGGATACCCCATTCCACCTCCACTCACACTATTCCATTCCGCCCCCTGCAACATTTCCCTCAGCATCTGTGTCCTCCTTTCGGCAGGAGGGAGAGCAGCTGGTGGCCGAGAAGCCAGAGCTGGAGCCCGTGGTGAGGGCCAAGCTGGACAGCCTGCAGAAGCTCTGGGAGGAGCTGGAATCCAGCACCCAGAGCAAAGCTCAGTGCCTCTTTGACGCCAACCGCGCCGAGCTCTTCACTCAGAGCTGTTCCGCCATGGAGGCCTGGCTGAGTGGCCTTCAGGCCCAGCTGCACTCTGACGACTACGGGAAGGACTTAACCAGCGTCAACATTTTGCTCAAGAAACAGCAGGTGAGTGTGTGCTGTGCGGCAGGGGTGAAGGGCTTGGCTGTGATGAATTTCCACCTGCACCAAATGTCTCTTCGGAGGAAAGGGCCAAAATCTGCAGAAGCAGAGGGAGGCTGCTGGGATGAAGCTGTAATGATGTCGCAGGCATTTGCAGAGCTGCAACACCCCACAATCCTTCTGCATTCCCAACACCTTCTTTCTCCACTCCCAGATGCTGGAAAACCAGATGGACGTGCGGGAGAAGGAGGTGGAGGGCCTCAAAGCACAAGCGCTGGCCCTCAGCCCGGAGGACTCCAACACCGTGGAGGTGGATGGCAAACTGCAGGCAGTGGAAGACAGGTTTGCAGAGCTGCGGGCACCACTCAGGGAGCGCTGCGAGAAGCTGCTGGCCTCCAAGGAGGAGCACCAGTTCAACCGCGACCTGGAGGATGAAATTGTGAGTCAGGAGAGGGATCAGAGGAGAGGGAGAGCCGCTTTGCAGGGAGCCAGGGTTTCAGGGAAATGAGCACTAGTGAGTAGAGAGAAGCAGCCTGTTTCAGGCAGCGCTATCAGATAGATGACTGCACCTGAATGGCACAGCCAGACTTTTTAAAGGGTTGGACCTAGTGGGAGAGGGGCACCCATTTGGGCTCCATTGCAGGCACCGGAATGTCTTAGGATGCCAGAGGCTTTATGCTGCTTTTATGTAATTTTTAAAAAGTGTATATTTTTAGGATATCTGAATAGTTTATTGCTCTTTGGCCAACCAGGCCTAATGCTTAAACACACTCACGCTACAGACAGTGACCATTTTGTGTGCGTTCAGTTGGTCCAGGATGGCTGGTGCATGTGCCATTTTCTGTTCTGGAAAGGGATGGACAGGTTTATTCTCATGATGACCTGGAATGCAACCCCAGTGCAAATGGGGAGTTGCCTGTAATATGCATTTCACAAAGCCAAAATAAGCATCAACATAATGCTTATTTAAACATAAGTACATGCAGAAATCATTGCCATTTTTTTTAACTGCTTATAAGCATTCCCTCACAAATGTAGGGTGGTGAATTTGCATCTGTGCGATCTTCATGTGCAGTCAATAGTTTTCGCTTCTCCATAGCCTTTGAATTGCTCAACAAATTTTGTGGTTCTATATGTATATTTTATGTTGTTGTGACCTTTATCTTCATATATTGTTTACCACCCTGGAATAGATATTTTTTAATTTAACTGGTGGGATATTGTGTGTGTGTGATTTTTGTATTTTAAATAACAACACCCCCCCCTTCAAATGAACAGTAAGATGACTCTTGCCGCACTGAGTTTTTCTGCTATGGAGCCTCTTGGCATTTCTTAACCTTTTTCTCGCCTTGTGTCCTGCAGTTGTGGGTGAAGGAGCGGATGCCCATGGCAGTCTCCACTGACCATGGCAAAGATCTTCCCACTGTCCAACTACTGATCAAGAAAAATCAGGTAAGGCTTAGTTGGGTGTGGTGGTTTCTCTGCAGAGGCTCTCCCTTTGTGGAATGGACTCCCCAGGGCCTGGCGCCTTCACTGTATATTTTTAGGCACCAGGCCTTTGGCTGATGAATATTCTACAGCCTTTTAAAAGTGCCTGTGGGAAGTGGGGGTTATTGTTTTGCTGTTTTGTTTAGCCCATTTCCTTGTTTTTATCTTGTGTTTTATTCTGCGAAACACCTCTCCCCCGAGATCTTATGATAAAGCATGGTATGTAAATCTAATAAAATAAATAAATAAGTAAAATAAGAAAGGGAGACAAACATCTCTTTCCACTTTCTCTGCACATCACCATACTGAATTTTACCTGCCTTTGTCATGTCACACACACCCTTGCTCAAAAGAACACCAAGATGAGCCCTGCTGGATTGGGCCAAACACCCATCTAGCTCAGCTTCCTGTTCACACAGTGGTCAACCAGATACCCATCATGAGAAGCTTGCAAGCCCAACAACTGGCATTCAGGGCACACTGCGTCCAGCGGCGGAGGGAGAACCTAGCCATCGAGGCCAGTGGCCACTGATAGCCTTCTCTGCTCCAGGAATTTGACTAATCCTTTCCTAAAGCTATCCAAGTCAGTGGCCATCACTACCTCTTTGGGGGAGCGAATTCCAGAGTTTTAACCATGCACTCTTCTTCTTCCCTCTTCCTGACACTTCCAGACCCTGCAGAAGGAGATCCAGGGCCACCAGCCACGAATCAATGACATCCTGGGGAGGTGGCAGGGGCTGGCATGCAGCGGCCTGGAAGCAGAGCTGCAGGGGCGTGTGGAGGCTTTGCAGGAGATGTGGCAGGAGCTGCAGAGCCAGGTGGAGCAGCGGCACGGGCGCCTGGAGCAAGCGCAGATGGCCCAACAGTTCTACTTCGATGTTGCGGAGGCTGAGGCCTGGATGGGCGAACAAGAGCTGCACATGATATTAGAGGAGAAGGCCAAGGTCTGTGGTTTGTTTTTGCCTCTGTTAATTCATAAACCCATTCTGTCCTATTTCTGCATTTAAAAAAAACACCAAACCAAAACATGCAAAAATACTCGTTCATTTAAAGGAGCATTTCTAGATGTATTTTAACTAAGAAACTTTTTTTTAAAAAAAAAATTGGAGCCAAAAACTGTGATGCAAAATTCTGGTACACATAGTAGCTGGGGAAAGTGCAGATCATGCTGGTTCATACTGGAATTCGCAAAATACTTAATTTCTCTAGCATTCTTTCCTGGGCCTTGCATTTCAGAAGAGCAGTGCCCTTCTCGCTAATCCTAGATGTGTGAGAATTCATTTGGTAGCATTCAAAAATGCACTCTGCAAATCTCTTCTTTATCGCATCACACATTCCAAGGTTGCATGCTGAAAACGTGTGAGTGGGGGAGGGGAAAGCCTGAGAACTGTGCTTAACTCCTCTTCCACTAGAGACAAATCTGCTCTGGGGTTGTCCTTTATGATTAGTAAGAATAGTTCTAGGACTTGCCAGAAGTCACATTTCTCTCTGATTGAAAGTTCTGTCCCCTTTCAACCTCAGATATACACAGGCTGCTTGCAGTTGTTCAGCAGTAGGGAGAAAGGCACTCTGCACAGTCCCACATGAACCCTTCTTTCACATAAACATTTTGGAACTGAATCCTGATGTGGAAGAACAGGTCTCAATCCTAGTTCAAATTTTAATGTCACCTACCCCATCCTCTTTACCCCTGCTTCTGTTTCTGAAGGGGTGAGAGGAAGCAAACAAACAGGAACACACTTCTTTCTTTTCACCAGGATGAACTGATTGCTCAGGCCATGGTGAAAAAACATCTGGTGATGGAGCAGGCTCTGGAAGACTATGCCCAGACCATCCACCAGCTCTCCATCCAGAGCCGTGATATGGTAAACAACGGGCATCCCGAGAGGTAAGGAAGCCCACCATTCCCCTACCAAGACAGTTGGGGAGCCTCTCCCCACATGCCCCATCAAGTTCCCTGCTGTGGCCCAAGTCCTTTTTAGGATGTCATTATACCCCTCTTTCTCCTGGAGATCTCAGAGCACGCACCTGTTGTGTGAATCAGTTCACCAGCTTATTACACCACTCTTTTGTGGGGGGAGAAGCCAATCGGGGATCCTGGGATTCCATGCAAAACGATGACAGCTGTTGGGCCAGCCAGCACTTGCCGGGGCTTTTGAGGCCTGATCTCCTTGGCCCCAGTCCTGTTGGGATGTCATTTCTCTTAGAGGTCTCAGGGCATGCACCTATAGTGTGAACAAGTTTACCAGCTTTTTGCACCACTCTTTTTTAGGTGTGGAAGCCAATCAGGGAGCCTGGGGTTCCATGCAAAATGACGACAGCTGGTGGGCCAGCCAGCACTGGTCAGGGCTTTGGAGACCTGAATTCCTTGGCATCCGTGGATGATGTCTGTCCCTCTCTCTTTCCCTTTCCTGCAGTGAACGGATCAATCTCCGGCAGGGCCAAGTGGACAAGCTCTATGCCAGCCTGAAGGACTTGGCTGAGGAGCGCCGGGCCAAGCTGCAGGAACAGCTCCGCCTCTGCCAGCTGAAGAGGGAGGTGGACGACCTCGAGCAGTGGATCTCGGAGCGCGAGGTGGTGGCTGCTTCTCATGAGCTTGGACAGGACTACGAACATGTCACGGTGGGTCTCGCCCTCCCAAGGGATCCCTAACATACCCAGAGGCAGGAAGCACCTCCCCAGAGCTCTATACCTCCTTCACTGAGGTGGCTGAAGGGTGAACAGGACACCCAAGTGATCCTAGTTCTGCACCAGGAAACCCCATCTCAATGGTGCATTATTTGCCCTTTTGCATGCATAGCAGGTTCTCTTCCACTGAGCTACACCCCTTCCCAGTAAGATTCCAGTCATCGTGGTTCTGAATAAAGGGCTGATTTAAATAGGAACATAGGGAACTGCCTGCTGTGGAGTCAGATTATTTGTCCAACTATCCACTGTTGTGTCTTCTGATAGCAACTCTCCAAGGTCTCAGATAGAGAAAAGTCTCTGATCCCCTACTTCTTGTGATCATTTTAATTGGACATATCTTGAACTGAACCAGGAACCTTCTGTGTGCAAAGCGGGTGCTCTACCTCTGTGCTATTATCCCTCTGCCTTTTTTGCCCCTTTGCCCTTCACACTTGTTTGTTTCCCACCATTGTGCCAGGAGCTGGAGTCAGGAGCAGGTCAGCAATAAAACACCCTGTGTCAGAGAATTAAACTCTTTATTCAAAGAAACCAAAACAGTGCAGGCCTAGTGATCACAGCAAATCTTTCTATCTAGTAGGTCTTGCCCCAGTGAGGCAGTTGCCTTCCTACTGCTCTAAGGCTGCTCCTCCTCTGGGTCCTTCCCTGGCAATCTGAGGCTCCCTTGTCTTTTCTCTCTTTGCTCCACCCTTTTCATTCCTCTCTATGTTCTGAGAGACCAGGCAGGATCGGAGCTGGTTGCAGCAAGAGGGGGAAACTCCCTGGCAGCCTGCATCATCTCTGCCTCTTGGCGCCCTCCTCTCCAGCCTCCACTTCTGCCTCTGATTCTGGGCTGCTCTTGGCCACAGACTCTTCCTGCTCACCAAACCCAGCTACCTCTTCAGCTTCTGACACCTGCTCCTCCCAGTCTCCCACTTTTCCCTCTGACCACTCATCATTGTCCGACCACCATTCCCTTGGCTCTGAGCCTGGGGTTCCCCAGCTGGTGCCTCCCACTATTCCTCTGCAGGAAGCCACTCAATGACAATTGGGACCTTTGCAGTGCTCTCTTCTTCCCTACAGATGCTGCGGGACAAGTTCCGGGAATTCTCACGTGACACCAGCACTATCGGTCAGGAGCGGGTGGATGCCGTCAATCGGCTGGCGGACGAGATGATTTCTGCCGGTCACTCCGAAAATGCTACCATTGCTGAGTGGAAGGACAGCCTGAACGAGGCCTGGGCCGACCTCCTGGAACTCATTGACACCCGGAGCCAGATGCTGGCGGCATCCTATGAGCTGCACCGTTTCTACCACGATGCCCGCGAGACCCTCAGCCAGGTCCAGAACAAGCAGAAGCAGCTGCCCGATGAAGTGGGCCGGGACCTCAACACGGCGGAGGCCATGCAGCGGATGCACAGCGCATACGAGCACGACATCCAGGCGCTCAGTACCCAGGTGCATTTGGGGGACTGGGAAAGGGAATAAAATCAGTGCAAGGTCCAGACTCTGCCTACTGAGAGGAGGAGCATCAGGAGAACAGTGGAGCAGTCTCCAATCAGCTTTTACGTTTTAATGTTTGTGTAACTTTTTTATATATACTTGTAAACCACTATTTCTTTAAATTATTTAACAAAAAAAATCCACATATCACTCAAAAATATATTTTTTTTGAACAACAACAACAAAATTGTTTTTTTGAGTAATTGCTGATTAGGAAATTACACATTTTAGCCAAAAATCTGGAGATCAATTTGTACTAAGCATCGCTTTAACCTTGTTTCTACAAGAAAAGTCTCTCCCAACTCCAGTGGTCAAAATGCAAACATCATTCACCCTGCCTTGATCAAGGGCCTCGGTGGGAGCACCTGGGACACTCTTGATGGTGAGGGACCCTGACTCACCTGTGGCTTGTTTGGCTTGGCAGGTGAAGCAGGTGCAGGACGATGCTGCGCGGCTGCAGAAGGCTTATGCCGGCGAGAAGGCAGATGACATCCGGAGGCATGAGCAGTCTGTTAGTGAAGCTTGGTCTGACCTGCTCAGCAGCAGCAGCGGCCGCCGGCACCTCCTCCTTGACACTGTTGACAAGTTCCGCTTCTTCCGCATGGTGCGTGACCTCCTACTGTGGATGGATGATGTCAACCTCCAGATAGATGCCCAGGAGAAGCCCAGGTAAGGGTCAATAGGAGCAGGTCTCTGTAGGTGGCAGGTCTAGTCCCTAACTCACCCAGGCCACATTCACATCATTCTTTTAAAGCACTATGGTGCCACTTTGAGCAGTCATGGCTTCCCCCCAAAGAATTCTGGGAAGTGTAGTCCATTAAGGGTGCTGAGAGGTATTAGGAGACTCCCGTTTCCCTCTAAGAGGTCCCAGAGATCCCTGTGAAGACAGATTCTTTGTTAGAGTGGTTTCTCTAGGAATTGTAGCTCTGTGAGGGGAATAGGGGCTTCCTAACAACTCTCAGCACTCCGAACAGCTTCCAGAATTCTTTGGGGAAAACTGTAAGTGTTTAAAGTAGTGTGAACGTGGCCATCCTTGGATATGTCCTTGTGGAATGATGTGCTGGGGCCAGACTGGGCCTTTGGGTGTCTCGTCCTGCCCGCACTCCAGCTCCCCACTTCTTGTCCTGCTCTGCTTAAATGTGATTTCTAGGGGAAAGCCTAGTAGCCGGCCTTTCCTACATTCCCCCACAGGGACGTCTCGGCAGCAGACTTGGTCATCAAGAACCACCAAGGGATCAAGGCCGAAGTTGAGGCCCGGACAGACAGCTTCAATGCCTGCATCGCCATTGGCAACGAGTTGTTGGCCAAAGGACACTATGCCTCTGACAAGGTGAGAAGGCCTCCCCTGAACTGATGCAGCTATTGCTTGTTTTGCAGGAAAGGTGTACTGATTTTGGAATTATGCACTTTTTAAAGCTCAGGTATGGTTGTTGTTTTTCCCCAGTTTAAGATAGGCAAGGTAAGTCCCTCTTGCCTTTAAATGAAACAAAAAGAGCCTTATGAAGAGATGCAGCAAGAGACCCAGGCTCAGTTTTGGCTGAGCCTTGCACCACAGCTAGATGATAAGCTTTCCCCTCCTGAGATGTTCTGCAGCCACACAATCGTTAAAGATCAGGGACATTTTTCCTCTATTGGCAGCTGCCTATGTCAAGCTATTTGTCCATCTAGCCCACCACTGTCTACCTCAGGCATAGGCAAACTCGGCCCTCCAGATGTTTTGGGACTACAACTCCCATCATCCCTGACCACTGGTCCTGTTAGCTAGGGATGATAGGAGTTGCAGTCCCAAAACATATGGAGGGCCAAGTTTGCCTATGCCTGGTCTACCTGGAGATGCCGCAAATTAACAAACCTTTGCATGCAAAACAGGTGCTCCACCAATAAGCTCTAACCCTTCCCCTAGAAATAAAGTAAGATACTAGTCCTCATGGTAGACAGTTACACAGGTAAACCTATGTACAGCTTGATGTAGACTGCCCCAACGTTCAGATTGATTGGGACGACTCTGGATTACTATTTCCCCCCAGCTAAGCTCCCTCTGCATCTCTCTGCTTTTGTTTTGCTCAGATTGCAGAGAAGTTGACCCAGCTGCAGGACCGACGCAAGGAGATCAATGACAAATGGCGGGAGAAAATGGACTGGTTACAAATTGGTAAGTGGGTGAGGGTGTGTGGGCCTGAGGACTCAGGGAGTGTCGCTTCAGAGGGCTAGAGTTCATTTTGGGGCAGGCCCAAGGAACTCGGGGATGGCATGTGTGGATGCAGCGCACATTATCCCCACAACAACTTTTTCTGAGTAGGGCACCAGCAGAACGTCAAGGGCACCAGCAGAACTTCATGGCTAAGCTCAGGCCTCCGTGGTCCCAAGAGGGAGGTTCTGCTTTAGGCACCATTGCCATTCTAAGAGAACGAGGGAGATGTCCTTGGTCAGTTCTCGCACCTCTTTTTCTAGAAAAATAGCACTGCTCACGAGGGAACGTGGCCCTCAGGCTGAAGAAGGTTCACCATCCCTGAACTAACAGCAAGAACTTGAGACTCAGGATTTGGGGTCCTCACCACTGACTACTCTCTCTCTCTCTCTCCCTTCACCCCTCCCTCTGCCCACAGTCATGGAGGTGCTAATGTTTGGGCGGGATGCTAGCATGGCGGAGGCCTGGCTCTCCAGCCAAGAGCCGATTGTGCGTTCTGCAGAGCTGGGTGGCAACGTGGACGAAGTGGAGAACCTCATCAAGCGCCACGAGGGCTTCCAGAAATCAGTTGCTGCCTGGGAGGAGCGCTTCCTGGCACTGGAGAAGCTCACGACGGTCAGTGGGTGAGATCAGGGAGGGCGGGGGGTCACGCAAATCCTTGGGAGGCTTGTGGGAAGTGCCCGAGTCAGCTGTTAGCCACTGCCCCTTGGCACCACATTACAGCAGCCTGGTTCTCAGACGTACGTTTCCTCAGCATGAAGATTCTGCTTCCAGCAAACAGCTCTTCCTAGGCCAATCCTCCGTGAATTTGTCCGGTCCTTTTTGTTGTCCCAAAGGCCCATCTCACAATGAGGGCAATAAGGCGAAGGCAATTGCTTCCTGAATTCCTCAGCTCCAGACCCAGGGGTCAAATGCAGCCCTCCAGGCCTCTGTTTCTGGCTCTCACAACTTTTCCCAGGCCACATCCCCTCTCCAGCCCTACTGCACGCCCGAATGTTTCTGCCTGGCTGGAACACGTCCTTGAACACCTCTTGTAGAAACTAGACTATTGTACAGAGGTAACATTTACATTCAATGCTCCACGCAACCTTTGCCTCTGGCCCTGCTGACCCCTGGTGTATGGCCCTCAAAAAGTTGCCCATAAGGGAAGGTTCCTCACCTCTGATGTGTGGACCTGCAGTAGGGTCTGCTGCTATGGACAGACACCATGATCCAAAGGCAACCTCTGCTTTGGTCCTCTTTCTCTTCAAGGAAAGTACCTCTAGCCAGGACTTGTGCCAGGCCTCCCCTTACGCAGGGAGATGTGGTTGCCTCAGGCGGCTGACTTCGTGTATTAAAAGTGCACCACCATGGCAGGCAGGACTTTTTTTTCCAGCCAGAACTCTCTAAGCTGGCATCCTAGCTCCCCTTCCAAAGTGGCTGAAGCTGAAGCACACCAGGCAGAGCACTTCCCCTTTGGCATGTGTTCTCACAAATCACAATCCCCCACTTCCTTTCTCCTCCATCTGTGTTGGGGCCTGCCAGCCCAAGCCTGATCCTGACATGGAGCCCATGATTTCTCTTCATTTTTTCTTAAAACTTCTGTCATGGCCAAACTAGACATCTCATAGAACAGAATCAGAGAATCGTGGAACTGTAGAGTTGGAAAGGATCCCAAGGGTCATCCAGTCCAACCCCCTGCAATGCAGAAATCTCACTAAATAAGTCATTAGAAAACATGTCCACACCCCCTTGTTTAAACTGGCATGCCTTCTAAAATGGTCTCCTTACCTAAACTGAAAGGGGGGGGGGAAGGACCCAAGATTAGCTTATTTTGGACAACCTTGTTCCATCAGTTTTTTCTTCTTTTCCGCCAGCTGGAAGAGAATGAACGTCGCCGACGTGAGCAGGAGGAAGCGAGGAAAAAGAGGCCCCTGACTCCGCCTGTGCCAGAACCCACAGCCACGATGCCACAGAACCAGCATCTGGAAATGCCACATGCTCCCAGTGACGCCCGGTGAGAGTTTTTTCAGGGGAAGAAGAAGGGCATTTGGAGTGGCAAAGCAGGCAGAATGCTGTGACTGATTCAGTACAGAAGAAAAGTAGAATGCAAAATTAAATCCACTCCACAACCATTGTTCTAACACCTAATACTATTTTTAAGAATTAGGAGAAAAGTGTGTTTGTATGTGTTTATCGTGAAAATTACATTTGCAGGAACTGGGGATAGCGGAGAGAAGAAAAGGCTGTTAAAGGAAATGGTTGATTACCCACCTGAATATTCAATGGAAAGATAAATTGGGTGGGTGGGGAAAGATTTATTTTATTTTATTTAACCAGCCTCCCTTGAGAACTTTCTGGTGGTAAGAGCTATTTGACAGTGGAACAGACTGCCTTGGAATGTGGTGGACTCTCCTCCCTTGGAGGATTTTAAGCAGAGGTTGGATAGCCATCTTCCTGGGAATTCTTCAGCTGTGATTCCTGTGTCATTAGGGGGTTGGACTTGATGACCCTTGGGGTCCCTTCCAATTCCCCTGCAATTCTGTGATGAGAGATTCAGGTTAGCGTGCATAGGTTTGAATAAAATTGCACACAGTATGAAAGGACGATAACAGTATTGTAGAGCAGGAATCAGAAATGAAACTTCGTCAAACTATTGTGCCTTCGCTGTAGAGGCACGGACTCCCTCTGAGCCCCCCAAAAGACAAGCATTTGCAAAATGCTGGCAGCAAGCATAGAGTTGTAGCAGCAAAATGCAACACGGGAGATAAAGAGGTGAGAGTCTCTCCACAGATGTACTGTGACCTGGTGTTCTTGAACTTCAGCACAGACTCACACACCTGTCTTCCCCAGGAGCCCTGGAGAGCGAGGCTTGTCGCTGGAGTTACCATCTCTGAACGGGATTGACCCTGATTCCGAGTCTCCACAGGTGAGGCATGGATACTAAGGAGTGATGACTGGGGGAGGGATTGGGAGACACAGAGGTGATTGGTTGGCGAGTAAGGCCTGAGGAGGTGTCCTAGAACCATAGAGTGGCAAGGGATGGATAGTCAACCCTGAGTTAAAAAAGAAAATTCCACTTATTTTTCCCAAGAGAAAAAATTGCATTAGGTTCTAAACCATTAATCAGCCATTGTGTAGTTTTGGAAGCCCCCAGTGGCTCAGAGGAAGGAGAAAGAGAACACAGGATCTCTTAGCGGTGTGGCACTTTGGTTAGAATGTCAGACTAGGACTTGAGAGATCCCAGGGCAAAGTCAGGAAGTTTAATGGGTGAATTGGGCCAGTCATCAATGTAACCTACTTCATAGAGTTGTTCTGAAGATAAAACTGGGGAAGGTGGAGAAAAGCTTGGTGGGATATAAATTGAATAAATAAATACCAATAAATTGTCCAAGTCCCAAGCTGCCCCTTAGACCTGCTACTATCCCCCCTTCCCGCCAAACACCTGTGCCAATGCAGATGTGTTTCCTTTCAAAATCCAGCTTTTGGAAAAGTTTCTGGCTTCACTCTTTCCCAGCTATAACCAAACTTAAATGGCTTCGTGTCCCGGTTTGTTCAGTAGAGAAGCACAGGAGAGCTGTGGTGGTGGGATGTTGTGATCTGTGGCTCTTGATGCCATTTCTATGCTGGATGTGCAGGAAGTAGCTTCAATTCCTGCACATTTGCTATAGAAGTACAATAGGCTGGCAGAAGAGGAATGGATGGAATTTCCTGTCTTCACTGGTGTGGAATTCCTGGTCCCCTCTGCTGATCAGGGAGTACAAGGCTAATTTTCTTAATTTTACATGATTTTTCCAAACTACTTTTTGTTAGCATACAGTATAAATGTTGTAAATAATAATGATGATGTATTCTATTCATGCCCCACCTTCCTCCCATTAAGGAACTTGTGCAGTATTTGCATTTTCCCCATGCCACTTATGCCTCTCCCTCAATTGTTTCCTCCCACTAACAGCATTTATAGTGTAAGCTCCTTGGGACTGAGACTTGTCATTTATATATCTAAGCTTATATTACTCTGCAAAGCACCAAATAAAGCTATAACAGCTCTGCAGAAATAGATGAGGAGAAAGATATCCTTACTTCCACTCCTCTCTTCCTGTGAGCCACAGCTGAAGCCCTGTATTGCTTTGTAGGCCAATGGGCATGTTCAGAAAATTGTTTACTAACTAAGGTTAGTGGCTAACTCGCCAGGATCTGGAAGCCAGCTTAAAACTCTGGCTTCATATTCTTACTGGACTATCGTTTCCCAGTTCAAATGCAATAGGAAACTATGGTTAACTGTGGCTTTCTAGTTTCTTCACTTGCATGAAGGAAGAATTGAAGCAGCTGCATGAAGCTTGTTTGTATCTTGGTGGGAAAGTGGTCAGTAGCAAGGATACAACAACTAAAAAGGGTGTGTGTGTTTTTAGAACCCCATAACTCAGCGCCTCCTGTCTTTTGCAGATTTCAGAGACATCTGGTACGGTAAACGGGTCACGAATGGATTCCTTGTCCAAGGGGAAGGAGCCCAGCCCAACCCCATCACCTCAGCTCCATTCCAAACCGCCTGCCCACAGCGATCCCACTCAGTTGGCCACACTGGCCCCACGCACACCAGACCCCTCGGCCTCAGAGCAGATGGAAGGGATGTTGTGTCGGAAGCAGGAAATGGAGTCACACGGCAAAAAGGCAGCCAACAGGTGAGCTCTGCATGTTTGTGTGTGTGAACCTGGGGTGCTGGATAGGCTTGTCATACGTCAGGAAAATTCTGTACATGTCCTGGTTTTCGAGTGTCAAAATGGCGTTGGGGGAATTTTGTCGAATTGGCAAAATGTCAGGGAAACGTATGACAATATGATGGGAAAAGCTCAACAATTTTTGGGTCTTTCTAAAATAAAGCTCAACAACTTTGCGGGTGTCCGGAATTTTACTTTTTGAAAGTAAACCCTAGTGTTGGAGAATGATTCTACTTGTGGGCATAAGGCCATTGAAACCTTGAGTAAAATCTATCTATCTGCCTATTTCAGCGGCAGAGCATCTGCCTTGCATGTAGAAGGTCCCAAGTTCAGTCCCCAACATCTCCAGGTTAGGCTGGGAAGGACCCTGGAGAGTTGCTGCCAGTCAGTGTAGACAATACAGAGCTTGGATGGACCAAAAGGCAGCTTCCTGTGCCCCTAGCTAATGATTTCCTATGTGAAACAGTGCCATATCATCATTTTGTTTATTCATTTCAACGTTAGTCTCTAAGTCAGTGTACAGTAATGTTAAAAAGATACGATAAACATAACATCAGTTACAACCAACCATAAAGTCCAAAAACTTTCTTGAAACACTTGCTGAAGTAAAATAAAAAGACTTGAATTCAAAGAAGTTGCCACAGTGATTTAAGTCCCTAAAATAAAAACTCATACACAGGAATAAAGTTTGCAAATCATTCCGGACTTAAACAGATGCAACTTCTGCTGCTTCTAGCCCACTGTGGGGAGAGGGAAGTGCAGCTTTGGGTGGCTTGGGAGTGAAGGGGGTCATTGAGAGATGCTCACAGCTCCTTTCTTTCCCCACCTTGCCAGGTCCTGGCAGAACATCTACTGCATTGTCCGGAAGGGCAGCCTGGGCTTCTACAAGGACAGCAAGAGTGCCAGTCACGGCATCCCTTACCATGGCGAAGTGCCCATCAGCTTGCAAGGGGTGCAATGCAACGTCGCTCTGGACTACAAGAAGCGCAAGCATGTTTTTAAGCTTGGGTAGGTCAGCAAGGTTCTTTCAGCCAAGTGGCATTGACCACACTTACTGATTTTATGTTCTCCTTGTTTCTGAATGTCCCACTGGATGCTCTCTGCTCATGCAGCTTAACTGCCGTGACTCACAGCTGTGGATGAGAGGATCTGTCCATTTTGGTTCCCTCCATTTCTCATCTTTCCAATCTCAGACTCGCTTCTCCACGTTTCCACAGCGATTCTTATTTAAAATCTTTGTGAAGATTCTTCAGCGTTTTTGTGAGCATTTCTTCTGTACACAGCTTTGACCAAAGCACACATATACACAAGCAGTTTCTCCTAATATAATGCATGCTTTGTATGTTATTTTCGTTAAAAATAATTTGCTTTTATGCACCCTTTCCTCTAATACATGCATTCTTGTGTAAACATTCTTTGGTGGGAGAACTGCATATGAAATTTTGGATGAGTGCAGTTTTTGAAGGATGGCTGTGCTTTGGTTTTCGTGTTTCAGAAAGTGCAAATTTGAAAAATTCAACATTAAATTTGAACTGAATGGAATGTCTCTCACAGCCCTGGGGGTGAGCTGTGGGGGAATCTTGTTGTAGCTCTCAGCCTTAGGAATCTTCAGAACTGTAGCGAAAGCAGTTGCAGATCAGTCCACAGAATTTTCAGTACCTACCACAGTGCAAAAGTACTGTTCTAACAGCACAGTCCCATGCATGCATTCAGAAGGTGTTAATGTCAGGTCAGCTTGTCTACAGGTGATGAGGGGGCAACAGAAAAGAGATCCATTTTAGGCCATTTGGTTTCCCTTTATTGAATAAATGAACATAGAGGAGCATTGCAGGATGGTCCAAACAGTATATACAGAAATATACAGGGATATCTTTATTTTTTAGCCATTCATTCATTTGTATTTTCCAGTGAGAAATTTAGTAACATGTAAAAAGGTAACAGTGGGGGAAGATGACACCTAAATATTCAAACTCTGCTTTTGAGAGCTTAAGTTTATATTGTATTGTATTGTATTGTATTGTATTGTCTTATATTGCACCTTGAATTGCAGTGACAGGGGTCCTGTTTCCTGTAAAGAAGGCGGGTGGGTGGTGTTTTTGGTAGTTTCTTTGTAGTAATATCTTACGATTGTGTACTGGCTTTTTCTCAATATATATGTTTTTTAAAAAGAAAAGGCAAGCATGTTTAGGACTTTGTGTTTTGCACAAAGTAATGTGACTTTTTTTTAGTCAGATTCCTAGCTCCTGTTAGCAGAGGGATTGGAGTTTGGATTTGATCCACAGACAGGCACCAGAGCAATCTTACCTTCCTTCTCTCTCTCCTTGCAGGTTAGCGGACGGCAAAGAATTTTTATTCCAGGCCAAGGATGAGGTGAGTAGAGGTCCAATTCTGCAAATCCTGCTTCTAGAGGACAGGCGGCTCCAAGGCCTCCGACTCCCTCCCCCACCATGAAGCCAAATTGCGGCCCTCATTTCAGCTCCAACTCTTCCTCCTACAATAGCATCGGGTACAGCCTGGTTTGGGAGCTGCTGAATCAGACTGATGGTCCATCTACCACATCAAGTGGCAGTAGCTCTCTGGGGTATCCGATGGGTCTTTTCCCCAGCCAAACCTTGAGATGGTGGGGATTGAACCTGGGATGTTCTGCAGCACTTGGCTATGGGGCCCCTCCCCACTTTCATCTGAATCGCTAGAATTTTTCTGAAAGTCTGTATGAAAAAAAAGGATACGTTTAAGGTGTGTGGCTTCTCCCCAAGGAATCCTAGGAACTGTAGTTTATAAGGGTGCTGGGAATTGTAGCTCTGTGGGGCATGAACTGCTGTTCCTAGGATTCTTTGCGGGGAGACAGGTGCTTTGAATGTGTGCCAAATGTGCTTTAAATGTACAGTGCGGATGTGCTGCTCAAAAGCCACACCCTTTGACCTGGGTGCCCCTCCTCCTCCTGATCTCAGGATTGGGACAGGCTCTAGATGTTTCTTGCCCTCACTCAATGCTCTTTTTTACCCGTGCCTCCAATGCTAAGAGTCGAGTGCCACAGATTAAGTAGCCAGAAGAAAGATTAAGTAGCCATGTACAAGAAAGGTGGTCATAGTAGGATTGGGGTGGGGTGGGGATTCCCATCAACTCAGGCCATTGGCTGTGCTGGGTGAGGCTCATGGGAGTTGGAGTCTATAAAATGAAAGGAGCCGCCCATCCATCCATGCCAGCCCAGCCTCTGACTCCAAAGCCCTTAACATCCACCCTCCCTTATATACCCCTTAGAGGGGGAATGGTGCCATTTCTCAGGGGCATGCTGGGGGTAAACACTCCGCCCATGCTCAGAAGGACTATCGGCTCATGCTTTGCCCCCTCTCCCACTTCTTCCCCCATCCAGGCTGAGATGAGCAGCTGGATGAGAGTCATCAACGCTGCAGCTGCCTGCGCCCCAACACCACAAGGCCCTGCAGAGGACCAGCCGCCGCTCATCAGCAAAGGAATGACCCGGGCCTTGACCATGCCTCCCGTCTCGCCTAACAGCGCCCCGGAAGGGACTGTCACTCTGCGTAGCAAAGAGTCCAAGGAAAAAGATCGCGAGAAACGCTTTAGCTTTTTCAAGAAGAACAAATAAGGGGCCACACCCGGAGAAGTGGGGCAGGGTGGGGGCTGCAGCTGCCGAATCTGTACAGAACTGATCATCAGAGCGGGCATGGCGGGGGCTTTGGACTGGGGGGGGGGAGGGAGGGAGGGGCCGGGGCATGACACAGCTGATGGAGACCACAGTTGTTTTTCTTTTTTTAGTACTGCAGATTGCATGAAGCATCTTCAAACTTTATGAGGAATGCCTCTCCTCCTGCCTCCCCGCCCTCCAACAAAAGAAAAAAAACTAAACAAGCCATGCTGCCTCTATCGAATCACGTTTGCAGAAGCCCCTGGCAGAGATGCTGCATTGGAGGGTGGGGGGCAGGCTGCCTTGAGATGGGAGGGGAGGGGGGTTGATGAACTCTGGGTGTGATGGGGGTGCACATCTGGGTCATCAAGTGATGGGTGCTGCGCAGGTCATGGGGAGAGGGAGGAGGACGGCCCGCTACTTCCATTCAATAGGAGCAGGGGGATCTCGACCTTTCTGGGGTTGCAACGGCATGGGCTCTGTGTGAAAGTTTTCCGTTTCCAGGTGCCATCAAAACTTTGTCGGAGGTGAAATGGACTGTTCAGGGTTTTGTCGTTGAGAATCTTCTCCTATGATCTCATCCCTAGCCAGGAAATGCTTCCACTGCCTGAGGAGCCCCACCACCTCACCCCATTTTCCTCCCTGCGATACCTGGTATGCTCCATCATGTTTTTGCAGCCTCCTGAAATGGGCACTGTCCTGAAGGCTAACAGGAAGGAACAAGATATGGCTGGTTTTGAAGAAAAGTCTCTTTTCCAGTGCATTGCTGGACCCAACCTTGCTCTCTGTCTTTCCCCTCCAATTTTTTTTTTTAGCTAAATCATGTCCCCAGCAGCTGTCTAAAAACAGTAGCTAAGCCACCTTCTCAATGGGCAAGTAAGTGAGTTCCCCTTTAATAAGGACCCTGGTCCTCGGCTTTCATCAGGGATGGGTAGAAGTTAGATTGGAATCTTGTTAGTAGATCTCTGGCTGTTTTGTGGTAGATCGGTAAGAGGTTTTGACTCCTAATGATCCGACAATAGCAACAACTGCCTCCTCCCTCAAATCAGATTGCTTTGGGAGGGAGTAAGCAGGAGTGGATTTTTGTATGAAAGGATTTGTGATCTTGATACTGGATACTGATCACTACTTCCTGGACTCAGCACGTGCTCAGAGGGCACACTTTCATCCTTAATTCTTATTAAGTCCTCAGTACATTTGCTCAGTTGAGCTCCTGTTGTTGCACCTGGCTCCAGGTGGTAGATCTCAGGGTTGTAGGGAAAAAACAAAGTAGATCCCTCAGGCCTACATTCTGCCCAGGTCTGGATTAGGGATATGCTACCTAAGCAAGGAGAGGGTGTATGAATGGAGACATTGTGGGTGAGCGAGGTAGGGGGCTAAGCCCCCCCCCCCCGTCTTTGAAAATGCCTCCTCCACTGTGATTCTTACAATTTCTCAGGCCTCCAGACTGGGAGCAGAACCGGGATAAACAGGTGGTTGCAGGAGAGGGGCAAAAGTCTTGCATAAGACAAATTTAGCTTTCTTCTGTCTACCAAGGCCAGTTCCATGTTTTTGGGGAGTGGGGACTGGCAAAGTACCCCTCTGGACCCAGGCTTATTGGCCAGCTGGTTCTTGAAAACCAGCAGCCACTTTTATTTCCCCACAATACCCTTAGTGCCCCTGGAGCATTGTGGGAAATTTTAAAATGGCAGGCGTCATTGGTTTGCCAATGGTTTGGGGGGGGGCCCTGAACCAGATGTTGGCACCACTTGGGCCAAAGCAGGCATTGCTGCTGATAGGTAGGCCGTCTGCCAGAGGCACCCATCACTTCCACTTTAGGTCATATCCCCTTCTGTCACTCACTCTCACTTTCTCTCTCTCTCACACACATGCTTTGCTGGCTGGGACTGATGGAAGTGGCAGTACAGAACATTTGGAGGTCACCAGGATTGGAAAGACTTGTTCTACAGTAGTGGGGCAGAGCTGCATCCTAAGAGACACCTTCTGCCAATCATGATTATCTATGGCTCTGGTAATCCATGCCACTGTTATAAAGACCACTCGCACACCCCTGCCTTTTTCTGGCCTTGATTTCCTCATTTTCTATGAGTTCAAACATCTAATCCAGCAAAACTCTCAAGCAGCACCTCTTGTAAGTTCTCAGCATCTGTTATACCAGCCTTCTCCAACCGGATGCCCTCCAGATGTCTTGAACGACAACTTCCATCAGCTCCAGGTAACACGTCTATGCTACTTGAGGCTAATGGGAGTTGGGGTCCAAATCACCTAGGCTTCATGCTGGAGGAGGTTACAGTACATGGAAGTATCCTGCCTGTGAACAGACATTTCTTTCTGCACTACCGTGGCTCATAGCAGTTTCTATACTTCCCAGCCGCAGGTCCAGTCTCCACATCCTGTGGCCATGAGTCACTCTGTTCTGTCTTAAAAGGGAGACTTTGGAATCAAAAGGGAGCAAATGCATTGTGTTCTGGGCAGTGATTGTATTTTATTTTTTTGCAAAGCCTGTCCTGAAAACAACTCCTCTCTGGGTCCTTTTTTAAGAAAAAGAAGCAGGAAAGGTTGTTCCTGAAGGCTATATTGAAAGGAGCCAGTTTACATGGCTGGAACATGTGTATTCGGGTGGTGGTGGTTGGGTATTACAAGAATCACATTACTTTGCCCGGTTGCAGGAACTGAGGTTGCTCTGTTGGGTCTACCTGGATTCGATGTCCATCGAAACCTCACCAGCTTGCCTGATCTCCACAGGCATGGAATTCCACTGCTGATCTTCACATCCCGCACAGCTGTGTCCTTGCTCCATTCCCGTTTTTCTAGCTCTGGTTTTTGACCTGTGTGTGCCTTCCTTTTCATAATCATATGCTGCCCTGCCTGCTACACTTCCACCCCCCCACCCCCTTGCCATGTGAAGATAACACTGCGCCGTCACCCTTGCCACAAAGGATGCAGAGGCTGCCTCAGCACAGGGCCCACAGCAGGGTGCGCAAAACCCAGAGAGCAGCCATCGCCTGCCTCCCAACAATCTGGATTACAGGAGGTGACTTGGGAAGAGGGTTCTGTTTCTGAGGGAGGGGACCTGGCTTTTAAAAGCAGGGCACTCTGTGCCTTCCCAGCACACCTGTCAGGGGTCCCTGCTCCCAAGCAGCATCCCGGTGGTGTATCCGTGCTTGTGGGAGACCGTTATTCACGTGTTTGCAGTGGCATCTGTTCCGATCTTTTTGGACAAATAAAAAGAATCTGTGTAGAGAGTAGCCAGCCTGTTTCATTCCTGCCCACCTGTTGCGACGGCAGCAAAATCTGAAATCCCCTCCCTGTGTTGCTGTCTCTGCGTTAAAAGGCAAATAGTCTGAGCAGGATCTTATTTACTTATTTATTAAAATACTTATATACCACCAAATGATAAAAAGCATACTGCAATGGTTCACAACATTAAAAAGATAAAAACCATATAATAAAAGTGTCTGAAAGTTAAAACAAATTTAAAAGCAAAAAGTTTTAAAACTAGTCTGCTTGGTCAGTTGCTTTTTTAAGATGGAGAGAGCTGCCTGATGAGCCAAAATATAGGCAGGTGAAGCTTTCCAACACGGAGAAAAGCTTTGCCTTGTCTTGCTAGTCACTGCAACAAGTGATAATGCAGGGACATGTATGGAGTTGGCATTTTCAGGCACCTTGACAGGGTCCCCTTTGCTGATCACCAGAGCCTATTGTTGCTGCAATTCTCACCCTTGTCACCTGCAGACCTCTTCTCACTCACCTGCCCTTTCTCTCTGGGGAACAGTGAAGATTGGGCTCAGAATGAGTGGCTGCAGGGAGGAGGAGAGAAGCATGCACTGCATCTTGCCCAAGGGTTTCCCTGGAGAGTCAATGCCAGTGTTGAGCTAGAAAAGCCTGACTTGGGGCAAGGCAGCTGCTCCTGTTAAAAACCCTGAGTCTGCAGCATGCAACACTTTAACTGGTACACTCCAAGAGGAGACCCGTCATTTGAAGCGGAAACATGATCGGATAAGTATTGTTAACCCAAAGACGGGAGACACCTCCACCCCCACCCCCAGTGAAGGCTGCTTTATAGACTGGCTACTGCCATCAGCTTCCTCCAGTGTACCGTAACTTCAGGCTGCCACCCTTTTAAAAAAAGGCTGACAGTGCTTCTGTGTCTTTAACAGACATAGCACAGGCAAAAGTTTAGCTTAAAAGGAGCCCTAGTAAACCAGAGCCCATCTCTAGTGCATTGCAGGGAGTTGGAAGAGACCCCAAGGGTCATCTACTCCAACTCTACAATTCTGTGATTCTATTTGCCCTGTCAGTAGCCACCAGCCATTATGGTTGTGCTCTACCTCAACTGCCAAGAGATAGCATGCCTCAATGCCAATTGCTAGCAATCAAAAGTGGGGGAGGAGAGTGTTGCACTCAGGTCCTCCTTGCAGGCTTCCCATAGGCATCTGGTTGTCCAATGAGAGAACAGGATGCTGGACCAGGTGGGCCTTTGGCCTGATCCAGCAGCCAGGCTCTCCTTAAGATCTTAACAACATCCAGGGAGGCTCACAAGCATGAATTATGTCTTGTCTGCTAACTGATATTCAGGTTGCACCTGTCCATGGAGGTTCCACTTAACTATAACTGCCCATAGCCTTCAGTAGGCATCTCCTCTGTGATGCTTAATTAGAAGAAAAGTACAGCCCCATTTCCCCCTTGGTCAGACCTTATCTGGCATACTTTCTTCCCTTTTGACACACTGCATCTGCCCACTGGAAAAAGGCTTTCCATACTGGATTTCTGCCCATACTGTGGGGGGTGGGGGGGTGGGGAACAACTGAAAAGAAAAAAGGTTTCTATGCTACTTCAGACACCCTATGGAGAACCCCCACAATCAGGGCTAATTTTGGTGATACTACTCAGTGTTCTCATTTCATCCTCACGGTGACCCTGGGAGGTAGGTTAGGCTGAGAGATGGTGACACAGTGAGCTTCATGACTGAATGGCGACTCAAAGCCTGGTTATTGTCCAACACTAACCATTATGCCACACTAGCTCTCAGATAATTTTCAGGAGTCTTCCCGAGTCCTACCAGGCAATGTTAGGAATTGAACCTGGGACATTTTGCATTGCATAGCATGTACTATACCATTCGATATGAAGCTCCCACTGGGTGACTTTGGGCCAGTCCTCCTTGCTTGACCTCGCCTACCTCACAGGGTTGTTGTGAGAATAACATGGAGAGAGGGGAGCCTGGAACAGAATAAAGTAAGTGGGGTAACAGCGTTAATCACGGATAGATGGGGAAACATTAATAAAGGTACTCCGAGGCTCCTTTCCCCACCCTATTTTCAGGGACTCCTTCCCAAAAGTACTTTCTATCCCTTCTCATCCTCGCTGTGAGCCCCTATGGGACACCAACCCCGCCTTTTCGGGGTATCACCCAGAGGGGGGAAAAAACTTCCCACATCTACGAGCCTACCATTCAGCAACATACACTCGGCGGCCCCCACCTCCCAACTGGGCACCCCCACGCTCCTGAAAATGGTACGACCCTTCGCTCTCGGACAACGCGGCTCGTCATTGAGAACGAAGGATCAGCCGACGTAGGCGGGGGAAGAGGAGAAAGCTGGGCGTGGGCGCGCCAAGGGGCGAAAATTTCCCCCCTGTTCCTCCTCGTCGTCGACGTCAGATGCTAGGAACCAACCCACATGGCTGCCTTTTCAAAGAGGGCTCTCATTGGCTAGACTTCCTTGATAGACTCTGGCCCGTGCCCACTCACCACGCGCGGCGGTTCCTCGTGGGACCAATTACGGTACAGCGGAGCGCGGGTTAGGGGGTTCGGAGGGCGGGTGAGAAGCTTTTCCGTTGTCTCTGCCGCCATTTTGTGCCGTGGGCTGCCGCCGCCGCTGCTGCTGCTGCTAAGGCAAGGTAACGAGGTGCAATTCTGGGCGGTTGGCTGAAGTGTAAAGCGGGGTTGGGTGGGTTTTGTGGATTTAAATAATACTGATAATATAATTGGTAATAATTGTTATGTTATTGACATTAATTCCTCCTCGCCTTATTCTTCTGTTATATATCGATACTTTAATATCTAGCATTTTTTAATTATATGCCACCCGATAACCAACTTCTCCAGGTGGCGTATACGAAAACAGCGAAGTACGATAACATACAATACTAGCAGTTATTTTTTAGAAAGCAGTATGTGGTCAATATGAACCCTTTCAGTTTTATCCTAATTGATGTTGACACGTTGTTAGATTAAATACTGTAATGTAAACTTAATAAGATCTTAATATTATCCATAACGTGCTATATATTGTTAGCACGTTGTGTTTATACTCTTAACAATAAGCATATTCCAGTGTTAACGTTCATTTCTATCAAATAATGAAGAAAGTATTACGTTACGTGCTCATTGTTGTTGCTGTTGTGTTTCTTGCCTACCCCTTGCCAGACAGTCCCAGGGTGGAATTGCAGCATTTAAAAAACATGAGACAGTAAAACAGCTCTATCATCCATAACCCCGCCAAAATAATTCCACACAGCGCATTACTCAAAAGACCAGGATATAGAGGTGTGTCTTCAGCAACGAATGGAAGCTGTAAAGACATGGTGTCTGTTGTGGAGAAGGAGTTAACTGTTCTTGGGGGCATCCCTGAGAGGGCACTCTCGTGAGCTGTAAGAAGTTCTTCAGGTGGCTTACAAAATAATGGTTTTGTTAGCATTATTGTTGTTGCAGTTTATTATTATCTTTGCATCAGTGTCACTGTGTACACGTAAATTTACAAAGTCTTAAATGTAAAGAGAGAGGGCAGGGGGTCCGTGTCCCAATAAGTTTATTATTAAAATGTATACCCTATCTTTCAATTAAATTAACAAGGCGGGGTATGGATCTTTGCAAACAGTAAATAGATTTGGGGGCTGAAATCACCCCCTTCTCATTTTACTTATGACACTTCAGCTAGTGTAGTGAAGTTGTGGGGGGGAGAGAAAAGCAATTAAGTCATTGTGTGACAAAAATACTTTATTTGCTTTCTACTACCCTGTTTAGCTTACCTCATTTGAAAGTGAGATACGTAAAGGTTCTTGCTAAACTGAAGTATTGTGCTTTTGCACCATCTTCTGAGTGAAATCCAATTTAATTTCAATGAGTTTTTGTGGCAGAGTACAATGGATATGTGCTACTTTTATTCTTGGGATTAAATGTTATGTATTACATTCCTCTCATGGTAATAAATGGGGTAGAGGGGGTCTGCTTCTGATTGGGACTGTGACAGGAGCAATGGGTTAAAGGCTGAGGCCCTGGTCTCCCTGTCAAATGTTCTGATGGAGGGGACACTAGGCCAATTTGCTGCTGAGCATCCTCTCTCAGTCCATGGAGGTGATGGGGCCCACAGGTTCTCAGGAGGACCTTTGATCAGTGAAATGGACTGGCTACTGGTTTGAACATAAGTGGCACAAGTCTCTCATGGAACATGGCCAAGCAAAGGTAAGAGTGTATGTTCACACCTACCATGTGGTGGTGATGGCTTATTACTTTGCCACCATGGCATCCTCACATAGCTGTTTAGCAGAGCTGTTCTACATAGTTCAAGGTTTCCCACCCCTCATGAGGGGGAACTATGGTTATCACTTGCTGTGAGAGATTTGCAAGGCACTTTTAATACAAAATCATTTGTATTTGGTCTGACATGGACTGCATATTTCTGCAGGTCAAGGGGAAGTCTCTGGCAGTGTCAAGGTTGGATAAATGGGATCAATTTCAGCTGTTGTGCCCCAATGACCTGGTGAAGATACTTGAAGGGGTTTGGCCTACCACCTGCAATCTTAACCCTTTGCTCATCCAGGCTTATAAAATCTAGTTGAAAGGGATTGACTGGGTGAATCCCAGCAGTGGTGAATACTTCATTTAGGGAGCATTGTGCTGTGTTGGCTGCTTTGAAGGAGAGTGCAACCCCTCCTGAAGAAGCCTTCCTTAGACCGAGAAATATGATACCCACTTTTGGGAGCAAGGCAATTGAGAAGGTAATAGCTGTTCAACTTCAGGTGTGCTTGGAAGAAGCATCCTATCATGGCCTATTTCAGTCAACTGCCTGGTTTGGGCACAGAGACAGCTTTGGTTGCCCTTACTGATTATTTGAATTGGGAGAGGGATGGGAGTGTGTATGACTCTGTTGATTGTCACTTAACAGCTTTTGATATACCGTATTTTTCGCTCTATAAGACGCACCAGACCACAAGATGCACCTAGTTTTTGGAGGAGGGAAACAAGGAAAAAAATATTCTGAATCTCAGAAGCCAGAACAGCAAGAGGGATTGCTGCACAGTGAAACCCACAATCCCTCTTGCTGTTCTGGCTTCTGTGATAGTTGTGCAGCCTGCATTCGCTCCATAAGACGCACACACATTTCCCCTTACTTTTTAGGAGGGAAAAAGTGAGTCTTATAGAGCAAAAAATACGGTACTTAGCTCTGGTGTCCTACTGGCCGCTTTCGTAAATTGGGAATTGGAGGCAGTGTTGTGCAATGGTAGTTCATCTACTCTGGGTACCAGATTCAGGGAATAGCTTTTTGAGATTCCTGCTTGTCCCCATAGTAATTGCGCTGTTCAGCTTTGTAGGGGGTCCATCCTGTCTGCCATGCTGTTTAACATCTATGTGAAGCTGTTGGGTACCATCATAAGGGGATGTGGGATGAGTTGGCATCAATATGCTGATGATGCCTTCTTGCATTGGAATCAGAAGGCTTTTGGGTGCGAACTGATTTTCTGGAAGTGGTGGAGGGCGGGGGGCGGGCACTGAGCTGAAAGTATGGAGATTCTGTGGCTTTTTGGTCCTATATTCAGGAAGTGGGTTCACACCTTATTCTGGAGAGGTTGCACTCCCATTAAAAGATCATGTATGTAGACTCTAGTAGCCACATTGTCACAGAGTGTCTGTTACTAGCTACTTTTGGTGTACCAGCTATGGCCTTTCTTTGACTGAGATAGAGTGGCTACAGTAACTCATGATTTGGTAATTTCCAAACCAACTACAGTACAGTGGTGCCCCGCAAGACAAATGCCTCACAAGACGAAAAACTCGCTAGACGAAAGGGTTTTGCGTTTTTTGAGTCGTTCCGCAAGACAAATTTCCCTATGGGCTTGCTTCACAAGACAAAACGTCTTGCGAGTTCTTGCGAGTTTGTTTCCTTTTTCTTAAAGCCGCTAAGCCGTTAATAGCCGCTAAGCCGCTAATAGCCGTGCTTCGCAAGACGAAAAAACCGCAAGACAAAGAGACTCGCGGAACGGATTAATTTCGTCTTGCGAGGCACCACTGTACTGCAATGCACTCTACATGGGACTATCATGCCATAGGGGTTTCAGTGATGGTTGAAACCATTTTTGTTTCCTTTGGGTAGTGGCAGAAGAATAAATGTATTTTTATCATATCAGAAATGTGTGTGTTAGTTTTAGTTGTATAATTTTTTAATTTTATTTTTTATTTCTGTTGATGTGACCCATACCCTACAAGGGTATAAATCTCAATGATAAATAAAACTTCCCCTCAGCCCACACTACTGTCACAATTCAGTTTCCACCCCATACACCGACTATTTCATTAAAAACAACTATGCAATACTAAACCAATGTCACATCTAGTTTTGCCCTAAACTAAACTCGTGCTGCATGCACACCATACATTTAAAGCAGTTGGGGTCTCCCAAAGAATCCTGGGGACTATAATTTACCCCTCATTGAACAATTCCCTGTACCCCAACAATCTACAGTTCCCAAGATTCCTTAGGAGAGCTTGTGTGCTTTAAAAGCACAGTGCATATGCAGCCCATATTTAGGCTTCGGTCTTATTGAACTCAAAAGCTTGTTTCTATAGAGCCATGCAAAGGACTGCATTGTTAACTTACTATCTAAATTAGAAAATGAGAGGACGGTGAGGTAAGCAGGTAGCAAAAGCAATTAAATGCATGTACTTGCATTTTTGTTTGTTTGTTTGTTTGTTTGTTTCAGAAGTTTATATGCCATCTTTCCACTCCCTCAATAGAGCGCTTGGTGGCTTGCAATATATATGAAATAAGAGTCCTAACAATACATTTTTAAAAAAAACATACCTTAAAAGAGCATGAAAAGAGATGCAGTGTCAATCTTGGTTATAATTGCAGTAGTGAGAGTGGGGGGATGTAATCCAAAGGCCCTGAGGAGAGACTGGTTTTTTGAAAAGGAATTTATTTGAAGGTAGAGAGCTGTGCACTTCAAGAGGGTGTGGCACAAATCCACAAAGCAGCACCAACAGAAGGAGCTCCAATTCAATAGCAGATACTGAATAAACCAACCCAGCCTTAATCCCCAAAGGTTAGGAGAGATGCTGCTTTGTGGAAGGTAATTCCAGAGGGATGTACCTCACAAAAGATGTTCTGATCTTCTGCTATAGCAACAATCTGTTGCCCAGAAATTCTGTAGGGGAAGCTTTTATTGCATGAAGTGAATGTAAAATAGTCACTTTCTACATTTTTCTATGCCAAGCCGCTGTTAAAGGCACAGATAAAGGGCCTGAAAAAAGAAAGTAGGAATGACATTGCTTATGGTAGGTTGATAGGTTTTGTTACAACCAAGCAGTATACAGTAATACCTTGGAAGTTGAACAGAATCCGTTCCGGAAGTCCGTTCGACTTCCAAAATGTTTGAAAACAAAATTGCAGCTTCTGATTGGCTGCAGGAAACTCCTGCAGCCAATCAGAAGCCGCGGAAGCCCCATCGGACATTCGGATTCCAAAAAACCGTTCGCAAACTGGAACAATCACTTCCAGGTTTTGTGGCATTTGGGAGCCAAAATGTCTGAGTTATGGGGCATTTGGTATCCAAGGTACGACTGTATAAATAAATGTTGCAGCGTGTGGGCGGAATGCATCTTTGGATTTGTATGTAGAGGCCTGCTTTTACAGAGACTTTAAACATGATTAAGACGTTATTGTGAGCTGCTTTGAATATCTGAATGCTTAAGAGGTGAATATAAATCTGTTGAATAAGTGAATCTTCTTAGAAAATCAGTTTGTGGTAAATAGGATAGATCACTTGCTTTGGATATATAGGAAATCCAGGTTTAGATCCTTCAGTTATTATTACTCTAAAAGTTTATATTCTTCCTTCCAAAGGAGCTCAGGGAAGCAAGTACATAAGCCTAATAACAATATTTCTAAAAACAGGCAGTCCATCTGCTGCATGGAGAAAGAGGGGGGTTGTGCCTGCACACTGCTATCCACACACATAAGAGAAGAACTTCTGAAGAGGAGAGTCTGCCTGAAGTACCTGTGACTTAGAGCCCTGATCACACCGGTTTGCAAACCATGGGAAGGCTACTTAACTAGAGTCTGCTTCTCTGCACAGATATCCCCCCCCCCACCGTATGGGGGTAGAGCCATACCCCCAAGATTATGATCTCTTGGAAGATAGCACTTGAAGGGGGCTTGTGAAATTCATTAGATGCTATTGATCTTGATGTGAGGAATTGTTCTTTGACTAGTGAATCCCGGTTTGGTTTTCTTTCTTTGTGTAAGTGTCTTAATACTGTTTGTCTTCCTTCATTGAAATGCAGCCTCTTTCTTGTCCCCCACGCTCAGCATTAGCCACCATGGTGAAACTTTTTATTGGCAATCTTCCTCGGGAGGCCACGGAGCAGGAGATCCGCTCCCTTTTTGAGCAGTACGGACGGGTTCTGGAATGCGACATCATCAAGAACTACGGCTTTGTGCACATTGAGGACAAGACGGCAGCCGAGGATGCCATCCGCAACCTGCACCATTACAAGCTGCACGGGGTGTGCATCAACGTGGAGGCCAGTAAGAACAAGAGCAAGGCTTCCACCAAACTGCACGTAGGCAACATCAGCCCCGGCTGCACCAACCTGGAGCTGCGAACCAAGTTTGAGGAGTATGGGCCGGTGCTTGAATGCGACATTGTTAAGGATTACGCGTTTGTGCACATGGAGAGAGCAGAGGATGCCGTGGAGGCCATCAGGGGCCTTGACAACACAGAATTCCAAGGTGGGAAAGGGGGAGCCAGGTGGGCTAGGAACAGGAAGGAAAAAGACCCATGTACGGGTTCGCCTCTCCCACGGGGGCTGACAAGAGTTCCAAACTACTCCAGCCATGTTCAGCAGCTAGGAGGGCTGTCCGCTGGCTAGATTTTAATATTTGATTAGTCTGGCTTCTAACCAATGATTTTCTTAAATAGATTCAATTTAAATACATGTACATTCTTGGCAAAAGGCCTTGTTTGAGGATTTGAAAGTGGGTACTTTATTTTCTGTGTGAGAAATTTAATGAACCAAAGCTCACTGCTTTCTGAAAAGGAAGGCCTCCTCAATACGTTTGCATCCAAATTTGTAGAGCCAGAACAATTTCAAATACATGTTTTCAACCAGTAAATTTAATGAAATCCCAGAAAGATGCCTTAAAAATTGATTTTAGCTGAACAGCCAGCGTATTAGAAGAAAAACTTTCAATGTATCCTCCCACCCCAAAAGAAGTTTTCTAACTTTAAATTTAAATTTAAAAATGACTTTAGATTTCTCTTACATCCAGTTCAGAACAGCAGTGAAAAAGCCCCCAGGTCTTTCAGAGTTCCCAGGTCTCTGCTTCTTTTTAGCCCTACTAGTTATGTGGTGTTTGTGGATGTTCAGTGTGCATTTAAAGTTTTAGTTGGTTATTGATTGAATTGCTATAAGCATGCAGCACTGATGACTGAAGATTGGCTCAAATCCATGTGATATGGATCCCACCCACCACCTAATCAGCCTACCCTTCCTCCTCACCCAGCTTCCTTACCTACCTGTCACTTTCCTTTCAGCAAGTACATCCTTTTTAAAAACAAGAACTGCCTCTCTTCTTCCCGCTTCCTGCCTCTATAGCCATCAATCACTTAAGCCCATGCTTCCCAGCCCACTGCCTGCTCTGTTCGCATTCCTTCAGCCAGTTTACTTTTGCACTTCCTGTGTTTTCTACTTCTAGGCCTTCTTAACTGATTCCCCCCCCACACATGCCCTTTCCCTTTATTGCTGACAGCACATGGCTTCTCTTTCCCAAGGCCTGCACGACCTTTTACTTCTCTCTTAGAAGCTGCAGTATTTATCAACATTCTGTTGCTAACAGCTTCCTGCCGAGCAGTTAGAATGTCATTGTTAGATCCAAGACAACATAGCAAATCTGATGGCTAGGGGCAGGCAACAAAGACTGATTTTTTTAGCTTGTTCTAGTAATCTACTATTTCTATTCTAGTAATTTATTTCTTTTCTTTTCTTTTTACTTCCACTTTTTGGGGGTTTGGAGAGGGATATATACGTAATTTTGAGAATGTTGAACATCTGAGTTGTACTTTAGTTGGTTACTAAAACTCTTCAGTACAGTGTTTGCAAAAATGTGTTAACAAAACAAATTTCTCCAATCTGGAGCTTTTTTTGGGTGGGGGAAGAAATCAAAAATAACCATCCACGTCAATTTTTGCTGAGGTTGATAGCTTCCAGGTGAGAATTGCATAATAATATATTAAAGCACTCTTTCTTCCAACAAAACAACAACAACAACACAACCACCACCACCACCACCAAAATGTACAATTAAAATGCACAGGTTTTTTTCATTTTCCTTTTAGCTTGTCTGGAAAGTGGTTAGAATCTAGTTATATTATGCTGATAGGTAACTCTGTATATAAAGTTAGATGTCTCTAGGGAGTGGTCAAGGCAAGGAATTGGTAGGGTTGTAAGTCATGTGAGCAAAGGCCTGGTTCATTTGAAATTGTTTGGCTGAGCTGTGTTCATGGTGGGGTGGGGAGAAGCCTGTATAGAGTTAAGACAGGGATAAACATGTGCTGAAATAAGCCATAATATTTATTACCTATTAAGCACCCATAAAGATAAGGCAAGCCTCCACCTTTGCAGTCTCTCTGTTGCTTCAGCATCTTAGGAGTTGCAGATCAATGCCCATTATGTGTTTGCTTGTTTCATCTCCCAATCTGGCAGTATTAAGCCACACTTTGAGGTGAGAAATTCCTACTTGCAGTCCTTTTGGCTCCAAAGAGTATCCATAAGGAAGTTGTATATAGTCTTGGATTCGGTGTTGAAGACTTTATACAATTAAATTCAGCCACTGTAGCTAACTTGGCAGCGAAGTGTGTTTCTCTGTGCCAGGGTTCTTCACTCATACTCACTGAAGACTGCCAGGCTAGTAACAGTGATTGTTGACGAATTCCAGGAGATAACTAAGTAGCAGCAAAAAAGGTACAAATTGCCTGAACCAGAAGGGGTTTTTGCAAACACAGCTGATCATGCAAAGATGAGAGAAGCTTTGCTGAAGTTCCTTCTTCAGTAGTGTTACTCAGTTAAAAGTGGGGTCTGGTGAGCAGTGCCTGCCCTGTTCATGCAGCTTTTAAGGCACAGGATCCCATCTGCTTCTTATTTGGAGTTGTGGGTTGACATGCAGTGGAGCATAAACCCCAAAAGGTGAGATCAAGAACACAGAAGCTGTTTCCCAGTAACCAAGCTGTGCAACCTGATCCATTGGACAAAAGTGGGCAAGAAGGATAACTTTGGAAGCTGAGCCACATGTACTCCCAGGCAGAGTTAGAAACTAAGATATATAAGCTAATCACCAAATGGCACCTTAAACCTAGGTAACGGTCGCCACAACAGAATGTCTAGGTGCCATTTCCCCACCCCCAGTGGAATTTTTATTGGTTACTCGTTTCATTTCTACAGCAGTTTATATTTTTTTTAAAAAAAAAAAATTCAAAGCAGTTTACAACACATTACAACATCAGATAAAACAATCCAGAATAGAACAATTTCAGGCTTCAAGGAAAATATTTCAGATCCTTTTCTGAGTGACATTTTGCTTTTCCCATATTTATTTACCTACTTAATTTATATAGCTGCCCCACTCTAGGAAGTCAGTGTGGTGTACTGGTTAGAGTGTCGGACTAGGGCCTGGGAGATCAGGGTTCAAACCCCCACTTAGTTGTGAAGCTCACTGGGTAACCTTGGGCCTGTCACAGCCTCTTAGCCTACCTCACAGGGTTGTTGTAGGGATTAACTGAGGATGGGGGTGAACCATGTGCACCTTGGAGGAAAAGGTGGGATACAAATGCAACAAATAAGCTCTTCTGCTTACCTGCTTAAGATAGCTGGAGGGGCCAGCCAGATGGAGAGGTCAGTTGCCAACCTGGCATCCAGAAATCTCCACGTGGTCGCAGTTGGACCCACACCAGTTGCAAAGGGCACCTGGGAAATTTCAAACACTACTCTCAGGATGACCTGGCCTCTTTCCATCAGGAGGTAGGTTTTATCCAGGGGTTGTTGTCTAGGAGCAAAAGCAGCTGCTGAACTGTGCATGAAAACCCCAGGCGCAAAAAGGTTCCCTTCCTCTCCACTATCTTAACAAGATTGGGGGGGGGGTATTGAGATTCCCCTGTTTCCGGGGGGGGGGGGTGTTGGAATAAAGGAGAGCTGAAAAGGAGCAGTGGTCTTGGGACAAGCTTGTAGGGGGCTTCATACGTAAGAATTGCCCTTACTGTGTCAGACCAACACCCTGTTTCCTGTAGTGACCATCCAGATGCCTGAGCCCTTTCCCACTTATGCTTCCTCGTGACTGGTATTCAGACTGCCACTACAGGTATCAGATAGCCATTGTTAGTAGCCTTTTGGATGCATGTGGCAGAAATCAGCTGGGTTGAACATTAAACCTTTTCACTGCTGAAATATGAGGGCACGGACTGTAAACGGTTGCCCTCAATTAAAAGGTGGACTAGGCTAGTTTAGTGAGCAACACCTGCCCTGCATTGCTGGGTGGATGCTATCAGCCACTGTGCATGGTAAGACCACAAGGCTGAAGGATTCCTGTATTGCGGGGGATTGAACTAGGTTGCCCTCGTGGCCCCTTCCAGTTCTATGAGTCTAAGGCAGGTGGCAGCAGAAAGAAAAAGACTTGGCTGGCCTTGTAAGAACTAAGCCGTGCTATGTTTGGCTGTGTGCCAAGTGTAAATCTTTCATTTGTGGTGCATGTCTGGTTCTGGTCTGGCTTGAGGAAATGGGTGGTCTTCGTTTATGACTTCCGTAAGGGGTCACTGTCCTCGTCCCTGATGCCCTGCAACCTCTCTGGCTTCCATTTAGTTGCTGTGCTAGCGGTTTCTCTGGGCATGAAAAGGTCTGTCTGTCTGTGATAGGCCAGGAATAGAGACAGGGCCATAGTCAGGGATCTCAATTAACTGCATGTCTTGAAAGCTCAGGAAGCCTTATCCTGCAAGATCCCTCTGAGCAGAATGAATAGATTACATTTGATTCATTACATGCAAGTTTTATTGGTGTCAGGGTCAGGGAAGTGCTGTTGCCTTTGGAAAATGGAGGGGCAAGGAATTGTGGATCAAGAATGTAAGGTTTAATTCAGTGTGAAACCAGAGTTGGAACTTTCTTCATATCCTTTTAGAACCTTTAGCATACATTGCTATGCCCCTATAAGCATTTCATCCCCTCATAAGGGTCACAAATGTTATTTTAAAACAAAATAACAGCAACAGTTTTTTCTGGAGTGTTCAGGACCACATAATGGGATATTGTATGTTTCCTGATGCAGCCATACAGTAAGCTAGCTAAGTAAGCTAGCAAAGTTTTTGAACCTAAGCCTCCTGGGTCTGCTGGCTCATTCGGGCTTTACCATAACATTCTGCAGGCCTGCCAAAATATTTTTGAGTTAACTGCAGCCAGAACCATGTTTGGGGATTGAATGAAATAGTTCACATTCCTAAGCAGGCTGGAACAACTCTGCTGCTGCTGTATGCTCTGCTCCTCAGGTAAATTGGTGGGCTATTCCAAGTCAGAAGGTGCAGGATTCCACTTTCCCTGCCGCCAGGGACAACTGGTCCCAGAAACACTTTTTATTTTGCCTCTTGTACTGTTAGCTGTGCAGGCTGGGCCAGCTGGTTGTCGTGACATAAACAAGCAAACAAACCTGACCTTCTGTGCTTTTGCTTTGAACTGTTTTTAACAAATCTTTATAGCTGCCCTTCTTGCGTCTGTTTCTTCAAGGCAAACGAATGCGCGTGCAGTTGTCCACCAGCCGTCTCAGGACCGCACCCGGGATGGGAGACAAGAGTGGCTGCTACCGGTGTGGGAAGGAGGGTCACTGGTCTAAAGAGTGCCCGGTAGATCGCACGGGGCAAGTGCCCGAGTTGACCGAAACTTATAGCGAGCAATACGGAATGGTGCGCACCCCCTACCCTACGGGCTATGGGGACCCCGTGTATTATGATGACCCTTACGGAATGGTGGACTACTATAAACGGTATCGCGCGAGGTCCGCCGCGGCGTATGGGGCTTCTGCATACGACGCTTATGCGGAGCAGACCATGGCCCAGTATTCCCAGTACGCCCAGTACTCACAAGCCACGGCCATGGCCAATCGCCTCTCCACTGCCTTAGAGCCCTACGAGAGGGCCTTGCTGCCTGCCTCGGGAACTGCAGCAGCAGTAGCTGCTGCGGCGGCGGCCGCGACTTCCTCATTTTACACCCGGGATAGAAGCCCCCTGCGTCGCTCGGCAGCTGCGGCTTCCACCGTCGGAGACGTGTACGGATACGAGCGTGTTCAGCTTTCTCCCGTTCCGCGATCATCCCTCTACGATGTCCAGCGGTTCGGGCGGGATGCAGGCGCGGACAGGTTGCGATACTCCGCGTATTGAGTCTGGAGGTGAGAGCGTTTTTTTCCTGAGTCGCTTGGAGGAGGGGGATGGCACATTAGCATGGCTGGTGAGACTTGGGAAAATGGTCTGCTGTGTCTTGAGGGATACCTTCTGGTATCTGCTGTGCTCTGGATTGCAAAGCTGCTGGCAGCAGCATAGGCCTAGCACTTAGGATATCTGAGGCAACCTGGAGCAAGCGATGCAGCTGGGTGTGGGAGGTGTAGTTTGGACCACTGTCACCAGCCCAGCAATAGAGGGAGGAGAAGCGAGCTGTCCTTGAGGGTTTTGCTACATAGCTGGACTGTGAGTATTCTCCTGTGGGAAGAATAGGCTCCACTCTCCTGCTCTTAAAATCTGGCCCAGTCTGTCAATTTCTTGCTCTCCAGCCCAAGTGCTTCGGTTGTTTTCCCCGCTGTTGCCATTGACCTTGCACCTTTGCCATCTGCTCACAAGGCTGCCAGCATCCCCCTTGCATATGTAGCTTGGTATGCACTATAGAGGCTGGGGCTGAGGTGTAGCAGTCACTCTGGCTTGCAGTGGCCTTTGGACAACGCTGCTCTGAAATAACCAGCAAGTCTTTAAGCATCCAGAAAATTCCCCAGCTTCATCTCTGAGCTGTGTGCTGGGAGGGTCATTCGCAGAGGGCCTGTGAATTTTCAAAGATGACAGCTTGTCAAAGGTGCAGTTTCAACATCTCCTTACACAAGATTAGCCATGCTGAATCAGACCAAGATCTGCCTAGACCAGCCTTCTCCTTACAGTAGTGGCTAATTAGGTACGTCCCAAGCTGGGCATAAAGTTGAGCTTCCCTTGTCTACTCCAGCATTCATTCAGAGTTGTCCTGCTCAATTCATGGAGGTGGCCATTGAGAAGATATCCTCCTTTATGAATTTGTCTGATTCTTTTTAAAAGCCACAATTCAGTAGCCATCACCCCATCTTCTGATAGTAAATTTCTTCAGTTAATCATGCATTATATGAGGGAATACTCTGATTTTCTCTATCCTAAACCCATTGGCAGGTATACCTGAGTCCTAGCAGTATGAGAGAGGGTGAATAATTTTCTTTCCACTTTTTCCCCATGTGGTTCATTATTTTATAAACCTCTCTCCATCCATCCCATTTGTCTTCTTTCTAAAACAAAAACTAAAAGCCTTATATTATAATGAAAGCACTCCACACCCTTGATATCTTAATTGCTTCCTTCCTGTATTTCTTCCAGCTGTGTGATGCCCTTTGAGAGATAGGACAATATGCAGCATTATAAAACGTTACCATACCACAGATGCATATTATTACACTTGTAATTCTGTTTGCAATCTCACCCTAATAATTCCCCATATTGAAGGATTTTTCTTCCTCCCCTTTTTCTAACTGCAACATTTTTATTGAGCACACACGCACACACACACACAAATACACAACAGCTCCCTATTCGGGTAGTCAGCATGCATTCATCTGGAGGTTAGGTTGAATTGTGTGCAGTTGACAGGGGAACGAGGAGTCCCATAGGTGTGTTTTACTTGCAACCAACTGCAATAATAGCAAATGCCACCATTTGCTGTTTGTAGGGTATCTATGTCCCCAGTGCACAGTAGGATAGCCTGAGGCTCCTCGGCAGTGTCAGAATAGATGGGCAATTCACATGCAAGCCAGGGTTTAACTACAGTTGACATAGGCTGTATCACTGGTAGAACTTGTGCTTTGAATGCAGAAGGTCCCAGGCACAGTCTCCCCCCAAAGGATTAAGTAGCAGGTGTTGGAGAAACCCATTTTCTCAGTGAAGCTCTGGAAAGCTGCTGCCAGTTGGAGTAGACAACATAAAACTAGATGGAGAAGTAATCTGAATTGGAGTAAGGCAGCTTGCTCAGTGAAGAGACCACAGCTCACTGGTAGAGCTCTGCATTCAGTAGGTCTCAGGTTCAGTACCTTTCATCTCGTGTTAAAAGGATCCCTGGTTGTGGAAAAAGGACCTCTGCCTGGGAGCTTGGGAGGCAGTATCAGTCACTGGTCTGAGCTGAGAGGAGGCACTCTTAGTCCTGCTTCAGTGTGGATTGCAAATGCCAACAAATGAAGCATTGCCCCAAAAGTGGTTGCCCCAATGTGCATTTTAACTAGTTGCTTACATTTCAGGAAATCTGTAACTAAAATGAGCACACTGAGAATTTCCTATAAATAGGGAGGTTCTTTTGCTTTTCAAAATAAATATTCACATTAATTGGGGTTGCGGGGACCAATGTTCCCTTAAACTGCTCATCCTGTATTATGGCTCCCAGCCAAAGTAAACCGCTGAGGAATATGCTGATAATTATCTTTCCAGAGCTATTTGTGACATAGTTACAATTCTGAGTTCTCTTTCTCTTTCTATCCCTGATGCCTGTTCCTTCCACCAGCCTCACATACAGCTTTCTTGACATTCAGAAGTTTGGGTAGGTACTCACGCACCATCCTTAGAAGTGAAGATCTTTGTGTTGGAATCCTGTGCGACGTGGTCCTGGGTTCCCTCTAGGCACTCTAGGCAGAGATCCACCTTTGAGCCTTCAAATGAATTGTGTCTTTTATTTTTCAGGTAGGCTATTTGAGGGCTGGACGTCGGGTTCCTGTGGTACATCCGCGACAAAACTGTGCCAGGCTTCACGATGTGTCAATTTGTGTTTAGCATGGTCTCACTAATGGACATCTTGTGTCTCTTCAAAGTTTAGTGACAACTAACTTCCCTTAAAAAACAAAAACAAAAATAGAACACATTTCCCAAGGATTTTTTGCGGGGATGGGGGAGGGAGGTGTTGTGGGGAGTTCAGCAGTAACTGACATTGCACCCCCCTGCCTAGACCTGGATTTTAAGTTTAGGGTGGTCCTGGGTGGAACAGGAGGCAAGCTCTTCTCCTTCTGGAGCCTACTTTAAGCCACAGCCTTCCCTCCCAGCTCAGTTTCTGTCTCCCTATATGTGGCTTAATTTTGGAGGCGAATAATCAGTACTCCCCCCTTTTTTTCTTGTTTGTTTTGTCATATTTGGTATTTTCCTGAGTTTATTCCCTCCTGTGGAGTCCTTCTTATACTGATAATTAACCTGTGACTTTTGTTCTCTGAAGTTTGACAAAACTTTTTCTCCAGTAAAATAAAACATTTGTAACAGATGCCTGAGAGTTTTTGTCTGCTGTACTATAGACTAAAAGACAAAACGATAATGTAAAGCAGTTGTGAAGCCCCTATGATATGTGTAAAAGTGAAATGGGACAGTGTAGCTATTTAGGCACCTGATGAGCGCACATTCCCTCTGCTACAGGCCAGCTGCAAAGTTCAGCCCCCTGCAAAACTGAAGGTTCATTTCTTTTTGCTCTCCTGAGTTAGGCTATTTCACTTCATTGTACAGCAGGATGTCTAAATGTCTTATTTATTGCTTCATTTGTCAGTTGCACAAGAACTATCATCTGAGGGCTAGGGAGATCAATCCCATCTGCTGTTTCTTCCCGACAGGAATTGGTTGGTCTGAAGTGAGCATCATTTCGTAATTCCATACATCTCCCTCTCCCCCGCACCCACAAGCCCATACGTGCATATTACTACAGCCCATAAAACAAAGGCTGAGTTAACCATATGGCCAAAAAGTTGCTTGGTGATGGTTAACATAGAGGTACAGCCTCTTGAGTTAATACAGAGTCGTCCTTAGTGTTGAGTTGCTTACCCCTGTTTTAGCCTAAAATTGCAAATGTGTGTGGAAGGATATGCCTATCCCTCGTGGGGACCACCCTTCTCACATTCTAGCTGCCACTTGTTCACTTGAGAGAAACCCTGCTGTGATGTCAAATAGCAACCGCAAGGTGCTGCAAGGTGTGAGATTTAGTGATCTCTACATGCATGTTCCGCCACTATCCCATATTCCAGTTGCCTCATGCTAAGGGTTGGTTACAGTGCAATCCTAACCACGTCTACTCAAAACACAGTGGGGCTCACTCCCGGGTAAGCAGGACTAGGTTTGTAGTCTTTGCTGAGATACAGCACAAGTTGGGGGCCAAAGGCTTTATGTAGCTTGCTTTTGATGATGGATTAGAAGAGAGCTTACATCATGTAGGTGTTCTGAGAGGCACCTCCAAGCAACAAGGGACAGCAAAGCAGAAAGGGTGGAGCGCTGGTCTTGCTTATACTAAAAGCCACATTTGGACCCAGAAAGCAACTTTCCTTGAAGTCAAACTGGACCTTTTCCTATTGTGCTTCCCCAGCTGCTTGTTCTGAGTCACCTACCAGAGGTTTTATTCTGCTGGCATCTCAACTGTTTTCTCATAGAATCATAGAACTGTAGAGTTGGAAGGGACCCTAAGGATAATCTAATCTAACCTGCAATGCAGGAATATGCAGCTGTCCCTTATGGGGATCAAGCCTCCAACCTTGGTGTTATCAGCACTATGCTGTAACCAACGGAGCTATCTTTTGGGGGTCAATGATAAATTTCTATCTGGTACACAAATTTATCTGTGCAGTAGTGCAAAGTGCTCATGACATACCCTTTCCTCCTGACCAGCAACTTTGGCCTGTGATTTTGTCATCCATTTGCAACAATTGAAACAGTAGTTGATAGAAGGATCAGCAGGCATCTATTCAACCACCAAACTGACCACCAATACTGAATATTTAAGCCTTAAGGCATTTATACACCACACCCATCACCTGGTAGGGGCTGAGGCTGATGGAAGTTGTAATCCAAAATTTCTACAGGGCAATAGGGCGCAGTAAGTTGTTGTACTGCTTTTCAGGCAGACCTCACAAAGCTATTTATCTGTTATTAAATCGGTATACCACCCTTCATCCAAAGATCTCAGGGCAGTTCACAGCATAAAAAGACACAAACAAGAACGAAAGCAAAGCAAAACAACCCCCCATACACATCTAAAAGTACATGGAATGTTAATTGGCCAAAGGCTTGGTTGAAGAGATGTTTTCGCCTGGTGCCTAAAGGTGTATAATGAAGGTGCCAGGCAAGCCTCCCTGGGGAGAGCATGCCACAAATGGGGAGCCACTGCAGAAAAGGTCCACTCTCATGTTACCAACCGGCAGACCTCTCCTGGAATCCATTTGCAATAGCCAGAGAAGACTGAAGAGGACTGAGGGGAGAAAGTTGGGTGTCTACTATAGAAATAAGCAACTGGCAGCTCTGCCAAATCCAGCCCCCGAAAGGATTTTAGCTGCCTCTTTGTTACTAACAGGTATGAATAGTTTCATATGATAACGTAACGACTTGAAAACCACTCTGGAATGAGGATTGTGGTCTTGGTTTCTACTGTAGGAAAACTAGTTGCTGACAACCACCACCGTTGCTCTACATCTACCCTCCACAACAACAACAACAACAACCATTGCTCTACATCTACCCTCCAGTTGCCATGTGAGATTGATGGGTAAGCTAGGTCCCCCATTACTCAACAATGGGGCGGAACAGAACCCCGCCACCCCAGCTCCATCAAGGGCAACCTGTACTGTATGCTTGCAGTTTGCTAGAACCTTTGGTACAGTAGCCAAAACTCTGAAGACACACTAAATTGCCACATCCCGCTTCCTCCATCCCCCAGGGGCACTGTCACAGGCTGGACACAACCTGTGCCAGAGGCCCTGGGAGATTGAAGAGAATGTGCATGGCAGGCACATCATGATTCTTTGCAAAATCATGGTCTAATAGAATTCCGAATAAGATGGCAAGGTAAGCCATAGGGAAGAAATTCATAGCAGGCCTAATGTGGTCTGTAAGCAATTACTTCAAAGATCATGGCAGCACTTCAAATAATGAGGACAAGAAACATTTTTAATTTGAGGATATCGGGAACCTTAAATTCTTCATAGGATCCAGTTCATTTGTGGATAAGGCACATCTCACAAACTGACAACCCTTGTGAAATTTGGAATGAGCTAAACGTATTCTGGACGTTTGGTGCATGCCCACCTTTTCCCCACCACCACTCTCTGCCCTTTCCCTTATTCCACCAATAGACCATGGCACTACAAACTGAATCTAGGTTGTTGGGGTCTGCCTCCATGTTTCTCAACCTTTGGCTTGGCTGAAGGAGAGGTCTGTTGGAAAAGTATGTGGATGAATTTGGTGCATGTGCAGAAAAGATGTCTTCTCCACTGCCATCTTGGTGTGTTGGCCAGTGAGCTAAACAGTGGTACCAGTCTTTAAGGGATAGGAGGAAGTCTTCTAATTAGGCCCCTTTTCTGGACAACTCTCCTCAATGTATTGGCACGTCGCTCCTGCTGTAGCCAGTAGAGCATCTCCACTGTATCCCATGCCATCTTCTGCAGGTATGGGCGTCCCTTATAGGTCACTGTGTCATTGTAAGACTCTTTGATATTGTTCAGGATGATATAGAGCTCTGAGTCATACTGGGCCAACTCAGAGCGCAAGCGGTTCCTGGTTCTGGATTCCTTCATTCGTGCTATGAAGGAGCGGGGGGCCAGGTTGAACAAGCGGTTTGGATTCGAAGCAGTTTCTTCAAACTGTTCCAAATCAGCCAGCAGGAGTTCTCGGTCCTGGATAGACCGTGCTGCTGTCTCCCAAGCTTGGAGCATGTCTGGGAGCAGCCAGTAATATGGGTTGGCGCTGTACTTAATTGCCATATCCAGCCTTTCCTGTTCAGAGAAATGAAGAACTGTCCACAGTCTTTCCAGCCTTCTCTGAAAGACCTTGAGATCCTCAGATGTGTGGTCAGAGCAAAAAACATTTTCCAACCCCCGCAGCATGGCACATTGGGAATTCCACTTCCCATGCTCAAACTCTTCCTTCTTGGTTTGAAGTTCAGCAGCTTTCTTTATCACGTCTCTCTTCACTTTCACTTGTTTCTTTACTTGCACCTCATCTAATACAGGCTGTTGCTCCTCATCTTCCTTAACGCTGTATAAATGAAATATCACTGGCAAATAGTCAGACTCCTTGGTGCCAATGTATTTCAAGTAATCATCAGTGTTGAATGTTGCTTTCCACCATTTAAGCCAAGAGGTTTTTTTACCAGTATTTTTTTTGAAGGGTACATTTGGGCTCTCTGACACTTCCTCAGGGACAAATGGTCCAGGTGGCAGGATGTTACTCAGCTCTTTATTAATGACCTGTTCACTTTTCCCCCTAGTCAATGTTGAGGAAGCAAAGCACCCAGCCAGTTCAATGTTGGTTGCAGGGGATTCTATCATGGGCCCTAGGTCAAATTTCAGGTGGTCTTTTGGGATAGTATTCATTAGTTCCTTGTACATCTCCCTGACCTCTTCACCAGTGGAAAGATTTGCATCTAGAGACTTCACTGTAGCATTATCTATCTCTCCAAGGAGGTGGTTGTAAATTACTGGACATATCTCCATAGACACAGCTTCTACATAGGTTCTTTCTGACACTTGCATATCAGCTGCCTTCACAACCATCCTTTCGTTGACTTTAAAGTTCACTGTTGCAGCCTGAGGATGTGTGGCTGGGGCAGCAATCATGGTGTTCTTCCGTGACATCTCAAAGGACTCCTCTCGTTGCAGAGAGCAAAGTATTCTCTGAAGCTGCTCAAGGCGAACCTCATTAGTCTTGCGCCGTGTCAAGGCTTTAATTAGGGGAGGGAGCTCTAAATCCTCATCCTGCTCTCCTTTCTGCTGGCTGCTTTTCAGGACTGTTCTCTGTGCTAGTCTTCGGAGGTCCTCAGCCAGCCCGGCCATTCCCTTGAGCCCATCATCTTCAGTGGTCTCACCATAATGACAAGGCAGATCAGGGCTGATAGGGCGCACAGATAAACGAATTCCAAGTTCATCTGCTAGGAGCTGTCCAACTCTCATATTGGGCAACGACTGGCTCCTCTTGAGACTGCTGGAAATGGCATGCTTAACCCGCTGGAGTTTAGGCCGATCTCCTAAAGTACTGGTGCATGAGCATGGCATTGTCATCACATCAGACTGCATTTGTCTAAAGTGGCTACTAGAGTTTGGTCTTGGTAGATTTAACTGCTTTATTTTGTTCATGTCTAACAAAGGTAAGTCCTCCAATTCCTTGATATCCTTCGCTATCTTCTGTCTCATCGTTGGTATGTGAGGTTTCATAAGCCTGATGAAGTAGTCAATGCTGAAATGCAGATTGCACGCGTCCATCTGCGTTGACCTCCAACCCGCCATACTAACCCGTTTCCTGGACGTTTCAGTCTGGCGGAGTTGCAGGGTCTTCGTGTCCATTATTAGGCGGTGGCGGACAGCTGCTACATTGAGGAGCCTGGAACAGTCCAGAGAGAGTTGGGCAGAGAAGCGAGTTAGGTTAGCACAGTCCGTGAAGACAGACAGTGCACGATGGCGCTCCATGACAGACAGATAGCGACGGAAAAGGTGCTGGCATACCAAGCCAATGTAAGTCACCAGGTGCTGGTAGAGTTCCCTATTTTCCTGGGGACTGAAGGCTGGGTCATATAGGGAACGTTGTACATCCTTAAAGATGTGCTTGACCTCAGTTAGGATGACCTGCTGGAAGGCCCGCTGGTGTGGGCTGGGTATTTGCTGCCACTGGGTCCCCACCTCCATCCGGCCTTTTAGCAGCTGCATGAGGTTGGCCAGGGAGATGGGCACAGGCACAGGCTTCTGCAGGGACGAGATGGCAGAGGACCCTTTGTCGATCGAGCTCCTCAACCTGGAGACGGTGGCCGGGAAGAGGGACAGGGGGGCGAGGATCCGCTGGTAGTGGTCATGCAGCTGCTGGCTGGCCTTTTCCGTGTTGTCTAGGGCGTACACCTCGCGCCGGGGAAGCGCGACAAACGAATTCATGGTGGGGAGCTCGGCGGAAGCTGCAGCTGCAGCAGCGACAGCAACCCCAAGGTGGCTTATGGAGTGGTCGTCATGGTTACTCCACAACGGACTACTCGGCGCCAATCGGCTTCCCCGAGGGACGCTGAGCGCGAGAGTTTGGTTCCGGACCTGGTAAAAGGGCGCGCGGACTCCGAAGAGGAGGGGGCAGGAAGTGACGTCGTCACCTCCGTTTACTGATCTTTTTACACGACGAGTCGGTCGCCGATCATAGAGATGAGCTAGTGTGGCAGGTCAGCGACTTCCGGGTTCCTGTTTTGTGTTTGTACAAGCGGGTCCGGCGGGCAACATTTCCCCGTGAAGGGAAAGGAAGGAGGCGGCGGCGGCGGCGATGGAGGCACCTCCAGGAGGCGGTGGAGGCAGCTGCAAGGTGGGATAGAATCCCCCGCCGGGGGTGGACCACTAATTCCTTTGACCAGCCGTTATCTCGCCTTAAAAAGCAGAGGCATGACATGCAGAAACCCAGCAGGGGAAGTTTTTCTCTCGCCGCGTCTGCCACTGTTGTGTTTCTGCCTGCTATGGCAAACATGCAGGAAGCCTTCCGTGAGGGTGGGTGGAATTGTTACCTTTTATCGGATGGTTGGAGAAACGGGCGGCAGAACAGACGTGCAAAGTCCTCCTCCAACGGTAGCTCCAGTTAGGAAGGATCGCGCAGCGAGGGATGGAAAGGCCCTCCTCTGCCTGAGGTCCTGGAAAGCCATTTCCAGTCAGAAGAGACAATGCTCAACTTGATGGACACATACAGCTTACATATACACAATAGATATATAGCTTTAATACTATTAGTGTTTAATTGCTTTTTAATGAATATCTTTTCATGCTTTTATCTTTTAAATTGCCTTTGGGGGAAAGGCGGGATATAAAGATGATGACAATAAACGTGCAGGATGATGGTGTCCATGGACAGGGTATGAAGCAGAAAGGCTGTTGAATGGGTGAAGGATTCAAACTACTGCCCCTAATATAGTACTAACCTTCTCCTGTGAACATAATGTGCTAAGGAGGACCACCTGCCCACCAGGTTCAGCACTGTTCCTCCTGCTTTCCTTGAATAGTGTCTGGTAATTTGAAATCATGTTCCAGCTGCAGATCAGTAAGAGTTATTCTGCATTCTACATAAAACGACATTTTTCTTTCTTTCCTTTTTTAAATAAGCAGCTTTGGACTCATATGATCTTCTCTCACCTTTTTACAGCTGGAGTTTGCTGTCCAGATGGTGTGTCAGAATTGTGTTGAGGCCATTCGGTCATCTCTGCAGGGAATACCAGGTGATCAGATGATGAAGGCTTGTGGCATTTGTCAGGATCCTATGGCCCTCCAGATGCTGTTGAACTCCAACTACCATCAGCCCTAGCCAGCAAGGATGATGGTAGTTGAAGTTGAATAACATCTGAAGGGACAATTCTAAACCCTGTCCAGGGAGTGGGCATTTTTCCTGTTCCTTGGGCGCACTGCAATTTTATTTCCCCCCACTGCTCACATTGACACTCCTCAGAAAGCACAGCAGTACTAAAAAAATGTGTTACAATATCAGCACAATTGTCCATCTAGGTCTTCCATCTTGTCTACAGCTACCATACGACATCAAAAGCCTTTCTCCAGGTGCTTCTGTCTAAATCTGCCAAGATAAGTGTGGGGAATCTTTGGCCATCCATATATCTCTGAACTTACGGCTCCCATCATCTCTGGTTGTGCTTGCTGGAGCTGATAGGAGCTGTTGATCAGCAACATCTGGAAAGCCAAAGGTTTCCCACACCTCCCCTTGCAGAAGGGCCTTTTTAATGGAACAATCTACTCAGGGCGGTCCATCAAACCTAGATACTCCCTGATTTCAGGTGCCAGTCTAATTCCTGAGCTTGTTCTCCTTTTCTCTGATAAACGTCTCCCAGCCAGGTGTTTGTATCATTTTCTTGATTTGTGCTGTTTTTGATTTTAATTGTTAGCTACCTTGTGACATTGCTAAAACATATGGCTATCCATTTAAAAAGGAAACAGTGACTATACAGATGCCACCAGGAGAATAAGAAGCAGGGGTAAAGATATGTCAGAAGGCCACTGAACCTATGACAAAAAACCCCAGACAAAGTCACGCTAAAGTGACATTTTGGTCTACTGTCTTGCTTCAGAATAGCAGTCAATGCCCAAACATTGACAACAACATCTACCCCCAGTGTGGGAACCCTAGTGCCAAATTTGGCAAAGACATCTTGAGGTAGCCAGTACTATGGAGAACAGATGGACAGACAGACAAATCACTTTCCAAAATATATAGCAGATTGGTGGTACTCAACAGGCAGGTTTGTGTGGGACGAATCATACTGTTGGAATGGTCCTCAGGGGTCATCTAGTCCAACCCCCTGCCAGTGTAGGAAATTTATTACCGCAGCATCCCTGATCACTGGCCATCCAGATTGTGTTTCGAAACCTCCAGCAAAGTTGCGAGTCCACCACCTTCCAAGGCAGTTGGTTCCACAGCCAGAACACCTACGCCATCAGGAAGGTCTTCTGAATGTTTTGTGTTAAGGATAAAGGAGGAGACTCTTGTTATGAGTAAAAGTGGTGGCTTGTCAGGGGAGCAGGGCAGTTTAATGGACTAGTGTGGAATACAACAGTCGCATCATGGCAGTGACTTCTGTCTTTGCACTTCACCTTCTCCTCCCCTATCTCTTTCCACCTCCTACCTCTTCCCCAGGCCTCCAGGTGCTTAACGTCCAGCTGGAATCACAGAGTGTGCTGGTGGAGACTAGCCTTGGTGCTGAGAAGGTCCAAAGCCTATTGGAGAGCACCGGACGCAGTGCTGTGCTGAAAGGGATGGGGGCTGCTGTGCCTGGTAAGCTGATTCTGCCTCACCTCCTTCCAGCTTCCCACCTAGAATATCTCCACAACAAACTTCAAAACTGGTTTTCAATAGGTGCCAAGCATCACGGCTTCTTCATCTCCTCCCAAGTGAATATTGGCAATTTTAGCTAACCAGGGGGTTGGGTGAGGGGCGGGCTAAGGATTTTTATCAGAAAATGTGCTGGTACAGAGAAGAAGAGTGGCTAGAGCAGGAGTTGTCAACCTCCCCTCCTGCCATCGAGAGTGACATTTGCTCATGGGCAACTTGTCAGTGGCTGTCGGCCATCTTCTCTCTTTCTCCACCCATCAGTCTGTGTGGGGGATCGACAAGCCATCCCTGCCAAAGGCCTAAATGGGTAACTTGCCGAGGACTTTTGACCTTAGGCCTAGGGCTAGATCACTGGATCAGAGTAGACTCATGGAAATTAATTAACATGACTAATTTAAGGCCATTAATTTTAACAACCCACTCTAAGTAGAACTTAGTTGGATACCACCCATGATTGCCCACCACCACCAAAATTGATAAGTGGGGATGGGGAAGATAGTGACCAAGCGGGGTTGAACTCCCTGTGCACCATCTGATGGGTGGAGGGTTGCAATTCTGCTTTCTACACAGATGGGCTGCATGTGTCAGTTCCCCACCAAGAACTGGCATATGCAGCTGAACTTAGCAGGACTGAATCCTCTGCCCATCTGCAGGTTCAGCCCTGCGAGATGCAGGGATCAACTGTGTGTGCCACTTCAAGTCCTGGAAAGTCAAGCAGGGGAAAACTCCCTGCTCAGTACCCATAGGCTGTTCACAGGGGTTGACAGCACCCATCAAACATTGTGATGATGTCACCTGATTGACAGGTAGCCGTGGTTTAACCACAACAGCCTTGCAGGCAAAAATAGGAACCCCTAGCAAGCTAAGGGTGTCACATGGGTCAGAAGTTTCTCACCCCTGTCCTAGGGCCACAGGCTGCCTACCCCTATTCTAGAGCGTTCATTGTTATTGCAGGAGTTGCAGATTCTCTCGCCCTCCCTGCTTATGTGTAAAAGCATCATTATTAACAACACAGTTTCTTTATAAGTTCCAACTTTAACTTAAGATTTCTGCCTTAAGGTTCCACCCTAAGATCACAGTCACAGCAACATTGTTTTCCCACAATATTCTTTCCCCACAGAGGAAGTGATGGCCAATTTACTTTCAGTTTCCCAGCCACAAGAAGAAGAAAAAGAAAGAAAGATTTCCCCTTAGTTGCTTAATCTTTATCGTCAATCATAAATCGGGCTTTTTGCTGTGCCTTAGACACTTTAACGACCAGTTTTCTCTCTCTTATTAAAGACAGAAAGTGGCTCTTGCAAGTTTTCCGACAGTGAGTTTTCATCTGCCGGCTGATAAATCTTGCTGTTACAGGCTATCCTGTCCCAAAAATGTTTAAGGGAGGAAGCAGAACTTATGAAGGGTTCTTATGAGGAGTTTGGATGCAGTGTCAGTTCAGACAGCAGAAAACAGTTTTGATCAGAGCATTTGAGGTTACTCCCTTGATCACTCTTTATCCCACTGTGATTTCGTCTGATTACCATCAATCGCCACAAAATTAACTTCTGTCAGCAGAGAGTAGACAGAGAGACAGTCAGTCTGCCATTTCCTCCCCTGGAAGTCTCTTGGTCCTGAGAGTGACATATGCAAGGGAACTCCTCGAAGCAAGCAGCAAACTTGTGCGACCTCTTCCCTTTATAGGGAGTCTCGGTGCTGCCGCTGTGGCAATGGTGTCTGGCCCAGGGTTGGTCCAGGGTGTGGTGAGGTTCTTGCAGCTGTCCCCACAAAGCTGCCTCATTGATGGTGCCATTGATGGTCTGGAGCCGGGGCTGCACGGCCTGCATGTGCATGAGTTTGGGGATGTCACCAATTCCTGCGACAGGTGAGAGGCATTAACAGGCACCTTCTGAGGCTTCTCCTTGGCTTTAGGGAGCCCTTTCTTTCACTGACTCTCGGTATCAAAACTTTTCTTGTGTCTCAAACAGCTGTGGAGACCACTTCAATCCTCATGGGGAATGTCATGGGGGTCCCCAGGATGTTCATAGGGTGAGTTTGTGGCATCACCAGGTATTAAATTCCTTAAGGCAGGGGTGGGAACCCTCCAGGTCCCTCCTGATGTCGAGGTGGTTGTTTTGTTTTCATATTGATGAGTGCTGTGCTTTAACTCTGCATTTTTGTTCTGCTCATAAGTCACCAAAAGACTGTTTTTTAACTAGGTGACTGATAAATGAAATTAATTGTTAAACCGGGACCATGAGCCAGTTTAAAGAACTTTCAGTTGATTAATTACAGTAACCAAGTGTGTAACTGATAATGTACAAGCTATTGTTCATTTGTTAGAAGGGGCACCCCCTTTCATTCCCTATTGCAATAACTTTTCAGATCCAAAATAACCTCAAAAATAAATAAAGAACTGTGTCCTGAACTCTCATTGTCTCCAATTAAAACCTGCCCATAGTGATTTAAAATTTACTCCCAACCAATTAATAATAAAGTAACTGAATGAAATGAAACGTTTGCAGCCCTGATTTGGAACCCACTTCCAATTTTGGGAGTTAAGGGCAGGCTAAGCATCCATTTGTGGGTGTGATCCAGTGGTGTGAACTTTTATATCTTTAAAAAACACAAGAAGTGGGCAGAGGGTGAGCGTTGAAGGAGAGGCAAGCATCTTTTGCCTTCTTCAGGGAAAGGCAGCATTTGGTGAAAGCTCTTTAGAATCAGACGAATTTGGTGTAGCACTCGCAGGTTCCCTCAGGCTGCCAAATTGACTGCCACCAACAACTTTTTCTGCTTCCCTGCCAAACTCATGGGGAGATCCATGCCTAAGCCCATGCATGGTCCCTTGCCATGTAAATTGCACTCCTCCAACAGTTACTTGATGGGCTGGCTGGGAGCATGGTTGTGATGGGGAGGAAGGCATGGAGGAAGGCAAGGGATTAACATGTGTTTGTGTTGCGTGTATGAGAGGGAGGGAGAGAGAAAGGGAACGGACATAGTGGTTTTGGGCTGAGCTGCCCAGAATCTAACTGTGCTTCCTGGGGGTCTGTTTGCAGCATGCTGGGGATCTTGGAAATATCTTGGCGGCTGATGATGGAAGGGCTTCCTTCCGGATGGAAGACAACCAGCTGAAGGTGAGGCTTCCTAGAGGATGTGAGGGGCACAGTGAGTGGGCTTGTGATCAAAAAAACTGATAGAAACAACAAGACACAGGACAGCTGATTCCTTTTCCTTTCCCCTTTCTTCAGAATCAATAGATCCCTTCTTCCAGTGTAGGAAAATTTTATAGTTTGATTGTTCATTAACTCCTGTAGGGATGGCATCGCAGAGTGAGGGCACACCCTCCTCCGCAGCATAAGATAAGCTACAGCTGTCTAGCCGCCATGTCCACTCCTTGACCTTTTGTCTCCTCAGCAGTGTTCAATGTCCTGACCTTTACCTCCTTTGCAAATGTATCACTCATTTTCCCCTGTAATAGGAATATGGCGTGGTGGAGCAAGTTGCATAGATAACTAGGCAACACCCAGGGGGCTCGGGATTGGAGAAGTATAAAGGGCAAAGTCCTGAATGTATCTTGCTGGTTTTGTATATCTTGCTGATAAAAAGAGCCTTTGTTAAGCTAGCAATCAGCTTGGTCGTGCACAGCTCACTTGCATCCCAACTCCCGTGTCGGCTCTGTTATGTCTACAAACTCCAGTATCTTTTCCACAGAGCAAACCTTGTGCTGTATTAAACAGACTTTCCTGAGCTCCCTCCTATCAATGCACACCACACCCACCCCTGCCTCAAGGCTTTGTGTGACGCATTTCCCAGTCAAAATGACCTTTCTGTGGTATTGCTCATGAAACCTGCTTTGCCTGTCAGTTTTCTTCTGTTGTTGGCAGCTTCTCTCAGAGCATTGAGAGTGGTCAGGAACACACCGTGTTGCAGCACTTCATCCAGTGGCCAAACAGTTTTGTTATGACCCAATAGTTTGGGCAGAGTTGTTTTCAGTTTAGGATAAAGTACAGTAGTGCCCCTTGCACGGCCAGCATTGCTGGGAGCTGCCACCATCACTAGAGCGACAAGGACTGGTTGCACATGCATTGCTATGCTCCATTTTAGGTTCATGACATCATCGGCCGCTCACTGGTGGTAGACGCAGGGCAGGACGACTTGGGCCGTGGAAGCCACCCGCTCTCAAAAGTCACTGGAAATTCGGGTGAGAGGTAAGAAGGATTAGAGTTTGTTGAGTTCTCTTTGTCTGCTGCAAGGTGGGACACCTGACCTAGGAAGCTGTCTAAAACCAGGGCAGATTCTTTGTCCATCAGACATAGCATTGCCTACTCTGGCTCACTGAAAACCAACAGGGCCTTTGGCAGACCCAAGTCTTTCCTGTTACCTGGAGGTTGCTTGCCTGGACTCCTCAGAGCCTTGAGGAAAAGGTTAGCCAGTGATTGATCGCCCAACCGGTTTTCCATTTAAACAGGTACCGCATGGTGAGGAACTGTCAGCATGTAGACCTCCAGGCCTCCCCATTCGGTCCATGAGGCCATTTTCAGTAGGCCATGCCACCCATATGGCCATGGGCAAAGGGCAAGACTTCAGAGGAGCAATCGGGAGCTTAAAGCTCCCAGTTGTTCTTTGGTCAAGCAAGGTGCACCCATAAGACTGCTCCTTCACACCCTCCCACCAGTGCTTCTCCTTCAAACTTCTGCATTGCAAAAACAGGTCACCTGATAACATTCTGACATCCAGTAGGTGTCCCCAACCACTTGTAAAATTTTGTTGCAGGGGTGGGAGGTATAGGGGAGATAAGGATCCTGTTCTTGCCAGCCAGATCATTTCCCCACCCACCACGATATGCAGTGCATCTCTGGAGTTGGATTTGACTGTGTCGTCTGCTGGGTCTTCTTTTGTGTTTGTGGCTGTTTTTTTAATATCATTTTTCAAACATACCCAAGTCTTTCCAGAGCTTGAGCTGTGGGAAGGCAGCTGCAAAACTATTTTAAGTCAATAATGCAGCGGTTCTCAACCTGTGGGTCCCCAGATGTTGTTGGACTACAACTCCCACCCCTGGGCTCTGGCCTTCCTAGCTAGGGGAGATGGGAGTTGTAGTTCAACAACATCTGGGGACCCACAGGTTGAGAAAGGCTGCAATAATGGGATGCAGAAACCTGGTCTAGGGGTCCTCTCTGCAGCTAAGGACTTAAGCCACCTTCCTTTTCCTTCCCAGAGTGGCCTGTGGAATCATTGCGCGCTCCGCCGGCCTCTTCCAGAACCCCAAGAAAATATGCACCTGTGATGGAGTGACGCTGTGGGAAGAACGGGAGCGTCCTGCAGCCAAGCCAGACTGGAAAGCCGCTGGCCAACCCACCTCTCATCTCTAGGCTTTGCAGTTCTGCCCAGGCTCTCCTTGGGCTAGGACGTCCCGAGGGTTCCAGCTGCTTTCATTTTCCTGTGTCTCCTAAGTGCAATGTGTTAGGCAGGAGTTCAACAGGTGCTGCTTTGTAGTGGCGTAGTAATGGCAAGCGCTTAGCCCCTTGAATGTCTTAATTGTGAAGTTCTTAAACGGCACAGGAGGAGGAAATGTAGCCTATTCAGCAGTGACATGGTAAAGCATCAGTCCTTGTGAGGTATGTGTCAAATGAATGAATTCTTGTCTGAATTCTAAAATCGTCATTTGTGAGCAAAGAGTTTGTTGGAAAGTGTTGTTGCTCTTCCAGTGTCTTTGGGCCACCCATAAACAAGTCCGCTAACTTTATCTTTGGGTGTTTCAAGTGCCTTATTTTCAGACACACTCACTTTGATTGTAGCCAATGAGTCCTACTCTCAAGTATATCCATTGGAAATCAGTGGCTTAAGTTAATCATGGCCCTTGGTTTCAATGGGTCTACTCTGGTAGGACTTCGCTGGCTGCTTCTCACTTTCTTGACCTTCTCTGTTGCCAATTAAGGATCTTGGTTGAACTTTGGAGGTGGTGTTTTCTGCAATAAACCTTCACTATGATTCTGTATATAATCCAAGGTAAATGAACACAACACTTAACCATTGGTACTCCAGGTCTTGTTGGACTCCCAACTCCCATCAGCCTTGGCCATTGGCCAGTGCTGGCTGGGGCTGTAGAGAGTTGAAGTCCCAGAACACCTGAAGGGGCACACAGGTTTCCCATCTTTGCCCTTGGGACACAGAGTTGGGGAAGGTAATGGGTGGCTATCCCCCCATCTTTCAGTGCATGTTTAATGAGCAGAATAGGGAAACTAATCCAGCTTAATAATTGTGAGTATGGAAACACAGGAGGGGGCGTTATTGTGAATTAATAAATAAATGCACAGTAGTTGTCATGTTGGGTTTGTGGCTGCCTTATGTGCTACAGTGCATGTTTTGGGGAGATGGGAAGGGGAATCCATGACTTCTGAGGTGTGCATACTCTAGACCCGTGCCATTATGCTCTTAATAGAACCATTAAAACTTAAAATTCTTTTTAGTAGCTATCCAGTCTTATTTGGCTTGACATGTTCATTGGTGTGTATATCTGGCATGAGAGCAATGTTTTGTGGTGTATTCAGAGAATTCCTGAAGTTTGCATTTTTTCTTTCATGCTTTGCCTGGGACAGAAGCATAACATGTCTGCCTTATGTGCAAAGCTAAGCAGGGTCTGGGACCCTTTCAACTCTACCTATCAGGAATTTCCTTGCATAGAAGTCACTCAAGTTTGTGGGATTTTCAGCTGAACACTGAATTTGAGCTAGGAAGGGAAGGAGTTTGAGACCATTTAATAACTCTGAAACAAACAAGATGGAGATATTGGTATGGCCTAAGGAACCCTGTTTGCAGAAGAATCCTGCATCCCAAAATGTCATTGAGGACAGCGCCCGCTGTAGCTGAAGAATGTCATGCTATTTGGCGGAAAGGGGAGGTTGGGAATTTGCCTGGAATATCCTGTGGTAAGGAATGGCTAGAACCTTGAGCAGAACTCCTGTTAGGAGGTAAGGGAACATTGCAACATTCTGTTGAAGTTCCCACTAGTAAGATGCAAATTATAAAGTGCATCAAAGAATGGTCTTATGGTGGGGGGAGGACATGCAGTTGCCCGGTTAAAGGTATGCTACATTCTTGGATTTCTCATTTTGGGGGGTAAAGCTGCTTCCACTCTGCTCTGACTCAAAAAAGCTTATGCCATAATAACTTTGTTGGTCTTTAAGGTATCACACTACAATATGTTAACACAGCTATTCCTCTGGAGAGGAAAAAGTAATAGTGTACAATTCTATGATGCTAGCTCATATGCACATTTCAACTCTGGCTGTTGTCTTTCTAACTACCAGCGAGTCTGGGTCAGATCCACTTCCTTCTGTTACCTTAAGGACCCATACTTAGGGGGCCAAAACCTCAACAAAAATCTGTTCCAGCAATTGAATCCTTGCTGGGTGCAGGAATCGGAGAGGACTCGGGCATACAGCCTACCTGGTCTCCTAGTTTGACATTAACTTGAAAATGGACATGTTGCACTTTTAAGTTTAACCCATTTTAGAAACAATAGAATCTCCCATCTTTGCTACTAACTTTTCAGCAGGCCAGTCACAAGCCAGTGTGCTGTAATGGTTAGACTATGACCTGGGGAGACCAAGGTTCGAACCCCGCCTTGGCCTGTGAAGCGCACTGGGTGACTTTGGGCCAGCCTATCAGCCTAACTTGCCTGACTGGGTTCATGGGGACCATGTGCTCTTTGAAGGAAAAAGTGGCATATAAATGTGATAAATAACCATCGATTTACAGTTCTAACTTCCATCTAAGGGGAATTTAGGTAAGCGGGGGAGGAAATGCTCCATTTGACTCAGAAGTGCAACCTACAGTGTAGTTTATATTTTTACCTAAGTCTGTGCTCTACACTACAGCATAGGCGTAGCCAGGATTTTTGTTGGGGGGGCAGAAACGACGTGATTGGTCAAGTTAGTTAAGTGTTTCTACTTGATCTGGGGGGCAGCTGTCCACCCCACCCCCCTTGGCTACTCCCATGCTTTACAGGGACCCATCAATATAACATGTCGCCCTTAGACACGCGTACGCATTTCATGTAAAGATGCAGCCTCGACGCTCTAAGGGTTAAAAGACACTGCTGTATCTCCCCGGGGAGGTGTTCGTGCGCACGCGCCTCGCGACGTTAGCGGAACACTGCGCACGCGCCTCGCATCCTTTCCTCAGAGTTCAGGGCCTTACGGTTTGTGAGGGGGAGGGGAGCGCCAATGCGCGGAGCACACTGCGCACGCGCGGCGACTTGGGCCCCTCCTTTCCTGTGGGTCAGCGCCGCCGCCGCCACAGTCACCGCCGGGGCCGCCATTTTACGCGTCTTTCCTTCTCGCCTTCCTTCCTCCCTCCTTTCCCCCTCCTCTCTCTTTCTCTTTCTCTCTCTCTCTCTGTCCCTGCCTGGCTCCGCTCGGTGAGAAGGGCGAGCCGATGCACCCGGGCGTGAAGGTGTTCGTGGGCAACCTGCCCGAGGAGACCTCGCAGGTGGAGTTGCGCGAGCTGTTCGAGGCGGCCGAGCCGGGCGAGGTCCTGCGGGTGGCCCTCATGAAGCAGTTCGCCTTCGTGCACATGCGCGACGACGCGTCGGCCGAGCGCGCGATCCTCAAGCTCAACGGGCAGTTCCTGCACGGGCACCGCGTCGTCGTGGAGCCCTCCCGCCCCAGGCCCACGCACACCGTCAAGATCTTCGTGGGCAACGTCCCGGCCGCCTGCACCAGCGGCGAGCTCCGCCTCCTCTTCCAGGAGTACGGGCCCGTCGTCGAGTGCGACGTCGTCAAAGGTACGGCAGGCGGAGGCGACCTCGGCCTCAAAACCCCACCGTCCGCCCGAACCGCGGCGCCGCCGGGGAGGCGCGCGGCGTGTGCCTTTCCCCCTCTCGGCTGCGAAGGAGGCCGCTTCTCCCCCTCCTAAGTCGCCCCCGCCGCTCCGGATCCGCCTCGCTCGCCAGGTGTTGAAAGCGACAACGTCCCCCGTCTGCTGCCGTTGTATCTCCCCGCCCCGGCCTCCTCAGTAGCTGGAGGTACTTGGAGGTAGACTGCCTCTAGCTGGGGAGGTTCATTTCCTTGCTAATGCTTCTCGGTAGGCTTGTTCCGCGAGAAATCGCCTAGTTCTTCTCGTGAGAGCGTAAAAAAGTTGGTTTGAGTGAGAAGGTAAAGAGCGCCTGTAAACGTGGAGTGCGCCTTTTCCTGTTAAATGATTGCAAAGACTAACTTGCTGCGCTTAACGGTAGCTGAAAAGCCCGGGACGGTAGACTTGGGGTTCTTTTCCTGACACCTAAATGAAAAGCGTCATGCTTTGGGAAGGCAATTCTGTAACTGGCGCACACCACTGACAGAAGCCTTATTCCTGACGGTGGGGCTAATGTGAAGAAGGGTAGTACTGTCACGGCAGGATGGTGGAGGCATGGGCTTTCCATAATGTATGTTTATCCCAAGCTGCTGTGCAGTATTTTAAAGAGCCAGGCTGGTATGTTGAACAGGCTCAGAAACGTGGCCACCAGTAATGCATCCAGTAGCTCAGCTAGCAGCTGCATTTTTTTACCACTTGCAATTTCCAGATTGTCTTTTAAAGGCAGCCCCATGCACAATATCCAGCAGTAGTGTAAGTAGGGAGTTGCCAGAGCATGGGTCATTGTAGCTAGACTATTCTTGTCCAGCAGAGGTGGTCATAGTTGGCATACCAGTCTAGTGTAAAAAAAGAAAAAAGTATCACTTTACCCTTTGGGGCAAGTGCAATATGTGGGACACAATTTTTCCTGAGTAGGGAACTATCTAACCACAGTATTGCCATCTTGTCAGGACTGAGCTTCAGTTCATTGACCCTCATGTAGCCTATCAGCAAGTCCATTAAGTTTCCTAACCAGTATATAGTTTACCGTGATGGATCAGACCATTGGTCCGTCTACTTTAAAACATTTCTCCAGCCCCAACTGGCCCCTGGGAACTTCACAAGCAAAGTACCATGGAACTGTTTATCACTAGGATTCAGCATCCCAAAAATCTCCAAACATGAACATTTTCTTCTTAAATATCCTGTATTTTAATTTATATTTAGTTCATCGACAGCTACCACTTATATAGACAAAATGGCAACAGACACGCACAAGAGGGGGGGTATTGGCAGACTCTGGATAAGCCTTGCAAAAGTACCAAATACAAAAACTTCAAGGGAAAAAGGCCTAAGTGGGAGAAGTCCCAAAACAGTCCAATAAGAACTGAGCGTGCCTGAGAACTTGCTGTATTTGATGGGAGAAACTGGGTGGGAGGGAAGATTTAATGGGAGTTACTGAAAAAGGAGCATGAAGGAAGAGACATAAGACATAAAAAGTGTAGAGAGAACTATCTCTTTGTTTGAATTGGGGTCTTTTGGTTCATGCTGAGAAACTATTTGTAAAGTTGCCCATAAAAATCAATGGAGAAATCCAAGATTTTAATGAAGCAGGGATTGGGCACCAGTAGAATCAAAGAATTGTGGAGTTGGAAGGGACCCTGCTAGTCATCTGTCCAACTCCCTGCAATGCAGAAACCTCTACTAAAGCATCAGTGACAGAAGGCCATCAAACTTCTGTTAAAAACTTCCAATGAAGGAGAGTCCACCACTTTCCGAGGCAGCCCGTTCCACTTTCTTTCACACACACACCCTGAAAAAAATCCCCTCCAAACAACTCAATGCTTGGTAGGCACACAGTGTTGACTTACTGTTGTGAGGGGTAGAAAATGGGGGTGTATGGGGATGAGATGGTGTGACTGGAATCCTGAACAGCAGCACTCGACACTGAACATTTTCTTTCAAGTTCCATTTGTTATGACTAATTGAGAGATTTATTTCTCAATGGATACTTTTCTGTACATTTTGAATACATTTAGACAGCAGATGACCAGAATTATTTACATTGTTCTAAATGCAGGTGCACCATAGATTTATATTTGACACAAGCAGCCGCTGCATATGCCACTTTACTCAAAAGTAAGTCTCACTGTGTTCTCTGAGACTTGCTTCTAAGTTATTGTTGCTAGTACTAAAGTTCCCCCCCCCCCAGTACACCCATGCTGTGAGAAGTACTGCCTAATAAGTACAATACACACTCCTTCTGTACTATAAGGATACCAGAAGTGCTGTTCTTAGAGCAGAGTCAAAGGTAGAATTTTGCGTGGTGGATACTGCTAGGACTGTGTGTGGTGTGGTCATGGGTATCCTTTTGCCCAAGTATCCATTGGCAGGATTTCATAGGGCTAAAAAAAAGGTCCTGTTGCTGTGTTCGAAAGGAGTAACATTTATATTCTCTGCCTAGGCAGGAAAAGACCCCACTTCATTTTCCTTAGACTTTTGGTCAACATCCCTGTCGTGCTTATTGCTGATGTGCCTGAGGCAGTCCCACCTCACTCCTCAGGTCTGAGGCTCCATGCCCATATGTGCAGTCTCTAATACGCCAGGCTTCTTCTGGTCTGGTGTTTAGGTTTCTATTGTCTTTTCCCCTCCCACTCTCTTTTTAAGATTTACAGTGGTACCTCGGGTTAAGTACATAATTCGTTCCGGAGGTCTGTTCTTAACCTGAAACTGTTCTTAACCTGAAGCACCACTTTAGCTAATGGGGCCTCCTGCTGCCGCTGCGCCGCCAGAACATGATTTCTGTTCTCATCCTGAAGCACTATTTCTGGGTTAGTGGAGTCTGTAACCTGAAGCGTATGTAACCCGAGGTACCACTGTATGTGCAAGTATCTGTAAATAAGGAGAATTTTTCCAGTGATACCAGACAAAATTCTGGGGATAAAATTCAATCTGATGGGTCCCCTGTGGAGACTACTTGTATCTCCAAATCCAAATAGATACAGTAAACAGATATTTAAGAAAAACGACCTAATAAATTCTTTGAGTGCCAACCGGCGTTTCAGTCATGGGCAAATATATCAACTGATAACTGAACCAAGGTATGAGGTGTTGCCACAATTGTGGCTGGTGAGTATTGAACTGTTCCTCACAGCTTGTGTAGCTTTAATGTCCGTTTCTTAAACACATTTTTCAGCCACTTTGTTTGCAACTAAAAGCCCTCACTTCATTTCTTAGTCGACATTAATTTGTAATTTTTCATAGTAACATGTGCTATACAGAGCTTTTAAAATTTTTAATGGTATGGTTGGAGAGGTTTTCCCCACTAAGTAGTTTAGTCCTAAGGCTGGTAAGTAACTTTTTAAAATCTGAAGCTGTCACCCCAAGCTGCAGGCCCCATCTTTCTCTCCTTTATAGCCCCAACTATTACTGCCAAATGCACTTGCGTCGTCCTGTGCTTTTTGGGTAGGCATTTGCTTCAAAGAGTTTGCATATTCCTCTTCTCTGTCACTTGAGCTATGATGTGTCAAGCATTCCTCTAGAGCTTTCCTGAATCTTCCATAATTTTAAAGGACCCGGCGGTGCATCATGCTGTACAGAGCTGTCAGTCAGAGGCAACTGTCTCTTCAGCCCCAACTTTATCATTTAAGTGGGTCAGGAGGAAGGTTCATGTTTTGTTCCTCTCCTGTATTTCCAGTAAGTCATATGACAGTATCTTTGAGTTTACATGTACACATCCTTCTGAATGCCACTTTCAGGTCTTGTTTGCAGCATGTAATCAGATGCAACATCTCATTTGTTCCAGGACAGCTAAACCCATCCTGAAGTTTTCCCATTAGCCTCCGGTGTAGGCTGGGGTGTATAGAAGCAGACTGCACCTCAGGAGACTCAACTGAGTGCTCTGGAGGGTAGTATATATAGGGTTTCACATCCCCAGGAATGGTTGCCTCTCTCTCTTTCTCTAAACTGTTGTTGGATGGATTCTTTTGTTTGGTCTAATGCTATCTCCTTGACTGTGTCTCTGTAAGCTCTGTTAATCATTTCCTCCCTTCTGTTTCTTCTTCTGGATCAGTTTTTTTTTTAAAGTACTTTGGCTGAGAACGCGAAGACTTATGAAAATTCAGTTTGCATTTGGTCTAGGTCAGCAATGTATCTCACCAGGGGAAAACAGATACATACTCTGTTTGTGTGCATCCCCATCCCAATTGATAGGGAGGGTCAGAACAGAATCTGTTGTGTGCTGCAGAATGAATGGCTTGCTGGTTTAGCAGTCTTCCATTTTATTATATTTTTTCAAAATGCAGCTGCTTAAACACTGAAATGCCACTCATAGAACTGACAAACATTGTCAAGAAATTTGCGCTAGTTGTTGCAGCCAGATATGTAAAATACATCTATTTGTAATGTTGCAAACAAAATCTGCTCCTTTTCCCTAATGGGGTACACAAGAGCCCATATAGAGTTCTTTGTAGGTTCTCCATCGGTAGGAGGAAATAACAGAGGCCAACCAGAGAATATTGAGAAGCAAAGCAGCTAGTAAGCCTGATCTTTATTAAAAGTGTTGCAACAGGGTGCTCTCCCCACATGCAGGAGAGAGGAGGAGGACCCATAACAAAGGTGTTCCAGCCCTTATATAGACTCTTGAAATTGCCCACCCTCAAACTCAAGACCACCCCCAGAAACAACATATGTACATCACAGAAGGGGTGTAGCCCAGGACCCCCCCCCAAATACATCACAGAAAGTGGTGGTCTCTAGAAGAAATACATCACAGAGCAGTCTAAAACAGAATCCTGTGTGTTTATCTCCTGTCTGCCAGGTTACCTGATTGCATTATCTGGGTTTTGGCCACTCTTTTGTTATTATAACTACTTAATTCCTGAATACAGGTCACAGGCTCACCCTATTCACACCTTAAATGTACCCTTAAGGCAGGATTTGTGAGCACAGACAATGGGGAGTTTTTTTCATTTCCTCCCTCCTTGCAGAGAAACATTTGGTCAGTTTGGGGGAGTCAAAATGGTTTCAGGACTGTCTTCCTGTACTGTTTCAGACATGTGGTTTATATATTTATGTACGTGTTTGCCTTGTACATTTAATTTATATATTTGAGACCGTAAATTCTTGTAACAGTAAGTTCATCACAGTCTTCATCAACAATGAGTGCTCCCGTTTTCTTCATACTGGCCCAAACTGAAAACTTTTTAGATAGTGCTTTTCTGATCTCATCATAGAGCATACAGTTAAAGAAATAGTAGTCTAATATTTCAGCTTTATTTGTTCTAGCTATTTGAATGGGCAGGGATGAGCAGACTTCAGACTTGCAGGACCTGTTTTTATTTTGAGTTTGTTTGCTTTTTACTAGACTCCTGAGATCCAGAAACGTGGTGCAAAAGACAAACTTAGAATCAAAGAATTCTGATTGTATGTGAACACAGCTCAGTCCTTCCACACAAAAATCCTCTCCCAGTTACCCCAAGTTTTTTTCATTTCAGCAGCCATAATTAGGGGGAGAAGAATTTTGTTGCTTCTGCAGTTAAACACAGAATCAGATATCCTTGCAAATCACCCAAAGATCTACCAGCAGATTCATATTTTCTTTTTCAGATCTATGAGGGGATGTGCGCATAGCAGCCTGTTTCCATTGGATTTGCAGTGAAAGAAAAGTGTGTGGTTTGTGAAACTGGCACAGACTTGCTTATTGAAGCTAAGAAGCAACTTTAGAGAATAGAACCTCAGATTCATTCCACTGGGTGCTTTTTTTAAGCTCCCTAGATTTAAATTGCTTTTTTGCATCAGCAGGATCCAGCCATGTTGATTTATAATAAGTATTAGGTTGAAACATCCAAAAGTCTTAAATGTATTCAGCAGTCTTGACAGTTTGCTCCAGCAGTTCTTGTAACCATGAGTCCTTTAGGCTTCTTATCAGAGTCCAGTAGGCAACAACCTTTGCAACAGAGGTGCTTGTCCTTTGCCTGCTATGGCATGTAAGGCTGGGAAAGATGCAATAGGGAACACACCTTGAGAAAGTTGTTAGTATGTTCTCCATTCTGTTACAACTTGTGGAATTCAGTGGGTGGAGGGAAACCATACAGATTAAAATTGTGGCCTTTGTCCTTGTATATTTTGTGCTGTCATTTGAAATCCACCTTTGCTAAAGTAGTGCATAATTCTGGTGTTTAAAATCATACAAAATGTCATGGTTCACTGGCTTTACAAGTTCAGCCTCTGGTTTTATCAGAGTTAATCTTTTCCTTAAATTTTGATAGCTCAGCTTCAAGCCACCATCCTAAATGCAGTTTTTCTAGAAGCAGAATGCCAGAACTATTGAGGGCGGGGAAAATATTTACATTTGTGTAGGGTAGTATCCATATGCAAGATGTTCAGGTATAAATGAAACTGTAACATTTTAATGCGCAACAGGAATGTTCTCAGCATTTTGACTGGGGGCAGTGGGGGAAAGTCCTGCTGAGGATTAATACGTTGAAGATGAGAAATCAAGCAGCACAGAGAGAGTTTGATATGCTTTGGCACACTGTGAATTATGTGCAAATCATGCAGGAGGCGGAGTGAGCTGTGGGATAGGATGGGTAGTTTGATGCTTAGCCTTCAAACCTTTAAGACAGGGGCCAGTTCCTTGTACCTTAATAGGTGCCAGTGGCCTGTTCCTTCCTTGTGGCTCTTAAAGAGTTGCCCAGCAAGCCACATCAGCTGATTCATTCTGCATTCTTCTGGTATCAAACAGATGTGTTTCAGGCTGAAGCCTTTTTAGGGCACATCGAAGTATGAGTGGGTTCCAGTAATTAAATGTCATATGTTCCTTATTGATAACCTTCTGTCTGCTGCTTTATCAGACTATGCGTTCGTTCACATGGAGAAGGATGAGGATGCCAGAGCCGCCATTGAACATCTTAATGGAAGGGAAGTCAAGGGCAAGAGAATTAATGTGGAACTTTCTAATAAGGCTCATAAAAGGGGGCCAGCTGGACACACCGGCCAGCTGGGCAACAGAGCTGAAAAGAACAAAATACCAACCCTGGATAAACTCCAGCCCAGGAATGACGCTTTGAGATCCAGTAATCTTGCTTTCCCAGCGGGAGGATCAACTTATTCTTCACTGGAGTATGACTATCAGCAGCGCCTGGGGAACAACAATTTAACCAAAATTGATACTCAAGACAGTCAGGCTAGGCAGGTATCTCCTTCCTATTTTGGAAGGGACAGAAGCCCCATTAGACGCTCACCAACAAGAGCAGGTTACATAATTCCTATGGCAGCCCAGCAAGCATCCTACAGAGACCAGGCTTCTGCCTCCCTCGGGACAGCCTACAGAGACCAGCCTGCAGCATCACTTGGGATGGCTTACAGACCCCAGCCTACAACTGGGCAGGCTGCAATGTACAGAGCCCAGTCCTCAGCCGTGCTTGGAAATCAATATAGAGCCCAGTCCTCTGTTCCCCTGGCAACTACTGGGGCCCAGCCAGCAGCCTCAGCACTAACATCCTACAGTGCCCAAGCAGCTGCTTATGGAGCAGCACAAGTGGCTGCTTCTCAAGTCCCTTCTTATGAGGCCCAGCCCACAACAACATACGCTGCCACTTATGGGGCCCAGGCTGCTGCAACATATGCAGCAGCTTCCTACGGTGCCCAGGCAGCAGCTGCCGCTGCTGCCCTCTCAGCATCTTACGGGGCCCAACCTGCAGCCAACCAAGCAGCCTTGTACGGTACCCACCCTCTCTCAACACAGACAGCTTCATACGGAGTCCAGTCAGCTGTTGGCCATGCAGCTTCTTATGGGGCCCAGGCTGCATCTGCCCTGCCAGCTGCATATGGGGCACAGGCTGCAGCAAACTTGGCGGCCGCTTATGGTATGCAGGATGCAGCAGCAGCAGCAGCAGCTGCTTCGTATAAAACGCAGCTCTCTGCTTCACTGTCAACAGCCTACAGAGCACAAGTCTCAAACCCAGCAGAGACAGCTTATGCTGCACAGCAATCCACTTCTGTTCCCTTAGCTGCAGGTTACAGAGCTCAGCCATCATACAATGGGCTGACTCAATCTGCACAACAGGCAGCCTCATATACAGCATTGTCCCAGTCAGAAGCTGCAGCTCTCCATCCGCCGTATGAACGCACTCGCCTCTCTCCACCGCGTGGCAACCGTGAGGATCTCTACAGAAAAGCAGCTGCAATGAATAAGAGGTATGCAGCTAGACCAGTTGTAATGCTTTTCACACCAATCGCACCTTCTGCCCAAGGATTTTTCTGCACTTTTCAGAGGGGTTCAAAGGAGGACTTCATTCTGTGGTTCCATGGGAGGGAGCAGAGTTCCCGCTATGACTTTAAATTGGCATTTATTCGAAAGCAAGGATGGGTCAGGAGTGGGGCTTGCTTAACCTTTGCTACACTGGCTGTGCCATTAGTTTCTCTCTATCAGATCTTTCAAATCTTTTCTGTGCTTTACTGTTTGTGGGGAAGGGAGCAAATATGGGCTGCGCTCTTACCATTTCCCCCCACCTGCACATATCTCTGGATAATTGTGAGTACGTGTTTGCGAGAAGGCTCTGCTACCTGACCAGATCCCACCACAGAGATGGCAAACTAGACCTTTGAGACTTGACTGAGATTGCAAATAAGAGTTGCACCAGCTTTAATTCCTGGCAATGATGAGCATAATCCATCGTTTTCGGTCACCTCCAAGTCTTTTTGAGCCTTGACATGCCTTAGCTCTTGTATCCATCTTAGAAACTATTGAGTGTAGTTTTGTGAGGTCTGGGCCTCCTGCATGGTACTGTGCTTTATCACTGTTCTGATGGGAGGCTCAAAATTCTGCTTAAATGGTGAACTATAATTAGTATTACAGAATAGCTGAACCATTGAGAGATTATTCCCCATGTCTGAGAGAAGTAAAACGGCCCCAGTTGCAGCCAGACAATGGAGGAAAGATTATTGTTTGGATTACTTTAGCAGGCTCTTTTCTGTGCTTACATCTCAGCAGTCATCTTCTGTGCGGGTAGAGGGGGGCCATCTCAATCATAGTGTGTATATAATGTAAGGCATCGGCCATGAGGGTTTTTATTATTTATCAAATATCTAATGTCTCTTCTCTTAACCAGGTACGGTTCTGACCTCTCAGATGACCGCCGTTTATCTGACCTCTCAGATTTCCGCCATTTAACAGACTCCCCCCACGCGTACCGCCATTCGCCGACAAAAGCTCAACTGGATTATCGCCGTCTCCCAGAAACACAGTCTGATTATGCCCGATATGCGGGTGCCTATGGCGATTACATGCGTAACGCACAACTGCAGCTGCATGCTAGTTACCAGCGCCGCCTGTAAAGGATTTCCCCCGTCTTTCCTGGGGTGGGACTGCGTCATTGTTCTGGCGCCCGCCGTTGTAACACGTCTAGCATAAACCCCGGCTGCTGCATCCTTGATGAGAAGTCTTTGCCATTTGATTTCAGAATATCGTTTTAGTCACTACATTTCTTCTCACCCTTTGTCACAGTGCCCTTAGCAGCTTGTCATTGTAGCTCTTGTATCTTCTGTTGTTGTTGTCCTTTCCTATACCAAGTAAAGGGTGTTATTTACTTTAGCGAGCCATATGGGGCCATCCAAGATAAACAGTTTTCTAGGGGAGTCTTGTAGTTGCTATCTTAATTTCAGTGTTAGGGCTCTGTGCTCGGCCTCAGGACTGCTGTAAATTGCTGTATATTCAGTCATTTTGAAACCAAAGTCCCTGGGTGAAGATGGCAACATGGTGAATGTTTGCGTCTGGTTCCTTGGTCCTGCCTCTTGCCATGTCCCACCCGTTAGAAAGGAAACTGTTCTAGCATTGAAATCCTCATTTAATGTGCTTGTTGAAAGGATCACTTTGTATCCTTTCCAAGTGAGCTCAGTTGCTTTTATGTAACAGCATCCATTGATTTTTGCTAATATAGAGTGCACAAGTAAACCTGAAGTTAGAAGTGAGTTTAGATTTTATTTTTTGTATTAACTGTAAATAAAAAGTAGGCAGACTGATAGTTTAGGAAATCCAGCTGCCTGGTGGTTTTGGTGGGATGTGTGTGTGGCTATTATTCCTTTCATATTACATACAAGTGTGTATGTAAACAGCAGAACTCAGGACCATCCCTGCTGGCGTGTGATCATCACACAGTGATGATAAGTGATCAATGCTATCAAAATACTCCCCTTTTTAGTTGCACAGGATATTTACAGGCCTGGAACACCCTTCGGTCCTATAACTGGGAGGTCTCTGTCTCCAGTGTTTGTTATTCCTGCAATATTTAAGACTGCTCCCTTACAAACTTTTTGGGAACCTCTCCCTTCTCTCTCCCCACTTCAACCAATATATCTGTCCTATTTGTCTTTCATGGTGTTAAGTTTTTCAGATAGTGGGAGAAGTCAGGTTTCTCACAGGGGTTCAAGTAGAGGAATACCATGGATAGGTGAGGGCTCCACACCCCAAGATGTAGGAGAAATTGAGAGAGATGTTCATGAAGCTGTGAAGGGCTGAAGTGATGGTTCTGTCAGGAGCAAGTGTGGAGTTCAGCTTGATGTTGCCTACTATATTTGTTAGATTGTGCCATGTCCTACTACTGCTATCTCTGCACAAAATATAGTGCCAGAATGCTGAAGGGTGAGGACAGCTGGACATCTTCCAGAACATTATTGGCAGGTAGTTGTACTCTCCCCAAGTGCTGCTGCTTTTGTAGCAGGAAACCTGTTTTCATCTCTTGCAGCATAACTTTTTTGTTTTTTTTATTGAATGCCTTTTTCTGCCACTGTTAACTCACAGTGCAACTGCAAAGAGACATTTCCCCCCTCTTTATATTTTTCCATTTCATTACAACTGTTTATGAACAGCAGTAGCAATTAGAATCTAATCAGAGTTTTAAGTAAGCGTGGCTACACAAAGCAAAAAGTAGCATTGTCAACTGACAATGTTGGCTGAACGCTTGCTCAGTTTCTAGTAATAATTTGACAAAAATGCTTGGAGTGAAGCCAATCTTATCTGTGTTTTTCCAAGTAGGTAGTTAATTAATAATTGTACTGCTTTTTATAGGATTATGCTTTCTGGGCAACTGATTAAAATGTGCAAACTTGCTGTATTCCTGGCCTGAATCTGTTCCATGTTTTTAAGGCTCTTGAGTTTTGAGAAATACTTCTTGTGACTTGCATGATCTGCCCTCTTAGTTTCCCTATGACACAGACAGAATCACCCAGAACACATCAACAAGCTCTAAATAGTGTTTCGCTTGGTCCCTTTGTGTCAGATGAGCTGCAATTCCAGTCTAGAGTGGATTGCTCCTTAAAACCAAAGGGCGCACAGTCTTACATATAATTACTTTCCCCTTCAATTAGTGAGGCCTACATTGAACTTTCCCAGTGAGACCACAAATGGAAATTTTAAAAGGAGCAGCGCTCTTTGTTTTTATACTGCCTGTAGTTACACAATCATCTGCCTTCTGTGCCCCTTGGGGAAAAGGTAATTATGGGCCTTGAGAGTTGATGGGCTGGTCAAGATGTGCATCGATGGCAAAGGGAAGAGATCTCTGATTTTACTGTGGTAGAAGTAAGACGGCATGCGTTTCTCCTGGTATATGTTCAGTTTCTATCCTTCAAGAGCTTACTGCCCATCTGCACTGTGTCTCCTCTCCCATTTATTAAAAATGGTGTGGTGGGGCGTTTATAAAAACAGGTCTAGTAAACAATCTAACACTTCCCTACTGCCTCAGGGAAGTAGTTCAAGACAGTATAAGTCTGCTCCATTCCTCTGCAGACAGAAGAGGAAATGTGAGCTGTGTTAAGTGTGTAAAAAGTGCATTAGAGGTATTGCAGAAGGCCTATATCCAAGTGGTCAAGCCTTGCTGAACCAAGGATTTTCAGTTCAGCTTCCTGAACACAAATGCAACCACTGTTTCCTTCTGGAGTTTGTAGCCTTAAGCACTCTGACGTCCTGAATTAAATATTAAAATAGTATGTACCTTACAAGTTGCCCATTTCACTCAGTGCAGTGTGTCCATCTCTGGGTTGTGTCCCAACCTCAGGTTTAATCTCATTTAGGTTGAATCGGCTTCCTTTTAAAGAACACTGAAATTGTAGCTTTGAGAGGGGCCTGCTGTACTTTCTGTGTTGAAGAGAATTCTGTTGCTTCCTCTAGCATGAATTGACCTGCTGTGCTAGCCAAACTTTATTGAAAAGAATGATTAGTCACACACCTGCTTACACTTACAGTCCTTCAGCAAACCTCAGATCGGGTGTCAATATTGTGCATCACAGGTCACTTAAGCAGACACATCATCAAGCCTAGTCTCCCAAGTGTCACTACATATCCCTTTGTAACCTGCCCTTCCTACCCCGACTCCCAACCCTAAGAGGTTGGGACCCGTTACCGACTCTCCCCCCCCCCCCATGCTTTGCGACTGCGGGACAAATGGAGCATAGGTCTCTGCGGCTCCAGGTGTCAACCCGTTTGCGGCGTCAGACTTGTACCCCGTCTGATAGGTCTCTGCGAGAAATTCTTCCAGCATAAAACTAGGTTCGAGCCCTTTGGCAGAGTTTAGTAGGCCTTTTTAAGAATCCCGCCTCGCCCTGCGCCCCCGGCTGGTGGAGCTCGGCCCAGTCGGAGAGGCGAGCCAACACGGAGTTCTTGAGGGTGGCGGCGGCGGATGATGATGATGAGGTTGCTTTCGCGGGTCGCACACCAAATGCGTTTTCAAGGAGGGGGCAGTTGCGCTGGGCGCCCACAACACACCGCCGGCGAACAGAGGAGAGGCAGCCAGGAAGGCGCTGCAGCAGGCCTCTTGCACTAGGGCTATGCGTTTGGACGTGGCGGGCCAATGTGTGCTCGCTTGGAGGGAGCCCGAGGCCGGCGTGCAGACAGGTTGGCGGCGGCACAGGTAGACGCCGCCACTAGGCCATCCCCACCGTATCCCGCAGCAACTGCAAGAGCAGCGCGTGCCACCCGTTGCCACGGCAACCGCCCCAGAGGCGGAACCGGACGATACTTTTTAACGGTGGCAGGAAGTTCCGCCCTCTTATTAACATACTTTACGTCGATTAGTGGAAGCCAGTTTTCTCCGAGACCTAAGCCAATCGCCCTTAGCTGCTTTCTGTTCCTTTCCACAAGCGGTGGGGGGGGGGGAGGTATTAAAATTCAGCGCTGCCTGGTCGCGATTGGTCGTAACCACAGAACGACAAAACGGAGAAGCGCACCTCGCACGGATTTTAAACAGCTACCACATTCCGAGCTGGAACTGTGTTGCAAAATCCGGGGTTTTACTGTAAGTGCGACTCTAGCCCTCTTCGTCCTCTTTCCAACTTGAGTCTTCGTATGAAAAAACCCCCACTGTTTTCTTTGCTTGCTTTTAAACATTCTGCCAATGCAAATGCCAGCATGGTGGTTACGTTGCTTGAAGCTTTGCGTCAGTCTTACTGAGTCTCTGACAGCCCTAATTCAGCAATCAGTTGCGTACAGGAGTCTCACGCTCCGCTACCTCGCGCACAGAAGAGTTGCGCTTTCACATTTTTCTGAAATGATTTAAAAAATAAGAATTGACAAAAATTACTCATATTTGCAGCAATCTTTGACCAACCACAACTTAAGTCTGGATTTTCCCAATGATTTCTATGCCCAGCTTTCGCTTCTGTATAGTGGGGGCGGGAAAAGTGCACCGAGAAAGAGAATTCCTGCTTTGGGCCAGCCTGTATTTTCCTTTCTGGGGTCAGCCCGCCTTTAGTGGGCGCTCTTGAATTGTCGTTAGCTTAAACTTCCGGGGTAGGTTTGTAAACCATTTTTAGTCGCCCGCGGGATACGAGGGTTTCCTATTGCAAGAACATCAGAAACTACGAAGAAAGAGTTTCGGCGTTGCTGTGACCGGAGGGGGAAAGGTATAGAAAGAAAAACACCAAGCAATTTTATTTTTGCTGCATCTGACATGGTATTGGTTGGTTTTTGCTTCCCTGTCTCATTTGAACAGGACACCCCCCCCCCGCAAAGAAAAGAACCCCGGGAACTGGGTCTGTCTGAAGATACAACCATGTGAACAAAGCTAGCCAAAAGAGTACACTTGAAATGTTTTTAATATCCTGCTACATTATTGTTTCTGTCTATTTGGAAATTAATAGTGAGTGATCTCTGTAATATTTCACTGCAGACCCTGATCTGTTCTGTTGCATTTCATCAATAAAGAGCAAAAAGGCAATAATATGAAGTCTTTTATTAGAGAGCATCAAGCTCAGTCTCCCATCTACTGGGTTGGTATCAGCATCATGAAACAAGATGGTTATGACCTCATCCCCAAACTGCAGATTGGGGATCATAGCGGGGGATTACACTGTTGGGTTGTCATAGACATCACACCCTCCTACCCCACCACTTGGACTGCATACATGCCCTACATTTAAAGCATATGGTTCCCCCCCCCCCCCCGAGTTCTGGGAACCGAAACTTCCATCTTACAGAACTACAACTCCCATCAAACTACAGTTTCTGAGGTTCTTTGGGGAAAGCAATGTGATTTAAATGTATGGTGTGCGCAGATATCTGTATGGAGATAAAAATCTGTGCCCTATATTTGCATTTCAATTTTTAAAAAACCCTCAGGCACATTTATCGCGAATAAGATGATTTTGAATAGCACAAACTCCTTTCTTTTTTGCCTTTACTTGAGGGCGAGAGGTCAGCATACCCAGGCTGCTGCCAACTGACTGCAACAATAAACTGCTGGGTTTCTCCACCATCTCCAGAAGTAGTTTTCACTTTAATTAGAACATAAGGGCATCCCAGAGAAACTTGTAAGTCCTGCAGGTAAATGAATTATTAGTGTTGAGCTGCAATATTATCACACCTGGAAGTATGCCCCATTATATTCAGTGGAATTTGAGTACACATGCATAGAATTATACTGCAGGATATCTGTGTTTTGGTTAGATGGCCATATATCTCTGGGAAACCCCAGTCAGAAAGAAAAGAAGCAACAATTTAGCCCATTATTGCCCCCTCAAACTGGCAGCTGCTCTTCTACATCACCTGCCACCTGATACTGATTTCACTGAGGATGCCATGAATTGAACCTAGAACATTTTGCATGCAAAGATGTGAACTATGATCCCACCCATACTTAATTCACCTAGATCAGCACTCTGTATTCTACTGGGCAGCAGCTTTCCATTTTCTCATTCAAATGCCATGCCAAATCCTGGGGCACTCTGCATAAAAAGCATGTGCTCTACCACTCAACCTTTCCTCCCACTGAGCATGTGCAGAGTGCCTTCTCTCCCTTGAAGCTGCTGCAAACTGCTTCTCCCGCAGACACATCGTGGGTTTATGGGAGGGAAGCCTATGCGTGCCAGAATCTACGGATTGCCGACAATCTTGAAATTAGACTACGCTGTCCGCCAGCCAGTTTCCATGCGTGTACCTAACGTGGAAGCAAATGTCCCGCCGGAACCTTCGTTTTAATGCCTCAGTTTCGTGGGGGGAGGGAAAGAGGAGGACAGAGGTTTGTAGGCGGAGTTTCTGCGAGGGACGACCAGGGAGGAGGCGTGGTCAAAGCCGGAAGCTGCGGCGTCCGGGGAACATCATGGCGCTGAACGCGGCAGGTAAGTGAGGGAGGAGGGGTAACCATGGCAACCGGGCCTGCAGGCCCTGGCGAGAGGCGAGCCTGGCCCAGTAATCGGCTAGCGGGACGGGGACCGAGAAGGCTTGTTTCCCCACCGCCGCTGTTCCCATTCTCCCTCCCTCGCCCAGGCGACGAACCGGAGTGGCAGCCGCCGTCGGAGGCGGAGCTGAAGGTGATCCAGGCCCGGCGCGAACGGCAGGACAAGATCAGCAAGCTGATGAGCGACTATCTCCTCAAGGGCTACCGCATGCTGGGCGACTGCTGCGAGGAGTGCGGGGTGAGAGGAGGCGAAGGCGCCTGGTCACCTTTGCAGAGCGCGAGGCCGAGGGGGAGAACGAAGGGACCTCTGAGCACGCTCAGAGTGCCCTATCTTCTGTCATCCCTTTCTCCCTGCTCCGCCAAGGAAGAATTTCTGGGCAGGTCGGAGCTGCAGCACATCTGAGAAGAGTTTAAGGGCTTCTAATAAATAATTTTAAAAAACCGTTCTTAAACTCAAGCGCCTTAAAGGCAGGAGAATTCCCTGAAGTGCGGTGCTTTTATATAATAATGAAGAGTTGGTGTAGCGACTGGCAAAGACAGCCTTTGCCAACCTGATGCCTACACGAAGGCATCAGGGTAGCAGGTTGCTGAAGGCTGAGCTGAGGTTGAGCTCTGAATTGCGGAGTCACTGGTCTGAATCTTAGCACTGCCAGAGTCCCCTCAATGGCCTCTGGTAAGTCAGTCTCCTAGCTGCACTTCATTCCCCATCTACAATACAGTCTCCATTTTTCAGGGCTGTTGAATACAGCGAGATAACATATAAGAAGCATTCTGAATGCTTGAAATAGTTTGTGGCAGTGTTGAGTATTATTATGGCTTGTATATGCTGTTTTTGTGGCAGTCACTGGCCTGTAAAGCATATTTCAGCATTCACCTGGTGCCATAGGCTAGCGAGTAGGCTGGTGGAAGAGAAGCAGAAGGTTCCATCCTTCCTCTGATCCCAGCATAAAAGGAAAGTGGGCTATTGGGAAAGGAAAGGCCACTCATCCAAAGAAAGGCAGTAGGCTGTTGTGGGAGAAACAGAGCTCTATCCCCTTCCTTAGCTAGCCTCTGCCAGCTATTTTTTAGAAGGCAACTAAGACTTTTGGGTCTTATTTACTAGGTTGTGGGAGAGGGCCACACATAGGCTCAGCAAGTCTGCAGCAACCGTTAGAAACAGCAAGTTATGCTCAAACCATGGAAGAAAATATGAGGCCTGAGGTTTTAAGTTGAAAAGGTTGCTCGAGTTTTGAGGAGAAAGTTGGGGTGGGAATAATGAGATCAACAAGCCTTTGAGTTCTCACCCAGATTTTAGCCAAATCTTTTTCTCCTGTAGTTTTCTAAAAACAGGAGCCAAGAGAGCTCCTCTCTCTCCAGTAATCAGAGCACTGGTTTCAATATGCAGTCATATGGCCAGTAGAAGATAGGAGGGATCCAGAAAGCAGCACCTGCATATCATTTGTGATCCCCACCACTACACACACATGCACGCAATAGTTTTGCCCTAATCTTTTCCTTGGAGAGAGCTGGAGTCTTTCTGAAGAAGGGATATCTGTTGGTCTTAAGCAAGTGCAGAATGTTTTTTATATGTCCCTGAATGTAATTGCAAAAACAATGAGGTAAATTGTGCCCAGGTTGGCAACCAATATTTTGCATCTGTGTCTTTAAAATGGAGGAAGCTCCTGCTTCTTTCCTCAGCACCTGACATCTTGTGACAATCTTTTCTCTATCAAACATTAGCTCACAGTTAGAATTTTGGCGCCTAGAATCCAGGTTTTTATTTATTTCGCTGGTGTAATTTCTCTCACCTCCCCACCCCCATACACCATTCTTTCTCTCTCACACACATCACATTCCTTTTGCAGGCTCTGACACTTTTCTCTCCTTGCTATAACCTTGCCCTTTCAGACTATTTTGCTGCAAGACAAGCAGAAGAAATTGTACTGTGTCGCCTGCCAAGAACTTAATTCTGATGTTGACAAGGACAATCCGGGTATGTTTGGGGTAGTGTGGGGAGGTTGCCTCACTGGGATGGATTGGGAAGGGCAGGAGTCTTGGATTAGAAGGTAGGAATTAGGAACCAGGGCTTTCCTCCCGTTATGTGTTGGTGGGGAGAGGTATTTCTTAATTAGCTGGAAATAATTCATGAGCCTGACTCCATTTCTTGGAGTTTAAATGCAGCAGTTGCTATAAACCATAACTGGTGCTGCAGCACTTGTTTAATGCTTACACATTGATGCTCTGGCAACTTGGATGATCCCTATATTCAAGTTTGTATTGTTCGTTCTGCCTTTAGAAGATATCTGAAGGCAGTCCTGTACAGGGAAGTTTTAAAAGTTTGATGTTTTATTGCATTTTATGGGAGCTGCCCATGGTGTCTGGGGCAATCCAGTCAGATGGATGGCATATAAATCATAAAAATATTATTATTGTAAAATTATTATAGTGGGCCTCTGGGCGTGCCAGGAAAGAACCTTTTCTGCTTCACTTAACAAGAGAGAGTTAGTGTTAAGTTGCTGCTTAGATCTTCCAGTGGTGCTTGCCTGTTATTTTTCATTGGGATGCTTGCAAGAGGCTTGTGTGTGTGCAGGACTGGGGCAGGAGGTCCAGGAGAAACAGGGCCCTGTGGTGATGCCTATGTGCTTCTTCTCTGCAGCCCTGAATGCTCAAGCTGCTCTATCCCAAGTGCGTGAACGACAGCTAGCTGCTAACTCAGATGATGCCACTTCACCTGAGTACCTCTCCTCTCTGCCAACTCCTCGCCATGTGCCACGCCCAGAACACTGTGAAGGGGCAGCAGCAGGACTCAGAGCTTCTGCCATTGCTCCAGCACTCCCAGCCCCTGTTGCAGTGCCTGCCTGCCCACCTTCCACTGGTGCCCTGGCTGCAGCGGAGGAGGCCATACTGCAGAAGATCAACTGGGCTGTCCACGAGCTCCAGCAGAGCACTTGCGTTGAAACAAGCATACAGCTCTGCTCACTTATCCGGTCCTGCACAGAATCCCTCAAAGGAATTAAGGAACTGTTGCAGGGAGGTGGCCCTGATGTATAGGAGCATTGGCAAGCCATAGGATCACAGCCATGCCTATGGCACCAAGCAATGTGTCTCTTAGAGGCTAGATTAGAGTCTGAGCAGTTCAAACAAGACTGTGCTCTTTCTTCCGATTAAAACGTGTTGCTTTTTGTCTCATTCTGGTTGTCTTGAAGTTTGGGAAAAGTTCCTGGAGATCTTTGTTGAACTGGTGGGTCTCATTTGGGACAAAATGAGGAAGGGAAATGAGTTAGATTTCCCCTCTGACAAGGGTGCATAGAACCATCCTGCAGAACTTTGGGCCCACTCAGTAAACGTCCTGGTCTTGTTGCCTGCATGATACTCTAAAATTAGGGTTGTCAAGGGTTTAGCTTAGGGGAGGGGGGCAGTCACAAGCTATACAAACATTCATGTAGAACAGAGATAGGACACCCATGGCCTCTCAGGTGTTGTTCAGCAACTGCTATTAGGCAAGACAATGTGGTCAGGATGATGGGACTTGTGACTCTCCATATGTTGCTGGTTCCTCATCCCTAAATTCATGTGGATTCTGATAGGCCTTGCTTTCTCCTTCATGAATGATCAATTAAACCAATAGCTCTCAAGCTGAAGGCCAGGCCCCTTTGGGAGGAGCATGCAATATATTTGCAAGGGTACAAAATTCTAGGATGGGAGATCATGCCAGAAGCAGCCAAGGTTTAGCACTCTGGCTACCAAATCATCTATGCTTATGGAAGCTGCAGAAAGTCAGGAGAAATCTGGCATTTCCCCTGTCTGGTTGGTTTTATGAGGAGGTTGAAGATAGCATGTTCTAGTCCTTTTCTACCGGCAGAGTTGGATCCTTATACACAGCAGAGAAACATGAACATACGGTACATCTTGCTGTGAGAATTCTGGGTTCTTGCTTGCTCCAAATATAGTTGCTGGCATAATGTAGCCCTTAGGAAAGTGATACGGGTTTCCTAATGTGAAACAGTATTCAACCAAGGTTTCTCTGCATTCGCATTATGAGTCTGGGGCTGAATTTGGAATGTGTCTGTTTTTATGCTTCATGACAACAGACAAATGCAACAGGAACAGAAGAAGCTGCCTTGTGTACCCAAGAGCCCTGATGGAGCAGGCTAGAGGCCCATCTAATTCAGCCTTCTTTTCTGACAGTGTCCCAACTGGATGCCTATGAAAAACCTGCAAGCAGAATCCTCGTACAACAGCACTTTCCCCATATGTGATTCCCAGAAACTGGCATTCAAGGCGTATGGCCTCTGACAATGGAGGTAGAACATACCTGTTGTGGCTAGTAGCCACTGATGGCCTTGTGCTTGAAGTTGGCCGATCATATTTTAAAGCTGCCCCGGTCTGTGGCCAGAAACAGAGGGCACCAGGTTGGCCTATGTTGACTATGAGCTGCTTCCTAGCAGCATTTCCTGTGACTGTCCTGATGCCAGAGATGGAGCCTGTGACCTCCATGCAAACATGTGTTCTGCTACCAAAGTATGATCCTCCCCAGTTACGCAACACTAAGCCCCAGTCTGGCGTAATACCTTGGTGTTCTGCACTGGAAGTAAACAAATCCAGTAGAGAATGTTACCGCAAGCAGGCAACTTTAGCCTGCCCTATCATTCCTGTTGGGAGGTTGGGTGTCATTTGAAAGAGAAAGGATGCACTGAGAAACGACCAGTCAGTGGCAGTCTTCCAGAGCTGCAGTCTGATAGCGGAAAGGTGCCAAGCTTCTCTCCCCACCAATAAACACAAACTGCGTTTTTTCTAATCAGAGTTGGGCAGACCTAAGCATATCAAAATCGGCAGGCTTAGCGTTCTACATAGGGTCAGGATGTGTGAAGCATAATGGTAAAAATATTAGCTTGTCATTTGGAAGGACACAACAAGGACTGGGATATGGTAACCTCTGGCGGATTTCTCACTTGGTCTCAGACTCCAGTAAAGCAGTGCTGGAGAAAAGGAACATGGCTTGGTTTTTAGCTCATTAGCCATTGCCAAAAGCAGGGTGGGCTCTACCATTGGCTAGGCAAAGTAGCCTGTCACAGATGGCACATACTGAATATGGTTAACAGGTGGAAAATTCTGAACTGACCATTCTTGATAAAGCAAATTATTTGCTCAGGGGAGATGGGTTGATATTTCCTCCATGAAAGGCAAGGACAATATTTAAAAGGGGGATTTACCTGCAGGGATGGGGTTTTAAGATCAGAGCTCTGGCGCCACACAGAGGCAGACAGAACTATGAGTTTAGCGATGCTGGAAGCAGCCTGAGGGTTTGGGGAACTCTGTGCATCCTCAGTGACTTCTTAGGAATATAAGAAGCTGCTTATACCAGGTCAGACTTCCCTATATAGGGCTGCTTTCAGATGTCTTCCAAAGGTTGCATAATTACAGTGCATACTTATCTCCTTGGTCCGGAGTCGCATAACTCCATACCCTCCAACATTTCTCCGATGAAAATAGGGACGTCTTAAGGAAAAGCAGGACATTTCGGGATCCAATCAGAAACTGGGACAAGTCCTGTAAATCTGGGATTTGGAGGGTCTGAAATAGCATAGGAACCAACTCCTAGGGGCAGAGGTCCCTTCGCCCCCCTTCCCAGAAAGTATTCCAAATGGTGTGCGTGTGCCGCGTCTTGTGATCGATTATGCGGGGAGGGGCTTACCTCCTCCCCCCCCCCCATTTTTTATTCAAGCTGGCACCCTAGGTATATAACCTAAAGAAACCACGGTCTCCGCTGACCTTCATTCCAAGGAAACGGAGCCCTGCGTCAGCGCAGGCACCCCTGCAGTCCCTTGCCGCGTGGAGGTTGGGGTGCGCTCAGCAAGCCCTTTTGCCAACCCGGAGACGCGGCACCTGCGCTCTCCCCGTCAGTGGGAAGGGCGTCGACTTCTGCACGTGCTCCACGTCCGAGAGCTCATTCCCGGCCCTGAAAAGGGGCTCAAGCGGAGGAGGAGGCCCGGCGTCCTTTTGCCTCCCGCTGCGGCGGCCGCCCCTTTAAGCGGCGTCCTTGTGCGCGCCGCGCCGCCACGGCAAGCAAGCGAGCGGGGAGGCAGGCAGGGGCGCTGCGGGTGTGGCCGCCGCCGCCGCCACGGGCAGAGCGTGAACAAAGGCGGAGACGGGCGCCGGGCGGAGCTGCGCTCTTCGCGGCCGGGGCACTTCTCCTGCGCCAAGCGGGTCGGCCGGGAGGGCACCGCCGTCTGGTGTCCGGAGCAGCCGGGGCAGGGCCCCGGGATGCGGGGAGCCAGCTGGGTCGCCTCCGAGCCGACCTCGGTAAGCTAGCCGGCCGGAGAGAGAGAAGGACAGCGCGGGCCTGTTTCCCAGCCTTCATAGGTCCCTAAGCCAGCAGTTTCGAGGGGGCCTCTGAGCATAGCCAGAGTGCCTTTTTCTCTGCAGCCAAATCGGCGTGGAGACCGGTAGGCCCGAGCCCCCGAACCTCTCCTTTTTGAAGCGTCGCCCCCACCCGCCATCTCTGTTCACCTCCGTATATGGCTGGGGGCTGGCTAGCCCTGCCGTCCGGTGGGCGCTCCCTCTCGGCCTCCGGCCTCTTCTTTCCATCCTCGGGCGCGGGTGGGGGCTGATTTCGACTCCCCCCCCCCCGCTTTCTCCTCTCCTCCCCCACCCCCCAAACATATTCCTCTCCTTCGCCATGACTTGCCTGCAGTCCTCCCAGGACAGCCTGGCGGGGAACGTGTGCGCCATCGAGGGTCTCCCCCCGCTGCCCAAGGGGCTCAGCGGGATCCTCAACTCCAGCGGAGGCTCGTGGCGAGAGATCGAGAAAGTTTACAGCAAGAAGACGCGCATCCAGGACGACCTGAGCAAGTCCCAGGCCGCCTCGGAGAAAGTGCTGCTCCGGAGCAAGCCCGCCAACCTCGACTCGGCCCTGGCGGTGCTGCGCAAGGAGATGGTAAGTCGGGACCCTCAGGCGGACCTGCTACTGGGCAAAGGAAGCAGGCCGATTTGGGATGGCATGAAAGAGGAGGAAGTTGTTAAGTTATCTGATGTATTATTACTCTTGTGTATGTGCCCGCAGGGAGACGCACCTGTGGGATTTTCGAGCTCATGTGCCAACATAACTGGGCCAGCCTTAGATGCTGTGTCCCTTGTCATTGGAGGGGGTAATTTACTATTCTGCCTTGGGCAGCAAATTGTCTTGGGCCACTCAAGTTTTGGGTTCCACCAGAATGTCCATTTCTCAGGTCCTTTCAAGCCACCTGCATAGATAGTGGTATTGGGCTACAAAATTCTGCAGGCTTTTAGTCCTCAGTTGACTGCAAGGTTATGACTGTGTCTGCAGGAATCCAGAAAGGCACTGAATAAGGTTTCTAGCTGGTTGCAAGAGGCAGGGCACAGCTTAATTTTGTTCCCCAGCAGAACCTGAATAAATAACACAGGGCAAGGATGAGTGCACAGTTACGCATATTCTTAGAGTCACAAAAGTGACTCAAAGCGAGGTACCAAAATGCAAAGCTAAGATAAAGAGTAAAACAAAGCTAAAAAGATGAGTAAAAAAAACCCACACAGGTCCCAAACATACTTCCAAAAGTAAGGGTCAGAAGCCTGGGTGAAATAAGGATGGTATTGCCTGGTGCCTAAAAATGCATAGTGATGGTGCCTGGCATGCCTCACTAGGGAGAGCATTCCACAAATGGGGAGCCACCACTGAGAAGGCCTGTTTTTGTAATGCTACACTTTGGAGGGGAGCTCATAGATGATGAATGCAGGGCCTAGGATGGTTCATGTGTGGAGAGGCAGCCCTTGAGGCACTGGGGTCCTGAACTTTATAGGTCATACCAGTACTCAGGATTGAGCTGAGAATCTAATTGCCAGTCAATGCAGTTATACCAAGAAAGCCGTCTGTCTGCAATCTGGTTGCTGAATGCTGAACCAGCTACCATTTTGGAACTCTCTTCGAAGGCATTCCCATGTAGGCGTAATGTGATCTAACCTAGAGGTTTACCAGACAACAGAAGTTAGGCTATCCCTGTCCAGATAGAGAGAAAAATATAAGCTGGGCCATCGGCTGAAGCTGATGAAAGACATCAGCTCAAGTGACGCTGGTGGACTCAGAAGTACCCCCATTCAACACGCCTGCTCCTTTAGAGGTGTGTGACCCCATCAGGCCAAACCTCACCCATCCGGTCTAGGAAACCATCAGCTAACAGCCCCTCTGGATTAAGTTTTAGTTTATTGGCTTTCATCCAGTCCGTTACAGAGGTCAGACATCTGTCTAGCTAGCACATCTGCTGCCATGCCTCCACGTCTAAAGGATAAATGGAGCTGTATTTCATCAGCATATTGCTGACAACGCACTCCAGAACGCTGGCCGTTTCATGTAGATGTTAAGCAGCACGGGGGATAAGATCGAGCCCTGCAGCACTCCCCACTGAAAGCTCTATGGGGCTGATCGAAACTCTCCGAGCCTAAACCCTGATTGAAATGGCTCTAGAAAATTGGTTTCATGCAATAATCTTGCCCAAGAAGGGGACATTGGGGACCAGCTAATAATTACTTAGGGTGGGAGTCAACTCATTGGAGGCCCTCCCCAAGGACTTCTGTTGCACAGTGGGGCTTCCCCTTTCCCCCACAGCCCCCGGAATTGGCTCAGGGAGGTGGGGGGTTGAGAGAACCCCTGCAACACAAGGCGGGAGAGGACAATTGTTTGGTCTGGCAAGCCAAAACGCTTGTCCTAACAGAACAATCACCTTAGCCTGACGTGGAGTTCCTTGCTTAGGTTTTCCAAACCCAGGGAGGGTTTCTGAAGGGGGTGGTCTTTGCCACCACCTCCATTAGACAAGTGGGGACCACCCCCTCTCTCAAGGAAAGGCATTGATCGCCTGGCTGAGCCACCTTCCTTGCTAGGAAGCTCAACCCTAAGTTACATTATTGTAAAGCTGTGTTACCACTTTCTGGACTTGAGGAGGCCAGATTCGTCTTTTCTTAGTGCTCTGTGGTCTGCGCACAGCCCTAATCCGGTGTGCCACATGCTTTAAATTTCCATTTCCATCCCATCTCCCCTCTAAATACACGTGGGACTCAGCTACGTTGGCAAAGAAAAGGCGTTTTATATGTGTTGCTAAGGCATTCCAACACTGTGACACCAGGTGGCACTGTGGAGTTCCGTTTTTTGCCAACCTGATTTCTCATACAAAGTTTGCAATGTGGTTTAACTGAAACACTTCTTTGATGTGTCTAGATCCAGCCATGGTTTCTGCTCCCTTTTATTCTCACAACAACCCGGTAAGGTAGGGTAGGTTGAGAGAGAGTGGCTGGCCCAAGGTCACCCAGTCAGCCTGACATGGACAGGCATAGATTTGGGGTGCTCTGCTTCTCATTTTCCTGCATCAGCCTCCTGGAGGTTGCACAAGGCCTCCCTCCAATTCTGCAGTTCTATGATTTTAACTTTACTTTCCCCTGTTCCTACTCTCTAACTACGACACAACACTTACTTTTTTATTGGACTTTATTGCAGAAACCTAAGTATTTTCTGTATGCCAATGGTCTGTTTGTCTTTAAAAACCTTTTTGCATGCCACATTGGATTTCCTCCTGGAGAAAAGCATAATCATCCCCCTGCCCCAAATTATCAGTTTAGCCAGATGGTAAATATGCTAAAATGCTTTTGGATCAACCTGCATACATCGACTGGGCTCAGTAAAACAGCACCATGCATAGTGCATGATCACCTGTAAAATACAACTAGGATCAGAGTATTTTGCCTCCTTGAAACAGTCACCCTGGATTTATGCATCTTTAGAGTGTTTGTTATCTGCCATCAGATCAGGACAAACTTGCTACTTACAAGACATCTTTGTTTGCAGTCAGTGCCCAGGAAATTAGAAGTAGTTACGTGCACTCAATCAAATGTCAGGCTGTGAAGATCATTTGATATAAGCCAAAGTCTACATTAATGCAATGCTCAGTGGTGTCCAATGGCATTCCATGTTAATGAATTCTAAATAGTCTAGAGTAAAACATAAGGTTTTTTCCCTACAGCTGTTGTTAGTGTTTTGCCTTGAGACCCATTTTGTAATGACTGGCAGTTTTAAAAGTAAGTGAAAGGATGGTAATCTAGGAGAGAGTATGGTACAGTGGCTAGAGTGGGCGTGAGGATCCTGTGATCTACAACTCTCATCATTCCTGACCATTGGTATGCTGGCTGAAGGGGCTCCTGGGCAATGGAGGACATCAGGTACTCCCATTTCCGCCTAGAGCTTCCATCTATGAACTCTGGGAAAGTGGGATTTGTGCATGATAAGGCTATGTCCTCTGCAGTGTTAGAAACTCAGATATATAAGCTAATTGCTAAATGGCACCTAGGTTATGGTTGCCACAACGGAATGTCTTTCCCCCAATGATATATTATCATTATCATTATCGTCGTCATTTCTATACTGCTTTATATTTTAAAAAAGAAATATCGAAGTGGTTCACAACATTAAAACATGAAATAAAACTATCCAGAATAGAACAGATCCAAACTTCAAGGAAAATATTTCAGATCCTTCTCTTACTTTCCCCAGTCGCCAACCTGACATCCACAAATCTCCACATGGTCACAATTGGACCGTCGCAAAACGCGCCTGGCACCTGACTAATTTCTAACACTGGTCTGCTGTTGGAGGCAGTATGCCTCTGACTGCCAGTTGTCAGGAATTGCAAGTGGGGCAGGCTGCTTTTGCCCTCGGGTGCTGCTTGCAGACTTCCCATAGGGGCATCAGGGTGGCCACTGTGATGAAAGGAGGCTGGGCCAGACAGGCTGGTGGTCTGAGACATCAGGGCTCTTTTTACGCTGTACGGTTGGGTGCAACTTCAGCTTTTCCTGTGTGTGAGGAAAATGAGACTAAACAGTGGCCCTCCCCCCACAAGGTGGTTGGGAAAACAAACTCAACAGAGACGGCAAACCACCCTTGGAACTGCAGTCCACTTAAAAGCACAGGCAACTCCCCACGGATCTGTGCATGTGGGCATTGCGCCGAACCCAGAAGTTAATATAAAAATTGCAAAAATGTCCCTAGAAGAGCCCAGAAAGGGCAAAAAAGGCATGGAAACAGCACCTAGCAATCCCACAAGCCTTTGCAAGTGCAATCCCAGGAGCCTTTGAGGCCTGCGGAGAGTTGGAGTTTTTTAATGTTTTTTTGGAAGCTGTCCAGAGTGGCTGGGGAAGCCCAGCCAGATGGGCAGGGTATAAATAATAAAATTATTATTATTATTATTATTATTATTATTATTATTATTATTGGAGTTTGAGCAAGGAAGTTTGGAGGGAGTCTGGTTTTTTAAAAAGGGTTTTTCAAGGTTTTCCAGAGGTTGAGAGGTTCTTCGCAGGCTTTTCCAATGTTGTTTCAAATATGCACTGTTTCACTTAAACACAGCCCCCACGTAAATTGGGTTGGTTGCCTGTAACCGTTAAATGTAACGAATGGAAGTCAAGGAGAAGTGCGACTTGGCATGGCTTCAAAGCATGTGCTGTGCATTCCTCCTCCAGCAGGGAGCAGCAGAAACCCATACTAGAAAACCATTTTCAGTTTGCAGCAATTGTCTTCTGGCACCATTTTTTTATTATAGCTTACTCTCTCTCTCTCTTTGTACTGTAGGGGCTTACACTTCCCTGCAAATACAGTCTGGCAAGTGTCTGTTAAGCTGGGCAAACTATCAATATGCATAAGAGATCCAGGAACTACCATAAGTATTTACCATCTCAAAGGAACAGCCAGGCAGTCCAGAAAAGGCAATCAGATAAGGCATTATCAGGTATCCTGGCAGACAGGAGAGAAGCAACACACTCAAATTTCTGCTGGGGACCACCTCTTTCTGTGATGTATGTCTGATGTTTTGGGGGGTGGTCTTGAACTACAGGGTAGACAATTTTAAAAGTCTATATAAGAGCTTGCACACCAATGTTCTGGGTTTCTCTCTTCTATCCCTGCGTGGGGGAGTGGGGGACCCTGCTTAATAAAGATCATACTTACTAGCTGCTTTGCTTCTCAATATTCTCTGGTTGGCCTCTGTTAGTTTCTCCTACCTAACCCCTACAGTCCAAAGACAAATGGAAAGCTTTTCCCATTTCCTTCCTCCTTGCAGAGAAATATTTGAGGTCAATTTGGGAAAGTCAAAATGGCTTCAGGATTGCTCTCCTGTACTATTTCAGACACGTGGTTTATATACTTATGTATATGTTTGCCTTGTTCATTTATGAACATTTATTTTATATATATAAGACCTTAGAATTCCTATAACAGTACATAATAAAGTGAGACGGTGGGGAAAGGCAGTGCGACCAAAGCTCTGTGGCGGAGCTCATAATTTGGCACCTCCAGGTACATCTGGGAAAGAGTCCTGTCCCAAACCCTGGGACCCTACGCAGACCCTGAGATCATCCTCGGAGGCTGTTCTCTGTGTGCCCCCAATGCGAGGGGTCCGGAGGGTGGCAAGATGAGAACAGGTCTTTTCTGCAGTGGTTCCCTGCAGAGGATTTTTGATTCAGTGGATCTTTGGCCTGCTGCAAGGGTCTCCTCATGCTCTTGTTTTGTTTAAGCGCAGAGGAGGAGAACAAAAAGCCCACAAAGTCAAAAGGATCGATTTGACATCAAGGGCCAGGAAGCTTAGACTTCTTTATCAGGCCAGCTCCCGTTTATTGGCCGAGGGAGCCGGCGTACAGCTTCCAGGTCATGTGGCCAGCATGACTAAGCCGCTTCTGGCGAACCAGAGCAGCGCACGGAAACGCCGTTTACCTTCCCGCCAGAGCGGTACCTATTTATCTAGTTGCACTTTGACGTGCTTTCAAACTGCTAGGTTGTCAGGAGCAGGGACTGAGCAACGGGAGCTCACCCCGTCGCGGGGATTCGAACCGCCGACCTTCTGATCGGCAAGTCCTAGGCTCTGTGGTTTAACCCACAGCGCCACCCGCATCCCATGGAATAAGTAGCAAGTGTTGAACGGCTGGGACTACGGGAAGTGTTGCCGATTCTCCAGCTGAGCCTCTCTGCTTTTCTTTGTTTCAGGTGGGGCTCCGGCAATTGGACATGTCTCTGCTCTGCCAGCTCTGGTCGCTGTACGAGTCCATTCAGGAATACAAGGGCCTCTTCCAGGACATGTCTTCTTCGCTGCACTCGGAAGGCAGCCTGGCTGCTGAAAATGGCTTCTCGGATGAGGACGAGGACTTCGAGGTGGATCAGATGAGCCCCGATGGGCACAAGGAGAACCCGCTGGGCCAGCGGCTCCGCCTGCTCCAGCCCCAGAACTCCCGGGATCAGTGGCTCCAGGACTCCTTCCACATCACCATCTGAAGCCTCTGCCTCTGCTCCGTGCTTGCCTTTCCCCCCCTTGTGTGTCGGCTGCCGAACCTGACTCCTGCATCTTTCGCAAAAGACGTTCAGGGGGGCGATGTAGGGGGTCTGTCACTGGCAGGAGCGAGAGGAGGGCTGTTTGCAGCAGGCAGTTTACAGCTGGCTCCGTCATAATCAAACGACCCCTGAGGAGAACTACCACGTTACGCTTCACAATTAACCTTTTGGGGGTTTAGCATTCAATCACCGCCAAGATGCCACAGAGCAATCTTTCCAGAGAGAGAAAAAGAGGTTTGTGTATGTGGCCGGTTCAGGAACAGAGTGCAATTCCTTTTAGTCCTCTGGGCAGTGGCGGACATCGGGCTTTCAAATTTCAGCGGCGCCCCGTGCAACGGCGAAATCTGCCTCTTGCCTTCCGTTCTAAGTCCTTGTTACAGCATCCCCTCAGCTTGGCACCTGTTGCGGGTGAACTGGTTGTGGTCCCCTAAGTGCGCATAGAACCACAGAATCGTAGAGTTAAGAGGGAACCCTAAGGGTCATCCAGTCTAACCCCCTGCAATACAGGAATCTCAGCTAAAGCATCCATGATCCTCCAACCTCTGCTTAAAAACCTCCAAGGAAAGAGAGTCCACAACCTCCCGAGGGAGTCCGTTCCGGTGCCGAACAGCTCTTAACTGTCAAGAAGTCCTTCCTGGCATTTAGTCAGAATCTCCTTTCTTGTAACTTGAAGCCATTGGTTTGGGTCCTATCCTCCGGAGCAGGAGAAAACAATGGGCTGGAGTGCTTGCCTCCAGTCCAAAGGCCATCCTCTTCTCACTCAGAAAAAGGGGCTTATGGGACAGATGAGCCACTGCAGTCATTAGGTTTTAAGCATCTGGCTTCCCATTGTGGCCAACCAGGTTCCTGGAGAAGGGATGGGAGAGCCCTCCAGCCGCTGTCATCCCTGGCCACTACTAGCCCTGTGGCCTCTGGGAGCAGCGTTGGGGGGGGTCTCCAAGTTTCCCCACCCCAACCTAGAAGAAACCTCCCAGCGTTGCTGCCCAGCAGCGCTTGATCTGACCCTGCAGCTGTGCCAGAAGGGAAGTCTCCTCGAGAGGAGACAAGGAAGCCCCTTCCATTTCAAAGAAAAGCCGCAGCTCTGTTCCATGTACATGGTGCTTGAGGCGTAACTGAGGCCATGCCTGTGGCTACCTCACTGTTTGTTTCTGGGGAATGCGTCACACCTCAACTAGGCACTGTATTTTCCAGCTGAAAGAGACTTCTTGGGCTGGGGTAGCAGGATTTCCCTCGGCCACCTCCCTCGCTTAGTCCCTACGGCTGCCACTCCAAACCTGCTGTCTTTCTCTCTTTGGGAGATGAAGCCCCACATCCCTTGAATGCAGGATGTCCCAGGATCAGTCCCTAGCAGCGCATCCCCAGGTAGGCAACAGCCCCTTCCTGAGACCACAGAGAACAGCTGCCAGTCAGTGTAGACAGTACTGAGCTTAGAGAGGGACCAAGGGTCTGACTCTGAATATAAGGCAGCTTCCTGTGTCTCTAGAGCAGGGTTTCCCAAACCTGGGTCTGCAGCTGTTTTCAGACTACAGTTTCCATCATCCCTAGCTAGCAGGACCAGTAGTCAGGGATGATGGGAATTGTAGTCCAAGAACAGCTGTAGACCCAGGTTTGGGAAATGCTGCTCTAGAGGCTGAGCCTCTGTCCCAGCCTCCACCCCATCCCCAGTCCTTTGGAATCATCCCAAAATGGCGTAGCTGGATAGGAACTTGCTGTGCACGAAGAAGCTTACTTGCTAGATTTTTCTAGGCAGAGTTGCGTTTGCTGGATTAATTATTAGTGCCTCGGCCGCGTTACCTAAAAAGCGGCCTCTTTAAAATATTTAATTATATATGATTGTTCTGGGTTTTTGGTTTTAATTTTAAGGCCTTGAAATACAAGGGTTGGGGCAGACCTCTGCTTCTCTCCCATCCCGCACTATATAACTGGGTACAAACTTTGGACGGCTAAGTTAATATATTGTTTTGTTTCTTTTTAATGGGGCATTTTTGCAACGGAGCCCATTGCAACCGTGGCGTGAATCCAGGGAATAAAATGGCCTCGCAGAACCAGGTCTTGTCTGCGTTTCATTCCAAGCTGGGGTGGGAGCAAGGATCCTGGTTTTGAACAACCTCTAAAGCAGGGGTCAGCACCCTTTTTCAGCTGTGGGTCAGACCACCGTCCCTCAGACCATGTGGTAGGCCAGATTATATTTGCGGGGGGGGGGGGGATGAACGAATTCCTATGCCCCACAAATAACCCAGAGATGCATTTTAAATAAAAGGACACATTCTACTCATGTAAAAACACACTGATTCCCGGACCATCCGCAAGCTGGATTGAGAAGGCGATTGGGCTGCATCCGGCCCCCGGGCCTTAGGTTGCCTACCCCTGCTCTAAAGAGATCTCTTGTGTTTCATGATGGGCCAGGCCTGCTGCTTGTTGTGGAATCTACTGGAGCCACTAAGAATAAAATGTGGACACAGGTGGACACACACAGGACCAGCTCCAGCTTACCACGGCTCCTCTGGGGCATATTCACTTCAGCTTTTGTTTTACCTCCTGATCTGGATGGTCTTGCTGCAGTGGGGAGCAGCAGGCCCTAGGCCATACCTATCTCCCCAAGCCACACCCCTCACTTTTAGGGTTTTTTCCTGGTTTGGGGATGAGTCCTTCAACTCGGATTCTGCTCCTTCCTTGCCTTGTTGGAGAAGAGAGGGCTGTGTGAGAGTACTAGACCAGGGTTTCCCAGACTTGGGTCTCCAGCTGTCTTTGGGACTACATTTCCCAGCATCCCTGACCACTGGTCTAACAACAACAACAACAAATTATATATATATTATTTATACCCTGCCCATCTGGCTGGGTTTCCCCAGCCACTGGGCGGCTCCCAACAAAATAATAATAATACAATAAAGCATCAAACATTAAAAACTTCCCTAAACAGGGCTGCCTTCAGATGTCTACTAAAAGTCAGATAGTTGTTTATTTCCTTGACATCTGATGGGAGGGCATTCCACAAGGTGGGTGCCACTACCGAGAAGGCCTCTTGCTAGCAAGGGATGATGGGAGTTGTAGTCCAAAAACAGCTGGGAACCCAAGTTTGGGAAACCCTGATAGTCTACTGTGCAAAGGTCCACATTTACATCCACTGCTCTGCCCACGTCTGCCTTGGACCCTGGCATGTGGCCCCTGGAAGGGAATGTGGTCCTTAGGCTGAGAAAAGGTTTCTCTAGCCCTGCCATAGAGGCAGAACCCTGGCAGGCAGGCTAGCAAAGGTGTTGGTGTCACACTGAGATGGGCATCGCCCCACATCACTTCCTGCAGCACCAGCACCGATGTCATTAAGAGGCAGCTGCTTGCCTGGAAGCCAGACACATCTGCTGGGAGCCTGGCCACAGTAGGAAGCTGGAGGATCCTTGGGTTTTTTCCTCTTGCTGAAGCCGGAAGAGTGACTCATTGTTATTGTTATTTTAAAACTAGGTATAAAAAATCCCAAATGGATGACCACTTAGCTAAAAAAATGAGAAACACTAAACAAACTGGCAGGGATGCCCTCTCCTTTTGCTACAATTTCAAACTCTGCATGGCTCAGAATATGAAAGGATCCTGGTAGGTATGTTTGAGACTCTAGATGTGATGGTCTTATTCCCCACTTTATGGCAATGTGTGTTGCTTAGTTTATTTCAAAATGTTGCCAGGCTGCAATGGGGAGGGACTCCTGCTGCCCCCAAAATCCTGTTCCAATGGTACCACTACTGACAGTCCTCTGCCTTGATCCATAGGTTTTTTTTTGGTGGGGGGGGAGTGGGTGGGATGGTCCTTCAGATGTTTTGGGACTACAACTCCCATGATCCCTAGCTAACAGGGACCAGTAGTCAGGGATGATGGGAGTTGTAGTCCCAAAACATCTGGAGGGCCGAGGTTGCCTATGTCTGGTTTAGGATTCAACAGCACCTGACGGGCCACAGGTTCCCCCCTCCCCCAGGTTGTGCAGCTACTCTGCACATGGTCAGAGGCACCATCACTACCTCAAACATCAACCGAAACAGGCTCTGGGTGAAGTCTTATAGATCTGTTGCCCCAGTATTTGCTCTCTCACACACCCCAGCATATGTATCCCTTTCACGCTGAGGCAACCATTGTTCCCTTCTTCCTGTTTGTGAGGCTGCTGGAATCTCTGGTTGTCTCAATAATTGTCTCAATAATTGGGCTTCCCCAGCTCCTTGTTTCCGCCCATTCTTGGCTCTGGCATCGTTCCAGGGAATGTCTACCAAGTCTATACACAACTCCTCGGCAAAGTTGAGCTGCTTTTGTTTCCTCGTACCACGAGGGTGGCAGAAAAGGAAAGCAAGATTGGGAGCGGGGGCAGATCTAAACCGTGCCTTTAAAACACATGGTCCGTCCACCCCCCAAGAATCCTGGGAACTGTAGTTTGTTAAGGTTGCTAGGAACTCTAGCTGCACAAACAGTTCCCATAATTATTTGGGGAAAGTCATGTGCTTTAAATGTGAGTTGGTTGTGCTTTTAAGAGTGTGGTGTGAATCTGCCCTGTCTCTTGGAGTTTCAAAGAACTCTTCGCTGAGCTGGAACAAATGAACACAGTGTTCTGTGTTGCCTCAAAACCTTGCATGCGCCCAGGCTTTTGAGCATGGGTGACAGATGTCTAAACATTTAGATGCTGGCTCCCAGAAGTCTGAAATATTTTTCCAACACACACACACAGCTTCTGAGTTTCCTATTTACATCTGCCTGACTCTTCCAGGGACTGATGTACTTCCTTTAAATCAGGGGTTTGGAATATTCCTTTGGGCTGAGTTGTGAAACAGCTGCTGGTGCCACAACTGAGAGGGATCTCAGAAGTGGCTAGACTTGTGGGCCTCTCTGACTTTGTGTATCAGGATGATCAGTTGTTCCAGGCATTTTGCAGTGCAAAAGAAAAAAAAGAAAGACTCACTTCAAAGGTGAAGGAGGAAAGTTTTGAGGAGCTGCCTAGATTTCAGTTATCTCACTTGATCTGGTGTTTAGGCTACAATACTATCTTCCGTGATAAAAGCCTGCAAGCTCTCTGGCTTTCGAGCATGGATGGCAGCTGGATAGTCATTAGATGCACTCAGGAAATGCACAAAATGTGGCAAGCAAAGGATCAGAAACAAGAACACAGGAGAACTAAGGATCAGAAACAAGAACACAGGCCATCCTCTGGAATGAATGAGTGTTCTCTGCCCAGCCTTATGACCCATGACTTAATCTGTATTGGGTTCCCCTACTGCCTGAGAAAAGTTGGTGAGCTCCAACCCTGCCTTTGTGTAGAGCCAGACTTTGCCAACCTGGTACCCTCCAGACTGCAATTCTCAGCAGCCCCAGGCAGCATGGCAGAAGCTGCAGAGGGGGGTTACCAGTGAAGAGGAGGACATTTTGCACATGCTCGTTGCTGGAACTGGAAAGAGATTCAGCAGTAAAGCTCCAGCCCAAATTCAGCGCTTTTTGGGAATTAGCGTACTGAATAGAAACCATCCAACATGGTGCGAAGAGGAGATTCTAAGAGCAAGGCTGTTTACAGAATTGTGGGACGGTTTTGTGTGTGTGCGCGCACACACACTTTTTTCATGGAGATAACAAAATACCATTGCACAAAACACTGTTGGATGTTAACATTCATCACTTAACATAAAAATAGTGAACAGGACGTATTTGAAACGGGCAAAAGGTAATTCTGAGCAATTCAAGAGCATGTGTGGCTTTTGTGCTAGGACTATCATCAAGTACAAAATGATCAACCCTGAAAAACTGGGAGGAATCTGCTATCTAATCCTGCCCTCAGTAAAACCTCAATTGTAATACTTTGCATGCAGTTAAAGGACACTGAGCATCCACACACATTATCAGCAGAAGGAACATAGGAAGCTGGCGCCCATGGAGTCAGACTATTGGTCCATAGAACTCAATATCGTTGACACCAGGAATGGCTAATCTTGGACTTGTTCTTGCTAATCTTGTTCTTGGACTACAGCTCCCACCAGCCAACATGGCCAAGAGATTATGGGAGTTGTAGTCAGACAATATTTGGAGACCCACAAGTTAGCCAGCCTTGGTCCACATTGACCAGCAGTGGCACTCCAGAATTTTGGACTGGAGTCGTTCACAGATCCTACCTGGAAATGATTGAAAATGGGACCTTTTGCACGCAGAACATATTCTCTCCTCCTGCACGGTGGCCCCTCCCTGATTGCTAAATGCACCTTGTAAAATTGCAAATTGCTGTTCTGCTGTTCTTCTAAAAGGCACCTGAGGCTGGGGGTGAGTGACTTGCCCAAAGCCATGTAACCAAAGTCCCAGAACCCAGTCACAGGGCCACCCTGTGCAGCTTTTAGGGAAGGTCTGGAGCTCCATGGTAGAGCATGTGCCTTGCAGTTAGAAGGTCTCAGGTTCAGTCCTCAGCATGTCCAGATGAGGCCCTGCCTGGAACCTTGGAGAGTTCCTGCCAGCCGCTGTGGGCAATACTGGGCTGGAAATGACACAGGGAACTGACTCCGAAGAGGGCATATTCCTCTGTTCATTTCAAGCAGGACTTCAGGCCTTCCCAGCCAGCCTCTCTTGGCAATCCAACGCCGCCACCTCCTTCTTCGCCTGAATTGGCCTACTCTATCTGGGCAACTTTCTCAGAAACTTCAGCAGAAAATGAGGCGTCTCCAGATCCCTCTTTGCTATTCAGGCCCTGGGCCAAAGGCACCTGTAAGTCTTGCCCCAGGGGCAGCCTCACTCACCTGCTGTGTCAGGGTGAGCAGCCAGCTCTTGCCAGGCTGAGTCACAGGAAGGCTCTGTTTGTCCTGGGTGGGGCTGTCCGTCCCCCCCAAGTACTCCTCCCCACCTCTAGAGCTCTTGTACGCACTGAGAAAAGCAAGAAACGCACTTTCCCAGCCAGCAGGAACCTGTAGCTCTGCACAGGCTTGCTGTCATGAGAACCACTTTTCCACACCAGGCTTTCAAAGCGTGCTTGCACTTTCCTGACTAGGCTTTGGAGCGAGAGATGCCAAATGGGTCAGATAACTCCTTGGGCTGGATCAGCTTCTGTTGGCATGAAGGATGATGAAAACTTTTGGCTTACACAGCATTCTTAACTGGAAGCTCGCGTCCTGCACCACAGAGCGAAGCTCCGAGTGCTTAATTAAATGCTTGCCTTGGAACAGGTAGCAACAGATTCCAAATGAGCCTTAAGGATTCTTTATTAATTCCAGCTGCTGACTGCCACCACCCTCCCAAGGGCTCAACCATGGGTAACCGCGCTAAAAACCGGAAAACACGCTCTGACAGCACATTGTTATTTGGGCATGATGTCATGGACAAAGGACCTGGGTGGATTCACACAAATTCCTCCTGAGTCATGAAGTTTGCTTGTGTGGGCTTGGACAAGCCACTGTTTCTCAGCATAGCCTACCTTGCAGAGCTGTTGTGAAGTAAACAACGAGACAATCCCATACGGGCCCTCTGAATTTGTTAGAGGAAAGGTGTGGTGCAAATATGATAAATAATAATTGCCTTCCTGTTCACAGCTACCCCATAAGTGCCAGTGGCCCATTTGGTCTGGCATCCTGTTTGCAAAGGGCCAGCTAGACGCCTGTGGGAAGCCGCATGACAGAGTGAGCTCCCGTTGCTCTGTCCCAGCTCCTGCCAACCTAGCAGTTTGAAAGCATACCAGTGCAAGTAGATAAATAGGTACTGCTGCGGTGGGAAGGAAAATGGCATTTCCATGCACTCTGGCACTCATCACGGTCTCCTGTTGCGCCAGAAGCGGTTTAGTCATGCTGGCCACATTGCCCAGAAAGCCGTCCGTGGACAAACGCCGGCTCCCTAGGCCTGAAAGCAGAGATAAGCACCGCACCCCATAGTCAAATTCAGCTGGGCTTAACCATCCAGGGGTCATTTACCTTCACCTTTTACCTTCAGAGGCATGCTGCCTCCAGCAGTGGAGGTAGGACAAAGCCATAGTGAATAGCAGATTTGATAACCTTAGAGACCTTCCAAGTGCCCCTATTTTCCAGGGACAGTCCCGGTTTTACAGAAGCCATCCCAGTTTCTGATTTTATCCTGGAATGTCCTGCTTTTCCTTAGGACGTCCCTATTTTCATCATAGAAATGTTGGAGGGTATGGAGTTATGCGACCCCCCCAAGCCAATGAGATAAGTAACAATACAACCTTTAGAAGACATCTGAAGGCAGCCATGTCTAGGGAAGATTTTTAATGTTTTATTATGCTTTTATATATGTTGGAAGCTGCCCAGAGTGACTGGGGCAACTCAGTAAGATGGGCAGGGTACAAATAATAAAATTATTATTACTGTGGAATAGAATGTCCCTATTATCATTGGAGAAATGTTGGAGGGTATGACCTTACACTCTGTGGGACCGGAGGCAAAAGTGAGCAGAGCATCAATGCAAGTGTTACCTTTGTACAGTAGGCTAGTATCCCACACACAATCACACAACCTTCTCTGCCCTCCATCTAGGCAAGCAAGAGGCATGATTGGAGTTCAGGGACATGTAAGACAGGCAAAAACTCTCAAGGTACAAAGCCAGGGAAGTTTGGGGACTTGGAAGAGTCAGAAGGCCTCATGGAAAGGCATGGAGGACCACATTTGGGCCTGAGGTTCCCCACCACTGAATTGCAGATTTTATCACACACACCCCAACCTTATAAAAGTTTGCAATTGTGCAATGGTAAAGGTAAAAGGACCCCTGACCATTAGGTCCAGTCATGACCGAATCTGGGGTTGCGGCACTCATCTCGCTTTACTGGCCGAGGGAGCCGGCGTACAGTTTCCGGGTCATGTGGCCAGGATGACTAAGCCGCTTCTGGCAAACCAGAGCAGCGCACGGAAACGCCGTTTACCTTCCCGCCGGAGCGGTACCTATTTATCCACTAGCACTTTGATGTGCTTTCGAACTGCTAGGTTGGCAGGAGCAGGGACCGAGCAACGGGAGCTCACCCTGTTGCGGGGATTCAAACCGCCAACCTTCTGATCAGCAAGTCCTAGGCTCTGTGGTTTAACCCACAGCGCCACCTGCGTGCAAATTTAAAAACGGGGGCGATTTTAAAAGAGCCTGCTCAGGTGCATTGCTACTCCCCCTCCATTATTATGGCAAATCACTAGTGTGGGTGGAACCATAACAGGATATGCACAAACACACACACACATCCCAATGCGAAAAGTCACTTGCAGTTCTGTGTTGCTTACAGTGGTAGAGCTGTGATTGTGTGGGGATAGGTGAGCACCCCGTTTTAAGCCACCCATTCTTTTGAAGGGTGTCGCATTATTTAGGCTATTACACGAGCCTCGTCCCTCCCACTTGCCCTTCCGGAGCCTCTGGGACAGATTCTGTCCCTCGGTTGCTAAATTTGGGGTTGGTGAATTTCCATGACGAACCCGTCCCACCCAGGATGATGCCAGGATCAGTTTGGGATCAGTTTACGGGGTGCTTATTTATACCCTCTGAGCCAGAAGGCAAATATGTGAAAAGCCAAAGAAGCAGAGGGAGGGAGGGAAGGAAGGAAGGGAGAGATGGCAGGCGAGGAAGGGAAGGAGGGAGGGCTGAGGAGTGTGATGAAGGCTCAGAATTTGAGGTGAAAGATTAAGAGACCTGGAATTTGGGGCCTGAAGCTGGCAACAAAACTTCAGAACAGGTGAAATATGTCTGCTCGGGAGGATCCTTACTTTAAAAATAAAATAAAAATACTATCCTGTCATACATTCTGGCTTGCAATATGGTGAGGAAGGGGTGGGTATTATTACAGTGGTACCTCGGGTTAAGTACTTAATTCGTTCTGGAGGTCCGTTCTTAACCTGAAACTGTTCTTAACCTGAAGCACCACTTTAGCTAATGGGGCCTCCTGCTGCTGCCGCGCCGCCGGAACACAATTTCTGTTCTCATCCCGAAGCAAAGTTCTTAACCCGAGGTAATATTTCTGGGTTAGTGGAGTCTGTAACCTGAAGCGTATGTAACCTGAGGTACCACGGTATTCCCATTCCCTCTCCAAACCCTCCAGGGAACGCCTCTGGATGGCAGTGAGAATGTTACTGTTTGTTAATTAATGCCATTGATAGCCTGTTTTTCCTCCAAATAGCTCAAGGGGGCGTACACAGCCCCCTCTCATTTTATCCACACAGCAACCCTGCGAGGTAGGTTAGATTTTTTTTGAGGGGTGTAAGTGACTAGCCCAACCCAAGGTCATCTGTCTATCATCTGCTGTGGAAGAGCAGCCCCAGTGGTGAGGAGAAAACGAATGGCAGTGTGGTGCAGTGGTTAGGGTGTCAGACTTCTAGGACCTGGGAGACCAGGGTTCAAACCCCACCCCTCAGCCATGAAGCTCCCTGGGCGGCCTATCTCTCAGCCTAATCTACCTCACAGGGGTGTTGGGACTATACTCAGGGAGAACTGGGTAGGTCCCCCCAAGTTTCTTGAAAGAAAAGTTGGACGTAAATGTAAAAAGGTTCAAAAGCGGCCTGGAGATCAACTCTTTCAGCATGCAGCCTTCTAACCCTCGATGGGATTATTTCATGGCAAGCGAAATGCACTCTGCACATGCTCAGAAGGCACCCTTCTCTCCACTACGCATTTACTTAGTCACATGGCCCTGGACTGTCTTTCTGTCCTTGCCAAGCAACATTGCCGGTTTTGCTGTTGACAAAGCAGGGTTGCCAGCTGGCCAGAATTTCATCCTCCTCCTCCTCCTGGTTAATGGCCAACGCAGGGCCAGGAGGAGAGGGAGAGGAATTGCTCAGTGTGGCGTCTTTTATTTATTTCCCTTTTTTATATACGGCAGTGGCTTGGGGAAGAAAAAAAAAAGGTGGCACCCATCTGAGCAGCCGCAAGCACTCTGCATGTGCCCAGAGGCACTATTTCCTAAGACAGGCTTCCTTCCTTACACTGCTGCTCGACCCAGCAGGCAGGCGTCTTGAAGCCATTTACGAACTTTGGCTGGGGTTGGGGAAGGGAGGAGGAGGCCGTCTGTTCATGGGCAGAAACAACTCGGCGGAGGTTGGAACTTTTTATATGGCCAAAACGACGGAGCGCAAGCCCGAGGCCCAGAGGCAGCTCGTCTGAGGGTCTCTTTGCAGACACACAGCCCCGATGTCCCGGGGTGGGTGCGGGTGCTGTAGCTGCCGTCAGCTGTCGCTCGCTCCCTTCTCTGCCTCGCTGCTGCTTCTCCCTCCCGCGCTCCGCCCTCTCCGTCTGAAGATCACACCCACAGCCCGTTTGCCAGCGGCGGACGGAGACCGGGCTCCCCCCCTCCGCTCTCTCTTCCTCTCCCCGCTTCGATGTCTGTAACTTTCTCGCTCTGCACCAACTTCCTCCCGGCCAGGTTTCCGCGGGCTGCGAGCCAGGCGTTCAGACGGCAACGGCAGCAGCAGCAGGAGAAAGAGGCAGGCTCGCTGCAGGCTGCTGTGCTCGCCCCGTCGGGGCTCGGGGTCAGGAGGAGACGCAGCAGCAGCAGCGGGTGATGGGGGCCGAGCGGAGGGGCGCCGGTGGGGTGTGAAGAAGGCGGCAGCGACCCACAGCTCTTCTCCGGGGCGGCAGCAGCGAGGCGACAGCCGCGGAAACCGACGGGGCGGCCATGAGTTCGGTGTGGAAGCGGCTCCAGCGCGTCGGCAAGCGGGCGGCCAAATTCCACTTCGTGGCCTGTTACCAGGAGCTGGTGGTGGAGTGCACCAAGAAATGGTGAGGCTGGGTGGGGCAGCGGGGCCGTGGGGTGGGGGAGAGGGAGAGACGGTGACTCAGGGTCTTGTGAGTACACGAGGAGGGTTTTTTTTGGGGGGGGTCTGGACCCAGGAAGTGGAGAAAGGGGCGGGGAATGCACGAGCAGTGGTGAAGGGGCGGGGTAGGGTTTCACAACTGCCTTTTAAGGTAGGCCGGTGTTGCTAATAAACCCAAGGGATATAATATATTATCATCTAGAATCGTAGAGTTGTTAGGGACCACGAGGGTCATCTAGTCCAACCCCTTGCAATGCAGGAATCTTTTGACCATCTTTGGGCTCGAACCAACAACCCTGAGATTGAGTCTCATGATCTACCAACCGCATTCTATTCTATTCTATTTCATACTTTGTACGCACAAGAATACGCTAAAGCCTTCGAATTATATCTTGGTATAATTTTTTACAACGGCCCTGTGTTCATAAACCTGTATTGTAGGTGCAAAAGGTTGCGAGGGGAGGGACAGTTTGGGGGAAGGGCTCCTTCAGGTGAGGGGCAGTGGCATGCTTTGCGTTTTAAAATGTCCCAGGCTGAACCTCGACATTGCTAGGCAGGGCTGCAAAAGAGAGTTGTCCAACACCCTGGAGAGCTGCTGCCAGTCAGTGTGGACAATACTGAGCCAAATGGACCAATATCCTGTCTTGGTACTATAAGGCATTTCCCCAGGTCCCTGTTTAATTCTGCATTTTCTTCACAACCATGAGAACTAGAAGCTTACTTTATCTTTTATGGGAAGGACCATAGCTCAGTGGTAGAGCAATGCTTGTTGTCTTTGTCTTGCTTAGTAACCTTGTACTGTAGTTCATTGCTTCTTAATTCATATTGTTTATATTATCGCTTGATAGCACTGTATTTTTACGGTTGTACACTCCTCTGGTTTAGAAAAAAATTAAAATAAATAAGATCGTAGGACTGACTGCAATCATTTCCTGGTAAGGCTGGGAAATGTCTTCAGACCAGGAGAGCCAAAGGCCTTAATGGTATCATTAGACTCATCTAACTCTGCACTGGGATAATGAAAGTTGAAGTCCAATAACGTGGGGGGGGCAAAGTTTCCCATCTCTGGTTCAGGCCTGACTCTGCATTAAGGCAGTTTCCTGTGTCGCTTTTGCGTGCCTAAGGAGATACCTAGGCTTTTCATGGCAATGATGAGATTTGCACCAGGGGCCGCCGGTTCCTGTGCAGGCCTTTTTAACCAGTTTGCATTTCACAAGTTGTGTTCTAGGTTACGGGTAGAAGCTTGTGCACCAGGAAGTGGTAAATGGAGGTGAAAGGGAATAATGTTTTTATTGATTTAACCCATTTACGATGTTGCTAGTTTCCAAGTAGTTCAGAGTGGTTTGTGACATAAAAAACAACAACTCTGTGCAATCATGAAAACAACAGGAGAGGCAATTTTTTAAAAAATTGCATTTAAAAGCAATCTACGTACTGAATAAGCCCAGAAAATGACCCAGGTTGGACAAATGCCTGTTAGAAGTGAAAGATGATAATAATAATAAAAAGAAGTGAAAGATGATTCTATGTTGAAACCCATCTGGAAAAGGTCTAGCGAATTCTGCCACAATTACAGAGCAATCAAGGGTGGAAAACCTGCAGGACACAGGTGGCCCATGCAGGGGGGGGGGATATCCTCATCCCCCCCGATGTAACAATTAGGTTTTCTATGTTTCAATTTTTACTCCATTAGCTGCCTTGATTAAACACCGTTTAGTGGAACATTGAGATGTGAATTTAACAAAGGAAGCAAATAAATAATAACATGCATGGCGTTTAGGCCTCTGTCGATGGGTGGGCTTTGCAAAACTTTCAGCTCTGGCACGTGGAATCGAACTCGGAAGCAAATGGGTAAACAATGCAACTGGTGCTATGCAGAGCAGACCGAAATCTGTTTTTTGTCACACAGTAGCTGTAACAGGAAGACGGGGAGCTGCGCTCTGCGCCCGTTGATGCTTCTGCGCTGTCTTCAAGGGCAGACCCACGCAGAGCATGTACTGAGGCAATCCAGCTTGGAAATTGCAGCGACCATGGTATCTTGGCATGTTGGGGGTAGAATGAGGATGGTTGGGTGGCCACGATGCTAGGAGTAATGGTGAACTGGAAAAACGGGAAAAGAGGGGATTGCAAGGGGCCTCAGGCTCCAGGCCCACCTCCTCCTCTCTGGCCACCCACCCCCTGAGTGCTTTTGACTGGCATGAGTAATTACAGTGGTACCTTGGTTCTCAAATGCCTTGGTACTCAACTTGGAACCCAAACACTGTAAACCCGGAAGTAAGTGTTCTGGTTTGCGAACTGTTTTCGGAAGCCGAATGTGCTCCGTTTTGACTGCCACACTTCTGTTTTGAGTGTTACACTGAGGTCTGTCTGTTTTTGCTATTTATTTTGCGTTTTTGTGGCTCTTTTTGTTTTGTTTTCGTGACTGTGTGGAACCCAGTTCAACTACTGATTGATTGATTGGGTTACTGCAGTACGTTATTTATTGCTTTCATTTTATGGACCAATGGTCTTGTTAGATAGTAAAATTCATGTTGAATTTTAGGGGTTGTTTTTAAAAGTGTGGAATGGATTAATCCGTTTTGCATTACTTTCTGTGGGAAAGCGTGCCTTAGTTTTGGAACGCTTTGGTTTTGGAACAGACTTCCAGAACAGATTAAGTTTGAGAACCAAGGTACCACTGTATATAACATTTAGGGAACATCTGAAGGCAGCTCTGTATAGGGAAGCTTTTTAAGGTTGAATGTTTTATCATGTTTTTATATATGCTGCTAGCTGCACAGAGTCCCTGGGGCAACCCAGTCAGATGGGTGGGGTATAAATAATAAAAATTATTATTATTATTATTGCCAGAATAGGTGTGTGTGGAAACCAGCCTTGTTGCACAAAAGTAAACATTAACATTCATTACTCTGCCCACTTTTGTTTCCAGTTCCGCCAAGTAATTGCATGCAGCCCCCAGGAAGGTGCCCAGAAGGGAAAAAGGACCTCTGCCCCTGTTGTAAACTGTACAAGGGGCTATGTAAAGGGTTACAGGGAGGGGGGGCTTGGTCCAAATGCAAGAGGGCAGGTTAGAGATGGTGTCACTGGAGGAGTTCCTTTCTGATCCCCCTGTCCCCCAAACTCCAAAGTTGGGGAGGGTGGAAGCGCAACTCCCTTGAACTCTAGGAAAATCTGGTGTCAGGGCTGGTTCAGCTGCAGATCAGACTCAGAGACGAGCAGTAAAGTTGATTCACTCTGTTGGGGAGGGCTCCCCCCCCCCACTCTCTGAGCTCTCTGCAAAGCCCTCTGTGCCCATGGAGACAAGGGAGGAATGGAGCTGAATACAGGCTCCTGTAAATCTGCTGCAGCCTCAGCCCCTACCTCCTCCTCAGCTGCCTATCCTGTGTCTGCAGCGCTTTCTTACTCTTCTTCCTCTCTCTCACTCAAGCCTGCTGCTTGTTGAGCATCCAACCATTCTGCCTCCCCTCCGTCCTCTGACCTGTCTTCCGTGTCCTACCACCACTCCCCTGGCTCTGAGCCTTCCTCTTCTGAGGCTTCCCTAGGGGGTTCTCCTGCCGGAGCCTCCCACCACTGTTCCTTGTCCAATCAGTCCCTGACATCTGGTGGTCTTTCTAGGAGGTCGGTCATCTCAACTGGGTTCCTGCTTTGCCAGTCTTGTAAAGGAGTGAGCCTGAATGGATGGGTGATTCCTGCAGTAGGAAAGCAGCCTCTTCTCTTGGGCAGCAGGTTACTGTGCCATGCCAAGGACACCAGGGACAGCCATAGACACGAGACACTGACATTGCTACCCTGAAAGTTTCTTTGCAGTGGTCAGGAAGGGAAAACAGAACTGAGCCTGACCTCCTTGCTTACTTGCCTGAAGCTGATTCTTTCTCTCCACTTCACAAGGTGCTGTCTGTGCCATCCGACTGGATAGGGCCGTCTGTCTTCCAGGTTAACTGATGTCACTTGCAAAATTCCTGTCTTGAGACTCGTGCCTGTCATTGCAGATGTTTTTGGGTTAGACGAATCCCGGGCCTGACTTGGGATAAGGCAGCTTCCTCTATGCTGAGCCATGAGGAACTAGTGGCTGAGTTTGCATTTCCTCCTCCTCCCTCCCAGTCCCTTTTTCCTCTTGTGTTGCGTCTTTTAGATTATAAGCTTCAGAAAGAGCATACAGTGGTACCTCGGGTTACAAACACCTTGGGTTACAAACACTTCAGGTTACAGACTCTGCTAACCCGGAAGTAGTACCTTGGGTTAAGAACTTTACCTCAGGATGAGAAAAGAATTCGCGTGCTGGCGGTGCGGCGGCAGAGTGATGCCCCATTAGCTAAAGTGGTACCTCAGGTTAAGAACTGTTTCAGCTTAAGAACGTACCTCTGGAACGAATTAAGTTCGTAACCAGAGGTACCACTGTATCTTATTACTACTGGTCTTTGTAAACTTCTCTGGAAGCCTTCTTAAACTGAAGAGCAGGGTAAAAATGCTTTAAAGAATAAAGAAACGGTTATTATTTTCAATCAGTGCTTTGTTGAGAACTAGAGGGCTGGAATCTTGCTTTAGATTCAGGGTGATAAGCAAAAGTCAGCAGCACAGCATCTGCCTATGCTTGCAAAAAGGACCCAGGTTATAGTTCAGCTGGTAGAGCACGAGACTCTTAATCTCAGGATTCGGGGTTAGAACATTGGGCAAAAGATTTCTGCATTGGAGGGGGTTGGATTAGATGATCCTTGTGGTTCCTTCCAACTCTACAATTCTATGATTCTAGCAGATGAGTTAAGTAAGTAGTGGGGAAATCTTCCTTGTCTCTGGACAACTGTCATCAGTCACAGAAGGATGGACCAGTAGATGCACTTGGTAGAAGATAACTTCCTAAGCGCTCAACGAGCACAGACAGTGGAGCAGCATGAACACTCAGGGAAGATGCTGTTTCTCACTTGCTGAGCTGTGGGCTTTCTGGTTCCTTGGCTGGCCAGAGAGGCACCAGTTTGGGGTGCAGCTAGCATCTCCCCAAGAAAAGTCATCTGCTGGTGATATCTGTTCAAGCTTCAGGGACTTGAAAGAATCAGGACGGGCCTCTCAAACCTACCTAGGATGCTGATCTTAGATGAGAATGCACTTTGCACATGCTCTGAGTCACTTCTTCCTCCTCTTTTGCTTTGCAAGTTCCTGGTTTGAGTCCTGACATGTATGATGTGCTGGAGGTTTGCATTCAGAAAAGTGGAAGAAAGAGGAAGAAGATTAGGGCAGAAGGGGCAAGATCTGGTGTTCTGTGCTGAAATACACTAGTTTGTGCTGGCAGGGGCTGATGGGAGTTGTAGTCCTAAACATCTGGATGGTACCAGGTGGGAGAAGGCTGACTTGATATAGTTACTTTTTCTTTTTTAAAGTGGTGGGGAGGGGAGATGCTGGAGGTCAGGCCTACCCCTCATGTCTAGCCCCCCTGCCCCCTCCCTGCAACAAACTCCACTGGGAGACGAGCCAGTTGCCAGACTTTGGGAGTTCGAGACAGACTGATACGGTGGAGGAGCAGGCGAAAAAGGACACACACCCCTCCCCTCATTCTGACATGGCAAAGGCCTTATAAGGGACTCGGGAAATGATAAATATTTAGTCATTGCAGAGCTAAAAATGGAAAAGGGAGGGCTGAAACTTCAGGGTGTGTGTGTGTTAGGATAACAGGAACGCTGCAAAAAATGGAAACAGGAGGGAGGGAAGGTGGGTTGTCTCAGATGGGAAGAGCAGGGACCCAGCTGAGTGGGAGTGTGGAGTCTGTCCTCCCCTTGGGGGTAATCTGACTTCAGAGCTCTTGGATTCCTCGGATCTCAAGTTATTTCCAGTACTTTTGCTGGTCCTCAGCCACACCCTCATTCCCATGACTTGACTAGATTTTTTGGGGGGGGGGACCTTTCGGCCACTCAGAACTTGGCTCAAACCCCAGTACTTTTCTTTCTCTTTCTCTTTTTAAAGCCTTGACTTAAGACTGTTTACCTTCAATTTCACTAATGGTGCCAAACTAGGCACTCAGCACATGTACAGGAACACATTTTATTGCAACCGGCCTGAGATGCTGTGTTGATTTTGGGGGGCCATCCTTGGCTCTGAATCATAGAATTTGTAGAGTTGGGAGGGAGGACCAGGGTCATCTAGTCTAACCCCCTGCAATGCAGGGATGTTTTGCCCAACGTGGGGCTCAAACCCATGGACCTGAGATGGAGAGTCTCATGCTCTAGCTATCTCCAGAGCTCACAGGACCAAGCTCCTAGAACAGGGGCAGGAAACCTGCATCCCTTCAGATGTTGGATTCCCATCTCCCCGCTTCTGCAGTCGCCTTGGCCAAATCAGGGATGATGGGAGTTGTAGTCCAGTGTCTGAAGAACACTAGGATATGGAAGGTCAAGAAGAGTTTATTAGGAGAGTTGGGGTGAGGAAACGAGGCAAAGCATCCACCTGCCACCCTGAAACATTACAGAAACGATTTAAATATAATTGTAATTATCTGATGTTGGCATTACAAAAGGATACAGGTTTACACCCCAGTCAAAGCAGCAGTGCAGGCTGGGGTCAATGGGAATTGTAGCCCGAAGCAGCACCCAATAGGGGAATAGTCTGCTCAAGACCCTGTTTTCCAGCACCAGAGCCAAACACAGCTGAAAATGGAAAAATAAATATTGAAGAACAAGGGTACCTCTGGGCATGCCAAGAGTTTTTGTTTGTTCTGTTGCTTCCTCCTACATGGTGTAGGACGCAGGTGGTGCTGTAGTCTAAACCACTGAGCCTCTTGGGCTTGCCAATCAGAAGGTCGGCGGTTCAAATCCCTGCAACGTGGTGAGCTCCCGTTGCTCTGTCCCAGCTCCTGCCAACCTTGCAGTTTAAAAGCATGCTAGTGCAAGTAGATAAATAGGTACCACTGCTGCGGGAAGGTAAATTGTGTTTCCTTGTGCTCTGGCTTCCATCATGGTGTTTCGTTGTGCCAGAAGTGGTTTAGTCATGCTGGCCACATGACCTGGAAAGCTGTCTGTGGACAAACACCGGCTCTCTTGGCCTGAAGGCAGCGAGATGAGCACTGCAACCCCATAGTCACCTTTGACTGTCCAGGGGTCCTTGACCTTTACCTTACCTACACAGTGTAGCCTTAGTTGGGTCCTTACACACTGGAGCCTGGGGGTCACCTTGACCTCCAGCCCCTCGTTCCGAGATTAACCTTTGCCTTGAGGCCTCCTCTCATGGGGGTCTTTGCCCCTCTGGCTCTCCATTCTGGGTGAAAGTGGAGAGTCCTGCAAGGCTGTTCTGTGATGAAGAGAAGGACGCTTGATGGGTGTATTGGGTTTCCTCACTGCACCCAGATTTAACCCAGCACCTGCAGCGGATTTATGACTGCTAGCCCCCAGGGGCTAAAATTAGCCTTTGGACACTAGCTCAGAAGAATTATAAAGGATATTAAGATGAAGCTGGGCATCACTTTCTTCAACAGAAGTGTGTGTGTTTGTGTGTGGTGCACTGTATGTTGTGATTGGGAAGCACAGGAGTCTGCGCTCTAATAAAAGGGCAGGGGGATCTGCAGCCCTCCAGATGTTGCTGAACTTCAGCTGTCATCAGCCCCCAGCCTGCATGGCCCATGGTCAGGGGGTTATAAGAGCTGGGCTCCTGAAACATCTGGAAGGCCACAAGTCCCCCACTCCCTGGTATAGTAGGCAGTGTTAGAAATTAGCCAGGTGCTAAGCGCGTTTTTGACTGGTGCGGGTCCAACTGCGACCATGTGGAAATCTGTCGATGCCATGTTGGCAACTGGGGGAAAGCAAAATGTACGGTAACTAAGAGGATCTGAAATATTTTCCTTGAAGCTTGGATTTGCTTTATTCTGAATTGTCTTATTTGATGTTTTAGTGTGTTGTAAACTGCTTTGAGATGTGTTCTTTAAAATATAAAGTGTTATAGAAATGCAATGAAAAATAACAGAAGGAGGCATCTGGGGAACATTTAGGGTACTAGCCTAGTCCCCTTAGTCCAATAATTGCACACCACTGCTCAGAACATGCCTCAGGATCTTCACGTGTTCTTCCTGGCAAAGAGGGAGCCAGGACACCTGGGTCCTTTTCAGAACCAGGGAAGGCTGTTGGGTTACATCCGGTTTGATCCTAAACTTCAGGCGGGGAGAGATGCTTTATCTGAGGGTGTGTGTGCTAAAGACTCCTGGTTCGATTTGAGAAATGAAGGATCAGGCCTGAAGGGCAGCAGTGGGGCTGGTCTCTTTTGACACCCGTGTTGGCTGGGTGCGACCTGGCCCAGCTCCGAGGAGGATCAGAGCCGCGCCCGGTGAAGTCTGGGAAGGGGAAGATAAAGCTTCCCACCGAAATAACCTCTGTGCTGCTGAGCCAGAGTTCAAGTTACTGCCTGGCCCCAGAGCTTCTTGGTTTCAAAAGCCCACTCCGGAAAGGAAAATGAGGAAGTCTTCCTTTCCGCTGCCCCACAGAAGCCACGGGTTCCCTTCCACATGCCAGCAAAGAAGTCATTTTCTGCCGAGGCTCAGCTCAAGAAGCTGGTGTGGTCCTTGAAGCTTGTGCACCTGACAAAGTGGGCTTCAGCCCACAAAAGCTTATGCCAAATTTGGTCAACTCCATCCCAGGTTGGCAAAGGCTGACATATGCCCAACTGAAGGCTTTATTAGCTTTTATAAGATGCTGTTTTTGCTGCAAGAGACTAACCCTCTGTTGAATTTGAAGGCCTGGGGATGGCTAGAACAGCCCTCCTAAGCCTTCACTGGTGCTCACGGCTCAGGGCATTATAACCTTAAACTCTCTCCTGGTTTTTCAATTGTGTTTTCTTCCTGTATATTTTCATGTTTCGATATGCCTTTTAGTATTGTTGCAGGCTGCCTCGAGACTTGGAAGTGGGGAGGCAACATTGAAATGTTTAAAATAAATAAATGGTGGGATATAAAGTGGCAGTTAAGGCCTCAGCCCGTATGGAGACATAGGCCGCAATCAAACCATACGTTTAAAGCAGTGTGGAGCCACTTTAAACAGTCATGGCTTCTCCCAAATAATTATTGGAGTTGTGGTTTGTTACAGTGCTGGGAATTGTCAGGAGACCCCTATTTCCCCTCACAGGGTTATAATTCATAGTTCCCTGTGAAGAATGATTGTTTGGGGGAAGCTACAACTGTTTAAAGTGGTATCATATTGCTTTAAATGTAAGATGTGGATGCAGCCTTACATTGGAACAAGTCCCACACCCTCCCAAGTGTCCCTATTTTCCAGGGACATTTCCGGATTTATAGAAACCATCCCGGTTTCTGATTTGGTCCTGGAATGTCCCACTTTTCCTTAGGATGTCCCTATTTTCATTAGAGAAATGTTGGTGGGTATGCGACCCCCAAGCCAAGGAGATACACACTTTAGGAGACATCTGGAGGCAGCCTTGTATAGAGAACTGTTTTAAATGTTTAATGTTTTATTAGATTTTGATATATAGTGGTACCTCGGTTTTCAAACGTAATCTGTTCCAGAAGGCTGTTCAGCTTCCGAAACGTTTGAAAACCAAGGCACAAGGGGAGAATTTCAATTTCAATGGAGAAAATAGAAAAACACACAGCGGAAGCCGTTCAACTTCCAAGGTGCATTCGAAAACGGAAGCATTTACTTCCGGGTTTTCGGCATTCAAAAACTGAAACGCTCTGAGACGCTCAAGAACCGAGGTACCACTGTATATTGGAAGCCACCCTGAGTGGCTGGGGCAACACAGTCAAATGGGCAGAGTATAAATAATAAAACAACCACCACCACCACCACCACAAGTTGTTGTTGTTGTTGTATAGGATGTCCCTATTTTTATCAGATAAATGTTGGAGGGTATGAAGTCCCAGTGAACTCTGAGGAATTTGCACAGGACTTTGTACTTTGAATGCTAATAAAAAATATTTTAGATTCAGGTAGGTAGCCATGTTGGTCTGACGCAGTCGAAATAAATAAAAAATTGTCCAGTAGCACCTTAGAGATCAACTACGGTAACAGGGTTTTTTTATTTACTCATTGCATTTATATGCCGCCTTTCTGCCGAGGCACCCATTAAAAAGTACTAACACACACTTGACCACTTCAGTCAACGGACCTGGCATGGCTACAGATGCCACATAGTACCCCTTGTGCATTTGTAAGTACTCAATCTTTTAGTGTGGCAGCACCTAACTTGGGAACTCCTTGCCTGTTGGTATTAGGCAAGCGCCTTCACTGTACTCTTTTCAGCACCTGCTGAAAACATTTTTGTTCAGATAAGCCTACCCGGATATTTAGAAAGTTTATGCAAGTCTTAATCTGTTTTTCGTTTATTATTATTAGGAGGGAAATAGCGTGGTGGCAAAATCAGAAGCTGGGCATTGCTTGTAACAGAACTGAGGAGTAACACCACTGCCCCACACCCCATACTGGGAATGCAATAGCAGCAGTGGTGGGCTATTAAGCAGAAGAGATGACAATGTACCAAGTCATCCCCTAATACCACTAGTACACTCCATAGCTTCCCTTTTCTTCTGAAACCAACTTGGGGAAGAGACCATCCAAAGAGTTTCTTCTTCAGAATGGCATGCAAGAGCAACTTTCCCAGAAGTCAAATTTGAACTGGAATGGGGGGGGGGGCACTTGCCACCACTGAAACAGAGTCCAAGAGTAGTAGCATCAAATTTTTTTTAAAAAAAACTGTCCAGTAGCACCTTAGAGACCAACTAAGTTTGTTCTGGGTATAAGCTTTCGTGTGCATGCGCACGTATCTGAAGAAGTGTGCATGTACACAGAAGCTTATACCCAGAACAAACTTACCGTAATTCAATTTGTTTTAGATGCAGTGCTTTTCCCCCTCAAAAAATGTTTAGGGGTACTTTCATTTTCCTACCCATATTGTAATACTGCCCTTCAATGAGGCCAAACTTAGATTCACAAAATGTTTAGAGGTATGCGTACCCCTCCCCCCTGAAAAAAGCACTGTTTAGATGTGTTTAGCAGTTTTTAGATCTTTTAAATAAGTTGTTGTTGTTGTTGTTGTTGTTGTTTTATTTGTACCCCACCTATCTGACTGGGTTGCCCCAGCCAGACAGGGATATATAAAAGTAATCAAGGCGCATCTGTAGAGCCAGAGGTTCCCCATCTCTGCCTTAGGCCTAAGAACAGGTAGAGGTACGTGGCCTATACAGTACATCTCTATGGATTCTAGTACGTTTGCCTCTTTGTTCTTGTTTCTGAATTGTCTTCTCTCCCAATGCCAGGCAGCCCGACAAGCTGGTTGTGGTCTGGACCCGAAGGAACCGGAGGATCTGCTCCAAGGTGTGTTGACTTTCTCAACTACAGCGGGGTTTGGCCTCCGCCTTCCCCAACCTGGGACCCTCCTGCAGCTGACCGGGGTGGATGGAAGCTGTATAGATCAAAACATCTGGCAAGCCCAAGGTTGGGGAAGGCTGCCTTAAGGTGCGGGGTCCAAATCCCAGCAGAAGCTGCACCTCTGGACGCACCAGTTGATGTCTTAGCTTGTTCTTATCTGCTTTTCCACCTGCAGGCTCATGGCTGGCAGCCAGGGATCAAGAACCCCTATAGGGGTACTGTGGTGTGGATGGTACCTGAAAATGTGGACATCATGGTGACGCTTTATCGGGTATGGCAGCCACAGTGCTGGGAGTCTGTTGTGGGCTCTATGACTGACACAAGGAAGGCCTTAGGAGGAGGAAGATTTCTGCCGCATCCACATCACACATTTAAAATGCTATGATACCATTTTAAACAGTCATGGCTTCCCCCAAATAAATTATGGAAGCTTTAGTGTGTTAAGGGTGCTGATTATTGCTAGAGGACCCCTTATTCCCCTCACAAAGCTATAATTATCAATCCTTCTTTACATGGAACTCTGGGTATTGTAACTCTGGGAAGAGGGTAGGGGTCTTCTAACAACTCTCAAATCACTTAACAAGCTACCAGAATTCTCTGGGGAAAGCTATTTACTGTTTAAACTGGTGTCATAGTGCTTTTGTTTTCCATCAGTGTGGCCTTCGATAATGCATTTTGCAAAAGAAAGAGGGTCGTGCGATTGTACATAGACTATAGTCTACTGTACAAAGTTAATATTTACGTTTGTTTTTCTGCCTATTTTCCCACTGGCCCTGCCCACTGCTGGCATGTCCCCACTCCCCACCTCACAGAATTTTGCCTAGACAAGAATGTGGCCCTCGGTTCCCCACCTTGGAGAGTCCAGTCCAGAGCAGGCAATATTGTGCTAGATGGATAAACGGTATGATCTCCTAGAAAGAGGCTTGATTATCCTAGACGGAGGGTGCTTGTGATCAGATTGCAGCCCTAGGCACTGTATGTTCAGACCTCCACTCCAGGTGACCTTCTTCTCATTGCTTTTCCAGGATCCCCATGTAGAGGAATATGAAGACAAAGACTGGACCTTCGTGATTGAAAACGTATGTGGAAGTGAACCTGTTTCTGGGAGCCTCAAATGTGGGCCTTGGTGGGCCTGGGAATAGGAACTGGGAGGAGGCAGGGGTCCTTTTGTCTAAAGCTGTGGGCATCTTTTCTTGCCAGGAGTGTCCCTTGCCCAGCAATACAGACCTGTATTAATTGAGTTCTAAAAAAGCAAAAGGATGTCCTCACCTCAGGCAGCAATGGCAGGCCTTGTCAATGTCCCTGATTTTTCACTCTGGGGTTGTGGTTGTGATGCCGTGCCAGTCTTAGTGCCTCTGGCAGCTTACAACTCCATCAAGGATCTGTGTGTTCCCTCTCTCCCTCCCAGCTCTGTGATCCTGTGGCCATTTTAAACTATCCAACGGGCCGCCATGTCTGAAGTGGAGCTGACTTGCATCCTGCTGCTCCAAAGAGACTAGAACTGAATGGGTGGAATTTGCAGAGAAACGGCTTCCTATGCCAGGCTGTTGGACAGCAAAGCAGGCTGCCTCAGATGGCTCCGGGCTCTTTTTTTCTGGAGGTTTTTAGGCAGAGAAATGTCATACAGTGGTGCCCCGCAAGACGAATGCCTCGCAAGACGAAAAACTCGCTAGACAAAAGAGTTTTCCGTTTTTTGAGTCGTTCCGCAAGACGAATTTCCCTATGGGCTTGCTTCGCAAGACGAAACGTCTTGCGAGTTCTTGCGAGTTTGTTTCCTTTTTCTTAAAGCCACTAAGCCGTTAATAGCCGCTAAGCCGCTAATAGCCATGCTTCGCAAGACGAAAAAACCGCAAGACGAAGAGATTCGCAGAACGGATTAATTTCGTCTTGCGAGGCACCACTGTAGTTGCAAGATTCCTGCATGATCTCCAAGGCGCCTTAGAACTATAGAACTCTATGATTCAACCACTGAAGGCCCCACTGTATGAGCCAAGAAGAGAGTCAAGACAAGGAAGCAGGGATGGGCAATCTCAGGCCCAAGGGAATGAGATGTGGCCCTCCAGGCCTCTCTGTCTGGCCCTCAGAATTCTCCTCAGGCCACGCCCCTCACACACCCCAAGTGTTCTTGCCTGGCAGGAACGTGGCCTTTAAACTGACAAAGCCTCTCACTTGCCTGGATGGAGGGTAGAGAGATGGGTAGGGACATGTAGAAACTAGACTACTGCACAAAGATAATATTTACATTCAAGGCTCCTCCCACATTTACTGAGATGTTCCCTCCGGGAGGTTTCCCAAAAGGGAAAGCAGCCCCCAGGCTGGAAAACATTCCCCAGTGTTAAAGGTGGAAAGGAAGTACAGTATTTTGACTTGATCCCAGGCAGATGGTGGCAATGAGGGCAATTTTCTGATAGCCAGAGACATGAGATTGTGGCTGAGTATGAGTTCCTAATGGCAGGGAGGAGGCATGCAGGGATAAGGTGTTTGAAAGCCATGCATTGTGGGAGGAATAAGGGGCAAGTAGGAAAGGCGAGTTTGTGAATATGTGTGCAGAGAGAATGTCAGTTGTCCTAAGCGGAAATCATGACTGTTAACGCCCTCACGCCAGGAATCGAAGGGGCACCGGAAGGTCCTGGCTTCTGTGGATGTGAACCTCAAGCGCTTTGCCAGCACCACACCGACCCAAGTGGACCTGAAGCTGAATCTGAAGCCGCGGTCAGTGAAGGTGGTGGCCGCCACACTGCAGCTCACCCTCTCTTGCGTCTTCCTCCGGGAGGGGAAAGCCACGTGAGTGTTGCCTTTCGGGGAGAGGGCTGTGGCGGGAGGACCTCCTCCATTTTAAAAATGAGGCTATCCTGGAATCCTTTGTTGCCCTCTCTCTGGGGAAAGCACCATAGCACTTCCTTGGCCTCCAGAAGGTCCTTGGTTCAATGCTTGCCGTCTCCAATTGGAAGGCTCAGGTGGAAGAAGATGGGAAAAGACTCTTGCCTACTACAGACCCTGGAGAATGGCTGCTAGTCAGAGCAGGCAATATTGGGCTAGATTGTCTTGGCCCAAAGGTAGCTTCGCATCAGGGCCCATTAACTCAGGAGATGGAGCACCTCCTCTGAATGTTGATAACAATCTTTGGGTTGTAGGGGATGGAAAAGGAAGGCAGTTAGCGAGACAGGAACTTTGGAGAGTCACCACTAGACAGAATAACATTTATTTATTTACTTATTTTGCATCCTGCCCTTTACCAGCAGGTCTTGGGTGGTTCACAACATAAAACCATGATATAAAAACACAAAATCGAATAAATTATTATTTATTAGATTTATATACTGCCCCTCATCACCCCTTATCTCAGGGTGGTCCACAGGATAAAATGCAAGGTAAAAAACAAGTTAAAACAAAACTAACTAAACAACACCTCCCCCTTCCCACAATCACATTTAAAAGGTTGTAGAATATTAATCAGCCAAGGGCCTGTTTGAAGGAACATTTTCGCCTGGCGCCTAAAATACATACAATGAGACTCCAGGTGAACCTCCCTGGGGAGGGCATTCCACAAATGCAGAAAAGGCCAGTTCTTGTGTTTCCACCCTCTGAGCCTCCCATGAAGAAGGGTCTCAGATGATGAACGCAGAGTCCAGGGTCGGTTTATATGGGGAGAGGCAGTCCTTGAGGTATTGCGGTCCTGAGCCGTTTAAGGCTTTATAGGTCAAAACCAGCACTTGGAATTGGTTGAAGAAAGGACTTGGCTAGATGAATAAACAGCTTCCTATCTTCCTATAGTAAGATCTACAATAACTGGATTGGCATCCATTGTTCAGGGAGCAGGGGAGTCACTTTTGGCCAAAAATGTCCTGGTGAGGGTGGATGATGGAAAAGCAGCTGCCTTCTTGTGACATTCCTTTAACCCTTTCACCTTTGCAGGGATGAGGACATGCAAAGTCTGGCAAGCCTGATGAGCGTCAAACCCTCCGATATCGCAAACCTGGAGGACTTCGCTGACAGCGAAGAGGAGTCAGAGGAAGCCCCGAAGAAGAGCCGCCAAGAGGATAGTGCAAGCCAGGGGGCATCGTCTAAAGGTGGGGGGACCCTTCTGTGCCAGAAACCTCACTTTTCTTGGGCCCAGCCCTGCAGATCTCTTTCATCAACGAAAGAGGGATGCCAGCATTTTCCCTCCAGTCTTGGAAGTCGCCCCCTCCGTCTCCACTCCTGGTTCCTGGAACCAGAGCTAATTGTTCCTTGCTAGAGCTTGAATTGGAGCGAGCGAGTTGCTTGGGTTTTGTCAAAGTTCACTTTAGTTAACTTGCAGGTGAGCTGAGGTCTTTTGTGGAGCTTTGGCCTGGCCCATCAGCTCTTGGTTTTCCAAGACTCTTTGTAAATAATTAACTTGCTGAACCACTGAGGTCTTGCCATATGTTTTTACTTGGCTCTTATCAAGCGTAGTTTGAATTGCCAGTGCAGTTGCTTAAGAGAAATTAATGAAAACGAACCAAAGCAAAAGGGTGGCCAAACTCTAAACCCAAGGGTGGGGAACCCGTGGCCAGATGTTGCTGGACACCAGCTCGTATCAGCCCCAGCCAGCATGACTGGTGGTCGGGGATGATAAAGAGTTGTCATCCAGCAACCTTGAGGTGGGGGGCTGCTGGTTCCCACTCTCTGGTTTAGGTTTTATTGTTTTCATTATGTTTTTATTTTTCTGTGTATTAATCTTGCTTACTTACTGTCAGCTGCCTTGGAGACCTGATGTCGGGTAGAAAGGCATCATATAAACAAATAAATGTGGGAGACTAGCACTAAAACAGTAGCTTATCGCCGATGGCCCTGACCATTGTCCCTGTTGGCTGGGCCTGGTGGGAACTGAAGTCACAACTTCTGGAGGACAGCAAGTTTCCCATGGCTGGTTTAGGGTTACATCTATGAGCCTTGGGCTTATGTACTTCCCCTTCGGGAGATTGGAATATTTTCCTTCTCCTTCAAACTCATCCAAGCCTCTTTACATCTGCTCTTGGGGGAACTCTGGTTAGTCTATGGCTAGTTCAGGATCAAACTGTGGTTTATGATTCTGGCTTCTTCATTATCTATAGTTTAAACTAACCAGTGTTTCCCTGACTTCATACCTATGTAACAGGGAACTTTGCTTAGTTTAAAAGCAGAAGTGGCCATGCCAGAGGAGGAGAGAGGGAAGGTTGCAACCGTTGTTCAGTGGAGCCTTGTAAAAAAAGCTCATAAAAGTTACTAGGCTGCCATTTTTTACTAGCCTGCTAAGAAGCTACCTGCTTGCATTTCCATGCTCTCCCTGGAGGAGGAGAAACATGTAAATACAGTGAAAACCAAGCTGACTAGCAGAGGAGGGATGGAGTGAACTATCCATCTTCTCCTATCCCACTGCGTTTCCATGCTGGTTGTGCTGGGTATACTCTGTACTTCCTCTTCCCTCAGAAGGTCAGGATCCAGAGGATGATGAGAAAGATGCTTCTCTGCCTGAGACCCCAAGAACCGCTGCCAGTCAGAGCAGGTCATACTGGGCTAGATGGAGAAAAAAAATCTCACTGGGTATAATGCAGGTTCTGTCCCCACTTCCTCCTATTGGACAGCACAATCACAGAATTTCCCACCCCATCAAACATCCATTGGCTTTCTGGACTCTCTTTGCTTTTCCTTCTCAAGAGATACCATGTCTTTCTTGCCTGGCTGGGAGCATCGTTGTGCTTTTCAAATGTCCCTTTTCCAAATTTAATTACTCATGCATGCCCTGCCCTCTTCCTAGAATCTGCTGTATCATTGCTCACCTTCCCCCACAGTGCTTCTCCACCAGTGATTTCGCATTTGCTTCTGCCTTTAAGTCACTCTCTCTCTCTCTTTATTCTCTGTCTGTCTGTCTGTCTGTTTCATCCATTCAGGATTTCTCCAAAACGTGTTGACGGACTATTTTGCAGGTAGGCGTAGGCAGACGCCCAAGGTTTGCTTAGCACCATTGAACCATCGTTTTCATAATCTGGCTGGAACCCAACCTCTGTGACTTTCTCCCAATGCATACTGGGGAACTTGTGACTCATGCTCACAATTGTGGCTGCTTATTCGGAGGGTGTTGCCTGTTGTGGGTTGATTAGCATGCAGCAGTGAATGATTGTGATTGTGTAATGCAGGCTTCCCCAACCTGGTGCCCTTTTAGAGCAAGGCCAGCGGATGTATTTTAGCATAAGAGGTGGTGTTCTATTTTGTGTGCATGAGAGAGAGATTGCAATCTAAATCAGGGGTTGCCCACATGGTTCCTGTGGGTGCAGTGGCGCCCTTGAGGTCATTCCTGCTGCCCACAAAGTCTCTTGAGCCAATTAGCAAGGCCTTTTGAAAAGTACATACAGCTAAAGGAGGAAGTTGGAAGAGTGGCACTCTTTCCCACTTCCTCTTTCAGCTCTATGGGCTCTTCAAGGCTCAGCTTAACTCCACAGAATCCGGCTTTTACCCAGATCTCTTGAAAAAGCAAAATGTGAGCATGTGCTCTCTCTGCTGCTCTGCCAAAGAGGAGGGTGGGGTGGGGCTTGATGTGGGGAATTGGGAGAGAAGTGAATGGAGGTGACCACAGCAGTCGCTCCAAAGGCCAAATATGATCATAATTGGTGATCCCTCGTCCAAATGATGGCAGTAGTAGGAGAGGAAGGGGACAAAATGAAGAGGTGGGCTGGATTGCAAGGGCCAGTCCTTTGCAAGCCTGTGTTGTGGTTTCATTTCAGTTGGGAAGGGGCTCTAAAGGATTGAAGCTTCACAAGGCAAGAGGGAGAAAGAGAGAGCGGGCAGCCTTCTGCGAGGGAGTTCCGGGCACGAATAGCAGTGTGTTCTTGTGTTGTTGTCATTGTTGTTTCCAGAGGGATTCTTTAGCTCCGCATTTCCTGCATCTAGCAGGGGGACTAAAATGACTGCAAAGGGACCAGGTAGTTTGGGGGCTGCTCTGGGAGTGTTTGGCATTCGGTACAGGCAGTAGATTAAGATTAGAACATGTGAAGAGCTCTAAAGCTGGATTAGGCCAAAGGCTGGGGGGGGGGTTGCATCTGGTCCAGCCCTCTGTTCTCCCAGTGGCCAACCAGATGCCTCAAAGGGAAGCCCAAAAGCAGAAGCTGAGCACAACAGCAGCTTGTGACCCCCAGTAACTGGCATTCAGAGGTAGAAAACTGCCATTGTGGCCAGTAGCCATGGATAGCCTTATCCTCCACGAATTGTATCTAATCCCCTTTATCTTTCCTCCTCCTCCTAATGCAGACACTTCACGGGATCTGAACACTCTGGCCGAGGAAGAGGAGGACCCGTCTGCTCAGAGCACATTGGCAACAGCTGCCCCTTCCAGGAAGGAAGGTAAGCGGGAGGAAGGAGTCTGCCTACCAAAGGTTGCTGCATCCCTTGTTCTGCAGGGGTGTGGGCTGGGCAGAGGGGAGAAGTCGGCCACATCCACACCATACGTTGAAAGTGCTGTTGCACCACTTTTAGCAGCCAGCAGCCAAGGCTTCCTCCAAAGAATCCTGGAAACGGTAGTTTGCCGAGTGTTGTTAGGGGACTCCTCATAGAGCCACATGTTCAGGCACCCTTGACGGACCGCAACTCCCAGAATTCTTTGCAGGGGGAGCCATGACTGTTAAAGTGATAGAAGTGATTGGTGTCAATATGATGCTTTGACTGATGACTGAAGGGGTGTGTTACTGGCAAGGGTAAGAAGCAGATGTAAGGGAAGAAGGAGGTTTCATTTGTGGTAAAAAGGGTAAAGGGACCCCTGACCGTTAGGTCCAGTCACAGACAACTCTGGGGTTGCGGCCTCATCTCGTTTACTGGCCGAGGGAGCTGGCGTACAGCTTCTGGGTCATGTGGCCAGCATGACTAAGCCACTTCTGGCGAACCAGAGCAGCACACACAAACACCGTTTACCTTCCTGCCAGAGTGGTACCTATTTATCTACTTGCACTGTGTGCTTTCGAACTGCTAGGTTGGCAGGAGCAAGGACCGAGCCACGGGAGCTCACCCCGTCGTGGGTAGAGAGGATTAAAAAGGATAAATATTTGAAGCGGTCTTTTGCCAGGTCTAGACCCGTGATTGAGCACCTCCTGCTTGCAGGCCTTACTGGGTCCAGCATAGGTCCCCATTTAGCTTGCAGTGTTATCTTGCAAAAACTACACCTGCTTCTCCCACACCTGAGAAGTTGTCACATAGATTGCGGTTGTCAACAAGCAGTTGGCATCCTGAAAGTGTGCTCCCAGTTGTTTCTTAGCAAGGGAGGTTTGCTATCACTACCACCAGTCAGATGATAGGCATGAACTTCAAGCCTGCTGAGGTCAGCTGCATTGTAGAGTGACCTCCTGGGCACTCTGTAGCACAGTCAATCAGTCAGCTCTGATCAGCTGTGACTGCAAGCCCTGCTAGGATCTTCCTTTGAACTTAAGCTGGACTGCGAAGGGAAAATGGGCTACCTGATGTTGTGATGGTATCAAGTGATTGGCGAAGTGGACTGTTAGGGAAGCCAGGATCCAGCTGGGAAAAGGCACTCCTAGCTTAGACCATCTAGCTCCACATTGTCTCACGGTGTGGCTCTCTTAAGGGTCCAGGGAGGAAGCCCCAATGGGATGCAGAAGGTCCTAGTTTGAATTCCCAGCATCTCCAGTTAAAAAAGAACGTAGGAACGTAGAAAGCTACCTTATATGGAATTAGACCATTTGTCCATCTAGCGCTGTGTTGTCCACGCTGGCAGGCAGCAGCTCTCCAGGCTTTCAGGCAAAAATATACCAAGAACAAGAACTCCAACTTAATAACAAGAACTCCAACTTAATAACAAGAACTCCAACTTATTTAATGTTTTTTCAGGCAAAAATAACACAGAAGAAAGCATTATATCAGGGAAGGTTGCTTTGCGAAAAATGTGCAGCGTGTTAGGCAAAACTGCACACGAGACTGTGTCTATTAGGAGAAACTTTGCACAAAATGCCAATGAGTTTTCATTGTTTTTTGTTTTTTTAATGCAAACTGATGTGGAAACAGAACTTCAGATGGGGTAAATGAGAAACTGAAAGAAATGGATATATAGAGTTAGCAAAAACTAACAGCAGCCATAAGATCCCAAACAAATCAAAATTTAAAATTAGAATGGAATTGCTTTGAAGAATACATGGAAAAATACTGTTCTAAAAAGAATATGTTAATATGCATAGATTAAATATGTAAAGTAGATGTAAGAATATGAATAAGTAGGTAAAGCAAAGATGAAAATGAAATCAGGAATGGTTGTAAGAGATGAAGATTCTTAGAAATGCAGTGAAATAATCAAATAAAAATTTAAGGAAGTCGAGCCATGGTGGAGGGAGGTCATGGGGGTGGGTAGGGTGCCTTTTTTGAGTTTGTAGGGACTATATGTATAATATGTATATTTGTGTTGTTTGTTGTTATGTGTATTTGTGTTATTTATTTGAACTTGTTGAATAAAAAGAATAAAAAAAATTTTTTTGTAAAGAAACTGAAAGAAATGGATTTTGACTGATTTGCCCATCCCTCCCAACACCTGAGCTCTTCTCTCTTGCCCCGTAGCTGTTGCTGAGGTTCCCAAGAAACCATTTGGTGCTGTTCCCAGTGGCACCATTGCCCCCTTGGACAGCCTTCCACCTGCGGCAGAGCCAGCCCCTCCCATCTCTGGGGCGGCACCCTTTGCAGTAAGTGGTGCAGAGTGTGCTGGGAGTGTGGGGCACGGAGGGGCAAGTGGTGTGTTGCCAGGAGGAGCGACTGGCCCCTCAGGAGGCCCGGACACCCGGAACCAAGCTGCGGGGACTTTCTCAGAGTTGGTACAGGCAGGGGCTGAAGAAGAGAAGGAAGAGAAAAGACCAGAACTGCTCTGGGGACAGCTGGCGCCATTGGACGGCACAGAAGTTAGGTGAGTGCTGCTTTATCGGGAGACGGGGGAAGTTGGACATCTGGGTCCTGTCGCAGAATTTGAAAGAAGGAGCATCTGTTTGGGTTTGAGCAAAGGGACAAGATGCGACATTGCGTGCATTTCTCGTGGCTGCTTGTTTTTCTCTCTGTCTTAATAATCGTCACTGATAAAGCTTCCTTTGGGGTGCAAATTTGGTGGGGTTGAGGTTTTTTAAAAAAAGAAAAATGGGACTGTGGAACAGAGGATAGGCTTAAATCCCCCTTCCGTGTGTTCAAAACGGTCCCAATCCTCTCCTTTCTGCTACAACTTCTATTGTTAAAAGGGGTGGGGGATGAATTTTATTTGAGATCCACATCTGTTTTGGCCCTGGGCTCTGTTCTTTGCTCTTGCTTTCATGCTGTCTCTCCCTCCACATCTACACCATTACATTCAAAGTACGGTGCTACCTCGGGTTAAGTACTTAATTCGTTCCGGAGGTCCGTTCTTAACCTGAAACTGTTCTTAACCTGAAGCACCACTTTAGCCTATGGGGCCTCCTGCTGCCGCCGTGCCGCCGGAGCACAATTTCTGTTCTCATCCTGAAGCAAAGTTCGTAACCTGAGGTACTATTTCTGGGTTAGCGGAGTCTGTAACCTGAAGCGTATGTAACCCGAGGTACCACTGTACTCTTATATCACTTTAACCATCATGGCTTCCCCCAATGGATCCTGGGAAGTGTAGTTTGTTAAGGGTGCTGCTGAGAGCTGTTAGGAGCCTTCCTCCTCCCCTCACAGAGCTAGAGTTTTCAAGAATCGCTCTTCTCTGAGGCTTCTAGCCCTGTGAGGGGCCCCCTGACAACTCTCAACACCCCAAACAAACTACAGTTCCCTGGATTATTATTATTTTGGGGGGAAGCCATGGTTGCTTAAAGCATTATCATAGCATTTTAAATGAATCATGCAGATGGGCCCCCCTTCCTTCCTTCCTTCCTTTCTTCCTTCCTTTCTTCCTTCCTTTCATGCTCTCGTTGGACACAGGAAGTGCAGAGTCCCTCGTGCTTTGTTGTCTGCCTGATCCACCGAGGAAGGCGCCTCTATTTATTTTGGGCGGGCCTGAAATGCATGTGGTAGCAAAGGAGCAAAGTGAGACGGACAGCTGCGAGTTTTGCTTCTCCTTTCTTTGGGTGTGAAGGTGCTTGCCAGATATAGCTGCTTGTCCCTGCTACCCCACCCCCAAGGCTAGGAAGAAGTAAGACTGTTCCACTCACAGGAAGAAAAGAGAAGTTTGCTCGCAGGAGGAACGGGAAGTGAGAGGCCTCTCAGGGCAGGGAGGGGTTGGGGGAATTCGGCTGCTTAGAAGGACGAGGGTGGGGCTGGGAAGGAAGCAGGACACTGCACTGCCCCATTGCAAAAAACATATTCCCTCCTCCCCAGCACTGTTCTTTAAAATGAGTCTTGACTACATGGTTTTGCTTAGGTGTGTGGGGGAGGGGGCAATTTCAAAGCCTCCATATACCAGTTGTTGGGAGTCTCAAGCTCAGGTCTTGCTTTCAGGCTTCCCATAGTGGTCATCTGGTTAGATTAGATCAAGGTTTCCCAAAGGGTTTCCAACAGTTGTGTTTTGGGGTTTTTTTGGACTACAATTCCCATCATCCCTGACCACTGGTCCTGCTAGCTGGGGATGATGGGAGTTGTAGTCCAAAACCAGCTGGAGACCCAAGTTTGGGAAATCCTGGATTAGACAAATTTATGGAGAGTGAGGCTGTCTGTGGCCTCCAGGATCAGAGGCAGGATGCCTCTAACACACCACTTGCTGGGAATCACAAGCAGGGAAAGTTGGTGTTGCGCTCTAGTCCTGCTTGCTGGTTTCCACTGGTCTCCTGCTTTGCCTCTGTAGGGAACTTTAAAACAACAGCAACAAAACCAAACCCCTTTTGTTACGAAGGGCTCTGGGTTGTTGTGCAAGAGGGCAGTCAGTTGCTCTGATTCACTTTGTGGTAGCAGATTTTGCACGAGTTTCTCCTTTTCTTCTCGTAAGAAGAGCCTGGCTACTTGGTCAGACTAAAGGGCTACCTAGTGTCCAGCATCTGGTCAGATGTCCCAGTGCAGGGACCCCTCTCCAATGCTGCTCCTCAAAGAGCAATGCCACTTCTGATGCTGGAGGAGATATATCGTCACCGTGACTAGTAGCCATCGATAGCTTTACCCTCCTCAAACTTGTCTAATCCCACTTTAAATATGCCTGTATGGGTGACCGTCACTGCATCTTGTTGCAGTGAGTTCCATAAGTTTAAACTATTCCATAAGTTAGCTATTTTATTTGCAGCATTTCTTTGCTGCTTCATAACGTAATGTCCTCTGGGCGCTTTGAAATAAATATGTAGAAAGTGTTTAATAACCTAAATGGATGGGCAGCATAATCCCTTGCATGGATCAGTGCTCAAATTATGGTTGGAGGAGGAGCTATAGGGTCCCATAATGATGCCCACAAGTTCCAACTCAGTCATATCGTACCCCTCCCTTGTTAACTTTTAAGAACAGTCACTAATCTAGGAGGAGGTGGGGAGCAAGTTCCCTTTATCTCCCTCCATAATTCAAATACTGGCAGGAGTGATCTAGAGCTAGCTTTGGGCAGGGGTCATTTGTACAAGAACCTGAAGTTCTTACTATTCTTACTCTTATTCTTATTAGAATGTGTGTACCACCCTTCATCCGTAGATCTCAGGGCGGTTCACAACATAAACTTGCAATATAAAAAAACACAAAACACATATTAAAAATAAGAACAAAAACTCCCACAACACATTTTAAAGGACATCCGATATAGTCGTTTGAGTGTGGCTTACAGTGCTTAGATGGGTCCGTTCTACACCATAGGAATGCTCTGAATTAAGAATGGGGAATTTTTGGCCCTCTAGACATTGTGGGTCTCCCAACTCCCATCTTTCCTTACCTTTGACTTTGTGGACTGGAGCTGATGGGAGCTGGAGTCCAGCAACATCTGGAGGGTCTTTGGGATGAATAATTCCATCCACAAAGAACTGGGGTAGCCAATGGTCAGGGGCTGATGGGAGCTGTAGTGCAAAAACAGGAGGACTGCAGGTTTCCTATCCATGTCATTGAGGTCATTTTTCTGACTTGCTTTCTCTGCCCTTGTTTCTCCTGTTTCCCCACCATGCCTGTCCTTTCCATTTCTCTCTGGACTTTTGCACTGTCCTGTACCATTTCCCAATGCTTGCTTCTGCTAACCTGCAAAAAACAAACAGGGCTGCTGTTGCCCAGGGTCAGTCTAGAAGGCAGCAGTGTTGGGGAAGTGATGGTTGTTGTTTTTTGCATGCCTGCATGCACATGCAGGCAGTGAAGTGGGTCTCAGAGCAGAGATGGAGAGTTAGGATCCCAAGGGAGAATGCTGGTAGGAAAACAGAAAAGGTTGAGGCTGGGAGACAGTGGTGGCTCCATCCCAACTCTCGCCCAGGAAGGGGTTTGAACTTTTTGTTGGCTGAAGAAAGATGTGTTGTCCTTTTGGGGCCAATTTCTCAGGACTTGCCTTTCTTGCTTGCTTCCAGGCCTGGCGATATCTGGAAACCCAGAGAGCAGAACCCTCTTCCTGTGCCACAGAGGAGGAAGAAGAGCCCCCTCAGGGGACCTCCAGGCCCCACAGATTTCCCTCTCTCGCCTCCGTTGGCACCTGAGGCCCCCCCCGTGCGGAAACGCAGGCTGGAGAAGATGCCGCTGTCCCCAGAGTCTCCAATCCCCTCGGCAGAGGTGGACACACCTTTGGTGGAGGACAGCTCCAACCCCCTCAGCGTGCCCTGTGCCCCAGATAGCCCACCTAGGGAAAGACTAGGCCGCAGGAGCCTGACAGAAAGACCCTCCTCTCCCACCCATGGTTCTGTGGTGATGTATTTTGCAGAAGACTCAGCCCTCGCTGAACACAGGCCCCTCCTAGTCACCGACAACGCAGAGTCCATGGGGTCGTCTTCGGATGCGGCCTTCATGGCCTTGTCTCCCCTCATGGGGCCTTCCCCCATGGCTGCTTTTTTTGGAGAACCTGCTACTAGCGCAGCAGGAGATCCATCCCTGTTAGCAGTTGCTCCTGTCTTGCCTGGTGGGGGTAGCACTGTGGTGAAGATGGAGCGATGGGGAGGGGGGACATGGACTCCTGGAGATGGCAGCCTGCCTGAGGTACCTCCGTTTGGCCCAGCAAGGAGTGGGGTGGAGGAGGAGGAGGGGGTTGCTTTTAAAGGAGAGCTTTCTGATGGCGAGCTGGGCTGTGCAGTGGAAAAGATGCCCCCTTTGGAACTGGAGAGGGAGCAGATTGAGGCTGAAACCAGCCAGGAGGCATGTGAATCTGTTTCTGTTGAGGAGGCTCCTAAACAGGAGGAAAGTTGGATAGGGGACAAAACAGAGATGGGCTGTTGCCAAGTGTCTGAGGGGCTTGAAGGCCCCAGCCCACCAATAAGCCTTTCCCCAGAAGCGCCCCTGCAGCAGGTGGAATTTGTGCCAGAGGAAGATTTGGCTGGGGTGGGTGGCAGCGGCCTTCAAACCTTGCCAGACTCGCCACTGTCTCCTGCAAGGGAGGGCAGGGAAGAGGTGAGCATGGCAGAGATGCCCATCTCAGTCCTCACTTCCCCTCCCAGTCCTGAGAGGAGTACGGATGTGGGTGACAAAATGGCAGCTGCTGAGAGCAGTCTCCAAAGCCTGCCAGAAGGCTCAGCGTTTTCAGGACTGGAGGAAGGAGAGGCAGGTGATGGGAGGAATCCTGAGGGGAGAAGAGCTTCTGGAGGGACCTTTCAGGAGGAGGCGGCTGAAGAGGAAGCTGCTCAAGTGGAAGCTGCTCAAGTGGAAGGTATGGCTTCTGAGGATGGAGAAGAGCAGTGCAAAGAAGAACACAGCAGAGAGGAAGGGCCGGAAGGTGTTCTGGAGACGGCGGCAGCAGCGGAGTCGCACAAGCCAGATGGGGACAGGAGGAGTGAGGCGTTGGGCCTGGAATTTCCAGAGAGCAGTGCCCCCAGCTTAAAAGGGGCAGGGATGGGCCAAGAATGGCTGAAGAGCTGCAGTCCGTCAGACAGCGGAGAGGTCAAGGCAGAAAAAGCATCCAGCACAGAGGCAGATAATTTGCCGATGAAGAACGAAGAGCAAGCGGTAGTCTCGACTGAAGCTCCTCACCCCCCAAGTCCTCCATCACCTCAGGCCCCTGCCTTACCTCTCCCAGCTCCCCGCTCCCTCAAGGAGAGGAGTGCCCGGTCCAGCCAGGAAACTCTGGCACCAGTCCCCCCACCCCGTGGCACAGCAACAGACCTTGGAGCTCAAGGCGAATCCCAGGTACAGAAGGCCGCGCCATGCCATCCTTACTGTCGACAACCCATGGCCAATTCTCTCCCCTGCTTTCTCAATGTGCAGCTAACTCAGGTTTTGTTGTGGGACACTCCCTGCTTTGTATATAAAGAAGTGGTGATAGGAGGGCCGAGGTCAGAGCATGGTGGTTGGAGCCTTGTTGTAAGATAACTTGAAACTATGGGATCCCAGAACCTCATTCCTTTTAAATGTGTTCGATTCTGGAGCAGTGAGTGTTGAACCTTACCAGTTAAACTGGGTGTGGGATTTGGAGCAGGAAAGGTCCTGCTGAGACAGAAGAGGCAGAGCTCATGATGGCTCCTAATTTCCTCCTGTGGGGAGGGGTGGCAGGAATACAGTGTAGAGCAGAAGACCTACAGAGACCCAGCTGGGGCTCCCAGCGATCATAGCATGCTGCAGAGGGACAGGTGAAGCAGCATGCCCCATGGCCACTGCCCATGGGCAGGTTCAGGGATATTTGCTGGTTTGTTGCTTGCATCCCGGCCTATATAGAAAGCTGCCTTATACCAAATCAGACCCTTGGCCCATCAAGTTCAGTGTTGTCTCTGCAATGACTGGCAGTAGCTCTCCCAAGATTTCAGGCAAGCAGGGATTTCTCCCAGCCCTATCTAGATATGCTGGGGATTGAAACAGGGACCTTCTGCATGCAAAGCAGAAAGCTACAGCCGTCCTGCATGTATATACGTGTTTGTGTGTGCTTCTGTCTTTGTGTCTCTGTGTTGGTTCCAACAAGCTCAGTAGAGCAGATTGGCCAACAGTACCATATCCCACGCATGGCAGTACACAATAGTAAAATATTGTCAATGCCATGTTGTAAATGGATAGGTGTGCAGGAAAAAGTAACAATAGTAGGCAGAAAAACAATAGAATTTATTTTTTTAAATGCTCGATGCATCCCAAACGCCAGGGCAAATGGAAAGATCCTTTACCTGGTGCTTCAATGTGGGGAGCACCTGAGTGTTATTTGAAAGGGAGTTCCATGACTCGTGTATGTGTGTGTGTGTGTGTGTGTGTGTGTGTGTGAGAGAGAGAGAGAGAGAGAGAGAGAATGAATGAATGAATGGCTGAATGGCTGTGTTGCTGTCCACCCAGCAGAAGCTAATGCTGGGACAATGAGCCCAGCATCTTGAGCAGACCTTAATAGTTGCATATCCATCTTAACCCTTGTGCATACTGAAATGCTGATAGACCCAATTAGCAGTGGCTGGATGGCATGCAAGCGCCATCTTCACTGCTACTTTCCCCAAGCATTGTTGCTCCCACCAGCCTCGGCCAATGTGGCTGATAGCCAAGAACGATGGGAGTTGTGGCCCAGCAACACCCCACTCAGGACCTAGAAAGTTTTGCCACAATTGTGGGTGCAGGGAGGGAGCTATCCGTGTCCCTTCACCCAGACCCATGACCAGCTTCTCCCCTCCCCTACCCCACCCTTTTTAGGTTGACTCCCCCACCAGCCCATCGCTTGTGAGTTCCAGCCAGTCCTTGCTGGAGTGGTGTCAGGAAGTGACGGCAGGCTCCCGGGGCGTCCGCATCACCAACTTCACCACGTCTTGGCGCAATGGGCTGGCGTTCTGTGCCATCCTCCATCACTTCCACCCAGAGAAGATGTGAGTTGTTGTCTTGCGTGCAGAGCTCCTGTTCTGATGGGAGCCCATGGTGGCGGCTGCATGGCTGTTTCACTGTGGCAGAGAACTGACACATAAGGGAGCTGTCCTGATGGCAGTCCCAAAGGACTAGTGTCCTGCCTGTGGCTCTTGCAGTTAACCTAGTTAAAGAATGTTGTCTGGATTCATTATCTCTTCTAGAAGATCAGTGTGGTGGAAGCGGCTTGCCTTCTATCAAGTCACATCATTGGTCCAGCTAGTTCTGTAATGCGTAGACTTCCTGTAGCAGGAATCTCTCCCAACCCTACTTAGAGACGCCAGGGATGGAACCTGGGACCTCCTCCATTGAAAACCCTTGAACTATGGGCCTTCCCCGTTGAATTTATGTGCATTTGCATGTTCCAGAAACCTCAACAAATCTGCCTTTGCGGGGATGCTGCAGGAAATGTGAAGAACTTGGGAATCTGCCTTAGGATCATAGAACTGTAGAAGGGTCGTCTAGTCTTGCAAAGCTAGGCTTGCAGGGCACCATGAATGAACCCCTCAAAGCCGGCCGGCCAATGGGTAGGGGTTGCTCCAGCTGTGCAAAAGGCTTTGTCGGAGAGCGGAGAGCCCCCTGTGAATGGGGTGGGGAGGAGGGTGTCTACTGGCCTGAGCAATGAAACATCCAGAAGCATAGGGATAGAAAAGAGATCAAGGCACCCAGGGATAGACTGTTTTAAGCAGAGGTAACGAGAAAAGGTTGGGGGTCATTGTGGCAGTAGGGCCAAGTACGGACAGTGGTGGTGGTGATGATAGAAAGTTTTGGGGTCCCAGGTGATCCAGGTCAAAGCCTGCTCACAGACTTTATGCTTCTCCCCCCTTCCCACCTTCAGCAATTACGAAGCCCTGGACCCGCTTGATATCAAAGAGAACAATAAACTGGTGAGTCTGTAGCTCCAGCTTTCATTGAGCCAGAAGAAATTGGGCCAGGCTGTTACATGGACATGCTTTAGAGGGACACCTTTAACATAGGGAGGTCCCAAGGCCTTGTTGGGGAGAGGTTCGCATCCTTAGCTGAGCTATTGAGTTTCTGGGTGGCCTTAAGTCAAAGTTACTCAGCCTAGACAACCTCACAGGGTTGTTCTAGGGATAAATAATTCAGAAAACTTTGGGGTGGCCCAGAGTGAAAAGGACAAGACAGGTGCAGGAGGCCTCTGTTTCTCTCAGCCCTCCCACCTGTAAAACAGGTAATAGTGTCAAGTTGGTGTAGTGGTTAGAGTGTTGGCTTACTAGTCACCTTGGGCCAGTCAATTACTCTCAGCCTACCTCACAGAATTGTTGTGAGGATGAAATGGGGAGAACTATATATGCCACCTTGAGCTCATTGGAGGAAAGGTGGGATATATATATATATATATGCAGAAAAGTTTTTTTAGCCCTTGAAAAATGCAGTAGGGGAGGAGAAGGAGAGCATGATGTTAACAAATAAAACCCTGCTGTGGAAAAAGCCCTTTGGTTGGGAAAAGGCTTTAACAGGCTCTTTGAGTTCCTCTCTCTTTCTCTCCTTCCGTAATCAGGCCTTTGATGGCTTTGCCTCACTGGGGATCTCCCGGGTGATGGACCCTGCCGACATGGTTTTCCTGGCTGTGCCCGACCGGCTAATCGTCATGACATATCTGTGCCAAATCCGGGCTTTTTTCACCGGGCAAGAGCTGAACGTGGTGCAGTTTGCCGCCAACAGCAACCAGACCACCTACAAGGTGGGCAAATTCGACACGGACTCGTCTGGCTCCATTGATCCCGCCGACTTCTACTCCCAGCACCTCCACGTTGCCGCCTCCCAGACAGAGCAGCCCGGTGGGTCGGGCGCAGAGGACTCTGGGGTGGCAAAGGCATCCAGCACCATGCCAGAGGAAGGCCAGAAGCCAAAGTTGGAGGATGCTGCCCCCGAGCATTCTCAGAGCGAGGAGAAGACAGATGCTGCAAAGGATTCTGGGAAGGCAGTTGTGACAGAGGACAAGGTGGCGGAAGCCAACAGTGCTGAGCCGCTACAGCCTGTGGAACTAGATCGGGCCCATGAGGCAGTGAACATGGCGGAAGCTGACAAGAAGGGAATTGTCAATGGCGCAGTCTTCAAGCCAGCCGACGAAGCCACACCGGAGCCCCTCAGAACGGTGGACTGTAAAGCTGAGGGTGTGAATTCTGATGAGAAGGCTGTGGCTGAGAGTACTGCAGACACACAGTCTCTTCCCACTAAGGCGGAGGCCTCCCAATCTGATGGGAACACACTTGTTAATGGCACTGCAGCCGATTCAGCCACGGAATGTGGGGTCAGTTTTCAGGCCCAAGTGGATTCTAGGACTGAGGCCCCGAAGCCTGGTGCACAAACAGTGGCTAATGGCACTGAGGCCAGTCAAAACCCTGAATGGCAGCAGGAAGAGGTCTCTGCCCTGAGCGACACTGAGACTGCTGCCTCAAAGCCCGATGGGAAGCTGCTGGCCAATGGGGCTACTCTCGCTCAGGGTGCGGAAGCAGAGGCTTCTGGGACAGAAGCCGCAAGGCCTGAGGGGAAGCCGCCCACCAGCAACGGGGAGAAGCTGGTTCCCCCTCCGCGGCTGAAGCGGATTGCGTCGCGGGGCAGCATCGAACGCCCCTTGCAGCGTGCACTGTCCACAGGGAGCCAAGGCCCGGTAGCCCCCCCACGCTCCCACGCTGCCAAGTCCACCTTCGCCCATGTGCGGGATGCAGACCTGGTGAAGAAGCGGCGCTCACGGCTCAAAAGCGAGTCCCTGTCAATGGACGAAGGGGAGCCGGGGAGCCCGGTTGAGGACCCTGCCAGGCGGCTGGCCATGGTGAGTGGAGCTCCCAAGGAGACACTGGACAAGCTTGCTTGGGTGTGTTGCCGGGTTAATGTTGCATGGCCACTTTTTTATCGTTGCGCTTCTGGTTTTGCTAACCCCTTGCCCTGCTGAACTAAGAGCTTTTATAGCATGGGATGCTTGATCTAGGAGGATCTAACCTAGGCCTGGCTTTGGCCCTGCAACTGCTTCAGATCCAAGCTTTTGGCTTTGAAAAACATGCTGCTGTGGAGAGAGTGCTGCTGGGCACGTGCAGAGTTGCATTTCTATCAGCACAGCCACAGATACCTATTTGGCTTCCAGGCAGCATTGAACTCTGGCACTGGTCTCCTGCTTTTGAAATTTGGCGGTTGGGTTTGATGGACAGGTTTCGAGAACTGGGCCATTTCGGCTTTCTTTTGTAACAGCTGCCCTCCTCTTGGAACACTGCTTGAGTTTCGTGAATCAAACTCGGTGCATTGGTGGTGTGGTGCTGTCCCGTGTCTTGGAAGTTTAGCTGCGCAGCCTTTGATTCCTTCTAACCCTGGTATTAGGGACCTTGTGGCCCTCCAAATGTTCTTAGACAGCAACTTGTGTCATCATTGGCCATTGGCTGTGCTGACTGGGGCCGATGGGAGTTGCAGTTAGGCAACATCTGGAAAAGCTGCAGGCCTCCATGTCTCTGCCCTAACCTGATTTTCTGCTCTGTTTCTCATTGGCGAATGGGTTGTTTTGTGTGGTTTTTGCTCTGTCCACAGATGAACCAATAACACTGTTTGCATTGAAAGCTTAAAATTTTGTGTGCCTCTCACTACTAATCATTTTATTAATTAATAAAATAAAAACTTATTTCTCCGTACTTGGGGTATGCGTGCTTGTGCACGATATCCAGCCATTTTAGATGGCAAAGTGAATTGGGGTACTGTAGCTGTGTGAGGGGAATTGGAGTTCTCCTAATGACTCTCAGCACCCTTAACAAACTACAGCTCCCAGAATTCTTTGTGTGGAAGCCATGACTGTTTAAAGTGGCAGTGCAGTGCTTTAAATTTATGGTGCGAGTGTGGCCAGAATCTGTTTTAGGTATGTCTTGTGCAGGGAGGGCTGGCACTGGGGTTGGTATCATGATGCAGCTGCCAAGGCCTACACCCCTGCAGAGGGAAGACTGTCGATTCTCAGAGCCTTTTGGCCCAAAAGGAAATGGGGTGGGGGGAGCCATACAGAGGCCATCTTGATGGAAACCTGGAGCTAGCACTGATCTTCTGCTTCCCAAGTACGTGCCTTTTATGTACACTGCTTCTATGCTTGGTTTGCTAATTTTAGTGCAGGCAGCTAGGCTGGATGCACCTGCTGTAAAATAGTCTGCTAGTAATGGGCTGTAGGTCATGTTTTCATCTCCAGTTCAAAAGATCAGGAAGGAGGTAATGGGAAATATACTCACCTCTGGCAGACACCCAGGAGAGCAGCTTCCCGTCAGAGCAGACAATATCAGGCCAGACGGATAAAGTCTGACCTCTCTCCTTTAATGCCTTCATCACCTCTCTGCATTTGCAGCTGATCAGAGCAGCTGGCAACACCCCTTACTGGCTGGTTTCTGCTCAAGGCTTGCTCGCTTGCCAGCCATCTCTATGTTTCCATGTTCTTTTACGAATGTGCCATCGCATGGTGAAAGGGTAAAGACCATAGATCTGTCTAGGTGAAAATGCTGACTGAAAACTTGCAATTTCTCACTTCCAGACGTTGCATTAAAACAACTCCCATCAGCCCCAGCAAAAATGACCGACGGCCAAGGATTATGGAAGTTGTAGTTCAGCAACGTTTAGAGGGCCAAAGGTTCCCCACCCCCTTAGGGCCCATGCCTGGTTTAAATGTATAAATTAAACACTTGCTCTAGTGCTCTGTAGCAGCTTGGGAGCCTCCAGATATCTTGGACTCAACACCTGCAAGGAGGGCTGGGGCAGATGGGAGTTGTAGTCCAAATCTTCTCGTGCACACCAGGTTTGGGAGGTTGGAGTGCCAACTCATGAGACTCCAGGTCTCATCAGCCTAGCCAATATGGCACATGGCCGCAGGTGATGGGAGCTAGGCTCCCACAACATTGGGGGGGGGGGAGGATGCAGCCTCTCCACGTCTGTCTCCTGACTCTGTTCAATATTTTTCAAAGATGAAAGTTACATGACTGTTTGCTTTGCTGAGACCCAATTTCCCCTCTCTCTTTCTCTCTCCCTCCCTCTCCCAGGAGGATGTTAGCGATGGGGGCTCAAGACCCCGACCAAAAGTTCAGCGGCACCCAGGTGAGTTTGGATCCTTGCAGAGTTGGTAGGCTGGAACTAAAGAGGTGGGCAGCTTGCTTTTTCCTCCATCTCCCAACTGTCTCTGAAGGGTCCCCTGCATAAGCAGGTGCTCTGGTCTGAATACCCCTTCTATCCACCCCAGCCCCACAAAAAAACTTGTAATTAGCTCAGACTGGTTATCTCTGGCTCTCTTCTTCACAGCCCCTCCAACTGCTACCTCCCAGGAACTGCCCCAGGACACCAGCCTGAAGATCAGCACCAATGAAGAAGAGATTCTGGTAAGATATGGGAATAATTGGGCCTCATGAGCTTAGAATCGCATTTGGAGCAAGATCTGATTTAAAACGAAACCGCCTCATTTGAAAGCAGCCTTTCTCTGATTAGCAGCTGTTTCAGCTGGTAAAAAAGGCACACCAGAAAAAGGAAGCTAGTCCCCCTAACACCACAGCTTTTATAAAATACACATCCCCCCCCCAAAAAAAGTGGAGACTTTAAATCCTAAAATCTGATCCACCTCTGCCCTCTTGGGTGTCCCTTTTTGCCTGGCTGGGGGCTCTTTAACAACGGCATGAAAAGCATGAATAACTGGAGCCTATTAGCAGCTATTATTAACCATTTAGTTAAACATAACTAAATAGAGCCTCCATGTCCTAAGGCAACCTACCTCTGATTTCCCAGATTATGGGGACAAACCGTAGTCAAAATTCAGCTCCTTGTGTCCATGAGCTTCTCAGAAACATTGGGCTGACTACTGCTGAATATAAGTGTCCTGATCTAGATAAAACTTTGGTTTAACTCACCAGAGCGGTCCTCCAGTAATAGGAGATGAGCAACATATATTAGACTAGGTTCTTCTTAGCTGCAGTTGTGTTGGGCAGCTCATTCAGAATCCTAAGAAACTTGGCTTTAACACTTGACAAGTTTTCTAGCTCTTAAGGAAGGTGTCCAAGAGCACAAGTCCCTGCAGGAAATTGCATGGCCTTAGGCCCTTAGGGGAACCACATGACAGCTGTGATGCATAGGAAGCCGTTTCAGTTCCTACTCAGACCAGCCATGTTCGTAGCGAGTGAGTCATCCAAGTTCCTTTATTGGAAACAGAAACCTCAAAATACCCCATATTTGCCCAAAAGATGCTGATGTGTTGAGGACGTTGCCACCATCTTATGAGGAGGGTTTTTTCCCAGGGGGAGTGGAGACCTTGCTGTGTGAGTGGGTGGCAGCAGAGTTTGGCATCGTGGCACATACAGGCAGCCCCAGGTGGCATATGGCTCTTAGCCAACGTCCATGCCTCCTAGGGGCCTCTTCCCTGCTAATTGGTGCTGGAAGCAGACCAATTGCCTGCCTCCCCCAACTCTCACCAGTTATGGGGGGCTATTGGCTACAATGGTTGCATTCGCCCTCCAGTGTCGGAGGCAGTTGCTGGGAGTCTCAGGTGGAGAGGAGAGAGCTTTTGCACTCACGTCCTGCTTGCAGACTTCCCATAAGCATCTGGAGAATGCTGTGAGATCAAGTTGCTGGACTAGGGCCACATTCTCACCATATACTTAAAGTGCTATGATACCACGTTAAACAGGAATGGCTTCCCCTAGAGAAGCCTGGGAGCTGTAGTTTGTTAAGGGTGCTGAGAGATGTCAGGAGACCCCTATTCCTCTCCTAGAGCTACAGTTGCCAGGATGGTTTAACACTCAATGTCTCTTCATGGGGCCTGCCATCCGATGTCAAAGAGATAAATAGTTATGCGACTTTCCTTTGACACCTGAAGGCAGCCCTGTATCGAGACACCTTTAACATGAGATGTTCTGTTCTGTGATTGTAGTTGTTGCTGCTGCTGTGTTTTTGTATACCCTGTTGGAAGCTGCCCCAGAGTGGCTGGGGCAATCAAATCACATGGGTGGGATATAAAAATTACATTTGCTCTGTGAGGGTTCTCCTAACAACTCTCAGGCCCATGAAAAAACTACAGTTACCATAATTTTTAGGGGGGAGGTATGACTGTTTTAAAGTGGAATCGGGCTTTAAATGTAGGGTATACATGTGGTCTAGATGAGCCTGTTACTTAATCTTGCAAACTTGCTCTTGCATTCTTCTGGTTGCCTCTGGTGTGGGGGAAAATCAATTGCTAATTTCAGGAGCCAGGCTTATGTGAAATGGCCCTTTAGTTTTAAGATAGCAATTGTTGTTGGTTGGTTGTTCATTGCCTGCCACTCATAGCTGTTCTAGAAAGCATATGAGTAACCCAGGAGAGATTTGGGTAGCTAATTCTACTAACCGTGGGATGGGGCTTGTTTTCTAGGCAGTTCGTGGTCTCTCCTCTCTTTCTGCGTGTTACAAGAGAAGCGCCTCGTAACCATGAGGCAAATCTCATGCTTTGCATGCAGAAGGTCACAGATTTAATCCTTGACATTTGAAGGATCTCAGATTGCAGAGCTGCGAGAGATGCTACCAGTTAAAAGTAACTAATACTGGGCTTGATTGATCAATGGCTTGCTTTCCTACAAGGCTGCTTCATCTGTTGCTCATAATCAGGGCCTTGCAGAGCCAGGCAGAAGCCCAGGCCAGGTAGATAATGTGCCCCCCTTTTTTTTACTCTGGGTATAGCTGAAGTCTTATAAATAAGTATATAAATAATTTTCATAAAAGTTATACTGACAAATAATTTTATTTCAAGGCCTGAACCATCCGCGTTCGCCCCAGTGCATCCCCTGGGATTGTGAATATGCTGACCAAGGCCCCCTTTGGAATCGGAGACCCGGGCCAAGTGGCCCATATGCCCCCCCCCTCTGTCTGGGCCTGCTCATAATGTGCTTTACTGTTCCTTCTTTTGAAAATGTCCAAAGCCTGCAAAGCCTCTCCTCAAAGAACATAAGAAGAGTCTGCGAGACCAGGCCAGTGCTCCAACTAGTTCAGTATCCTGTTCTCACAGTGGCCAGCCAGTTGCAGGACCCGAGCATGAGAGCCTTCTCCCCTGCTGTGGTTTCCAGCAACTGGCATAGCTGCCTTTAACAGTGGAGACCGAGAACAGCCACCTTGGCTATAATAGCCATTGATAGCCTTCTCCCCCATGAATTTGTCCAATCCTCTCTTGTTTTTTAATTACGGTAGTTTTTTAAAAAAAATTCTTGTGTTACAAAACAGACAAGGAATATAGCATCTTCTTTTTTGATTCATTGAGTCTTAACGCCATCTGCCTAAATAGTTCTGCACTGACAGAAAAGTAGATTTTTCAGTGAGAATAAGTTGCACCTTCTTCATTTTTCTACAGCTCCTTTAAATTGGCAAAGCACTGAACAGCCTTTGTGTGGGAGTTTTTTTCTGCACACAACCACCCTGTGAGGCTGGCCACTGTTGTTCCAGTTTTAGATTGGGCACCTGAGGCTGAACCGGAATGCAAACTTGCCCAAAGCCACCCAGTGGCAGAGGTGGGACTTTTAACAACCAGATCTCCCAGATCTGAAAGTCACACTCTCACCACTAGGAAGCCGATTGGGATAATCTGCAGGTAACAAAGCGAGTTTGAATGTCCTCTTGTATATTGGGTCCTGTTTTCGTCTCTAGCAAGGCGTTTTTGCTTTCTGAGATATCATTTCTGTAGGCAGCAGTCTAGCTCTTCCCTGCCCCATTCCATGCCCCAGGGTGGCATTCACATCCCCCATTCAAGGACAGACACCACCTCTAATGACTGCTGTGGTTTCACCCTAGAGATTCCAAGACACCAGCCAGTATGTGGTTGCTGAACTCCGGGCTTTGGAGAATGAACAGCGGCAAATCGATGGGCGAGCAGCTGTGGTGGAGAAGGACCTGCGGGGCCTTATGGAATCAGGTAGGAAAACTGGGGACGGGAGCCACCTCGGTGGGTAGAGCATCTGCCTTGCATGCAGAAGTTCACAGGTTCTGTTCTTGGCATTGCCAGGTAGGGCTGGGAAAGACCTCTGCCTGAAACTCTGGAGAGGGAGCAACCTCATGGGCAAGAGTGGTCAAGCCTGCAGAGACCTTCCCCGCATTTTGCTGCCTCTGTGCTGAGGGCACAATTCGTGCCCGTGCAAAGTACATTCCTGTGATGGGGAGGGAGGGGGAGGGTAAAGCCTCCCCTTCCTGCGTATCTAAATACCCCTGCTCACCCCAGGCCCCACCCACAGATATCCAGTGACATGCAACACCCTTACAAGCCTGTCAAGCACTCATTCATTCTCACATGTGGCCAGTGCCAAATTTACGTATAAGCTGAACAAGCTATAGCTTAGGGCCCCACTCTCTTGGGGGCCTCAAAATAAAATTAAAGGGGGGGACTGGATGTACATTTCCAATATATAAGATAAAAAAAACAAATAAAATAAAACCTACATACAGCAACAGTGGCAAATGGCTTTAGGTCCATAAATTACCATATAGCATATATTCAACACAAAAAACAGTGACAATTTGTTGTTGACAAAGGGCAGCTGGACATATAAAGGGCCCCATTACCTTCAGTAGCTTAGGGCCTCATCAAACCTAAATCCAGCCCTGCATGTGGCCCTTGGGCAGGGACTCATTTTCAGCATTGATCGGTGCTGACAGCAAGTCCCTCTAGCACAGCCACGAAAGTGGGCTTGCTATCAGCGCTGATCGGTACTGAAAATGAAGCCCTTTGAAAGTGAAACACTTGCAAGTCCCGCTCAGCATTGAACAGTTGGCAGCACGCTAGTTTTTCCTTTGCAGCCCTGCCTTTTTACGCCCTACACATCTGATGTCACATATGGCTTTAAGGGTGGGGCAAGTTGCTCAGAATTGTAAAATTCTCGGGAGTGACAAATGTCCAAATGTTCCAGATGTTGGGGAAGACAGATCCCCACCCTACCTCTCTTCCCCTGATCTACTTCAGGTGCTGACAAACTGAGGGAAGAGGAGCTGATCCAGGAATGGTTCACACTGGTGAATAAAAAGAATGCACTTATCCGACGGCAAGACCAGCTGCAATTGCTGTGAGTGTGGGAGGGGTGGGAGGAGAAAATGGCAGCACTGAAGGGGGCGGGACTTCCTTACTCACTGCTTGATGGAGCATGATGGCTCGCTCATGTGATCCAAGGCCACATCCACCCCATATGTTTAAAGCACTTTAAATAGCCATGGCTTCCCCCAAAGAATTTTGGGAGTTGTAGTTTATTAAGGGTGCCAGGTGTCTTTGGTGCACCTCTGTTCCCCTCACAGAGCTACCATATTGGTTTTACAGCGAGTGTCTCTTTCCCAGGAACTCTGGGAATTGTAATTCTTAGCAGCTGCTGCTAAGAGGAGTTACTGGTACTTTTTGGGTGTCTGAACCCAAACTCTTCCTTTATTCTCCAGGATGGAAGAGCAAGACTTGGAGCGGCGATTTGAACTCCTGAGCCGTGAGCTGAGAGCCATGATGGCTATTGAAGGTGAAGACTTGAAAACCAGGGTGGAGGACTGGGAAAGGGGGCCTGGAGGGGAAAGGGGCCTGGGAGGCTGTGTCAGAGCTTCTCTAGTATGGCCAGTTTGCTGGGTTGTGTTGCCCCCTGGAGCATTTCCTGACTTGGGGATGTTGATGAAGAAGGCAGTATGGAGAGATCTAGGAAGTTTGGCGGCAGGGCAGGGTGGCAAAATGAAAGTTCTGTTTCAGTGCTCCTTTTTTCTTTTCTTTTTTTTAAAGTTTATTCTGCCATTTATTCTGTGCTTTGTTTTTTATTCCAATGTTTTGGTTTTCTCTACTGCTGTTTTCAAAATTGTTCTCTTCAGTCTTCAGATGTTTTAATCGTCCTACAGTGTGTGTGTGTTGCGTGCCCAGGTTTATTTGCGGTTTTTAATATATACATGTACAGTGGTGCCTCGCAAGACGAAATTAATCCGTTCCGCGAGTCTCTTCGTTTTGTGGTTTTTTCGTCTTGCGAAGCACGGCTATTAGCGGCTTAGCGGCTATTAGCGGCTTAGCGGCTATTAGCGGCTTAGCGGCTAATAGCGGCTTAGCGGCGTAGCGGCTGTAAGAAAAGGAAACAAACTCGCAAGAACTCGCAAGACGTTTTGTCTTGCGAAGCAAGCCCATAGGGAAATTCGTCTTGCGGAACAACTCAAAAAATGGAAAACTCTTTCATCTAGCGAGTTTTTCGTCTTGCGAGGCATTCGTTTTGCGGGGCACCACTGTACATCTGTATGTGGCTTTGTATATCTGTGGTTTGGAAGGTGGATCAGCCTTTCTTGCTATGCCTCTCCCCACTCCAGACTGGCTCAAAACAGAAGCTCAACAGCAGCGGGAGCAGCTCCTTCTGGAAGAGCTGGTGTCGCTGGTGAACCAGAGGGATGAGCTGGTGAGAGACCTGGACATCAAAGAGAGGATGTGAGTGGCTCATCTCTTCTTTGGAGTGTGAGGGAAGATGGATGCTGGCAGTTAAAGCACAAGGGGGAAGCTACCTTCCTTCCCACCAGGGACTACAGATGTGTGAGAATGGAAGTTGGGGGTCCGCTGGTATAAGAACTTCTCTGGTGCCTGTTAATCCTCTTGTTTGCAGCCAAAAAGCCTCATTTCCCAAGCTTTCCTAGACTCTGGGCTCCTGATACAAGGACCAGGTCTTTCTGAGCACTCAAGCAACAGCAAAAGCACCAGTGCCTCTGCACATGTGCAGAGTACCTTTCCGCTTTGTAGCCACATTTCCTGATCCAGGAATGCATGAGCGTTGGAATTTTTCCTTTTTAGATATTAACCCTTTGGTCAGGATTTGGGGAAAGGGTTGTGTGGGGGGGGTGTTTGATGACAGTGATGACACATGGGGAGGAGACCTTTATAAATGGGAATACTGTGCAAACACATGCAGACACACACACACACACACAAATCCCCATTTCGTTTGGCTCCTTGTCCTCGAGGCTCAATATGTAACACTCAATTTTCTCTATTGTCCTTGCCATGTAGCTGCAGAGAGAAACTTGTATTGACAAGAAGAGTTAATATACAGTATTCTTAAAATATTGAGCATATTTTAAAGTATAGAAATGAGAATAGTAAGATAATAGGGGTGATGAGGTACCTGGATATCATGCCAGCTTTTAGAGAGACTCGTTTCATTGAAGTAGGTTGGCTATTGTGCCCTGCCCTACCCTGCCCCGCCCCCCCAGTAAACACTGATGTTCCCGTCAAATGTAAACATTGGAGACCAGAGTTTGTTTCTGAATGGAACATCTAAAATAATTTGTTTTAAAAAATCAGGGTGGAGGATGAGAGGGTTTTACAAACTATTAAGGACTAGAACCTTAATTTTTCCATTGATTTCATGGAACCAATTCTCTTTTTGGTTTTGGTTTTCTTCGAAGCAGGTTGGAGGGGATAAATGTTGTTAGCAAGTGAAGGACAAACGTAATTCCACCCCTCTTGAAACTTCAAGTTTTTGCTCCCTTTCTAAAAACAAAACAAAACACTTGCCTCCCTAGGGAAACATGTCTTTTAAGGTGATGGTTGCTAGTTGAGGAGGGCGAATGTTCAGAAGGATGGCAGTTTGCTGATAAATGGAAGTGGTGCAACGATTAAAAAGTGTGATCCTCTCTGCATCACATTTGCTCAGAAATAAGCGTTTACTGTGTTTAGTGAATGCTGGAAACCACAAGTGGGGAGAGTCGCTGTTGCACTGAGGTCCTGCCTGTCAGTTTCCCATTTGGGGCATCTGATTGGCCACTGTGAGAACAGGATGCTAGACTAGATGGGCCATTGGCCATCTGGGCTCTTGATAGGTACTTATGGAGCGTGGGGGGACTCAACCAGTTGTTGTCGGTGACGTGGCTCTACTTTCTACCCACTAATGGTGCTTTTCTGTTGTTGTTCTTCCCCATTTCCGCCTGCCCCCCTCCAACACCACTTTAGAGCTCTGGAAGAGGACGCCCGGTTGGAACGGGGACTGCAGCAGAGACGCCACAAGCTCAGCCGCAAGGAGAAGTGCCGTGTCAGCTGAGATGGGCCGGTGCAACTTGCCTCTTCTCCCCGCACTCCCCCATACATGGGATGGCAGGAGGCACAGCACACGAGAGCACTTCTGCCACTCCTAAGGCAACCCCAGCCCTAAATCCCCACTAGCCATTGGGAGGGCCTCGCCTGCCATGCCACAGCCTTGCTGGAGCACGTCATTGCCCACAGTCCTCTGGGGGGGCCGCAGCTGCTTGACTGCTCATGCCAAAGAGGGGTGTGTGTGTGTTTGTTTGTTTTCCCCCACTGGGGCAAGGGAGATCGTCCAAACTCTTCTTTCTTTCTCTTACCCTATGTCCATGCCCTCCCCAGAGAAGATGCCACTTTTAAAGGGCAGTGCCCATGTACCCTGGTTTACCTGGAGAGGGAAGAAATCAGCTTTTCAAATTCTCACACTCCAAATTTTAGGAACGATATTTATTTTTGTGTGTGTGTGTGATTTTTGTGTGCGTGCACATGCATGTGAGCTGCTCTTTTGGGTTTGAAAACGGGTGCCTCCTCCCCACCTCTGCCGTTTTTACAAAGTTTATTTGGCTCTATTATTTTTTAATGATCAATGTTGTTGGTCGATGGTACAAAAGCCACAAAGTGCCTTGAATACTCCTAAAGCCAGATGTGACAGTGGCCAACTTCTCTCTGCCGCCCCCCCACCCAGTTTTGCACCTCCTCCTCAGCCCAGTCGCTCCCTGGTTATTTGCACTAAATTTGTACCAGAGTTTGAAATAAATACATCAAAAGACACAAGGTGCGTGAGGAAGGTAGTTTGTGGTGTGTTCGCAATACATGCTGGAAATCGCCTGCTGCTTTGTGGCCATTGGCTGAGCTGCCCTTCTGTCACAGAAAGTCTTTGAACACTTGCTGTGAGGTATAGCTATAGAACGTTGCTGAACAGTCCCCCTTCTGTGTGGCAACAGAGCTTGGCAGGGGTATCAAAAGAACAGGAAATGTTGTATGCTGTTAGAACAAAGTAAGCAGGAAGGCCTAGGGCTTATCAGAACAAAGGCCTAAAGGTATGGCGGTATTGCACAAAGGTCTGAGGAACTACAATTCAAATCCCTAGTCGGTTGTGGAGCTTACTCTGTAACCTTGAGCCATTCAGCACCTTTTAGCCCAGGGGGTCACCAAAATATGCGACATTTTCGAGGTCCTCCTGTGGTGCTCACAAAGCCTCTGAGCATGCCACCCCCCACTTAGTGCCCCCTTGGACATGAAGTTGTGAGGCTGGTTACCTTTTTCTCCCTCGAAAAGTACCTAGAGCTGAAGGAGGAAGTGGGGCTCTTTCCCACTTCCTTCTGAACTTTGGCATGTTTTTCAGGGCTCAGTTTACTGGATACGCCTTTAACACAGATCCTTTGGGGAAAATTAAGTTTGTTTATATGCACTTACTCTGTAGGGGGAGGGGGAGGAGAAGCAAACAGAGGGGGCCCTTAACTTACTCCAAATGTGCCCACTGGACTAAAAAGGTTGGCATTCCCTGTTTTAGTGTAACCTACCTCACAGAGTTGTCGAAAGGATGAAGAAAAAAGTTTGGTGGGCAGGGAGATAGGAACCATGTGCACTACCTTGAGCTCGTTGGAGGAAAGACTGGATATAAAGGGAATTAGGTACATAAATGGGGACGTGGGTGGCGCTGTGGGTTAAACCACAGAGACTAGGACTTGCTGATCAGAAGGTTGGCGGTTCGAATCCCCGCAACGGGGTGAGCTCCCGTTGCTCGGTCCCTGCTCCTGCCAACCTAGCAGTTCAAAAGCACGTCAAAGTGCAAATAGATAAATAGGTACCGCTCCGGCAGGAAGGTAAATGGCGTTTCCGTGCGCTGCTCTGGTTCGCCAGAAGCGGCTTAGTCATGCTGGCTACATGACCCGGAAGCTGTACGCCGGCTCCCTCGGCCAATAAAGCAAGATGATTACATAACAAACTACAATTCTACACTAATACAGCAAGCTGAACATCGATAAAGCAGATAGAGCTGAACAAAGAACCCAAATCAGAAGGCCTTCAGCACTGAAAACCTTTCTAGGAAAACAGAGTCGGTCACGACTGGACCTAATGGTCAGGGTTCCCTTTACCTTTACTAGGTACATAAATAAGCAGGAATCAGAGAAAATGGGGTAGAGAATACGGGAAAGAGGACAAGGGGCAATAGAGATGGCAGGGGCGTTTATTTCTGGCATCATGCAGGCATTGGGTTGGGAAACAGCCCTTGTCCCTTGACTAGGCAGGAGCAAAGACTTCTAGGAAGTAGGCTGTACCACCTCTAGTTTTTGCTCCTGGCTTGTTACAATCAGTCAGCCTTTTTCCACTCATAGTCTAATCTCATCTTTGTGCTAATTGACTGTGTAAGCTGTATAAATAAGTAAGAACTCATTACTCTAACCCTCTTTCTCCTCTGCTAATGGATTGCGACCCTCACCGATTGCTGCAAGGGAACTGCCCTCCTCTGAAAGAGTCACACAGACTATTTATTTAACTGCCTTTCTGTGCTGCCCCCAAACCCAACAGTCTCTGGGTGGTTTCCAAAATCACCACTCATTTATTTAGTTCTCCCACGCTTCCTCCCAAAGGACCCCAGGGTGGGGTAAAAATAATTTTAAAAAAGAAGAATAGGAAAATATATTCCTATATTTAGATACATAAAGTGCCTTGACTTACTCATGCAGCCAGAATAATTACCCTTTTGACAGCCAGATAAACATAACTGCACCGGCTTTGTTCAGGTACCTGAAGCCGAGGAACAAAATGCAGCCCTTGAGGCCTCTGTGTTTGACCCTTTGGAATCTGCCCAGGCTACAAATCCTCTTCTCAGCTGTGGCTTTCACCCTAGTGTTTTGCTAGACTGGAAAATGCTCTCAAACTCTGCTAACACCTTGTGCTTTCCTGGTTGGCAGATACAGGAGTGAATGTAGAAACTCACCTGCTGTACAAAGGTAAAATCTGCATTCGTTGCTTGGCAAATTACACTACACCCTGCCTCTGACAGTGGAAGGACAGCATCATCACAGAATCGTTGGCAGGGTCCTCTAGTCCAACCCCTGCAATGCAGGAATCTCAGCTAAAGCATCCCAGACAGACGACCATCCATCCTCTCCTTAAAGACCTCCAGGGAAGGAGAGTCCACCACCTCCCGAGGGAGACCGTTCCACTGTCAGAACAGCTCCTGCTGTCAGAAAGTTCTTCCTGATGTTTAGTCAGAATCTCCTTTCTTGCAACTTGAAGCCATTGGTTCGGGTCCTCCCCTCCAGAGCAGGAGAAAACAAGCTTGTTCCCTCTTGCATGTGGCAGCCTTTGCAATATCTGAAGATGGCTCTCATATCTCCTCTCAGTCTCCTCTTTTCCAGGCTAAACATACCCAGAGTGGGAAATATCTCAAAATCGACTGGGAGGAGCATATAAGGTCTCCGCATCCAAACCACAGCTTTCCTTCCTTGTATGTATGGAAGCTTTTAAAAATTACTATGTGTGGTGCAGCCTAATAGCTGTGCATGTTGAGGGATTTTCATGGCTACTGCATCTCTTAGGTTCTAATGTGCTGGGGTGGGCACATTCACACCATATGCTTAAAGCACTAAGATAAAAGCTGTGACTTCCCCCAAAGAATCATGGGAGCTGTAGTTTGTTAAAGATGCTAAGAGTTTAGGAGGCCTGTATTCCTCTCCCAGAACTACAATTCTCCTCATTCCTGGGAAGAGGGGTCGATTGATAAACCACTCTGGGAATTGCATTTCTGTGAGGGGAATGGGGGGTCTCCTCTCTTAACAAACTACCGTTCCCATAATTCTTTGGGGGAAGCCATGTGGCATCGTAATGCTTTTTACTTACGTTGTGAATGTGGCCCGAGAAAGAACGAAGGAGAGTTCTACGTGAGTCTGGGAGGTGGTGTCAAATTTGCACTGCTTCCTGGATTCTTCTTTTTAGAAGAGCGATTGGACATAGATCAACCATGCTTGAATGGAGTCATCCCACAGAATCACAAAGCGCTGCATTCGAGGAGAGGGTTCAGTTCTTGCTGTTTGTTTTCCCTCCCCCCCCCCTAGAGAAAATATAGGCTTTCTACTTGTGGCTTCTCCATGCCCTGCAAAGCCTTTGCTTCCTCTCTGCATGCTTCTCTATCACATATAATCTTCCTTTCTAGGGTACAAACTGAAGGCTGGGCAGGGGCAGGAGGAGCTGAGGGTGCAGTTTCTTATTTTACATCAGTTAAATTTGCACCCTGCCTTTCCGCCAAATGGCGCTCGGGGCAGTTAACAACAACAACAATAATAATACAAATATAATAAAATACAGTAAAATAGCAAGAACGCAAATAAAGAAAAGTAAAGCATCCGGTGACTGGGGGAGGGTTGGCTCCCCCCAGGAGATGTCAAGTGGCCCCTCTTTCCATAGGCACATCTTGGGAAGTGGAACCAGACACTGTGGCCAAGGCAAGCTGGTCTCTGGCCAAGATCTCCAGACGGTCGTCGTCCTCCTGGGGTGGGTCACTGGCAGGAGCAAAGAAACACACAAAAGCCCGGACTTCCTGTAGCTGATAGGCCGTCTCAAGAGTCACAAGCATGGCCAATAAGCCAACAAGGAGATAGCCTGGTGTGTGTTTGAAAATAAAGGTCAGTGAGGGAGGGGCAGCATTATTTAAAAAAAACAAAACTCCCCAACTGATCTTGAGCATAGTCGTAGCATTTCCTAATCACGATGTCCCCTTTATAGGCCCTTTCCACCGGAAACCAAGCTTGTTGTTGTTGTTGTTTAGTCGTGTCCGACTCTTTGCGACCCCATGGACCAGAGCACGCCAGGCAAAACCAAGGACCAGAGCATGCCAGGAAACCAAGCTACTAGTCCTCATTGTTTCAGTTCCCCCATTTGACAATATTTCGTACCTTGCCTCCCCCCCTTTCATTTCTCCCTTTGACCTCTCACCCATGCCTCACCTACCTACCCACCCTCTTGACTTCTTCTCTCATGGCCAGCCTCCCCATGTGTCCCCTACCTCAGCCCTTGACTTCTCACCCCACGTTTGCTATGGAGGTCTTAATCCAGATTGTAAGCCATTTGGGGCAGAGACAACATTGCATCTAGGTTCACCTGCCACCTTCGTTATATATTTTTAGGCACCGGGCAAAAACGTTTCTCTTCAACCAGGCCTTGGGCTGATTAATATGTTATACCCTTTTAAATGTCCCTGTAGGAAGGGGGAGGTTGCTGTTTTGTTTTACTCATTTACTTATTTTTATCCTGCACTTGATTCAGTGAACTGTCTTGAACTGTTATGAATGAAGGGCGGAATAACACCAACAACAACAACAACAACAACAACAACGTTCTAGCTCGCATCCGCTGCAAAAAGGGCATTGTGAAAGTTGCTTCCACTTCTGTTTCAAACGCTGCGGAAGGTCGATAGTCCCCATTTTACAGACTAAGCGGAAATCTGAGCCCATCTGCTTGGTCGAGCCCATTAGCTAAGTGAGGATTTGAACAGCTTCTGGCTAATTTAAATGCCTGACCAGAGAGAGAGAGAGAGAGAGAGAGAGGGAGGGAGGGAGGGAGAGAGAGACTTGGAAGTTTTCCTTGAAGCCTAAACCTTCAACCTTAACACTTTATTCCCAACCAGTAGTGCAATAGCAAATTCAGAAATGCAGGGTTCCTTCACGGCAGGGGCAGCCATGCCCCCTTCTCAGATTCCGTAACTAAGAAGATAACAGTGATCTTATAATTACGCATTAATAATAATTAATAAGTGTGCAGCAGCGCCGCCTAGTGACTTACAAGTGATGCTAAGCTCGTAGAGCTCGTGCAGAGGCGGCTGTGAACTCCCTCGCGGCACGTAGTCGCCCAGGCCGATGGTGCTGAGGGAGATGAAGCAGAAGTACACCGACTCCAGGAAGTTCCAGCTGCCCTCCAGGGCCCAGAAGCAGATGGCAGGGATGAGGATGAAGAGCCCCAGGGTGGCCAGCCCCAGCCCCATGGCGTGGACAAGGGCCACGCGGGCCAGCGGGAAACCCCAGCGTGTCTGGATGAACCGGACGGGACGGTGGCTGAGGAGGGGCAGAAGGTGCTGGAGCAGGCAGGCCAGGAGCAACAGGGTCATGGGGATGCCCAGCAGCGAGTACAGGATGCAGAATATTTTGCCCAAAGCCGAGAGAGGGACCGTGTGTCCATAACCTGTGGGCGAGAAGAACAGGCGCCGCTGCATGAGTCTCCGCTAAGTGGCCTACCTTCCCACAGGCCAGACCCACCTGCTAGGCTATACCCTACTTCTTTGCACCTTCCTTGGGTGTTTTTTTCCTGGTGGGAATATGTCTTTGAACTCTGACGACGTCTCACAGAATGAGGATAGAGCTCCATGTTTTGCCTTTCAGCTAGATCTGCTATGTTTGGTGCAAATGATTTGGAGTGCACCCATATCTGCTTTTGGAGTGCATGGGTGCAGGCAGGATTGATGCTGGGTGGGGGGCAGGACACCCACCTGTGACCATCCTCTGCCTAGCAGATTTGGAACGAAATGCCTCAACAAGTTGTTTCTTCTGAACCCAAGTGCTCAGAAAAATCTGTCAAAGTTTTTCTATAGTTTCTACTTTTACTTAAGTGTTTTTATTTATTTGATTGATTTTGGGGGGCAGGGGCAGCTGCCTATGTCAGATTGACTCGCGTTGTGTTTTCCTCGTTGTACGTAACAGAATTTGCACGCCAGTCTCTTGAAACAGAAGCCCCTTGCATTTTCAGTATTCCTAAATGCTTAGCTTGGGAGCACACAGAACAAGGCAACCTCAATGTTCTTCCTATGCGCCTTCTCCAGAGTGACCCTAGGAGCCAATCCTCAGTGGCTGATTCTCCGCCTTTCACCTTGATTGGCTCCAGGTCAGCACAATGAATGGGAGTGCATCTTCTTAGTGGCTAAAGGGCTCCCCTTTCACACTGTTTTGGTGGCTCTAGGGTCATGGCAGGGTCCCTGCTGCAGAAATAGTAATGTGCCTTTGACCCTCCCCAACCACTGACTCCCCCCCCCCGGCCACTGCATCTCTGGGGATAAGGATGTTTTAAATGCGTGGTATGCCAGAGACCATCACACCAAGTGCTTCTTCTGGTTATAATAAAATCATTGCCTCCCTGTAGCTTTCTAAAAGTCTTCTGCAAAATAGGATGGGCCGCTCTGGCCTCCTCTGTAATTTGAGCACTAGTCTAGGCGTGTCGGTATGGTGAATTTTCCAGATAGGGTGATCTGGATTAACTCCAGGATGTCAGTGTTTTTGAGCTTTTTTATTGTGGAAGAATGAACTGGCATAATAACAGTCTCTCTATGCAATTTGCTGACAGGCTAGAGACAATTTTGCATCTCCTGCCATTTAAAAAATTATTATTATTATTATTATTATTATTATTATTATTATTTACAATAATTTATAACCTGCCCGTCACTCTAGAGCCCCAGGGCAGGTTACAACAATTAAAAAACAACATGAATATTAAAACACAATAATGCACAATTAGGGTTGCCACATTTCAAACAGTCACAAAACTGTTGAGCTTTTTTTAATTTTTTTGAAAAATCTCAACAACAACAAATGAAGCTATTTTAAGTAAATTAAACAAAATCTACACTTCCGACATGGGAAGTCCGGGACAGTTATGCAATTTCCGCCTGGACACTGTTTCTGACAGCCAAATCCTGGCTACGTCCGGGAAGTTCCAGACATATAGCAACCCTATAACAATATTAAAAACAGTTAAAAAAAACAAAAAATAAAAAATAAGGTGGCTCCTAAAATATACAGTGTCAAGAGGCCAGAGGTCAGGATGAAGAGGTGTGTCTTCAGTGTTCAATGAAAGCTGGATAACAAAGTCACCAGATGCATCTCTGTGGCGAGAGTGTTCCACAACTTAGGGGCTGCCCCAGAGAAGGCATTAATGTGAGCACCTTGAATGAGGCCGGGAAACCCATGCAGCTGTTTTGAATCAGGGGCTATCTGAGATCTGAAGACACCAACCAGTAATCTGGCTGCTGTATTTTGGACCAACTGAAGTTTCCGAGTTGTCTTTCATACCCTCCAACATTTTTCCAATGAAAATAGGGACGTCCTATTCCATCATCATCATAATTTGATTGTTTATACCCCGGCCATCTGACTGAGTTGCCCCATCAACTCTGGGCTGTTTCCAACATATATAAAAAACATAACAAAACATTAAACATTAAAAAACTTCCCTATATATGGCTGCCTTCAGATGTCTTCTAAAGGTTGTAGAGTTTCTTAGTTCCTTAGCTTGGGAGTCGCATAACACCATACCCTCTGACATTTCTCCAATGAAAATAGGGATGTCCTAAGGAAAATGGGGGCATTCTGGGATCAAATCAGAAAACCAGAATGGTTTCTGTAAATCTGGGACTGTCCCTCTGGTGAAGCGGCCAGAGCTGAAAACAGGCACTCTAGCCACCAAGGTCAGTTGAGGCTCCATTGACAGTGCAGGAGGATGCCAAACTGCAGATTTACTCCTTCCTGGAGAGAGCAATTCCATCCAGGGCAGGCCACCTCTCAGACATTAATCATTCTGATTGTGTGTGCAGAACTATTTTGAAGTATGTTAAAGGGCAACTGATCCAGGTCGTGTTATCTTTGCGTCTGTAGTCATACGAGGGTGGGGCCTTTTCTGCTTTTGGTTTTGCCCAGCTGATCCTCAGCTGCAAGTATAAAATACGGAGGAACAAGCACCATTCATTTGTCGCCCCAAAACACCAACACCACCTTCTTCTGATGTTTAGCGTCATTCCGGAGGGCCATAACTTAAGTGACAGCGGTCCCACTTTGCATGCAGGAGTTTTGACTTTGTTCAAAGGAGCAGGGAGGCAGCGATGGGGAAAGGAAATTCTCAGGACCTGGCAGCCGGGACAGCTGCTGCCAGTCAGAATAGGCAACACTGGATCGAATGGGCACATTGCCCTTTCTCCCCTCTTTGCATTTGCAATGACTTTGGGCAGTTTGCAACCCCCTGCTCCTCCAAAGCTGGCCTGCTTCTGCTCAGGGATTTTGCTCACTTATCAGCTATAATATTGTTGTTAAAAATTATTTTTATTGAAATATTTTCATGGATAACAAAGGTACATATAGTCTCTCTGTTTTAAGTTCATAGACTCCTATCTACAGGTCAGTTACGTTTGGTGTAAGATACTGCTATCATAGGCATTGTGAGGAGAAAACATGTGGAGAGAGAGAGAGGTGGGAGAAAGAAGGGGGGGTAATGATTTTTCCTTCTTTTGCATAGTATCCCTGCAGGGGTTTTGCATCAGTGTCACATGGATAGGTTGTTCATCTATTCATTTATTAGTTTTCGTTGGAGGGGAGAGAGATTGGGGAGCCCAGAGCATGGCTGGTTGCATTCAGCTGATTGCAGTGAGTACTTTTGACAAACTAAATAAATAACTCTGGTATAAGGCATGGGGCACATTTTAATGCCTCTACTGCCATACAAAAGTTCATTTCCCCTTTGTGGATGGGGAGCTGGAGCTGGTTGGTGGGTGGATCCTGACTTCCTCCAAGCCTCTTGGACCATTTTCGCAGGTGAGGTGGGACTGCCTACCTGATGCCACCATTAAACCAAACTGTGCTGGCTAAAGCACAGGGGATTGCAGGCACCAATGGCCAGTTGTACTTTCTGAACACAACCATCTCCTGCACCCAGTTCTTTCTTTTGAATAAAGTCGCCTTCCCCAACCAGGGGCATTCCACCTGCTTGGCACCACAATTCCCATCCTTTTGTAGGAGTGTGATAGAGTTTTTGGCTATCTAAGGATCAGCAGTTGCAGAAGAAGTTGCATTATGGCACAGGAAAAATGCTATTCCCTGACCTCTGCACGTGATTAAGGTGCCACCCCAGGCCACCGTTTCTATGGATTGTTAACAGATTGGGAACTCTGCTCATAATTTGCAAAGAACGTATTTGCTCATGTTTTCTGGAAAGGCGGAATAACATGTCCAAACAAAGCTCATCCATGGATGTACCCAGTTTGAAAAAGGAACACAAAATGGGTGTGTTTTAGCCAGGAAAGAGCAACCTCCATTCTAATTTGTTTTGTGGAACGGTAATGCAATGTACTATTGTTCTGCGTTATCCTGACACTGAGAATCTAACGTGCCCTCTAGGATAATAAAGGCTTTTCATACTATTAGCCCATGGCGACCTGATGGCTCACTGCCTTTAAGAGTTGGAATCAGGCCGTGTTCCTAGATACACATGGTTAGGCAGGATCACGAGAAATAAGTGTGGCACCCTATTCTGTGCTGGGTCAGGCTGCATCGCGAGTGCTGTTCTGGGCACCACATTTTGTGAAGGGTCTTGACAAACTGGAGCATGTCCAGAGGAGGACAAGTGAGGCAAGTGAGGGGGTCTGGAAACGAATTATTGTGTGGAATAGAGCTGGTTATGCTTAGTCTGCGGAAGACGTTATGTTTAGTCTGCGGTAGACATTCCAAGGGGACGCGGGTGGCGCTGTGGGTAAAACCTCAGCGCCTAGGACTTGCCGATCGCATGGTCGGTGGTTCGAATCCCCACAGCGGGGTGCGCTCCCGTCGTTTGGTCCCAGCGCCTGCCAACCTAGCAGTTCGAAAGCACCCCCGGGTGCAAGTAGATAAATAGGGACCGCTTACCAGCAGGAAGGTAAACGGCATTCCGTGTGCTGTGCTGGCTCGCCAGATGCAGCTTGTCACGCTGGCCACGTGACCCGGAAGTGTCTGCGGACAGCGCTGGCTCCCAGCCTATAGAGTGAGATGAGTGCACAACCCTAGAGTCTGTCAAGACTGGCCCGTACGGGCAGGGGTACCTTTACCTTAGACATTCCAAGTGGGACATTCCAGGATCAAATCAAACCGGGATGGCTTCTCTAAATCAGGGACGTCCCTGGAAAATAGGGACACTTGGAGGGTCTGGAATTGTAGAGTTGGAAGGGACCCTGAGGATCATCTAGTCCAACCACCTGCAATGCAGAAACGTGCTGCTGTCCCATACAGGAATCGAACCCACAACTGTGGTGTTATCAACACTATGCTCTAGCCAGCTGAGCTATCCAGTGGAGGAAACCCTTCTCCACGCAGCTGTTTTTATTTATGGTCTTGGTTTTACTGGCATTTGTATTTGCTCTTCAGTTTTAATGCTGGCACATTTTATACCCACGTTCTGTTTACACTGATTGCAAAGTCCTGGCAAGATATAAATGACTGATAATACTTTTGTTTTGTTTATAAAGGCTTGAGTCAATGTATGTGGTGGACATGCACATGTGGCTCAGTTCTGGGAGGAAGTATTTGTTGAAATAAAAGCAACAACTATGCAAAATACCTGTAAATGCCCAGTGCTGGCATTGCTCAATCTATTTAACCCTAACCAACAACTTAATCTCTTAATAAGTTATATTTTATTAGTGGCCAGGCTTTTTGGTTAGCATAAACTATATATTCCCCTCTACACGAATGTTTATCAGGGATTTCTGATGCATTACCTTAACTTCATCTTCTGGTTTAGATTGGGGTGTTTTATTTTTTAAAAAATTTTTTGCTTGCTTGTATGACATTGTAAGGTGTTGTAAGACTATAACAACATAGCTCATAAATGGCCAATATGCCTTTAAATTACCATTAGGTAAATAAATAAAAGGGATGTTTCTCTGTGCGAAGCTTGCCATGCAGAAGGAACCTCAATGAGCAGAGTGCCTGGCATGGCATACGGAAAGATGCAGGTTCAATCCCCAACATCGCCAGCTCAAAGGATCAGGGAGCAGGCGAGAGCAAAAGACCTTTGTTTGCAGGAGACTTTAGCCAGCCACTGCCAGGCACGGGGCAGGTGGCTCTCCTGTAGCATCATCATCATTAATTCTGCCTTTTTGTCCCATCTTTTCCTCCAAGGAGCTCAAAGGGGTGTACAGTGGTACCTCGGGTTAAGTACTTAATTCGTTCCCGTTCCTAACCTGAAACTGTTCTTAACCTGAAGCACCACTTTAGCTAATGAGGCCTCCTGCTGCAGCCGCGCCGCCGGAGCACGATTTCTGTTCTCATCCTGAAGCAAAGTTCTTAACCCAAGGTAATATTTCTGGGTTAGCAGAGTCTGTAACCTGAAGCGTATGTAACCCGAGGTACCACTGTACATGGTTCTCCTCCTTTCCATTTAATGCCCACAACAACCAGACTGAGAGGCAGTGACTGGCCCACGGTCACCCAGCGAGCTTCATGGCCAAGTGGGGATTTGAACCCTGGTCTAGCTGCACCACAGTGGCTCCCCCCCAACAGCTGGGCGGTCAGGACCGTTCCTCCATCCTTGCTGCCTGAGACTGGATCAGGGAGCTGTGTGCTTGGGCAGCCGAGGGCAGCTGGAGTCTCTCCCGGTTGGTTTTCTGCCTGCGCCGCTCCAAAAGGAAAGGGATGCCCCGTCGAGCTGAGCTCGACGACCTACCTGTGGTGGTGAGGACGCTGGCGGTGAAGAAGAGCGCCGAGGTGAACTCCCAGTTCTCGTCTCCGGAGACGTTGCCCAGGCCGGAGACGCCGTAGTTGCCGGCGTCGATGAGGCGCTCCAGGAGGCCGGCCAGCCTCTCCTCCGACAGGCACGCGCGGTGCTGGGCCAGCAGGCGGGCGCGGGCGTCGTGCAGGGCGGCCAGCAGGGCTCGCTCGGGAGGCGCCTCCAGGCCCGCGAAGACGGCGGCGCCCACCAGCAGGAAGAGCCCGTAGGCGCCCACCAGCAACCCGTAGCGCCACGACGGTGGCACGGCCGGACACAGCGCCATCCTCGACGGCCCGGCCCGGCCCTTCCCTCTCCCAGCAGGCGAGCCAGCAGCCTCTTCTCACCTGTCCCAGGTGAGCTGGCCTCAGCCCAGGGCGCGGCAACCGGTTCCTTCTCCCCGTGACGCACAGCCGCTTTAACCCTCGCAGCTCGGCTTCCCGGGCGCGCCGTCTAACTTTGCACAACTCATGGCATCCAGCCTCAGCGAGAGTGCGCTTCTATGCCCAGAGAGGACGCAAGAAGAGCAAAAAGGACCCTTTTTGGCCGGGGGGAAGAAGGGGTGTCTCCGGCTCAATCCCAGGCTTCTGCGGGTAGCGCTGGGCAAAGAACAACACGAGAGCTGCTGCCAGCTAGTGTTTTCCCCACCATAGTCAAAGAGCCTTGCATATAGGAAGTCTCAGGATCAATTTCCGCGCATCTCCAGGTGTCTTAAACTGGACACGGTATTCTAGATGAGTTCTGACTAGCAGAACTCTTGCTTCCTGTCACTTAAAGAACATCGGAAGCAGGAGTCAAGATTCACGGGTCCGTCTCTCTCTGTTGTCTACACTGGCCGGCTGACAGTTTCAGACCTACCTGTGAGATGCCTGGGATTGAACCTGGGAGAGTCTACACACAAAGGAGGTGCTCTATTAATGCAGTCCAAAACCACACTGGCCATTTTTGCTGCTGCTTCACAGATTAGTATTTTCGTGCATTTTGCATTAGTATATAGAACATAGGGACGTGGGTGGCGCTGTGGGTTAAACCACAGAGCCTAGGGCTTGCTGATCAGATGGTCGGCGGTTCGAATCCCCGTGACGTGGTGAGCTCCTGTTGCTTGGTCCCAGCTCCTGCCAACCTAGCAGTTCAAAAGCACGTCAAAGTGCAAGTAGATAAATAGGTACCGCTCCAGCAGGAAGGTAAACGGCGTTTCCATGCGCTGCTCTGGTTCACCAGAAGCGGTTTAGTCATGCTGGCCACATGACCCAGAAGCTGTACGCCGGCTCCCTCAGCCAATAAAGCGAGATGAGCGCCGCAACCCCAGAGTCGGCCACGACTGGACCTAATGGTCAGGGGTCCCTTTACCTTTACTATATAGAACATGCCATGGAAGGGGCAACTGTGCTACCCCCCCCCCCAATTCTGACCTACCTCCACAAGTAGAAGGGTGATCTTCTGAAGAGTGGGGGTCCTGTGGTCAAGGTGGGGTGTATTTCTGTGTATTTCAGAACCCTTGAAAATCATGGTTGTAAAACATGCCTCCTTGTGTATTGGAGTCTACAAGGCCATATTGTCACTCTCTAACTTACCTTTGGCAGTGATTTTTTTTTGGGGGGGGGTAGCTAGCACACTCACTCCCTCCGTTTTTAACAACTTTCAAGCATTTTATAGTGATTTGACCCTCTTGGCTCTGCCCTTCAACTTCCCCTTTTAACCAATTTCCTCATTTTGAGGAACCATCCTCTTTTGAAATCAAACACTGCTGTTACATGGATATTTAATAATGTAACATGGACAGTTACATGGATATTTAATAGTGTTAAGAGGGGCAGGTGGGGCTCGTCAACCTGGGGAGGTAGCCCATCTAGGTGAAGGAAAACTCTGCTCTTAAACCTCTGCTGCCTTATGGAATACCTTCAGGAGAAGAAAAGGCTAAGGAGTAAACCTTACACAAATTCAGAGTCTCCAATACGGTCAGATGGCTCCTTGTACGCCCCCTTCTGGCAAGCTGGTGCCGAACATATTGCTCTGCTTTCCTTTGGACCACATCATGAGGCCGGGAGGGGGGATCTTGTCATCACTTCAAGGCTGCTAAAGCAGCAGTTTGACTTCACCCCCAAAAGCACACTCCATTGTTTCTCGAGACAGATGGATGCCAACGGTATTATTGTCACTGCTCCCAATTGGCTTGACAATACATTTTGTGTCCGGTCCTGGGCATCACTCAGGATAAAACCCAGGGTCAGTACACCAGCTGTCATTTAGGGTATAGGAGCCAACTCCTAGGGGCTGAGGTCCCTTCGCCCCCTCCTCCGACAAAATATTTAACCACGCAGCCCTCTTGGAACCTTTCTTGACCTGTGGCATACACTCCAGCTGAGTTTCTAACACTCTGCTTTTAAAGAACTCCCCTTTTCCCCTCCCAATTCTCAGTTACAATACTGAGTGCCCTGTGAAGAGGGATTGGTTGTTATTCCACAAGGGGAATAGGGGTCTCGTAACAACTCTCAGCTCCCTAAACAAACTACCCTTCCTAGGATTATTTGTGGGAGGAAGTTGTGACTGTTTAAAGTGGTTCTAGTTACAGGTAGGTAGCCGTGTTGGTCTGCCATAGTTAAAACAAAATAATAATAATAATAATAATAATAATAATAATAATAAATTCCTTCCATTAGCACCTTTAAAGTTTAAAGTGGTGTCGTAGTGCTTTGAATGGGAATGTGGCCGAAGTTCCAAGTTATCACAAATGCAGGCATGGAATATAGTGATACCTCGGGTTAAGTACTTAATTCGTTCCAGAGGTCTGTTCTTAACCTGAAACTGTTCTTAACCTGAAGCACCACTTTAGCTATTTCTTTAGTACTATTTCTGGGTTAGCAGAGTCTGTAACCTGAAGCGCATGTAACCTAAAGCATATGTAACCCGAGGTACCACTGTAAGACCAGGCTGCTGTTTTGACTCTTGCAGATGCCAGTCACCAGATTAAACACGGAAGGAGTCTGCGCTCTCTCGCTCTCACCCTGACCCACACCCACTGTTAGGGAGGTGTTGCGGACCCCCTTTATGGACCATGGGAGACACATGGGATGGAGGCAGCAATCAGAAGTTTATTTGGTCTCATTTCACAGGCTTGGCCCATCGCAAGTTGAGATTGGGCCTGACACAGGTGGCTCCCTCGTGGAGCGGGAGAAGGTGCACGAGGGAGCCTGGCACTCACATGTGAATTTCAAGTAGGGTGGGGAGAGGGGAGAGGCGGACACAGTAGAATTGCACATTCAAAGTGCTAGTGGCTGTCAGGCTCCAACCAGGAAAAAGCACTGCTTTTTTTTGTTGCAAGTGCATCCCGTTGCAAGACATTCTTTGCTTTCCTCTTACACGTCCACGTCAAAAGACAGGCACAAGCAGGTGGGGCAATCTGGCTCCAGTGTGTACCCCCACTCTGGGCTATCTCCTCTCGTGTTTGTGCAATGTGGCTCGCTCTTGAAAGCTGCAGAGCATCCTCGGACCTGCTTGGGTTAAGATAACCATGGCAGGCTCCCCTCCTTGCATAAATTGGAAGGAGCGATGCCCGTCTTGGGGACAAAGGATACAGAGAAAGGAGAGTGGAGTCTTGCTTGCTTCACAGGCTCTCCATGACAGCCTTGGCCAACTTAGGAGTCTGCCAGACGTTTTGGACTACAACTCCCATCAGCACTTGCTGGCTATGGGATGATGGGAGTTGTTGTCCAAAACATCTGGAGGGCTCCAGGTTGGACAAAGCTGCTCCACCTCCTGCATTCAGTGGAGGGAGAGCCACTAAGGCCTAGTCATGGCAGGGTGGAGCTGTGCCCCTCAAGGTGAATGGAGAATCAGTACGCAATGAAGACAATAGCTGCCAGCCAGCGAGCCCGGCCAATGCGGGGGCCGTGGAAGCCCCACAAGCCATTCCAGCAAAGGTGGAGGAGAGGAGAGTGACTTGCCAGCGTGGGTCTGACTGGTTAGTGTTCATTACATGGAGGGGCGTGAGAAAGGGCTCTCTGCTCTCCCTCATCCCCACCCCCCACCCCCTGCCCAATATACACAACCCCTCATCACTTCCGTGGGGCACTCAATACTATCCCGTGGTTTGACATCCCTGAAGGAATTGGCTGAGAAAGAAGCAAAGTCTTCCCAACACTGCTGAGGTTAAGGCGCTCAGTGAATAGAAAGTGGGGAGGAAGGGAAGAAGGTACTCGAGTGTGTGGGGTGTGGGGGTGTGCCCACCTCCCCCCTACGGCGTGGGAAAATCCCCCTCTCCCCCTTTGACAGCGATTCCCGTCTCCCCTTTCGACAGCGAGCCCATGCTCCCAGCCTTCGACTACATTTGCAGCCTCATGTCCAATCACAGTTGAGCGTGGGGTTCAAAGTTCAAGGCGCCAACTTCCTGAACGAAAAGGTGCTTCGGGAAGGCGGGACCGCCTTCTTTTGCTTTTCCCTTCACTTTGGGGCCGTCCGTCCTTGAGCGGATGCAGCTGCTGTCCACCACGGCAGCTCCTCTTCGGGCGGGAGCGGGCGGGAGGTCTGGCGCGGCAACGGAGAAGGGCTGAGCCGCCCGGGTGGAGCCAATCTGGACGCGACGAGGAAGGGGTCAGGGGTGGCTGGCGCTGTTGGCTCCCTCGGGGCTGAGAAGTCCCCACAGGCAAAGGGATCGGGAGCCGCAAAAGGGTTGGTCCTTTCAGGACCCAGTGGCTTGAACTGGCGTGGCCCCAGGCGAGGGGACTGGACTGGGGAGGAGCGGGCCCCAGAAGACACAAAGCTCCAGGGGTCGATGCGGCTGCGGACGGGAGAAGGGCGGGGCCTGGAGATGAGGCTGGCGTGTGGGGAGGGGCGGGGGGAGCGGGGGCTGCGGGGGGAGGAAGGAGAAGGGAGAGCACCATCTGTAAGGAACAGAGAGCATAATAATAATATAATTATTATTTATACCCTGCCCATCTGGCTGGGTTTCCCCAGCCACTTTGGGCGGCTTCCAACAAAACACTAAAATATAATAACCTATTAAACATTAAAAGCTTCCCTAAACAGAGCTGCTTTCAGATGTCTTCTAAAAGTTTGGTAGTTATTTTTCTCTTTGACATCTGATGGGAGGGCGTTCCACAGGGTGGGTGCCACTACCGAGAAGGCCCTCTGCCTGGTTCCCTGTAACTTGGCTTCTTGCCAGAAGGCCCTCGGAACTGGACCTCAGTGTCCAGGCAGAACGATGGGGGTGAAGACACTCCTTCAAGTGTACTGGACCGAGGCCGTTTAGGGCTTTAAAGGTCAGCACCAACACTTTGAATTGTACTCGGAAACGTACTGGGAGCCAGTGTAGGTCTTTCAAGACCAGTGTTATATGGTCTCGGCGGCCGCTCCCAGTCACCAGTCTAGCTGCCACTTTCTGGATTAGCTGGATAAGCACACAGTAGCCATGATGTCCCTAACTCAAGCGGAAAGAAACCCTGGGGGGAACTGGAATCTGGTTGTGAAAGTTCAAAAAACTATGTTCAGCCATGCCACTGCCTTTTATGCTGGTTTAACACCCAGATATTTGGCTAAGGCCTCCGTCCTACGAAGACAGGAAGCTACGATACCACTTTAAACCCCCCAAAGAATCCTGGGAGCTGTAGTCTGTTAAGGATGCTCAGAGTTGTTAGGAGACCCTTATTTCCCCTCACAGAATCACAGGGAACTCTGGGAATGGTAGCTCTGTGAGGGAAATAAAGGGGTCCTCTAACAATACTCAGCTCCCATAATTCCCAGGGGGAAGCTGGTACGGTTAAAAGTGGTATAATAAGCACTTTAACTGCGCCAATGTGGCCCAAGTCCACTGACCCATCTAGCATTGCCTACAAGGACAGGTATCAGCTCTCTGGGGCGCAGGCAGGGGGACAATTCCAAGCCCTAGCTGAAGATGACAGTGGGGCTGACCCAGGGGCTGCTTGCCTGAAGAGCGTCTGCTCAGCCTCTGAGCTGCAGCCCTCATCTGCACCAGATCAACCCCGCCCCTCTGCAGCCTCCTAAATTCTCCTGCCAGGACTTACCCCATTTCTGGGTTTTGTTGCCGCGGCCTTCCACAAGTCTCGGGATCTTGGGTGACATCTGGGTCCAGAGAGGAGGCAAGGCCCCCCTGTTGCCCCCAGAGGCCACATCGACGAGGAGATCCGTAGGAGGTTCCTCCTTGCACAGCTCCACATGGACGGTGGGGGTGGACTCTTGCGGAGGGGAGGGCGGCGGGGGCTCCTGCAGGGCGGACGGAAGCTCTCGGCCCAACCCGAGAGAAGCAAGCAAAGCTGTTCCCCGAAGCAGGGCCCGCTGGATGAGCCGGGGGGCACTGGGACGTTCTGGGACTGGGTCCTCGGTTTCCGGGGAGTCGACTGGGACACTGCCTGTTAGGGTAAGAAAGTTGGAAAGTCAAACCACAACCTGACATAGTGTTACAAACTTAAGTCCCCACTTAGCTAACTTAAGTCCCCACTTAGCCCACTGAAGCCCACTCAGTTTTGCGGGGGGCAGCACAAAATGTGGGGTTTGCGGCACCAAACCAGCAGACTGCTTTGGCACTGGTTTGAAGTCAATCAGACAAGGTTGGGTTTGGGGTCATTTAACAGTGACCCCGGTTTGAGTGTCAATTGCTCAGTTTGTAGGGTGGCACAAAATGCGGGGTTTGCGGCACAAAACCGACGCTAAACCTTGGCACCTGCTTGAAGTCAACTGGACAAAGTTGGATTTGTTGGCATTAACTTGTGACCCCGATTTGTCAATGACTATTTTTTTTGGGGGGGTGGCATGGAACACAGGGTTTGCGGCACAAAACAGAACTAAAAATAGCACTAAACTTTGGCATCAGTTTTTTTTGGGGGGGCGGAATCCGGAATTTTGGGGTCACACGTTAATGAAGTTCCCTGTTGTCGCTTCAGCTTCTGACACCTCCCCCCCCCATCTTCTCCCTCTTGCCATTCATCATCATGCCACCACCAATTCCCTGGCCTTGAGCCTTCTTCCCTTGGGAGTTCCCCAGCTGATGCCTCCCACCACTCCTCTGCCTCCAGCCAGTCCATACAGTCCAACCTGACCTGGAAATGCCTGGAATAGAGCCTGTTGCCTTCAGCATGCAAAGCAGGAGCGCTACCACTGAGCCACAGCCCTTCTCACAGGCATATGCTGACACCACTCCCGCTGCATCTATTGTTAAGGTTGTGAGTGCTATTGCTTATGTCAGGGGTCAGGAAACTTTTTCAGCAGGGGGCCAGTCCACTGTGCCTCAGACCTTGTGGGGGGCCGGACTATATATATTTTTTTGGGGGGGGGATGAACGAATTCCTATGCCCCACAAATAACCCAGAGATGCATTTTAAATAAAAGCACACATGCTACTTATGTAAAAAAACCACTGATTCCCGGATCGTCCGCGGACCGGATTTAGAAGGTGATTGGGCCGGATTCGGCCCCCGGGCCTTAGTTTGCCTACCCATGGCTTATGTAATCAAACTGACACCTCCTGACATAGAAGAGGGAAGTGTCGGCAGGTTTGGGCGTACCTCAGGACTTGCTGAAGTAACCCATAAAAAAAAAAAACTTTAGAAAATTTGTAAGGGGAACCCAAAATACCACAGAATGCGAACTGTTGAAGTCATCTCCACATTCTATGTTTAAAGCACATAGCTCCAAGAAACCTGGGAGTTGCAGTTTAGACCTCAGAGACTTCTAATTCCCATCAGGTATGGCATTGGACCTCTTGGACCATTGGTGATTCAGCAGACCACAGTCTGGAAAGTCCTGTTGGCATGCAACAGCTGTGGGAAAACTATATCCAGGACAGCTCCTATGTGTCAGATTCAGCTCAGCAAATAAAAGGAGGAAACTCCAGGTGCCAGGTGTTCATTTTATTCCAGGGGTAGTATAAACATGCCAGTGACATAACAGGTAACGGGAAAGGCGTGTAGAGCAGGGATGGGGATCCTCTCTCGCCCATGTATGCAGGCCACGTTTGACAGGTAGGTGGGGCTGCCCACCTCATAATCAGCTGGTACCACAGTGACACCAGCCAACCCCCCCCCCCGCATGGATGACCAGCTGATGGACGGCACCCGCAATTCCTCTTTGGCCGAGATGCATCTTTTCCTGCCTCACGTCATAGACATGATGCCAAGGTGTAGGGCAGCTGGGCAATGCTTGGCCAAAATGGGTCAAATGAGAAAGGCCCGGTGGGCCCTAAAAGGCCCGTGGGCTGGAGGTTCCCGACCCCAGATATAAAGCACAGACTCTATTACTGAGCTACGGCTCCTCAGGGGAAACAATTCAGGAGACAGAACAGTGCAAAACCCCCGGAAAAGCGCTCACCATTTGGGCTGGGCTGGGTCTGTTCAGGAACGGGCAGCACCTCTGGCTCCATGTACCACGTCGTTTCTTCTAGCCGCGACCTTCTCCTGCGAGGGGGACAAGAAAGGGTTTGCAACCTGCTCAGGGGATGTGTACATGTCAGGAGCCGGAGTCAGGAGTAAGTCAGCAATATAAAACACCGGCGTCAGTGAAGTTTACTCTGTAGTCAAAGAAATCAAAACAGCACAGGCCTAGTGATCCCAGTAACCCTTCCTAATACGTCTTGCTTCTATGAGGCAAGGAATGAGGGTCCCCGCCTTCCTACCTCTCTCAAAGACTCTGCTCCCTCCCCCCCTCCAGGCAACTTGAGGCTCCTTTGCCTTGTCTGTCTTTGCTGCGCCCTCTTTATTCCTCTCTGTGTTTGGGGAGACCAGGGGGGAGGTCACAGCAGGAGGGGGAGACTCCCTGGATTCTTCAGCAGCCAGCCTCATTGCTGCCTCTTGACCCCACTCTGCTTCTGCCTCCAATTCTGGGCTGCTCTCTGCCACAGCCTCTTCCTGCTCACTAAACCCTGTTGCCTCTTCTGCATCCGACACCTCCTCCTCCTCCCATCTGCTCCCTCTTCTTCCTCTGACCGCTTATCGTCCTCCCACCACCAACCCCCTGGATGTGAGCCTTCTTCCCTTGGGGGTTCTCCAGCTGGTGCCTCCCACTGCTCCTCTGCACCCAGTCAGTCCATGATAGTACAGCCTGCTCCAGTCATTAAGACATACGATGCTGCCTTATGCTGTGTCAGCCTGTTCGTCCATCTAGGCCAGCATTGTCTGCTTTGACTGGCAGCCGCTCTCCAGGGTCTTGGCAGAGAAGGGTCTTTACCATCACCTGCAACTAGATCCTTCTAAACTGGAGAGGCTGGGGAATTGAACCCAGGGCCTTCTGCATGCCAAGCAGGTGCTCTGCCACTGAGCTGCAGTCCTTTCTTTTAACCCAGGCATCCCCATTCTCTACAAGCAAGCAAGGGAATGGGAGAGGAGGGAAAGGCTGCCCCCTACCTGCCATTCTGCGTACTGCTTTCACATGGTTTGGGGGAACTGGAGCTCTTTGTACGGCCGTTGCAAATCTCGTCCCCTCGACGCGGTGACTGGCGACCCCAATTTCGATCATTTTCACTTGGCTCCACTGCAAAGGGTCGGGTGGGAGGGCAAAGAGAAACAACTTTTCCCACTTTATCCTTTTTTTGTGTTCTGTTTTCTACATAGGTACTATTTCTTGTTTCTTCTTTTTTGTGTCTTATCTTTGTGGATGCCATTTTTTATTTTTCAATAAAAAATAAAAAATAAAAAAGAAAGGGGTCCATGTATTAAATGGCACTTTTGCATACAATCCTTAACTTGTTTAAACCATAATTGCTTCCTCCTCTTAGGTAGTTAGAATTTGGAGACCACCCTTCAAAACTAAAGAACTACAACTCCCAGAGTTCCTTGGGGGAAAGCCACTCCCTCAGGGGATTGCAGCTTCATCCAGAACTGGTCGTATGCCACCTCTCTGAAACAGAACTGTTGTGTCATGGCTAAGATTCAGTTTGTAGGCTAGCACAAAATCCAGGTACCAGGCTCAGCTGTTCCATAAGAAGAATATCAGGAGAGCCTTGCTGGATCAGACCAAAGGCCCATTTAGCATTCTGCTTGCTCAGTGACCAAACTAATGCCCTTGGGAAGCCCACAAGGAGGACCTATGAGCCACAGCAAACTTCCCCACTTGCAATGACTAGCCGCTGGTGTTCAGAGGACTGGTTATCTCGGAGGCAGCACATAGCCCTTGTTCCTAGCAGCCATTGATGGCCTCACTGGCCCCGACTTGGTGGAACGCTCTGTCACAAGAGACTAGGGCCCTGCGGGATTTGACATTTTTCCGCAGGGCCTGCAAGACAGAGCTGTTCCGCCTGGCCTTTGGTTTGGACTCAGTCTGACCCTTATGTTTCCCTCCCCTTACAGTATTGATCTATGGGCTACTTTTAAAATGAGGCCGCATTTTAAATTGCATTTTAACCTGTATTTTAAATTGGGTTTGTTTTTTTCTATTATGTTTTTATTGTAATTTTACTGGTGCTAGCCGCCCTGAGCCGGGCTCTGGCCGGGGAGGGCGGGGTATAAATAAATTATTATTATTATTATTATTATTATTATTATTATTATTATCCTCCCTGAATTTGTCTAATCCCCTTTAAAAGATATCCAAGCTGCCGACCCTCACTGCCTCCTGCAGCCGTGAGTTCCAGGGTTTAACTACGCACTGTGTGGAATACTTCCTTTGGTTTGTCCTGAATTTTTCAACATTCAATTCTCATTTGATGCTCCCGAATTTTAGTTATTATAAGGGAGGGAGAAAAAAACGTCTTTGTAGCCACGTCGTTTACACCTCACATAATTTTATACACCCACTAACGTGTCTCCCTGCCCTCTTACTTGCCTTTTCTTGTAACTAAAAATCCCCAGATGTTGTAACCTTTCCTTATAAGGGAGTTGCTCCAATCTCTTGATCATTTTGGCAGCCCTTTGTGCCTCACCTGACTAGAAGCAGACCTTGCTGTCATTTCACTCCCAAATCGCCGGCAATCAGCCAGGATTTGGTTGGGGTTATCTAGAGGAAAGTCTGAACACTCCAGATTCCACTTGCTCCACTTCTACACCTCCCCTCCCCAAAAAATGTTACTTACATCGGATAGCTCGGAATCGTTGGAAGGGAGGGGATCCACCTGCCCCCATCTCCAGGCAGTCCTTCCTTTTGTCCAGTCCAGGAGAAGCCATTACTGTGATGCGATGCTTAAAATCTGAAATAAGGAGGGGGGCATGAATTACCCTTCTGTAACAATGCATAGTTTAAAATGAGTTTAATTTAGAAAAGGCCAGCTCAGAATTCCAGGCTCTGTCAATGTTCCAAAGTTTTGGCTCATGGTTCTTCATGCCCATCACTGAACTTAGGATGGGCAACAGGTGTTGTTCTTGTTTTAAAATTGTTTAATCACATCAGTTAACAAACACGGATACATATGCTATAATGTTATTGTTTTAGTTAAATAAATGGTTTAAATTCTTATTGAGGAAATGATTATTTTTCTCCTTCCAAGTATAGCAGAAAAGTTGTCCAAATATAAACAGTTAACTTATTAAACCTCATGATAATTTCATAATTATCTGTCTATATATAACCAAATCAGTAATTTTTGATACAACTATAAAAACTACTCTGAAAATTATTATTGTTCCAAAAATGAAACCTTCATCTGGTTGTAAATATTAAGATGATACCAACAAGAATGAGTCTTTCTGTAAAAAAAAAATAATGGTTTAAATCAAGTCTTACTGACTAATGATTTAAATCGTGATTTAAACCAAGTCTTACTGACTAGTGCTTTAAATTGATTTGATTTAAATAAAATCCACCCTGGTTGAATTAATACATTGTTGTTGTTGTTGTTTAGTCGTTTAGTTGTGTCCGACTCTTCGTGACCCCATGGACCAGAGCACGCCAGGCACTCCTGTCTTCCACTGCCTCCCACAGTTTGGTCAGACTCATGTTTGTAGCTTCGAGAACACTGTCCAACCATCTCGTCCTCTGTCGTCCCCTTCTTCTTGTGCCCTCCATCTTTCCCAACATCAGGGTATTTTCCAGGGAGTCTTCTCTTCTCATGAGGTGGCCAAAGTATTGGAGCCTCAGCTTCACAGCTTCATAATACATTAGATGTGTCTATTAAATTCAGTGGGTCTACTCTAAGTAGGACTGGATAAAATTGCCTTGAGTCTCGTCAGGGGAAAAGGCATGGTATAAACACACAACAACAACAGCCCTATGTTCCTAGAAGGCCTGTGGTCAAGACACCCCTTCTAACCAGAAGCCATCCCTGACAGGAATCCTTGCTTTCTGCCTGATTCCCCTCCCCGGACCCACCCCCTGTGGGCCCTACCAAGTGGCATGCTGATGTGCTCGCTGTCCCTCCCTTTCAGCTTGTTCCTCTTGAAGGTCCCCTTCCGCTTCTTGACGTAGGGACGCTCCCGGTTCATCTGCTGAATGAGGAGGCTCAGTTCCCGCTCAAAGACTTCCAGCTCCCACTGCGCCAGCTCGTGCTCCCGCTGACGCAGGAACTCCTCCTGGGACTTCTGCTTCAGGGCTGCCTGCTTCAGCTCCTCCTCGCGGCTCAGCAGTTCCTGCGAAGAAGGGGGGAATGGTACGCATATGGGTCTGGGCAGAGTGAGAGAGCGTGTGTTTTGGAAACCTGCCAGCGACGGAGCTTCCTTTCTCCAATGAGACGTATTGGGGCCAGAACCTGACCTAGGCCACATTCACACCATACCTTTAAAAGCACTTTAAGCAAACATGGCTTCCCCCAAAGAATTCTGGGAAGTGTAGTAAAGTGTGTGAGATTTATTAGGAGGCCCCCTATTCCCTTCATAGAACTACAATTCCCAGAGTGGTTTAGCAATCCATCCCTCTCCACAGGGAACTCTCAGCACCCTTTACCGACTACAGCTCCAGGACTCTTTGGGGGAAGTCAGGACTGTCTAAAGTAGTGCCATAGTGCACTGAATGTATGGTGTGAACATGGCCTTATACTGAGTCAGAACACTGGTTCATGTAGATCAGGTATGGGGAATTTTTGGCCCTCCAGATGTTCCTGAACTACAACTCCCAGCAGGCCTGACCAGCATGGCCAATGGGACCTTTTGCATGCAAAAGCAGGTGTTTGGCTGCTGAGGTACGGCCCTTTCCCAGGGCCCGTCCAGGACTCTAACTCCCATCAGTCCCAGCCAGCACATGGGCCCTTCCACTGACCTGGGCAAAGGGGTGCAGAGAAATTGCTTTTCCACCCATTTTCATTAGTAAACCCCTCACTTGACTTGCAATTCAGAGAGTAAATTTGCCTTCCTTTAATTCCGGGATGTGGAGCTTTCGCCCTCCGGACGTTGCTGAACCAAAACTCCCATAAGCCCCAGCAACCATGGCCAATAAAGTAAAGTAAATATCTGAACGGCCAAAGTTCCCCACCCCTGATTTAATTACCCACATTTGTTTTTATCTCCACCCTCACCCTTCTTTCGTCTACTGCTGCCTCCTGGATGTTAACATTTTATTGTCCCAGAATGCCCAGCTGTGGCGCCGTACTGTGGCTTCCTGGGAAATAAAATGGCAGCCATCAACCATCCCTCCCAGCTAAAAAGAAAGAACAGAACAAAGCCCATTCATACTCATTAATTACACTTTATGCTTGTTTCAGAAGCACTATCTGTCATTAATACAGAGACACGTACAAGGTCCCAGTTTCAGGGTGGTATCCTGTGCCCTCATTCGGGGATTAGATGGATTATCATTGAATCATATTGGTATTTTAAATATGTATGCTTTACCCTTTGTATCATGTTGCATTTTAAATAAGTAAATGTTTTAATTAAAATGTATTTATTCTGTTTCTTCTATTTTGGCAGGCCTGTGACTGTATAATAAGTGATGGATTGACTGATACCTCCAGGCAGTCTTTGCCAACCTGGTGCCCTCTGGATGTTCTGGACCACAGCTCCCATTGGGCTGATGGGAATTGTAGTCCCAAACATCTGGAGGGCGCCAGGTTGGCGAAGGCTGCCTTAAAAAGTGTTGTGTTCTGGTACAACGACAAGATTCTAGGCCCGAGCTCTGCCCCTAAATGAACGTTCCAGGTCCTCTCGCCTCTCCCTTACCTTTTCCTTGGCACGCAGCTCATCAAACATGTCCTGGATCTCGACTTTCCAATCGTCTTGCATGGAGTGGAAGGACTCCTGGGGCATATCATGGAGGACTTGGGTCTCCAGCACCGTCAGTTGGGACAGGATGGATGCAAAAGTGGGGCGTCGGTGGGGGTCCTGCTCCCAGCACTCTGGCGGGACCACCGGGGAAGTGGGAGGGAGACAGACAGAATGCACACAGAGCTCAAACCGGTGCCAGAAATGGGTACAACCCTTTCCCACCTTCTTTGCAGGGCATCCCATCTCGCGATGGAGTCCCTAAGTCCCGCCTCCTTTACTGCTTCCTGCTTACCTGCCATGAGACGTGCAAAGGGTTCCGGGCAAGTGGACGGGATAGGAAGTGTCAGCTTGTTCACAGCGACCCCATAGGCCACGGCAAGGCCATCGATGCCCCGGTACGGAACTTCGCCAGTGAGAAGCTCCCAAAGGAGTACCCCATAGCTGGAGGGAAAAGGACAAGGGAGATAGGGCTAAATTCTAGGGTGCTGCTGAGCCACCCGGGATCCCCGCTTGCAGGGTGATATTCTGCTGCCCTCTCAAAACAGGCCAAACGGTGGAGCCCTGGGCTTCTCTCCTCTCCTGATCTTTGCAGGGGTGGGAATTATAAAGTCCCTCCTTATGAATCTTACCCAGACATTTTGAAACTGCTTCCATAGAGGCTTCCACTCTGTCCCCTTCCAGTTGATCTCCTATTCCAGCTGGTCCTTACTAGAACTCGTGCCGAATGTCTTTTTCCTCCTCCTTCCCAATCTATTTTCCTTTTGTGCAGTGTCTTTTAGGGAAATTTTTAAATGTCTGATCTTTTATTATGCTTTTATATTTGTTGGAAGCTGCCCAGAGTGGCTGGGGCAACCCAGTCAGATGGCTGGGGTACAAATAATAAAACAACAACAACAATTTAGCTTGTAAACCTGAGGGCAGAGACTCTTTTATTATTGATATTTGTAAGCGGGTGGCGCTGTGGGTTAAACCACAGAGCCTAGGGCTTGCCGATCAGAAGGTCGGCGGTTCGAATCCCTGCTGCGGGGTGAGCTCCCGTTGCTCGGTCCCTGCTCCTGCCAACCTAGCAGTTTGAAAGCATGTCAAAGTGCAAGTAGATAAATAAGTACTGCTCTGACGGGAAGGTAAACGGCGTTTCCGTGCGCTGCTCTGGTTCGCCAGAAGCAGCTTAGTCATGGTGGCCACATGACCCGGAAGCTGTATACCGGCTCCCTCGACCAATAAAGCGAGATGAGCGCCGCAACCCCAGAGTTGGCCACGACTGGACATAATGGTCAGGGGTCCCTTTACCTTTACTTTAAGCCACCCGGGGGTCTTTCCCATCAGTTAATTAGCAAGGCTAAAACGGCAAGCAAACATGTACCTGGAAAGTGAAGCCCATCTCTTTGCGCTTACTTGAGACTGATGCTTGCGATCAAGACTTTGAGCTGCAAGCTCACAAGGTTTTTTTTTGCACCACACCCATGACGGGCAATGAAAAATGGTTTCAGTCACTTGTTACCCAATGTCCTGTCCTGTGTATGCACACTGTGGTCACATTCACAACATACATTTAAAGCAGTGGGATACCAGTTTAAATAGTCATGGCTTTTCTCAAAGAATCCTGGGAGCTGAAAGTTGTTAGGAGGCCCCTATTCCCTTCCTTGAGCTACAGTTTCCCAGAGTTCCCCACAAAGAGGAATTGACTGGTTAACCATTATGAGAAGTGTAGCAGGTGGCACTGTGGTTAAACCACAGAGCCTAGGACTTGCCAATCAGAAGGTTGGAGGTTTGAATCCCCGCAACGGGGTGAGCTTCCGTTGCTCGGTCCCTGCTCCTGCCCACCTAGCAGTTCGAAAGCACGTCAAAGTGCAAGTAGATAAATAGGTACCGCTCTGGTGGGAAGGTAAATGGCGTTTCCGTGCGCTGCTCTGGTTCACCAGAAGCGGCTTAGTCATGCTGGCCACATGACCCGGAAGCTGTACGCCGGCTCCCTCGGCCAATAAAGCGAGATGAGCGCCGCAACCCCAGAGTCGGTCACGACTGGACCTAATGGTCAGGGGTCCCTTTACCTTTAAAAACGCTCGTCACCCTTCTCACTTTCCCAGGATTTTTTGGGGGGAAACAAAACAATTTAAAAATGGCATCAGAGCGCTTTAAATGTATGGTGTGAATGAGGCCTGTTTCTGTCTGCCTCTTTCTTACACACGCGTACACTGCTTGGGTTCAGTGTTGCCTAGACCTGGACCTGGAGTGTCCTTGGTGGAGGAACAAGGGGAGCAGATCCGGCCCCATAGCAGATATCCACACTACCAATGATTGTGAGGACCTGTTAGGGATCCCCGCACCAACTGGTTGGCTCTCAAACCCTCCAGTCTCCCTCAGGGCCACAGGAGATGGCAAGGCAGTCAGGAGCTTCAGAGTTGCTGTCAAAGTGCCTGGCTAGCTGCATGTGAGGAGGGGGAAGTGCAAGTCAGCACCTGCCTGGATCAGGGCCTGGCCAAGAGCCAGAAAGGGTTGGAACCTCCAGCTCCCAGACAAACCCTCAGTCTGAGCTACTTCCCTGTCAAAGCTCCAAACCCAGCCTGAAAGGTGTGTGTGTGTAAGAGGGGAGTCTCTTTTCTTACACACATGCAGAATTTTGCTTCTTTTACCTGCTGTGGACTTCCACAGATCCTTGGAGCAAGAACGTGGAGAGCGTGTTAGTTAACTGGGACTCTGACACGGTTTTCGAAACAGGGTGTTCTGCTTTGGCAAGGGAGGTGTCCCAGGGCAAGAGGGTACTTGCTTCTTCCTGCACATCTGGGCTCCAAGGCCAAAATCTAACCTTAGACAGGGCCCACCCCACCCTCTCACCTCCAGACATCGCTGCCCCGGGAGAAGGTGGAGCTTTTGATGACCTCCGGTGCCATCCAGGCGTAGGTGCCCGCCGCGCTCATTTTGGTCGTCTTGTGCCACTCGCGGGCCAGCCCAAAATCGGTGATCTTCAGCGTCTTCCCACTCACATCTCCATCGTCCACGTATTCCGCCAGCAGGACTGAGGGGAGAGAAGAAGCAGACATGGGATTCTGAGGGAAGCCAGTGAAGGAGGCTTGGAGGCCTCCATCCAGGAAAACGCAATCAGAGAGGCCTTAACGAGCCAAAGCTTCCCTGGCCCTCATTCCCCATAACCTGGAAGCCTTTCCTTAAAATTCCCCATGTACATCTGAGGGGCTAATCAGGAGTGAGTATAAGACACCCTTCATATGTTCAGAGTCCTTTGGTTACAAATATTAACAAAATACTTTTTCTCCCGTTAACACAGACATCTACCATTGCCCCATCCTGATTATAATTTTGTATGGCGCCGCCTTTGTTTCTCCAGAGAGCTCAAGGTGGCATACGGATTTCTTCCCCTCTCAATCTTATACTCTCACAACAACCCTGTGAGGTCGGTCAGGACGAGCGATAGCGACTGGCACTAAGTCTCCCGCTGAGCTTCATGGCTGTGTTGTTGACTTAAACCCTGGTCTCCCATGTCCTAGTCCATAGGAAATTGTTCTAATGCTGAGTTAGGACATGGACCCAGCATTGGTGGGATGGAAAGTTAAGGGTACACTTTTATTTTTCAAGGCTTTTTGGGTTTTAGCACATTATCTTAATAAATATTGGGAGAGGGGGAAATAGCATGTTAAAGGTGGTTAATGGACTTCAGCATAGTGGATCATGCAACCTTTATAGGAAGGTTTTTAATGTTTAATGTTTTATTGTGTTTTTGTATATACTGGAAGCAGCCCAGAGTGGCTGGGACAACCCAGTCAGATGGGTGGGGTACAAACAAACAAACAAATAAAAAAAATAGGTAAAGGGATTCTGGGGTTGCGGCGCTCATCTCGCTTTACTGGCAGAGGGAGCCGGCGTTTGTCTGAGGACAGCTTCCGGGTCATGTGGCCATCATGACTAAGCTGCTTCTGGGGAAACAGAGCAGCGCATGGAAACGCCGTTTACCTTCCCACCGGAGTGATACCTATTTATCTACTTGCATTTGACGTGCTTTTGAACTGCTAGGTTGGCAGGAGCAGGGACCGAGCAACGGGAGCTCACCCCGTCGCGGGGATTCAAACATGCCAACCTTCTGATTGGCAAGACATAGGCTCTGTGGTTTAACCCACAGCGCCACCCGCGTCCCAAATATAACAATAGCAACAGCTTAAAGGGAGCTTAAATTACAAAGGCTGACAGCCTTTTGTGACAGCCCTCTGGAGTACTGCCATTTTGTTTTATTTACGTGTGTGTGTGTGTGTATAATTTTTATTAAATTTTCTGTTTTACAATTTTAAACACTCATTTAAACATCCTTAAAATATTAATGACTTCCATTCTTCTCTTTCCATGGTTCATTTTGCACATCATAAATCCCTGCATATTTTACAAAAACTAAACCATTCAGTATTCCATTATTGCGTCCATCAAAACTTATTTACACTGTTGAATTTATCTTAATGCTTCCAGTGCTTTCAGCTGTACACAGTTTCCCCCCATATATTCAATAAACATTTTCCAATCTTCTTTAAACGTATGTTCTTCTCGTTCTCTTGTTCTATATGTTAAGTCTGCAAAGCTGCGCATATTCTGTCAGCTTAAGTTGTCATTCTGGGTGGCTAAGGGGTTATGATTTGGCTGCTAGCTACAATGGCAATATTTTACATATGCTATTGGGGGCACTATGCCTCCAAACACTGGCTGCTGGGGATCACGGCTGCTGCACTCAGGTCCTGCTTGTGAACTTCCCACAGACATCTGGTTGGCAGCAGTGAGAACTGGGCTAGATGGGCCTGATCCAGCAGAGCTCTCCTGACATTCTTATTGCTGCACTATGTGGCAATCAGTCCCTGGGAAGGCACCCTCGTCAGCACCTCCCTGGCACAAAAGGAGCTTCCTGTGCTGGCAGCTTTTACCCACGCTGCCAAGCTTCCTCCGTGCACTTGGCACACACACAGCATGGAAACTGAGCCAGGGCGAGGCAGAAGCAGTCACGCTCCTCTGCTCTAACCTACTAAACCCAACTCAGAACTTCACCGGCAAAAGAACCCATGAGTCCTGGCTCCGTGCCCTGATGGTCCAAAAAGCTGAAACCCACCCCCAATCACTACTCTTCAAAGTGGGGAGATGAAAGAACTTTGCTCAGCACAGTGGTGAATTTTCCAGATTGAACTCTCTCCTGCTGCTGCAAGTGTGTTTTCAATTTCCTGCTGGATTCCAATGGCTTTGGGCCTTATTTTCAAGTTGCTAGTCCTCATATTTAAGGCTCTCTACCTTACCTATTTGATGCTCCAAGGTCAACGCTAGAGCCCTGAGACCAGCATCAGAAACTAATGCCTGACTATCAGGAATGCAACATGCCAGAGCTGGAAAAAGCACATGTAATTCCTGGTCCGTTTTTTTAAACCTCTTTTGAGATGTTAGTGATTCCCCCTAAAGACCTATACAACTTGAGATCCAGGAGCCAGCAGGAGCATCTAGATGTTTGTAGTCATCAATCTAAGTTATCCCAACCATATGAGGGGCAGCAGAATCCTAGAGCTGGAAGGGATCCTAGCGGTCATCTAGCCCAACCCCTTGCCCAGGGCAAGAATCTTCTCGTGACAGCATCCCTGACAGTCTCTAGTTAAGCACCTTCAGTGAAGGAGAGCCCACCACCTCCCGATGCTGCCTGTTCTGCCTCCAGACAGCTCTTGCTTATCAAGATGTTTCCCCAGAACAGTTTGGGGGCAATGTTAAATATATAATGGGGCACACACGGAATAGGAGACGACAAATCTTAGGAACCAATAATCACAGTGAGTGTGCGCAGGTTTGTTTAGTTTTATTAAGAGCCAGGCATTGGGGTGGGGGGTGGGGATCAGGCCTATGTTGGTCAGGGATCTAGACAGTGGCATGTGGTAGGGAGAGGGTTGTTGAACCTTTTCCTTCTTCTGTGCCTGGACTCTGATAAATATCACCGCACTGAACGCTGCTCTTTGCCCAGGAGGGAAACGTCTACAGCAACTTCCATGTGTATGTGTTCACCGTATCAAGAGAGGAGGGTTAACGCTGTTCCCTTTGTGATGTGGTCCCGATTCGGCTTCCTTACCCCCACCTTTTTAAAGCAGGTACATTAAATGTGATTGTGCAGCTTGCCTGTTAGAAAGCTGTTGCCTGTTCTGAGTGGCTGCCAGACAGAGATAAAGAAAATGTCCAGCTCTCAAAAAGGATGCTCTCCAAAACCCTAGCTGGAGATGCCAGGGATCTAAATGGCAACTTTCTGTATGCCAAGCAGATGTCTTCCCACTGAGCCAGGTGTGCCAACTTGAGTAAAATATTTGGGGGAGGGCAGGTAAGTCCAGCCCCTCCATAATCAATCACATGTTGGGGCTCACCCACACCATTTGAATGGCAATGCACATCAACTTTGGGGGGCTTGGCCCCCTCAAATACTTTATTGGGAGAGGGCGAAGGGACTTTGGCCCCTAGGAGCTGTCACACTCTTACTTCCCTCCTCCTTGCAGATACATACAGGCAAAAGCCCTTTGTACACGTCCACCTAGACTTAGGTCCATTTCACTACAGTCGTACCTCAGAAATTGAATGGAATCCATTCCGGAAGTCCATTCGACTTCCAAAACATTGGGGAACCAAGGCACGGCTTCTGATTGGCTGCAGGAAACTCCTGCAACCAATCGGAAGCCGCAACGGACATTCGGCTTCCAAAGAACGTTCACAAACCGGAACAATCACTTCCGGGTTTGCGGAGTTCGGGAGCCAAAACGTTCGCCTTGCAAGGCGTTCGACTTCCGAGGTACGACTGTATTTTGGTTATGAATAAACCAAATAATCCCTAATGCTACTTGAAACAGAGCTGCCTTGCCATACCTTTCTGATCTGACATATTTGGAATTGCAATCTATCTGCCTTACCTAACGCATAAGAGGCTTAGTGTCTCATGTCTGACAGATGCTGCAGAGCATTATAAATACAAACACCACCACCCAAAAAACAGAAGAAAGCAAGCCTGTCTCCTTAATCCAGCTGTACGAGCACAGGATACGGTAACCCAAGACTGCACTCTGCACGTCATCAGAGGCACTGCTGTTGCCGTTTTGTACTTCCCAGATCCTGGGAAATGGTTATGGGTGTCTCCCTGTGAGACACCCAAAAGGACTCCCCGCCCCCCACGTTCCTTTAGTACCAGTTGGGAGCATCGGTCCCTCTCAGCCCTGGCCCTCAGCTATGGCCCACAAGCCCTTTCCGCAGCCCTGGCTGCGAGGCAATCCCAGTCCCGCCGTTCTGGCTGGGCTTTGGCCCCATGACCCGTAGGCGACTCAAGCATTTCCCTGGGATGCTGCGTCACTGAGCGCCCCATTGTGTGTGGCGCTGGCAGGAGAATCGGTCCATTGTTCTGTTGGGCTGTAGGGAAGGGGCTCCCCCGACAGAAGTACCCCAAGAAGGCACCCTCCCCGCCCCCAACAGCTGCTGCTGCTGCTCTGAGGCCTAGACGTTTTTCCCTTCCCCAGTCAGCCAGGACAGAGAGGAAGCCTGAGCGAGAGCGAGCAGGAAGCCACTGGGGAGGAAGTGAAGGGACCAGATCTCTGCCACAACCACTGGGCCATTGTTTAAGAGAGGCTGGCGAACAACTCTCTCTCTCTCTCTCTCTCTCTCTCTCTCTCTCTCTCTCTCTCCCTCCCTCCTCTGCCTTGAAAGAACACCCTACGCAAGGAAAGCCCTCTTTAAAACAACGCCACACCCTCCACCGACATCCACAGCCTTCCTAGAGATCAGGGAGGGAGGTCTGCTTACCAGCACCGTCACACAAGCACACACAACTTATTAAGTCTTCTCCCTACATACCCACCCAAATCGCTTTGGTCTGTGGAACTGGCACCGATTCAGGTGCCACGTAACACTTATTCCACATTTGTAAGCAATCCATCTTTTAGCGTGGCAGCACCCACACTTCAGACCTTCCAAGTGCCCCTGTTTTCCAGGGACAGTCCCGGATTTACAGAAGCTGTCCCGGTTTCTGATTTGACCCTGGGATGTCCCGCTTTTCCTTAGGAAAAGAGAAACGTTAGAGGGTATGGAGTTATGAAAAGGAAGAAAAAAACCAAGCCAAGGAGATAAGTAACTATACAACCTTTTGAAGACTTCTGAAGGGAGCCCTATGTAGGGAAGTTTTTTAATATTTTATTATGTTTTTATATAAGTTGGAAGCTGCCTGGAGCGTACTCTAGTGCTTTAAATGTATGGTGCTAATATTGTTTGGGAGGCCACTAGGTTAATTCTACCTACGAATTAACCAACTCACTGCTTTGTGTTCATGGGTGGCCCACTGAGTTTTTACTTGGCAGCATAAAGAACTAGAAATTTGTCTCTTCTCCCCTCAAAAAGGCAAGGTTCTCAAGGAACTGCAATATCAGTTTTAACTGATTTTAATACTCTGGAACATCATGGTGAAGGGCAGGTAATAAATATATCTAGGTTTGTCGTCAACAACTATGTTTTCATTAGGGAAAACTCATGGGAAGAAATCGTCCTAAGCTAGTTATGGCTATGGATTTCATTGGATCATAGAATCATGGAATCATAGAATTATAGCGTGGAAGGAATCCCAAAGGTCATCTAGTCCAACCCCCGGCAATGCAGGAATCTCAGCTATAACATCCATGAGAGATGGCCATCCAACCTCTGCTTAAAAACCTCCAAGGAAGGAGAGTCCACAACCTCTCGATAGGTCTACTCAGAATAGAACTCAAATGGAAAACACCTTGAACAATATTATTAGTAATATTATTAGTAAGTATAATACAGGAGGAGTTATTGGGGCAGCTACAGAGTGAATTGCCCTTCCCTCCTCAACTAGTACACACACAGAGAAACACTTATGCCTTAGCTGGATGGTCTGCAACAGAGGAGCAAAGGCTTGGAACATAAGGAGGATATATATGTTACACTGAAATCATCTTGCCTCTCACTCGGACGTTCAGTCACATGCACATAAACAACCTCAGGGTCCCTACTTGTGATTCTACTGCCAAGGACTGCTGCTTTACATACGAGAGAGTTTCCATGGTGATTATTGCACAATTGGCGCGCGGGGCTTTTCTGCTCGTGATTTCACAACTCCCTGGCCTCCCCAACTGTCTGGGAGTTCTGGCTCACAATTCCAGGACAGGAGAGAGAACAGGCAGAACTGAGATCCTCACCTTGGTGCGGGGGTGGGGTGGGTGGGAGTGCAGAATAACTGTGTCAGCACCACAAGAGGAGTGGTAAGATCTTTAAAAGCACACCATCAACAGCAGCTGCCGCCACAAATTCAAAAGTTGACACCTAAGTCTAGAAGCCCCACACAGACTCCTCACTGGAGTGCGCAGGCAAGTACAGTGTTGTGGTTAGTGTGTCAGACTAGGAACTGGGAGACCAGGGTTCAAATCCCCACTCAGGAGATCCCTGGGTACATTGGACGTACCTCACAGGGTTGTTAGGGTGATTAAATGAGGAAGGGGAGATCCATGTATGTCACCTCGAGCTCCTGAGAGAGAAAGGTGGGATGGAAATGCAATGTAATAAAATAAAAAATGTCGGATCTCAGGTCTCACACAGCCATGGTGGAGATGGTGGGGTCCACCTCTCGCAGGCTGTGTCAGGCTGCTACCAGCCCCAGCACATATTTTCATTTCTTATTTGGAATATTTGCATCCCACTTTTTCTGCAAAGGGCCCTGGCAGTGGATCGGTTCACATGTCGCTTTCAACAATGGCTAAACTTAGCTATGGTTTGAAGTTGAAAACACAGTGCGCCGATGTGTGTGGTTGAAATGATGAGCGCTTTCCTCGTCCCCTGCTTCTGCCGCCCTGCCAAGACTCACCATGTTAGAAACTCATGTCTATAAGCCAAATGACTCCTTACACCAAGGTTGCAGTCACCAAAAGAGAATGTCTAGCTGCCATTTTAGGGCAAGACAGCTCTAAAGTCTTCTTTTTCATGGACTCTCTGTGACTGATTCTCAGTTAAACATCCGGCTACTTCAGCTGACAACCTTGAGCTAGCTTAAGAACTTTCGAGAACTTAAAGAATAAAAGTCACTTGATCCAGGGACAGTCTGCATATCTATCGGCTTATTCCAACCTCTTTTTCTTAATGCGGACTGCTCCTGCTCAGGCTGCACAGATAAAGCAATTTGGTTCCTGAAATTCATTCCAATTGTGAAGATAAAATGTAACTGATAAGAATTCTACAGGATGGGGTATTAGTGTGTGAAAACAGTCCAGATCCAATGATCCCCAGATGGTAGAGATGTCAGGCGCAATCCTGGCGCCCAGGTACCTTCACTTGGTTGCAAGTGGTCAAAACCCAGGGTGCAAAATGCGCCTGGCCCCTGGCTAATTTCGAACACTGTCAGCAATTACTCCTTACCTTAATGGGAAGGGTAAGCTCAGGATTGGAAGGGTAAGCTCCCCTTTCCACCTTCCCACTGCCAGCTCCCTCTATCTGTCTATCTCTTTCTACAACCTCCACCTTTCTTTGCCTGGCAGGTTGCCAGGGAATGGGCAGATTTCTCTTGCCAGAGGTCTGGACTGCTTTCTTGCATAGGGCTTTCCTTCTCCCCTTCCATCATTGCTTCTGCTTCAGCTGTTCCTGCCTCCCACTCCCCACTTTTTCTCCTCCTCTCCCCCCCCCCACTACTGCCAACCGTATGATATTTGACTGAGGGCCACATGAAGCCAGGCCGAGGGCCGCAAGCTCCGCATCCCTGCTTTTAGGTCTCGTTGGCGGCTGTCCTCTGCCATCAGAAGCGGAGTGGGTGGTGATCGAGGAAAAGGCCTTCTCTGTGGTGGCAGCCTGGTTGTGAAATGCTCTCCTTAAGGAAGCGTGGGTGAGGCCTAATCTGATTTGGCTTCTGCATGGGGCAAAGATGTGCTTTTAAAAACTACAACAACAGCTTTTAAGAATAATTTTATCTCCTGGCCTTGCTTTTCAGCTGCTTCATTAAATGGTGGTGCTTCTCTAATGCTTTTAATTGCATTTATGGTAAGACACCCTGGGAATTCACTGAAGGGGGTTGGAATTCCTGTAATGAGAATAAAGAATGGTGTTTGAAGCATTGCCATCCAGCCCCTATAATATTGTGGTGTAAAGCTGAAAGTGCCACTTTGCCTGGGTATAAAGAAACTCTCCTCTCTGTTAGCAAACTGGAGCACTGAAAACAGGGGTGAGGGCCAAGCCTTGGCTCAAACTGTGTTTATTATTATTATTAATTAAATTTGTACACTGCCCCACACCCATAGATCACAGGGCAGTTCACAACATACCGTAGCAACTGCCCTCTCCGCAGTCGGCTCCTCAGGGCTTGCCATTAAGCCAAACCAACACATAGTTTTCATGTATTGATGAAGTCACCAATACATGAAAACTCTGTGTTGGTTTGGCTTAATGGCAAGCCCTGAGATCTACTGAAGATCCTTCGTGGAGCAAGGGGTTGCACGAGATGACCTCCACAAAGGATCTTCCGTGCAGCATGTTACAGTGACACAGCCCTGACTGACAGCCACTCAGCCTCTGGGATTTAACAGCCCCTGCAAAGGAGGGCCCACCTGCGACTCTCAAGGCAGCCTGGTTCTCTGTCGGACAGCTTACGCCACTAGGACTTTTCTCTTAATCTTTAGCCAAAACCTTCTTCCCTGCTGTTTCCAGACCTAGGGCTCTACACCTAGACTTCCAGAACAACAGTTAGCAAGGCCACATTCATACATTTAAAGCACTATGATACCACTTTAAACCATGGGTAGGCTAACTAAGGCCCAGGGGACGGATCCCGCCCAATCACCTTCTAAATCCGGCCCATGGACGGTCCAGGAATCAGTATGTTTTTACATGAGTAGAATGTGTCCTTTTATTTAAAATGCACCTCTGGGTTATTTGTGGGGCATGGGAATTCATTCATACCCCCCCCAAAAAAATATAGTCTGCCCCCCACAAGGTCTGAGGGGCAGTGGACTGGCCTCCTGCTGAAAAAGTTTGCTGACCTCTGCTTTAAACAGTCATGGCTTCTCCCAAAGAATTCTGGGAGCTGAAGCTCGTTAAGGGTGCTGAGAGTTGTTAGGAAACCCCTCTCTCCTTCCCACAGCTACTATTTCTAGTGCTACCTGGGGAAAGAGATTGACTGTTAAACCACTCGGAAAACTGTAGCCCTGGGAGGGAAATAGAGGAATAAAAGCTCTCAGCACCCTTAACAAACGCGCCTTCCCAGGATTTTTTGGCACAGAAGTCACGACTATAAAGTAGTATTATAGTATGGTGTGAAGGTGGCCTGAGTCTGCGCTGTCTTCTGCATGACGGACAGCCTTTCAGATATTTGAAGACGACTCTCCTGCTGCTTTCAGATATTGCCAGATGGTTGATAATGAGTGACAAATTTACACACACACACATACGCATAAGACCTGGAATAAAGAAGGAAGAACCTATAGACAAGCAACTGTTGTCCTTTGAGAGGAGTCGAAAGGAATTTGAAAGAGGGATCACTGTTTGCGGGGTGTACCTACTCCTTCCATGTTCACCTGTGTTAAACAGGTTGGGCAAGTTTTTCGTATCCCCCCCCTGCCCACCCCCGCAAAACTTGTTTGATCAGAAGTGACAGTAGGAAGAAAGAAGTTTGCATGTGTGTGTACATCACAGGAAGCGAAATCTCTCTCCCAAGCCACCTCCAACTGACTTAAAAACGACTGTCTACATCAGAGCTTTCCAAACTCTGTGTCACGACACGTTATCGTTTCGGCTGCAGTGTGGGCTAGAATGAGAGCCTGCTGGTAAAGCTGAATTACTGGTTTGCTAGTAGAACTGAATTACTGTGTCATGAAATGATGTGTGTCTAAAAAGTGCGTCACCACCATGACAAGTTTTGAAAGCTCTGGTCTACGTTCTGTTACAGTAGCTTATATTTCTAAAGAGAGGCAGATGGCAAGGTTTTTTGAGCCTGTTAGGAGAGGCTATACCATAGCTGTCAACCTTCCCTTTTTTTGCGGGAAATTCCCTTATTCCAGTGCCGTTTCCCACTGCTATCTCGGATTGTTAGATATTCAGTAGACTATCCCTGGAACAGGTGAGGCTGCTGAACCCTTATTTTCGAGGCTGCTGATCCCTTATTTTCAAATCTGAAAGTTGACAGCTATGGGCTATACTGTATGCTCTGAACATACAGTATCTGTCAAATTCCAGATGCTCCACATCCTCCTTTGGGTGTTTTTGCCAGGCTGGAATGTGTCATTGAACTCTGATCATGCTTCTTGATGGAGGATACACTGCGATGTGTTGAGTGTGTGTAGAAACTAGCTGACTATACAATGGTAAAATTAACATTATTTTTGCTCCACCCACTTTTGCTGCTAGTCCTGCCTACAAGGGGCATGTGACCCCAGAAGGAAACATGGCTCATAGGCTGAAAAGATTCCCAGCCCTAATGGGATAGCTCAGTTGGTTAGAGCATGGTGCAGATAACGCCAATGTTGCAGGTTTGATCCCCATATGGGACAGCTGCATATTCCTAGGGTTGGACTAGACCAGGGGACAGCAAACTTTTTCAGCACAGGGGCGGTCCACTGTCCCTCAGACCTTGTGGGGGGCTGGAATATGTTTTGAAAAAAATAAATGAACGAATTCCTATGCCCCACAAATAACCCAGAGATGCATTTTAAATAAAAGCACACATTCTACTCATATAAAAACACACTGATTCCTGGACTGTCCGCGGGCCGGATTCAGAAGGTGATTGGGACGGATTCGGCCTCCGGGCCTTAGTTTGCCTACCCATGGACTAGACCTTGGAACATCCAACACGTAGATCGTGATCTACCAGTAGATAAGTGGACGTTCTGTGGTAGATCACTGGTGGATCAGTGGCTCCTCCCAAAGAAGCTCAACAATTTTGACCTGAACCCCCCAAAATGGGGTAGATCACTGCCAGTTTTTAACTCTGTGAGTAGATCGCAGTCTCTTGGGAGTTGGCCACCCCTGGACTAGAGGATCTTCAGGGTCCCTTCCGACTCTACAATTCTATGACAGCAGCATTTGTCCTTGCTTTGAGGGAAGTAATCATTCTTAGGATAGGTGAGGCCCCTGAGCCAGGAAGATCCGCAGGCCTAAAATATATGCATATATCCCAGTTTGCAGCATTCTGTCACACTCAGGGGTGACCAAGAAACAAGGAGGACAGTGCTTTGCACACAGGTGCAGGATGGATGCTTACCATCTACTCCCTTCCCAACTTTGCATCCAAAGGCAGCTCCCATTTAGTCCTATATTTGGAGGAATCCTGTTGCAGTGAACATTCCCTGCCATATACGGGCTTGTCCTCCTCTCACACCGTGCCTGACATAATGGTGGGCATTTTGCAAACAGTAATAACTACAATTTAGGGAACAAATTGCTAGGTACTGTTCCCGCAGCGTAAGAAGCAGAGCTGCCGGATTAAGAGCAAAGGCTCACCTCTTCCAGCGTCTCGTTCCCCATGGTAGCCAAACAGATGCTCCCCATTTAACCCAGAATTAAATTCTTTAATACAGAATTAAATTCATTAACCCAGAGTTAAATTCATTAATCCAGAATTAAAACAACCCTGCAGGGCGTGATTCTCATATGACCGACGGAGGCGGGCAGTTGGGATGGGACTAAGAAAACAGCCATCATCCGATCAGCTTTGAAACAGGAACCCTTCTGCCTGAAAGACACGACATCTAGAGGACAATGTGCCTCTGAACATGTGCAGAGTGCCTTGCAACTGGCACAAGGGAGACGGCGCTGGCCATCTGCCTATCTGCGATGGGGAGGTGCAGGCTTCTGCCACAGGAAGATTTGCTTTTAGGGAGATCAAAGCAAGAGTTGCTTAGAGCGAGGGCTGCAATGGTATGGGACAAAACTCCCCCTTCTTGTCCCTGGTTCCCCTCCCCAAATCTACAGCTGGAGGAAGCCTAGCGCCTGGAGAGAGAGAGGAAAAGGCTTCAAATCATCAGGCTCTTGTTTGCATGGAAAGAAAAACATTTATCTCGCCCTCACAAGAGGAAACGACAGTGTAGAGTTAGTTTCTGGGGGAGAGAGAGAGAGATAGAGAGAGAGAGAGTTGCTGTCACTTCCTTCTAGCTTTGGGTCACTGAGGTCACACTCGCTTGCTGTCTGATGGCAAAACTCCGGGAGGAGAACAGTGAGAGGGTGGCAGATAGAACTTCATTTCCCAAACTGGACCTGCTAGTTCTCATGCCTGCCTCCACCTTAGTTCACCTCTTGAACTAAGGCACGTGGGAGGGGTAAAAATGTGTTTACTTGGCGGGGGGGGGGACAGTACTCTGGATGTGCTCAGAGGCACCCTTGCTTCCCAGAACTGAAGGAAGGTTCCAGGCCTGATTCTGGCTTAAAGGAAGGCTCCTTTCCTGTGCCTTCCAAAACCTTCCTGTCCACTGGGCAGCTTGCCCCATCAGGGAGGGATGTAGTGGTCAAGTGCCTGCTTTGCACACAGATGGCCCCAAGTTTAAACCCGCAACATCTCCTGTTAGGCTGGGAGAGTCCCCTGGCTGAAATCTTGGGAGAGCAGCTGCCAGCTAGTGCAGATTCCTACGCTTCACGGGGTTGGACTAGATGACCCCTGGGGTGCCTTCCAAGTCTACAATTCTATGTTTCTATCCTATACTGAGCTAGATAGATCAATGGTCTGACTTGCTATACAGCAGCTTCCTACATTCCTATTGCTGCATATACACCATGCCTTAAAAGCAAATAAAATCCCAGGAACTTTAGTTTACCCCTGAAAGAGCAACAATTCTCAGAACCCTTAAATTACAATACCCAGGATTCTCTATGGGGAACAGGTGCTTTAAATTTACAGTGCATATTCCTTATCAATGGCTTCTTTTGAGAGTGCTGCTTGCTCCCAGTACACCTGTTCCAGAAGTCACCTTTTCTTGCCTTCATTTCCCCCCCATTTTTTCTTTTACACTTGAAACACTAACAACATTTCAAATTTCAGCGCTGTTGTTGAAAGGAAGGCTTTCTGTGGTTCCCCGCCCCCCGTGGGGCACAATCCCTAGCGAGAAGTTATATTTCTACACAATGAACTACACAATGGCACAAACCGCCTGCTAGATTGTGTACCCCAATGCTAAAATAAATAAGGAAGGACATAGTTTAGGCCATGAAATTGATGCAACTTGGAATTGCAGTTTTGACATTTACTATCAAGGCTTAAGGAAGGAATGGGGAAGTTCTTCCCCGCATTAAGGTCGCATTCCTTCGTGGCCAATGCTCTAGGTGCTGCGTGCCAGGAGTGGGAGGGGCCAGATGCAAAAGTAGGCAGAGCAATGCATGTGACGCTCAGCTTTGTGCAGGAGGTTGCATTCTGGGCACATAGAAGCCAAAGGCAATTGCATGGCTCCCACTTCCCCCACATATTCCCATCCTGTACCCAGGCAAGCAAGACACCTTCTCACAGTCCAAAGACAGGCAAACCAGGCAAAACGACTCAGCTATGGCACAGAGCAGGGCTGGTGAGGGCTATGGCCTTGGGTGAGGTTCAAGGGCCAGACAGAGAGGTCCTGGGGGCCGTATTTGGCCCCCAGGCCTGATGCTTCCTGTTCCTGGCTTACAGTGTCCTCGTTTTCTTAAATACTGCACTCAAATCTGCAAGCAGGGTGGTGTCTTGGGAATTGCCTATCACCTCTGTCGAGCTGCTGAGGCTTTACTTGTTTCTACACAACAGGAAAAGTTTCATTAAGAGGGGAGAGAGACAGAGCCTTTTCCAAAGTGGCACCCAGAAGATGACATTCTCTCCCAGAAAGGTCTGCCTGGCCTCCTCCCTGTTCATCTTTAAGCCGGCATTTAAAAACAAGATTATTCCAACAGGGATGTTCCGAGTTAATTTTCCATGTTCCGTTCTTATTTTCCCTCCTCGGTTGTTCTTTTCATTATTGTAAGTTTATGGCTTGGTTACATTTTCTTGCATTTCGTTCTACTGTTTGATCTTAAGATATCGTTACGTGAGCAATTTCAAGCCGAAAGGCGGGGATGCACATTTTTGAAACGAACTAACCAACCAGCTTGATTTGTTCAGGCAAAATATATGCAAATATATGCAAATCCCTCACCACCAATCCCAACCCTCCTACTCACTGTTGTTGGATTTCAGGTCGCGATGAATGACGGGCACGATGGCTTCGCAGTGCAGGTACTGCATCCCGTGAGCGATTTGCACGGCCCAGTTGATGAGGATGTGGGGTGGGATCCTGCGGCCGGCAAGCATGCGGCTGAGGGGACCCCCGGCCGCATATTCCATCACCAGGCACAAGTTGGGCTCGCGGAGGCAGACGGCTTTGAGGGCAATGATGTTGGGGTGCTGCAACATGGCAAAGAGCCGCGCCTCTTGCCGTACTCTCTCCGACGTGGTGCTGATGTCCTCGTCCGGATCTTGGCGGGCGGCCTTGACCGCCACCAACTCCCCCTTCCAGCTGCCGCGGTACACCTTCCCGAAGCCACCGACCCCAATCACTTCCTCCAGCCTCAGGTCCCGGAAGTCGGCCTCAGGGGGGCTCTCGGGGCCCGCGTAGCCCCCCGTCTTGGGCGACACGTAATTGGAAGGGAAGATGCCCACTTGGTTGTTCACCTTGCCGGCCCACCAGCCTTCGTCCCCAGAGATGGCGGCATCCCACGAAAGCACCTCCACCAAGTCGCCTTTCCGCAGGGTCAACTCGTCGCTGCTGGCGGCCTCGTAGTCAAATAACGCCGTCCAGACGGGGTTGGCGTAGGCCGTGGTGCCCCCGCTCCGCGAACCTGGCCCCCAGGCCACTAGTGGGGCCTTCCGGAACATGCTTCCCAGGGGCTCCTTGGGGTCCTCTGGGCCTCATTGGTCCAAGGCCCCCGACATCTAGGTCACTAACATTGCCTTCCTTGCCACTTCCCAGAGGATAGAGACCATCCAGGGGGCCACAGGGGCGTTCAGCAGGGAAGTGGGGTGAAAACTCCTGCCTGCCAAAACCCCCTCCCGTCGAGGAAGCAGGATCCAGCCCTTTGAGTTTATAGACTCCTCTCAACGAATCCGGGGTCAGAGGCTCTCCATGGCCCTCACCAGGGGTAGGAAGACCACCCCGTCTAGTCTCTCCCGCAGAGAACAGGGGGCCGCTCCCTACGGCCGGTTTCCTCCCAAGCGGGCGGGGAACTCGCTAGGGGGGCCCCGTCGAACCCGCCAACGCGATCCGATGTAGGCAATGGTGGTCGTCCCCCCTCGTCGTCCCCACCCTGGCGTCTTGCCTGCTCTTCTCCCAAGGCACCCTCCGTCCGAGGCTCTCCAAGCGGATCTGCGCCGCGATCAGCTTCCTTATCCAGTCCCGTCCGGTCCCTCCCCTCGAAGCTTCCAGGCGAAGCGGCGCCCGGCTCCACGGAAAGGACTCGCTCGCTAGCCCCGTTTCAAAGCCGGCGCTGGGACGGGTGGAGGGCAGACAGGACCCCCGTCACACAAGGAACCCGTCCCGTCGAGGAGGAAGCCCCGATGGCGCGCCTGCCTGGGCTTTGTACCTTCGCTGCGCTCGGTCCTGGGCAGAAGTGCCGGACGGAGCGAGGCGGGGAAGGCAGGGCAGGGGAGGGGTTTGAATTCCTCGGCCTGCCCCGGGGGAGGCGGGTCTCTCTCTCTCTCTCTCTCTCTCTCTCTCTCTCTCTCTCTCTCTCCCCCCTGGGTGGAACAAAAGGCAAGGGTGCTTTCCAGCGAAGGGTCAGCTCCGGCCTCCAGAACGCGGGGGCTTTTGCTTTCCAGATCCGTGGGAGGAGATACATAAAACCATTGTCTCCCTTCCCAGGGGAGCAGCTTCGTTTGGTGTAAAAGGGGGCGCGGGCAAGTTTTGGAGTCCAACAGCACTCTTGGGCTTTTTTCTCTCTCCCAGCGCAGCGTTCTGTGAAAATCGAAACTGCGCTCTCCTGTAGTTCACGCCAATCAAAGGAAGACTTCTAAAGCCTCTGAACCTCCTCTGAGAGACCAGGTCCATAACTGACTCCTGAAGAAAATATATACAAGAAGGGACATCTGGGGAGCATGGGGCACACTGAATACTGCGGGATAGATTACGGCAGGGATGGCCAACCTGTGCACCCTGGGATGTTATTGGGTGTTATGGCTCTGCAGCGCCAATCGTTGGTGATCATTGATACGATATGATACGATAATCTTTATTGCCATTGTCCCATACAGAACAACGAAATTGAATCTACACAAGGCATTCAAAAACTAACAAGCCTGCTATCCCAGCTATCCCAACCTGGTTAGCCCCCTAAAAACTCTGGCTAGTTGGGGCTGATGGGAGTTATGAGTCCTCCAGCATCTGGAGATCGCAGATTAACCACTCCTGGTTTGGTTCTCAACAGCCTTGAAATTAATAAATATGCATTATTTCTAAATAATTGGATCCTTCGCTGATAAGTGGACTGTATCAGAAACTGCAAGAAACCACGAGCATTATTAGACTCCCTAAGCCTAAGAGAACTGTGGGAACAAGACTTAGAGCCTGAAACTGACTATAAAGTTGGCTATAAATTGTATTGTTTCACTGGTAATTCCTTAATTATTTTATACAATTTATTTGTGATGTTCAGTTACATGTTATGTTATTGTTATTGTTTGTACGTCACTTTGGGATTCATTTGAATGGAAAGCGGAGTAGAGATATAATAAATCGAATAAACCAAACCAAATCTGGAGCACAATACCATTCCAGTCCGTTGCATTCCAAATGAGAGAAAATTCATCCAAATTAATTCATAGACGGTACCTGGCTCCCCACAGTCTTAGCAGAATATCAAGTACTGATAGCCTACTATGCTGGAGAGGCTGCGGAGTCAATTTCCAAATTCCGTATGTTGTGGTCCTGTGAGAAGATACAGAAATTATAGAAAAAAATATTTTATGAAATGGGACTTACCATGGGTCAGAAACTAGACCGAAATTCCAGGATAGCATTGCTACCCATATTTGATGAGGGAAGTCAAAATATAAAACATTATGGTTGGGGTATTTCAATACCATCTGATATATGATTGGTATTGTTTGCTGTTGTTATTTCATACTGTAACACTGTATATTACACACCCTGCCCCCTTTGTTATTTCCCTTTTTTCCAGTGCCTATCTATTTTTGTATATTACAAAAAAATGATAAAAAGTTGGGGGGTGATTAAAAAATAAGGATATTAAAAATTTTACTATCTGGAGTATTTCAGCTTGAAGGTAGCAAGATTTGAGCATGGGTGGGCAAACTGAGCTCCGGGGGCCGGATTTGGCCCAATCGCCTTCTCAATCCGGCCCGCAGACGGTCCGGGAATCAGCATGTTTTTACATGAGTAGAATGTGTGCTTTTATTTAAAATGCATCTCTGGGTTATTCGTGGGGCATAGGAATTCGTTCATATATTTTTTCAAAATATAGTCCTGCCCCCCACAAGGTCTGAGGGACAGTGGACTGGCCCCCTGCTGAAAACGTTTGCTGACCCCTGGATTTGAGAGACAACTTGCTATTTGAATGCTTCCAGCAAACTTGGGCAATTGTATTGATGGGGAAATAACACAAAAGGCAAAAAACGAACAAATTAAAAAAGACAGAAGAAAAGTTACAAGCAACATGGCATCTCTTTATTAAATACGTAGCACAAAACCAACATCAATGGCAACCACTAGCCATGCATGACCTTCTGTGGAATCACATAAAGTGATACCACAGACCCCCAAAAAGAGGATTCCAGTCATAAGTAAAGAAGAACAGAGATTTAACCAATGGTTGTAGCTATATGTAACTTTTATGCTTATGTTTTGTTTAGGTAGGCTTGCCGTACGTCAGGTAAATTCCTGACATGTCCTGGTTTGGGGGTGTAAAAATGGCGTCGGGGGTGGGATCGGCAAAATGTCACGGAAAACCCAGATGTATGGCAATGCGATCAAAAAAGCAACGGAAACTTAAAATCACTATTTTAACTTTGTGGGTGTCAGGAATTTTATTTTTTGAAATATAGAAACCCTATGTTCTGTTCTGCATTGTCTGATTTTGTCAGAATTTCTTAAAAGAAGAAGAAGAAGAAGAAGAAGAAGAAGAAGAAGAAGAAGAAGAAGAAGACGACGACGACTGCAGGCTTACAATCAAATACTGAAAGGAATAGGGAAAAATTGAGCATAAACCCAGACCTAGAACATTTTAAAAATAACAATTGGTGATTACACGGGGTAGGGAAAATAATTTATGGGAACCTCTAATGCTTCTAAGCATAGTGAAGATGTGTCAAGAGAGATCACACATCTAGGATTTGACATTTCTTATTCTCTGAAACTGATCAAGCAGTAATTCCCTGTCTCCTCCTCTGCTTGCCAGGTTCCTAAGCTTTTGGGGGCAGAATTTCTGGGTTGATGTTTCCAGCAGGATTGTGCTTCATTGACTCAAGCTTTTCTGATAGCTTTTTGGAAAATAGCACAGAGCTCACAGCAGACCTTGAACCTGTGGCCTTGGGGCATTGATGGGGCAATCATCAAGGAGGGAATTGTGGGAAAACGAGCTATTATCCCTGCTCTTCCGGTTTCATTCAAACACAGGAAAGGCTGAAGCAGATCATGTGAGTGATTTCCTGTATACAAATGCCTGGGCTGGGCTGCGCTGTTTTGGTTTGAGCAAGTTCAGGGTTAAGCTTTGTCTCTTCCCTTTTACTGCTCCAGTCCTCAGGCCAAATCAAGACTGTGTGCAGTCACTCTTAGTCCTATTCCAGTGTGAGACATTCCCTCAGCTCATCTTCTTTGTTTGAGAATCACCTCTCTCTAATTTTCATTTCTAAAAAGAAGGGAAGTTATTAGCACTCATTTCAGTTGGTTAGAGCATGGTGCTGTTTACGCCAAAGTTGCAGGCTCAATCCCTATATGGGACAGCTGTATATTCCTGCATTGCAGGGGGTTGGATTAGAATCAGGGGTCAGCAAACTTTTTCAGCAGGGGGCCGGTCCACGGTCCCTCAGATCTTGTGGGGGGGGGCGGAATATATATATATTTTGGGGGAAATTAACGAATTACTATGCCCCACAAATAACCCAGAGATGCATTTTAAATAAAAGCACACATTCTACTTATGTAAAAACACACAGATTCCTGGACCGTCCGTGGGCTGGATTTAGAAGGCGATTGGGCCACATCCGGCCCCCTGGCCTTAGTTTGCCTACCCATGGGCTAGATGATCCTCAAGCTCCCTTCCAACTCTACGATTCTATGATTTATTTACAGTTGTGCTGGTCAATTCTCAACACATCCAAGCTGAAGTGGGGCTGGACATCACAAAACCCAGCACAATTTGGGGTTTCTACCAGCCTGAGACTTGGAAAGGATGGATGATGGCATTCTAAGGCACTTAATATGCAGGCATCTCCATAGAGCAAAAAGGGAAAGTACACTTTTAGTTGTGGGAATCCTTTCCAGACCAGTAAGGCTTGTAGTCACACAGCCAGTTGCAGCAAACACGTTGTACATTGGGTTTCTGTTAAAATCCCTGTTGAAGGGATAATCTTTGGCAGAGTAAACTGGAACTACAAATCCAGTGTCACTTTTCTGACCTCGTATCTCATAACTTACGGCACACAGACAAGTGAATATGGTGTCACAACCCATGTTTTCAAGTCACAGAACCTCTCTGACATGTTACTGTGATTTATTACTGTCTGATTCGGAATCGGCAGGCAGGCATGGCTTTTCATCCTTTATTTCCACTTCTCAGACTTGACGGTAGAATACAAATCATTATACATAAAAAAACAAAAACTGAAGTTTAGATAGCATTCACTATTAGGAATCAGTTATTCTAGGAACGTTGAAACCTTATGTTTAAGTGAAGAGTTATGGCATATATTTATGCATGCAACAAAAAGCATGGGAATTGTAAAACTTCAGGGGCCTGGCTTAACTTTTACACTGTGTAAGCAGAAAACATGTTCCACAGTCTCATATTGTGCTGCTTTACAACTTTTATGTCAGATCCAAACCATATAGCGGTATTTAAAACACAAAGTGCATTTAAAGCACATTACTTCCCCCAAAAGATCCTGAGAACTGAAGTTTCCCCCTCACAAAGCTACAATTCCAAGCGTCCTTGTTATTTAGTCATTTAGTTGTGTCCAACTCTTTATGACCCCATGGACCAGAGCACGCCAGGCACTTCTGTCTTCCACTGCCTCCCACAGTTTGGTCAAACTCATGTTAGTAGCTTTGAGAACACTGTCCAACCATCTTGTCCTCTGTCGTCCCCTTCTCCTTGTACCCTCCATCTTCCCAACACCAGGGTCTTTTCCAGGGAGTCTTCTCTTCTCATGAGGTGGCCAAAGTATTGTAGCCTCAGCTTCAGGATCTGTCCTTCCAGTGAGCACTCAGGGCTGATTTCCTTCAGAATGGATAGGTTTGATCTTCTTGCAGTCCATGGGACTCTCAAGAGTCTCTTCCAGCACCATAGTTCAAAAGCATCCTTAACAAACTGCAATTCCTAGGACTTGGGGGGGAGGGGGTATCATGTGCCTTAAATGTGATTTGGATGTATTTTATGTGTATGGTGTGGACCTGCCTCCATGTAGCCACACTTTCCTCTTGTCCTTCGGTCCTAAACATCTTCCCTTGCAGGGCAAGGGAACAGAGTAAGTCAAACCAGAGAGACAGCTGATCAGCTGAAGTCTTGATAGCTCCTCCTCCCCTTTCCATCTCTCTGACACACACAAACACAAATGTGTGCAGAAGACTTCGCAGCAGCACCCCATGCCAACATTCACGGCAACATGCAGCAACATATCCTATGCACACAGCAACACACATGGCATGATATGGTATGATTTTTTATTTATACACCACCCAAAGCCCCCCAAAGTGTGAGCCACATTAATACATGTGAATATGAAATAAATACACAATAAAGGTACCATGCATACAATAAATAAATAATATAAAATGAGTACTGGTATGTCGTATCCAAGCATGCACAGGAATGCATAACCTACTGCACAGGGTTGTTGTGAGGATAAAATGGGGAGGAGGAGAGCTACATATGTCATTTGAGCTCCTTGCTTAATGCAACTTGGGCTGTTCATGGTAGAGCAGAGATTTGAACCACAGCTTTCCTAATTCCTCCCCCACATCTCTTAAACTTGTCACACTTAGTAAGCACCTTGCAGGCAGAGATCTGTTGTTTTCCAATCTGGTATAGCCAACAGCATTAAGGAAGTTTCTACTTCAAATGCTGCTTCAGCCATGACATAGGGGGCATCCTTGCCTCGTCCCTCTTACATTTTTCCTGTAATGGCATTATTTACAATCAGGTTTGCAGTTTGATCTGTATAAATTACCTTAATTCCTCTTATCAATGTGACTCCTAATTCCAATTTTTCTCTAATAACTTAATTCATGGGCCTTAATTCATTTTTCTTTTGAGTCTTGAAAAACTCCTCTCTCCTGAGTAGTTAGTGACCATAAGGCTAAGAAATAGCTGCAAGATTACATCCACATTAGGAAAGGCCATCTGATTTTTTTCCTTGTATATAATTTGATAAAGGTCTTTATGAGACAGAGAGTGCTCTGCTCTAAGCCTATGGCTTTGTCTCACATACAGGTGATAGTGCAAAAGTTCATCAGTAAGTTTCAGGTCAATATCTTCTGGGTAGGCTTCCATCAACAGGTTGTATCCTAAACTTATCTCTTGAAGAAAGCGCATCTAAGGCACCAGGTGCACTTCTGTCATTTCTTTGCCGTTCCCTCACTCTTTGTCTCCTTGTTTTGTAGTTGACATTTGGCAAGGTGGCTTTTGCTTGTTTCTCAAGCTCTTCAAAATCATCTCTAATTTTCCTTTAAAAATCCAGAAGTGAACTGTACAAACTTGCACAAGAACTCAATAACAGGTCTGATTTTTGAAGGGCTTCGCTGACCTTGTGAAAATGACCTAGCACACAGGTCCAAAAATGCAGCATAAACACAAATTCCAGTTCTTCCATTTTCTGCAAAAGATTGTTAGCTTGGAGCCTGGTCTCCCCCTTCCCATTAACGTCAGAGTCAGGATGAGGTCCAGTTACCAACCTGCATTCTGGCCTCCTGCCTTTACAAGTAGTTCTGGACAGTCAACAGTGCAAAGTCTCATCATCCTGGGGTTTTGAGGGAGGAGAGGTGTTGAGAGGTGACAAAACTAATTTCTAATAAGTGCCCCCCTTTATTTCCATAACAAGTCATTGAGTCTGTACTCTGAATAGTGACACCAGGGACCGAGAAGCTGCAGGGCTTGTCAGCCCAACCCCTGCATGGTCTCCTTAGGGCTGGCCTTAAGGCAATTGGAGCAATTTGGCCAAACTGGGCCCCGTGAGCCACTCCTACGTGGGCCCCCACACCAGGGCAATCTAGATGGATTTTATTTATATCTCTAATATTCCAATTTGGGCCCCAGAGCTTCAAATTGGGCCCCACTGGCTAGCCCTGAGCCTCATAGTTTGCTGGGCCTGAGTTGCCCTGCCCTCGCATAAGTCTTGGGTTTGCAATTTTGGGAGACGGGACACTGCAGTGCTGGGGAGCGGGCAGGCTGGCAAGGCCCCCTAGATTTAGAGGCCCAAATTGCCCTGCCCTTTCATGAAGTCTTGGGTTTGCAATTTTGGGAGAGGGGAGACAGCAGCGCTGGGGACAGGGCGGACTAGCAAGGCCCCCCAGATTTAGAGGCCCTAGGCCTCAGCCTACTTAGCCTATACGTAAATCTGGCCCTGGCCCCAGAGGACCACCCTGGGCCCCGCAGCCTCCTGGGCAGAGGTGGAAGGGCAGCACAAAGAACCCAGGCAGCGGGAGGCAGGTCTAAGGGATCCTTGCTCTCACTCACTGCTCACCGCTAGGGAAGGGATGTGTAACCCCAGCACATCTGCAAAGAGAAGGACATGGGGACAGGTGAGTTCGTCCCTGAGCCCCTGGCAAGGCTATTCCAAGAGTTTTCTCCTGGATTCCAAGTTCTACTACAGGGGAGCGACACCCCAGGCCTTGGGGACCAATCCTAGCCTCCTGCCCCGCAGAACATGGCTCCCCAGGGAAGGCGCCCCTCTCGCTGACAACTGTCCCGCCTTGCCCCACAGCCCAGCCCCCTGCTTCCTCCATTGGACCCCACAAAATGGGGTGGTCCCGGGGGGCGGGGGTTGGGTTTCCAAATGCTGGCCCAGATGGACCTTGGGTTGGATCCAGCCATCTGGCTCTGTGTATCTTTTGACTAGCTGCCCCCCTAGCCCATTCCTGCCCTCCTCTGTCCCAAAAAGGAGGGACACTGGCTCACCTGACGCCATGGGCTGCTTCGGGCCTTGCAGGGCTGTTGCTGTGGCTGATCAGGCATCTTAAGCACCTTAACTTAGAAGAGAGGAGCAGAGAGAGCAACTCAGAAGCTGGCAGCCCCAATTCTTGGGGGGCGTTTGTGTGTGAGGAGGGGCGTTTGGCCCAATTCTTTCCATCTCTCTGCAGTTCAGTGACCTGAAAGGGCATCGCCAGAGCTGGAAAGAGGCAGCCCAGAGCATGAAGGGCTGGCAGAGAGAGAAAGGAGGCCCCAAGTGCTATGGGTTCAAGAGCTCCAGCCCAAAGGAAAGAGAAGCATTGCCAGCTGTTAAAGGGCTGCTCTGCCTCGTCTTAGGACAGCCCTGCCCTTCCTGGAGAGGGAGGAGACCCATAGGAGGGTCCTCCAAGCATCAAGGTGTCCCAGAAGAGGAGCAGAACATGAGGAAGATGGTGGAATCTTCCATGGAGCCAGAGAGACCCCCAGGAAGGGGGAGAAGGCCGATGTCGTAGGGCAGTTGGAGAGATGCAAAATGGAGCCAGGCAGAGGTGTAGCGGTTGGAGAACTGGACTAGGAGGACCTGGGAGAGCAGGGTTTGAATCCCCACTCAGCCATGAAGCTCCCTGGTGGACCTTGGGCCAGCCTAGCCTACTTTGCAGGCCTGCTGTGAAGATGACAATTGGTGGCAGGGAGAACCATGAAGGCCACCTTGAGCTCCTGGGAGGAAAGTGGGCTATGAATGTCCTAGTAAATGTAAATGATGAGAGGGGAGAGAAAAGGGGAAGGCAGGGAAAGAGTGTGGAGGAGCTGAGTTCTCTGGAGAAGACTGGCCGGGTCAATTTCCAGAGAGCTAAGGCTGTGCAGGGGACCCCAGGACTCAAACCCCGCCCCCAGGAGACCAAGAGAAAGCAAAGGAATGCTACTTACAGTCTGCACATTTTGTTCACGAAAAATTCCCACCCTCCTCTCTAAACTAGTTATCTAAAATGCCCACCCAAGCCTAACTCTGACCCCACCCCAAACCCCGCCCTAAGCCTAAGCCTAACCCCTGCTCTAACCATACACCCTAACTACTCCTCTATGTACAAAATAAATATATACAAACTATATACAAAATGTGCACAAATGTACACAAAATAAAAATGTAAAATAAAAAATATGAAAATAAAGAACAAAAAATAAAATAAAAGTGTTAAAATAAAAAGTAAAATAAAATAAAATGAACAAATCAAATAAAATCAAAATAACAATCAAATGAACACCTCTCCTTATCGTCTCCAACCACCACCCCACCACCCCTCTCTCTCTCCTACTCAACTCGCCTCACTAATAACCCACAATGGCCAACTGCAAGTCAGTGGCTTTTAAGGGAGAAGCAAGAGATGTCGCAAAGGAGGGCAGGTCCTTGTCACCGTGGCAACCCCCCCACCTGGACATGGCCCCTCCTGAGAGGAGATGCTCCACTGTCAGAACTTGGAGGCACCTGCTGTTCCGCCTGCAGCTGGGCTACGTTTTCTCTCGGCAGATTCACTTTGGCATTTCACATCTTTCTTCGTGCAGCCCCATTTCCAAAGGGAGATCATCCCCACATCCTTCAAGGCAGGCTAGGGGTCTCCATAGCGCAGGATTGGACCATCTGCTTTGCATGTAGGTCTTCTGTCCTGGGCGGCATCTCTGGGGGGTGGGCGGCTGGGAATGTCACCCCCCCATCCAAAACCCTGGAGAGCTGCTGCCAGTCAGTGAAGGCTAGTTGAAGAAGGATATTGAGCAGCTGGAAGGTGAGCAGAGGAGTGCTACCAGGATGATGAAGGGTCTGGAAACCAAGCCTCATGAGGAACGGTTTAGGTAACTGGGTATGTTTAGCCTGGAGAAGAGGAGACTGAGAGGAGAGCCATCTTCCAATATCTGAAGGCTGCAAGTTTGTTTTCTGCTGCTCCAGAGGGGAGGGCAGGAGAGGAGATTCGGACTAAACATTAGGAAAAACTTTCTGATGGTAAGACTCTCTGGAATGGTGGTGGACTCTCTTTCCTTGGAGGCTTTGAAGCAGAGGTTGGATGCCAATCTGCGAGGGATTCAGCTGCAATTTGGGAAGTGCATAGCACTGGCCTACTTTACAGGGTTGTTGTAACCACACAGGGCTGCTGAGCTTCCAAAAGTGCCTGACAAATGTTGAGCCTTCCATTTCATTGTGGGGAACAGCTGCAGCACATCAGGAGGCATCCCTCAACTTCCGTTTCTTCTCTCTCCTGTAGCCAAAGGGGCTGGACTAGATTACCAAATAACACTGTTGCTGTATGTAGGTTTTATTTTATTTTTTATCTTATATTTTGGAAATGTACATGCAGATTGTTGTTTTCTTTAGTTTTTTTTGGGGGGGGCCCCAAGAGAGTGGGGCCCTAAGCTATAGCTTGTTTAGTTTATACGTAAATCTGGCACATCAATCCCCAATCTCTCAGCCTCTGCCACCCTCCTCTTCTTTCTGCAATATGAGGATAAGAAGACCAGTTTTACAGGGTTGATAAAACGATGCTGAAGCGCAATTCTATGCACGCCTTCTCAAAAGTAAGTCCCACTGTATTCGGTGGGACTTACTCCGTGGTGCTTTAGGAGGGCAGTCTGAGAATTACGGACAATTTTGCAAGGTTGGCTTCGATTATATATATTTAGCAAGCAGAACATTTCGAAAAAATCTATATGCAAGCTGCAAATTACTATTTTATTATGCCGATGAAGTCAGGACTGGATGGGCCCGACACCCCACTTCACCCCGTCTTGAAATTAGAGGATGATGGCAGTAGAGTAGGGATTCTGGCACCTTTGTGCAATTCCCATCCATCAGCTGCTCTCCTACGCTTTGAGGGATTGGGCCAGGCATAGAGGTTCGTTTCTCAGTGGAAGATAGGGCTGCTTCTCATTTTGAGTGAGCCAATCGAAAAGAAGATCGTCATCTAAAATCCCGCCTTCTCAACCCGCTCAACAAAAACAGGAACCTAGCAATGTGCGCGTGCGCACTGGTCCTTAGGGTATCTTCTTTGGCTGAATGTCCGCCCTCTTCCCCCATCGAGCTCCGGTTTCAGACACGCATGCGTATTTTTCACTTTCGCTCTCTGCCGTTGAAGATTTTAAGCGCGTGCGCAGGGCCCTGCTTCCTTTGAACGGGCACAGGGCGCTCCATATGTGCGCATGCGTAGGAAGGTCAACGTGTACGTAAGGCGCCTCCTCGTCTCATAGAGGCTAAAATGGAAGAGGAGCATCAGTTCATCTGGATAAGTCATTTCAGGTTCCCATTGAACAAGCTTTTCAAGTGTCCTCTTCTCGCCGCAGAAGTTAGAGCTAGAGAAATCCAGGATTGTGACCGTGGCTGGAGAACAAAGTTCCCGCAGCAGAATGAAGGGCAGCAGCAAAAAGGAGTTCGTGCTTTTTTCTTGTTTAGTCGTTTAGTCGTGTCCGACTCTTCGTGACCCCATGGACTAGAGCACGCCAGGCACCTCCTGTCTTCCACTGCCTCCCGCAGTTTGGTCAGACTCATGTTTGTAGCTTCGAGAACACTTTTTTCTTACTCGGGTTTTATTCAGCGCGAATTCCCTCTCGTCACTCGCAGCATTCACGGATATTGAAAAACTCACACAACCAAAAATCCTACGCGCAGAAAGCCTCGAGCTAGAAAAAGCGAGTCACTTCTATCTTTGTATCTGTTTCCCTTTTTTTTTTATAGTCGAAGGGGACTTTTCAGTAAAATACAGTATTGGGATTTTTTTAAATTGCGGAGACAGACCTCCCTGACTTCCGGTTCTGAAACCGAAATGTATCTCTCTACACTTTTCATATATCTGCGATCACGTCAAGAGCGACACCCCCATCCATGCTCTCCCTCTTGACCCTTCCCTTTTACTTCCTGCCTGCAAGGGGGAAACAGGAGAGGATGGCGCATGCGCGGTGCCGTGGCTGCTGCTCCTGCTGCTTCTCGGGCTCCTCTTCCGGCCTCCCCAGCCCCTGAGTAGGTTGAGGCACCGGGAGCCCCTCTCTGCTCAGGCCAAGTAGGGCTGACCTTTGACCCCGGAAGTGAACTGGACTTTGACTCCCTTTTATATTTTTTGGAGAGGGGGGCGGCCGTTCTCCGGCTTAATTTTGCTCTATACTTACCCAAGGGGCCCCCTAGCAATTTCGGGGCTGTCTCTTCCCGCCTGGGCCAGCACCCCCAGTTAGCACCCCCAGGGGCCACTTCCGGTGCAGGCTGGCTTGGTTTTGGGGTTCCCTCCGTCACTAGTTAGTGTTTTGGAGCAGCTTGTGCCATATCGAGCGTGGTCCCACTTTGCCGTCGTCCTCCCTCCTCCTCCCATTCCAGAGGCGCAGGAATCCCACTGCAGCCCTTGGGAAGATCCACCAAGGTGCCCTGGCAGAGCCCCATCTTTTGAAGCCAAGATGGCATGAGTCTCCATAGTGAGCCTCCATAGTGGAGATAGTGGAGAAAGAAGCTTCTCCACAGGGGAGGTTGGGGAGAGGAGGGGATGGTTGCCCAGAGCGGGAGGGGGGGATAGTGGTGTGGTGAACTTGCCCTGCTGAATGGGGCGCATGGACCTTTGGTGAATTGCCCCCCCTCTCCCCACCCCGCTGCTGTAGGAAAGGGTTTGTAGAGAGAGCTGAAGTAAGACCCAAAAGTGGGGAGGAGAGGGTTCTGGATTCCCCAGGCCTTGTGGATCATGGGCCTCAAGCTGCCTTGATGAAGGAATCTGTGAGTGCCAGCTGGGCAGTGGTGTTCCCTGAGGAGGAGGAGGAAGAAGAAGAGGAAGAGGCGGCCCCACCGTGGACATGGGGTCGCAGGTCCTGCAGATCCTACGCCAGGGCGTCTGGGCTTCACTGACCGGTGGCTGGTTCTTTGACCCGCACCAGAGCACCTTCTCCAACTGCTTCCACCTCTATACTTGGATCTTCCTGCTCATCTTCCCTTTCCTGCTGTACATGGTGAGTCTGGGTCTCATTAGGCTGCGGGGGGGGGGGGTTTGGTATACTGGTGTTAATGTCTGTAGCACTTTTCAAGGTACAAAGGGCTGTATAGCAGGAGCCTTCCTCCTTGCTACTGCTTATACCTGGAGAAGCTTTCCCTCCTTATTTATTCACTCATTTCTTTGTCGTCTTTCAAGGCACAAAGGTACTGTATAGACAAGAACGTTAGAAACTCTTGAAATTTCAGCTTCTTGCATCAATTAATCCCAGTGGCGGCTCTCCGTTTACTGTCATAGCCTGAATCTTTTAGTTAAGATAGTGTTGTCTTTGCAAAGTGAGAAGCTTATAAACAGAGAAAGGAATAATTACTGATTGAATTTCAATATGGGTGGATGGACAAGTGGCTTGGAATGCCTTGAATTTCAGGTCCAAGATGGAAGAGTCCAATGCCTGTCTGATTGTCTAATGTGACTTAACTAAAAACATGGAGTGGAATATCTCTTCCCACCCCCCACCAGCCTTTTCTCTTTTTGGACCAGCTTCTAGCTCTCATGGCTTCCAAGCAATGCCATCCTGGTGCTTGTTTGAGGAAATCTGGGATCTTGTCTCTTGTCAGAAATCATCCAGGGAAGAAATTTAGCTGTTAGCTCTCACAAAAGTCATCTATTCCTGCAGGATCTGTGCTGCAGGATTCAACTACAGCCTACCTTGAGGGATGGCTGTCCAGCTTCTGCTTAAATACCACTAGCAAAGGAGAACTCACTGCCTCCTGAAGTAGTCAGTTTCACTGTCAACCAACTCTTACTGTTAGGAAGTTGTTTCTAATGTTTATCCATATGCTTCCCTGCAGTAACTACCCATTTGTTTAAGTCCTCAACGCTGGAGCACCAGGGGTCAAGCCTGCTCCATGTTCTTCTGCATGACAGCTCTTCAGATATTTGAAAAATGCTGTCATCTCTCCCCCCTCCCCCCCATTAATTTTCTCTTCTGCAAGCCAAACATATACAGTTTTCTCAATAGTTCCACATTGAACTTCATTTACAAATCCCTTGCCGACCCAGTTGCAAACGTTCAAACCAAAAGCCAGAGTCTAGTCCTGGCAGTTTTAGCAGATAAGTAATATTGCTGTATGGGACGCGGGTGGCGCTGTGGGTTAAATCACAGAGCCTAGGACTTGCTGATCAGAAGGTCAGCAGTTCGAATCCCCGTGACGGGGTGAGCTCCCGTTGCTCGGTCCCTGCTCCTGCCAACCTAGCAGTTCGAAAGCACATCAAAGTGCAAGTAGATAAATAGGTACCACTCCGGTGGGAAGGTAAACGGCGTTTCCGTTTGCTGCTCTGGTTTGCCAGAAGTGGCTTTGTCATGCTGGCTTTATGACCCGGAAGCTGTATGCCGGCTCCCTTGGCCAATAAAGCGAGATGAGCGCTGCAACCCCAAAGTCGGTCACGACTGGACCTAATGGTCAGGGATCCCTTTACCTTTACCTTTTAATATTGCTGTGTAATGAGCAGAGACTCTGAGGACCAAAACTAGCTTTGGGGGGTGGGTAGCTTTGGGGGATGCACTACAGAATACTCCCGGTTCTGGCAAAAATCTTTCCCACCGTTATGCACTTTGGGAGGGGAGTTGCCATTGGCAAAATAGCAAGTGTGTGTGTTTGTGTGTTAATGGAGCTTATCACATAAGAAGAACCCTGCTGGATCAGACTTGCATCTTGTTTACCAAAGTGACCCCCAACCATTCCATCAGGAACCAGCAGAGGGAGCCAGTGTTAGAAACTGAGATAGGAAAGCTAGGAGGTAAATGGCACCTTAAACCTAGGTTATGGGTGCAACAACAGAAAGTCTAGGTGCACTTTTTTATAACCAGAATACAAAGCTGAAAATGAACAAATTGCAGCTAAAATATTATGTTTATTTTTCACATGGTCTAGTCCTTCCCGTGCCCACCCCCCTAGTATTCTTAAGAGGGTCTCTTCTGCAGTCTTCAGAGTAGCTGGAAGCGGGGAGGCAGAAAAAGGTCCTCCTTTCCTTCCACTCTGCAGTTTTAATCTGAAATTGTAGGTGCAGTACTGCGCCCAGAGCTCAGAAACTGCTCGCACTAATGAAATTCTCTGTTGCAAAATGCGCCTAGAACAATGGGAGTTTCGAACACTGGAGGGAGCAACAGGACTAGGGCCTAATCCAGCCCTTCCTGAACTGCTTCCATTCTAGCCGGTCATTATTTGTTTATTTATTACATTTGCATCCTACCTTTCCTCCAGAGAGCACAACTTTATGCTGTGTTCTGTTTGATACTGGTTGCTTTGATACTATTTTTAATACATTTTTTGGCATGGGTTGATTTTATGTTTGTGCTTTGCTGATTCCTCAATTTTGCAAACACCCAGAAGACTTTGTTGATGAGTGATGTAAACCAGTGTTAGAAACTCAGGTATATAAGCTAATTGCCAAATGTCACCTTAAACCTGGGTTACGGTTGCCAAAATGGAATGCCTAGCCACCTTTTTTTTTACAGTGACATTTATTATTATTATTATTATTATTATTATTATTATTACTATTAAATTCATTTCTATATTTTAAAGAAAAAAATCTCAAAGCAGTTTACAACACATTAAAACCTTAAATAAAACAATCCAAATTAAAACAAACTCAAGCTTCAAGGAAAACATTTCAGATACAGTACTTCTATAAGTGCATTTTGCTTTTCCCATATTTATTTACTGACTTAATCCCAGGTAGGGGATACCTTGTGACCAACAGTTGACAATACAATATAAAGGTTATGAGAATGTAGAAAATAAGGCAAGGAACTAGTGTTTACGCAGCTATGCAAGATGTATAAAGAACTGCCATGGAATGCTGGGTGGGAAGTCTAAAAGATCTATTGTATAAAAATGGAAAATGATGTAATTGTAAAATTGAAAACTTAACATGTGTATATATAGAGAGAACATATATATAGAGAGAGCTGCCCCATAGCAGAAGACCTCTAGGAAGCTAGTGTGGTGAAGTGGTTAGTGTGTTGGACTAGGACCTGGGAGATCAGGGTTCAAATCCCCACTTAGTCATGAAGCTCACCGGACGACCTTGGGCCAGTCACAGCCTCTTAACCTACCTCACAGGGTTGTTGTAAGGATTAACTGAGGAGTGGGGAGTGAACCATGGACTCCTTGGAGTAAAAGGTGGGACATAAACGCAGTGAATAAGCTCTTCTGCTTGCCTGCTTACGAAAGCTGGAAGGGCCAGCCAGATGGAGAGGTCAGTTGCTAACCTGGCATCCAGAGATCTCTACATGATTGTAGCTGGACCTGCACCAGTTGCAAAATGCACCTGGCAAATTTTGATCACTGGTATAAGCACACTGTAAGTAAATAAATAAATAAATAATAAAGAAACCCCAAGCCCTGGGAATTTAGTTATTGTGTCAGCCACAGTCTCGCCTTGCTGCTTGCAGTTGCTCCTTGCCAAGCATGTGAGAATCATAATGGGAAGATGCTGTGTGAAACTGGAGCTGGACAGCTGGTGCGGAGGAAGGGAGAGCGGGTCCTAGTGGCATGGGTATCTGTACATGGCTAGTGCTGCCTGGTGCCCAACAACTTTGACTCCCCTGCCCCAAATCTCTGCAGAAGGCTGAATCCTGAAGGATTGTTCGTGTTGCTTAGGGGAAGCTTGAAATGCCTTCTCCCAGCAATGGTTTCACTACAGGTCTGGAAAGTCAATGCTACTTCTGAACCTGCTTTGTCAGTGTTAATTTCTTGTCAATTTTCAGGTAACAACCCTGGAGAGCTGCTGCCAGTCAGTGTAGACAGTTCTAGTTGGACAGTGGTCTGACTTGGTATAGGGCAATTTTCTATGTGCCTATACAGAGTTATGGGGAATGGCTGTAAATGAGTGGTAGAACATCTGCTTTGCATGCAGAAGGATGGTCCCAGATTCAGTTCCCAGCACCTTGAAGTAGGACTCAATTGGGTATAGGCCCATTCTGTGCAGTTGGGAATGGAGGGAAATCAGGGGTTCTGGGATACGGCTGTCAGAACATCACTTAATAATGGCCAGGTTTCTCTGAGTCACCACTGCAAAGTGTCTTTGGGGTGAGATATGATGGGGTTGCTCAGGTGTGGGAATTTCAGTGGCCTAATCAAGAGTGCCGCAGATGATGCATTCCTGTAGATTCTTTCCAGCTTTGGGACTAAAATAGGCTTGTTAGCAAAGCATCACTGCTGAAAGCAAATTGCTCACCAGTGTCCTGTTTGGATTTTGCCGCTGCAAGTCTGCAAAGCAAAATCCTCAGTCTGAATAATGCTCAGAAGACTCTCTGTAATAAACTGGGAATCTAGGTATCTGGCAACCCTGTCTGATGGGCAGGGTATAAGCAAAAAGTTGTTATTACTATGATTACTATTATTACTGTGTTGTTGTCATCAACTCTGACTGGCAGTGGCTGTCCTGTTCTTAGGCAGAAAAGAGTGCTTCCTGTATACTTTGAACTGGAGATGCTGGAAATTGAAAATGAGGCCCTCTTGGTATAAAGTATATGCTCCTCCACTGAACTGTGATACCTCTTTCTGGACCGTTAACCTTAGAGCTCTCTCTCGGCATCTGGTGAGGGAATTGAGCATCCTGATGTTCTCAGCGTTCTTTTGAAAAAGATGATGAGTTTCTTTCTGCAGATGATGAGTTTCTTTCTTCAGTCAGGCTCAGTGGAGCTCTTTAGTTAAACATAGCTCTTTTCACCAGGTGTAGGAGTTAAACGTAAACATTAAAACATTCACTCATGGTGTCTGCACCAGCTTGAAGTTATAACACTGCCTTCTACATTCTCACAGTTAAAAAAATGTTTTGCTTCAAATATCTGCACCTGAAAAAGAGTTCTGTGTAGCTCAGAAGCTCACTTCTGTCATTCTGAAAGTGAATTGGTTCCAAAGAAGTACTGTGCCATTTGAACTGTGTTTGTTCGAAAGTTATAAAGGCATGGATATTCAGGTGTGCTTCTGAATCTGTTTCTGTTGTGCAAAGAACAGGTGCCATGTGTATGTGTGTGTGCGCGCTTGCGCTTTATGCAACCTATGCTGGGCATTGGGCTGCCACCAGATTGGGCTGCTGCAATGCACTTCCTGTGGGGCTGCCTTTGAAAATATACTGGAAGTTGCAGCTGGTGTAAAATGCTGCTGCCTGGAAAAGACAGGCTAGAAAATCTGAATACATAGCTCCGATTTTTGTTTTTTTTTATAAGATATTTATTGAAATTTTCAAAATGTTACAAAATAAAAATAATTAAAAAAAAGAAAGTACAGAATAAAAATGGTTAACAAAGTAGAAAAAGAGAAAAACAAACCCCTTCCAACAATACGAATACAAATTCAAAAATAAGAAAAAGAAACAGAAAAAAACAAAAATACACCACAAACATTTAAGGACATTTAAAAACAAATTCATTATTCTCAAATCCTCAACTGTCATTACCTTCTTTCTTTGACCTCCTCCTCCTCCTCCCTTTCTTTGTATCCTAGTTATTAATTATCCCATCAAATCCTTTCCATATTTCATAATATTCTGTCCTTACATTACCTTAAACTGTTTTAATCTTATCTTTCTATAAAAAAATAAACCTTAAAACTTAAATCTTATCCTTACCAACTTCTCATAACCATAATATTCTTTCATAATTCTTTAAACATCTTTACTAAAGCCAAGTAATTTCATTCCAACATTTTTCTGACATTCATCAATTTTATAAAACAGTCCTAATGGTAAAAGAAGAAATACAAACAGATCCAATCTTCATCCAGCGTCCCTTCCTCCTGGTTCCGGGTTTTGTCAGTCCTTATTATCCCATCGATCTAGCCCGTTAACCTGGCAACCTTATATCCGAGGTCCTCAAGTCTCTTCCATGTCCCTTCCGCCGCTCTTCTTCATATTTGTAACTGTATTTTCCCTTGTCTCCTGCTCGTGGTAACTCCAGCTTGGCAATATTTTTGTCCCTTCTCGACAGATCAGCCCCTTTTCCATATTCAGCACTAAATTCCATATGGTATTTAAAAGCATGTTTCAAAAACCCTCCAAAATTAAGAGCCCCCACAATCCCAAACATCTCACGGCCCATTGCCAGATTTGAAAAGTCCAAACATCCCAGCATAGGGGGATCAATCCAGCCCCCCATTTCCAAGCCAAACCAAACTTTTTCTTTCCAAATCTGGCTTTTTCCAAGTTCATTTGTCAAATCCGAAGCTCATATTCCTGTTGGGCCTGTTCTGTCAGGACACACTCCTGATTTAATTCCTGGGTGGGCTCCACATATTTTCCCACTGTCTGTTCAAAATTTCCCACTGCCTGTTCAAAATTTCTAGTCGAAGTCGCCATCAAATTCATCTTCTCATGTAACTGTTCCAGTAGAGCATTTGTTTTATAGAAAGCACACAACAGAGCTTCTGAATACATTGTCCTGCAAGGTCAAATATCTGTTCCCACGATTGTAATCTGTAACAGCTGCCGGCTCCCTGGAATTGGTTACAGTTTCACAGTCTCCCTCTAGGGGGAAAACTTCTATTTGTTCTTGCAACAAAGTTTCCCTTTTTGAGATATTTTGTCGATATTTGTTCCTTTAAAATGCGAAGGGAAACAGTGGAATCACTATTTTTCTCTTCTTTTAGCTATCTGTCAAAAGTGTTTGTCTCTGGTCAATGAGCTTCAAACATCAGTCCTGACACCCTGCTCCAGGATCAGGACGGAGGAAAGTTGCTTTACTTTAAACTCACTTTAAACAGTCCGAAAAAGATCCCCCTTCTTCTCCTGCTGTCGAAGGGGGGTTCCACAATTTTAAATGATGAAATCCAATCCTTTAAAGGCGATTTTCTGAGCTCTAGTTTACGTTGTCTTTGCTTTATTCTGTCTACAAAAGAACGGAAGGCTGACTTCCTGTTTAGACCTTCCCGTTCAGTACCAAATTGAAATAAATTTTTAAAATCCAATTCCTTTCTGCTCGCAAGTCCTTATTTAAGGTCCAGTTGTTCAAAGTTTAAGTACTCACGGGTGCTTATTTTAGAGTCCAAATTGTCCCAGGAAAAAGGCAGCGCTCTCCGGCAACGGCTGTGCGGCTTCGCTCCACGGAAATAGCAGTTGACTCACAGCACCGCGCCACTTCCCCCTCTTCACTTCGGAGCCCATTAATGGGTTCCTTTGCGAGTTGGGGGCGCTAAAGGTGCCCGCCGAGTCCCATGGTCACAGGCTTCATCCGCCTGTGATTTTTAAAAGGGTCCCCGCTTCGCCGTAGCGGAGAAGACCCGTTTCACGTGGAGCTAGTCCCTCCAGTTCAGAGGGAGTCCGCCATTGCCGATGGCGCCACCCTGGAAGTCCCATAGCTCCGATTTTTGTGCCAATTCCATTGGCTGCCAATAAGTTTCTGGGCTCAATTCAAAGTGCTTGTCTTAACCTTCCAGACCCTAAATGGCTTGGGACTGGATACTATTGTGTTTGTGCACTAAATATCTGATTCAAAGATCTTTCTTGAATGATTGCTCTTCAGATCAACTAAGCTGGTGTGCACAGGAGATGGGACCTTCTCGGTGGTAGCCCCAAAACTCTGGAATTCCCTTCCAGTTGGATCATGCCTTTCCCTTTCGTTACAATAATGTAGACCTTTTTCCTTCCAGCTACCTTTAATACATGCACTAAAAAGCTGCGCATTTCAGAACAGTGCACTCAAAGTGGTTTGTTGATTTCTTTAACGTGGATGCTAATGCCTGCGGTATCTTTATCTACTCCTTTTTATGCACAGCCATCTTATTCCCTGGCAGGTGATGCCTCCCAGTATCGTGGTGGCAGGTGTCTACTGCGCGGTGGTTGCCACCTTCTTCACCACAGTCAAGACCATCAACTACCGCCTGCACACCATGTTTGATGAGGGTGAGATTGTGGAGAAGAACTCTGCACTTGCGGATGGTGCCAAGGCTGAAGATGGCGCTGCAGCGGACGAGGGGAACTTGGCCAGGTGAGCAGGGATGTGAGAGGGTACATCTCAGCTTCTTGCGGTTGGGCGACTTGCCTTTGCCCTGCCTCTCTTCTTGTCCCCCTCGTACTGTACTCCATTACTGGCCAGATTATTTTTTTTATTCTTATTTGATGTGACTGTGTTGCTTAAAAACATAAGGTGAGCCTTGCTAGATCAAGCCAAAGGTCCATCTAGTCCAGTGTTTTGTTTTCAAAGCAGACAGCTAAATGCCACAAGAAGCCCAAAAGCGGGATCCGAGTGTAGCATCACTCTCCCCACCTGTGATTCCCAGCAGCGAGTATCCAGACGCATATTGCCTCTATCAGCTGGGGACAGAATTTAGCTTTGTGGTCTAATGAATCCCATTTAGCAGCATAGGAACTTAAGAAACTGCCCAATACCAAGCCAGACCGTTGGTTCAACTAGGTCAGCGTTGTCTACAGTGTCTGGCAGTGGCTCTTGAGGGTTTCAGGCAGGAGACATACCTGGATACCCCGTTGAGGATTGAACCTGGGATCTTCGACGTACAAAGCAGATGCTGTACTGCTGAGCTATAGCCCCTCACCAATCAGTATTGTTTGTAATTTTAAACTTGGCCCTGGCTCCATTCCTCTCTCTCTCTCCTTGCAGAGACCCTGGCGGGGTGGAGATGACAGTGTTTCGGAAAGTCAGCTCCACACCTCCGGTGAGATGCAGTTCCCAACACTCTGTGTTTGGCTTCAACCAGGTCATGGTAAGAGCGAGGAAGCTTCTCTAAGGGTTGGAAAATTGGGTTCTGAGAGCACTGGTGGCGTTATTGGGACCACAGTCATCCCCTTTGGTGCGAGAAAGAATCAAGGGGGTAGCACCGGACCTGGTACCGCAGAACGAGCTGCTGAGACATGCCACCTTCCTTGGAAGCTTTTGGGGATGGCATAGGATGCTGCTGGGAAGGTGTCTGGCAGAATTGCACTGTCTGCTGTCTTCTCATTCTGCGACTCTAGGATTTATTTGCAGAATATAGAAGGACAGATGCCAGGCTCTGGATTGTGCATTGCAGAATCTTGTATGAGCTCAGCTGGATCAGATCAGTGGCCTATCCTGCTTCCCCCAGCGGCCAGCCCTCTCCCACTTGTGACTAGCATTCAGAGGCGTCAGGCTGCCTCTGACCCTGGAGGCAGATTACAGCCAATGGGACTAGTAGCCCTGGACAGCCTTGTTCTCAGTCTGTCGAATTGCCTTTTGCAGGCCTCTAAACTAGTGGTCGACACTGCATCTTCTGGGAAGTGGATGCCATCATTTAGCTTACACGCTTTGTAAGGATGTATTCCCTTTGGTCTGCTTTTAATATCCCACCACTCAGCTTCCTTGGATGACCCTGGGTTATAGCATTGTGAGAGAGGGGGTGACCTTGACCCTGTTATCCCACAGTTGCTTCCCTTCCCTTCCCTCCCCCCCCACCCCCAAAGCCCCCAATGTTGTAGCCTTTCCTTTATCTTGTGTATGTAAAAGATGTAGCTGAGGTTAACTCAGCATGCGCAGACTTAGGGACATCCCAGTTTTCAGGTGGGTGGCCTGGCAGTTGCTGATGCTGCCATCCCACAAGGAAGGTGCAAACCTGCTCAGAAGCCCAGGACTCCCAGGGGTCACTCATTCAAGTGGAAGCAGAATATGTGTAATAAAATGAAAAACGAGAACAGCAACAATGATAAGAGCATCTGAGCCCAGTCCTTCAGCAGGGAGGCACTCAAATGCTCTGGTTGAAATTAAGTGCTGCACGGAGCAGTGGGGTAAGGGATCGGGTGCTTGGCCCTCCAGGGGGTGGGCTGCACTTCAGCACAGGATCAAGAGATCCTTGCGTGAAGGGTGCCCCCACTTCCCTCCACCTGGACCTCAGACTTCGTCAAGAGAGTGTTATGAACATAGGAAACTGCCTTATACTGAGTCAGAATATTGCCTACACTGGCTGGCAGCAGCTCTCCAGGGTTTCAGGCAGGATTCTCTTCCACCCATGCCTGGGGATGCCAGGGATTGAGCCTGGGATTTTTTTGCGTGTGCTACACTCACACTGAGCTCTGGCTGTTCTGAAAGGCGTGGAGGTCCAGCCTTCATTCTTGCCCTCCCTCAATAATCTTTCTGTGAAATAGCAGTTTGATCTTTCTCTTTGCCTTTTAGGACCTGCTGCCCCACTTGGAGGACGGGAGGCCTGTAAGAGGTGAGACTAATTCCCTCTGCCGATTCTGTCCAAAACATGACACCATGGCTTCATTTCAGTTATAAATCGGGGGCAGGGGAGGGGTGGGAGAAATCCACTCTGCACAAGGCGCCTTTGCAGCAGATGGACTTGCATCTGATCCTCCCAGCACTACAAAACTGTGGGCACTCTGCCGTTTTCTGGCCGCTTTCTGATGTATGTGTTTCTGAATAGGGGCAGAAAGTGGCCCTGATGTTCTCACCTCCTGAGCTCGGCAGGAGGCGGTGGGTTTCTCCAGCCATGTGCCTTGAAGCAGGGGCGGGGCAATTTACAGCCTAGACAGGCTAGATCTGGCCCTTGGCTTAATTTCATGTAAGGGGGGAGGAATGGGGCTTCACTGCCTGTGACCAGTATGCAGCCCCCAGCAGATTATGCCCAAGGGAACGTGGACCTTGGTAGAGAAGAGATGCCCTCATCTGCCTTAGAGCAAAGAGCCCTGGTTTTATAGCTGAGGTTGGAGGCATGTATGAGGGGTGGTGAGAGGGTGGGTTGTCTGCGATGGGGGAAAGTCTCTCAAGCTCCTGTCGCTTCATCCTACAGACATCAAAGAACTTGTCCGTGAGCAAGGCAGCAACAACGTCATTGTCACGGCAGCTGACCGGGACATGCTCCAGCACTGTTCCCCCGAGAACCGTGGTAGGTCCCTGGCTGTGGTGGGTGGGGCAAGAAGGAGGGAGGCCCTGGACAAGACGGGAAGAAGTAGTTTTATAGACTTACAAAGCTGCCTTCTTCCAAGCTGGGCTGTTCGTCTGTCTATCCCAGTGTTTCTGCTCTGACTGGCAGTGGGTTTCAAAGGATCTCAACAGCCATCTGGTCCAATCCCTTAGGATTACCACACCCCTGCAAGGTGGCCACCCAACCTTTGCTTAAAATCCTCTAATGCACCACCTTCTAAGGCATAGCACTGTTCCACTGTTGCATAGCTTGCACTGTCCAGAAATTCTTCCTAATGTTTTGTCAAAATCCCCTTTCCTGTAACTTGGTTTGGGGCCTTCCCTCTGGAGCAACAGAAAACATTTGCACCATCATCTGTGTGACAGTCCTTTTGAATATTTGGAGATGGTTTACATGTCGCTTCTCAATCGCACCTACATATTCACATCCATCTGTTCCTCATGAGACGTGGTCTCCATCACCATCTTTTTTGCTACCTTCCTCTGGCGTGTTCCAGTTTGTCAAGATCTTTCCCAGCCCTGTCACTTGGGAGCCTTTTTTCATATATAATATGTACAGCTCCCCACCCCCGGCAAATGTTATACAAAAAGAGAAGCAACTCGCCATAGGCGACCAGAAATTCTATGCAGGCGAGTGAGTGGGCTGACGGAGGAGAGACAGTTCACTCCATTCCTCTTCCGTGCTAATCATGGAGTCTCTTCCTCCATGATCAGCATGGAAATGCAGCAGCACAAGAGGGCCAGAGTGATCCATCCTCCCGCTGGCAGCTCACTTGGTAGAAGTCTTAGGCAACTTCCTATATTCCTATTGCTGCTTCTCAAAAAGAGGAGTGTCTGTAATCTTCCTGCTTGGAGATTAATGTGTGGATTGCAGGCTTTTTCAGACACATAGGATTGTTCCTAAGAGTAGACCTATTGAGTGCTGCCATCAATAGACAGTGAGCTGGATATCTCTTGTTCAGTACAAGGAACTTGTTGCCCTGCTGTTGGCAGCTGTGTGAGTGGAAATAGCACTCCATTGAGAGCACTTCATGAGGAAACAATTCGAGACTGTCTCAGAAAAGCTAGCTTGACGCGATCTGGCCTGTAGCAGTGTCAAAAAGACTTGCTTCCCACGGTAGAGTGGTCCAAGGCACTTGGAAGCGGTACCATTTTGAATCAGTGCTGTTTCCGTTCTCATGTTTTGTTAACAGAGAGTCAAATCTCAAGCCCCCCAGTTACCCAAGTGACACTCTGGAGTGATTTCACTCTTTTGCCTGAGATTTTGGGCAGAAAAGTTGTGTTCCACTTTTATTTATATTGTTGTGCTTATTTATTTTTGCTTCCTCTTATCATCAGTGTACATACCATCCACTGTACATACCATGTTTTGACTCTGCTTGGCCATAGCGACTCAGATATCATTGCTCCAGATTCATATCTCTACCCGTCATGCTCCCATTTCAGGGGTAGATCTACTGCGAAACTAATGGAGCTTAAGTTTCAAGGCCCCTAATCCCGGAGGACCACAGAAGTGAATAGTTCACATTGCTTAAAAAAGGGGGAGGGTTAAATTTTCATTCCCAGAGTTTGAGAGTCAGTAGCACAGATGTTGTAAAGATTGTGGTAAACAACCCCATTGAAGAAGATAACAGCAGTTACCTAGACTTCATTGCTGGTTGCAAAGGACCCCCGAAGATGTAGGCCCGCCACTGACCCATTTTATATGCATACATCTTTGGGTGTGGTTAAGATCCCAGCCAGCTAATAAATGTCCCTGTCTTGAGATGTGCACTTGTGTGTAATGCCCTCCTCCTCTCTGCCTCGCCCTCTCTACAGCCAGTGATGTCACGATGGTGTCTGCTGACGTGGAAGGTGCAAGCGGAAGCCTGCTGCCTCTTCCCAAGGCAGAGCCCCCTCCGGCTGGGAGGAAGCAGCCTCCCTCCCTCCCAGCGCAGACTTCCCTACAGAGCACAGATTCCTCAGAGCAGTCTCCCCCTGCTGGGGCAGGGTCCCGGGCCCCTCCGCGCTGGACCGCCAGCGAGTCGGAGAGCGTGGGGGACACGCCGCTGAGCCCTCTAATCAAGAGCAGCTTGAGCGAGGAGCTCAGCCAGAGCTTCCTGAGCCTGGCGTTGCCAGAGGCTGGGGGTCACGGCCGCCGCGAAAAGCGCTGCTCCGGAACAGACTACCAGCCCTTGGAACCCCGCCCAGAGCGGCCCCTCAAGGCCGGCTCTTCGGACAGCTGCTTCAGCGGCACCGACAAAGAGACCCCCAGCACTCTGAGCAGCTACCGCAGCGAGAAGACCAATTCCACCCACTTGGACAGCCCCTCGCTCGGCCCCGGCCCCGGAGAAGGGGCACGGGGAGACGAGGGTGGCCCTGGCATATCCCCACCCCCCGACGGTGGCAGCGACACGGACGCCCTCTCCGACAGCGAGCTGCTGCGCTCCCCTGAGCTGGGCCTTCTCGGGGAGCTGAGCTTTGACACGCAGAACACCCTCAACTCCCTGGAGACGGTCAAAGGCGACGGCGAGCTGTGGGGGTGCCCCGAGCCGGAGCAGGTGGTCCGGCCGAAGGAGCTAGGCCTCAAGGGCCGCCGGCGCCTCTCCCGCAAGCACGGCAGCTCGTACCTGCCCATGCGCACCCTCCTGGACAGTAAGGCTTACGCCGAGGGCTTTTTTGCCGACGAGGACTCGAGCGACTGCAGCGACCTGAGCCGGGCTTCCAGCTTGCACTCCCAGCACAACTACAGCACTGACACCTCCTCCAGCACTTCCTGCTACTCTCCCGAGCGCCACCCGCCCACTCAGCACGGCAAGCAGTGCCTCCTCGCTGCCGAGGCCAAGCCCCCACCCCCTCTGCCCCCCGAGGGCGCCACCCTCCCGCCCCAACATTCCCATTACGCCCAGCGCTCCGGGAGCACGGCCAGCGCCAAAACCCACGCCCGTGTCCTCAGCATGGACGGGAGCCACATGGAAGTGAAGCCGGCGGGCTGCCTCATGGTCTCCAAGTCGGATTTGGAGTCCCACGCGGGGAAGCTGACGGCGGAGCAGGAACTGGGCAGCGCCGTGCGGAGCCAGTCTGCCAACCAGCCCGGCTGGAGGGGGGAGCTGCAGGCCGAAGGGGCCGTCGGAGGAGGTGAGTCCCTGAGATATTCCAGGTGTGGCTTGACTGCCCAAGGGGAGAGCTCACAATGTTGTTAGAAAAGTTGGACACCACTCCCAATCTCTGTCCAGCCACGGCCAGATTCCGGGGGGCTCTCGGCACTCAACCCAGGGTCTGTGTTCCTTAGAGAAGCAAGACACGGTGGAGGCTGTCATCGCTTTAAGATATTTGGTTTATTTGCATATACAGTGGTATCTCGGGTTATGTACTTAATTCATTCCGGAGGTCCGTTCTTAACCTGAAACTGTTCTTAACCTGAAGCACCACTTTAGCTAATGGGGCCTCCCATTGCTGCTGCGCGATTTCTGTTCTCATCCTGAAGCAAAGTTCTTAACCCGAGGTACTATTTCTTGGTTAGCGGAGTCTGTAACCTGAAGCGTATGTAACCCGAGGTACCACTGTATCCATCTTTAGTCTGCATGGAGAGGAACTACAGATCTTTCAGCCTGGTCATCTCAAAGGGCTGGTTCCCCACAGCAGTGCAGCGCTGCTTTCCCTTAGTTCCCCAAGGCATCTCTCCCAGCCTGCCTTCAGCCAAGATCCTTCTGCCCTTTATTTCAGCTATTCCAAGGCTCATGCCAAAGGCCCCCAAACACTTCCTGTGACATCGCTCCCAGTTGCCCAGCTTTACAGGCAACTTGGGCAGGGAACACATCGCGACCCTGGCCACCGCGATGTTATCGCCAGTTCAAAATGCCTGAAACCACTATCGCAACCTGAGCACCATACCAGTTTCAGATCATTTGCCGATATATTGCCCAGCCCTAGTGGGGAGCCGCCTGTCACCAGAATCTGGAGGCAGCGGAGGGAGGGTGGGGGGACAACTACAGCAAAGGATCGCCTGGGCTTTTCTCTTGCAGCTGCCACTGGAGAGGAAGGGCCCAAGCCTGACCGGTCCAGCAGCATCAAGCGCATGCAGGCCATAAGGCGGCGGCATAACGCAGGCAGCAACCCCACCCCACCGTCCTCAGTGATGGGGTCCCCGCCCAGGTAAGCACTGCGGCACATGCATGCACTCTCCCCTTTTTCAGTTGGTGGATTCTTTATTATTATCTTGCCTCTTCTCACCCTCCTGCCTCTCCCTCCAGTTTACAGGACCTGCAGCGAGGCCGGGCCTCTTCGCACTCTCGTGCACTCACCCTCCCCTCCGCCCTGCAGTTCGCCAGCTCCCTCCTGCTGCCGCGAGGGGCCATCCACGAAGCCTGCAACTTCGACGACACGTCTGAAGGTGCCGTGCACTACTTCTACGACGAGAGCGGTGAGTGAGGGGCGGGCGGGGGGAACACCGCATGGGGAAAGGGGGGCAGAGCCGGAGGAGGTGCTTGAACAGGGGGCCTCTCCTGAGCCTCCCGTTGTTTTATTCTGCATTTTAAATTATTGGTGTTCGGGTTCAAAGGTTTGTGTTGTCATACTTTGTAAGCCGCTCAGAAGCAGCCTTTGAAAACTGCTTAGAAGCGGCCGTGGCTTTTTTTGTGGCAGTTCCCTGTTTGGGGGGTGCTGTCAGGGATTGGACTGAAGAAGAATGGTGGGGGCGGCCCCCCCTCTCCTGAATCTTCCCGAGAACTGGAGGACAGTATAGATTCAGAACAGTGGTTTGCAGAGGGGCATAGTTCAGAGGCTGCAGAGGGCAGAAGCTGGGAAATAATTGGAAGATGAACAGCGGGAAGAAGAACAAGCACCAGGGGAGATACAGCTGACTGACTCAGTCCTTGGAAAGCATTGCTGACCCCCCCCCCTCCCAGAACCAGGCGTGCATTACGGGTAGTAGAGCAGAGAGCTCAGAGACAGAAATCTCAGATTAGCCGACGCAGGGGTGACATAGAATAGGTACAGCGTAGGGGGGTGGGACTGTACTTGGAGCAATGCCATCATGGCATAGATACTACATTTCTTTGTCTCTCTCTGTGAATACTGAATAAATTACGTGGTAAGGCCTCTTCGTGTTTTCTACATTTTTGGCTGCCACCGGGGGAGGGATAGGATTCCCTGAGCCTTGACAGATGCCCTCCTTGGAGAGGTGCACCTGCGTTCCTCATCAGGGACTTTCAGGAGGAATTTGAAATTGTTCCTGTTTACACCGAGACCACTGTTTTCAGACAGTTTTTACTGTAATTTTTAAAGAAAATTTTAAATTAATGGTAACTGTTTATAGAATGTTTTTTAGAAATCTTTTGTTATTGATATGTTTTCTACCCTGCAATAAGAAAGGTGAAATACTACTACTACTATAATTATTATTATTAGTAGTAGTATAAAATTTAAATAATAATAGTAATTCAGGAGGGCAGGTCTTGCTTCGAGGTTGTTCACCAGTGTTTTGTGGACAGGACTAGGTTCCCTTCACCTCAGGAGGATTTTATTCAATCATGCCTTGGATCCCGAATGCCCTGGAACTCAGATGTTTTGGCTCCTGAACACCGCAAATCCGGAAGTGAGTGTCCCGGTTTGTGAATGTTCTTTTGGAACCTGAACATCCGACGGGGCTTATGCGGCTTCTGATTGGCTACAGGACCTTCCTGCAGCCAATCAGAAGCTGTGATTTGGTTTTCAAACGTTTTGGAAGTTGAATGGACTTCCGGAATGGATTCCGTTCGACTTCCAAGGTACGACTGTATGTATTTATTTCTTTGTGGTATGTACAACTCACCCGTTGTCCAAAGGTCCCAGGTTGTGGTTACACATATCTTATTGAAAACAATATACTGTATCGGCTGAAACCGAAACACAGAGGCCATCATAAAATCTCAGTAAGAACGACTGCACAGCAGTGAGAACCAGAATAAAAACGCATTCACCGGGTAAAGAGGTGCATCTTCACCTGCCAACACGGTTGAAGCATGACACACCTCAGAGGGGAAGTTGTTATGAAGATACGGAGCCACCACCAAGAAGGCCCTGCTCATGCACATTGCTGGGTGATAGGATTACAAGCAGGGCCTCCCCTGTAGATCTTAAATACAGTGGTGCCTCGCAAGACGAAATTAATCCATTCCGCGAGTCTCTTCGTCTTGCGGTTTTTTCGTCTTGCGAAGCACGGCTATTAGCGGCTTAGCGGCTATTAACGGCTTAGCGGCTTAGCAGCTATTAACAGCTTAGCGGCTTTAAGAAAAAGGAAACAAACTCGCAAGAACTCGCAAGACGTTTCGTCTTGCGAAGCAAGCCCATAGGGAAATTCGTCTTGCGGAACGACTCAAAAAACGGAAAACTCTTTCGTCTAGCGAGTTTTTCGTCTTGCGAGGCATTCGTCTTGCGGGGCACCACTGTATAAGGGCAGGATGATAAAGGAAGTGGTGTATGCCAGAATGTACCTTGGCTCCACTCCCTGAATAAGTGGACGCCCTCATTTCTCTCTGCATTTGCATGTAGAAGATCCCAGCTTCAGTATTCCTGTCCTTTCCCCCTTTCTCTCCAGGGGTCCGGCGTTCATACACTTTCGGACTAGCCGGGGGCGGCTACGAGAATCCTGTGGCACAGCAAGTCAGTGCAGAGCACGGAACCAACAGTGGCTGGTGAGGCCTCCTGTGTTCTAAACTTGAGCGGCTGATGTTGCATGCGGATGTGGACTTTCTGGAAAGCTTTGAAAGTTGCCGGGGGAAAGAGAGATTCTGGAAAAGTTTCCCATGGCCCTAAATTCATGGCTAAGTTAGCATATTTATAATGAAGTAATCACTTGTAATAAACATTAGTATACAAATATCTTCTTCTCGTAATAATCATTAGTAAACAAATCTTTTCTTCAAAGAAAGATACACTGCAATCCTATACCCACTTAACTGCAAGGAAGTCCCACTGAACTCAATGAAGCTTACATCTCAGTAGCCGTTTATGATTGCGCTTTTGGGTGGTTTGAACATTGCTGTATTCAAGGCTTTCCTGGAGCATTTGATTTTTGTTGAAATACTTGTAAATCTTTTAAAGATGCGATAGCTCAGTAGCATATATTTCCCTCATTCGACATACCGTCAGGGTAAACCTGTTGAAATCAATAGACATTAGGGGACACTCAATCATTATCTAGATCAGGGTTTCCCAAACATGGAGCTGCATAGATAAATGGCTGGACTCTGTATCAAGCTGCCTCCTGTGTTCCTTGTCTATTGGTTTTAGGCCAGGCAGGAGCCATAGCTCAGTGGAAGGTGCATCATTTGCATGCAGAAGGCCCCAGCCCCAATTCCTGGTGGGGCCAGTTAGGACTGAAAGAGCTCCCTGGAGCCCTGATGACAGTCAGTGCAAGACAGCACTGAGCTAGACCGACAAATGGCCTGGCTCAGTTTCAGGCATCTTCCTGCCTTCTTCCTATGTTAGTGCGTCAGATTGTGACTGGGGAGACCCAGGTTTGAATCCTCCGCTCAGCCATGAAACCCAGTGGGTGATCTCAGTCCAGTCAACAGATCTTAGCCTAACCTACTCATGGGGTTGTTGTGAGGGTACAGTAGGTGATGGCAAGACCCAGGGAGCTACTAGCAGGACTGTAAACATAATAAATAAATAGCTTGAATTGGTATCATGCGTTGGTTATCTGAAAGTAACTGATGGTGAAAGTGTGGGGAATCTGTGGCCCTTCAGATGTTGCCGGACTCCAACTCCCATCAGCCTCCAGCTAGCATGGCCGGTGGTCAGGGTTGATGGGACTTGTAGTCCAGCAACATCTGGAGGCCTGCAGCTTCCCTATTCCTGATGTAAGCAAACTCCCACTTATAGGACCTGTTGGTTGCCCTGGGATGCATGCCTCCCATCATCAGCCTCTCTCAGATGATCGCTGCTCCATCACACTTCTCTGTTTGCTTTGGCAGGGACAGGCATTCGCACTCCTCCAGCTTCAACTCTGCAGAGGTGCCGGAAGGGACGCCTGCCCTTACGCTGCTGCAGCCACGCCCCGTGGTTCTTCAGGGCATGCAAGTGCGCCGGGTGCCACTGGAAATCCCTGAGGTGAGGCCCTGGGACCCATGTGGCAACACTGAAATCGCTTGGGCTTCCTCGGAAAGAGCCCTGGTTGGGTTGCATCACTTTGTAATTTTGTAAGGCGCCTCAAATTACAGACAGAAGAGGTATCAGCTGGGTCTGTTTGCACTTTTAAGCTCTCCTCCTTGTTTGAGTGATAAGACCTGCTTGACATGCCAGCTCTGGAAGACTAGGGGTGCTTCCCTGGGATCTTGCAGGAACACAGATTGCCCTGCGAGATCTCATGAGATCATCTGAGAGCTGTTGCACACAGCAGGCCTTCCCCGCTAAGCAAGGCAGAGAGCTTAAAAGCTCTTTCTGTGCTGGGTAACTCCAAGGGAATTGGACACAAAAGAGCTTTGCATCTCTCTGCCTTGCTTGGATGTAACTTGTGCAATTTCAACCAACTGCCTTCAACCACATGTGGTTGGAATTGGGTGAATTACATGTGTGTAAAATGCAGCCATACTCTATTTGATCTTCCAAGTCCTAGTCCAACACTCTGACCACTGCACCACACTGGCTTCCTAGAGTACTACTGCTATGGGGCAGCTCTATAAGTTAAGTAGGTAAATAAATATGGGGAAAGCAAAATGTCACCTAGAGAAGGATCTGAAATAGTTTACTTGAAGTTTGTTTAATTCTGGATTGATGTTTTGATGTGTTGTAAACCGATTTTTCTTCCTTTAAAATACAAAGCGGTATAGAACCGAAATTAATAATAATAATATACTCCCCCAGTTTATTGCAATTGTAAAAAACGGGCTTAGCAGAATTCGATTTTTCGGGGACAAAAACTGAAGGAGGCAGGGGCAGAGAGATTGAAAAGTAAGAGAGAATTGAGAAAGGGGGCATTATTTGTGGGTTCAGCTTTTAGTTTCTGGCCAGGAGGCGAAGTCTCTTTCCTTTTAAACGGTTTTGGGGGTAACGGGATGGGTCCTGAGTGGAGTAGCAGAACCAACCCAGTTAATTGGCTGTTTTCTGCAGTTCGACCTTCTGGACCAGGAATCGCTGCACGAATCCCAGGAGAACACGCTGATGATTGAGGACAAATGCCACCCGCGCCAATACTACAAGTTCTGGGTGCTGCCCGGACGCTGGATGCGAGTGCGCTATGACCGCCTGGCCTTGCTGGCTCTGCTGGACCGGTGAGTGACACAACCAGCTGCTTGTCTGGCCAGGATCCAGGCAGTCCTGTCTCCCCAGTGATGCCTCTTCCTGCGAAAGGTGCCTCTGGGCATATGCCAGCCATAAAGGTGCAAGATGAGGCTGGCAAAGTCTCGCAGGTAACTGCTGAATGGACAACTGGCACCTCCTTGGTTACAGGCCGTCCAGATCTTTGGGTTTCTGAAGCCTCTTTGGAAAGTTGTAGCCCAAATGGTCGCATCTGCCAGGCAGTCACAAGTTAACAGATTTGCTCATGAGCCCTTGGGTGGATTTGGACAATACTTTTGAGAAAAATAGCAGAACCCTTCTGAAAACAATCCCCCTGCCTGTTTCTGATCTCCGCCCTGTCCCTAGAATGCCGCTTAAGTGTGCTGAAAGGTGAAAATTGGGCTTTCCGATTCAACATAAGGAAGCAGATCTTAGTTACATATTTTTCTAATGACCAGCTGAGATGGAACAGTTCAAGGAGAAGTCCCTGCTGCCTCAGGATGATGGGAGCAGCCCCAGCCTTCCTTCTCTTCCCTCCTCTGCTGCCTATTGCTGCCAGGTGGCAGTGGATGGTCAGTGATGCTCCGTTCTTCCTCCGCCCCTCCAGGAACCGGCGAGTGGCAGAGAACGTGTTTGTGGTGGTGCTGGTGAGCCTGGTAGCTTTCCTTGGATACCTCCTCCTCCTCCAGGGCTTCTTCCGGGACATTTGGGTGTTCCAGTTCTGCGTGGTCATCGCCAGCTGCCAATACTCTCTGCTGAAGGTGAGTCTGTGGAGCCCTGTCTGCGGCTGAGCATGTAGCTTTTCCATTCAATGAGTGTGTTTTCAGTACTGCTCCCCTCCTCCCCTGGTTGTCCTGAGGGTGCATTTTCTCTGCAAGGAGACCTGATGTATCTAACCTCCCACCCCCTTTCCTGTCATCTTTTTTTTCAGAGTGTCCAACCTGATGCTGCTTCGCCGATGCATGTGAGTATCAAACTGCTGGAAATTTGAGCAGGCTTAAGAGTGTGTGTGGGCGCACACAAGGATAGCAGATACGGCTTTGGTTGGTTAAGGATGCTTCCCTTGGATGCACTTTCGTGCATGTTGTGTGGAATCAGTTTATTAGTGGGCCTCATGCACCCGAGAGCTGGGAGCGGGAGGACAGGGCAGGAAGGACCATCCGCCAGGGGGTGGGCAATGGGGCAATTGCTCTCAGCCAAGTGTGGGAACCTCTGGCCTGTGTTCCATCCTTGTTCCACCAGGGTTTCCAGATTGAGCCACAAGGTAGTTTTCTCCCTGAAACCATGCCCACCGGTCAATCAGCTGACGCCATCTCATTGGGTGGCTAATGCCACCTGATAGGCTGGGCATTGGAATGCACCTTTAAAGCCCTAAATGGCTTTTTCCCTGTATACCCTAAGGAGCATCTCCATCCCAGTCATTCAGTCTGGACACTGAGGTCCAGCTCCAAGGGCCTTCTGGCAGTTCCCTCACTGCGGGAAGTGAGGTTGCAGGGAACCAGGCAAAGGGCCTGTGGAATGCCCTCCCATAAGATCAAAGAGAGAAACAATTACATGACTTTCAGTAGACATCTGAAGGCAGCCCTGTATAGGGAAGATGTAAGTATTCGATGCTTTATTGTGGTTTTCTAATTTGTTGGAAGCCACCCAGAGTGATTGGGGCAACCCAGTCAGATGGACAGCATATAAATTTATTATTATTATTATTATTATTATTATTATTATTATTACTGGAGGGTTGACTCACCCACTGATGGGGAAAGGGGTTCAGTGCTACCTGGCTCGGGTGCATGAGAAACCTCCCCATTTCTCACATGATCAAACCCTGCAGGAAGCTGATGCGCAGGAAGGTCAGTCCTACCTTATTTGGGCACAGGAGGTTCCCAAGTGCCCAACAGACAGGTGATTTCTGGGCGCAATGCCAGCCTCTTCACAATGGATTTTAACAGCCAGGTAGTGGCATCGGGGGGGGGGATACAGGGGTAGCACAGAAGAGGCAAAGTATATTTCTAGGTGGATGAGTTGTAAGATCTCTGAAAGAAAAATGACAGCATGTTTACTGACTGGAGGAGTCCAGCTTACCCCCCTCCTGGTGCCACCGATGGAGACATATGACCTGGCAATCATCCAGCATGCGAATGAAGAATGGGAGGGGCCTGATAAGGATCTGGCCTGTGGATCCAGCCCCCTGCTCTCTGCTGCTCTTCCGCTGCGTTCATGAAAGATGGCCTTGGAAGGCAGACATGAAGCAGTCCCTCCCCAGGGACCTCGCAGCCTTGTGCTAGTTGCTGTCCCTAAGAGGAAGCATCCCTGGCCCCTGCTCTCAAGGGGGCTTTTCTGTTTTCCCTTCCTCCGGCAGGGCCACAACTGGATCATCGCCTACAGCCGCCCTGTTTACTTCTGCGTGGCGTGCCTCTTGATTTGGTTTCTGGACCTCTGCGCCCACGCCGTGCCCCTCCCACCCGTCTCCTTCTACGACCTCACCCTCTTCTCCGCCGGCTTCTTCTACTGCGCCCGAGACGTGGCGATCGGTGAGTGGCTGGTGGGGTGGCCCACGGCTGGCGAGAGAATCCCCGGGAGGCTCATGGGGTCATTTGAATGTCCGTGGCTTGATTCCCTTTTTTCTTTTCTCACCCAGTTTTCACCCTCTGCTTCCCGGCCATCTTCCTCTTCGGACTCCTCCCCCAAGTCAACACTTGCTTCATGTACCTTCTGGAGCAAGTGGACATGAACATCTTCGGCGGAACAGGTGCAGAGAGAAGAGGGGAAGGGTGAAAGGGGAAGGGCTGGGGTGAGTGGGGCTGAGGGGGTCTCGGGGTTCTGCTGGAGGTACAGAGCACATTCCTCCGTCCTCCCCGGTTCGCGTGAAAAAAGGGCGATGCATTGCTGAGCTGAGCATCCGTAGTGGAGCTGGGTATGGGCTGCAGCACTTCAAACTGTGGGTCCAAGGTGGGACCCCCATAGTGCAGGCTGCAAAAGGGTTTCAGTCTTGTTTTAAACCTACCTGTTGCTTTTGTGCTTTTAACTGTTTATAATTATTGTGTGTAAATCGCTTTGAGACAGTGGTTTAGAAGGCAATTGATACATTAATTGTAATAACGCAGTCATACCGTGGAAGTCAAACGGAATCCGTTCGACTTCCAAAACGTTCAAAAACCAAATTGCGGCTTCTGATTGGCTGCAGGAAGCTCCTGCAGCCAATCAGAAGCTGCGAAAGCCACGTCGAACCTTTGAGTTCCAAAAGAATGTTCTCAAACCGGAACACTCACTTCCGGGTCTGCGGCATTCGGGAGCCAAAATGTCCGAGTTCCAGGGTGTTCGGGATCCAAGTGACAACTGTAATAATGATAATTTATGGTGCTGCCTTCTCTTTCTCTCTCTCCCCACCCACAGCTGCCACCAGTCCCCTCACCGCCCTTGTTGCTCTCCTGCGCAGCCTCCTCGTGGCTGCCCTTCTGTACGGTTTCTGCCTCGGGGCCATCAAGGTACCTGACCTTTGTGGGGAGCGAACGGGCCAAACTTGCCTTTGGGGAATGGGCCGGGGCTGGGTGTTGGCATTGAGCTCCAGGGCAGGTTCAGGTGGTTTGCTTTGTGGTCACACTGCAACCTTTTGGTCTCAAGCAACTGTGCCATCAGATCAGGTCTAGGTTGGGGGGGGGGGTCCGCTTTTGGCTGCCTGCTAGGGCTGTGTATTGCTAGGCTGCCTGCTAGGGCTTTGGGTTTCAGGCGGGGGCTTTGAGGGTATTGCAGTTTCTCTGAGCCTGATTGGTTTAGTTTCTCTCCTCTTTGCTCTCTCTCCCAGACTCCGTGGGGTGACCAGCACGTGCCCGTCCTCTTCTCCGTCTTCTGTGGCCTCCTCATGGCACTCTCGTATCACCTGAGCCGCCAGAGCAGTGACCCAACTGTGCTCTGGTCTGTATCCCATGCGGGATGGATGGGGAGTGCAGCCTGCAGCAGCAGAGAGCGAGGAGGGAGTTGGGACTCCTGCGTGGCAGGGAGACAATTGGGAGGGGGGAGAGCAGGGTTTGCAATCAATAGCTGCTGGGAGGTGGAAGGACGAGAAAGGGGAGGATTGCTGGAGACAGTGGAGCAGATTCCTATGGGAGGTGGTGGACTCTCCTTTCTTGGAGGTTTCGAAGCAGAGGTTGGGTGGCCGTCTGTTATGTGCGATCTAGTTGAGATTCCTGCGTTTGCAGGGGGTTGGACTAGATGACCCTCGGGGTCCCCTTCCGACTCTACAGTTCTGTGATTCTATGACTCCCCCAGCCAGCTTGACGTGGGGAGAGGCATGAGCCTGCTGGGGATTTCCTAACCCTAGTTCTTTTCTTCCCTGTTTGTCTCCCCCGGACGGGACAGGTCTTTGATACGAAGCAAGCTTTTCCCTGAATTTGAAAACCGCAATGTGGAGAGCCCCCCACTTGGAATCAAGGATCCGCTGCCTGAGAAACTACGCAGCTCCCTGGTGAGTAAGGAGGCTTGAGGAATTTGTGGGTGGGTGTTGAAAAGCTCACTCATCTGAGGCACAGCCCCCAAATTCATTTGCAAATTGGGCATAGTCTGCACTGAGCCAGGCAGCGGGAGGAGAGCTGCCTTTTTAATTTTTATTTTCTGTGCAACTTCCCAGGGAAGGGTAGCATGCCATCACCCCAAGGAGCATTTCCATACACATTTTAAAGCGGCGGTGCTTCTTCGCTTCTCCAACCGGCTATGAGCTGTGTAAAATTTAAAAAGTAGGGCGAATGGGGAAGTTGAAATACAGCCTGCAAACCGCCTTTTATGTGGATTAAATAAAAAAGACCTGCGCTTGCAAAGGGGCTATCTCTTGGTCACGTGCAAAATTGAAGTGGTTTGAGTTCAGGCTGCTCTGTCCATCCTTGCTGGTGAGGGGGGTGGGGCAGCCTGGAAAAGAAAAAAGAAGGGGGTCTGCCCTATGCAGTTTTATGTCTTCACTGATAAATGGTGTCCTAGCAACGGGCCGTCCCAGAGTGGTCCATCAGCATAAAACAGGGCTGTCCAACAGGTTGACTGCTATCTACTGTTAGATTGACCAGACCGGTGTCCGTGGTAGATCGCGGGATCCTCCTCCGCCCCCCCAATAAAAGCTCAACAACTTTGGTAGATCACTGCCATTTATTTTATAGTGGGAGTATATCTCAGTCTCTTGAAAGTTGGACATGCCTGGCTTAAAATATCGGCATAGTAGTGATCATCCATAAGAGAAAGTTGTGATGGGCTTTTTGAAGAAAAGGGAGCTCCCTGGAGGGTGTGGGGCTCAGGTGTCTGGGTCTCAGATGCAAGCCAGCCGGTCACCTCTAAAGCAAAGGGCAATGTGCACAGAGAAAGTCCCAGCTTCTCACTTCCTCTTCCTCCTCGCCCCAACGCAGCGGGAGATCCTTCACTCAGACCTGGTCATGTGCCTCGTCATCGCTGTCCTGACATTTGCCATCAGCGCCAGCACCGTCTTCATCGCTCTTGAGGTACCCGTGGGAAGAAAGTTGGTGGGTGTGGGAGACAGAGGCTCCAAAGGAGCTTGGGTGCTGCTTTGCGCAGGGAGTGTCAGCGGTTGCCAAGGAGGTGCCCAGCGCTCCAGAGCCAAAAACTTGAGATCTGTGGGGTCCGGTGATGTCACAGATTTGCCGATGTCTGTGGATTGGACCCAGCAGCAGTAATGGGGGTGGTGGGGGTGTTACCAGAAGGAAGGCAATCGTAGATTCATAGAATTGGAAGGGACCCTGGCAATAATATAGCCCAACCGCCTGCAATGCAGGAATATGCAACTGTCCCATACAGGGATTGAACCTGCAGCCTTGGTGTTATCAGCACAGCACTCTAACCGACTGAGCTATCCAGGGAGTAGCTGTGAAGGCCTAGAAAAAGAATTGGGTTAGGAGATTGGGTGACAATCCCCCCCCACAGAATTTTAAAGAGAAAATTGAAAACCTCCTGTGAACCATGTGTGAAGGGACCATCAGGGTCATCTAGATTAAGAGTCTCATGCTACATTGACTAAGCTATTTTCTGCCCAGCTTGTTGGCACCAGTGTCCCCCTGCTGCCCACCCCCCTGGCAGTCCAACAGTTCTTTGAGCCGCTCACTTAGATAACCCTTGGCAGGTAGGCATTACTTAGTCTAGTAAGCCCATACACATAGAAGAAAAACAGTGAGTGAGCTGGTGCTCTGGGCTAACAAGCTTAACAGCAACCCTTTATGTGCCTGCAGTGTGCTTTATTGCATTGCCCGCCTCTTGTTCTGCCCTTCCCAGTCTGTTCTAGGTTACGTGCTCTACGCTTTGGCCGGCCTGGTGGGCTTCGTCACTCACTACCTGCTGCCCCAGCTGCGGAAGCAGCTGCCCTGGTTCTGCCTCTCGCAGCCGGTGCTGAAGCCGCGCGAGTACAGCCAGTTCGAAGTGCGCAGTAAGTACCCCGGGTACACGTACATGGGCAGGCGTCTCTAAACATGGTGTTCCTCTGAGCTCTTGAGCAGGGAGAGGCTGCCTTTGGAGGGCTCATTGCTCTCAGCTCAGCCCTGGGATGGTGCAGGCATGGGATGATGCCTTTGTGCACCTGGACTTCTTATGGCACAAAGCAGAGCTTCTAGGTAGGCTTGAGACGCAGCGCAGCAAGCCTTGAGCCCCCAGGGAAGCACTGTGGCTCAGTGGTGCCGTGTCTTGGTAAGGCTGGGAGAGACACCCCTGCCTCTAACCCTGGAGAGCTGCTGCCGGTCAGTGAAGATAGTTCTCAGCTAGATTGGGCCAAGCAGGTGATTGAGCATCGTCTTATGTTCCTGTGTGCCTTCCTCCACTCAACATCTTCCAGGTGCTGCCCAGCTGATGTGGTTTGAGAAGCTCTACGCCTGGCTACAGTGTGTGGAGAAATACTTCATCTACCCAGCTGTGGTGCTCAACGCTCTCACCATTGATGCCCACTTGGTCAGCACTCCACGGCAGGACAAGTTCTGCATCTAGTAAGTCCCACTCCCACGCTGGGCTGCAACTTCATTGTATGGTGGCAGGGGCTGCTGTAGTGGACTTTCTCTCCCTCCCTCCCTCCGCTCCTTCTCTCTGTCACCTTCTGCACTTCTGGGTAGAAAGCTGTCTTAAGGGTTCTCTAGTGCCAAAAATGTTTGCACCAGGAAAACACGACTCCCTAAGACTACATTTGCACCATATATATTTGAAACTGTATGATACCAGCTTCAACAGTCATGGCTTTCCCCAAAGAATTCTGGAAGCTGTAGTTTGTTACAGGTGCAGAGAGCTGTTAGGAGACTCCTTATTCTCCTTATGGAGCTGCAATTCCCAGACTTCCCCGTGAAGAGAGATAAATTGTTTAAGCACTCTTGAGAATTATATTTTTCTGTGCGGGGAATATAGTGGTCTCTTAACAACCTTCGGCACCCTTAACAAGTCACAGCTCCCGGGATTTTGGATGAGGGGGAACCATGACTGCTTAAAGTGGTATCATAGTGTTTAAAATTATGTTGTGAATATGGTCTTTTCCCACCTGGTGTCTTTCAGAGGTTTTGAACCACAATTCTGATCAGCATGCTAGCTGGGGCTGATGGCAGCTGTAGCCTAACGTACCTGGGGGGCACCAGGTTGGGGAAAGCTGCTCTAAATTATGGCTGTCAGAAAACCCTTGTGTAACTGCATCATTTTCAGAATTTGTTGTGTGCTTGCTGATCACAGGGATTGGGTGTGGGTGTGTACTTGGGCCATGAGTACTGAGAAACTCCACTCGTGCCTCTTCCAACCATTTTTTGACTTCTGAGATGTCCATATAACTTCCAAGCAAAGGGTAGCAAATAATCAGCCTAATAAGCCAATATCCTTAAGCATACTGAATTTGCAATATGAAATCCTGTGCTTGCTCACCATTTGCGCAGAATGATCTAATAGCATTGGCCGCCAAGACTGGATTTTTGTGTGTGTACTTCTGTTACTGCCCAGGCTGAGGCGTTGGCGCTGAACTGAAAGCGTGTGCTTATGTGTGTGTTTAAGTGAGTTTCTAGCTGTTGCGTTTATGAAGCTGTGCTTTGAACGTCAGTGGGCTGTGCCTGGCAGAATCTCAGAAGCCAGAGCGTACCGGGAGGGTGGGGGACTGAGGGGAACTTTTGTGTCTGCATTTGGCTCTTTGGTTCTCCCAATGAATAGCAGGAGCGGTGTGCATAGCCTGCAGAAAAGCATTTTGCAGAAGCGTTGCACGATTCATTTGTGATCAGAAATCATGAACACTGGGCTCCAAATGCCTTTGGCTAGCAATAAACTTTTAAGAACCTTGGGTTTCCCTTTTTATTTTTATTTTTGCTGGCTGTAGAGGACAGATGCACGAGTAACATATTCTCTCTTCTTTTCCCTTTCCCTGCCTCCCTCCCCTCTAATCCCAGTTGCCGAGCCCTCCTCATCACCATTGCTGGCATGAAACTTCTGCGCTGCTCCTTCTGCTGCCCCCCTCAGCAGTACGTCGCCCTGGGCTTCACTGTCCTCTTCTTCCAGTTTGACTACAAGCAGTACTCCGAGGGCTTCCTCACCGACTACTTTGTCATGTCCATCCTCTTTAGCAAGGTGGGTGCTGACCTGAACCCCCCTCTCCTGTCAGGAAGAGAGTCCTGGAATCATAGAGTTGGAAGGAACCCTGAGGATCATTCCTGCAATGTAGGAATATGTAGCTCTCCCATACGGCGATCGAACCTGCAACCTAAGCATTATCAGCACCGCGCTCTAACCAGTCCTTAGACTGTGGCAGAACAGGCAGGTTTGCTTGGGGTCCAAGGGACTAGGAGAATGCATTGCAGTGCCTTCCTCTGATTTGGTGCCATTCATTTGGGAAGTGATAGCAGATCTTCTATGAACTAATATCAAACTCCTTCTCTGAGTGTGAATTCTTTATTTTTTTCATTCATTCATTTAATTGATTTCTGTTTCTCCTTGGAGCTCATTTGTGGTTTCCCCTCCTCCCCATTTTATCCCCACAACAACTCTGTCAGGTAGGCTAGGCTAAGACAGCCAATGGCCCAAGGTCACCACCCAGTGAGCTCCATTGCTTACAAAAAGAGCAAATTTGAACTTTGGTCTCCCAGGTCCCTAGTCCAGCACTCTAAACACTGCACGACACTGGCTTTTACATAGCCAAAAGAAATTCCACTGTCCTTTCACAGCAAGGAAGTATCACCAGGCTCAGGAGAACTCAAAAGTTTGCAGAAGCATAAGAAATGGAAGGAGGGGTCCCTCCAACAGCCCAAAGTAGAATTGAGTGTGGCTCAGTGGAATGCTAGCTGACTTAGGGGAGGGGAAATGGATGGTGTGGGAAAGGTGAATGGAATGGAGTGTCCTGCAAGGTGGCACGGCTAGCTGGTTGGCTGGAGCTATGAATTGGAGCACTTTGTACTGCAACCTTCTGTTGCAGATATCACTGGTATCCAGTGGCTGGCTCCATTCTTGCAATTGAGGAACTGGCTCGTTCTAACACGGCAGTCCCTATTTGTGTCCTGCGCTCCTGTGTTTAGATTGCCTTCTGTTTATTTACTGATTGGTTGGTTTTATTTTTATTTTTCAGTAGATTTGTGGCCTGCTTTTCAACTGGCATTCCCAAGGCAGTTCGCAACATAAAAAAAATTGCAGTAAACCCATTAGCCGCCTTACAGTTTAAACAAAGGGAAACCAAAGGTTTCTGCTGCTGTTTTTAACCATTTGTACCTCTCATTCCTTTTCAGTGTATTGAGGGAACCCAAAAGTTTTGGGTTACCCTGTCCAGAGGACTGCATAATCATTGTCACCCGCTATCTGGAAGGGCTTTTTATCTTCTTTACCCAGTATAGAGCCAATCCCTGGCAGCATAGCAAATCACAAAGGAAGGAAGGAGTTTGGAAAGTGGCATGCAGCGCAGTCTTTGACGAGGAGTGTCTGGTGCAGGTCAAAGAGGAGGGGCAGGGGAGGAGGACAGGCAGGGACTCCACAGATTGTGGACCAACCCATTGGGAATAGGGAAGGTGACCCAAGACTTATGATGGGCAATTTTTCCTTTATCAAATTCAGGTGGGTCCTATCCTTTAGCCATCCCAGTCTGCTCCCTCTCCTCTCTGATCCACTAGTCTCTACTGCTGGACTGAGCTCCATGTGGGTAAACTTCTCTGTTCTTCTTTTCCCGCACCCCATCCCCTCTCCAGCTGTGGGACCTCTTATACAAGCTCCGGTTTGTGCTCACCTACATCGCCCCCTGGCAGATCACATGGGGCTCTGCTTTCCACGCCTTCGCTCAGCCGTTCGCCGTACCTCGTATCCTTTTCCTATTGCGACAGCCAAGGGGTGGAGGTGGAAGGCAGCGCGTTCAGAGTTTTCCTCAGTAATAGTCAATTCATTTCATGAAATTTACTTGGCGGAGGAACGCTCGAGTGTTTTACAAATGATGAGTGATGCAAACGGAAATAATTCCCCCTACTCCGTTTCTGTCCTCCGCTCTCAACACAACCCCTGACATCCAACAGGAGTGGCAGCAGACTCGGGACTGCACATTTAACCAGTGGGATTCACTGCCACATGATGATCTGGTGGGCAGCATAAGCTGCTTCTAGGAAGATTCAATTCGTCAGTGACTCAGTAGCTTGAATTAGAGCAGCCATGGTCAACATTTTTACTTGTTTCCTGTTATCTATACCCCCAGCTTTCCTTCAAGGAGTTCAGCATGGTTCTCTGCCTCTCTGTTTGATCCCCAAAGCAGCTCTGTGACGTAGGTTAGGCTGAGAGAGGCAGTGACTGGCCCAAGGTTGCCCATTGAGCTTCCTGGCTGAGTGTGGGTGTGAACCCTGGTCTCCCAGATCCCAGTGCATCACTCTCACTCCTACAGCACCCTGTTTTGGTGAATGCTGCAGACAGAGAGCAGGTGGCTGGCTGTAACTTTCAGCACCTGGGGTGTGCTGACATTGGACGCTGAACCAGCAGCAAGAGTAGCCGGGTATTTGACTTTGTCCTTTTTGAACTTGATGCTGACGTTTCCTTGACTGCTGCCTGCCTGTCCAGACTCTGCAATGCTGTTTGTCCAGGCTGTCCTATCTGCTCTGTTCTCCACCCCTCTCAACCCGCTGCTGGGCAGCGCCGTCTTCATCATGTCCTACGCTCGCCCCGTCAAGTTTTGGGAGCGCGACTACAAGTGAGTGCCGAGCATGTTGCAGGGAGACCCTGGAGCCAATCTCCCTTGCCACTCAGCCGCTAATAGTAATGATAATAGTAATAATAATAATATTAATAATAATAATAATGGGTTTCCCCAGCCACTCTGGGCAGCTTCCAGCAAAATACAATAATTAATGAAATATTGGAAACTTCTCTAAGCAGGGCTGCTTTCAGATGTCTTCTAAAATTCAGACAGTTTTTTATTTCTTTGACATCTGATGGAAGGGCGTTCCACGGGGCGGGCGCCACTACCGAGAAGGCCCTCTGCCTGGTTCCCTGTAACTTCGCTTCTCGCATTGAGCTCTGGACCTCAGTGTCCGGGCAGAACGATGGGGGTGGAGACGCTCCTTCAAGTATACTGGGCCAAGGCCGTTTAGGGCTTTAAAGGTCAGCACCAACACTTTGAATTGTGCTCAGAAACATACTGGGAGCCAATGTAGGTCCTTCAGGACTGGTGTTATGTGGTCTCGGCAGCCACTCACAGTCACCAGTCTAGCTGCCGCATTCTGTATTAGTTGTAGTTTCCGGGTCACCTTCAAAGGTAGCCCCACATAGAGCACATTGCAGTAGTCCAAGCGGGAGATAACCAGAGCATGTACCACTCTGGCGAGACAATCCATGGGCAGGTAGAGTCTCAGTCTGCGTACCAGATGGAGCTGATATAGACAACTGCCCTGGACGCAGAATTGAGCTGCGCGTCCATGGACAGCTGTGAGTTCAAAATGACTCCAGAGTGAGCTTTCTACAATAGGGACGTAAACGTTGTCTTGTATGGAGACAGCTCTTTGGTCCATCTAGCCCAGCATTGTCTACCCCAGGGGTGGGGAACTCCCATCATCCCTCATCACTGGCCATGCTGGCCAGGGCCCATGGGAGTTGTAGTCCAGGTTCCCCACTCTTGGTCTACACCAAGCAGTCTCCAGCTGTTTGGGGACTACAATTCCCATCATCCCTGACCACTGGTCCTGCTAGCTAGGGATGATGGGAGTTGTAGTCCCAACAACCACTGGAGATCCAAGTTTGGGAAACTGGCAGTGGCTCTGTCTGTTTAGAGTTTCAAGTAGGAGACAATTCCCAGCCCTACCTGGAGATGCCAGGGACGCAACCCAGAACCTCCTGCTTGCAAAGGGATTCCTCCGGCATTGAGCTACAGCCCTTCCTCACTGGATCACAGGGTCCATACTCTTGGCCAGGACCACATTCCTGCTGATTGTGGGTGGGACTGGATCCAGGGGTGGGCAGGCCAGAGCCAGAAGTGGGTGAACTGCCCCCTTTTGTCTCCCTCCCTGTCCCGGGGGCTGCTGTGGGAAAACTCAGAAGGTCCGAACTGATTACTTGCAAAGACATTTCTAAGTTAGGCTGAGGACCACAGGTTGCTCCCCCTCTTGTCTAATCTCTCTCCTTCCTTCTCAGCACCAAGAGAGTTGACCATTCCAACACCCGACTGGCCACGCAGCTTGACCGCAACCCAGGTGTGTTTCCAGGGGTGGCCCCCTACTGGAGAGCTTGAGGCTGACAGCAGGTCGGGGATTGGCACAGAACTCCGGCTCCTAGTCCATTTCTTATGTCAGTCTGGTCTAAAAAAAGCCACTGTAACATAAGAGTAAATCTTGTGCTTTAGTTCTGTGGCTGTTTTCCAGCTCTCCGTCCACCTTTCTGTGTAAATCCACACATTTAAAATGATTTTGCAGTGCAATCCTAAGTGTGCTTTCCTGTAAAGGAAATCCCACAGCCTTCCATGGGTCTGACTAATAAGTGCTGTTTCGTATCCAGACATTGCCGGCTCAAAAGACTAAAGGCCATATTAGATGTCCCTTTTGTGCAGCCACAGAGGAAGTTTGAATTTGATGGGCATAATGATGGGAGGTGATTAATGCTTTTTCCACAAGTCACCTGTCCCTGGGCTACAGTTCCTTGCTGCAAGAGCAGGACCCATCCGCTATGCCTCGTGTCTCTGCCTCTGCTTATAAACATAGGCACTTCCCAGGCTAAAGCGCAGTACGGTTGATAAAAGAGCCAGTGCGCTGCTTAAATGGAGTGTGAATGCCACAAGGTAGTCATAAGGGCACATAGGAAGCTGACTTACATCCTGTCAGACTAATTTTCTGTCTAGCCCAGTATTGCTGATTCTGGCTGGCAGCAGCTCTCCAGGGTGTGAGAGGGAACCTTCCCTAGTCCTGCTGCGTCAGATGGCAGGGACTGATCCTGCAGCCCTTTGCCCACAAAGCAGGGGCTCTATCTTTGAGCTGCAGTCCCCATCCCTGAAGACAGGAGACTGCCTTACGCTGAGTCAGGGTCTTTGACCGTCAGCCCAGTGACACTGGCTGGCAGTGGCTCCTTGTGGTCTTGGGCAGAGATAAGTTCTCATTGGCTGATTCATTTAAATGGAGAAGCTTTCCGGGAGTCTCTTGGGTGCAAAGCAGGCGCTGCAACACTTGAGCTGCCATGGAAGCCAGCAGTAGTCATGCACCATGGGCAAAGAAAACCCCCTCCCCTCCTTTGCCCAAATCACTAGCCTGCCTGTTGTGGAGGGAAGCCCTTCTGGGTCCCGAATGATGAGGGTAGAGTTGGGAATCCAACATCTGGAAGGCTGCTCCTCTCTGCCTCCCCTGTGCTTTTGCTACGTATTTGTGCTCATATGGTTTGCCCCGATTTGCAGGCGCCGATGACAACAACCTGAACTCCATCTTCTACGAGCACCTGACACGCTCCTTGCAGCACACACTCTGTGGGGACCTGATCCTGGGGCGCTGGGGCAACTACACCACAGGGGACTGTTTTATCCTGGCCTCGGACTACCTGAACGCCCTTGTGCACCTCATCGAGATTGGCAACGGCTTGGTGACCTTCCAGCTGCGGGGCCTCGAGTTTCGCGGTAAGTCAGCAGGGAGGCCAAAGTGATGGGGAAGCCCATGATCTTCCTGCTGAATCTTCCTGGGACAGAAGACTGCTCCTGGGGCTGTTTGTGGGATCCAATGGGAAATGTAATCCAAAACATTTGGAGGGCCCCAGAAGACTGGATTACAGCTTCCACCTTCCCTGACGGTTGGCTACACTGGCTGGAGCTGATGGGAGATGGACGCCCAACATCTGGGTCTCTACACATGGGCTGTCCCTGCTCCATATTGTCTCACACACACACACACCAGGTTTCAGTAATGGTCTTTCCCGGCCTTGCCAGGAGATGCTGGGAATTGAACCTGGGACATTTTGGCCTTTGAAATCTGGTCATAGGAAGCTTCTTTATATCAAGTCAGACTTGATTTGCCCATTCAGCCTTCCAGTATTGCCTACTGCAGCCTTCTGCAACCTGGTGCCATCCAGATGTTTTGGACTGCAAATCCCATCAGCCCTAGCCAGCTTGGCCAGTGGTCAAGGATAATGGGAGTTGAGGTCCAAAACACCTGTAGGTAACTAGGGTGCAGAAGGCTGGCCGTTGTTGTTGTTGTTGTTGTTGTTGTTGTTGTTGTTGTTATGGCGGTTGTTCGACAGTGGAACAGTCACCCTCAGGAGGTTATGGACTCTCCTTCTTTGGAGGTTTTTATGCAGAGGTTGGACGGCCATCTGTCATGGATGCTTTAGCTGAGATTCCTGCATTGCAAGGGGTTGGACTAGATGACCCTTTGTGTTCCTTCCAACTCTGTGTTTCTATGATTCTATTATTATTATTAAAATTTATTACCCACCTTCCAGCAGGTCCCAGGGTGGGTTACAACAATCCTAAGATTCAGAATTAAGAACAGTTAAAATACTGTCACTAACTAGTAGCGGGTCGCAGCAGAGAAAGGGCTTTTTCCCATCCTCTGCCTCCTGGTTCTCTTTTAAGTGGAGATACCAGAGTTGCCACTGAGCTCCATCCTTGCATCTAGCCTGTAGGCTGGAGGTAGGCAACACGCCAGCCCAGAGGTGGAATCAGCCAACCCCATCAATTTTGATGGCAGCAGCGCAGGCAAACAAAATTAAGAGACTGTTGTTGAGAGGTTTAGAACCCTCTGTGCTGTGATGCGAGTCGCCAGTGATCCCCCTCCCTAGGCATTAGATTGGCTATTTCATGAGCAAGGAGGGGGCAGTAGCCCTTCTCCTCAACTTATCTGCAAGGATCTCTGTGTTCTTGTTTAAGTGTGGGCTCAGATCTCCTGCTGTCAAGGTGACTATGGCCCATGGGCCACAGAGAGGTCAGTGCCTGCTGCCACAGACTGACGTGCAGGCTGCCCTTTCTTTTCCAGGTACCTACTGCCAGCAGCGAGAGGTGGAAGCCATCACGGAGGGGGTGGAGGAGGACGAGGGCTGCTGCTGCTGCGAGCCGGGCCACCTGCCGCGCATGCTGAGCTTCAACGCAGCCTTTGGGCAGCGCTGGCTGGCCTGGGAGGTGGCTGCCACCAAGTACGTCCTGGAGGGCTACAGCATCAGCGACAACAACGCCGCCTCCATGCTCCAGGTCTTCGATCTTCGGAAGATCCTCATCACTTACTACGTCAAGGTGAACCTCGTTGCCCAAGAGGGGAGATCTGTACTACTGCACTTCTGGGTTGTTAGTAATGGTTGTTACGTCACAATAGTTTTATTTTTCTAAAAATGAAAAGGTTGGTTGAAAGAGGTTGGTGCCTTCAGCAGGCACCGGAAAAGCAACAGAGTTGGTCGGTGCTGTTTTTCTAGAAAAAGAGGTGCTGGGACTCACCAGGAACATCTCCCTCATTCTTTTAGAATGGCAATGGCGCCCACCTGAGAAGTGCTGGAACTGAGTTCCGGGGGGAGCCCTGGAAACAATGCATATCTGATATTTACCATACAGAATTCCCAAAGGAATTGGTTGGTATTAGGGGGTCCCCTTTTCCGGTTGCATTTGAACAGTGAAATCTCCGCCTAACAAGCCAACAGGCATGAGCTTCATACAGTCACTTTGGTCTTAGGAATGAGGCCTTTAATGTAGAACTTTCCCCCCATCCTTGTATCAGACAGATGCCGCCTCTGTTAACTTTCTGGTGCCTCTTGAAGACCTTCCTTTTCCAACAAGCCTTTTAAATTGAGGTTTTTCTCCCAGTCTAATATTGTTTTTTGTTGATGTTTTTATTGTTGGTTCATTGGAATCATAAATAAAACAGAAGTTTGGAGCAGGGTTTCCCAAACTTAGGTCTCTATCTGTTTTGGAACTACAGTTCCCATCATCCTTGACCACGGGTCCTGCTAGCTAGGGATGATGGGAGTTGTAGTCCCAGAACAGCTGGAGAGAGGCCCAAGTTTGGGAAACCCTGGTTTAGAGAAACAGTCACAGAAAGTCTTGTGGCATGCAGACATCCCTCCCCTTCCATCCTTTGTGATCACCTCCACCTTCCCTTTGGCAGAGCATCATCTACTATGTGACTGGCTCTCCAAAGCTCGAGGAGTGGCTGGGCAACGAGGGGATCCAGGAGGCCCTCCGCCCCTGTACCTCTCTGAACTACGCAGACAGCGACCCCACCTTCAACCTCAACATAGATGAGGATTACGATCACCGCATGGCAGGCATCACCCTGGCTTCCTTCTGCAACATCTACCTCGACTGGATCCAGTACTGTGCTAGCCGCAGGGAGAAGGTGAGTCATGGGCTGTTGTAGGAGAGAAATGGTTGCTCCCTCTCTGGAAAAAGGAGGTGCCTGGCGTTCCACCTGGTTCTCCTGGAAGTCTTCCCAAACCCCCAATGTATGTGGGCTGCTCAGAGTCTTCCTGAGATGGAATAATTAGTAACAATAACTTTATTATTTAAATGCCGCCCATCTGAGTCTCCCTCTCCTGCTGCAACAAACTGTCCTCCACCCTGGTCTCCAAGAACAAGCAGCATAATGAGGAGGTCAAAACAGAGACCAGATGTGTGCAGACACAGTTTGTGACTGCTTGGGAAACATCTGGGAGAGGAGGAGCCTTCAAAGGGGTGGAAGGTTGGGACCTTCAGTCTTGGCAGCTGCTCTATAAGGGCAAGAATTGTTGCTGAGCTGCAGGCCGTTTCCTTGAATAAAGGACACTGACAACCGACTCTGCTTCTTCGTGCTGACCTGCAACTGACTCCAGCCCTTACAAATGCAGTTTCTGTGCATGGTCCCCGTTCTGCCTCCCATGCCTCTGTGTGTCTTTTCTTTCTTTCTTTGCAGCCGGTGGACCGGGAGTGGAACTCCCCTCTGGTCACCCTGTGCTTTGGGCTCTGTATCCTGGGGCGCCGGGCCTTGGGCACTGCCTCCCACAGCATGTCAGCCAGGTGAGACCAGCCCCAGACATGCCTCCTCCCCACCCTCTGTGTTAAGAACCCCAGTGTAGGTTTGATTGGAATGCTTTGCCACATGGGTTTATATTATTGTTTGCCTAGCGAGGCAGCATATCAGTTTGTATAATAATGATGGTGGTGGTGGTGGTGGTGGTGGTGGTGATGATGAGGATTCAGTTGTACCTCGGATCTCAAACACCTTGGTACTCGAACGTTTTGGCTCCTGAACACCACAAACCCGGAAGTGACTGTTTCAGTTTGTGAATGTTCTTTGGAACCCGAATGTCCGACGGGGGTTCCACAGCTTCTGTTTGGCTACAGGAGTTTCTTGCAGCCAATCAGAACCCACACTTTGGTTTCCAAACGTTTTGGAAGTCAAACGGACTTCCAGAACGGATTCCGTTTGACTTCCAAGGTGCGACTGTATAGGGAACAACTGCTAAAGACTCCTGCTTGTGTGGCCTGCCTGAAAAACATAGCTCAGTCTCTTAATCTAAGGCTTTTAATCTTAATCATGGCATGAGCCTCTTAATTTTAGGATTGTAGGTTCGAGCCCCACATTGGGCAAAACAATTCCTACGTTGCAGGGGGTTGGACTGGATAATAATAATTTTTATTATTTGTACCCCACCCATCTGACTGGGTTTCCCCAGTCCCTTCCAACTCTGCAATTCCGTGATTCCTCCCTTCCTCCCTCCCTCCTTCTTTCTCTGCAGCCTGGAGCCCTTCCTGTACGGCCTGCATGCACTGTTCAAGGGGGACTTCCGAATCACATCACCCCGCGATGAGTGGGTCTTTGCTGACATGGACCTGCTGCATCACGTGGTGGCACCCGGAGTGCGCATGTCACTCAAGCTACACCAGGTGTGCCTTTGCCCCAACCACGTAATTAAGTAGGAGCATTGGAAGCTGCCATACAGAGCCAGGTCATGTCGTGGACTGGCTGGAGGCAGGGGAGTGGTGGGAGAAACCAGCTGGGGAATCCCTAAGGGAACCCCCAGGGGAAGAAGGCTCAGAGCCAGGGGTGCTCCTTCCCTGTCTCACCCCTTGCAATATAGCATTGCCTCTCCTCCTCTTCAAGGACCATTTCACCTCCCCGGACGAGTACGACGACCCAGCCGTGTTGTACGACGCCATACGGTCGAACGAGGAGAAGATGGTGATCTCGCACGAGGGCGACCCCGCTTGGCGCAGTGCCATCCTCACCAACACACCCGCCCTGCTGGCCCTGCGCCACGTGATGGATGACGCCAGCGACGAGTACAAGATTATCATGCTCAACAAGCGCTACCTCGGATTCCGGGTCATCAAGGTGGGCAAAAGGCTGAGATTGTGGGAGATGGATGGATTTTCCTCTTTCATGGGAGTGGGGGAGAAGCTGAGCTCTGTGGTCAGGGAAGTGTGAGGACTCAGGTAGCGAGAAAAGATTGCCCACGTCAGCATGGTTCAGGGCAAGCAGAGCCTGAAGCATCCACACTGGGAAACAAAGACAGACCAGTGTGTTTGGCTTCATGCAGTGGACTCACCTGGTTTCTCCAGCTCCTAAAAATAAACTTCATAGCAGCCTTCCTCAACTTGGTGGACTCCAGCTCCCACCTTCCCTGACCACTGACCACGCTGGCTGAGGCTGATGGGTGTTGTGGTCCGAAACATCTTAAGGGCAACAGGCTGGGGAAGTCAGTCCTTTGCATCATTTTCACCATCAGGGTTTTGCTGACTTGTGGAAGCTTTCTGTTGAGTCCCCTTCCAGCATTTTAGTTGGGCTGGCAATAGTTGTCCTGTCCACCTTGCACCTTTTTACAGAAGAACATCCTAGCCTCGGTTAACATCTCACCCAAAACTGCCTATATCTTTCTGTATACATAAAAATATAAGGTTGTCGTCATGCAGTCCTCGTTGGAGGAGTTGTAGCACCTCGCCACATCACAATACTGCATTTTCATGAAGTCAGGGTTTGGTAGGGGAGCAACAGAGAAGGCCGGCAGTTGCACAACACTAGTGGGCATGGCATGGGAGTGAAAAGGGAGGAACACTGATGGGAAAAACAACAGCAGAAGTTAGAGCTGGGCTGGGGAGAAGAAAAGTGTGGTTTTAAACAATGGCAGAGGTTTGAGTAAAGTACCTTCATACCGTGGGATATTTAGGGGTGGGGTTGGCAAGTAGAACAAGCAGGGGTGCAGCCTTGTGTGTGTACCCATGCACCCACCCTAGAATAGCTGTTAAAATGACCTCAAAAGGGTTTTCCTACAATGCTTTGGGTGGTGTGAGGAGGCTTGCAAGCAAGAGAGCCTGGAAGTGAGCTGGTGTTGCTCATCCCCACTCGTCTTTGAGCCTCTGTCTGGATTACCTGCAAGCGTGTGCCAGCTTGAGCTTGCATGCCAGGCATGCCCAGAGGTGCCTTTTGCAGGAAGAGGCATCTCTGGGGAGACAGACCTGCCTGGATCCCAACCAGAAGAGCAGCTGGGTGTGTCACTGACTGAACCAGCAGGCGCAGCAAGGCCAAGCAGTTGCAGTGCACCCACATCCATTGCTCAGGCAGCGGCCAGAACTTCTACTATTGGCATGGGTTCTCCTGGGACTTGTGCAGAGATTCCGGGTTCAGAAGGTGAAACTGTGCAAAGAAGAGACTGTTGAGGAGCTAATTTGGGCTTTTGGTGGATGCCCCTTCGACTCCATCCTACACCCAGCTCCCGCTCCCAAAGCTGGAAACTTGCGCTGTGTGCTTCTTGCGGAGCAACGCTTTCCTCCCTCCTTCTGTTCCAGGTGAACCGGGAATGTGTGCGGGGTCTATGGGCTGGGCAGCAGCAGGAGCTGGTGTTTCTCCGGAACCGGAACCCCGAGCGCGGCAGCATCCAGAACGCCAAGCAGGCCCTGCGCAACATGATCAACTCCTCCTGCGACCAGCCCATCGGATACCCCATCTACGTCTCTCCCCTGACCACTTCGTACGCCGGCAGCCACCCGCAGCTGCGCTCGCTGTGGGGGGGCCCCATCAGCTTGCACAATATCTCCGCTTGGTTCATACGAAGCTGGGAGAGGTGAGGCTCTCCCTTGTGTTGCAGGAGGCTCCATGTTTCCCTGTGGCTGGGATGGGAGATACTGTGCCCCTCCCAAATCCTGCGGGCCTCCAGCTAGCATGGTTAGTGACTAGGGCTGATGGGAGTTGGAGGTCAGCAACATCTGGGGGTTTGCAGGTTCCACTCAGCCATGAAGCTCACGGGGTGACCTTGGGCCAGTCACTGTGTCTCAGCCTAACCTACCTCACAGGGTTGTTGTTGGGGTTAAGTGAGAACCCTGTTCGCCACCTTGAGCTCCTTGGAAAAGAAGGTGGAATATAAATGCATTTTTTTTAATTTAAAAATTTGTTTCTGGTTTTTAAGCAAATACCTTTAAACATTCAGTAGTACATCTGATGGTGTTTGTTCCATCCATTGACTTTGGACATAAGCTTACACATTCAGTGCTCAAACATATTACTTAACATAATCTCTCCACTGCACAGTTGGTATAACAAAGTCTTGATTTTGGCCATTAACATAGTTTTAAAAAGGGGTACACCTTTCTTGGAAGGTGCCTCTTTTCGTTATGCCTTTAATTGCCCTTCTGTGTCTGGCGAGACCCTCAAACATCGCTGTATCCCACATATTATTTATCCATATATTTAGGGTATTTCAATCTGGCTCTTCCATTGTTGAGCAGACCATGTGGCACTCAGGAAGAAGCCTACTAGTTCTCTGTGGTGCAGGGTGGAGCCTGTTTCTGAAGATAGCAGGGCAAAGGCAAGAATAAATGCAATCAATAAATAAAATTCAAGGTTGGGGGGGGGTCTTGGCAACTAGAAGGACAGGGTGGGCAGTAACCAGCACAGCTATTCCCTTTGCTTTGCACCCCCACCTGCTCAACACCTGTCCCAATTTCATCCTCTGTTTCACAGGTTGCAGAAAGGCTGTGGGGCTGGTTGCAATAGCGGAGGGAACATTGAGGATTCGGACTGCGGTGGCGGCTCTTCCTCCCTCAGCAATAATCCCACCGTGCACGGGTCTCAGGCTCCTGGGAGCACTGCTCACAGTGTGGGCACAGGGGCTGCAAACCCTGCCGAACCGGTCATCACCACTGCCCAGCCTCAGGCAGGTAAGGAGGACTCTCCCCCCCCCTCAACACAGATGCGACATGGCTTTTGGTGAAAGAATGGGGCATAATGGGGGTGAACACAGTGGGTAGGGGTGGGAGTCAGAGAGGACAAGGTTTTGGAAACAGGAGGAGGGCTGGAATTCCAGCAGAAGGAGAGGCTGCTGGATGGAAAACCTGCAATAGCACACACACACACACCACACCTGCAGACACTGTCGTCGTCTTCTTCTTTTTCTTTGTTAAATATTTTTTATTAATTTTCAGTTACAAAAATCTAACACATGCCATATTATAGTAATACAAAATAGCAATACCAATTCAAATACAAATCAATTACATAGCCAAATATAAATTTTGTGTGGCTTCCCACGTGCTGTACTTCAAGGTCTGATTCCCTTTAATTCTGCCTCCAGACTGTTGCTCGAACCAAATACAATCCATTCTTGATAAAATCCCTTATACCACAGCTACAATGATTAACTTCAGTTCGCATTAACACATATAGTAATTGGTAAATTCGCAAATGAAGTTCTCCTTTTTCCTTCCTGTGCGAGGTTTTAACTTCCATCAATTGTTCCTTTTGTTCTTTATCAAATATTATGTCCAAATTAGTTATTCCTGATCTCCTTTGTGCCTTACGGCTTCTGTTGACTGGGAGTTACTCTGGAGAGGTCACTCTCTTTGTTCCCACTGCAGACACTGTCTTTGACCATGGAAGAAGAACATAGCCAACTGACAGCCTTTTAAAACAAAAACAAAATTTTATTGGTTTTTAAACATATAACCATTAAACAGTTATCCTTAAGTACATGTAATGATGTTTGTTCTATCCGTTGATTTCAGACATAAACTTACACGCTCAGTGTTCAGGCATATTTCTTAATGTATAGCCATTAACAGGCTTATCCTCCCTGAATTTTGTCCTATGCCCTTTCAATAAGAAGGCTCGGTGTGTGCTCAGGGCTGCTCGTCCCTTGGGGCTTGTCCTGTCACATTGCTGTGGTGGCCACGTTGCTGTTCTTATCTCTGCAGAACTAGAGTCCGGCCTTCCTCTTCCTCCGAGCCAAAGCTGGCTGGTCCAGCCCCAGCCGGCAGGCCCCTTGCTGAGCCAGGGCGAAGGACGGCCCCCACCTACGCCGGCTGCATCGTGGCCCCCCGGTCCGCACTTCTTGGGAAGCCAGCTTTCCTGCACCAGCTCCTTGGCTTCTGTGGCTGAGGGGCCGGGACGTGCCCCTCTGCCTCTCCGCCCGGGGCTCGGGGCCCATTCCGCCTTTGCCTACGAGGGCCTCTGTGGCAAATGGAGCCTGCCTAGCCGCAAGGGACTGAACGGGCTGGGCGGGAGCGAGAGCGACGTCCCCCCCGGAACACCCTCACCCCGCACAAAGGACAACGCTGCTCTATCATCTCCCGCTGTGGCTGCGCTGGGGACTCCGGGTGTTGGTGGGAGCCCTAAACCTCAGGTGTGTATCTGCTCACCTCCATCCATTTTTAATAGACTTGCCTTGCCTTTACAGCCTTGCAGAGAGCCAGCAGGAAAGCTTTGCCCTTCAGCTGAAATTCAGTGGGCTGCCTGCCTGCCTCCCTCCCAGTTATTTCCCTTCCTCTTTGTACCCTGACATATCACAAGAGGGCAGATGTTTTAATAGCCTCGTGGATTCGTAGAGTTGGAAGGGACCCAAGGGTCATCTAGTCCCAACTCCCTGCAATGCAGGAATCTCTGCTAAGGCACTTTGTGTTTTCTTTCATTGTTATGACCCATCCTGGATCCCGCTGCACAGAAAGATATAAAATTAAGTAATAAACAAATGGATAAAATGGTGGGAAATAGCCAGTCTGGTCCCTCTGCAGGACAGCCAGTTCTTTCGAGTTTCTGAAATAACATGGAATTGGTCTTCAGCCATTGTCCCTTCTGCCTGTTCTATAAACATCTACCCAGTGTTCTTTGGGAATTCTAAGAAACTGAAAGATCAGTGCCATTTCGAAAGGTCTGTCCGCCATCTTGATCCAAAATGGCACCCAATTCATCCAAGCATGGATAAGAACCTGCTGCTTGATCTCAGGAACCATCAGGCAAAAGCTTGGTTACGATAAGGAGGCAGCTGGCCAACAGCATGTCACACCATTGTTAAAACATCTGCACAGGCTGCCCATCTGCTGCTGAGCCAGGCTTAAGGTCCTTGTGTTAATTTACAAAGCCCCCAACCACTTAAGTCCAGCATTCAAAATTCGCCAGGCACATTTTGCACCTGGCTATCAGCCACTTGCGACCAAGTGAAGACATCTCCACCATCTGGAGGTGCATGCCTGGGGTCTTTGGGTCTTGGCTGTTTTCACACACCAGCAACACATCCTGTCGAATTTTATCTGTTTATATTTTATCCCGAATGAATTTCAAGAACCAAAAAGTTGTACTGAATATGACTTTTGAGCCACCTGGCCCAAAAATGACAACTAGGCATTCCGTTTTGGCAACCATAACCCTGGTTTAAGAAGCCGTTCGGCACCTAGCTTATATACCTGTGTTTCTAACACTGCTTAGGCCCAGGGTATTCAGGGATATCCCAGCTCAATCACTGAGATCATCTATAGGAGCATCATTGGTTGTTCCCCAAATTGGTGAGGCTCATTTGACAACAGCAAGAAATCCTTTAGTCTCATTGGCCTAGTCCTGTGGAATGTTCTGCCAAGAAGAGTATTTTAGTTGTGTAGTATTTTAGTTTCTAGCCTTTACTTTTAGATCGCTCTGATATCTAACAGAGGAAGGATGGTTTAAAAATATTTTGATAAAATAGTCAAATGTCAAATTCAGCATTCTGAAGTCGGATCGCCAGCCTAGGAAAAGCTGCTCTTCTGTGCTGCCAGCCAGTACCAATCTTAACTGGTGGGTGGGGCCTACAGCTCAAGTGTGGGGAATCTGCTCCCTCCCTGCCCCATACTTGCTGACCACTTGACTCATGGGAGTTGGAATCCAACAGTTTGGAAGTCCAACTGAAGACATTGTTGTCTTAAGCTTTCCCTGTTGTGTGGTCCAATCCTTTATGCAATACGAGGGGTATACCTGCAGAAGTTGTTTCATTGCTTTAGAGCTTGTGAAGCCGGCTTTATTGGCTTTAGAGTTTGTCAAAACGATTTTATTGCTCGTGCTTTTGTGCGCTCATTGTTTATCGAATTGATTTATATCCCTCCCTTCCTCCCGAAGGAGCTCAGGGTTGTGGACACAAAGGTGACAAAACATTAAAACGATTAGAGCTTTATTTAGTTACATCTGCGTTGATGAATTTATGCTGGGAAGTGGCCCATATATAAAGACAAATAAATAACCCTTGGAGGGCAGTGCAGGTTCCTCACTCGTGCTTTAGGGGAATGTTCAGGAGGACCTAATCTCAGATATGATGGCTATGGCTAATGAGAGGAGAGAGAGAGAGAGAGAAAACAATGATATTCTTCCTTCCCCACCCCAGCCAGGTGGCTGGGCTCAGCGTGGTGCCATCCTTAGCGCTGCAATCCTCTTAGAGCTAATGGAAAGCTATTAGGCCAACTCCCCCTCCCCCATAAACAACAAGGAGGGGGGTGTATTTTGAAGGTCAGGAGGAGGATTTGCCAGCCATTTGCAGACAGTGTGCATTGTGGTGTCTGGATGAATCCCTTGGGTCCTAACCTTGTCTCCCTCCCCCCAGCTCCAACCACAGCCGCATTCTCTCCCCTCCCCAACTCTTTGTAGCTCAGGCCCCTTTCTGAGGCCAGTTGGGATTCTGGTATTCTTTCCATTCAAATCCCCCCAGCGGCGTAAAGAATCAGAAAGTATAATAATTTTGGTACTGGTTTACAGGGCAAGGTATTAAAGGGTAAAAAACACACACCCCAGTTTAACCAAAAAATGGAATAATACCAAAGCCTGTCGTTCTCCTTTCCTACTGGATAATTTTTATGCCAAAGGATGTTTAAGATGAAAAGTGAAATCCTATGCAGGTCTACTCAAAGGTCGTCCCCATTGAGTTCAGAGGGGCTTAATCTGTCCTGGGCAGGCTTGTAATACGAATCGAGTACTGTTTCTCTAAATATGTGATATACTAACGTGGACACCTTTCTTTCTTTTCTTTCTCTCTCAGCCCTCTACCCCAGGACCAGTCCCTGAAGCCACCAGCGACTCCACGCCCCCCTTGCCTCTGGAACCATCAACGACACCTGGAGGGAACTGCAGCCCCCCAGAACCTGCCCCAGTTGTGGCCGAGTGGGAGAGGCAGCGAGAGGAAGAGGAGAGCCCAGCAGCCGTGCAGCCCCTCCTAGAACACCAGTACTGAGTGGGGTGGGGCTGTTTCATCTTCTACAGAATTACGGGCTGGTCCCGTTTGACTCTTACTCTGCCGCCCCCCCTTTTTTTTGGGGGGGGGAATGCACTCTGATTCCGCTTTCCCTCATTCAGGACCATGGACAGCAATAAGGGGAGTGGGGGCTGCTCCTTTCATGCCCTGCTACAGCCTTCTGTGCCCCCATTTCTCGCCTCGCCTCCCTCCTTGCCTGCAGGGGCAGGCTCAGTCTACCCAAAAGGTTAGAGGAGGGGGGAGGACCCCATGCACTGCCCCCTTTTTCTCTCCCACAACCGCTGCACAGGGACCCACCTTGGACACTAACTTTGTACTAGTGACACTCAAGGACATTTTTCTTTTCTTTTCTGCCGCTGTTCCTTGGGGATATTTTTGTTTGTTTGTTTGTTTTTATTTTCCTCTTTACCGCCCCCCCCCCAATCCCTGGATCCTGGATTTTTGGTTGGTATAAAAATTAAAAATGCAGGGAAAAAAGACGACAACAGCCATCCACCTGTGCATCATGTTTTGTAACTTGCGGTGGGTGGCGGGGAACCAGATATTTGCGTGAGGATGGAGAAGAGGGGTTGTGGGTTCTGCATCTCCTTCACTGGTCTCTCTTTCCTTGAGTAAGAGAGCAGCTGCTTTCCTCCTCTTCCGGGGTGAGGTTCTGCCCCCCTGCGCCTCTTTCAAACTGGTTCTGGTTTTGTCGGCCCTTCTTACAGGCAGATCATAGTTGCTCACACCTGAGACCTTTTTAGAAATCCGCCATGTACAATGGAAAATCAAGGCAGAAGTGGGGGGAAGGGGAAACTTGAGAACTGATTCCACACACACCACCCTAAATTTAATCCCAGTTGCAAAGATGGGGGCCTTGTTTGCCTAGGAATGGATGGAGAGAGTGTCTTTCTGCTGGGGGGGGAAGGACTACACCTGAACCTACCTATGCCTTGGCAATATGAAGAAGAGGAGGTGGTTTTCTGTGCTAGAGTCCTTACCAACCCCAGTTTCGTGTATGTTTTGGGAACTTGCCTTACACTTGTTCTTCACTCTTGAGCAGGGGTCAGCAACCTTTTTCAGCCGTGGGCCGGTCCACCGTCCCTCAGACCTTTTGGGGGGCCGGACTACATTTTGAAAAAAAATAATGAACGAATTCCTATGCCCCACAAATAACCCCAAGGTGCATTTTAAATAAAAGCACACATTCTACTCATGTAAAAACACACTGATTCCTGGACCATCCGCAGGCCGGATTGAGAAGGCGATTGGGTGGCATCTGACCCCTGGGCCTTAGATTGCCTACGCCTGCTCTTGAGCATCTTAGTGTGTCATGGTGGTGCTGATTTGCTCCCTTTCAGGGGGGCGGGGTATTCAGGGTGGGTGACTTCAAAGCCCTCGCCTCCTGGAGGAAACGTAGCTGTGTTGGCCACATAAAACATTCCAGATGGATAAAACAGGGGGTGTTAATTATAAACTGTTTGGGGGAGGGGGGAGAATGAGGGCTGCCCTCTCCCCCGTCGTGGTGGGCGCTCTCTATCTTTATCACCCTCAAAATCACGGCGCTAACTCAAGTCTTGGCGTTGTTTCCGCGTGGGAGGGAGCGGTACTCAAAAGAACTCTGCACATGTTCAGAATCTCTCTCCTCTTGTCCTGGAAACGAAAGAAGCCGTGCTTTCCTGCTAGCCGCCACTCTTCTCCCCCCCCCCCGCGCGCTTTGTGAGTCCTCCCTGGCGTTGTGTGACGCCGCAAAGCGCCCCCTCCTTCCTCCCCAATCTGGGTCTCTCCGCCCCCGATTGAGAGGAGGAAGGAGGAGAGGGCGGTGCCAGGGCCGCAGGGAGCGAAGCGGGGGCGGGCGCCCGGCCGGGAGGGGACACGCGGGGCGAGCGGCGGCGGCAGCAGCAGCAGCGTCCGGTTGGGTTGCAGAGCTGGAGCGCGGACGGGCGTGGAGAGGTAGGCAGGCGGCGGCGGCCGGGCCAGTTCCGTCCTGTGCGCCCTGGCCGCGCGTCATGCGCTCCGGCACGTGGATCGGGCTCCAGGCGGCGGCGGGCGGGGAAGGAGAGGGAAGCGAAGCTGGCGGCACCTCCGCCCTGACTGAGCCCGGGGGGAGAAGCCGTGGTGGGTAGAGGTGGGCTGGAAAGGGCAGAGAGAGAGAGAGAGGCGCTTTTCCAAATCAGGGCTTGCCGATTCTAACGGGGCGGAGGAAAGATGGATGGGTGCTGGTCTGAATGCATTGGCTGCCTGGGAAAGAGATCGCCTCCATTGAAGCGTTTTAAGGACATCCTTCTCTCTCCCCGCCCCGGGAAACGCAAGCGAGGCAAACTCCCCGGTCGTAAAGCGCGCAGCGGGCGTTTTCACACAATACCGTGCACGTTGCGCCTCGTTGCGCCCTCAAATCCCAGCACCAAGAAGAGGGCATTTGCGAGGCACGCGCGCACACGGACGCAACCTGCGCCAGGAGCCGGGCTGTTACATAGAGCAAGGCGGACGGGGCGCGCACACGCGCAGCGCAGGCGCTCACCCGCAGAACAGGCTCCCGGCTCCCCGCCGCCGCCGCTATTGTGTGACAAAAGACCCAACTCTCCCGTGCCTAAGCTCGGCTTCGGGCGGGGCGCGGGGGCTTCCTCCCGGTATACGTCAAGACAGGAGGCAAGGGGTGCAAGAGCATGTGCAGAGTGCTCTTCTCGCTCCAGCCGGCGGCCATGGTTGGGCAGCCACTCGCAGGCAGGATTCCCTTTGTGCGTTTGATTCCCCCAAGGAGCTCCCCGCTCCTTTTATTCCTACAACAACCTTGCGAGGTCGGTTAGATCTGAAAAGGAAGTGAAGGACCCAAGGTCACCCAGAGAGCTTTGTGAAGCTGCATCTTCCCCAGTTGTAGTCAAGGCAGTCATAGTCTGTCCACCATGCTGGGGATATAAACTGGGAGCCGAAATGTTCCCATGGAAGTGAATCTAGGAAGCACCACTTAATGATGAGAACTGCAGCAGGGACACTGCGAAGACGTTGATATCTAGAGGCCTCTGTTGTTTAGGAAGGAGATGGAGTGGCCTGAACTCTGTATCCATCTCTAGGACACTGCTGGCTGCTGTGTTTAGATTTTGTGACCCCCCCAGTACAAATCAGCTACTCCATCACACCCTTCAGCCTTTGGCAATGCTTAAGAATATAGGCAGCTGCCTTATTGCTGGTCAGATCATTTGGCCATTGTCTGCCCTGACAGATGGCGACTGCCCAGGGTCTCAAGCACTGCAGGTTCACCTGTTTACTCTGACCTTTAGGGAATGAAAACTTGGAGCATCTGCATGCCGGACAGGTGTTCTGCCTCTGAGTTTGGTCCCTTCCTGATACCCTTCAGTTATTAATGGTCCTTACTTGCAGTTGTCTGAGAACATCTGCTTGGAGATCTTGCGCTTGGCCATCATCTTATGTCTTGGGAATTTAAGTGTCAAGAGCACACAGCACAGTTCAGCAGTGCAGGAGCAAGGAGACCATATATAGATATAGATATACCGCTTCAAATTTCGGCAGCTAAGTGGTCTTGCAAATCCCAAGGGGAAAAAATATTCATGAGAAATACAAAGTCCGCATTCAAAACTGAATAAGACTGATAGTGCTACTAATAAGAACTCCACATTTAAAGTAACGTAATTAAATACCTCCAAATATGTCAAAATGCAACGCAAACGCAATATAGCATAAAAAGTCATAATTACCCAAAAAACGTAATAGAGTTGTCAGACGTATTCACTTGTATTTTCGCACTTCACACAACTAATTGAAACACACAATCCACAATCACTTAGTTCTCTCCTTGCCCACACCATTCCATGCACTCAGTTCTCACTTCAATAAAACACACCCAACATTGAATTAACAAATAGCCAATAATCCTGTACAAAGGAATTGGGCCCGTTTTATGCCTGTGAGGTGTGAAAGTCTCTCTGCACCTTCACACATATAGGTGAATGCACAAAGTCTCCCCAGGAACAGAATTTCAGATCTCAGGGGAACTTGCACATGTGCAAAGGCCCCCATCCTACAGATGCTTGCAGATGTCAGAGGAGAGATGGACATGGGAGCTAATAATTGCCCAAACAGATCTATAGATGCATTTACACCTGTAGTGGCTTCTCTTTCAAGCATCCTTTCCTTCCTTGGAGGTTCACCAGAGGCCTGTTTTTGGCCTACAGCTCTCATGTGCCCCAGCCAGCGCAGCATGGCCAGGACAAATGGGAGATGTAGTCAAACACATCTGGAGGGCACCAGGTTGGTAAAGGCTGGAATAGGTGATTAAACCGGAGGGGGGGCATTGGCTAATGTTGGAGCCATGGATGGAATCACAGCCATAGGATGGAACCTGGAAGACTGAAAGAGATGTTCAAATGCTGTCAGGTGGTTTGCAGGTTTCATGTTGTACCTAGGTGAGCTGGGAAGGAGACACATAAAATAGGTTGATCTCCCTTTTTAAATAAAATAAAATAAACATAAATTCCAGTTGTTACCTAGATCTATTTCCATCTTTGGACAGCACAGGCACGTTCCTTGGCAAGTGGAGGAAATGGGGAAACTAGGGATCTTTTGGAGATTAATTTTAGATCGTGTCTCGGTTAAAAAAAGAAAGCAGAAACCAGACTGGTTTGCTTTCTCTCGTAGCTGCAGAGAATGGCCTCTTGGAGAAGGAAGTCCCATCTTCAGGGTGGTCTCAGCACCTCTTCGTCCAGTTTAGGATCCTTCTGTAGAACAGCTAAATTTGGTGTTTTCCAAGTCGTACAAAAAGCAAAGGTGGTCTTGTCGGCCCATAAGAAAAATGTAAAGTGATTAGGCCAACTAAAATATTGCAAAATAGTGTGCAAGTTTTGAATTCCCCAGAACTCTTCATCAGGCTTGAATCGCTAGATCAGGGACAGGGAGACTTAGGCCAGGGGGCCAAATATTGCCCGCCCCCCAACATTGCCACACCCTCCTTGAGTACCATTGCCCAGCTGGAGTATGTCCTTCAGTTGTGGTGATGCTTCTTGCTTGCCACAATGGAGGGGTGTGTGCACGACTTGTAGAAACCTCTGACATCCACATGAATGAATTTTGGAATGCAGCCTCCTGTACAAAGGTAAGAGTCTTATCCAGGGCCCCACCCACTTTTACCTCTGGGATTTGGTCCTTGGGCAGAAAAAGGTTCCTCACTTCTCAGCTAGTTGGGAAACAAAACAGGCATATGGGAGTCACATCCATGGCTCTTCCCACTTTTGCTTCTGGCCCTGCCCACCACTGGCAAGTGGCCAAGGGAACATGCCTAGGAGCCATGATGGCTCCTGAAATCTCCACCATCTGGAGGGGCATGCCTGGTGATAATTGGATTTTGGCTGTTTTCGCACACAAATACCCCATCCTGTAGAATTCTCTCTCTGGAACCAAAATACTTTTTCTGTGCAGCCTGAGCAGGAGCAGTTACCATTAAGGAAAAAGAGGTCTGAGTAGGCCGATAGGTAGGTGGACTGTCCCTGGATCAAGTGACTCTTCTTTCCGTTCTCCGAAGTTCTTAACTTAGCTCAAGGTGGTCATCTGAACTAGCCAGATGTTTAACTGAGAATCAATCACCATTCAGTCCATTATTTCAAAAATAAGACTTTAGCGTTATATAATAGTAATAATAATAATTTATTATTTATACCTTGCCCATCTGTTGACGGTTTCCAACAGAATATTAAAATACAATAATATATCAAACATTAAAAGCTTCCCTAAACAGGGCTGCCTTCAGATGTCTTCTAAAAGTCTGGTAGTTGTTTTTCTCTTTGACATCTGGTGGGAGGGCATTCCACAGGGCGGGTGCCACTACCAAGAAGGCCCTCTGCCTGGTTCCCTGTAACTTGGCTTCTCACAGGGAGGGAACCGCCAGAAGGCCCTCAGCACTGGACCTCAGTGTCCGGGCAGAACAATGGGGGTGGAGACTCTCCTTCAGGTATACTGGACCGAGGCCGTTTAGGGCTTTAAAGGTCAACACCTACACTTTGAATTGTGCTTGGAAACGTACTGGGAGCAAGTGTAGGTGTTTCAAGACCGGTGTTCCCTCCTAGGACTTTGTCTTTCCACCCCACCGGTCCTCCCTATCCCCTTTTCCTGTTTGTCTCTGTCCTTCCTAAAGTGCAGCTCCCAAAACTGGACCCAGGTGAGGTCTGGCAAGTGCAGATGTGAGCCACCCTCCCGATCAAAGCATCTTTAAAGTTGGGAGAGGCTGGCGAGGGCAAGGGTTCCTTCATGGCTTTGGAGGAGACACCTCGAAAGCAAGGAGCAGACATGACTGAATCCAACAGCTGGCCCCGGCATCTGTGCGCCTGCTTTAAATTCTAAATTAATTAGTCTAGCATAGGAGGATGTGGTTTTAACTAGTTCCTCATCCGCGCCCCCCCCCCACACATGTAGGAAGCTACTGAGAATTTACGGAGTGGATCTGCTCAGTGCTGAGGTGCAAGACTTTCTTCTGGTCAAAGCCTCTGCCCTGTCGTCTCAGATTGCTGGGGGTCAAAGGTCAGAGTCTCCCATCTTGGCTGTTAACTGGCCACCAATCTCAGGGCTGACTTCCTGGTGGTCAAAGCAAGTTTTGAGGTGGGGGCTTAGCTTAACTTTTCTGCTGGTTATTCTCAGCAATGAAATATTTATTCAGAGGATTTGTATACTTTTCAAGGGGACGCCGTACATGAAATGATTATTATTTTTTAAAGCATCAGTCACAATTCTACAACAGCCACCCCAAAAAAGCAGGATGGGGGAACAATCTCATTTTGTAAGTTCTGTTTCTGCTTCTCCCCTCTCTTCAGGGCAAATGGTTCTTCAGATTCCCCCCTTGGCTGCATTTTGGGGAAGGAGGGGCCGGATGGTGGCAGCTTCTGCAATGGCATTTAGCATCCAAATGCTTCACTTACAATAACTTTTCAGCAATTTTGTAAGGTAGGTTGGCGCTGTTCCCATATTGCAAATATGGGGACTAAGGCTCAGGCAGAGCAGATTGCTTAAGTTAATTAATGAGTTGAATCGGGGATTTAAGCTGCATCATTCCAAGTGATCATTCCAAGCTGGGTTAGGTACATGGGAAACTGGTCCAACCCTTGCGCTACTATTGTCTATGCCAGCCTTCCTTCACCTGATGCCCTCCATATGGTTTGGGCTACAACTCCCTTCAGCACTGGGCAGTATAGCCAGTGGTCAGGGGTTATGGGGCTTGTGGTCCAAAGGATCTGGAGGGCTCCGGATTGGGGAGTTCTAGCTTGCTCTGACTGGTCATGCACTCTCCAGGATCTCAGACGGAGGCAAGTAAAAAAATCCAGATATTGTGGGGATTGTATCTAGGACCATCTATATGTAAAGCAAGCACTGTGCCACTGAGCTACGGTGGCCCCCTGACCTGCTAGGGGTTAATGACAGGCCTCTGGCTCTTGTTTTAACAACCAGCACTTTTGCCTATTTGTCCTAAACCCCAGGCATCCTGTGGCATTCAGTTCCACAGGACAACTGGGGGGTTCTTGTTCTTTGTTGTTGTTAATACAAGGGTTTCCAGACATTGCTGAACATCTTCTTTTGCATCAACCCCAAACGTCTGCAGCAATGGCCAGGAATGAAGAGAGCTGTAATTCAGCAACATCTGGAGGGCCACAAGTTCCCCGTCCCTACAAGGCTATATTATTTTCTTTGGCTTTAAATCTATGTACAGCCTCTGGCGTGTATAGATTAATGAGGTTCTGCAAAGGCACAGCAGACAGAGAAGCACGAGAGGGCTGGGAGACCAAGCGTGAGATCAGCCTCGCTCAGAGGCCTGTGGAGATAAGCAAGTGATCTTTTTCAGCATGCAGCCTCTCATCCCTGACGGATTGCAATAACCTGACCCAGGGCTGGCTCTGGGACTGAGAGTCTCCTCACTATGGTGTTGACTGGTGGGTTGCCATCCTGTGTGGGTTGAACCCCGGTGATCACAGCTGGCGATAGAGGCAGGCAGCATTGATCCGTTTGGGAATGGGCAGCCCAGCGGAAAGAGTCTCCCTCTGAATTAACCATCCCGATTCCTCAATCTCAATCTCCATTCCACGCCTGGATTAAGACCAACCCCTGATGAAAGGTTGTGGTAGCAAATGATGGAGAAGACCATTCTGTGCCCAAGACCAACTTTCCTGCCAGAGGACACTGGGCTGGGCTGGAATCAGGGGTGAGGAGGCACCAGCCCATGGGTCAGACTTGGTCAGGGATTTGAGGCTGGCCTGCAAGGTTGTTTTCCCCAAACCATGCTCACCTGCTCTGCATCATATGCAATTTCAGGTGTGGGGCTGTTTGAGACGTGGTTGCCAGTACGGCCAGGAAGGTGCCCTCCCCATTGTGTATTGGCAATGAAAACCCAAAGTGAGAGCTTTGCTAGCAAACTCCCCGTGCAAAGTTTGTTTGCAGAAAGCTGTTGGGCAGTAAAACTGAAGCATTCAGTGTTTTAAAGCACTGTGTAGGGCTTCTCGCAAGCCTGGCATCAAGCTTTGAAGTCCCAGCTTTGGGACTTCAAAGTACCCAATCACCTGAGGGGATAGTGACGCCAGGCAGTTGGCAGGTGGACATCCCACCCACTTGTGGGATTTGGCCCGTGGGGCTGAGATCTGGCCTGCACAACTGAAAAGGCTCCCCTCCAAACCGTGCTAGATGGACAAAGGGGAGAGGGGGGTGGGGACTTGAGGCCTTCCCCTCCCACCGCAAAAGGGGGCCTTCTGAGTGGCAGGCCACTCCCCTTGCGTTGCCAGCGCTTTCTCAATGCCTCCCTGTCCGCATTGCCAGGCCGGCTGGTGGCTGACGCAGCCCAAATGGCACTCTGTGGCCTTTCCCTGCCCCCTCCACCTCCAGCCTGGCAGAAGGAGAAAGCCCCCTATTCATTGCTCCTGGAAATCCAGCTGCAAAGGGACGCTTTGGCCTTATCGGAGCAGACCCAGAGAGAGAGAGAGAGAGAGAGAGAGAGAGAGGAGTGGGAGACTGGGTTGCAGGACGTGGGTCTGATAGAAAGCCAGGCCACACAGTTGGGACCCGGACATAATTTCCCCTCCCCTCCCCCATCCACAGTGGATCCCATTTTTATGGGATGCAAGAAAGGAAGCTAGCGAGTTTTTCCTTTTAGGTAGGATGGGAAAACCCTCTAGAATCTTGTTATATTTGGGGAACTGGGACTCAGGCCTGCAATGTGTGCTAAGGCCCAGTGCGGATCTTTCTAGTGAGGAACCCGCACTCACCACTTTGTGTGTGTTTGGTGATGTGGGGGGGCAGATCTGCAGCTAAGGCCCAGCTCTTTCCTGAGGAAGTTACGTGAGAGAGTTGCTGTGTGTGTTTGAGGGATTGGGGGCGGAGGGGGGTAGAGAAGAGGAAGAAACACAAAAGCAGCTGTAGCCGAGCTGCCGTGTGTTTGGGGGGAAGAGTCTGGTCTCCTGCTTGCGCCACACTTCCTGCGCTACAGGAAGTGAGTCACCGCGCCAGCGCTGTCAGGCCACTGCGGACTGCTACCTCCCCCCCTCCAAAAAAGATACCGGTTCTCTGGCAGGGTGAGGGGCGACCGTTATTCGGGAAGGGATCAGGGGGGCGCACGACGGGATTGTTTTGCAATGGGGGGAGGGAAACGGGGAGGTAAAAAGGGGGCGCTTCCGTGCATTTGAAATGGACGAGGCCTCGCCGAAATGACTGGGCTCTTTGCCCAAGGACCCTTCCTTTTGCCTTCCTCCCAAATGCTTTATCGTGTCCCTTGGCATGTTGGTGGGGGTGCCTATTTCCTGTTGTCATCGACATCTTCCTCTTTCCTTCCATGGCTCTCCAGCCTTCTTTTCCTGCCTCCCCCCCCCACCCCATGCCTGCCATCGGGTCAGCCGCCGCTGAATGACTTTAGCCTTCTGCCTCATGTCTGCTTCCTTCCTCGGAAGCAAACTTTTCCTTCTCTCGACAGCCCTAAGATGGCAACTCCCCTCGCCTACTTTCGTGGGGCAACTGCCTGGAGCCTGAGATGTGCTGGGAACATTGGGGGGGGGGCTTTTTTATTTGTACCCAGTTAAGTTTGCCCTGGAATAATTTCCTGCGGTTGGGTCTGATCCTGATTGGCAGCGGGTCTTGTGGTTTGCTTGCTTAATGCGTCCGGGGCAGTTTGCTTGTCAGATTCTTTTTTCCAAGTCTCTTGCATTGCTCTGTTTGGGATCTTTGGGGCCAGCAGGATTTTATGGGTCCAGTACACTATATGTAGGTTGTGCACACGCACACCCCAACCCACTCACAAAAGTGGGTGGAGTTGCACAAAATTTGTGCATTCTTTGTGTCATGCACAAATGGATGCCCTCTTTTGCAGGCGGGGTGGAGGGCCCAAAAATAAACCAGTGGCCACACACCTAATGAAATGCTTGATAGACAGAATGTGGACAGGTAAAGCTTCCCCCATAATTGTATTTCCATAGTAGAAAAAGCTTAGCCTGCTTAATTTTTGACAGCAAACAGAGGCACAAGAAACCTGCTTTCCCCCAGTGCCAACCCTAAATAAAAGCCTAGGCTGCAATTCTGTGGCCATTTATCTGGCAGAAAGCCCTGTTAAAAACAAAGAGACATATACCGGTTCTGAGTAGGTATGTACACCATTGTACAGCAAGTTAACTCTCCAGTGAGTGCCTTTTCTTTAGCTCCTGCACGGCAGGAGACATAACAGAGTTCTCACATTTTGTGTTTACCATTGAGGGGGTTGGTGGGTTTAACATTCACCCACACTTAGTAATATTTTCAGAAAGTAACTTCTAGGGAGTACCTGATCTCTGATGAGCCCACCACAGGAAAGAGGCATCCTGGTTGCTAGGATAAAAGGGAGCAGAAACTACAGAGATTCCAAGGTCTGGGAAATGAGACAAAAGCAGGAAAAGTGTGCTAAAGGGGAGAGGAAAACAGTAATTCATTACCTGGATGTCAGGTGGGTGGAGGGTCCTGCCTTTGGGCAGGCACCTGTATTAGACATTCCTCCCAAGTTTGTGGGCCTTGTTTTGCAGTCAGAACCTATAACAAAATGCTGCCATGCATCTCCAGCTGCTAAGGTGGGAATGGGGAAACTGCGGCCCTCCAGATGATGTTAAACTCCCAGCTCCCATTAGCTGCAGTCAGTGGAGACGGTGGTTTGGGATGGTGGGAATGGTCATCCTGCAACATCTGGACGGCCACAGAGCAGGTAGCAGTTGATGAAATTGGGGTCCCTGCCAGGGCCTTGCAGAGCCAGGCAGAGGCCCAGGCCAGGTAGATAATGTGCCCCCCTTTTTTTTACCCTGGGGATAACTGAAGTCTTATAAATAAGTAAGTTTGCCCCAGTGTATCCCCTGCAATTGTGAATATGCTGACCGAGGCCCCCTTTGGAATCGAAGGCCCGGGCCAAGTGGCCCATATGGCCCCCCTCTGTCTGGGCCTGGTCCCTGCCTGAGAGAGCTGCTGCCAGTCACAAGAGTAGTTAATTTCTTGACTAGATAGTCTGACCTGGCTTAAGGCAACTTCCTATGTCTACATTGTGCTAGAGGACTCAGGTTTTGGGTTCCAAGTCCTGAACCTGAACATTTAATAGATGGTTATTATTGTCCTTATTTGTATACTGTCCTATACTCATAGATCTCGGGCTGTTCACAACGTAAAATTCCAATACAACAAACACAAAATACATAATAAGAATAAGAACCAAAAAAAATCCCCAGTAATCCCCACTTCCACAACGTATTTAAATGGCATCAGATGTTAATTAGCCAAAGGCCTGGTTAAAGAAGAACGTTTTCACCTGACACCTAAAGATGTATAATAAAGGCGCCAGGGGAGAGTGTTCCACAGATGGGGAGCTACTGTAGAAAAGGCCCATTCTCATGTTGCCACCCTCCGGACCTCTTGTGGAGAAGGCACCCAAAGATGGGCCTTGAAAGGTAATCTCAGGGTCCAAGTAGGTTCATATGGGGAGAGGTGGCCCTAGAGGAGGAGGAGAAGAGGTTTCTGGAGACTGGGGAAGGAAAAGCTTATCTTTCCCCATTTCCTTTCCTTTTTTCTGAAAGTACCCCTGTGTAGTACTAACAGGGGAGTGTTTTCATTTTTAAAGACTGTGGCACTCATTTCCCCCCATCCTACTTGCCCCTCCAAGATACTGACTATAATTTGCAAGTTCTTCAGGGCTTGAGCAAGGCTAATTCCCTCTTCATAAACACATCCCTCAGTTCCATGCTGAATTTCTCAACTGACACCTCAACAATCCACACATCCTGGAAACTCACAGGTCCTCCATTTTTTGAGTTCCTCTGAATCCTGGGAATTGCAGTTTGCTAAGGGTGCAGGGAATTGTAGCTTGGGGGGACACTACAGTTTCCAGGGTTCTTTGGGGAAGCCATAACTGTTAGATGTGCCATAAATGTGATTTAAATGTATGATGTGGACGTGACTGTGCTGAATTCTGTTTATGTGGAATAAAAAGAGCACATGGGGGGGGAATCAATGTGTGTTTGAGCCCAAAGTAGTTTTTTTCATTTGGTTTACAGGTGTGGGGGATGCAAAAATCAGTATGACTTGTTAGAATCGCTTGCTGACGCTTCATCAGTTCTCTCCTTTGCACCCACGCTGAGGTGTGATACAGGTTTTCTCGCTTTCTCTTTGCATGTATTCTCCCGCTGCCCGCTGTGAAATTTCCCCATGCATAAGAATTTCCATTTTAGAACATTTCTCATCTTGACTGGATCTTATCAGAAGCTCTTGTGCTTTCTAAAAATGCCCACCAGGGAAACAACAACAGCAACAACAACAACAATAATAACAGGGCCCTGACCAGCATTTCAGCCCCCCAGCTTACTCTCCTTAGTAGAAATATCTCTCACTTTTTAAATATATGTATGTATGTATTTGTTTGTTTTTGTTTGTTTATATATTTATGTTTATATATAAGGAGCTCAAGACAGTTCTCCCTTCCCTTGTTTTAATCCTCACAACAACCTTGTCTGAGAGCAAGAGCTGGGCCAGTGAGAGATTCATGGCTGAGGGAGGATTTGAACCCGAGACTCCTCAGTCCTAGACACATCCGTTATGCTGTGTTGTTCTCAAAATATTTTACTAATTCGTCCCCCCCACCAACATCTTCTTTTCCCGCCTTTGCAGCTCAGGGTGGTACATAGTGGTCTTCCCCACCCACCCACCCGCCAATCCCAATCCCATCTTTCTCATTGCAACAACCCTGTGAGGTAGGTTAGGTTGGGAGTGACTGTCCCAGCTCACCCCCCACAGACCTTGCACTTGATTAGGGATTTGAATCTGGGCCTGCCCAGTCTTTGGCTACATTCCTGCCATACATTTAAAGCCCTGTGATACCACTTTAAAAAGTCATGGCTTCCCCCAAAGAATTCTGGGAGGTGTCGTTTGTTAAGGGTGCTGAGAGTTGCTAGGAGACCGCTATTGCCTTCATAGTTCCCACAGAGTTCCCTGTGACAGAGGGATCAATTGTTAAACCGCTTTTGACAATTGTGGCTCTGTGAGGGGAACAGGCCTTTCCTAACAACTCTCAGTACCCTTTAGAAAACTACAGATCCCAGGTTTCCTATGGCCTGTTTAGAAGTGGCATCGTAGTGCTTTAGGTTTATGGTGTGAACGTGGCCCATGTCTGGCACTCTCTAAACGCTACATCACACTTTGAAGTGAGTGACGCTTCGGCACGGTGTGGCATGAACAAATGTACCTATAACTCTGTATGTGTGTGATAAAGGAGGGAAACCATGTAAAAGATGTGCTGCCTAGAGAAGGACAGCAGAGTGGAGTTTGGAGCTACTCAGGAGTAGGGCTGGGCGATACCATTTTTTCAACATTGCGGTGTATCGCCAGCCGAACATTGCGGTTTGGCGATATACCGCAATGTTGAAAAAACATGCTGCACTGGCCTCTGTGAGGCACCTGGTGAAATTGCCCCAGTTCTCACCTCAGGAACTGAGGCGGTTTCACCCTGGTGGTTATGGGCTGGGACCACGCAGCTTGTTTGCGCAGCAAAGCTGAGGGTCCAGAAGGTTCCCCCTCCCCAGCTAAGACAGCCCCGGCACTCACGGGCAAAGCATCGGGGCTCCTTTAACTGCTCGCTGTTGGGAGTGCCAACCGTGCTCCTCACCTGAGCAGTTTTACCCCGCCACCAGTTCACGGGGGCCAGCGCTGGGCTGGGGGCTCCTTTAACTGCTTGGCTGAGGTAAGGGCAGCTGCGCACGCCTCAGTCAAGCAGTTTAAAGATGCAGAGGGAGGGACAAGGTGTATCAGCGCCTCACTGATACAGCTTGTTTCTCCCTCTGCATCGTATGATGGAAGAGTGTAATGGCAATTTTGTTGTGAGCTAAAAATGGTTTATCTTCTGAGTTTACGCCAATAAAACTCAGAGACAAGAGGAGTTAGGTGTCCATTGTTGTTTATTGCTAAGCAATAGGTTACAGTCCAATTGTTTCGCAAAACTGCAACACTGGGTCCATGCAGCTTGTTTCTCCCTCTGCATGATATGATGGAAGAGTGCAATAGTGGTTCACTCAGCAATATATCACTGGTGAAACTGCCACTGCTCCTGAGTCCGTCTGCTAGCCGTGCTGCTGGAGGAAGGAACTCTTGACCCCCCCCCCCCAGCAGACACGGCTAGCAGAGGGACTCAGGAATGGTTGCTGTTTCACCAGCGATATACTGCTGAGGGAAACCGACATTGCGGTCTGCTCCTCATATCAGTCCTGGGCGATATATAGCCCAGGCCTACTCAGGAGCACAGAGTGCAAAAGTGGGTTGCAAGCTGTAGTCAATGTGGCTTGAAAAAGCTCCCACCCCCCATTCGAGTTCCTGTGAAATTTCCCTCCCTGGTCGAATGCTGCTTGCTTCTGTCTCTGTCCACCAGACACAGTTCATCCTCTTCCCCCTATCTTTCTCCTCATGCCTTGATGACAAGAAGCCATGCCTGTGCTTTGATCGTTTGCAGAAGTTTGGTGTTCTTCCACTTCCTCCTGCTTGTGGTGCTGAAGTGGAGCGTGTGCCTCTGGCCTCTGGGCTGCTCGCTTAAGAGTTGCCATTACATGTCACCGCAGCGTGACTTGGTCCTCCCCACTGGGGTCAGAGGCAGGTTGTTGCCTTCCCCGGCCCGGCTTCCAATCAGTGTATAGTTTATTTTGGGGCGAAGGTGGAAATGAGTTAAATGGGGTTAGTGATTGTGCAAAGCGCATGCAAGACCAAGGCCGGGTATGCTGCTATTTTTGCTTTCCTCGGAGTCTGGGACAGGACCTGCTTTGCACCCAGGTCCAAATGCCACTGCCCTCCAGCTTCTCCCACCAAATCTTCCATCCCTGCCCCAAGCTGGCCGGTTCCTCCAAGAAACAGGCCTCTGGCTGGGTGCAGGGCTTGTTGGGCTGCGCCATCTGTACAGGGTAAGGGACAGCTGGGCACCAGTTCCTCCGATGGTGATTGGGAGTGACAGCCCTCGGGGGTGGGGTGGGGAGGATGCTCTGTCAAACAACTAGGCTAATCGGCTCTTGACAGAAAGGATTTTATCCTACATGGGGTGTGGAGCAAATGGAGCCCTGTTTTTGCTTTAATACTGGGGCTTGGCAAAAGAGCAGGACCGAAGCACAGGTGAGAGTGTTTCTGGGTATATGTAGAGTGAAGAGCATCATTTGATGCTGAACTCTTGGGTAGAGGAACCGCTTTCTTCCAGGTGCTATGCAAAGTTTGAAGCGGGGAGCTTCTCCTCCTCCCCAGGAATCCCACATGCCGTGGTTATAATCAGGTTCAGAAGTGTTACTAGGTACTTGAAAGCCCTAGATCAGAAAGGAGATTGCAAGAAAGGAGATTCCAACTAAACATATTTCTTTCTGACAGTAAGAGCTGTATAACAGTGGAACAGTCTCCCTCGGGAAGTTGTGGACTCTCCTTCCTTGGAGGTTTTTAAGGCTGGATGGGTATGTTTCATGGATGCTTCAGCTGAGATTCCTGCATTGCAGGGGGTTGGACTTGATGACCCTTAGGGTCCCTTCCAACTCTGCGTTTCTATGATTCTGTCAGCATCATCCGCACCTTAATTTCCAAAGGCCTGTCTGAACAGGAAGGTTTGGGCTTGCCCGCAGAAGGATAACAAAGAGGGAGCCAGCCTAGCCTCTCTTAGGAGGAAATCCCACAATGTGGGAGCAGCCAGAGAATAGACTCTCTCTTTGATGTCACCACCAACTGTGGCTCTGAGGTTGACAGAAACGAGAGAAGGTGCTCACCTGAGGATCTTGACACCTGGGTAGGTTTGTGTAGGGAAGTACAATCTTTCAGGCCTCCTGGGCCCAATCCTTGTACCCCATCTGGGAAAGTTTGGCAAGGTCTCCAAAGCAGGAGATGTGGATATCACAGCAGGCTTGAATTCCAGCTCCATAAACCCGGCGTGTTTGGCTCAAAGCAGATCTTTTTCAACTATCTTCTTCCCTCTCTCCCATGCCTCTTTTTTTCCATTGCAGTAAACAGCCCTCAAAATGGCTAGACAGCTTTGCCGTGGCCAGGTGATTCCTGGCACCCCTGCCCGCCTGGCTGCTGTGTGCTGACCCTCGCCTCTGCATGGAGACTGTTTCTGAGGAGCAACTTGGATCTCCCCAGCAGAACTAGATCCCTTTTAAGCATGTTTGGAAGCCCCTCCCCATGGGCGGGGCATTGACCTCTTCCGCCAAAGAGACTGCGGCCTGTTACATGCTGACAACCTGATTTGCTGACGCACCTGGGGAAGCGGGATTGGTGTTGTTTTTTCTTTCTCCAGTTGGGTAGGATCCAGATTCCCCCGTGGTCCTTTGGGTGCCTGGGCCAGCGCGAGGGGAGAGGTCTGTGGGCCTAGAGGCAATGCAGTCAGACGACCTCTTCATCCGCAAGACCCGAAGCCACTGGAACCGACCACCTCTCACGTCCCTCTCTTTCGACACCTTCCGGGCCCCCAAGCCCCAGGTGGCTGAGGGCCCCCTTGTGGGGCAGTGCGGCCCTCCACTGAGGTCCCCGAGGCGTAGCTACCTCATGCATCGCAGCAACAGCGACGTGACGCTCAGCGAAGGGGAGCTGGCCCCTGCCCCTGCCGCCCCCGGCTCTCCCTTGCCCACTGTGCAACCCGCCGCTGGAGTTGGCCTTCACCGCATCAGCAGCAGCCCCAACACATCCACAAAGTGCCCCGCGCCCCCTCGGGCCCGGGCACACAGCCACGAAGAGCCACGGGCCGGCAGCCCCACGGCACGGCGCTTTCGTGACCCCCTGCTTCTGCTGGGACTGGCGGCCAACGAAGTGTGGGAGACCGAGGCGGACGGTGCGCCGGCTGCGGACCCTGTGCCTTCTGAGGCACCCGTGCCAGTGTGGGGTCGCCACTTGGCCCACTACGACGTCCAGAGCATCCTCTTCGAGCCGGGCGAGGCCACCCGAGAGGCGGAGAAGCCTGGCAATGTCACCACCGGGGCATCGGCTGCGTCGGAACGGGAACGCTGCCAGACGGACCTGGCGCCCCCTTTTGAGGGAGAGGGGAGCGAGGACAAAGACAGGCCTCTGGTGCTCAGCTGCCCCAACTTCCGCATGGAGGCTGGGGGCGAGGCCGAGTGGGGGATCGGCCAGCACCGGGGCTCCCTTGCAGGGTTTCACTGCCCCAACATGGCAGTCTCTGTGCTGGAGGAGCCCCGGGAGAGCTACGGGCAGAGGACCAGCCGGACAAGCCATGCCATTGAGTACGCCGACCTCGGAGCCTGCTATTATCGGAAACATTTCTACGGCAAGGGTGAGCGGCTGCTGGCAGGGTGAGATGGAGCAGGGGTTGAAGTGAGGAAAAAGCAAAAAGGCTAGTGGGGGTTGTGTAGGACACAGTAGAGGGGTATACAGAGAGTGCGCAGTATGGAAAACCTGACTAGGGAGACATTTTTCTTTCTCCTAAAACTCGAATTCCAATTCCTGGACCATTATTTTGCCTCCTCTTGCTTCCTTTTTGCATGATGCATAGCTTTAATTTTAATTTTTAAAAATAATTTTATTTATGCATTTTAAAATTAAAGTTGCACTCATTTATATACATGGATTTACGTACCCAGTCTGTATCAGCTTCCCAGTCTATCCTTCACTGACATTCTAGTTCATATTCTTTGGTTCGCTGCATCCCCAGTAGACTTCCATCCTTTTTCTTCCTCTCTGTTCATTTATCTTGTCTCCTGCTGGTCCTAAATTAATCCAACCTGGAAATTAACCATGATACCGTCTCTTTTTAAATATTCTCCAAAACAATCCCACGCCTTATTTTTTCCTCGTTCCAGTTTCTTTTTTTAGCCGTTAAACTTGCTCATTCCGCAAATTTTATTAGTTTATGCAACCGTTGGTCCTTTGTCGGAGTTGCCTTTATTTTTTATTTTTAACATAGCTGTATTAATTCCCAATATATAGCCATTACAAAAGGGGGTGAATACAAAAACAAAACCCCAACTCTTCCCCCCTTCAGGAGAGATCAATCTAGTTAAAATTTGCCAAAGTCCAATCTCTGATTTTGGTACTTGCCATTCTTCAGGGTTATCAGTAAAGTATTTTATAAAAGGGTGCCATATTTCAACAAAATTGTCTGCAGCATTTGTATTATTCAATGCATGCAATCTCTTCGTTAATGTTTCTGAAACAGCAATAGATCATTCGTTCTTTCTCCAACAGAGATAGCTTTATTGAAGACATTCAGCCCCCTTTAAATCCATTCCAACAACAGCCCTGCGCATTAAATTGAGTGGCTCTTAGGTGTGTTGAAATGCATTTATATGGCTTAAAAAGGAGACCAAAACAATGGACAGCAAGTGGTGTGGTCACTCTGAAGCTTAAGAGGATTGCAGTGCTGGTGAAGGCATCTGGAAAAAAATGAAATTTTGGAACCTAGTGTGCCTTGCAAGGGGCAGGGCAGAGCCGCTTCAAAGGCATGTTCCTAAAATGTGGTGACACCTGCCCTGAATAGGAGGTGTGACTGGATGCAAGTTGGAGATTGGGAGAAGACAAAATCCCAGTTTGGGAGTGATGGGCTACCTTTTTGTCCTTTCCTGGTGCACAGTAGCCTCTCCCAACCAACTGCTGTGTGGCTGATGGGAGTTTTAGTCTGAAAAAATTTGGAGGCCTCTCTAGGTTGATGAAGCCTGGTGTACAAGGAAGAATGGTCTGGCCTCAGCCTTCTCAGATCAACCCCACAATCTACCAGCCCAAACCCAGGAATAAAAGTTTACAGTGAGAATTATGTAGTTGAGAAGAGGGTGCCTCTGAGCACATTCCAAGCCAAGGACTTTGTGTCCAATACTTGAAAACAGAGCTCAATCTCCTTTCCCACCATCACCTACTCCTGGCTAGCTTTCCTCGTTCCAGCAGCCTTGTTCAGATGGAGAAAATTGTTTCCCCTGTTCAAAGTTTTCGGAAAACTTTGCTGATCTCCTGAATCATACAGACATCTTCCACTAGACCCCAATGGACCTTCTGCTCACCCTTGGTGTTGAGGGTGGCTGAGGGCAAAAATGGGCCGCTGGGCATGGGGCAAGTGTAGGCCTCCTGCTGGCCTCCTTTGCTGTGAGGTTCCTTGTTTTCAGAGACTCTGGTTGGCTTTGTTTGCAAGCTGTCCTCAAGGCAGGTTCCTCGCTTCTCTCCACACAGAGCACCAGAATTACTTTGGGGTGGACGATAAGCTGGGCTCTGTGGCTGTATCACTACGGCGTGAGGAGAAAGAGGGCAGCGCTGGACCCCAGTACAATTACCGCCTTATAATCCGCACAAGTCAGGTGGGTTCTTACGACATGCCGCAGTAGCCGTTCATGTGTTTTTTTATCCCAAACTGTGAGCTAAATTTGCTTACCAAAAATCAGCTGTGAGAACTGTCTCTGCTCTCAGGCTTACGCTCTAAAATACACAGCACACAAGGAAAACAAGATGGGGAGGGAGGAAGGGTTTAGTGGAAGCCCAGTCACCCATTCTTAAATTTATGGTTTGTATAATGTAGTTCTATCTATGCAGATTCTTCTTTCTTGGAGAAAGACACCTTCCCAGGAGAACTGGCACCAGCCCAGAGCAGACGACAGCTGCCACATTCACACCAGATGTTTAAAGCACTAGTATTCCACTTTAAACAGCCATGGCTGGGAATCCTGGGAACTGTAGTTTGTTACGGGTGTTGAGAGTTATTTGGAGACCCCCTATTCTCCTCACAGACCTACAATTCCCAGAATCCTCTGGGAACAGGGGTTAATTGTTAAAGCACTCTGGGAACTGTAGGGCTGTGAGGGGAATAAGGAGTCTCCTAACAACTCTCAGCACCCTTGACAAACTACAGCTCCCAGAATTCTTTGATGGAAACCATGGCTGTTTGAAGTGGCATTATACCACTTGATGGTGTAAATGTGGCCTAAAAGATAGTCTGTGGCAAAGGTAGGACTTAACCCTAGCTTTTCTCAGGTCCCACCCCAACATCCTAGCCATTAGGCCACACTGAGTGGTGTCATGGCCTTATGTGGAGAGGAATCCCCTTGGTGTGATCCTCCTCCTGTCCCCTTGACAGCTGTTGTTTTCCTCCCAGCTCCGGACTCTGCGGGGATCTATTCTGGAGGATGCTCTTCCCCTTTCGGCCCGCCACACTGCCCCACGGGGCATCCCTCCCAAGAAGTTGCTGGAACACGTCATGCCAGAGCTCAACCTGCAGTGTCTCCGCCTGGCCTCTAGTTCCCCAAAGGTCCCAGAGACCTTGCTCAAGTTGGATGAACAAGGGGTAAGGCTGTTTCATTCAAAACACATGTTCCTCACCCTGTTATGTCTTAGAACTACCTTCAAGGCCATTTACTGCCATGAAAAATTGTTTATTTGTTTTTCTACTGCCCTTCATCCATAGATCTCAGAACGGTTCACAACATAAATTTGCAATACAGTCGTACCTCGGAAGTCAAACAGAATCCGTTCCGGAGGTCCGTTCGACTTCCAAAGAATGGCTTCTGATTGGCTGCAGGAAGCTCCTGCAGCCAACTGGAAGCCGCAGAAGCCCCATCCGACGTTTGGCTTCCAAAAGAACATTCAAAAACTGGAACACTCACTTCTGGTTTTTGATTGTTTGGGAGCCAGAACATTCGACTCCTGAGGTGTTCGGGAACCGAGGTACGAGTGTATAAAAAATACAAAATACATAGTAAAAATAAAAACAAAAACAAACCAATAATCCCACAACACGTTTAAAAGGGCATCAGATGTCAACCAAGAAATAAAATCGAATCCTGAGGAACCTCACATTGAAGGCTCAATGGGCTGAAGAATACTCCCTAAGCAACACTCTCAGACCTTCCAACTTTTTCTGATGCAAAACTGGGACATGCATCTTCTGGGATGGCTTCTGGGCAAGTCATGTGACTCTCGCTCTTGCCCCCCCCAGCGAGTTTTTTTGGGGGGGCAAGATCTCATGTAGTGCCCAAAAATGCGAGAGCATGTGAAGTCGCAGCACCTAAAATGGCTCCCGAGATCTTGTGAGAAAAAATGGGAAGGTATGCTCACTGGAAACATCAATCCAAGTAGTAACTGGAACTACCTCAAAGCAGTGCCACACAGTCCTAACTCCAGAAGGATGCCATGGTTGATGGTATTGAAAGCCGCTGAGAGGTTGAAGAGAATAAACAGAGACACATGACCCATGTTTCTCTCCCAACTGAGGTCGTCGTACAGGGCGACCAAGGCAGGTTCTGGGCCAAAACTGGGCCTAAATCCCCATTGAAATGGATCTTGACAATCAGTTTCTTCCTTGAGCGGCTAGATTTGTATCATTTGTATTTAACAATAATAATTTAAAAATCAGAAGGCAACCATCAAAGAACATCCAGCTGAGTTGTAAGGCAGGGCTGGGGAACCTGTAGCCCACCCAATGTTATTAGACTCCACCTCCCATGATCCCCAGCCAGTATAGCTAACAGCCAGGAATTATGGGAGTTGTTGTAGTCTGGAAGGCCCATCTTCCTCTGCTGTCTCAAATGAGCATGGCTACGGGTTCATTTCCATTCAAGGTGTTGACTTTGACTTTTAAAGCCCAATGCAGCTTGGGACCTCAGGTACTTTTAAAGAGTGCCTTGTCCCGCATCAATCTGCAGGCTTTAAAGATTTTCTACCGAGACACATATGTTAAGATCTTTTACTCCAGCTACCCGGAAGTAAGGCAGGGACAAGTACGTGATGGGCTTTTTGTTGTGGTTGCGCCTCTCATTGGATACTCTGAATACTAGTTTCTGGGCGACAGCAGCAGGAGAGGGCTAGCACTTTTGTGGCCTGCTTGTGGGCATCGCAAGAGGAATCTGATTGGTCATTCTGTGTGCAACAGGATGCTGGATTAGACCTACCCAGTAAAGTGAAGGCTTTGAAAGAGCCTCTGATTGGTTCTCGTTTGGGTCTTGCCCTTCAATCTACCCATCCCGGACTTCCCCCTCCCTGCAGCTCAGCTTCCAGCGGAAAGTCGGGGTGCTGTACTGCCGAGCAGGGCAGGGCTCCGAGGAAGACATGTACAACAACGAGGAAGCAGGGCCAACTTTCCAGGAATTCCTGGACCTCTTGGGTGAGCGCATCCGGCTGCTCGGCTTTGGCAAGTACCGTGCCCAGCTAGACAACAAGAGTAAGTATAACAGGAGTGTGATTAATGTGTGTGTGTGTGTGTGTGTTTTGCAGGGTCATGATTAGGAGGTGGCCTATGGGGTCTTCGGCAGTAGACCCTGGATCTCCTGGTCCTTCTCCCCCACTTCTTAAAACTTAAAAAAAACATGCAATGTAAACAGTAATAAAATATAAACTGCTTAGAGGGCAGCTGGATGCAGTTCTCATCTACCACCTGAATTTCCCAGCAGCATTGGTACTGTTGCATGCCACCCCAGTCTCTGAGCAGTGAAAGATTTCAGGCAGTTACCCAGGGTTTGTGGTTCCTTTTGGAAATGAGGCGCAGCAGAGACCATGGTGTCTTTATGATGCATGGTTTATTTACACATATATACAACCTGAGCCTATGATGGAGGGGTTCTCGGCATCAACCTCCACCCCCCCAAGGGGCCTTGTTTCTCCCACAGCATTTGCCGCAGTATAATAATAATAATAATAATTTATTATTTATACCCCACCCATCTGGCTGGGTTTCCCCAGCCACTCTGGGCGGCTTCCAACAGAATATTAAAATACAGTGGTACCTCGGGTTACATACGCTTCAGGTTACAGACTCCACTAACCCAGAAATAGTACCTTGGGTTAAGAACTTTGCTTCAGGATGAGAACAGAAATCGTGCTCCAGCGGTGCAGCAGCAGCAGGAGGCCCCATTAGCTAAAGTGGTGCTTCAGGTTAAGAACAGTTTCAGGTTAAGAACAGACCTCCAGAACGAATTAAGTACTTAACCTGAGGTACCACTGTACAATAATCTATTAAACATTAAAAGGTTCCCTAAACAGGGCTGCCTTCAGATGTCTTCTAAAAGTCTGGTAGTTATATGCCACATGTTGATGCCAAGCCTGAGCAGGGCTTAGTGGTCAAGTTCCTAGCTCTTTTTGTCTTTTCCTGTTAAAGCTATGCGTTTATTTATTAAGTAAAATTGGTTGGTTGGCGTCTGTCTGTCTCGGAAGACAATGGAGAAGTACGGCTTTTGGGGGGCGTGAAGTTGGAAGGTTGCCATGCCTGCTGTGACTGCAGAGAGACAAGTTTTGGGAGAGACAAGTTTTGTTGCAGCTGGGGCAGGTGAAGGCGTCTGGTTATGCTGCTGCAGATGCACCGTGATGTTTCATCTCTCTCCGTTCCTCCCAACAGTCATTGCTCCTCTGGTTGCTGCTATGGATGCACAACCTGGCTGCCATACACAGACCCTTACTGAAAAAGCTACCTCTTAGGTGGGTGGATGCTAGCAGCAGCTGCACTGAAAGTGTTTTTAATCTCTCTGCCACTCTTCTTTGCAGATGATTCCACGGGAACCCACTCGCTCTATACCACGTATCAGGACTATGAGATCATGTTCCATGTCTCTACCATGCTACCCTACACCCCTAACAACCGCCAGCAGGTATGTGGGGGCATTTTTGCTTAGGTCAGGGGAACAAGAGATTCCCCATAAAAAGTAAGTGAGGGAGAAGCCACCACACACATACTGGAGAAGTATCAAGCAGAACTTATTCACATCCTCTTAACGCTCCATTCAGAGGCTGAACAGAGTGCCTGTCCCAAGTCTCCAGCTCCCTATTTCTCTGGTAACCTTCCTTTCCTCCCCGCCCCCAATCTTCTGCAGCTGCTGAGGAAGCGGCACATTGGAAATGACATTGTGACCATCGTCTTCCAGGAGCCTGGAGCGCTCCCCTTCACGCCAAAGGTGTTCCGCTCACACTTTCAGCATGTGTTCATTGTGGTGAGGGCACATGAATCTTGCACAGAGCACACTACTTACAGGTGAGAGGGCGGTGGCAGTGCGGGGAAACCTGGCAAAACTCTCCCTGACCTTCCAATTGTAACACCTCCTTTGGACTTGTTCATCTCGATGGACTTGACAGCGAGAGGTTTTGAAGAAAATTATTATTTTTTTGTTGTAAATCCTTTAGTCCTTGTGCCAATATTATTATTTACATTTACATTTATAAGTTGCTTACCTTGTGAAAATAACCCAAAGTGAGGTACAAACACTAAGACCAATTACACAGAACCAATAAAAAACCCTTAAAAACGTATCTATATAAATAAAAGGCAGGTCTTTTCCTACCTGGGGCTCGGATAGAGATAATAAATTATTATTATATTATTATTACCCCACTAATAGAGGCCAAAAATACTTAAAACCCTTCAAATTAAGGGCCAAAAGCCCAGGTAAAAAGCACACATGTTTGCCTGGCAACTAAGACTAGACAAAGATGGTACTAGGCAAGCTTCCCTGGGGAGAGCTTTCCACAGCCACAGAATCACTGCTGGAAAGGCTTGTTCTCGTGTTGCCACCCTCTGATCACAGGGCCAGGGTAAGTGCATGTGGGGAGGCGTTGTCCTTGACATATGAGGCTCTGAGCCACATTGAACAAACCATGGTTAAAGCAATCTGTGGCATAACATGATGTGCGAATGCAGCCATCATTGTCCGTTGTTAACTTTTAAATCCATTCTTTCCTTATTTTATTCCAACCCTTCATCCAAGTTGCTCAAAGTGGCCCATGGTCCTCATAGCAGTCCTTTGTGGTAGGCTCATCGGGGAGAGAGTGTGTTGGACCCAAGGTCACCCACTGAGCTTCATGAATGAGTGGATTTTTGAACCAGGGCCCCCTGGTGCTAATCCAGGCATCCCCAACCTTTGGCCCTCCAGGTGTTTTGGACTACAATTCCCATCATCCCTGACCACTGGTCCTGTTAGCTAGGGATCATGGGAGTTGTAGGCCAAAACATCTGGAGGGCCGCAGGTTGAGGAAGCCTGTGCTAATCCAACTCTGTAGCCACTGCCTCTAACCACACTTCCACATAGGCAATGAACGTGCCCCATTCAAGGAAGAAAGCATCAAGTTTAACTAGACTTCTGAATAAGATTAATCTGATGTACCAATGTCTCTGTTTGTCCCAGATTCTTAGATACCAAAGGTTGTATCCAACTGAGTTATAGCCAGAGTAGACTCATTAGAATGAATGGATATTTATGAATTTCAGTGGGTCTACTCTGAGGAGGACTGACGTTGGATTAAATCCCAAGATATGAGGTTGCTTCTCAGTCCTTTATTCCTGTATCCTTCTCTGATTGAAAAAGTAGGTTCTGGTTAAGGTTTTAGGACACAAAGATCAGAGGAGTAATCAGGACCTCGTCTGAAACACAGCAGAGATAGCCTGCAAAAATGTTCACTAGCACAAGCAAACTATATTGATATGTTTATAACTTGTTACTTATCTCTTGCAATATTTTCTGCCTGAATATGCTAACAGTCCTCACAGATCCAACAACATATGGAATGCAGGACCAGGTTTCAATATGGGTTTTTACAAATTAGATTTTTATTTTATTTTCTGCGGGAAACTCAGCTGGCTGAGGCTTGTAATTCCTGTACTCTTTTGTCTTAGAAATATGTCCCCTTGTGGTGAAACAGAGGCACAGCCACATTTTAAGGGATTTTTTTTTTAAAAGAACCGTTGTACAGTAATTTGACCCCCAGTTTCCTCTGAAACACAAGTACAGCTACAAGGGTGTGTGTCCCCCTAGTTTTCCATTATTATAAAAACAAATCCCCTAAATGGTGTGTGTATGGTAGGGTACAGGTGGCTTTGCCCCTGCCATCCCTCCTCCCGGCTGTCAGGATCTGGAATGGGGCCCCTGCCTGGTTCTTTGTGTCAGGAGAAACCTCTGCACTCAAGGGAAAACCATGAGATTAATGTCACATGTAGTTTGGTGCTGAGGTTAGTTCACAGTAGCCCTTCTGTTTTTATTTGCCATTCTTGGTGCATTTTTTCTTTCTCCAGAGAAACCAGATGACAGCAGCATCTAACTATTGCAGTCTAGTACAACTTCTTTTTCAAACTTGATTTGCACTATTTTTGCCCTTTTTACAGTAAGGTATAATTGTAGTACCAGAATGTCCAGGTTAGATGAGCAAAGCAGTAAAGGATGTTGGGAGAGGCTCCTGTATCTTTAATGATCAGTTTCCTGAATACCTCTTTTTGATTGCCACAATGTCAGCTTTCCATAAGTGATGTGAGGAATTTTTTTTCCCATGAAGGAAAAATACTCATTTTAGAAATGCATTGATTCATGAAATTAATGAGTAAAATAATGAATCATTACAGTACAAGTCAAATTTGACTAAATTTGGCAACTGAAATAAATGTAATATTAGTCAAAAATAAAATCAGTAATAAAGTCACTTATTTCTGGTGGCTATCCCTAGATAGTATACACTAGAGGTTGACATAGTGTGTCATTTAATACATGATATGTATTAAATGACACTAACTTTTCAGTAGCCTTTAACTTTATTTATTTATTAAATCGTTTTTATACTGCCTTTTGACCCTAACAAGACCCTCCCCCCACCTGTTAAAAAAATATTCTAAACTGGCATAAGCTTTTAGAGGCAACAGCCTACCTCATCAGATGCTGTGCTGGGACTGTGGAAAGCTAATATTTATTTGGCTGTTTGTTTATTTGATTTATCAGTTGCCCAATACAAAAAAAATTTCCTAGATAACTTACAAACAGAAGCCAACCCACTGCCCCAGTGGGAAGCCCAGAAGCAGGACCTACGCACAACAGTAGGCTTGCCATATGCCAGGAAAATTTCTGCCAGGTCCTGGTTTTCGGGTGTAAAAAGGGTGTTTGGGGGGGGGGGGGATTTTGCCAAATCGGCAAAATGTCAAGTGAAAAGCCGGATGTAACGCGATGGAAAAAGCAGTGGAAACAGCTCCATAGGCTTAAAATCACTATTTTTTGGTGGGAGGTTTCCCTTAAAAAGCTCAACAATTTGGGTTTGTTCCCTAAAATGTCAACAATTTGGGTTTGTTCCCTAAAATGTCAACAATTTTGGTGTCTTCCTAAAAACAATTTTGCAGGTGTCAGGAATTTTACTTTTTTGAAATATGGCAACCCTGCACAACAGCAACTTTCCCCACTGGTGATTCTCAGAAACTGTTATTCACAGGCATATTGCCACTGCCTTATTCTGTGGCAAGATCTCACGCGGTGCCCCAAAACAGTCCTTTTTTTTTTCTGGGCGAGAGTGCATGCGATTGTGGCACCAAAAATGGCTGCCGAGATTTGACCATCCTGTTTTTTTCGTCAGGAAATTGGGAGGTATGGGATCCCCATTTTTTTCAAGCTCTCAAACCCCGAACTTTTCTTTCTGTACCACTGTCACAGCACACCAGCAGAGGGAGCTGCGAGGCCTGTTCTTGAGTGGTTGTCAGGGTAACGCAAAGTTCAAAAGCCTCAGGCTTTGGGCCTAGTTCCTTGATCAGTTCAGTACGGAAGGCCTAGCTGCTTTTGAACTCAGTTACTTTTATTGCCCAGTAATTTGTTTGTTAGCAGGTTGACTGCCTTAATTGTACCAGCCCTCTGGTTTGGTGGGCTTGCAGCGAGGCCCATAGATCCCTGCCCCCAAATATAGTTGCATGCTGTTTGTTAAGTAGCAGGTTTGGGAAACTAGGATTACACAGGGTCACTCTCTTAGTTTAGACTGCTCCCCCCACCACACCACAATTGTTTCCATCATGTCGCAACAATCTCCCAGAGGTCACATACCAGTGTTTGGCAGGGCCGGAAAATGGGCAGCGAAATTGATGTGACTGTTACCTTTATATGGTAGGGCGAGTACCCCCAGAGCCAGAGGTTCCTACAAACACCTCTCTCCATCCTCACAAGCAAGAGGCCACTATCACTGTTCAAGGATATTTCTAGCTAGATAAAAGCATTTAATGAGAGCATGAGGCAGGGCCATTGAGGGTTAAGGCCTAGGAAGAAGAGGTGTACTCTGGGGAGAGTCATAAGGGCTAGAAAGCTGCTTTTAATATATATTTTCAAATGGAAATTCAGGTGCCCAGGATGCTGAATCCTGGGACCAATGCAAAATTATTTCAGTGATGCAGAGAAATAAGCAATTCCATTGCATTTTTTTAATTTAAAAAAGTGTCCTGTGTCCCTTCTTCTCCTCTCTCTCTGCGAATGGCTGCTCCATTCAGCGTGGCTGTCAGCTGCACCAAGGACATCCCACGCTTTGGTCCCTTCATCCCGGCTGAGAACTCCTTTGCCAAGGGCCCAGCTTTCCGAGACCTCCTGCTCGCCAAGGCGATCAATGCAGAAAATGCGGCCGAGCGCTCAGGGAAGTTCCACGCCATGGCAACGCGCACCCGCCAGGAGTACTTGCGAGATCTAGCCCTCAACCACGCCACCACCAGCACATTGGAGGCCTCCTCGTCGCGCTTGGCCCTCATCGCTTTGGCTGCAAAGAAGCGCGAGAAGTCCAAGGCGCCAAAGGGGGCAGAGGCACACAGTGCGGGGGCTTTGGTGTGGGGCGTGTGGGCACGGGATGGCAGTAGAGGACCCGAGAGCAAGACTCCTGAGCTGCGGTGCCTGCTGGGCATCTCGGCTGAATTTCTAGTCCTTATTGATGCCCGTGAGAAGAGGGTGGTTTTTAACTGTTCCTGCCGGGACATCCTGGCTTGGACCTTCTCTGAAAGCTGCACTTTGGACCTCTACTATGAGACAGGGGATTACATTTGCATGCGTGTGGATGAGGGTCAGGCCTCCGATATCCGTGACATTGTCCACCGGCTGCAGGTAATAATTTGTTTTCACCCGCTAAGGGGTGGTGGGGAGCGGAAGGGATGCATAGCATCATTTGGATTCAAAGTGCTGTGGTGCTAAATTTGGGTCCCTTGTGCTCCACCTCCTGAATTACAGATGTGGGGGGGTGACTTCTGTTAATTGGCTGTGGGGGAATACACTCTCCATATGCTTAGAGGGGTTATTGTGCTTATTATTACTCTGTGGGTCCCAAGGCTATACACTGGCTATAAAAATAGGCTCTTTGGCTTAATCTAGTCACCACCTGAAATATCTCCCCTCCCCACAGCTGGTGACTCGGGGTTGCGAGACACGGGAGCTGACCCTCTTGCGGAACGGGGTTGGCCAGCTGGGCTTCCAGATGGACCCCGAGGGCTTCGTGACGGAGGTGGAGCGCTTCACCTTTGCTGAGACGGCTGGTCTCCAGCCTGGGGCCCGCCTGGTCCGTGTCTGCGAGAGACCCTTGCCCAGCCTCAGCCATGCCCAGACCTCTGAGCTTCTGCGCACTGCCAAGAAGGTCACCATTACTGTCGTACCCCCAGATGAGAATGGAAAGGCCCGGAGGTGAGTACACTTTGGGGATGGGAGAGAGGAACACTCACAGGCCAGGTTTCTCATATTTGCTCTCCTTGGTGTGTTGCTTTTAGTTCCGATTTCTTTTGGGTTTGCCCAGTGCCTAGTCCTGGCATTAAACCCCCTTGTATAAGGTGCCTGGGGTCTTGAACTGGAGATAATAGCAGCAGTCCGCTGGGACCTGGCTGTCTTGGCCATAATAAACTTTCTCATTGGTGGCAGCTTGATTTTGAGATGCTCTCCCCAGGGATGCTTGCCTGACTCCTGCTTTTATGTGTCATTTTAATGACCTGTATTCCCCACCCCCCGGCCTTTTAATTTAATTTGAAATGGGTTCCCCTACCCTTCCCTTCCTTAGCTTTTGGTGTATTTGTGTGTGTGTGTCTCTCTGTGTGATCTTTTAGGTTTCCCTGCTTTTGGTGTAACTGTATATGCTTTTAATTTGTTTTCATTGTGTTGTCCAATTTTACATTCTGCCCCAGGAGTTTGAAGAGCAGGATTTAAGTCTCTGTAATGAAAGCATACATAAAATTATTCTGTGTGCAAAAGAGGTGCCCTTTTGTCCCTTCCCTGCTCTAGAAATAAGAAGGTCTTTTTATCCTTCTTAAAATGACTAGCTTGATTGGAAAGTAGCGTGATGAAATGGATGCTGCTGCACGACAGTTGTGGGTGAGCCAAAGGCAGCTGCTCTCTCTGCAGAGCCTATAGCCTTGCTTCCCTTTGCTCCTGCTCTGCAGCCTGATGGAGCGGCTGCCGTTAGGTATATCAAACTAGCCCTCTAGTCCTGATGGAATAGCTGTTGCTGGACGACACTTAAGATTATTCCTCCACCCAACCTACAGGATGGTACTCTGATGTCTTTCTCCTCTTCCTTTTCCTCCACATTGGCAGAAGTTTCTCGGAGCTGTACCTAAAGTCTCTACAAGAGAAGAGGAGGAGTGAGCCACCAGCCAGCGATGTGGAGTTGACCAGGCCAGGGAGTGAAGCAGGGTTCAAACCTGCCACGCTCCAGCTGCTCCACTCGCTATCCCTGCCAGACGGGGGGCCCCCTCACAGCCTGGCAGAGGAGAGGACTGAGTTTCTGCGGAGCCATAGTGACCGAACGCCCAAGCCTCCAGACCCGTGAGTAGCACTAGTATCTCCAGCCTCTTTCGTGGCTCATACCCACTCACCCCTTCCCTGTCACATCCAGCCAACTTCCCTCTGCCTCATTCCATGGATCTTAGGAACACAAGAAACTGCTTTATTCAGTCCAGGCTATCTGTTTTTCTAGCTTGGCATTATCCACTGTGCTTCAAATGGCAAAAGATATTGGGCCTACAGAGCTTCACCTGATCTGTATAACTGGAGATGCAGGGGATTGAACCTGGGATCTTTGCTTGCAAAACAGTTGCTCTGCTACAGCCCTTCCACCAGTTTTATCTTGGGTTAGACATGCAACCCTTGTCTGTTTTTTGCAGGGATGTAGGAGACTGCAAAACGCCTTTCATTGCTGCTCCAAGCTTCCTCTTTTTTCTGCTGCTAGAAGCACCTGAAGAGAGAGAAGCATGGGATAAAGGGAGTGTGAGGGGTGTGTGTGCATGTGCACCTGTAAACATGTCTTTTCCTCAAGGCCCATGATAACAAGTTTGCAGGTAATTGGAGGGGCGAAGAGGGCTGCTAACATTTGTCAGTGGACCAGATTCTGCTCTGGGTCTACTAGCTGCCAACTCCTTTCTTTTCATCAGCTTTTGCAGCTCCTGCAAGAGGGGGAGAAGGTTAGTCATCAAAGAATAGAATAGCCGTTTCCCTTCCTCTGGCCATTTTTAAAAAATGTGTGATATTCAGGAACCAAGGCTGCAAAAAAGGCAGGGTTTCTTACAAGATGGGTTTAGATCTAAATCAGACTGTTATGTGTTGGAAAACGTTTGTAGGAAATGCTGTGACTTCGTTCTGAGACCTCAGATATGGTATCAGCAACTCATCATCCTTTTAGCATACGTTCTCCATTCCTGCCTCCATGTCTCAGTGTCTGGGGTCTCATTCTCTGCAGGGTGCCACCTCAGGACATCCCTGTCCTGCCAAATCCCCCTCCGGATCTCATCCTGGCTGCCACACCCAAGCCCTCTGCAGAGCAGGACGCAGTAAGTGTTTGTCTTCTCTCTTTGTACCTCTGTTTATGTGCCTTTTGATTTTAACATTAATAATAGTCACAACAACCACTTTAAATAATATAGTGGCATCTATGTTCGTGGTGATTTACAAGGAGCATGTTTGGCAAGTTCCTGCCTCAAGGGGCTTACTGTCCCAAAACAGGCACAAGGGAGGCAACAGAGGAATGGGAGGGAAGTGTCTCAGGCAGAGGAAGGTCTTCCCCTTCTTCCCCTTCCTGATCCTTTTAACTGGGGGTGCTGTGATTGTGCATGGGACATTCTGCATCAAACTATAGCTCATTGGTAGGGAATCTTCAACCCATGGGCCTAATGAGGCCTCCCCATGGCTCATGAGGCCATTTTGGCAAAGCCACACCTACCAACCCCTTGCCTGGTGAAGGGTTGGCCATTTCTGGATATGATCCTCTGTGCAGATCCAATTCCCCAGCACAGCTGCACTCCCTCTCCAACAGTAGCACCTGAGGCAACCCTTTAAAGTGGAAGGAGTTGAGTGTGTGTGCGCGCGCACACACACACACACACACACACAACCTGCTAGCATTGTATAGCCTGAGGCATCAAATATAAGAACATAAGAAGAGACTGCTGGATGAGGCCAATGGCCCATCTAGTCCGGCATCCTGTTATCACTGTGGCCAACCAAATGCCTGTAGGAAACCTGCAAACAGGATCTGAGCACAAGAGCCCTCTCCCCTCCTATGTCTTCCAGCAACTGGTATTCAGAAGCATTACTGCCCTTGACTGTGGAGGCAACACTAGTAGCCATTGGTAGCTTTATCTGCTATGAATTTGCCCAATCCTCTTTTAAAGTTGGATGGTGGCCATCCCAGCCTCCTACAGAAGTGAGCTCCATGGTTTAACTATGCACTGCATGAAGAAGTCATTTATTTTATCTGCTCTAAATCCCCCAACATTCAGCATCATGTATTGAGAGAGGAAGAAAAGAATGTCTCTGTCCATTCTCGCTCTCATGCATACTTTCATAAACTTCTGTCATGTTGCTTCTCACTCACCTGCAATCTTACATCACAGGGGTGTTGCTCCATCCCTTGATCATCTACTGAAATGGGCCCTGAATCACACCCCATTTGTCTAGGTCAGGGGTCTGCAACCTTTAAGACAAAAAACCTGGGAGCCGCAAAACCATTGCGACATTTAAAGCATGCGCGCCGCTGCCCTCCGATCTGACAGCGGGTGGGAAGGTGACGTCGGGACGGTGCGTGACTAACGCACGCACCGCCCCCATGCGACGTCACAGCCAGTACAGCGCCCGCCACAGTGGGGAGTGTCGGGGCGCACAGTGCGCCTCCTCCCCTCGCTAGTATCCACCCCGGAGCCGCGGCAAAGGTGTAAAAGAGCCACATGCGGCTCCGGAGCCGCGGGTTGCAGACCCCTGGTCTAGGTCTTTGCAGCATACACGTCCCCTTCTCCATCTCCTACCCCTTGTAGCAACAGTAGATTTCTTGCTAGTTTATGAGGATTAGGGTAAGAATATCCTGTTGCTGCTGTCTTAAGAAGGCTAGAAAGTTTCTTAAAGAAAAAAGAAAGCCAAAGTTTTCTCAGGAAGCTGGATTTTGCACTGTGTACCACATTTAGTCGCTTGTGCCACATGGCAGAATGCACAGAGGGCTGATTTTTCTGCTCTGCTTCTCCTAGGACCATCCTGGAGATCCCATTGTAAACAAGAAAGAATCCGTTGTGGGCCAGGTAGCCAAAGGCCCCGAATCTCTGCCTCCTGAGGAAAAGACCTCTCCACACTTGGAGTCCAGAGAAACAGATAAGTTCCTGCCGCGGACACTTTCCCTGCGGAACTCCATCACCAAAAGTAAGAGATCCTCCGCCCTGCGTTCCTTCGCTGCCCCCGTTTCCCCGAGTGCAGAGGCACTGATGTGGCCACGCCTGGGCGGGCCAAGGGTTTGCTTGAGGACTGAAGGCTTTGCTCTCTCCTTTATCCCCCAGTCCTCTCTGAAGCTGGAGAGTCCCTGGAGGATGAGTGGGAGTCCATTGCCAACTTGGCTTCTGCTTGCAACAGCATCTTGGAGGCCCTTTCCAGGGAAGGTGAGTGAGTGGGGGGAGCCAAACCAACAGGCTGGCACTAGCTGCGGCAAAAGTCTTGGAACTTAGTGTAGGGTAGCATCCTAGGAACACAGGAAGGTGCCTTAGAACAGGTCCGACTTGAACCTGGGACCTTCTGTGTGCAAAGCCAGAGTGCTGCCACTGAGCTATGGGCCATTCCCCTATCTAGGGCTTTCCTCTTGCTCTGGCTGAATCTCTTACCTGTGCCTCTTTCTCCATCCATAGGGCAGCATGTGCTGGAGAGCAGGGAATCCCTGTGCACCACCGTCCAGAGGGGCACGAGTCAGCAGCAACCCAATGAGGAGTAAGAAATAGTTCTCTCTGTGTGTGTACAAGGGGACAGGGAAGAGAGATTTGAGCGTGCTGGGGAGGTTCAACTATATGGTGGGGAGATCTCATCCGTATGTCAGCTCCCTGAATTCCTTCTCTCCATTCTGCAAGGCGTAGCAAAAATATATACATCTTCCTAGTTACATAAAAATGTGAGAACAATCATTTGCCAGGATAGTTAACATCAGTGTCTCCCCACCCTGGTTCTCCCTTCTTTTCCAACTCTTTCAGGTCCCAGTTTCCTCTCAGCCTTGCTGATAAGGTCCTGCATTTGGAATCGACACTCAAGAAACTGCAGGAAGATCTTCAGAAGGTGAGGTAGTGAGCAGGAATGTAGGAGGCACGGAGGATCAGACCAGCAAGGTTTTTGCAAAATTTACTTTTGAAAGGTATTCCCCATTCTCCCAAATTTAGAGCCAAACTAAAAATGACATTAAATTTGCCTTTGCACTCTTAAAAAAAGAGCAGCTGCCGCCCTTTTGAGAGGGAGGGGAGGATGCAAGTTATCAGGATCTCAGCTAGTTATTGGCACTTTGGAGGTACTGCACAAAGAAAATCCCTTTCAGACAAGCCACACTTTTACCTGCTCCACACTTGACATCAGGTGTAGGGCAGGTGGGCATAGTTTGCCCAGAATGGACTTATGGGTCAAACTGGGTGGATATACGGGCTGAAAGTTCCCCACCCCTACTGTTAATCATTTGTTCATCCCACATTTTTGGGTGCGTTTCCCCATCACTTTCCTAACTGCAAATTTTATTTTATTTATTTTTTAAAGCGGATTTGTTGTGCTAGGGCAACAGAGCACTTTAATCCCCTTTAATTGTGCAAATCTCACTTCTGGTGTGCACTTGAATCGCTCCCACAAAATTCCAAGTCTGGACGCACCCAGAGTCTTTGCCCTCCTGTAGGCAACAGCCCTTTGGGTATTTGAAGAATTCTCCTCAGTCTTTACTTCTCCAAACTAAAGATGCCCAGTTCGTTCAATATTTCCTCATGGGACTTATTCCTCCCCTGAACCAGTTTTAAATCATACAAGGTATTGTACCTGAGGCACATGTCACTGGCTGCTTCTGCAGTCTTGAGGAATGGGTCCATCTGCCGCAGCAGCTTGTTCTGTGAAAATGTCCACCTGGCCATAGCTATATCTGTTATCTCAGGGCAAGCGAGCACAAGGTAGTTCAGGATCTATTGGTGGATATATGGGGGATCAGCCAGCGTTTTTCATTCCCCAAAACAGCAGCAACTAAAATGACTACCCCACCACCATAAATAAATAAAAATAGGTTGCTGAGAAAGAAAACTTGGGGGGGGGGGAAGCAGGACTGGGTTTTTGTGAAAAAGGGATTGTGGACTTGGCATCTGTGCTGATGCTGAGTACAAATTCCTGGCCTGCGTTTGTGCTCAAAAGGCACCTTGCCCCTTAAGTCTTAGTGTCCTTCCATCCACCTGAGCTGCAGTTGTGCACCTGATTCTGGTTGATAGACCTCAAGATTCTGGTAGAACAAGCAAGTAGGTGCCACAAGTCCAAAGGCTGCTCAGCCCCTGGGTTATCTGTGTATAAATAAATGCACATAGAATGAAACCTTTGCAGTGAAGAAACTGCCCATAATCTTCATTTTTTCCCCCTTCAAGCCCTGCAGAAAGCCATCAGATTTGTTCATGAATGTGAACCATTAATTCTTCCCTTCCCATTTTCCTTTAAAAATCATTCTGAAAGGAGGAGGCTTCCTCTTAAAATAGCTTGGCATCCACCTATAACACCCTCACCCCCGGGTATGTGTCATTATCAGGACTCGCTGCCCAAACTCAGACATTGCAGACTGTCTGGTTTTCCTCCCTTCGTAGAGATGTGGGTTTCCTTGTTTATTTTTTAGTCATGCCATGTGGAACTTTCTCCTCAGCGATGTCTGAATTAATGAGGCCTCACTAGAACAGTTTGTGGGGTATTGCCTACAAAACCTCCAGCCACAATGCGTTTATTAATCTCTGAGGTGCTGAGGGAACTCCTGAGCAGTCTTGCTGGAACAGATCTGTCCAGTTGTCATTCAGGAAGCATTTTCTAGCCAACAGCTTCCATCCTTATCCCCCGCCACTCTGGTGGGCCTAATTTGACAGGTGGGTAGTGCCACTTTGTTGTCAGTCACCTAACGCCATGGTGACATCAGGTGACGCTGCATTTTGAGGCCCCAATTGTTTGCACTTCAAAGCCTAGTGTGGGGCTGTTTGAAAGCCCTTTTTGAAAGGGTCCTGGTGGTTGGGAATGTTTCTAGCCTGGAATAGAATGCTGAAGGAGAAGGGGGCCTAATGGAGCTCCTGGGGGCCAAGTGTTCCTCCAACAAGACATAGCAAACAGGGAAGGGCACTGTCTTCCCACCCCCTCAAGTGCTATTTATTTATTTGTTGAATCCTCACCCAAAGGAGCCCTGGGCAGCAAACAACAGAGTGGTGAAGCAATACAATTAAATATAAATTTATTTATTTATTTATTTATTTATTTATTTATTAAAAAATTAAGAGCATCTTTTAAAAAATCAGCTAATAATTTCAGGGTTGCTGGGAGCAGTATCTTTTGGCCATCAAAAGCCTGAGTGAGCAGGAACGGTTTAAAATTCCTCCGGAATATTACACTGATGCAGAAGACAAGATGCACCTCACTGGGGAGGGTGTCCCACACATTGGGAACCACCACCGAGAAGGTCCTACTGCGAGTCAGCATCATCCAGAAAACACACATCACCAACAGCAGCAGGATCTGCTGTCTAGGCATGCGACAGGGTCTCTCTTGAGGACCTCGGCGAGTGTGTGGCTTCATATGGTCAGATGCAGGCCTTAATTGTTGCAGCAACAGCAGCCTTGTCCCCTCAGCCTCTAGATGGATTAGAACCAAGCCAGCGTAATGGGATGGAGCCCCTGATGTGTTTCTGAGTTTCCTTTCTTCCTTGTTTGTCCTCCAGGAGAAGGCTGAAAAGGCGGCGTTGCAGGCGGAAGTGCAGACCCTTCAAGAGAACACCCAGCGCTTGAAGGAAGCATCAGAGACGGCGGCAGCTCAGCTCAGCCAGGTCACACAGATGCTGGGCGGCCCCCCAACGCCTCCCCACTGCCCTTGAGGCCCTCTGACCTCATCACACCTTTGGGGGCCTAGGAGGGGGTAGCTGGTGCTCTCACTCACTCACTCTTTACTTGGAGCACAACAGAGACTTTTGACAGGCTGTTCCAGTACAAGGTGCTCCGTGCCCCCCCCCCCACTTAAGCCCTCCCTCTGCTAGCCTTTGATGTGGCTAGTGCTACAGCTCTCACCACTGGTTGGGGGTGTTGTATATTCCCAGAATGGGGGGTGGTTGGGTGGAAGCTGAGGTTTGGGGGCCCAAAGGACACAGGGCTCAACTGGCCACCTTGGATGAGGTGGAACTCTTTGGGCCCCTGTTAGTGAACAGGTTGCACCTATCGACCAAGGCTTGCCACCCAGTTCCTTTCAGGGGCTACTGCCCCACCCCCTTCCCCAATTAATTTGTGCACCAGCCTGTAACCTTAGTTTGGAGCCATACAAGCCTCCTCTCCAGGGTGGGGTTAGGGGTGGGAATGGTTGTCTTGTTGAGCATCTTTTTTAATTTTTTAAAAAACCAAATTACGATTTTGGACCCTGGACTTTTCTTGCCACCAGCCCCCGTGGAAATGCCACCCTTGTGGTTCCATCGGACAAAATAAAATAAAATAAATTCACCAGGCAATAACTGCAGATCGCCTTTGAGGAAGGGGAGAGTGTGACATGCCCAGGTTGACGATTTTCCCTGGGCAGAGGTGTGTACAGTGGTGGTGCTGGAGGGAGAAGGATTGAGCAAACCTTCCCTCGCTGCCTCCATTCCCTCCCTCCCTCCCTCCTCCTCCCCCCAACCCATCCCAGCACTGATTTGGGACTGCACAGGGGGCTTCCTGCCTGATGGAGGCCTTGGCCCGCATGCCCGTTAACTGTGAAGTTTTTGAAAGCTGTGACACAAGCCCTGCTCCCTCCTTGCCCTGTGTGGTCCTCATTTCCACCTCTTCTTGTAACCCATCACAGATTCTTCCTAGGTGGGGGCAAGACAATCCAGCTTGCTGTTTTATCTCACCGCCTCCAGTGGTGCTACCCATTGCTCCCCCCTCCTCCAATTCTGCCAGGGGTAGCCAACGTGACGCCCTCCGGTTGTGGCGGACTCATACCTTCCCTGACTATTTGCCATGCTGACTCAGGCTGGTTGGAGCTGAGAGCCCCAGCAAGATCCAGAGGGCAGCTCGTTGGCTATCCTGATCTTGGCCCGCCCCACCTCGAGAAGCAAGAGGGGTGGGGCACCCTTCTCCCCCTGTGCCGTTTTGTGTCTGTGTGTCCTGTACATATTTTTCCTTCCTTCCTCCTTGGACCAAGGTTAAGAGAGGCGAGGGGAGGTGGGGAATCTTGTTGTCCGTCTGTCTGCCCCACCCCAGCCTCCTGCCTGGATTTGAACTGAATGTACAGACTAGCCGTGGCCCTCCTTGTGCAATAAAGTCTTTGGTCTGCAGCCACATGCCGTGGACTTCTTTGTCGTCTTTGCTGGCAACTTTTGGGGAAACGGAGGGCCTGGAAAAACAAGGGGTGTGTGGGTGTGGGTGTGTGTGTGGGTGTGGGTGTGTGTGTGTGTGTACGCTGCTGGTTAAGCCGAGGGGAGGAAGTGGGGGCACGGTTTCTGTGATTCCATCTAGATGAGCTGCCCCCTCCATTTCAACTCGCTTTTCTCCTTTTGTGTCTCTGCGTTCTCCCCACCCACCCATATCCGCTGATATCAGAGCTAATGCTCTCTATAATTCCGGGTAGTTTGCTTCCGGATGGAGAACAGAAGCCACTTCCTTGCTTGTCCAGACTCGCTCCTTTTAGGAGACTTGCAGTTAGTGGTTTTGTTCCTTCCTTCCTGGCTATATAATTAAGTGGGCTAAATCTTAGGTTTGGCTGAGGACATTTCATAATCAATATAATGGACTCTGCCTGGGTGAGTCCTTCGCCCGCCCACCTGCCCTGCTCTCTGACCCCTTAAGTGTTTTCCCTTCTGCTCCCTCTACCCATTCGCTCTTCTCAGCCTACAGCTTGTTCTCTTCCTTTCTGCTTAGCCCCCCTGTCTCTCTGTTCTTTGCTCTGTCTTCTTCCTGGGTCCTCTTTCTGCTAGTCCTCAGTCATCTTGTCTCCCTAGCACCACTTTCTCTTTGCCAAGATCCATTCTGCCTATCTTCAGGCCCTATGAATGGGGCTCCCACCCCCCCCACCCCAGCCCTCATGCAAAATGTGTCTTTCAGTGGCTGCAGTGTGTGTTAACCTTCTGTTGTCAGCAGCTCCCTCTGAGCAGGTTTCATGTCAACACAGCACTGTGTCTGTGCGCAACCCACAGCTTTATTTTGTGGATTGCCATTGCATCTTTTGTTTTGTTTTGTTTTGTTTTGTTTTAAAGCATGTGGGCAAGGCTACTTTTCATGCACAGTAGCGCCTTTGACAAAGACCACGTTTTGTAAGTGGGAAAAGTATGCAAGATTCCGGCCTGCACAGATCTCTTTGTTGTGCCCGTTAGAAGAGTCCATCAGCTGCCAAAGACTTTGCCGGTCCTTTTGCCAAATAAAAAGTGGAGTGGCTTAAAAAGATGTGGCTTAACACACATCACCTCAGAGTGTAGCGTGAATGAAAGGGGCCAATTCAGCAGATCAAAGAAGAGGCAGCTGCTTCTGAGGTTTAGGATCCTTGCCCATTCAAGTGTGTGATGTGGTCAGCTTTCTCGGAACCTCAGCGTTTGCTTAGATGAAGTTCCACTTGTGCCCACAGAGGGCCACTCCTGAGGATGGGCTCACCTGGACTGTGTGAGGACTGCCCTTCTCTCTGTGGCACACACTATAATCATAAAGGGTCACAGCTGGCATTCTTCTATGATATATCACTGGTGAAGAATGCTTGTGGGAAAGGAACACCCTTTCGGAGAGCGTATGTATCTGTGTGAGAGAGAAGACCTTCATGCCCCTTTCACGACTTTGCCCTGAGCTTGAAGGGACAAGCTGTACATTTACAAAGTACATTCTGTTGAGGATTCGTAGCAAGCTATCAGCCTGATCCAAGCAGTAACCTTTTTGTAATGCCAGGGCTTAGCGAAGTGATAATAAACAAGAGGGTACCCCTGAGCAAGTGCAGACAGCATTCCATGCTGCTGAGTAAACACACACACACACACACACACACACACACACACACAGTATTTGACATTAAAAGAAAGGAGAGAGCCAAAATAAAGGCTGTGCTCTCCCTTTCCCAAGCTCAGAGTATCCTTTGCCGTTAGAAAAGTTCAGGGGGCCATTTTTTAAAACTCTGAAATCATGACCAATTCTGAGCATATGGAGAGGGACTTTCCACCTCTTCCTCTCTCATAACTAGCAAAGGTCTTTCAAACAAGGCAGAGGAGGGAGGGACCTACTCCCCCTCCCTGCCGCCTTTTTAGGACACCATCCAGCTTGTGGGTGGTGCTACAGGGGAGGCTGGAGGTGTAGGACGACACAAATGCAACCCAATGACAGTGCATTAAACAACACAAAGAACACACACACCTGGGTTTGTGCACACAGCATTGTTCAGCAGCAAGGAGGGTGTTTCACGAGGCAGCTTAACATGGTGTAATTACTCTCAAACCATTGCTGTGCACCCAGTCTGATGGGCTAAAGGGAGCATCACCCTTTGCAGAGCAAGTTCAACAGTGCTCTGATTAACCTTACTGGACTCTGTGCTTACTGGGGTAGAATAATTTGAATGGGCTTCCCAGATTTGTGAAAGTGCTGCTCTAGAATGGACTAGGAGTTTATGGATAAGTGCATATTTCTCCTAACTCAAGCCCAGTTCACAAATGCGAGGTGGCAGAGTCCTGAGGCTCTAAGTGCTTCCAAGAATAACGCATGTGGAGTGATCGTGTTTTTGAACAATCTCCCATGCAAAGAAAAGGCTCCCTGTCAGCACAAAAGTAGTGCATCAGCAACAGGCTTAGGCAGGAATGTTCCTCGCTAATGACTTTTTTTCTTACTTGGAGAAAAGCATTTAAAAAAATAAAAATAAAAACTTTCCTCAATTTGCAACCAAACCTAAGGAGTACAATCTGTTTTCATTAAATGTGCCGAAGCATCAGGTATGAAGTTTTACCCATGTTCATTGATTCTGTGACATTGTGTATGGATTAACGAATCTGAAATCAAAACAGCAGATTTGTTTCTGAATATATTCCAAACACATTTGGAAGAAAGCCACGTGGTTTCACAAGCATGTCTACCACCTCCGGCAATGAGACACCATGCGTCCAATAATGCAAAACTCTTACACAGAAAGAGAGGAGAGACAAGGCAGGTTTGCGTTTTTGTTTTTTCCAAAACGCTTCTTTTACTATCACACAATCACAATCTCAAATTCCAGCTGTCGGCATTCTCACTAATACCCACTTCCTATTCCCTTGCACCCTGAAAACCACACTGGAAGATCAGTTCTTCACTGGATGATGCCTCTTGCATTTCAGTCTGTTCTTGGAGAGGCTGCACATGCCGGGAACCGCCATTCTCACTGCACAGTTTCAGCTGGAAGCTGGGAACTGAGAAAGTCGAGATTGTCTTTGTAATCTGGCGCCACAGATCTTAGTTCAGGGTCCATGCAAGAATCCGTTGTGAAGTGCAGCAGAAGTTCTGCACTCTGGCTCCCAACAAATAAAACAATACATTTAGGTCCCCCGCAAAGGCCGTAGCAGCTTCAGAGTCACACTGAAAAAATCATCGAGGAAAGGTGCCAGCCTTCGGATCACACAGAAGTTCGTTTCCTGTCCTGCAGACTGCGGGTGATGGAGAACGGCCGGTGGCACAACACGGGTGCCTGGCTAGCCCTGGCTCCTCAATCCGGACAGCTGGGGCAGGGGCCTGTGGGGCCAGGCCTTGGCAATGCTGCCCCCCCCCGCCCCTTCTCAGCACTGTCTGAGAGGGCGCCCTCGATCCCGGTCCTGGCGGGGTTTCTTAAAAGGGTTTCTTGGGCCAAGGGGCGAGATTGCCGCGGAGGCACTGGCTTTCGGACAGCACCTGCCCTCCAGCGCTGTGCAGAGCCAAGTGCTTGCCAAGGTAGGCCCGGCGGCGGAAGCGCTTGGGGCAATGCGAGCAGCAGTAGCTCCCTTCGGCGGCGCCGGGGTGGGGCAGGGCCCCCCTGGGCGCGTTGCCCGGCTCGGGGCTCTCGTTCTCCTTGGTGGTGCCCCCCGCGTGCCCGCCGCCTCCGCCCCGGGGCTTGTGCCAGCGGCGGTGGGAAGCCAGGTTGGCCGGGCAGCTGAAGGCCTTGCTGCACTCGTGGCAGCGGTACTCGACGCGGGCGATGCGGGAGCAGCAGTGTTGCGCCAGCGCCAACGGGCCCGGGTAGGACTCCTGGCACAGCTGGCACACGAAGGCGCCCAGCAGCACCACCGCCCCTCGGGCAGGGGCTGCGCCGCCACCCCCGACGGCCCTCTTCGCGGGCGCCAGGGCGCTGGGCTGCTTAGCCGACGGCGCGCAAGCCGACCCGGTGCCCAGAGCCTGCGAGGCGCACGTCGGGGCGGACGCGCCCGGGGCCGGCGATCCCGAATGGAGGCCCCCTCGCTCCAGACAGCTGCCCAGCGGCGCGGCGCTTCCCGCCAGGCGCAGGGGGCCGGGCCCTGGGGCCGGGCAGTCTGGCAGCCCCCCGGCCCGGGGCAGCTTCCTTGGGGCGGAGGAGGGCAAGGCCAAGACCCCGCCGGGGAGCAGCAGCCCCGACGGCACCTCGCCGCCATCCACCTCCTTCTGCGGGGTCCGGATCCGGTACGAAATGGGCGCTTCTCGACGCGTCCTCTTCACCAGGAACCCCCGGGGCATCTTGGGCGGCTCGAAGGAGGGCGGAGAAGGGCGCTGGCGCTTAGCCCTTGGGCACCAGGGGCCTGGCACGGCGGCGCACGTCGAGGGGGCTGCTGGCACCTGTTGCTGCTTTGCGGGCCCTGCAAGAGAAGAGGCTTCCAAACTTGGCGCAGGGGCTCTCCCGCTTGGCGCGTCCTGCTCAGGCTTTTGTTAGCCGGGGCTGCTGCTGGTGGTGGTGGCGACGTCAGCGTCTCTTGCCCGTGCCCGCCGTCGTGTCTTCAGCGCGGAGCCAGCTGGCCTCTGGGAGCAAGCACGGCGGCTGCCCCGCTCTATAAAGGCCCGGGCGCCTATTGTGCTGGCTGGAAGCTGCAGATGGCTGGTGCGGGGCAGCCAATGGGCGCTGCGCTGGTTGCGTGGCTGCGGGTCCCGTGGGGGCGAGCGGCAGATGGGAGCACTGGCCCTGGCGCGTGGGCCCTGCCATTATGCAGATTGGGGGCAAGGGGTGGCACACGCCGGGCCGCCACAAAAGGGGGGTGGGCTGCGGGCTGATCCCCCAGGGAGGCTGACAGCATCAACGGGCCAGGCAGGGCGGGCGGGCGGGGGTCTGGGGGAAGGTTAACCCTTTGCTGGGCCTTTTTGGAAAGGCAAGAAAGACGAACAAGAGACAGCGGGCAAATCCCAGTTAAGCCTGCAAACCCCGTTTTTTTCATCCACTGCTAGAAGGAACGGCCGGAGAAGAGGAATCGGCTTAGTTCAGGGTGTATCAATTTATTTGGCTGGAGAGCCCAGCTCTCCTCGGTGGCTTGGAGCAAGTTCACATCAACCCTACAATTGCGATTTGACAGAGCCAGTAGGTAAAGTGTCTTTAAAACGATGCCACCTTTGGGTCAGAAACCCCATTTTCTATTTCAACTTCACTGCTTACAACCAGGAGGCAACACAACCCTTGTTGCATTCATGCCTTCTCTTTATCTACATTATTCTCTCCCCCAGACATAGGAGTCAACTCCCAGGGGCTGAGGTCCCTTTGCTTTCCCAATAAAATGTTTAAGGGGGCTGCCCCCAAGTTGATGGGCATTGCCATTCAAATAGTGCATGTGTGCACAGGAGGGGTAGCACGCTATGTGTACCTGCCCCCCCCATATTTTATTCAAGTTGGCACCCCTGCCCCCAGACCTCTCTTTCCTATATATATATAATCACACATATGCACATTCGGTCAGGCACACATGCATATATCAAAAATACATGAGTTAGCGTGACTGAAAGTTTCCCCAATGTGAGAAGCACCTTGTGCTCCAGCATTTATTGGTTACAGAGGCTACTTTTCTCCATAGCAGAGGAAAGGGCACTCTGCGTGTGATCAAAAGCATTTTAATAAATATATTTTATTGCAGGACGTGTTTTACAGGTTGAAATGTGCCGCTGAAAGCAAGTCCTTGGGCCAAACTCAGCTGCTTGGAGTGGAACATGGTGGAGATAGGAAGCTGCTCTATACATACCTGCTCTAACAGAGAGCAGCAACTCTCCAGAAGGAAAGGGATCCACGCCCCCTCGTCACCACCAAGGGATTGAACCTGGGACCTTCTGAATGCAAAGCAGGTGCTTTGCCACTGAACTCCCAAGGAGATATTAATAAACGCAGCAATATTTGTCAGTGGGCAGCAGTGGCGGCCGTGTACCAGTCTATTGCTGTAAATGAGTGACCTCGCTTCCTGGAGGGAACTTGTAAGCGGCCGCTGAAGGTTTGTTTGTGGTCCTCCTGGGAGGGGCACGACACCTCTGTCAGTTCCCTTCTCTTGCCATCTTGGGAGGGAAGAAGCACAAAGTGCTCCTGGCAGCCTTTCAGAGCCCTCCAGCTCCCCTGCCCCTGCCATCGCCCCTGCCCAGACCAAGATACATCATCTAGGGCAGCCTACCACCCGCCACTGTCATCTGTTGGTGAGGCCAGGTCTGGCCTTCTAGAGGCCGCAGGAGGGGCAGCACGTTCTGTGTAGATTCATTCCAATATTTAGCATGCACTGCCTGCGGAATAAATGAAGGTGGCTGTAAGCATGGGGCGGGCAGGGAGGTGCTGACCTGGAGCCTCTGAGCATTGCATGTATGTAGCTGAGCCTGAAAATCCATGGGGATAGAGAACGGGGACACTGAACACTTGCACCACTGTAGAGCTGGAGGCTGTCTTCTCCCTGCAAAAAGTGCAGTTTTCCAGTGGTACAGCCCAGCTCAGTGGTACAGCCCAGCTCTGCATGCATACAGAGGCATAGCAAGGTAAATTGGTACCCGGGTGCGAAATTTTTTTTGCCACCCCCACCCCCCACTGAAATTATTAAAAAAATGAAAAATAAGATTATTGCAGTTAAAAGTGTTATTTTCTGGTTTATTTACATTGTGAGCATAAGCTCTTAAAACTCTTTCCCCCTAACTTTGAACTAGCTCCCCCCCAAAAGTTTAAAGCTAAACTGCTTGCCAATTATACAAAGATTGCAAACTAGAGGGGGAGGGGGGGAGTCAGAGCGATCTTGCCCAGTCAGGGGCTTGCGCGGTAGTGGCAAATAGATAACTCCGAAGCAATGACCCTGGCCAAGGGCACGTGGGCGCAGGACGGAGAGAACCCAAAGGCAGCTGCCCAGAAAACTTAACAGACCCACTCACAAAATACAACGGGTTTACAAAAACAATAGCAACTGTAGCCTGACTCCAGGAAAGGCACGCGAATGTAACAAAACAATGGTAGCAACAGTAGACTCACTGAAAGAACCGCACAGGAACGTAACCAGTTAAAAGTAGCAGTAGCTACACTCGCAGAAATATACGTGGATTTAGCAGAATAAAAGTAGCAGGAGCCACAGTCAAAATGAGGCGTTTAAGATAAGAGGCTTGAGACTTAAATGCTTGAAAAGCAAGGAAAGCTAAGTGGGAGCGGTGGCGGACGGGTCCGATTCCCGAGAGGAAATGCGCCGGGGGGTGGTTTGCCGTTCGCGGTTTTGGCGGCGTGATGGCAGCGGTTGGCGCTGCCCCCCAAAAGATGGAGCCGGGAGCGGCCCGCTCTCTCCGCCCCCCCCTTGCTCCGCCCCGGAATGCATAAGATCCCACTTCAATCCTTTGCATCTCTAGCTGAGGCTCCGAATAGGTTATGCACTTGATGGTCTTCCCCAATCTGCAAATTTCCCGTGGGAGTTCCAGTCCACCTGGAGGGTACCAGGATGGAGAAGCAGGATAGGAGAAGCCAACAAGGTGCCCTCTAGATCACAGTTTTCCAAACTGTGCGTCGTAATACATTAGTATGTCGGCTGCAGTGTGTAGCTGTGTTATGCAGATGCTCCCCACACTCTTCCTGGGGCTGTGTCCCGGGGCTGTGAATTACTGTGTCGCGAAATAATGCATGTTCAAAGAGTGTGTCACCATCATTAAAAGTTTGGAAAGCTCCGCGCTAGATGCCGTTGGACTCAAAGTCCCAGCACCCCTAGCCACTGGCTAAGCTTGCTGGGCCTGATGGGACTTGTAGGCTAGCAACATATTGAGGACACCATATTGGCTACCTTTTGTATAGGCAATATTTGCTTAGGTGGTACGAATCAGTATAAGGCAGCTTCCTATGTTCGGCTCTGAACCACATAAGGAAGGAATTGCAAACCTCAGCTGATCCCTGTTCTAAACTCAACCTGCTTTGAGCCAAGACTACTACTTTTCATTATTTTTAGACCATCCCTCATACCATATTGGTAGTGTACCAAAACGTTTACAAAAGGGAAAAAGTACCTTGCCCTTGCTGGAACTCCTCCTTTCATGTGCACTCTCAACTCTGGCAAGTTATGATCGTGGTGAGAGTGCTTCTAAACACGCGCAGAGTGTCTTTTCTTCACCACTGAGTGTCCACATATACATGGGGCAAGGGGATTCCAGGTTAATGGGGTGGTTTCTAAGATAGTCCTGCCGTCTTAGTGCAGAAATTAACCAGTGGATAAGGGAAGTGGAAATCTAGCCCCAGGTTCTGGGTAGAGGGGTTATAAGTTGCCCCTGTTCCTCCTGAACACCAAAGGGATGCCTCTATTAGGCTAGCCAGTCACTGCATCACCAGGGGGGGAAAGGAGAAAAGAGGATGCACATTGCATCCCCTTTGCAAATGCTAATTTATATGCATCGATGCAGATTTAGAAACAATTGCTGTAATTTAAACAGAAATGCATCTCGTCATAGTGGGGAAGACTGTGACCAGGCAAGCTGTGTGGTGCCTGCCTCGTCTGCTGTCCAGTGTTGCTAACTGTGGATGGGCAACTTAAGAGGCATTGCCCGCTACCCTGGCTTTCCTTCTGAAGGTTCTTTATCTTTTAATTTTTTAAAAAGCAGTTCTTATCTTTATCTGTAAGCCACTTGGAGCCCCCGTCAGGAAAAAATGTGGGTTATAGATAAATATCTAACACACACACACACAGAGAGAGAGAGAGAGAGAGAGAGAGAGAGAGAGAGAGAGAGACGTACGCATATGTATATGTATGTGTATGTGTATATGTATATGTATATTTAAATAGGTTTGGACCAGACAGGATTTTATCTGGAAGCTATCTTCTGGCAGTGCCAGCCCTTCAGACAGAGAACTAAAGTATTTCTTGGTAGCCCCATATCTCACCCTGCTCAGGTGCCTCCTAGGAGGCTCAATTTAGGAGGCCCACAGAATTCGACGGTGGTCCGAGAATCCTGCCCTCTCCTCTGGTTTGGAATAAGCAGCAGTCCTTCCAGTCCAATACTGGGCATCTGCCACAGCACTGTCGAAGTAGTGTTGCCTGCGTGTGCGGAGGAGCCCTCTTTGCACACACACACCCCTTTATTTGAAATGCTCCGAGGGCTTAAGCTATGCCCTTGCACACAGATTCCGTGGTACTTTGAGGTCTCAAAGGTATTACCAGGTACGCTGTTGTTGATTTTCTTTTGAATAGATGCAGTCACAATAGTGGAGCAAACCCACCGTCTCAAGAATCCTGGTAACTGTTGTTCACACATCACAGACCTACCATTCCTGG